AGAACCTCTCCCCATCTCGCCTGCCTCTCGCTTAGAAGCCGTGGCGTGATGAAGTACTCGAGGTTCTTATGATCTGTGAGAATCGTGAACGGGGAGGCTACACTTCGCAATTCAGGGGCCCACGCTTTGAGGCAGGAAATCACGGCGAGCATCTCCTTATTATGTATTGGATAGTTCCTCTCCGCGGGCGTTAGGGCCGCTGAGTGGTAGGCTACCGGGTGCAGAATGCCGTCGACATATTGGGAGAGACATCCGCCTAGCGCCTGCCCTGAGCTGTCAGCTTCGACAACGGTTTCACGATCAGGGTCCCACTGCGTGAGGACCGGGTACGAGATAAATACACTCTTCATATCTTGGAAAGCCTTCTCCTGGTCGGGCCCCCAGCGGAATGGGACGTCCTTGCGCGTGAGCTGGGTAAGAGGTGTAACCATGTCGGAGTAGTGGCTTACGAAGTCCCGGTAGAAGTTGGCAAACCCTAGGAAGCTCCGTACCGCGCGGACATTACGGGGGGTTTCCCATTCGGAGATGGCCCTAATCTTCTCAGGGTCGGGTCGGACTTCCTTTCCAGCCTTAACGATGAAGCCGAGGTACTTTACTTCCTGCACCGCGAATTCGCATTTCGCCCGATCCAGGAACAATCCGGCGTCTAATAACCGTCCTAGAACCTTGCGGACCCGGTCCATATGTTCTTCGCGGCCCCCGGAGGTGTAGATCAGTATATCGTCTAGGTAGGCTGTAGCCGAGTCCATCAAGTCGTTACCGATAGCCCGATTAATATACCTCTGGAAGGTAGCCGGTGCTCCGGCTAGGCCGAATGGTGTAACGAGCCACTCAAATAATCCGAACCTTGTACGGAAGGCTGTTAGGTGCTCTTGGCCAGCCGCGACGCGGACTCGATGGAATGCAGCCCGGACGTCCAGCTTTGTTAGCCATTTCGCGCCGGAGAGGTTCCGTAGCGTTTCCTTAATAAGGGGAAGCGGGTATCGGTCCTGGACTGTAATCTTATTGAGGGCGCGGTAATCTACGCAAAACCGCCAGCCCCCCCCGGGTTTCTTTACAAGAAGAACTGGGGCCGCGGTCGCAGAGGAACTTGCCCGGATCCAGCCCTTATCCTGTAAGTCGGTAATCTGTCGTCGGAGCTCTAAGAGATGATCCCTTGGCATATTATAGAGCGGCCCCACCGGTAACTCGTGATCCTTTCCCTCCTCATCCTTCTTGAGGCGGATATGATGGTCCATAGAGCCACGATGAGGGGGTAGCTGCATTGCGGTATCCTTGTTGAACAACTGCGTGAAGTCTCTGAGTTCCGGGGGAAGCGGTTTCTCCTCGGGCTCGACCGGGTTCCTCGCCCGGATCGCCGTATTAATATCGTGGATACTGACCGCCATTACGGTCGTTCCCTCTTGGCCCCCTTTCCGTAGGAGGCGTCTCATTACCGAGCCCGAAACTCTAGTCAGGCGCGAGCGTCCACCCCTCTGTTCGGAGGTCCTTACTTCGAGGTCCCAAGCCGCGCCGATATTCAATGTTCTCCTCTGGGCATCCATCCGTACTCCCCAGCGTTTAATCCACGGAAGGCCTAAGATCAGGTCTCGGGAGAGCCCCGGGATAACGTAGAGGGCGGCTGGGCATGTCCATCCATCCACGTCGAGGTACGTACGGACGAACGTTTTGATTGCCGGGGCGCGGGGAAGGTTCCGTGCTACCTTCAACTCCCGCGGCGAGTGGAGCCTGATTCTTTTCAGACCGAGGCCTCGTGCCGCCTCCTCGCTGATTGCTCCGTAACAGTCACAGCCGCTGTCGATTTGCACGTCGAAGGTTTTCAGGGAATGGACTAATATCGGCACTAGGAATGGTAGTTCGTTCATTTGCGCTTCTATCTTCCGAAATTCCTCCGCCCCTTGGGGACCCTATACTTCGACTGATTGCGGGTATGACCCTGGTCGCCTTGGCCGGAGACTTAGGCCAAGGTCTCCTCGTTTTTTGGGTCTTCGTGGTCCGGCTCCGGGTCGGAGTATCCCTCATCCACGGTCAGCGTCCGTACTGCCGTCGAGGGGCGTATCGCGGGGGCGAGGTTGCAGTCCTGAGCGAAGTGTCCTTTAGCTCCGCAACGTAGGCAAGCCCCTTGCTTCCTTCTTTCGTCGAGGATCTCCTTCGAGACCCAGTTAGCCCTCCGTTTGGGCTGCCCGTTTCCGCTCCGTGGTTGGGAGCGGCCCTGGCTTTTCTTGTTAGTGCCGTATTGAGTTAACGCGTTAACTCCTGTCATCCGAGTGTCACCCTCGTTGTCTACGAAGCGAGTCCGCCTCGGGGTTAGCGCATGGCTTAGGTGATTGCGAAACCGTTCTTCCATTCGATACGTTTCGATATCCGTCGCGATCGATCGGTATTGGTTGACCGCCAATTCGTAGTTATCCCTAGAAACCCCGGCTCCTACGCTCTTTTCGCGGATTTCCGAGGAGAGGGCTCTTCGGAGACGGGATAGGCGTATTCCGGCCGACCATTCGTGCCCCCCCGCTAGGGCCATTTTTTGTTCGAAGCGCACGAAGAATGTTGCGAAGGACTCATTCTTTCCTTGCCGAAGGTTGTCGAGTTCCGCTTCAGCAACCTGCTGTCGGTGGGGGTTCCCGAAGACGGTCTCGAGATACGATAGGAATGCGTCCGTGTTATAGCCTGTCCCCTCCCCTGCTGCTTCGTAGTAGGCCGCGACTTGCGCCTGGACCTTAGGGGAGAGATTCTGCCATAGGTACACCCATTGGTCCTCTGCGGACCCGATGAAGTGCTGGTCGGCTGTAAGCTTATGTCGGATAGTAAGCTTCCAGGCCGCGAAGGTTTGCTTGTCGCCATTATAAGGCTCTCCTTTCGGGAGCGGTTTCCGTAGGGTGAGCGGCGGTGTCGGATTAGGGTATGGGCGAGTCGAGTTGGCGGGATATCCGCGTGCCGGGCTTATCGAGGGCGGGGAATGCCCTGCACCGTCCGTATTTGCGTCGCCGGGTGCCCTTGAAGGGAGCGGTGTCTGCGCTGCCCGCAGTTGTTCGATTTCGACGCGCATTCGGCTGAGTCGGTCTTCGAACGTATCGATGCCTGATTGGTGATTGGGTGGGGAGCCGTTAGGGAGGGTTGCTTCGTACGTGGCGCGGAGGTCGCGCATCTCGATCTGCATAGCGTCGAGCCGTGCTCTTAGCTCATCGACCTCGGCCATATCCGAGGAAGAGGAAGCTCGTAGTATGTTAAGTACTGGCTCTAGGTCTGAACAGATACTAGGCGTATTAGATTTACTACGAGCTTGGGAAATAAAAGCAGGTAGTTCGCACTCTCCGTGAGCGCGTTACGGTTTTGTTACCCCCCCCCTGTCTCCCCCTTTTTGACCCACCCAGGCTCGGGCCAGAGCCCGAGCCCGTAACACCGACGAACTTGTCGTGCTAGTTGAAAGCACTAAGTCGTGATGTGTAAGAATTGTGCGAACTAAAATACATAACTTTTCTACCCGAAATTAAATGTGCAGCCCTTCTGACTAATTGTGCAATGGACTCCGACCATCAAAACCCTCAAAATCCCAATCCCTAGCGTCTCTATGAGAGTTTCACCCCGCACTGCCCGGTCGCATTATTAATTGAATGACTAGGTTAAGTGATAGGTAAGAATGATACTTAGATTAATAGCCAAAGTATAAAGGTGAGGATCCCGAGCGGGATCCTTTATAGTCTATATAGCTCTTCATCCTTCACTACCTTAGTACTGGCTCACGGGCTCACTTCGTAATCTCGCGCTACTTACCGGCTCACGTCGTGATCCAGTGAGGCTCACTGGCTTACCGGGTAGTCCAGTAATCCCGTCCGACTTACGTAAGGAAACTGATTACATAATGTATAGTGCCGCCCGTGACCTGCCTTCGCAGCCCGGCCCTTGTCCATGGCCTGCTGCTGCGGCCTTATTTGTCCTGTTCCTCAGCCCAAACAATCCCCTGTTGGTCCGGGTCACACCTAAGGTTGGCCGAGGTAGCGCTCGCTGCGACGACCGCCGCCGGCTCCCTCCCCCGAGCAGGCCTTACCCTTAGCGGCGCGGAGAAAGGCAACCCGCAAAGCCTCCCGCGGCGACTTCTCCCTGTCCTGAGCCAGTCGATAGGTAATCGCCCCACTGTCGGCTATTACCACGGCATCGCGACGATCACGCGTCATTCGTTCACCGTCACACTTGTATACTTCTAGAACCGTATCACCACAGCTGCCGACGTGTAGCCGGGGCCCAACGGTACAGCACAGCCAGAGCAACATACAGCAATACGCTCAGTCGACAGGACTTCGCCAAAAGTGTCGAGGAAGTGCACCGACACGGTTATGAAGGAGCCTCAAGAGAGTCATGGTAGTCCTTCGTCGACGCAGCACCGACGTCGGCCGTACCGATCGAGAAGAAACCGGCCCTGTGCTCTATGCAAAGCGCGCAAAGTGTCGTGTCGGCGCGCAACACACGATTCAGCCTGTGTCGCGTGTCTCAAGTCTGGTCAACTTTGCAGCTTCGTGGACGACTCTGCGAGAGAGGATGGACGTAATGGCATACAGTCATCTGACGCCGAGCTACACAACCCGCATACGGCAAACGAAGCAGCGAGCACACAAGTTGGAACTATGATCAGCCCGGAGCATCGCCAGCCAGGCGATCGTGACGTCGTTTGGGCTCAAGCCAAGCCTCTATTGTCCCTGAAGAGCCAGAGCGCCGGGCACACGGCACATTCACCACCAGAACACCAATCAAGTACACCTCGTCGGCCTGCCTCTGAGCACTGGGCCGAGTTCATGCCTGAACAGAGCATTCCTGACCTGGATTATGACCTGTTCGGCCAGGAGTTCCCTCCGCTGTCAGATATGCTTGGGATAACACCGAGCGAGAGTCATCAGCAATGGATGGACGTCCCCTCAGCAAGTCAAACGACGTCGGCCGGTGCCACACAAACATCACCCTCGAAAGAGATGTGCCACGAAAATACAAGCACAGAGTTCGTGGAGACAATGGCGCAACGACAAAAGAAGACGTCACATAGCATCGATACAAGGGAGGGCTTCCATGGAACCTACTTTGGCTTGTCTGGCGAAGTAGACCCATATCTACTGCGTCACTACTTGTACGATGATGCAGATGAGTTCACCTTCTTGCGCCTCATATACCGCCAGCTGCATAACGATCTACACGACCCCACCGCACCGCCGTCGCCACAGCGTCGCCCTCTTGGCAAGCACCAGGGGCAACGCGAGCCTGTGCAATTCTACTTGATGTCATCAGAGCTGGCAGATGAGCACAAACAAGCTGGTCCGAAACAAAATCCGAGATGTGAGGGGTCTACAGCGGGGGAGTTAGATGCTCTCGTTGACCATGACCAAGCGCTCAGGCTATTGCAACTGTGAGTGGCCGTGCAGAGCCCTCCACCCGATTCCGGAATCGCGTCGGCTAATGCGCTATATAGATTCATCACATACGTCTTCCCGGCCATGCCGGTGATTTCTCGCTCCCAGCTGCTCAGTAGCATGGCGAGTTGCAATGGGGCTACCACGATCACACCGAGCAGAACCATGCCTATCCATTTGCTAGCGGCTATCTATGCATCAGCCTTGCCGTTCTGGTCATACGACGACGTGCTCTGTGTCTCAAGCGTGTACAAGAAACCATCATCAGAGACGTTGTGGCAGATTGCTTATGATGGCTTCCAAGCTGAAATTTTGACGCCGCACCTGGCGACGGTGGCTACGGGATTGCTGTACCTCAATAAGGCGCGCCAGGGCGTCCAGCATGTCTCTGCAGACATTACGCTTACCTGGACTCTGCTGTCTTCCATTGTGGGCATCGCTACCAGTCTTGCTCTTCATATTGACTGCAGCCACTGGGCCATTCCGGGTTGGGAGAAGAGGTTGAGGCGTCGGCTATGGTGGATGACTTTCTCTGAAGAGGAGTGGCGCAGCCTGCTATTGGGGAGGCCATCTATCATCAATGAGGATCAGTGGGACGTGGAAGAGCTGTCGGTCGAGGACTTTGCCCTTGATAGCGAGGGTGTCGATGCCGTCACTGCGACGGCCACGGGCAACCTCGCAGACGCGCGATTTTGCTTGACAGCTGATTCGGAAGCGCCGCACTGCATTCTCTCGCAGATGGCCAAACTCGCGTGCATCGCTGGGAACATACACCGCTCACTGTAGTAGGTCTAACATAGTCTTGTCTGGTGCAGGGCGTTGTGCTTGAAAGCAGCATCACGCTATGGGCGCTTGCATCAGGACAACAAGTTGCAGCACTGCTAACGACATTGGCTGTGCGTAGTACGATACGGGCAACAAGGCGGGTAGCACACGATATCGAGGCCTCAATGGCCACGGTACGACCTCTCAGAGCAGAGCTGGTGTGCTGGTATTCACAGTTGCCGTCGCAGCTACGATTGCAGTCACGATCTTGCGGTGATGGCGACAGGTCAACACCCGCATCTCCCAACTCGGCGGCCTGTTTCAGGTTTGCGTACCTCACACTCGAGGTGCTTCTTTATCGAGCATTACTGCGCCCACTTGGCAGTCTAGACCTAGAACATGACGGCGACGAAGACATGAACGACGTGGATACTTCCTCGGGGCTTCAGGATGACCATGTCGGAGTCATGCCTTTACCGCAAATGTCGAGAAGCAAAGTTGCTCTAGAGGCTGCCGAGGCCATCATCAGCGCTGCAGAGAAGTGCGCCGGGTTGGTCATCGACTTCGCCGCAATGCTCATGTCGTGGGACTTTGCCGGATTCTCCTATTCTTGTAAGTGGGGATGAGGCCTATATCTCTCCCTGTCTCATAACTGCATGTTGCTTCCAGGCTCACACAAACGTTCGACAAAGCAGGGTTGCGCATTGGCTGGGCCACGTCTTCTAGCTTCTTTGCGCTGCTCTTGGTGCAGTCACCTAGCCTGTCCCATGCGCAGACGTGCAAAGGTATGATGGACCGTTGGCGGCAAGTCCTGCGCCATCAGTCTAAGAGCTTCGAGGACATGCGGCTAGGCATCTTGCGGCTGGACGCCATGTATTGGTCGGACATGCGCAAGATCTTCCGGGTCAACAGGCACGCTGCACGAGTGTTGGGCGGTACCGATAGCGTACAGCGAGGTAGCGGCTCGCATCGCACTTTACCATGATGATCGAGCGTCATTATTTGCACTGAAATATCTAGCTAGGAGCTACGCCTTGCGCGCCGCGTCGAAACGCAATACGGCATTGAGAAGCACCTGCGCGCCGTTGCCACAGTCCTCGGGCGCTGTGTACTCAGTGGGGTTATGGGTGACGCCGTCGCGGCAGGGCACAAAGATCATGGCCGTCGGCACGCGCGTCGAGGTATGGACACTGTCGTGGCCAGCGCCGCTGTACATGCGCCGTGTCAGGGCAGCAGCTTGGGCAGCGCCAAAGAGGTCCTCGGCGCCCTCCTCGATGCACCGCAGACAGTCGTCGTCGAACCGGGCCACGGGCGCCCTGGCAGTGGTCTGCCACGAGACAGCACACCCACGGCCGCACGTGCACGAGTCGGTAAAGGTCTCGGTCCCAGCCGCGATGGCGGCAAAGTCGGCCCGCAGGGCAGCCTCCATAGCGTCCATCTTGGGGTCGGCGTCGGCGCGCAGGTCGAGTGAGAAAGTGACGACGCCGGGGACCGTGTTGGTGCTCCCTGGATGCACCGTCAGCAGTCCCGTCGATGCCAGGCCTTGGAACTGCGTGGCCACCTGGTGGGAGCGCACAATCATCTTGGCGGCAGCCAGCATGGCGTCGGCACGGTTCTCGAAGTTGGTGGCCCCTGTGTGGCTGTCGCGGCCTGTGACGGTGATGGTGAACCAGCGCATGGCCTGCACGCCTTGCACTGCTCCAATGCGCTGGCCAGCGGCCTCGAGGATGGGACCTTGCTCAATGTGCAGCTCAAAGTGCGCGGCCAACGGCGTGGCAGTGTGGTGGGCGGCCGTGTCGCCTCGATAGCCTATGCGTGCCAGCTCCGAGCCGACCGTCACCTCGCCATCGTCGACAGACGCTACAGCATGGGCCGTGTCGATGGACGTCACGCCTGCCCATACGGCGGATGCCATCATACACTGCGGAAATCGTGCGCCTTCCTCGTTGGTCCAGTCGACCACGCAGAGGGGATATTCCGTCTCGAGACCAGCCTCGTGTACTGCTCTCAGAACTGCCACGCCCGCCAGCACGCCGAGAATGCCGTCGTAGCGCCCGCCCGCTGGCTGTGTGTCGAGGTGGGAGCCCATCGCAGTTGGCGGGCCTTCTCGCTTGCCCGGTCGGATCGCAAAGATATTGCCCATGGCGTCGAAGTGCACACGGCAGCCCAAGGCCTCTGTCGTTTCGATAAACCAATCCCGCACAAGTTTGTCCGCGTCACTGAGCGCAAGCCGCGCCATGCCAACCTCTGTGGGGTTTCTGAAAAGGCGCAACAAGAGTTAGTCAAGCCAAGATTCTGCGCGGGCTCTTGTCGATGCAGGGGAATAAGGGCATGCAGCATGGTGCCGACTCACTGTCCCCAGCGCTCGCCCTCACCCCATTGCGCCGTGTGATGAATATCCTGCATCAACCGGTGGCGGTCAATCGTAAGGCGAGACATGTCTGGTTTCTTCGGTTGTGCCGTCGCAGCAGCTGAGGCAATAACGCTGGAGTCAGTTATGGACCCCATCTTCGTAGCTGTTTGACCTGGATGAGCCGAATAGAAACTTAAAGGGCACACAACGATGGACTATCAAGATGGACCTGCGTTCTTCGACTTTCAACCTGGACCTGCATGCAACGCGCGATGTGCAACCTGCCTCGTCCATCGGTGCATCGCGGTTAGCGTGTTGAGCCGTCGTACATATATGGCAATCCATTGGGGCAGTTGCAACCAAATTCGGAAAACCTCAGTCCGAATTCGCCGCCGCCAAGGCAGATTCGCCGAATTCGTACGTCGCCCTCCATTAAGGATGTGGGGACGCTATTCGGCGAATGTGCAACTGATTCATGCCATCCACGCCAGCTCGTCTTATCTCTCGCCAGTGTTATCGATTTATCGTGGGAAGGGCCCCACAACGTGCACCCATGTCCGATCATGACAACGGCCAATGCTTCACTATCTACAACGTGACATGATACCGAAAGGCGTCTCGATATATAGCGGCGCACTGCATCCCCATCGAGACCTCCCCGGGTCATCATGTCCGCATCGCCTGTCACGAGTGTATAGTCTATTCGTTCTACAATGACAATCGCCGAGAAGATGGCAGCTGCCCAAGACCTCCCCCAGGGCACTGACGCCCACGCGCAGTCAGGTGGAGAGAAAGGCGTACACGACTCTGAACAAGGCATCGCCGAAGTCTTCATCGACCCAAAGCTGGAGGCGCGCGTCATGAGCAAGTTTGACATGTTCTTGATGCCTCAAATGGCTTTACTGGTCATTATTGCTTATCTTGACAGATCCAACATTGGTAACGTGCTTTCAACATGTCGTCGGGTCGTTCCCCCAAAGCCAGCTAACCATCTTGTCCGTTCTCTTGACAGGCAATGCCAAGACATTCGGGTTCGAAGCAGGCCTAGGGCTTTCGGGTAATCAATTTGGAAACCTTTCGACCCTTTTCTATCCGACGTATGTCGCCTTCGAGATCCCTTGGGTCATGGCCGTTAAGCGATGGGGCGCCAATGCCGTTTTGGCCATCATCACCGTCGGCTGGAGCATTATTACGTTGGGCTCAGGCTTCATACACACTTATGAGCAGGGCATTGCCGTGCGCCTACTACTGGGTGCTTTCGAGTCAGGCCTATTCCCTTGTCTGACCTTCGTCATCTCGACCGTCTACTCGCGCGAGCAGCAAGCCAAGCGCGTCGCCGTGCTTTACGGCGCTATCGCTCTGTCCGGGGCCTTTGGCGGACTCATTGCCTATGGCATCCAGCTCATGGGCGAGCGCGCCGGGCTGGCGGCCTGGCGGTGGCTTTTCATCATTGAAGGGGCTGTTTCCCTGGTCCTCGGCATAGCCCTCTGGGCGACGCTACCGCGCGACTCAACGCGCGCCTGGTTCCTCAATCCCGACGAGAAGGAGCTCATGCTGCGACGCAGCCAACGAGACGCAGCCTACAAGGGCGACGACAAGTTTTCGTACAAATACATCATCCAGGCCTTTCGCGAACCCATCATCTATATCGCCGCCGTTGGCATGTTTTGCTCATCCTTTCCTCTATTCGGCTTCGGCACTTTCCTGCCAACAATCATCATGGGGCTTGGGTACAACTCCTTGCAAGCCAACTACCTATCGACCCCGGTATACATATTCGCCTGCATTGTTCTCATCTTTGTAGCCTGGCTGTCCGATAGGCTCAAGAGACGCGGCATTGTCGCCATGCTGGTGCCCATCTCCGTGCTGTCAGGTTATGCCATCGCCATTGGCACAGCTAACAGTGGTGCTGGCCTGTTCGCCATGTTCCTCATTGCCGCTGGTTAGTATTACGCTTTGCATCGTGCGATTTGAATTCTGAACATGGCTGACCATACTTTCCAATCAGGTGTCTATCCATTCAACACGATTGTCCTGACATGGGTCACGAACAACTTGCCCAATGAGCACGTACGCTCCGTCGGCATCCCATTGCTTATCTCAATTGCCAACATGTCCGGCATCGCATCCTCGCAGATCTACCCCTCCAAAGATGCGCCACGGTATATCATGGGTAACTCGGTGTCGTTAGGTACGGAGGCAGTAGCCCTCCTTGCCGTGTGTGTGCTGTATGTCTTGTTGCGACGGAAGAATGCTCAAGCCTCCCGCAAGTCTGATGGCACGCCGGAATTCACATACTTTTTGTGAACTCCTGGACTAGCAGACGCGAGTACTAGTGCCAGTGTCAATTGATGCGCTAAAAGAGCCAAGGCCACCGTGACCGAAGCAATGCAAGGTCACAGCGTCGCACTTTGAAGATCTGGAAAGAACGTCCATAAGGCAATTATACTCTGACATTCCCACAAGCTCAATATGACAATTTAACAACCCTGTGTATCCATGCAAATGCTATGTACTGACAGCATGGAGCGGGTTCGGCCACACAAGGGAGAGGAGCCGACACCTCCAGGCGCGTATATGTGGAATGTGTTGCCCATGATTCATTGATTATACTGTTTGCAGCCTCTGACATACGAAACCTTATACATAGATCTTGTTTTGCCGTCTCTCGCAGTCGGTAAGCTCAACGCCAAATGGCTGATTAATTACGAGAGAGATAGCCTCTGAGCGAACCATTGACTAAGCCGGGCTACCGGACTCAAACAATTAATGGAGCTGGTTGTCCCCGTAGCCTGTAGACAAGCCCAGTTGCAACATGACTAGGGTCAGGCTTAGGGGGAGACCCTTCCGGACCCTTCCAAGTGCGCGAAGCAAGAGATCCTGCCGCTCCGACTGGTGCTTTCAAGATAAGCTCATGAGAGGGCAAGCTCAGCTCTCGCAGGTCGTCAGCATGAATGGAAAGTTTTGAAACATTCTGTGATACGACATACCAGTCCTTTCCATTGTTGGGATCGAGATAGAAGTTGAAGCGGTTGTTGAGCACCTGGTCGCTGCCATGGTCGCAGCCGTGCATCTCGATCTGCACAAAGCTGACGCAGGTGTCAAAGTCGATCGTGGCATCGCGGTAGTCCTGCGACTCGGTCGCGTAGTAGTTAACGTGGAACTTGCTCGAGCCCGAGAGGCAGCCGGATCTCTGCTGGTGCGGGATGTAGGACGACTGTGTGAGGTCCCGGCAGATAATCTTGGCAATCTCGGTCAGGGAAGGGCTGCCGACGTCGCTGTTGAAGTCGGACCAGGTCGGTCAGAGCGGTCGGCGCGGTGACGGCGGCGAGGAGAGAGAGGAAGAGAAGCTGCATTGTGCGTTGTCGGAGGTCTCGGTGCTATTGGAGAGACTTGTATACTTTTGTGAGTACCATATTCTTTGTGAGCGAACGACTTCAGAAATCTAAAAGTAGCAACCTTTAACAGTCTTTTACAACAAGCACGCGATGACGTCGTTGTGTTCTCAGCCTTAGCAAGACTGCGCGTTGCTTTGCGGAGCACACCTTGTCACGATGTTTCGATTCGCGGTGTCTACAAGGCTGTACCAGCCGTTCTCGAAGGTCTAATAGCCGTTTACGTCAATCACCGCGGCTGCGCCGAGGGTTTCTGCACCTCGAAATAGGGCTATGGGTGGGTCTGGCTGGGGCATGCTGACAGAAATTTGGGTCTTTGCAGCTTTTATTGGCAACGTTCGGGGGCTCTTCCAACTGAGTCACACACGCTGGAGCCATCTTAATCGAAACATCACACTGAACAGTGACGAAGACTATGATGACGATCAACGCCCCGCGACAACGACAAGTTACGCGACAGGAGCCATGCCTGATCGTAGCTTGTAGCGATGTGAAGAAATAGTGTAAATGATGGCTAGCAAGCAGTCCAAAGGTTTCCGTCTTTCACAACCACAACAACCCCCAAGCGCACAAATAACTCTAGACTTTACTTACCTTTCGCCTTGCATCCCCAAGTCTTACCTTCTGAGTCAAGATCGAACCTTCAACCCCAACACCTTTCAACATGCCATCCTCCTCTACTTCGACCAGAACTATGATTACCAGTCTCCTCGCCTTGGCCGCAGCACTTACCACCACGTCTGCCCTAGGATGCTACTCCTCAGACGAGGGTCCGTCCTGGGACAATATCAATTGGGATCTTGGTTATCCTCAATTCCCGGCCATCGCTAACAAGATCTGCAGCGGGCCTAGCGTAGACTACTACACCGGCGAGAAACGGGACGGCTGCTTCAACTCAAATAACGGTCACTATTGTCCTGGGGCAAGTGAGGATTCTCCTAATCGGGGACAAAACAACCACCACGACCGAAGGGAGTTCACCGCTTGCCAGTCTCGGCGGTGTTTCCGGCGAGGTTCACTCTGGCCCTTGGCCAGAGTGAGGGCATTCCCAGATAGGGGCCAGACCAGAATTTCGAGGGGGAGCCAGTCGCATCAACAGCACCCTGTTAATGCGACACTTGTGAGGGAATCTCTAATTATGGCATTGTCGGTCGGATGCGAACAAGAACGGGTGCAGAAGCGCAAGAATTCAATGAGGTAGAAAATCAAGTCGAATTAGTGAAGTTGGGTGGTAATGTCTGTTGACGATGCTATGAAAAATGTCGCGATGGCCTTAAGCCTTAAGTAGTACAGTACAAATATGCCCCTGATCAGACTATCCCGCACTGCCCTGGCACAATAATCCGCCCTTATCCTTAGCCTGATCCTGTGGCCTAGTTATTTATGCTCCCTTCCGTGCTAAGCAAACGTCCCCTGTTAGTTGGCCGTTACAGCTACTCCGTCGGCGGTCGAGGGGAAACAAACCCCTTAGTTTTCACTGCGTTTACACACGGGGCATAAATCCATAGCGCCCGGTTATACGGTTAACCCCGGAGACCGGATCGTAACATAATAGCAGAGTGGTCAAATACGCAGGTTTCATATCCGGATCATGAGTTATGAATACGCACAAATATATGGCAACATTATGTGTGTGGCTTCGTATCGCACGCGAAGACCCTTACCGGGTCCTCCATTAGTCCGAACCCGACGCCCGTTCCTGCGCGAGCTCGCGGCGGTGTGAGCTAAAGCGCTCTGCGCCGCTGGCCGTTCTAATCAGTCTATACAGTTCGCCGTCAAGGCATAACGCCAGCCCCCATCACGCAGAGTTGCACCGCAGACAGATGCGCACATCAGTCAGTTAATGGCTCGAGTCTAGCGCAGGGTTACGTCATACCGCCCGTCGTGCCGCCACGTCATGCCGCATCGTCGTAGCGCACCGTTATAGCGCACCCATCATTCCAAGCCCGTTCTGGCTGCCCCGAGCAGGCTATTAAGTCCGCGCACAGTGTGCACTGTGTCCTACACCTCTAAGACTTCGGAGGCGGTCATCCTTGCAGGGCGGACATTGCTATCACATCTGATCCGATTCCTCGTACTTAGCGTCGTATCCACAAGCCGGATCAGCAGGAAAGACACGGACCTCGCAGCCGCGACCTTGCATGATTGTTATTCCGTGAGTTCCGGTATTAGGATTGATCGAGCCAATAGTCTAGAGCGTTGACGTGGGAGACTTGCACACAGGTTCTCCAGTTTTGCGTGCGAGCTTCTGGGCACCTCGGCCATGACGACTGACCATGAGCCACAAGCTTATCCCGCAACTGTACTATGACGCGGATCCGACAACAGTGGTCACCACTCCCAAAAGCACCTGCACGCGGCGCATCCAGTGTGGCCTTGTGACTGGCTGCTTGTGCCTGCCGGGCATTCCCACAAGTTAAATGGGCGAGCCGGGGTTGCATATGAGGGAGTAGCGGCGGGAGTGGCGGCGGGAGTGGCGCCTGCCAAGCCTGCAGGCCCACATACGGACGGAGCATAACACGGTAGTAGTTGGCAGACATGAGATAGCGTGCTTCGCATTCGTATCTCAAATACGACATGGCCCGACGAATGTCAAACGCATCCTCCAAGCTAGGACAGGGGCTTTTTCTTCAAGAGCGGGCCCAGACATTGATAGCAACCACTAACAAGGGTCCATTGACAAGGGATCAGCTGCGTCGCCGCCCGCAAGTGTCGTCCTCGCTTGTACAGATTTACATACCTATCGTTGGAGATCTGCTTACAGGGTTACGTCCGCATAAACCTTAGTTGTGCCATCTCCGACGAGAGGAATGTTTGTTGCCGCCGATTTGATATAAGAAGACCGCCTCGGTCGACGATGTCCATCTGCTTAACCCTGGCAGTTACACATTTCAGCATTCTCACAGGAACAACACAAGACACATTACGCAAATAGCACCCACAAGCCATATCCGAAGAGTTAACGAACAAAAGCTATCATGGAGCCGTCGGCCACAGCGTATGCCTCTCTTCAGAGCTCTTTGCATTCGGCACTCGAATCGCTTCCTATCGACAAAACGTCACTACTTCCCTATGGCTTGTTGTTGTTGCCCGCGTTCGCCGTGCTCTACTCGGCTTCCAAGCCAGCGTCGAAATTCCCCGAGGTCAACCCCAAGAATGCTTTTGAGCTTACCGACGGACGACGAGTCAAAGAATTCATGGCCAATAGCATGGAGCTCCTGAAGACTTGGGAAAAGCGGGTTGGGGGCAGCCCCTATAGACTGTTCTGCGAGAATGGCTTAACGACTATGCTGCCATTTAACGAAGTCGAAAACATGCGGAGTGATAAGCGCTTCGACTTCAGCCAGGTCGCTTCTGACGTACGTATTTGGTTTTGACCTTGGGCTTCTGCCATGGAATGTAGACTAATCTCTTGTCCCAGGACACTCATGGCTACCTTCCTGGTTTTGAAGCGTTTGGGAATGACCCAACCATCATTAAGGTGGTGAACAAGCATCTGACTAAAGCTCTCAGTGCGTATACCTTAATCTCGTCTGACTGCCGACGGCTAACATAACCTGTACAGCCAAGATCACAGCCCCACTATCCCACGAAGCCGAGCTCGTTATCCAACAAACTTTGGGTGATTCTACAGGTAAATATTACTTCTTTTTCCTCTCTTCTCTTTTCGTTGTCGCTGCTTATGCGACTCATGTTTATACGTGTATCGCTACTCTAGGCGTCTTCGACTTTGAATTATAACTGACTGCAAGTTTCTAGAATGGGAACTCCACAATGCTCCACTCGCTATTATGAAGATTGTTTCGCGCATGTCCGCCAGGGTGTTCATGGGCGAGGAGCTCTGTAGGGACGACAAGTGGAATGTTGCTGCTGCCGATTACACTAGGAAGCTGTTCAGCAGCACCACCCTTCTCAGCGAGAAACCCCGTTGGATGAGGCCATGGATTCACTGGTTCATGCCCGAGATCCAGGAGGTCCGGACAGCGCAGGCTGCAGCTATCGAGGCATTCCAGCCTCACCTTGATCGTCGCGAGAAAGAGAAGGCTGCCGCGCTCGCGCGGGGGGAGGATTACCGCGTCGACGATTCTATTGAATGGTTCGCGAAAGAGGGCTCAACCCATCCACCAGCCATCGACCAGACCCGGCTTACTGTAGTCGCTATTCACACTACCAGCGATTTACTAACCGAGGCTATGCTCAACATCGCCATGCACCCCGAGCTGTTCCAGCCCCTGCGAGAAGAGGTTGTTAGTGTGCTATCGACTCATGGCCTTAAAAAGACTGGGCTGTACGAGCTTCAACTTATGGATGCCGTTCTCAAGGAGTCTCAAAGACTTAAGCCGGTCCTGCTGAGTAAGAAATTCCCTCTGCAGTTTTGTTATCAGCACATTTAAGCTAACACGGTCTCTTTTCTGATAGGCTGGAAGAGGATACTTATCGAGGATGTCACGCTGCCTAGCGGCACAGCTCTCAAGAAGGGTGAGAAGGTAGCGGTCAGTCTTCTCCACATGTGGGACGATGAACAATGGAAGGATGCTGCTACCTTCGACCCTTACCGCTTTATACGTATGCGCGAATCATCGAACGAGGCGAACGCATCTCATCTAGTTAGTACCAGCCCGAGCCACATGGGCTTCGGCCATGGCGTGCACGCCTGTCCGGGGCGCTTCTTCGCCTCCAACGAGCTCAAGATTGCGTTGTGCCATCTTATTCTCAAGTACGATTGGAAGCTCCCCGGGGCTAAGCGCCCGGACCCTGTCGTGATCGGCATGCAATACATGGCCAACCCCGAGAGTAACCTACTGTTCCGCCGCCGCAAGGAGGAGTTGGATTTCTCTGCCTTGGAGCGCTGAGCGCCCCTACCGAATAGCAATGCTCAGACAGGGCGACAATGGTACACAGAACGGCTTTCTGTACTTTCAAGACCTCGATATCAAAGGATCGAGGAAGTACCGTGGTTATTACTGCGGGGACCGGCCTGCGAGGCTTTCGACGAATGAATGTGAGGAAGATGGGGAGATTTTCGAGCCGCGATATGTTTGTTAGTATTCATTGTCGGGATTGTAGGTTTAGAAATAGCATTTCTTTAGAATAGTTTATATTTGATTTACGCAATACTACTTTACATTCAGTTTCGTTCTAGTTGCATTTATAGTCCCAGAACCTGGTACCCTCCTAGAGTACCAGCTGATTTTCATAGGGTACTAAGTTTTTCTAATATACTATGGTACCCTCGATTTCTATTTTAAGACCCTATATTAAAAAGTGTAGGACGTTTAGAGTGTCAAAAACGCTACAAAATGGCCTGTTCATTTTCCTATTTGAACCGCTACCTATAGAGTCATTACTATTCTAAGGTATTAGTCATTATTTGTACCCCTTGCCCGTCATTCCGCCGCGACCTCCCCGCTATCGACCCTGCTGACACTTAGCCTACATAATCCCCTCTAACCCCAACCTTAACCCACCCAGCCCCCACTGCCCACTCACTACCCACTGCGCACTGCGCACTACCCAATCAGGCAGGGCAGGGAACAGCCGATCCCCACACCCGACGGCCGCGCCAACGTACATCCCATCTCCCATATACGTCACGGGACAGGAGCCAAAAAGAGAAGAGAAAAAGAACAAACCATGCTTCATCCGCTGCGCGAAGCAATGGCATGGTTAATGCCTGGCCGGGGAGTCGAATCCGGCTCTTCACCGTGGATAGCTTGAGCGTCCAGATCAGGCCGAGAGGCTCAGGTCCGAGGACCCTTATTCCTCCAGCCGATGGCGGGAACAGGAAGCTATATAGTAGTTGTTATGGATCTCCTCCTTGTCGTCACGACCGCCTCGACAGGCGGTACACGTGACCGCCCTGCCAAGGGCCAAGTAAATGTATATATCAAGACACGCAGGACTAGTCATAGATAACTTAGAGAAGGATAAGCTTTACTACATCTCCGACTTGGACTGCTTCGATATCATTACCGTCCGTGACGTCTGATAAGACTAAACGAAGGAGACATTGCTGGCTCATGCATCCGTGACGTCAATCATGACTGAACGAAGGGGAACCTTAACAAGATCCATCTGGGACCGTAGAAGTTCCGGTTAAGCAGCAGGACCTCACACAGCAGGTCCAAGAAGGACTTGAGACGACTGTGGGCGCCGGAGCACGCTGGAGGACGGTCGAGCAGGAGCAGGCCATGCTACACTCCAAACAGATCGTCGTACAGCCGACAGGCGGCGGGAGAGAGCCTGTTGTTTATGGTACCAGCAATACTGGAACGGACGGAGGGATTAGCGTCGTAATCGTAGCGTTCGTCGCCCTCATCGACGATCTATTAGCGCGGGCTCGCTCGTTCGGAACTAGCTGCGTCTACTGGAAGCCGTTAGACGACGGGGAACTCGGCCTCGACGTAGGGGTTCCAGTGGTCTATCTCGTCGTCGTTAGTGTAAACCAGGCAGGGCACTACGAATTCTCGAATTATGTCGAAATGCTACGAGGCGAGGATAAGCTGCGACGGATTTTTACCGACGAGTACGATACGATCATTACGGATATCGGGTATAGGAAGGCACTGGGAGGGCTCGCCGAGGTGCTCCGGTTCGGATACCCGGTACTTATGCTAACGGCGACGCTCCCTGTGATACTGCAAGGCTGGTTTCGGGAGAAGATGATGTCGAAGAGCGCTGGAATTATCCGAGGGCGTACGACGAAGAAAAACATCCGATATTCGGTTAATCGGGTCTAGGATAAGCTGCAAAGCGGGAGAGGACGACGAAAAGGAAAGAGGAATGCGGTCTAGGACGAAATAGTACGACTGGTTCTGGAAAAGAACGATTCCGGCACGGTGGAGGGCGATAAGAAGGGCGTAGTGTACTATCGGTCGAAGAAAAAACAGCGAGTAGCTAGCAGAACGGATCGGATGCTAGTATTATCATAGCGAAACGGAGACGGTAGTACGGCAGGAGGTGCTAGGTTTATAGACCAGCTGCCGTAGAGCGTCCCCGTGGATTATAGCAACGACAGGGCTTGGGACAGGCGTCGATCTCGCAGGAATCTGCGTTATTATCCACGCGGAAGAGCCGTACGGGCTCGTGGATTATATATAGTAGACGGGACGAAGAGGCCGGCGGGATGGAGAGATAGTAGAGGTGATTATCGTTATGGAAGAGGAAGAGGACAAGAGAATTAAGAAGGAGCAGCAGGCAAAACAAGGAATGGCAGAGAAGGCTAATGGACTAGGGATAGAGGAGTTTATCTAGGCTGGTGCGATATCGACGAGCGGTACTAGGGATGTTTATGGACGGGGTAGACGGGGAGAACTGTGAAATGTTCGGCGCGGTAGCGTACGATCGGCGTGAAGCCCGGGCGGAGTTGGAGGAATAGGTGTGGGAGGATGAGACGTCGTACGAGGAGGTGTCGGATGAGGAAACGACAGACGCCGAGATGTAGGTAGAAGACTCAGCAAGCTCATTTTACGAGCTTAAAAGGGAGGACAGAGACGGCAAAACGGGCTACAACGGTAGCTGGAAGAGGTAGAAGAAGGGTAATACGCCATGCGCGGAGGTAATAAATCCGTGTCCTCGGGCGTCCGGCCCGTGAGCGGCGCGTACCTCGATGGCGTTCCCTGCGAAGCCGACCCGCCCCGGGCTCTGACGGTTGAGGAAATCCACAATCTGACTGCCGAGTGGAGCGCCGCTGCGAAGCGCGCCGTCACCGAGGCTGGGTTCGATGGTATCGAGATCCACGGCGCCAATGGCTATCTGCTCGAGCAGTTTCTGCATGACAACATTAACACGCGGACCGACGAGTATGGCGGCAGCGTCGAGAACCGCTGCCGGTTCCCGCTCGAGGTGATCCGGGCCGTCACCGAAGCTATCGGCGCCGACCGCGTGGGCATCCGGCTGAGTCCCTACAACTACTTCCAGGACACTCGCGACAGCGATCCCAACACTCACTGGGCGTACTTGTGCCAGAAGATTGCAGAACTGCCGGCAAAGAGTCGGCCCGCCTATGTCCATATGTACGTACTAGCATGACAACCTGAGCGCCATGCCTTCACTGCCCATTCTGCAAAAGATCCCATCCGAAATGTCTGGTTCTAATACCAAAGCTTATGTGCAGGGTCGAGCCCCGCTTCGATGAGGTCCTGAGTGAGGAGCAGAAGCTCGCCTCACTCTCATCGACCAGGGTCGAGATCAAGAACAGCCTGACACCATTCCGCAACATCCTCAAGGCTGGCGGAGTCGCCTTCCTGGCCGCAGGCAACTTTGGGCGAGACAATGCCGTCGCCAAGCTCGAGGGGGGTCTCCCAGCCAGTTCCGGTAGTGCCAGCAGCGGCAGTGGTGACGACGAAGAGGTCCAGATTGCCGCGCCGCGGACGCTATCGTGTTTGGCCGGCATTTCATTGCCAACCCAGACTTTGTGGCGAGGCTGGAGAACGGCTGGCCGCTCAACAAGTACGACCGGTCGACTTTCTACGGCGCAAGCCCTCCCGAAAAAGGATATACTGATTATCCAACTTTTGCTAAATAGTCAACGGGATGGCGATGGCGGCATCAAATTATATATATATAAGCTTTTAGAAATGATCAAACTCTTGTCTTATTTGTGCCAAGAAAGGAGGTTCTCGGGAGGCATGCTCTGCGCATCGCTCTGTGCGTGAATATGGGATGCTCAACCAGCTGTATTCCATGTGTGACCCGCTTGTCAGACAACTGCCAGGGAATTTAGTTGTTTACAGTGTCGATCAATTGAGCCCAAATTTGCTACACAAACGAATAACCCACCCTCCTTACACTGAACTGTAGGCTTTGTTGCTGCCGGGTATATTTTATCTACCAGTACTAGAAACAGCCCAAACCCAATCATTCTGCTAGTTCCTTGGAACCAGCGCTCGCGTTCAATCATTTACAAGTTGGGCGTTCGTCAAATGATGTCTGTATTCTGCTGTGTCTATGTCTATGGACTTACCCGAACATGAAGTTAATTACATCAAATCCGGGGTGTTGGAGCCGGCGTCGCCGTGGCATGATACCGATCAAAGCCAACCTCGACATCGTCAAACATGTCATACGTCAATAGCCACCGGCCAATGCCGTGATACCTCCAAGGCAGCGGGTCCTTGCCAGTCTCTGCGGACTTTGGTAGCGTGGGCCCGTCGGTCCGAGCACTCTTGCCCTCTGCGAACCACTGTGCGTCCCAGCGCTAATACTCGGCAAAACGCGCGTCCCGCTCGACCTGCTCGGGCCCGTCATGCAGGTGAAACACGTGCTGGTTGTGCGAGCCGCGCTCCGGGACGTTCTGCGTGCGCTGGCGGCGGCGGGCCTCGTACACAGCCAGGGCAGCCCGCTTGGAAGCCCGGCTCTTGTCGCAGATGCGCGCGAGGCACAGGCCCAGTACGCCGCCGTCTTCGAGGGCCATGGCGGCGCCGCTCGCCAGGTACGGCAGCGTCGCGTGGACCGCATCACCCAACAGTGTCGCGCTGCCCGATGGGTGCGACCAGGACCGCGACGGGTTCGAGTCTGGCCGGATCGCGAGCCGCCACTTAAGGACCGAATCTGCGTCGCAGGTCGCCAGCAAGCGCGAGATGCGGGGGTCCCAGCCGTCAAAGAGAGCCCGCATCTCATCGGCTGTACCCGCGCCGGTGGCCAGGGTGTCTTCACTGCTAGTAGAGTCCTGGCCCTGGGCAGCAGGCAGTGGCATGTCATCGGGCACGAGGAGGACCATGTTGAGCTGGTGCCCGCCGCGCAGCACGTAGGTGACGGCGTGCTTGTCCGGCCCGACCCAGTATGTCACCTGTGGCTCTTCGACCATGTTGCGCAGCTCCGGGTCATCCATGATGTCCGGCTTGCGCGTGTCGAGCAGCAGCCGGTAGGCAATATCTCCCGTCAGGGTCGGGGGGTGGGTCCGGCCCACCAGCAGCTCGTCAATATTGGACTTGATGCCGTCGGCGCCTACAACGAGGTCGCCCGTGATTTGGCGACCGTCTGCAAGAGTGACGGTCGTTGTGCTCGTGCTAGCGTCCCCGTCTTCCTCGTTGACTGACAGACCAGTCGCGCGAGCCGAAGTCATCACATGCCCGCCAAGGTCAATGACTCTGTTGAGCAGGCACCGGTGCAAGTCCGCGCGATGAAGGTCCCAGAAGACCCCTCTGGCAGCCCGGCCGTATTCGTGGTAATTCATGGCCCCGAGCCTATTGCCGCGCCAGCCGACAAAGTGGCAGTATTTCGGCGTCGTCGCATAGGGCTCCAGGACGTCATGCAGGCCCCAGGAAAAAAGGACGCGTGCCGAGTTGGGAAGAACCTGGATGCCGGCGCCGATCTCACCAATCTTTGTGGCTGCCTCAAGCACCACGACCTCGTGGCCGGCGAGCAAGGCGCCAATCGCGGCCCCAAGGCCCCCCAAGCCGCCTCCCACAATGACAATCTGCAAAGCGTTAGTACTGGCAAGACGGCAGAGGCAAAGGCGTGACAGCATACCTTCAAACGGCTCGCATCATCCCTCTCGATCTTCCGCTGTAGCCTGTAGGGGCTACTACCGTTCTGTCTGTTATCTTGGTGGTGCTGAGACGACATTGTGAAAAACGATTTGGCTATACAAGGTGCAAACAGCTCGTAGAGCCCAGCAGATACCGGCAGACACCCTCGCCTATCTGTACTCCGCGTCTTTTGCGGTGTCGGCGAGCTGTCAACTCATGACTGTTTTTGTGGTCTATACAATAGCCCAGACTTAGCCATTACGTGGCGTGGCGATCATCGAAGGAGAGCAATCCCTGATTGCTTGGTCCAGCCTCGTCAAGCACACGCGGGATGCGCGACATCGGGGCTGTCATGGTGGCTTGATGGCTGGAATCTTGGCGTCCGTGGGGCATTCCTCGGTAGTCTGGACCCGGTATCAGTCTGCGTGCGTACCCTACCTCTCACCCTACCAGACTCCACCAGCCGGGCGATCCCCAATTCTTGGATATATCGGGCTGCAAAAACATCTGACATGCCACCCCACTCCTGACTATCAAGGATTAGATTCAGTTGCAGGCGTCCGGAGAGAGTGGGGATCTCTGCTGGCCTCCACACCACGCTGAGCACTTGGAGAACAGCAGCAAAGTCGGTTGGAGATAGTCGTCGGGCTGGATATGGTATCTTGCCAAGTTGAAGCAGTGGGAAGCCTCTGGTGCTTAGCATCCATCAAGCCCAGTGACGTAAAGGATTGTCTCTGTTACTGTTTGATCACCCAGACGAGGCTTCACCCAAGAGAGTGTTTTGGCGTACCACGAACCAAGTTACTAGCGCTTCCAAGCACCAGGAAAGACACAAAGACGAGGCAAAATGAGCAAAGTAAGGCAGCAAAAGCTCTTCTCAATTGCCATCGGTGCTGATAAACCACGAATATGCTAACAGTCTTCTTGCTCAGTTTTCTCTTACTGGCAAAGTAGTCGTCATCACTGGCGGGGCCCGGGGCTGCGGCATGGCCTTTGCCGAGGGCCTCGCTGAGGCTGGTGCCGACGTCGCCATCTTTGACGCGCTGATTGCCAGCGACTCTCCCTCATCCTGGGACCAGCAAAGCTCGCCGTTCTCACCTGGCGCCATCGCTGCACGATTCGACAAGGACTATGGCGTGCGCGCGCGGGCATACAACGTCGACGTGACGAGCCGCGCGTCACTCGAGGCTGGCTTCGCCGCTGTCGACGGAGACTTTGGCGGCAAGCTGGATGTCATGGTTGCGTGCGCGGGCGTCAACCGGAACGTCGAGTTCCTGGACACCACGGAGGACGAGTACGATCGGCTATTCAACGTCAACTGCAGAGGCGTCTACTTTGCAAGCCAGATAGCGGCCAAGGCCATGATCAAGGCCAAGTCTGCCGCGACGTTGACGACGACCACAGCGACAACAAATGACGGTGTCTCGGGCGGTAGCAGCGGCAGCATTATACTCGTGGCCAGCATCGCCTCGTACATTGCGATCCGTTCCCAGCGGTCCAGCGCATACTGCGGGACAAAGGGCGCCGTGCGGGCCATGGTTGCGCCCATGGCGGCCGAGCTCAACAAGCATGGCATCCGCGTCAACTCCATCAACCCAGGATACGTACGGACCGAGATGACAGCGCCATTCCCGGACCTCATTGACGGGTGGAAGGATAAAATCATGTCGAACAGGGTGGCGGACCCGGATGACATCAAGGGAGCGTGCGTCTTCTTGGCTAGCGATGCCAGCCGGTACGTTTATCTTATTGACTTTTGACCTAGTCGCCATCGTTTACTGGGCACAGCTAACCCTATCTCGGCATAGGTACTGCCAAGGCTCAGATATACTCGTCGACGGAGGAGTCACAAAGTGGTAAAGGCATATTAAGCAGCAACATGACGCGTATAGACTGGTGGCAGAAAGGACCGGAAGTCGTCTTAGATCTAGCCCATTGAAGATCTGAACAATTTTACGCTACTGTGTACACTTCCATTTGGTGTTTGACCCCTCCGCTCCGACTAATTGTCAGCAGTTCTATTGATGCCCGTACGACTAGCAGCGGTTTGAAAGCAAATGCATTGCGATATATGGCTCGACGAGATCAGACAGAAGACATGTAGCCTGCCTACTCCACTCTGACTCCATTCTCTTCCTTAACATCAACCATCATTCAGCAGGACCGCGAATACTAGAGGAACCACCGCCAACTCGGATCGTTGGCGCCGTCGGCCAGGTGCTGGGTGTTGACTTGCTCGGCCTTGAGCACGACGCCCTGCTCCTTGTCTCTGCGACGATTGTCGCGCCTCGGCCACAGCCCCATCCACAAAGTGAAGAAGATGCACACGACATTGCACCCGGCCGTGGCTGCCAGGGTAGGGATGTATCGCGGTGCGTAGGCAGTGCGGAAGGTCGTGGCTGAGAGGACGCCACCGAGATTGCCCAGGCCGACGAGCAGGCCTGTGGTTGCGGCGCGCGAGTTCTCGCTCAGGTTGTTGTTGTTGTGCCAGCTGTGCACGAGGCAGCTTGGGATGTATGCACCGCTGGTCAGGAGGAAGCATGCAAAGTAGCCCACGGCCACACGATGCGGGGCTTGGTCTGAGAGGCAGGCCAGGATGATGAAGCCCGTGAGACTCAGGGCGAGGCTGCCGACAATGTGGAACGTACGCTCGCGCTGGCGGTCCGAGCTGTACGTCACCGCCAGCAGCACGAGGAAGCCGCAGACGTTAGGCGGGAGCGTGAGCAGGTTGGTGATGACGGTGGAGTAGCCGAAGCGCTGAAGGATCAGGGGCAGGACGTTGGCTGTCGTGGCAAAGGCCACCGGATAGGTGAAGCTGATGATGCACCACAGGGTGAACTTCCAGTCTTTCCAGCTGCGGAAGGATTCTTTGAAATTGAATTCCTCGCCAACGGCGTTGGAGCCGTCACGTAGTGACCGAAGCCGTGCGACCTCACGCTCTTCTGGCTTGAGGAACCACGTCGTCTGCGGTGAGGCGGGCAGCCACCAGAACGCAACGACACCAAAGATGACGGTCAGTGCACCTTCGATGATAAACAGCCACCGCCATCCCTGCACATATGGGTGGGAGATCTGGAACACGCCGAAGGACAAGAGCCCAGAGAAGGCGCCAGCCAGCAGGGCACTGCCGAAAAAAGGCGATGCGGAAACCAAGCTCGCCCCGCGTGTAAAAGAGGGTCAGGTAGAAAATGGCGCCTGCAAAGAAGCCAGCCTCAAATGTGCTATTCCTGGTCAGTGTAATTTACGTCCCTACGCCTTGAAAGGGGCATTTGACCTACGCAAGGATCAGTCTGACAACTAGCAGTGGCGCGAAGCTCTTGCAGCCAGCTTGGATCAGCGACATTGCACCCCAGCCAGTCATCAAGGTTGGCAGCATAACCCGAGCCAAGAATCGCTTGGTGAGCAGGTTCAGAGGCAAGTCGAACAGACCGTTGGGGATATAGAAGAACAAGATGAGTATCGAGTATTGTTCACCCATAAATCCGAGGGCCGTGCCCATTCTGTCAGTCTGCGCATTACCAAGGTTTGTCTGGCAGTAGGCCGTGTGTGAGTGCAAGTCAATGTGTCGACAACGTGTCTAGTGCTGATCTTGGAGACGTACCCGGTCGATCGCGTTGAAAAAGTACATGATGGTCAGAAAAGGCAAAAGCCAGAGATCCATCTTCCGGACTGAAACAACACCCGTATATGTCAGCCCGGATTCGCTTTCCAGGACATGCAGAGATGCCTGTTTGCTTACCGTAGGATCTCTTGATCTCGGGAGAGAGGACATCGTAGCTTCTTTCGCCATAGTCGCCGTTATTGCTGGAATGCTGTGGTCGAGCATCGCCTACAGGGTTGACTGATTTACCCTCACACATCATGCTTCGTTTGTTTGCTTCAAGTTATATTGTGTGAGATTCTTCAAATCCAGCTTACTCGGAGACGTATATGATGCAAAGTCTTATTGCACTTCACAAAATTCATCTCTATATAATACCCGGTTTGTTTCGATAAGTACTCACCTATCACTAACACCTCCATGAGCCTGGTAAAATATTGCGAACACGATTGGCTGTGCTCCATGCACGGGTCTACCATACTTCCCGACAGACTGCTAGGCTATCATGATAGTCCTAGGTATGACTGCTGAATCGCGCGGAACAGCAGTCGGGGGTATGCTTCCGCTGTGCCGCGCAGCTGGTCGCAACCCTGATGCAGCCTCCCCTACGAGGTAGGCACTGCCCTTCTTCCCCACTCTGGACAGTGGGGGAATCCCATCGCGGAAGAAGTCTTGGTCAGCACCGGGAACGTGGTGACAAATTGCCCCCGGTTGTTGTGACGAACTGACTCTGGGCGTTGTGGCGGTTTTGAATGGTTAGGAAGCAAACTGTTCAGGTGCAGATCCAGAGCTGAGCCAGCAGCCGGCTGTGGTTGACTGATCTAAACCCCAGACATACAAACTTTGGCACAGAGGGAACGGGAATTTGATTTAATTCTTTTGCAACCAAGGAGCTAAGCTGTCCATTTCACGCCGAGGATGTCACCACGGGCACGGATTTGGCTGAAAGGGCTTCCTGCCCTGCCTCTGCCAGCCCCTGCTTGTACATTTGTGCGCGACCGTATGACTCGGCATATCCTGCCATGACGGCGCGCTCGACAGTGATTGGCGGGAACTTGGTCTCCTCTTCTGCAGCCTTGCACGTGAGAATGCAGTCCACAACGTAGTCAGGGTTGCCAGACACGAAGAACGGGATGGAGTAACGTTCGCGTCCAGACTTGTTGATCACGCGGTGGATATTGCTCTTGTACTTCTCGTTCGTCCAGCGCTGCATCAGATTCCCCAGAGTCACGACAAAGGCACCTCTGTTGGAACGACCTGTCGCAGAAGATCAGGTCAATCGATAAAACGCGTAGAGAGGGTAAATACATCCAGCACGTACATCGATCCACCCGCCTGAATTTGCGTCCCAGACCTGAAGTCCATCCACCTCATCCTGCAGCAGGATAGTGATGGCTCCGAAGTCTGTGTGCGCACCGATGCCTCTCGTGAGCTTGTCGTCGGCGTCCTTTGGCTGCGTGGGGTAGTGCAACAAGCGCATGGTAGCCACGGCACCGTCCATGAATTGCACAAAGTAGTCCTCGTCGAGGTCTAGAGACAGTGCGAGGACCTTCAGCAGGTCGGACGCCAGCTTGAGAACGGCGTGGTAGTACTCCATGGCCGTCTGGCTGAACTCCTGCGGTGACATGTCCTGCATATCCTGCGGCCACTGGTTCGGCCCGCTGTTGAGCTTTTTGTGGACGAAGTAAGGGTGGCTCTCTGGAATCTCGTCTCCAATGTAGAAGCCCTCCTTGAGCTCTGGGTTTGTGCCGGCCTCCAGAATCTGCGACCGCATCATCTCGTAGCCCCTGTTCCACGTGTTGTTCTCCTTGCGGACCTTGTCCTTGCTCTCCTGGGGCAGGTCAAAGAACTTCTTGGCCAGGTTCATCGCGGTCCGGGATTGATCTGCCGTCACGCCATGGTTGATGACCTGGAAGAAGCCGTTGTAACTGCAGCTCTGCCGTACTTGGTCGACAATTTTCTGCTTTGCCGCCGGGTCTTGCGAGTAGAAGCCTGGACATGGGTGTTAGTTCTGTGTCTTAACGCTATCAAAAGAAAGGAAGAGGGCATGCCAGAAAAGTCGATGAGACTGATTTGCGGTGCCATTTTGTTGATCCCCCAGTGAACTATTCTCAAAAATGTAATGATTTTGTTCGTAAATGACTTGCGACTCTGGCAGCAGTGATGATGTTGCATCTCAAGATGGCACGTTCGCACGCGATTCTGACTGACAACTCTGATTTAAGCTCGGACTTCCCTGGGGACTCGGCACCCGAGCTGGTCCTCCCACGATAACCTTGGCGACGCGGGGTGCCGTGCCTAGTTCCACATCCCTGGTGTACCGAAGGCAAGAGAGTTCGGGGTGGCGCAATTGCGCTTCTCCAAAACCCTGATCATTGGGTATGGGGCCCCCATTGGCCTGTTCAAGAGTGGGAGACCACCATCTCAAGAGTGGGGGACTGGGCCGACTTTGAATCCCGCTTCGTCCCCTTACGCTTTAGCCTCTCCACAGAGGATTCGTCAGGGCTACATCGCGATAAGCCTCCCCAACGACATCGGGAGGGGTCAAGACAGCAAATCGGCCGCCGGCCATCGGGTCAATAGAGTATTGTGCTGCTGACAATCATGAAGTGGATGGATCCAAGTCAAGCACACTCGCTCTGCCTCTCGACATTGAGAACTTATGAGCGACAACGTCGTACGCCTCAACACCACACAGACACAGGAGATCATGCTACGATACTTTGGTTTCGGCTCGGGCACCTCGGCGGCAGCGCCGTCAGCTGCCCTGAACCTGCCGGCGTCGTGGTACAGGAGCCCGGCCATGTACGAGCTTGAGCGCCGCGCCGTATTCTCGCAGCGCTGGATCCTCATCACGCACCAGCACAGATTCTCCAAGGCCGGCGATTTTCACACCTCCACGCACGCCGGCTTCTCCTTTTTCCTCGTACTGGACCGTGAGGGGAATATCAATGGCTTCCACAACATGTGCAGGCATCGCGCATACCCAATATTCGAGAAGAAGTCGGGCACGGCCAGCATCCTGAGCTGCAAGTACCACGGCTGGTCCTACGGACTGAAAGGCAACTTGGCTAAGGCGCCGCGGTTCGACACGGTCGAGGGTTTCGACAAGTCAAAGAACGGTATGCCGTCTGCTGCCCAAGAGAATGTGGAGGAGTATGGGCGAGCTCCAGACTAACCCCAAGTGCCAACCACGTAGACCTCTTGCCCATCCACGTCTACATCGACCCGTGCGGATTCATCTGGGTCAATCTCGAGGCTAGCAAGACACCCTCCATCAGCTGGGAAAAGGGGTTCGCCGGCTCCGTTGCCAAGATGCAAGGGTTCAACTTTGAGGACTACAGCTTCGACCACGCCTAGGATATGGATATTGCCGCCAACTGGAAGAGCCTGATCGACAACTCCAATGAGTGCTACCACTGCCCCACGTCGCAACCGCTCATCGCTGGGGTGTCAGACCTCACGCAGTCCAGCGTAGACCCCAACGCCAGCAGCCTCGAGCACACCATTGTCAACAAGCAAGGGTCCGACAAGGACCTCCAGCGCTCCATTCCCTTTTTTTACCCGAGCACCTCGGCCACCGTGACGTATGTTTTGCACTTCTCTTCTGATCGCACATTCAACCGCGTGCGCATGACAATTACTGACATTGGTGCGCACTTCGTCTATTGTGCAGGGACAACTTCTTCTACATCCAGCGAATGCTTCCCGTGACGGCAACCACGAGCCGAGTCGAGAACGAGGTGTTCAGGCACAAGAACGCCACCGACAAGCAGTTTGAGGATATCAACAAGTTCTACCACCAGGTCCTGAGCGAGGACAAGGACCTGTGCGACGGGGCGCAGAAGAATATGAACGCTGGGGTGCTTGTCGCGGGGGAGCTGCATCCGGAAAAGGAGAGAGGCCCGCTGTACTTTCAGCATGCTGTGCGCACCCAGATCATGGCGCACAGAAAGCTCGAGGAGGAGACGAACGGCGGGCGCGAGATCTGCCCGGCCGTCCCCAAGATGGACGGCACCAAGTCGTCTCTCGAGGAGAATGTGGACTTTTGCGCGAGTCTGGATGCCGCGGCGTGTAAAGCGGCGGATAGCCGACTAGTCTGGTGACCCCCACGGCCGGACGGGCGTGCGGGACACTTGAAAGAATAAATGAAATTGTAGAGGCGTGGCGCAGAACCAACATTGTAAATCAACTGAGCTCCCAATACTGCCGTCCTGTAGCAAGCGGCATGGAACCAAAGAGGACACATCGGCTCGACAGCAATCACGTGTCCCACTCCGGCCACTGTCGCCATAAAATGTAGTTGCCACTTCCGAAGGGAATGCTATACCCACAGCCTCGGCCCGATGGGATAAAGTGACGTTATAGGGGTTGGTGGCCGTGGTTGTGAATGGCAGAGTTACATGGGTCGCGCTTAAACCCGAACGCGGTGAGTGTCTAGTTATATGGAGCTAGTTAGCAGCCATCGCTCAGTTCTACTCGGCCAACTACGGCTGGCTGGAATGCCAAGATCGCAACAACTGGACACCTCAAGTGCCGCCTGCTTGATGCTGGGAGTTGCAATTCAGTGGCGATCTATCTACATAGCATTTCATCCGCAATTCATACTCTCAGATATGTGTTTTAAGAAATATGGTTGGACAAATTTGTGCACAACTCGTATCTGTACAGCACATTCCTTTTCATTAAAGCAAATACGTCTACACCGCCTTTGAGACCTCACCGTAGACATCTCTCATTAGTGAGGATATAACGCAAGCTCTGACATAGACGCGGATGTTCGTACAACGCGATAATGTCATTCGTCTAAAATCTTTAGGCGTGGAATGCAGTGCAAGAACGGTGCCCTAAACCGCTCGGCCAACAGACCAAAAGATTTAGCAGTACGCGGAATATATTAAATAGCAAGCTTAACTAGTACTACAGCTTAAAACGTATATACTTAGCCTTCAGGCTAGAATTTTAATAGTGTCTACTAAGGCTCTTAATTCCTTATTAGCACGCTACGCAGGGTCAGCACGGATCGCTCTAAGGCTTTTACTTTACTTACCTATCCTAGCGAGGCTACCTCGCCGGCGGTCGAGGGGAAACAAACCCCTTAGTTTTCACTGCGTTTAAATACGGGGTATAAAATTAAGGGCTACCGATGGTAGTTAAGGGGCTGGACGCTGTAAGAGCTGATTGCTCTCGCTATAGTAGAGTTTTTCGACAGCGAGTGGAACTTTATCGGTTCTAAGAGCGACCTCGTCCATGCCATTTCTGAAATGACCAACATAGACGAGGCCGTGCTCGAAGGCGCACAGTCTCTGGCATCGATTCCCGTGGGACGCAAGATATCCTGAGCAGCAAGCCGGCAGACTACGCGGGTAGAAGATCGCGTATACTCGCTCCTTGGGATCTTTGCCATCTCCATGCCATTACTTTATAGTGAAAGGATAAAGTCTTTCGAACGATTGCAGCAACAGGTTGCTAGTGAGAATAACGATCTCAGCCTGTTTGCATGGCAACATGAAACTGTGTCAGCGATAAGCACGGGCTCCGGACAGTGAAAGGATGACTGCCATGGCTTGGACAACAAGGACGCCAGAGAGGCGCAGGTGTCTGGGATATTCGCCGAGTCTCCAGCCGATTTTGAGCACTGCGCCTACCTGAATATGCACCCCAACCAGTCAACCAAAGAGTTCGCACTCACCAATGCCGGACTACACACTAGCACGACTGCTCTGTACAACAGTGCGACCAATGATAACGAGATTATTCTTGGTCTTGACTGCGTGGAGACGAGCAAATGGACACGGGACCAACCGCAGTATCTCAGTGTTAGACTAGTAATCTTGGTTAAAAAGGCCACTACGGTGTATATATATAATTACGCAACATTTAGGCGCAAAACATCGACTTGTCTCAACCCGAACTTTAGTAGCACGACGCCAATACATATCATCCCATTGTGACTAATTATTCATATCTGTAGCCGAGGGCCGCAGTATCCATGACATCTCTGATCTTGATGCTCTTACCAAAGAAGGGGTAGTCGAGGGGGGTGTCGAGGGTGACATTCTTGTAAGGGATGTCGCCGAAAAAGTTGAACGGGTAGGCAAAGTTGACGTCGGGGCCGCCGATGGCATTCTTTCTCTTGTTCCAGTCGGCGCGCTGCCACTTGTCCCAGGCCCAGTCGAGCGCGCCGTGGATCATGTAGAACAGCGGATCCGCGGGCGATGAATACATGTCCGAGGCGTCGCCAACCTGGCCGCCGATGCCCAGGTGCAGGCCAGCGTGAATGGTCAAGCCCGCGACGTCGAAGCTGCGGCCCTGGATGGCGACGCTGAACTCGTCATAGGTCTTGGCGTTCCACATGGTCTTGACGTTGGCCGGGCTGATGGTGAGCGAGACAAAGAGGGGATCGAAGTCCCGACGGACACAGTTGGGCGAAAAGCTCGTGTTCAGACCTGTCTTTCATGTCAGCGCACGCCCATGTGCGGGTCAAGAAACGAAAGTGGAGGGTGATGGACGGAAGCCTTACCGAGGCCCATGTTTCCGACGAGGCCGGCGAAGGGTCCCTTGTCTATGCATCCGCCTCCGGTTCTGCCCGGCATGATAGTCGGGGTCTTGACGGGGAATAGGACAGGATCGCTGATATCGGCGATGAACTCGCCGTTGCCTCCGAAGCCGTAAGTGTTGTCGAAGACGGGCGACTTGGGGAAGCCCGCCTGGGTGTTGTCCAAGGTAAAGTCCCAGTACGGGATGGCTCCCTTAAACCCGCACGTGTTCTTCAGATCCTGCTGCCAAAGCTGGAGCAACCAGCGATGCCAGGCCAAAAATTGTCCCTGAGGGACGGGTTAGTGTCCGTTCATCCCCACGCCAGGGGGCAGTGGTAGGCAAGTACGTACATTAAAGTGCACAAAGTCGGTCTGGATAATGTGCATAGCCAGGAAGTCATCGTAGCGGCTTCTCACCCCGTCGTAGGCGCCACCGGTCTTGCCAGGCTTGGATTGCAGGCACTTGATGGCCTGGATGTAGGCCAGGCGGTCCGACTTAGGAAGCTTGCGCCTGTCGACGGTTAGCTGTGCGTCCTGCAAGGCACTCCCCGCATGGCCATGTGGTCACATGCAGCAAGCCCCCATGCCATGCCGGGAGAGCAAGGAGAGAAAAACAAGGCATAGTAACACTCACCACTCCTTCCTGACGAGCAAGCCACCGCTAGTTGAAGCAGAATCAGATGTAACGCTGTCGACGGCCTGCGGCGCGGCACTGACGCAGGGCAAGGCGATCGCCGTGGTCAGCAGCAGCAGGGTCGATTGGAGCGAAAGGAAGTGCATATTGATGGGTCTGTGACGGTCCTTGTGGCTGGGGAAAGGTTTCACCGGGGGGCTTTGACAATCGGCTGAACCCTGAGCTGCAGAAAGAGAACGGAAGTCGGGCGGGGGACTGCAGTTGTAGATCCCGATGTTTCTGATTGAGAACGGGCACCTACAAATATATATAAGAAAAGGAGAGTCTCGCTCCCCGGCCTCCGCACCGATGCCGCATCAATCAATCATCTTAGTTTACATTTCTCAGGTGTCGGGTCATCGTCGACGGGCTACAATGGCATGATTCTATCGGTCGGCCGCCCCTCCTCCGCCCGGCTTTCTACTGCCAAGGCAAGGAGCTGATGCCCTCTGGACCAGCTAAGGGTCCCTCGTGTCCGCCACCATGTCCTGCATATCCTCCAGCTTAGCGGTCGGGATGCCCCGTCTGGTCCCACTTGGCTCAATGACTCGATTACTGTCGTTGCCATGTTGCCATGTCCAGCGGTGATGACTTCCCGAAGAGGCTTGCTGGCCGACATGGTCTTGCAAGGGGCAGACGCCGCTGAGGGGGCCCGGGCCACTAGTCGCTTGCGGTCGCTTGGAGTCTGACGCTATTGCAGCATCTAGAACTCCGGGTAATTACCATATCCTTGCGGACGGTAGGAACTATACACCCTTGTAGGTGCCCCGCTGTTCAGATGTCTCCTCTAGTTGTTACCCTAGTTCATAGATATTATAGCGGGCAGCCCTCAATATCTATTTTGACACACTTATGCAATTTGGCACACATACCAAAGCCCTCTCAGCTACCTTATAACTGCTCTGCTAATAAGACAAGACGTACCTGGTGGTTAACTGGTAACTATAAGTTGAGCAAAGCTATTCCACGTGAAGGACTAGTGCAATTATACGTTACTTCCTAATATCTGCGTACACGTCATCCCTGCAAATCTCAGCCGAGAGAAAAGTACTGTTAAAACGCGAACTCAATCGGTGAATTGCCACATTGACACAGGGTTGTGGTGTCGACACCGCCCCTGGAGGGATAGCTGGGGCGCATTGATTCAGCCCATGGAGCATACCCACCCCAGACCGCGTGGCACCAAGGATAAACAGGTAACTCGACGGTGCCAGTCCAGGACCATGATGAGGAACCAACCCTGTTCGTATGGGGTGGCCAAATTATTACGCAGCTGGTTTGAGCCCACATCTGCGAGCCAGCCTGACAACCTCATCTTGTTTGCCAACTGTACGTTACCGGCGCAGGGCAAAACAAACGCCTATTAATTGCAGCGATGGTAATAGCAGACGGTTTCGATAGATGATAGGACCTCGAACGATGGAACGGCCTGCAGATTTTCGAAGCGCGAGACGAAAAGGGCAAGCATAAGCCCGAACCCTGCGGCTCGGGAGGTTTCTTCACCTGACCCAGGTGCTGCAACCACATAATTAGCCCCTTGTTTGGGGCTGAGAAGTACCCCCGACAGGCGGGCGTGACCCTGCGTTTTCTATGTCATGATCTGCAAGGGCCGCCCGCTGCAGGAAGGCGCCCATGTGTAGGGAAGCCCGTTAAAAAAAAGTCTTAGTTCAGGCCTTAGTACAAGGGTCCCCTGCAGGTCGCCGTCGCCAATGCTGCCACTGGAAGTGAGGTTATCTTTAACCACGTTGTAGGCTATCCCAGCCCAACTCTGTCGGCGTCTACGTCGCCCGAGGTTGTTGTCGGACTCGCTATAGGACTCTCTCCTAAGTATTATCCCTACCCTTAGGTCTAATCCGCCGTCCTTCCTTGTACTCATTACCGCCTTCAAGCCTTATTATCTCTTGAATATAGTAAGGAATTCGCTCTGTGTCGGCCTGGATCTTCCTCTACGGTAAGAACGTCGTATAGGCATTGACGGGGCTATCTTATTAAAGTTGGAACTCACAGCTAAAACACATGCTAGGTGACACGGCTGGCACCCTGATCCAGCAAGGGGCCCCTGCGGACCAAGACCTTTCTGACACAGCTCTGTAATCTTTGAGGCAAAGATCCGCAAAACTGCAGGCACCTTGATTTGAAATCCCTGCGCAAGTCGGCATGGCACCCTTCCTACTCGCCAATCCGCGCCTTCCCTAGTGGGCTAGTTCCGGCGAACTCCTGAATTGACAAGCCACAATCCAACCTGGCATAGCATGGCTTCTCCAGCTGGGCGCCGGGTCGGGCCACTATTCCCCATCCCCCAGTCTTCTGCGAGAAAGGTATGTCCGGAAAGCTCCCCCGATCCCGTCGTCCCGGGGGTTCTTGGATTGCCTGCTGCCTTTGGTAGGTTCTCCAAGCTTAACTCGTATGGTCTGCGGTGCCGGCATGCAACCCGGATGCCAAACCGGTTCCTGATGCGACAGGGAGACGGGGAGGAGGGGACTTGGCCCTTAGCCCGGCTGCAACCCCAAACCCCTGGCCAAGTCTGCATCTCGCCCTCACGTTTTGCAACTTCTGCATGGCAGCACGCACCCAGGTCAAGGATGAGCTGATGCCAATTGTGTGGGTACGGATACATAACTAGTGATCGTCGCTCACGGTCCCGGACTGCGAGACAAGCTCAGATCGACAACCATCTATCGCGCTCCCGCTGGGTCCTCTTGGGTCCATTTCTTTGAGTCCGCAGCCAGACTTCCCGGACCAGACAAAATGTCGAGCCCGGATGGGATCCCGGATCCCAGCACACTAGGCCACTTCTCGACATCCCCCGACTACAAAGGCTACGAGGTCCTCGGGCTCAACGTCGCCCTCATAGTATGTACGACACTGGTCGTTGGCACGCGGCTGTACGTGCGAGCCTTCATGGTCAAGGTGCCCGGCCTGGACGACCTGTTCGCCTTCCTGTCCTGGGGATGTGTGGTGGCCCTGTCTGCGTCAGAGATCAAATGTAAGGTGCATCCTGCGGCCCAAAGGCGGCGCAATGAGAACAAGAGAGAGAGACAAAGGCAGGGAAACGCTGACATGAGATCGTAGCTGTGGAGTATGGCAGCGGTGCGCACGTCTGGTTGGTTCCGCCAGAGCTCATAGCGAAATTTTTCGAGGTACCATATCCAGCGGCAACACTCCCCCCTCTGACGAGGAAAAAAGGTGCTAACGAACCACAATCAGTCGCTCGTAAACAACACCCTGATTTACTTCATTGGCACCGGATTGATGCGACTGTCCATCATCGCATTTTTGCCCCGCCTGAGCACTGAAGGTAAGGAAACACTGCCGGCATCGCATCCTTTGATGACCCAACGCTGAGAATGTCTGCCAGTGTTATACACCCGCATCGGCTATGGAGTCGGCCTCCTGATCATCGCGCAAACCCTCGGATGCTTCTTCTACAGGCTCACGGAGTGCAAACCGATCAAGGACATCTGGCTGGTCCCGACGACGCCCGGATTGAACTGCGTCACGCCGCAGGAGGAGAACACCATGATGGTGGCCCACCAGGCCATCGGCATCATTATCGACATCGCCCTGCTCGCACTCCCGATCTGTATCATCTGGAAGAAAATGCTACACTCGAACAAGAAGATCCAGGTGGTCTTGATCTTTAGCATTGGCATCTTCGTCGTCGTGACTGGAATTGTCCGCATCATCATGCTGAAGACGCTGCTCTTCCTCGAAGACCCGTACGTCCTAAACACCCTCTCGCTCCTGTCCCACTTGAGTGTGACCACAATTCTGATCGCTCCCTCCCAGAACCTACAACATGTCAACCATCGGCCCCTGGACCGATCTGGAGGGCCACATCGGCCTCTGGTGCGCGTCCTTCCCCGCCCTGCATCCCATCCTCCGCCTCGTCTCGTACAAGCTCGGCCTGCGGAGCAACCCACTGAGCTCGAAGAAGACCCTCAGCAAGACCCCGAATACGAGAGACACCCGGCAGCAGGCCACGTACCGGAAAAGCAAGGGGGGATATATCCAGAGCGGGTATGGCATCGATGCCGACGACGGCAGCGAGCGCGGGATCGTGGCGGTGAGCGCCAAGGGCATGGAGATGGATAACCTGGACATCGGTACCGACAAAATTTACAAGCATACAGGATTCCACATGCAAGTCGACAAGGTTATACCGGCTTAGAGCTGGTGCTTTCAATAGGCGCAGAATTTGAACTTGGCGCGGATACCTAGTACTGAATGATATAATATACCAATGAGTTACTCAATTACTCCCGGCCAAATAGAATAACTACCGTGTAACGTTAGATACCAATGTTTATAGTAGTAAGGAGACCTACTACTGAGTTCAATAATTTTCGTACTACGGCTAAAATTTTAGAATGAATATATTGGCTAGCCCTATTACAACGACCCTACTGTCTTATTCCAGGGCGGTTTTAAGTGAAAATCAAGGGGCCCGGGCGCTGCACATCGCCAACGGCATCCCTGCATACCATGAAGTCTCGCTCATTCTCTCCCCACACATGTCATGTCCTACGAAAGGTCTATGCACGTAGCAGGTCCGTCTCATTCTAGTCCCTTTTCTAGCGGGTTTACTCAATACCCTTTACCCCAGATTTCCTCTCTACCCCCATATTTTCCACTCAAGGTAATAACCCGAGGAACCCACAAAACCGATAGCAGCCGGACAGCCTACAGTAGAACGATACGCAACTAGTTACTGTGTACATCCAAGAGTTCGTGTCTGTTGCACAGATAAAGGTCATACCGAGCAAATCCCATTACATTATCACGATCCGACCTCCGGGGTCACCCATCTAGTCGGGGTTTCATAGGTTGCTGTTCTGTACAGTAGGTAAGGTTTGTTCAATCTCACAACGTATCAAATGTTATTCTCTCTCTAGGGCTGCGATGTCTCCTTGAAGAGATATCAATCTCGTCAGTGACGTGACTGGTTCAAGTGATGGTAAGAATGATACTTAGATTGATCGTTGAAGTATAAAGGTAATGACTGTCAGTCTCGGAAGTTCTTCACAATATATATGCCCTTGCCTTCACCGTGCCTGTCATGCCTCTTTGCAGTCATGACGTTTCGGGTGACGGTCATGTCCCCCGAGGTGGCCGTCAGTCTTCGTGGGGTGACGGTCATGCATAACTCCATGACCGTCGTTCCTGTAACTGGAACCCTTATCGCTACCGTGTGCTTACATAAGAAACCCGTGACGGTGTTGTCGCGTGATCTGCCCTTGTCCTTGGCCCGATCCTGCCAGCCTACCTGTTTGTATTTCCTTTGCCCAAACCGTCGTCCCCTGTTGGTTCGCTCCTGTCACAGACATGCCGTTCGAATCCTGTTGTTCTTTGTCTTGTAACCAGATAGAAGTGTATGCGAACGTCTCGCTCAGTGTTACTGTTTCTGTAACATATTTATAGACCGATCGAGGTTGGCATGAGCCTCACATCATGAGTTGGTTGGTATAATCTGATGATGCAGAAATTTTTATTGCGACGGAAAAATCAGTCCCAGTCCAAGTCCAAGAGCGACTTGTGGGCGAATTTGTGGTTGCATGCATGCGTGCAGGCATGATAGGCGTTGTTGCATCCAGAAATATGTCCGGCGCCGAGCGCCTTTCTAATTGCCAAACATCCGGTACAAACCGCTACACATCCGGCAGTACAGGTTATGACACTACCAGTGCCAGCAGTGACGATGGGACTAAGCAGGGGAAGGATGACAAGCAATGCCGACGTAAACCTCATTTCGTGTGCCGCTGGGTGTTTATAGATGGTGTCTAAATCATAAATGAGATGCGGAGCTTCTGGTATTTGTATTGTGGAATGTTTTCACTCACATATAAGCGTTAGAAGCCGTGAAATCCGCAGTCTGCTGAGGAGAAAGTGTTCTGATATCATTAGCATCAGAGCCCTACTTATAATTGAAACAGCTGAAGTCGAAAGCCGCGCATCTAGACCTGTCTGAACACTCCGTGTGTGCCAGCGCAAAAGCACCACAGCTCAGCTGAACCACCTTCGCAAGCTGTAATGCGGCATACCGTGCACAGCTGAATGCGCCCTCTTGCGCTAAGGGATTGCAAGTACTCTTCTTGTTGGTCGTGTCGAGCATGTAGATGGCCAGAGTAAAAGTGCTATAGCTCAGCTGAACCGCCTTCGGCAAGCTGTGATACGGCAGACACATATGTCGGTGATGTCAGGTCTTCTGACCCAAAAGGTAGCAAGCGAGGCAGGAGATCAGTGCTGTCTCTTCTCTGGTCGCCCAGCTTCTGTAGCAGCATATCAGACTGCTGCTTGGCGAGCTTCTGAAGTTGCTCCACAGGGTCATTGTGACAACGCAGAACATTAGTCAGGTCGCAAAGGCTACCGGACACCTATACGCAGGGAACACCACGCCGGTCCGTGTGGGGAGTCCTCGATGGCGAGCTTGATACGGACTTTCCAGGCATCTGGAGCAAGACGGTTGTGCACTCGCACGAGCACGGCACGGTCCTCATAATCCCCCGCGAGCGAAACATGACACGGTTCTACATTGAGATGAAGGAGTCCGACACCTCGTGCGGGCTCCTCCTGGACCAGATTATGCAGCAGGCCCGCCTCATTCTCGCGCCCTACCGCCTCGAGTGGACATCTGTCGACTGGTTCGGCAACTAACAGGTCGCGCAACGCGTGACCGCCCGCTTCTCGGACCCGGCAGAGCGCGCATTCATCGGAGGCGACGCTAGCCACACCCACTGCCCAAAGGCCGCCCAGGGCATGAACACGAGCGTCCACGACTCGTGGAACCTGGCGTGGAAGCTTAACCTCGCCGTCCGCGGGCTGGCGCGTCCAGGCGTCCTGCTGTCCACGTACGAGCTGGAGCGCAAGAAGATTGCGTTCGACCTCATCGACTTTGACTACGAGCACGCCACCAGCATCGCCGCCGGGGACGCCGAGACACTCGCGGCCAGCTTCCGCACCAATGTCCGCTTCATTGCAGGCGTAGGAGTCGAGTATGGCGCCAATAGCATCAATCAGACCGGCGTCGCAACGGAGCAAGGCACGGGCACTTTGTTGGCTTTGGCCAAGCCCGGTTGCACACTGCCTCCGGCAAAGGCCACCCGTTACATAGACGCCAACCCGGTAGACTTGCAGCTCGAAATCCCCGTGCTCGGTCAATTCCGCATCTACCTGCTGGTGCCAGACCTGACTGGCAGTACGGAGGCTGGTTTCCTCAGAGACCTTGACCAAAGTGTCAGGGACCCTGCCTCCTTCTGGTCCAGAGTTTCAACGACTGCCGCCACGTCTTATGCTAGCAAACCGAGACCAAGTCGCCCAAAGGACCAACACATCTTACCTGAGCGATACACAGCCGTAAGCGAGCTATTCACATTTGCACTTATAAGTAAGTCCCCATCCTCTCCGTTGCATCATTGCATCCGTGACCATACCTGAGCACTTCTCCTCCAGCATCAACCGACAAGAATGACTTCGAGCTTGCAAGCCTGCCGAGCACTTTCGCCCACAGCAAGTGGACTGTATACCTCGACGATGCGTGCAGTCTCGATACTCGAGGACTCAGCTGCTCCGAAAAATGGTTCGGAAGCGCCAGGGAGAGCAAGGATATTGTGGTTCTCAAATGTGCGTCCCGATGGATATCTAGGGTCGGTCAAGAGATGGCAGCCATCTTCTCAGGTCGGCGCGGGCATCGCGGCAGTGCAGTGTTTGGACCAGTACTACGAGAGTTTCCTGCAAGCAGGGCCATAGAATATGGCCAAGTAGAGTCTCTATTCTCAGAAAGTTCACGTGTGTCCGAACAGTCAGTTGAGCAGAGAGCAATATTGGAGCGATGCCAATTCAGTGTAGATTCCAACCCTAATTGTAATCTGTGACTAGACAGAGCCCATGTCTGACTTCCCCCCGCATCGCGGTACCAATGCTGTGGCTTGCAGCACAAGTTCCCAAGGCGAAGGAAGGATTCGCTGCTAGTGTCTCCCGTACATGGCCTTGCGATATGATGCCACCCCCAAGAAATTCGCCGCCTCACCATGATCATCGCAAGAAGATACTAGGAGGCCCGCAGGACTTGGAAAGCTGTTTGGTGATTATGATGCTCGTATCAGTGGAGTGTGTATCAAGTATTGTGGCTATTTTACCCCGGGGCCGTCACCGCCCTACTACAAGCCATGCCTCAAGAGTCGTATAGAACAGTAACCCCAGCGCCCTGCTAGACGGTTAGCCCCGGAGGCAGGATCGTGATACCTCCTTACAAAAAGCCTTGATATTCTGGGAGGGTACTAAGTTTTCTACATATGGAAGTTATTAAGCTTTAAAAATCCTTATATAAGCAGGGATAAGAAGTGTCTCACTTACTTAGGTATTTCAGAAACTTGTGGATTACGTTATGATAGATATATTCATTATTATCTGTACAATCCGATGAGCAAGGAACCGGACATGATACAGTTCGGAAGGTCTAACCCAGTCTCTCGCGCCCAGACTCTCGCGCCCAGACTCTCGCGATAAGCAGAGCGCTCGGAGCGTACGGTCGAACAATAATTGTTCTTGGCGGCATGTTCAAGAAACCTACTTGCTGCAGCCCGGCGCATTAGCTGGCTATCCGGCAAGCCTCAGTGGCCACTGATTGAGCACCACAGGTCAGCGGAAGCCAGTAGTAGATTGCTGTCCAGAACTGCATGAAAACAAGCTAGTGCCCTGATGTCCACCCCCCTCAGCCTTACACGGACCAGGGCTGCTGCACCTCGGGTCGAGGTCGCACTGGACTCTTGAACAAGCGGGCAAATGCAGGTCGACCCCACCCAAGATAAGCGTGATTCACCTCCGTGCGGCTGGATCTTGCTGTCTGGTCCTGCCTAGATCTGGAAATGCCCAGAAGAGGACTAGTTGCAAAATCTTCGGCTGTCTGGTGTTGCTGATTGGGCCACGGAAGGCAGTTGCCAAGACTCAGCCCTCTGCGCGAAATGGCCACAAGTCCGATCGAGCATATTTTGCGGTGAGATAAGGCTGGTGACAACAACGAGAGACACTTTAAAGGGGGCATGCCACTGCTCGACGTAAGCAACTGCGATGTCTTCCTTTCTGATCCGCGGCTGGACTTGTCCGAAAGATCTCTCTTCGTTGTGCCAATACTGGCCAGACATCACGACACCACTTGTGCGAGAGCGACAGAGACAAGGACAGCAAGGGCCTTGTCACAACAGCATCAACGCCGTCATCACTTACCACGGACATCCCAGCAGCTCGATCACTCAATAATCCACAACAACAATGTCACGACAGCCACAACATGGAGCTCCGACGTCGTCGTCCCTTGGTCTCCTTCTCGCGGCCGTCCTGTACGCCCACCTCGCTTCCGCCGCGTCCATCACCAACGGGCCCCTCGCTCCCGTGACGGTGGCCGTATCCAACATGGCATACTCGACAGCACGCGAGTGCGCCAGGTACTGCCTCGAGTACGGAGGAATCTGGCACTGCGGCTACAACGCGGGCTACTACGGCCTGGGGTCGGGCCTGGGCTGCGGATGCGCCTCGACCAACGGGTGTTTCTGCAATGCCGCCTATGCCACCTCGGCGACGAGCTACTTGTCCTCGTGCATTAGCGCCGGATGCGGGAGGGTCGTCGGGACGGGGTGGACGAGCGAGCTGAATGCTATGCTGGGCATATACGACGCGTACTGCAGCACGGCCAATGTCGAGCAAGAGGTGGTTAGTTGGACGCCGACGGCCACTGCGACTGGTGCTGGTGCTGGTGGTGCAAATGGTGGAAGTGCTACCACGGCGGCGGTGACGGGGACTAGGCCGACTAACACTGCTGCGTCGGCGACGTCGAATCCGTCAACCGGGGAGACTGGAAATAATGGGAATGGGGACAAGGGTAGTGGGCTCAGCCAGTCTGACATTGTCGCCCTCGCGGCCAGTCTCGGCGTCGGGATCCCGAGTCTCCTCATCGCCGGCATCACCCTGTGCGTTCAGCTGCGAAAGAAGAAGAGACGGGCCGGAGAACGCGAATCAGCGATGGTCACTGGTGGGTATGGCTATGATGGCAGCTCGTTCGAGACGACTACCGTGGGTCATGTTGGCGTGCAGCAGGTGAGGAAGTGACGTTGTAGTGTCGTAGCGGTCGAGCGCCATGAGGCGGATGGGGGTTTATCCCACTGGCGTATACCATTCTTGAGTCAGGCCATGGAAAGGTGCCCAACGAGAGAGACCCTGAGTGGCTTCGATGTCGTTGCAAACCCTTAGTGAAGGAAAACAAGCATCAGGAAATGCTGGCAATGAACTTATCGTTTGTACGTATACGCTTCGTTAGAGTAGCGCGGGCGCGTCTATAGCGACGCTTCTTATCCGGAGGTCGTCGTATAAGTCGGCCTGAGTATCCGGGGTAACCAGTCTAGATATCTAACTACTACCTAGCTTATCTTATAGTACACTATTCTTATAAATAGCGCAGTTCGACTAACTATATAGTACTAAAAGTTACTCTTCCACCTTTTAAGCGCTGCTTCCGCCTTTCTATCAATCTCCCTTAAATATGCTTCCTTATCTAACTTTCTGCTCTCAAGGTCCTTAACGGATTCTTCGACTACCGCTGACCTTTTATCGAAGGTCTCCTTCTTCTCCTCCTGGAGTTCTTTTCTCTGCATCTTCAGGCGCTCGCTTTGCTCAATTCGGTCCTTGCTATACTGTGCCTCAAAATCAGCCAGTTCCTGAGCTGCATTCTTCTGCGCCTGTGCAAGGTCTCTCTGCAGATCCTCTTGTTCCTTCTCCGCTTCCGTGCTAATGAGGTATTGGAAAGCGATTTCCTCGCGCCAGAGCGCAGGGGGTCCCTCTGGCGACTGGAACGAGCTGGTGACATGGACCGCGTAGAAGTCGCGGACCAGAGCGATGATCTCTTCCATTGTAACCGTTGTGCCAAGCTTGACGTCATTGTTGAGGCCATCGGCCACGTCGTCCTGGATATCTGTGATTATCGCGTTGAGGCTCTCCTCGACCATAGTCTGTAGGCCCACGGCGCTGCGGACCGCTACCTCGACGGCCTTGGGGTTGCTCGCTGCTCGCTAGGAAGCCGGCGGATGACTTCATTGACCGCGCTCTGGTACTCATTCTTGGTTGTGACCCACAACCCCGATCTCAGGTGCGTTGCCATCTTGGCCTCGATACGTCTGGTTAGCTACTCGCGCCACTTGGGGTCTAGGTCCGAGAGCATGGGCTCCACGCCGCGCCGCACGACGTTCGGGCCGCCGACGACGTCGACCACGCCCAGCTTTAGTTCTTGGTCGTTGGTGGCGAGGTCTCTGCCGCCGCCCTGCCACGGCGACCCCTTGTCGACGACTGTGTCACTATCGGGCTTGAACTTCGCGTACACCTCGGCAAGATCCAGCGGGCGGCCGCCCGTGATCTGCTTGGCAAGCTTCCTGGCAATCTCGACCTCGGAGACCTTCGGATGATAGTGGGCGTGTCTTTGGCCGGGTTCTGCGCCTCGGTCCGGGCCACGTCGAGGTTCTCCTTCGCGGGGTTTCTCTCGGCCTCGCCGCGCAGCTGCAGGTAGGCTAGCAGGGCGTGGTTGAACTTACCCGCCTTCTGTCCGAGGCAGTACAGCACGTCGTACGCGAACAGCATCTTCTCAAGCCTCTCGGGGCCGAGCTATTCGAGAAACTCGTCGACGCTCTCGAAGCCGAGCTCGTCGGCGATGAAGCTGACGACGCCGGGGATGGCGGTCACCGACCACATGGCCACGCCGGTGATATTGTTCGCGGTGCTGAAGCCGCGCGGCGCGGGCGACGAGCCGATACCCGAAACCGAGTGCGCGATCCCATCGCCAGCCTGATGGAGGCTGTGGAAGGCGAGGCCTAGGTCGAGTGGCTGCTTCTCGGACACGGTTTGCAAGATCAGCGTTTGGGCGCCGCCGTCCACGATGTGCCCTCGGACAATCACCATGTCGGACATGATGGCGGCCACTGTCCCCGGAGGAAGCGGAGAGCCGTTTTTGCACTGCCGATGCAGAAAGTTGGCGCCGTCGGCGAGGGCTTTCTTGACCTTGTCGGTCTGGTATAGTTCCTGTAGCTCTTTGGTGTCCTTAGCGGCCTTGAGACCCGCGATGATCTCACCGTGGACGTTCTCGAGCAGCATGCCGTTGAAGCCGGGGAGGTTGTTGAGATAGTGGAACCCAAGAGAAGGCTTTTGAAGGGCCTTCTTGGGGTCGAAGCTGGGGTCCGACGGCAGGTCTCTGCTGTACTGGTAGAAGCGGCTGTCGCCGTTAACGAAACCCGCGTACCATGCACCGCCCTTTCGGTCGTCTGGCTGACCCTCCGCGGGCGCGTACTTATTGGGTAGTTGGATCGTCTCTTGCAAGATGGCGTTGAAATCCCGCCCGCCGATCGTGCCGGCTTGAACATGTTGTTGCATCTCCTTGGTCAACTTGCTCCAAATCGGCGTATACCTGCCCGGTGCCAAGTCCAAGACGGAGCCCGGCGCAGCCGTCAGACTGCACATCAGCGACAACGGCGCCTTCACCTTTCGTGGCCGCGACAAAAAGATGCACACGTTCGAGGTTCCTCCGGGGCTGAGGATGCCCTTCTCGCACAAAGAGATCGCCGCCGAGGGCGCAAAAGATGACGAGTTTGTGCCGCTGACGGAGCTTGTCAAGGGCGAAGACTTCGAGCTCGACTTCCTCGACGGGAAGCACGATCCGATCCCGATGAAATCGCCGCTCGGCTCGTGGACCATCGAGGTGCCTTCAGGTTATGACCTCTCCGCATGCCGCGAGATCCGCTTCGTCTTCCGCGTGCAGTACAGAGCGTGAAGGACAGGGGAAGTGTGGTTATTCCGTGGAAACTTAGTGCCGTCGGAGGGTACTGTAAAAACAATGCACCCTACCGTCTCATTCCACCCCGTCGTTAAGTCAATTTCAAGTGGTCCACATGCCCCACATATACAGTATCGACCGTACATACCGCGAGATCTTTCTCCTTCTCAAGTAGGATATGTTATATCCGACGGAAGGCCTATACACGTGATAGATCCGTCTCATTCCAGCCCCTTTTCTAGGCGGATATGGGTCCACTCTAAACCCCAGATTTACCCCAATTTTTCCCTAGATACGATCCACCGATAGTCCAGATAGCCGGTAGTTCGATAACGACCTATAGTACGACGATATAGAACCGATCGCAAATTAGACTAGCTACGATGCCGGGGGTAATAGTAGCCCCGACCAGGTCCTTACGTTCCCACAACTCTCTACCCATCTAGGATATTACGTCCTTATCTACTACAGGATCGAGTATCGACACGCTATCTTACTAGATAGAGCCCAAGTAGCTACATACCTCTAGAACAAGCACAGCGTTCCACTAGCCGACAGGTTAGGCCTCGTGGAGCATATACGCGATAACTACTCTTAACGCTTTCGCAAACCTACAGATGCAGCTCTGCCGCCGCCTTGGGCTTTCAAAGCCCATTATAATCCTCAGACCTATGATAGCTTCAGCTGCCGCAAGAGCGTCGTCTTCACGACTAACTTCCACGAGCTTATAAGGCATCTCTCTCATAACCACCTTCACGGGGAAACCTCGACCCGTGAGCGAATTAGCCTTCTCTACGACGACGTTTACCTACAGTCAATCCGGCATCTGGACCCTATATTGGAAGTCGGAGTTTAAGTCGTTTTCTCAACAGGTCGTGGAAAAGGGGGATCCAACTTGACGTACCTAAGCCCACTAGCCGAAAATCGAATCCATAATTTGTCTTACCGAGGCACATGCCAAGATGCGCCTCTCGGACACTATCTCAGGAGACGGGACTACGACCCCCACGGGACTGTGGGGTCCGACTCTAGGCAGCAGTATGGATCTTGCGCTATATAATAACATGGTGCCAAAAAGCATAGATGGCCGCCTGAGCTACTTCACTCCGCATAACTACCTACGACAATGGCGCGAGTCAACGTCTTTGCGCGGTGGAGACCGCTCTCCGGATCCGAAGCTGGGCGCGGAGAGATCGGCCGCGAAGCGCACCAGCATACCGGGTCACTACTCTCCGTCTCAGTCAACCAGCAACCCTTGACTAAAGGGTCTCCTTGGACAAGTCCGGCTGCGTTCAACAACATCTTCGAACCGGAGGACGATAACTATGCCGTATATACGGCTGTTGTGGCGCCTCATATTCCCAGGGTCTTACGTGGCGAGAATTGCACATTCTTTGCATATGGGCATTCTGGCAGCGGGAAGACGCATACAATCCTTGGCTACGAGTTTGAAGACCCGAGACAGCTCGGAATGTGCTTAGGTGCGGCCAGGCAGATTTTTGACGGACTGCAGTCCCTGGATCGGGAATTCATGGGGCAGACACTGGGCATCGGCTTCAGCTTGTTTGAGCTGCGTAGGAAGGCTGCTTTCGATCTTCTCAACAACCACACTCAATGCCACATTAGGGAAGGGCCTGATGGACAAGTCCATGTTCGCGGGGAGACCGAAATTCTGGACGGTGGCAAAGTCCGGGTTCGCCCCATTGTTCAACGGGTTTGTTGGGACTTTGGTGTGTTCCGAGAAAAACTTATCCAAGCCGTGGAGCAGCGGGCAACGGGGTCATCGAGCATCCACGATCAGAGTTCCAGGACTCATGCAATACTGCAACTAGAGGTTGTGAGCCAAGCATTGATCGATGCCCGCTTCGAGTTGCTCGACCGGCAATCTGAGCTCGTACCGGTGGGTAAGCGTGCTACCGATATCAGTATCGAAGAAGAGAGCAGGGGCGCGATACGGACCCCAGATGGGCGTTGGGTGCCCAACCCCAACTATCAGAAAGACCAGGCACGTATCGACGCCATTGAGGCTGAAAAGGCACAATTTGAGGCTCGAGTCGCAGATGCGGAACGAAAAATCGGATCTGTTCTTGAATCTAGCGAATCCCCGGCCCTCGGAGCGAAACTTGTCTTTGTGGATCTCGCTGGCGCAGAGTACTATGAGGAAAATGGAACTCGGCCTCTCAGCAAAAGTAGGACCTCTCAAGAGCTTCAAGAAAGCCGACAAATCAATAGCGACCTATTGGCTTTGAAAGAGGTGATGAGAGCCTGGTCGCAGGGCCGGAAAAGGATACCGTTCCGCGCATCGACACTGACTATGGTGCTCCGAGAGCATTTCACGGCCAGGAATAGGGGCGCGTCCACAATCATTACTACAATTTCTCCGGCATTAGATCAGTATGTAGCCACTCTCAACTCACTCAAGTACGCGAGTTTGGTCGGAGCTGCTGATGTATAATTAAATACTGCTATGGCACGACAAGTTGTCGAGAATAAGCTTAAGACCGCACAGAGATTCAGAGGATATAGAGTAGACTATAGGAACACCGGCCCGTCTCAATTTTGGACTTCGCTCTAGAGTAGGCCAGCCCCGATAACTTCATAACCACGTATTCGCGTAGTATAAGAATTACTCCTAAAGTGTACATATGCGGCTGACCAATAATATGGTTGCAGCTCCAGTCCACGTTCCTGTTCGCGTCGCAACAGCGGGTACGCCTCTGGGAAATGGAAACCCGACTGGATCCGAGATATATCACCAGACGCCTAAAACCTATTACCTTATAAGCAGGCGGACTGCCGGCTCCATAGCCAAGATGCAAGGGTTCAGGTTTGAGGACTACAACTTCGACCACGCCTGGGATATGGATATTACCGCCAAGTGGAAGAGCCTAATCGACAACAATAGTATAGTAGCATGCAAAGACGTATTAATATTAAAATACTAAGTTTTCTTCGTGTAGACTACCTCGTTTTCTTCTAAGGGCCAATACACCATGTAGTTCTCACTATATTTAAACACAGGGTATTCGAAATCATAGTAGCGCTATGAAAATCCTAGTGCTACATAGCGCTACTCGTAAGAAAGAATTAGATCGCCCAGTTGTTCAACCCGTCCCGGCACCACAACCTCATCAACCCACGCGATATCCCGGCAAATATCCAAGGCTTCTCTCAGGCCGGCCGTTAATCCACCCTCCCGCATTACCTGGCAAATACGCAGCGTCAATATCGTAGCATCGTCCACCGATAGGTTATCCAGATACGACACTGTAGTTAGTAGCGCCCAGAGCTCCAAATCCCAGGACGCGTGAATGGCTTGTTCCTGCCATATTTGCTGCGAGGATAACGACAACGCATCGACTAACCGGTCCCGCAAAAGGTCCCCATCGCCCGTATTGAAGTCAAGCCGGCGCTTAAGTCCCAAGACCAATATCTGGCCGGCCCATCTGATCAGTGGCCCCGGCCACTCAGACTGTTCGGGAATCGCCTGCAGCGCGTGGATCGAGGGCACCAGCAGCCGTGACGCCTCGCAGTCGTTGACCCAAAACTCGGAGTTGTCGCTTTGTGCTAAGCGGTCGTTCACGGTGCTGGCGAGGAAGGAGAGCCGGCGCATCGCCAGGGATGTGGCAGGATCGAGGCCGGAGAGGAGAGCTTGAAGTCTGGGGGTGGGGATGTGGTCGTTGATGGGGCGGAGATATTGGGCGGGGACGGGGATCTGGGGTCGTCGGCCCATCACTTCGTTGGCGGCTACATCGACCCTGGGACGAGACACACGTTAGGTGGGTTAGTTCTCGTGGGCTATCGTGGGAATGTACTGTGGCGTACCACGTTGCATAAGCTACTGCGCCGTCCTCGAGACCGTCCATGCCGCCTCGCATACGCACGATGGTTGCTAGTCCGTTGGCATGGTAAGCCCAGCGTTCCCAATTGCGGACACCGACCTACAATTAATTAGTCTTTCGGTTCAGACTCATATCCAGCGTCTACCTCGGTCCGGCCGCCAGTCTTCCGCGAACGTACATCATGACAGGCAAGTCCCAAGACGGTGATGATAGCGCCCTCGCTAGTCTGCTCAGCCATCGACCCGCCCAGTTTCGCGTTGAGGTGCGCCAAGGACCTGGTGTAGTATATGTTGAAATCGCCAGGGTGGCCAGGCAGGCCTAGCGTTTGCCGCTTGTATACGGACGCGGCCGCCAGCGTTAGATTGATAGCTGCTGGGTCGCGCATGGCTATGTGGTTCCAGACCACGCGGAAGGGGCGGTACCTGTACTCGGCTTCCGTGATAGCTGTTCACGGAGAGTAGAGTTTCTGTCTTTAGTCATTCATGCGACGAATTTCACTATATCCATCCATGCATGGATTGGCCTACTGAAACGGATCAATTCCCAGTCCTCTAGACCCAAATGCAGGCCCGTAGACGTAGTGGAGGGCTCGAGACCGCGCGGTACCCGGTTCTGATACTCAGTCTCGCGCCGCAGCTCCAGTGCCACAACGCGCGGCCGTGGAGGTCTGCGCCGCCTAGCACGACCAATGTCCTCCATTACATGTCGCCGTATCCGGGTACGCAGAACACCGTCCCGGGCGTCTTCGGGCGCCGTGTAATTGACGAACAACGCGTGCTTGTTGGCAGTCGACATCTTGATATGACTGAAGTGAGCCAAGTGGAGAAGGTGGACTGTAACATAACGGGATGCAGGTTGTATCGACCAATTTCCCCATCCAGGCTGGGCCGTGCGGGGGATTATAAACCCGACAGTGGAAGCAGTTGCTGAGTAATGGGAGCACCGCTGTTACCGCGAGTAAGGTGGATTTTAAAGCCTGTGAGGGGGCTGCAGCTATATTAAAGTTTCGCTCCCACGCTTGCCCCCATTCGGATATGGGTCCCCTGTCCTTGCATCGTTCACAGAAGGCGGAAAAGCTTGAATCAGTGTGTGCTTTCGGAAAGCGGTCCTGTCCTCTTGCATGTGTGGACCATTGTTGACAAACCACCACTTCTCGACTTGGGAAACAGGCCTGTCTTGCTCCGTCGTATCAGCAAAAGAATCTTGGCGATGGACGACGAAGGTCATGATGGCTTTCCTAATCGCCAGTCATTATTCAGCACCTCAAGCTCCCATCTTTCATGGCCATCAGGGGATTGTTAAGCTGTCGTCGCAAGTGCACAAGCAGTTGGGTATAAAGGCTTCGTCTGACAACCACACTCCTTGTCCCTGAATATCGCACCACAATACAATCACAACATAACTAGCTCCAACACTGTATTGTGCTACTTGCGAAATTCTTCCAACACTTCATACAGTCCTCAGACATTCAGTCACCAAATACACCAATTCACTTCAATGGCGGTTGAAAGCGAACTAGTGTTCCTCACAGGGGCCACTGGCTTCCTGGGGTACCTGACCCTAATTCAACTCCTCCAGGCTGGTCACCACGTCCGCGCTGCCGTGCGGTCCCAGTCCAAAATCGCCAAGATTAAGTCAGCCCCATCTTTCAAAGCCCTGGCCTCGAAAGGCAGTAGCGTAGAGTGGGTTGTCGTCCCCGACATGACGGCGCCAGGAGCCTATGACGAGGTCGTCAAGGGCGTGACCTCCATCATCCATATCGCAAGCCCCATCCCCACCTTTGGCGCCGAGCCCATCCCTGAGGCCAAGCTCGATGAGTACTTTGTCCAACAGCCCCGCCAAGCCACCCTTGGACTTCTCGAAGCGGCCCAGAAGGCCGGGACCGTCAAGCGCATCGTCAAGACCAGCTCGATCGTCGCCATTGTACCATTTGAATACTACCTCGGCCAGGGTGCCGACTACACCCGGGACTTCGACGCTAATACCCGCATCCCCGTGGCCAAGGGCCCATTCCCCTTTGGCGAGTTCCAGGCCTACAGCGCCGGCAAGGCCGGGGCGCTCAACGCCGCAGAAGAATGGATCGAGTCTCACCAGCCTAGCTTTGATCTGGTGACCATCTTTCCCGGCTGGATCTTCGGCCGCGACGAGCTCGTCACGGACGTCGAAACGCTGCGCACGGGAAGCACCAACGCGGTGCTCCTGGGCCTGATCCTTGGCAACCAGACGGATCAGCCGGGCAATAGTAGCGTCGTGTACGGCGAGGACGCTGCTAGGATGCATGTGATGGCGCTCAATAGCAGCAAGGTTAATGGTGGGGAGAGCTTCATCGCCGCCACCGAGTTCCAATGGAACGAAACCCCCGAGATCCTGAAACGCTCGTTTCCCAAGGAGGTAGCGGAGGGCAAGTTAAGTGACAATGGTCAGCAGCCTACGCTTATCATCAAGCACCCAAGCGAGAAGTCAGAGGAGGTGTTTGGCTTCAAGTTCACGCCTTTCAAGAATATCGTGGAGAGTGTCGCCCAGCAGTACCTGGACCTGCTGAGCAAGGCTTAGATACCGAAGCTATGTTAGCCCAATCAGCTATCGGTTGGATTGTTCCTTGTCTTCACGCGCAGGATTCTGCGAATGCGCGTATTTTTAAAGACAGAAATAAGGGCATCTTCTGATACTTTTCATTCCGAACGTCTGTCCCATCTTACTAGGTCCACTTCATATAGAGTTACTCGAAATAGGTTACATCAGCAATGTTACTCTGAGGGCTAGCGGCGGAACTGAAAAGTGCCTTAAAGCTACAGTCTATCGCTTGGCCTTAGCATAACTACAAGGTGCAGCAGATGTGACGTTCATGAGCTCGAATTCATCCTGTACGGTTGTGAAATTAATTTTCTTTCGTTTGAATTTTGTCGGGTAAGGGGTGTATTCCTCAATTACTAGTCAGCTAACGACCTCCTGCTGATTTTTCAGTGACTTGAAGCAAACATGGTCTATCGTGTCATCAGCTAGTTACTCTTCAGCCTGAAGTGCTATAATATGCGAGTGACGATCGATGTCTCGTTCTTAGTTGTACTACTCGATGAACATTTTAGTCGACCGCTTGCTGGCTAACATAAAGAATGATTTCAGTTCAAGTTGAAAAATAGTTTAGGGAAGAAACACCTTTGTTGAACATTGAGTCTTGCGGGTCCCAGGATCGATCAATATTTGCGATGCTCTCATCTCTGGAACAATCATCTTATATCTTCGTCTACGGCTCTCCCTTCAATGCTCCCTGCGAATCAGCAAGCACACATAACCACAGATCTCCTGATATTTCCATGGAGAAGGCGGCTTTAAGGTCTTGATCCTGCGGCTTCTCCCACTACAAAGTGGCTGTACCTTTACAGCTGAGCCTAGAAATACTATTTCTGGGGGAGTTTTCGCTAGGGAGGCTACGGAGTGTCCACAATCGACTTGCTCATCTATGTTTATGACTGATGAACGTTGCGGCCATGTCCACGTTACATCGCTTAACCTCCTACATAGATATCCTACGGAACGTCTTAATCGTGACTGGCCCAACGAGGCCGTGGGGCTGCCAGCCTGCCGTGGTGTAAAACTCTGGAACGCTGGGGCCAAACCCATTCGCCTTGATGTAGTTGACGCGAGCCTTAACGGCGTTGAACAGTGTTGACGACACCTCGACCCGGATTGAGTTGCGCTTCCCAGCAGGGACGAGGTAGTCTGAGATGTCGACCTGTGCGCCGAAACTGTCTATAGGTGGCAGCTGCTTGCCGTTAACCCACGTACGTAGCGTGTGAAGCACGGGGCCGAAGTCGATGATGGTTACGGCTGCGCCGCCTGGAAGTGTGGGCGAGTTGAAGTCCGCCGTATAGATGCCCACCCCAGACACGTTTTGGACTGCGGGGATCTCGGACCAGGGCTTCAGCACATCTAGAAGTCCGAGATTGATGGGGACCTTAACAGATTTAAAGGTTGTGGTATCCAGGCTTGGAACCCAGGACTCTACGGTCAGGTTCCAGGGTCCCACTTCGATGTCAAGCAGCGTAGAATTCTCAGCACCGATGAGCGCAGGGATCTGACGCGTCTCTCCACTCGACAATGTCACTGTCGCCGCCTCAGCATCGTCGACGGCGATGAAAAGCCTGCCCTTATCATCGTAAAAGGCCTTGGCGACATTGCTTGAGTGCGAGACGACGTGAGCCACTGACCTTTTGGGCGCCGGTCCTAGAGCGAAAAGGCTAGATTGGTCCTTTTGAAGTGTCACCTGGAGCCTGATCCTGCCCTGTAAGTGTTCATATACTGCCACAGCTTCCTGCTTACCCGTCCACGCGTCCAGCCTATAAGGAACTTTGTCCTTGCTGGCTTCAATGCTGATATCAAAGGTGGCAGGGATGTCCTTGTTCCGAACGTATAGGAAATCTGAGGCGCCGTCGGACCTGAGGTGGTGGTAAAGGTTCTGGGTTGCTCCGGTGGTCTGTGAAGAAACCTGTACCCGCGGCACGACGGAAAGGGCGTTCAATGCTTGCACAAGGGTGTCGACCGAGTCGATGATTTTGAGATTGGGATAATCGGCTTGCGTGAGCCTAGAAATCGCCTTGGTTACGGCCTCCTGGCTGCTCGAGCCGATTGACTTGCTAGGGAGTGCGCCCACGATCACGACGGGGAGTCCTGCCTCAACGAACTCGACCAGCTTCTCCGCCGCCTCTGCTGTGATGAAGTCCTCCTGGTCGAGCACGAAAGCACGGTACCCTGCGCCAGCAGCGTCTAGCTCACCACCGGTCACCTTGGCATTCTCGCTAATGATGTTTGCCGGTGAGAGGTACTCGTAACTCAGGCCTGCAGAGAAGTATCAGCGCAAGGAATAGCTGGTAAACCCAACTTTGGTTGATTATCGACATACCAGCTGCGCGCAGATCTGAACCATTTCGCTTCACGGTAATCCTGTACGGATCTTGGTACAGGTAGAAGGCGACATCCGTCTTGGGGTTACCAGCTTGCAGCGCAAGCTGGGTCCTGGCCGTGTATTCCATCTGTTCATTCATGTACTGCCACGCTGGCTGCTTGGGGCTCCACATCTCGGTATATATGAACTGGAACGTTGTGTAGCCGGGCCAGGTCGATCCCTCCTCTTCACCACCGTACGGCATGCCGTGGACCACCATGAGGTTGACACCGCTCGAGAAGGCATCGTGGAAGAGACTGAGCAGGCCCGGGACAGTTAAACTATAGCCGCCTGTCTGGACCGCGCCTATCTCTGTCGACACGATGTTATGCCGGGAGATGTGCGCCGCCCCGACGAACTGGAGCATCATGTCGACCTCGGGAAAGCCTAGAGATTCAAGTTCCGGTCCAGCCACTGCGGGAATTGCCGCGAGCTGTTGCGAAAGCGCGTCAGTGGGCGGGTTGGAGCAAATCAAGGCACGATTCAGAAAGCCTTACCATATCAACAGGGATGTTGTAGGCCACCTGACAGGAGTGCGACAGGCCAATACTCTGTGCCCAAGTCGCGAGTGTCTCCAAATACTCCACATAGCCTTCATCAAGAGTGGCGCGGTAGTCCTGAAGATACTTGCTCTGGCCCGTATCTTCAGAGGCTTCCAGATAGTACGTCGTGTCGTAAGGGGCTCCATGATTCCCCCATGCAGTCGACGGGTGGAAGAGGAGAGGCAGGTACTTGACTGGATCGTAGCCTCTGTTGGCCTTGAAGCGATCGAGGAGGCTCTCGGACCAGTAGAGGGCAGCTTGGATCTCCATACTGTCCTCCCATGCTGAGGCTTATTAGTACGTGCACGTGTTCACTAGAGCATGTGACTCGATAGGGAATCTGGGGCTTACTGTGCTGGCCAACAGCCTGAAGGAGCTCGCGCACCTCGACAGTCAGGATATTCTGTTCCCAGAACTCGGTAACTAGCTTGGCGCCAGCGGCGCTGAACTTGTCAGTGACCCACGAGCCGTTGGCAATGACATCTGTTGGGATGCCAACACAAGCTCTTTGGTTCGTATACCGCTCGTAGGTTGCGAATATGACATATGCGTTGCCGTCGATTGGGGGCCGCCACGTGAGCTGTCCATTCTGGACTTCTGCTGTAAGATCAATCAGAGACTTCTCATCCAATGCCACGAATGTTTGCGACGCGGTTTGGTTTGCTAAGAGAATATAGAGTGTCAGTCAACCTCTCACCAGCTAGATAGTTGGACACAATGGCTGGCTGCCGCTATGACTTACTGGACTTGACGGCGCCAGCTGAAACACCGATAAGTTTGCTGCCGCCAAACCGCTCGCCTGGCTGCATAAAAGACGTGTCCTCGTTCCAATTGAGGTTGGGCGGTGGTACTGCCCCGGAGAACTCCTCGCCACTTTCCACCGTCAAAGAGCCATAGACTAGCTGAACAGCCAAACCTGTGGTCAAGGGCTTGGCAGGCACACCTTGGCCCTGGCTGGCACCAAGGGCAACATCCATGACGAGACCTTCAGCCTTGCATGTCTCGAGAGCCGTGGTGAGGACATCGACGAAAGCAGGCTTGCCGAAGGCGTAGGTGGCATAATGCCCCAGAGCCGGGGTGCCGTAGCCATAATTATAGAAGGGAAGAAACTCGATCCCGCCAGCCCCGATATCCTTGGCGGCACGCATGTCCTCACGCACGATGTTGTGATCGACATCAGCATCAGGGAGCCTGTTTGCCAGTCAGCAACATATCATTTACGAACTCAAATGTACGAAAACCTGTCGAATCATTGGGGGCATAGTGGCAGCTAAAGCAACGTACCAGTAACGGAATTTTGGTCGATGCTCGGCAGATGGCTTGCCGAAGCTTGGAAGCGGCCCATCCCTCGCAGCCACCGCATGATTCGCCGCCAGAGTGGCGAACAGAGACCACCATTGAATCAGCATGACGAGCCTTGAATAGTTGAATTGATACTTGCCAGCTTGATTTCGAGAAAAGCTCTTGTAGATACTATGTCAAGTCATGCCTGCCCTTTTATTGCCATACTTATCCTAGCATCTTTGTAGGCAAGGGGCATTCCCGTTGGAGAGATCCTTATTAGCGTAGCAATGCCTCTGTCCAATGCGGGGTGCATATGGGGCGCGACGATGACTGACTCGGAGCAAGGGGCCTGTTCCGCCAGCTGTGCCGCCAGGATCGCTGCTTTAGCCCTCAACATATCCCGGTGTCTGGTCGAATTTGGCCAAAGGGAGGTGCGGAAATCAGACCGACTGCATACCATCGGCTCCACAACGAGTGGAGTAGTAGTGGTGTTGACGGAGCTTTTGTAACACAAGGGAGCACGAACTGCCGCTATCGAACGTAAACGAGGGGAACGAGGGGAACGAGGGGAACGAGGGGAACGAGGGGAACGAGGGGAACGAGGGGAACGAGGGGAGCGGAGGGGAACGAGGGGAGCGGAGGGGTACGAGGGGAACGAGGGGAAAGAGTGGAAACTCGGCAAACTAGGCAAACAAAGCTTGGACTGCTTCTTGAGCAGCCAGTACGCATTGTGCGAATGACCAGGTCCCACAGGTCGGAAAACGTGTCCTGGATTCCATGCTGCCATTACTTTGGCTGCTAAGCAAACATGCCCAAAGGAAGAAGAGGAGGGCCACTGTTTTCGCCAACGTAAGAGCCTACTCATGGCCGACTTCACCGAGGCTGGGGAAGGAGTTGGCTCATTACCTAGGCTACTGGGTATCGTTGACAGCCGCACAGTCAAGTGAGAGGCTTGCGTGGCCATGTTGTCAGCCACTATGATGTTGCGCTTCTATATGAATCCCATAGCAGATTTGAGAGCAAGTGCCAGTTATGATTCGGGAAGTGCTGTCATGGGGTTGGACGAGGACTTTTGGTGGAGGAGAGGGTGCTTCGCACATGGTCTTTCTTGTTTTCCCTCAAACCCGGCACGGCAGGCATTGACTATTTTCATCAAAAGAGCAACGGCTACGTTGTCGTTATTCACGGCAGCTGTGAGCTCGCCACGACTACGCCAAACCGCATCAAGAATATACCAAGATCTCTTGAGCTCGATGGAGACTCAGCAAGTCACGTGTGGAGTCGTGCAAGCTCCGCACAAGATCTACGAGCACGACAAGCCCCCAGAGTGCCGGCCAGGTGTACATAACATGTGATCAGAGACGTGGCCAGGGATCCCCGGGGGGCGACTGCTCTATAGTCCAGCGTCCAGACTGGGACTCTGTTCACTCCATGGTGCTCCTTAGCCGCCCCAAGCAGGCCTAAGCGTCCGCCAGTGCCCAAAGCCTCTGCTCTAGGTCCGAAGGCAACTGACCTGTGGTGTTGTTTGCAGGTCTTCCGTATTCTGATTGACAGATGCCCTCGTCCCTCGCCCAACCGATGCTGCTCTATCTAGCCCCGACGGTGTCACTAGCGATTTGAGAGCCGCAAGTGCACGGACTTGAAGAATCTGTGTAGTTGCATGGTTTAGATGGAGCACCACAGCAAATATTCGGCCCTGTGAACTCGCGGCACAGAGGCCCAGTGGGAGCCAATATACCAGGCATTATTGATATCTAGGCAGTTGTGGGCGTGGTTTGATCCAGAGCGGGGCATACGTGACTGGCAGAGGGTTAACACCGTTCGGCGCACAGGTGACGCCTCCCTTCTGATTCTTGCCAGGCATTCTTGATTTATCAAGGAGCACGGCGCTCTGCAGACCACTTCGTGATCGACATCTTGTAATAAGACACTGTTTGTTTGCGACAATTATGAGCCGATCCAGTTTAGATGCAGGTGGCCTTGCCCATTGGTTTCTGTCGGCATAATCTTCAGTATCTTAATACCTTGTCAATATCGAATGATAGTACCGGTACAGTACGTCTACGTTCACCTGTTTAACTTCTTCTGGTAACACGATCTGCAGCTTTCTTGCCATTTTAGTGTTGCTTCCACAGCCGCGTGTGGATTCAGCCCTCCTACAGTGCGCATTTGCAAGAAGTAATTACTGTAGAAGCACAGTTCTGGCATTGATGCGTAATGATAGGAAACAAATACGCGCAGAAGAAAAGGATCTCCCTGACTCAGTCCATAGGCGGCTTGGAGTTTCACTTGCAGCGAGGCCGTGACGAAATCCATTTTGCACCAAGGCCTTTGGCAACTCTCCAAACCTCCACAGCGGCCGGCAGTATGGGCATGTCTTTGCCGTTGTGTTGGCTGCAAAGACCTACGAGGGCTGGCCCATCCGGCAGTGCGCGTACTGGGGGTATTTTACGAAGAACTCCGGTCTGCACCGCCAAAACTCCAGCGACGCGGCTTGCCGTTCGAGTACGACGAACAGATCCATGCTCGTCGTCAGATCCCCGGACACGCATAGCTGTGGGTGCCACGTGGTGCCGAGGTTCCGGACGAGATCGGTGCCTACGACTTCGGGGCTCACCGAGAGCGCATCGCGCACGAGGCAGCGTCGCATGTCGGGCCTGGGCAACAACGCAAGCAAAGTTAGTCCGCTGGGTCGGGTACACAAGGGAAGATGTCAAGAGCGGGTTTGCCAATCTTTCCCTCCGCGCAAAATGAAAAGGGAATCGGAGAGGAAGACGCGGGCCGAGGACGCGAGGGTTTTCCAGCCTCACCAAACGATCAAACCAGCGCAGATGCGGTGGGGGATCCTCCTTTGGATCTCTAGTGGGCGCAGAAACGGCGGTATTTGTTGGTAGTCGTCCAAAGATCTCGTGACGTGCCACTGAGACGAGATTTAAGTATGAGCGTCTGCTTGAAAAAAAAAAAAGCAAAACTGAGTAGTCCACTGGCTAATGACGCATGGCGGAGAGATCAGGATTGGGGAGGACACACCCTAAGGAGAAGGTACTGAGTCCAGAAAGTCGCGATCATTACATGCATCGGCATGGGGCCGTAAGCAGCAATGTAGTTGTACAGGCGGAAAGCGAGGAGGTCGGCTTTGGAAGATAGAACGCGCTGGAGCGTAGGCGGTGTCAGGTCGAACGCCTGGGCCGCGTGCTCGCGCGAAGCCTCGATGAGCATCGAGGTGATGTGGCGGTCTCCAGGCCCGACGGGAGTCGCGTAACGCGGGAGGCATATGTGCTCGTGGTCTCCGATAACACCGTCAAGGCTGACGGGGATGCGGAGGGCCGGCGGCGGCTCGTTGTCAAAAGTGGTAGGGCCGAGCGATGGCTGAATACTGCCATAGCCGCCCGCGTTGTCGTAGTAGTCAATAGTGAGCATGTCTGCCAGCGAGTGGGCGATGCTCGTCGTGTCATGGCCATTGTGGCTCGCATTGTCGTTATTGGGCAGGATGGTGGGCAGTGCCATGGCCACGTCGTCGGCCAGGGAAGTGGCTGGGGTCAGGACAAGATCGAGGGCGTTCATCTCAAGGCCCGGCGGAGTGGCGCCGCCGCCGGCAGATGAGGGCTGTGTTACCAACCAGGACGGCATGGACGAGCAGTCAAATAGGTGCATGACGGACGACTCGCCTGCAGCCTGGTCCGCGGCGCAGAGGATGTCGCGCATGCGGTTGATGCGGGACATGGCCTCCTCGTAGCGGGACTTGTACTGGTCCCTGGCGGCTAGGAGGGTGACCATGCGCTCATCGGTGTCCTTGCACGAGGCGAGTGACTCGAGCGAGGCCTCGAGCTGCTTAATGTATGACTTCTGACGTTCGCGGTGCTTCTTCTGTGACTTCCGGTCCGTGGCCCGCTTGCGAATGCGCCTGCTGTCGATGACGGCAGCGGGCACGGATGGAGGCGACTGTGGCTGCAGCATGTTCGGCCTGTAGTCTTTCGGTAGGTGGTTTTGCAGATGGAGATGTTCTCTCTCTCCCTTTCGCGCGGCCTCGACGTATACAAATGGGATCTATAGAGTGTCCCAGAGGACCGAAAGACCCATGAGCAAACGAGGGAGGAGGCGTCCCAAAGTCCTTCCTTAGGAAGTGCGGGGAAGGACGTGAGGGGGTTGCCCAAGCCCAGGCTTGTAAAAGCCATGTGGCGGCCCACGCTGGAAGGTACGGGTTCACACATTCTGAGCCGGAAACATCTGCTGGCTGCTGGCTGGCTGTCCTGCCCCCAAAGTGATTCTGCTGTCCGTATCTACGTGACCACGTTGGGGCCAGTCTCACGCAGGATATCCTTATGCATGTCGCGTCCCCGTGTCTGCGATCGTCAGGCAGCATAGGCTATCAACACTTTTAAGCATGCGAGCTTATCCCGAAGTACTTCGCATCCGTGACCAAGCGGGTGGAGCTTGCGCGGCTCGAAAGGGTCCCAACGCAGGATACGAATGCGATCGCGGTGCCTGTATTCATCCTTGTTTCAAGCCTAGCCGAAAGCGTGTTCCCCCATGTTGTGGCTCCATTGTGGTGCTGCACCAGCTCTCTGACCGCGCCAGTCCTGCCTTAGTACCTCGCTTAGAACAGGCGCAAGGGTGCGAGATAGCAAGGGCGGCGCCTGCGTCAACTTTTTCGCGCTGTTCTTGGACTCTCGAGTTGTGGAACACTCCAAGTCGATTTCAAGCATACGATAGTGCTGCGAAGTTTTGCTGACTTCTCGAATCCAGAGCTGCGTGCCATAATCCATCCGAAGGCTTGGGCCACCTGTGTCGAATCCTCAAATTTAACTCGGAGTGTTTACAACTAAGGTCCCAGAACAAGGGGGGAAACTTGCCGGCTCACTCAAACAGTTCGGGGCCTTGTATGTTCAATCTGTAGACACGGAGTTCTGGGTACTCTGAGGTATTGAGCAACGTAGATGGCTGTTGTGAGTCCGTGGGGTGGACACGACGTTCCGAACCAGGGCAGTAGCAGGTCCAGCTTTGGGTTCAGAGCACGCTGATAATGGCGGTTACCTTCGTGCTGATACCGTGGAGGAGGCTTGTCGTTGTTTTACTTAACTGTACCACAGTCAGTAAGGGCGACTTGATACCTAACTGCCCATGCAACTGTAGTCGCATGCTCGTGCGGGGGCCGGAAAAAGACAGTGTACGTAAGAACTGGAGGTGGCCCAGGGTGGGAACCTGCTTAAACACGATGTCATCTCGTCTCGTACAGCTCTTAGCTCTCGTGGATGCATTGTTGCCTGGCAGGTCTGGGTTGACTAAGCAGGGCGAGGTTCCACAGTTACTCAGAAGGATGGATGCAAGCGGAACGAGGAGCCTCGGACAGATTGAACAGTAATTCGCGAAGTTTTCATTGAAATCATGACGAGCGTGGGGCGCACGATTTACCTTACGGATACCCTGGTCTTCTTACTGATGCGGTCCAATCCACTCCATCACCACACTCTTTCTCGATGACGACCAGCACTACCGGGCCTACCCGAAATAGCCCCTTCTACAAAGGATACACATGGTCTTCGCTTTGCTGCCTGATGACAGCCAGCGTGGGTCACAGGTGCGAGGATGGAATCATGTATATTTGGAATGAAGCGAGTTGTTTGTTCCTCTTATACCCGTGCGACCCAACTCACTCCGTGTTCGACCAGATACGTTAATATGCGAAGCATCCTCCAGTTTTGGGCAAAACCCCACATCAACTTGGGACGTTAAAGTAGCCTGCTCCACACAAATGCTCAAGGCAAGAAAACTGTGGCGGCGACGGGTGGGAAGAACTTTTGGCTCCCGTGAGCGTCCCATTGCTGGGCGGTACACAAGAGCCGCTGCCGCAAGACCAAGAAGAAAGTGTAAATTCAGATAATGATCTCAGAGGTACACGATGACAGCCTCGGAGGCACCTACGCCTACGACCGCGGCGCCGGTGGCCTCGTCAATCCCCAGCGACTCAAAGACCTGGCCGCCAATGGTCGTGCCCGCATAGGCGGCAACGCCTTCCTTGGCCGTGGTGGCCTTGACGTCCGAAGAGCTGCCGTGGCGCGGAGAACCCGCGAGCCACTGGCAGCCTCGGCGTGAGAATTCCCATGGCCCTTCTTGGCTGAGGTGTACAGGGCGCCTCTGGATGATAAAATCGGTGGTGGGGCGCGCGCCCCAGTGCCAGAGTAATACTCGGTGTTGACGATCGGCCTTGACGGGCTTGCCTCCCTGGAAGAGAACGTACTGCCCGTGCCGGCTTCTGCCGTCATCGGTTGCGATGATCTGGTCCACGCCGTGCAGCGCCAACGTGGACATATAGCCGCCGTAGAAGGGTAGTTCAACGCGTGGACCACGGCCAGGGTGAGACGGGGGGGGGGAGGGGGGGTGCTCGCTAGGACTTTTCCTTACCTTGGTTGATGGTGCCCTGGTGGTAGTAGAGTCTGTTGATATCGAGCGTGGTGGCAAGTAGCGATTTGTCTGGGAGTTGTAGCGCGCCGCCAAAGCTGGCGTCGCTCTCGACGTCGGTGCCGTGGAAGCCGGTCTCGCCGAGGTAGAACTCGCGGCCAGTAGACGCGGCAGAGGCGACATACACCGAGAATGTGGCGAGATCAGCCGCGGTGCGGGCATCTTTCATTTCGACGGCAATGTTGGTGCCCTGTGACAGGGTGTACAAGTGCTGATTCCACGTGCGGACGGCCACATTGACGGTCGCGTTCTACGACACGTCAATGAGATGCGTCATGTTGGGCCAGTTGGGCTGGATCGGGATCGGCACACCACAGCTACCCGCGTAGAGCATCGACAGGGGTTCCTTCCAGCTGTTGATAAAGTCCTGTGCCCAGTCGGCGCTGTCCGCACCCTCCTGATTCGCGTCCCAAGGTGGCGTGGCAATCGGCTTCTGCCAGATAAACAGGTAGACTGTGAAAGAGGAGAGCTTGCGTAAGTGGAAGCCCGCCAGCAACGACTAGGTGTAGAGGCTCTCCGGGGCGCGTTGTGCTTACCATCAGGCTCGTTGCCAACCTCGACGCCCGCAAGGTGCTCAAGAAGGCCGGGGCTCGTCTTGGCGTTCGCAAATGCCTCAAAGGTGTCCGTGAGGTTGTTGTTGCCCCTGTTGAAACCTGTAGTTCGGGATGATGAGCAAGCGAAACCGGTACCGAGGGGACGAGGACGATGTAAAGCATACCCAGGATAGTCTCAGCACCATAGAGAGCTATCAGCCGATGGAGCTTATGTGTCAGCGGTGTCATGTCTTTGGTATTGAGCAAGCATCGAGTCACTACGAACCGATGAAGTCGAAGAACCTGGGACCATAGGTAACCTCCATGGGAGGGAGAGGGGATTTGGATCGTCGTAGGAAATGTACGCATCCAGGTCGGGATTGTACGTCCCCCTGTCCTATGTCGTGCCACCGATGCGGAAGGGTACTTTCTGCCCGTACAGTTGGGAGATGTGATTGAGGATTGAGGCAGGGACCAGCCAAGCTGATGTTAGTGGCATAGCTGGGCCAGAAGTAGAATTCGAACCTAGCATGTTTTCAGTCTCTGAGTTGCGGCACTGCCGTCGACATCTGCCTGCCACGACAACCAGAGCATGGAGGAGCTCACGAGACTGCAATGGGGGTCTTGCGCCGAGCATGGCTGCACCAGCGGGCGCCTTACCTTACAGGGCACCGTGACGTTGACCGATGCGACCCTAGCGGCAGCCGCAAATGTCACAAGAGCGGGCAGAGAGCGGCGCTTAAACGACATGGCTGTGGTAGGCAAAGGAGCTCAAGAGAAGACCATAGGAGATCTGAGCCATCGGGGAGAAATCGTGGAGTCAGACGACGGTGGCACTCTTTGTATATTGACCGAGCCACTCTGCCAAGAGGGAGCCTTGGGGCAATGGCTGCCGTGCTCTGGACGTCAGGCACCACTGAGGCTCAACAAGAGGGACCCTTGGCAAGGCTGGCGGTGATTTGGGCCAGGCTGCAGCAGTTGTCCCTGCCGACGAGAGTGTGCCTGGGCTGCTGCAATTTGACATGGCGTAATGCAGTCCGCCCAAGCGCCCTGCAAGTATGGGACCCGAGGTTGTGGAAATCAGCAGCTGTACGTGGGGCATCAGCGTGGGGAACTGCGGGGATGCGGAGACAAAGCGGAGTCCTGGATCTGAGGTCACGTTTTCTGAATGTGCATTACTCCGTGGAATATCTACTCGTGCAACAAGCCTTCATTTCCCTCCGTCATCCTTCGTGCTGCTACCACCCACGTCTGGCCCTTCTACCATTTGTATTTTGTCCTTGTGGACAATTTACCAGACTCGAGGCGCAGGTCGAGAAACAAGGGACACTCGTGTACAAGGCCCCCCCCCCCCCCCAAAACTTTTTTGGACACCTGACTCATACCTGGCGGCGCCGAAATAGGACGTTGACCATGGTGTCCGGAAGCGACATGGTGGCAATGTAGAGCGGCTTGGCCTTGACGCCGTCGGCGAATTTGAAGTCGTAGCGCAGCAGAAGCATGGAAAGGATTATCTTCATCTCGTGCGTCGCGAGGAACCTGCCGGGGCTGAAGCATTGTCAACAATCTTGTTAGATTCTGCCGTATTCTTGTTGAATCGAACCATAGGCCTCCTTTACAGTGCGTGGAAGAGACCGGAGTGGCTCGGCACCCTCCCCCCGAAGCACGGCCGGACAGTTAGAGGGCCGACGACAAGATGACAACAAAAGTGGAGACGAGTGGTACATACCACGGGTGACGGCCGGCACCAAAGACGTTGAAGTTGGGCCCCGTAGTCAGGATTGTCTTCTGCGCGGTACCGTGTTCGCGGGCCTCGTTGTACCAGCGCAACGGGTCAAAGACTTCTGGATTCGCGTACACCTCTGGGTCGTAATGTGTGATGAGCGTCGGCGAGCCGACCTTGGCACCCTTGGGGATGACGGTGCCGTCGGAGAATGTGAACTGCTGTCGTGCGTTTCGCTGCATGGCCACAGTCGGGGAGTTCAGCATTCTGAGCCCAGTCAATATGCGAGGGCAGGGATGATGAAAGAGGCCCTTATACTCAACCCGAGATTGCTACACCGCGCGGATTCCCTGAGGAAGCTGTCCATCTTGGGCAGCTTGTTGAGCGACTCGACAGCGATTCTGCCGTCCACCAGGCTCGCCTCGACCTCCTCTCGCAGCATGGCGGTGTACTTCTCTGAATTCTCGGCCAGGATGTACGGCGCGCCAGTGAAAGTCTAGCTCAAGAGTCTGTCAGCTTTCCAGATCCGTAAGGCTCAGAAACGCGCGGACAATCTCGTGTCAGTTCATGGAGCCGTCAACGTACCATGACTCTGGTGTGAATTGAGCCCACGTTGAGGGCCATGAGTCTCTCCGACAGCTGGGGCACTGTCTTCTCGATCGGGGGGGCAGCGTCAACCAACCATTGCAGCAGGTCGTCGGGCTTGTCGTCGCTCTCATCTCCGCGCTCCTCCAGTCGTTCCCGAATGAAGTCTGCCAGATACACCTCTGCCATCTTACGGTACGTTGTGCACGGCATATAAGGCACGACGATTCTAAAAATCCCCACAGGCGAACCACAGTCAGCATGCTTTTCTCCTGGTTGGTCATGGGACAGGGTTTGAGATCGCCAAGTCACAGAGCGGGTTTGTGTGGGACTTGGAGTATTTTAACCTCTTGAGCCAATCCGGCAACACACGTATCAGTTCGGCCGAGATGACGACGTACTGAGCGTAGTCGATAGCCGCGCGCAGATATCTCTCGTTACGGCCTTGAATAGGTCAATAGGCGGTCCTGAGTATCGTAAGTGAATAGATTGTGCTCACAAAACCGGGTCCCCACGTAGATTCGGTTGGCGATCCGCGCTACCACCATTGCCATGTGGTCGTAGAGAGGGAATGGGGTGTACTCTATCAGCCAATCATCAAGGTCAGAAATGCTGAGTTAGGAATTAGTCCGCCCACCGAAGCGAGGGAGCGTGACTCACCTTCCGGAGCCCCGAAGAGCTCATCGAGGGCCAGACTTGCCTCGTCAATCATGTCCGGCGTCTTCTCGTTAATCTTCTTGGTGACAGGCCCCTTGACGACACTCGTGTGGTACGTCCGGTGGCCAACCCCATAGCCCATGGTGAAGGGAATTTGTTGTTGCTGATCAGTTCAGGGTGCATCAGGGTGTGCTTCCTGGCGGTATTTCATGTGCAGGTGACAGTAAAGGAGGAGTACACTCACGTCGTTGGCACCATCTTGCATGCTCAAGACGTCATCTGGAGCCCGGAGGTATTCCGAGACCTTGGCCCGGTCGGTCACGAGGACGTACTCGCCCTGGTGGGTCGTGATCTTGAACATGCCATTCTTGGTCTTCCTGGTGCCTTCTCTAACAGCCTTGACGGGGTCGCGGAGGAAGCGGATGGCAGCGATCCACGACCCAATGATGGGGATAGGGAGAGAGGTCGCACCAACAGGCTCCACTTTGGGCTATCACGGGGTTGCGAAACTGTCAGCAGGCTCAGCCGAGAGCGGACTCAAGGTAAGCAGGTTGAGACTCACCGAGATACTGGCACGCTTGTAGTCGAGCCACAGCAGCCAGCCAGCAAAGGCAGCTATCACCGCCTTGGTGGGAGAGACGTCGGCCAACAGGGGTAGCATGCTGGTTGTTGACATTCACGCAACTTGTTGGTTGCGTATGACAGTGGCTTGAGAACGTTGTGAGAACAACAATCGCAACCTGCCGACTGCCGACAGATGCTGGAAGGGAGGGAAAGGGGAAGAAGATTCATAAGGACCTCGTTGTGATTATTTTGACAGCTCACTTGTGCGGGTGCGGCGCCTTCCGCTCGGACACTGGCCTTGTCTCGAGCCCTCGCCCGGGGGGGGGGGGGGGGGGGATGATGGGAGCGGGGCCACGTCGTGTCATGATCGCTGACTCGGTGCGAATACGAGCAGTGCCACTCGCGGCAGTGCTCGGCTCGAGCCCTGTACTCAGGCACCCCAGCTCCGCGCTCCATTTGCTAATTACGTTGTCGACGTGGGTGACTCGGATCCTGTACGGTGGACGGCAGCTCGTTATAAGGATTACAGTGTGAGGCCCCTCTTCTGCCACGCGCAGACTGTCTGTGATATCGACAGGAGGCCTAAAACTCTTATCATTTGGCCCACGCCCTGATCGTCCTCACGCACACCTTCATACTCTTTCCAGTCAGACAAGGCCCGCTGTTACGTCGTCACCATGTCCGAGGTCACGCCAGAGCAGATGGCGGTCTACACCGAGGCCCTACTCAAGCACACCAAGGTGCTCGACCAGCCCGTCACCGAGATTGTCATCTTCAAGCTCAAGCAGCCGCACAGCGACGAGACGACACGCGACTTTGAGACGCGCATCCTCGCCAATGCGGCCACTGGGGAAGGGGTCCGGCGCATGAGCTGGGGCTACTCGCTCGACGACAGCTCTACTATGATCTGGCAGATCGACTGGGCTCGCATCCAGGACCACTGGACCTTCTGGCAGACGCCCGCTTTCCTACCCGTGATACGGGGGATCTCGGACCTTTTCGAGGCTGGGCGGCCCCTTGTTCGCCACTACCACTTTAAGCCAGCCGGTATGCTCCACGAAGAAGTCCAGCTCATCTCCGTCTGGGATCAGGGCGCTCCGGGTCAGGCCGAGGCCGACGTCCTCGCTGGGCTCGGCCACTCGCCGGATGGTAGCGGTGACTCAAAGTCCGCCAAGGGCGCGTACGCTGTCGACATGCAGGGGCAAACCTGGTACTGTGCCGCCTTCGGGTTCGCGACCGAGGAAGAGGCAAGGGCCAGCAGCGTCACCCGTCGCGGCGAGTCGCATCTCGTCAAACTCAAAGTCTTTGATGGTGCTGTGAGTGCGTAGAGCCGAGCAGGAAGCATCGGCAGTACAAACTTGCCTAAACTCCATCAATACAAAGTCCAATAGTCGAGACCCAAGGGGTTTGCCCTTGGTGGGGGGAAGTGAGCAGATGCTTTGCTAGGCGTGATTTGGTCAGATATAATTATGTGACGATGACAAAGTACGACAAAGCTGATGTAAGTTACAGGATTGATTGAGCATTGACATGGCGGACAACGAGATCGAGGGCCATCTACGATATTTCCACATGCATATGGATACCAACGATACAAGACAACAGGAATCGATTACCTTGAAACCTTGTTAACCATGTTAGGGGTAGATTTCTGAATGCTCGATATCTACACAATCTGCCAGGGTGTGTCTGCGTTGCGGAGATATGTAGTCAGCCCATCAAAATCGCCCTCGAGGTCGGCCTTAGTGCGGCCGTTACCGAGAAATGACCACGGGTTGTTGTCCATGTAGGTAATATTGTAGTGTTCCCAGCGTGGGGTCTTGATGGTCTTGAGGTAATGGACGGACTATTTGGGAAAGAAAGTATCAGCTTGCGTGCGTGGTTCACTCTCAGTTAGCGTTGCTGGATGCACAACACTCACGCTGCCACCCCAGACCATGGGCTTGCCATCCGTGGTGTTCATCTTGTACCAACTGCGGCATGGTTCCGAGAAGACGCTCGTCTCGCACCAGGCGTCGATGTACTCGTTGAGATGGGCAGCGACGTCCTCCTTGACATCGAGGGTGTTGATGCGGTCCGACTGCATCTTCTTGACCGCAGCGATGGCGTAGTCAAGCTGCGTCTCGAGACAGGGTAGTACAGTGCCATTGCCGAGAGCACCACGCGGGCCGTTTATAATGAAATAGTTGGGAAACTTGGGGGCGGCGATGCCAAGATAGCAGTTGGGTACTGGAGACCATAGATCCTCAATGTCTACGCCATCCCGGCCCTCGAGCTTGAAGTGCGGCGTCCACGCCATGTCGAAGCCTGTCGCGCAGACAATCATATCGACTTCGTGGTGCTTGCCGTCGGCCGTCACGATGCCCGTTTCGTCGACGCTTTGGATCGATGAGAACGTGAAGTTGACATTGGGCTGGATGAGGGCTTCGATGTAGTTGTCGCCGGGCGTCAGCCTGCGGCAGCCGACTGCCCACTGCGGGATCAGCTTTTCCGTCAGCACTGGGTGACCCTTGATCCTGGTCTTCATATTCTCTCGCATGTACCATCCCGCCATCTTGGAAGCCTCGGTGTCCTTATAAAAGATGCCAAAATTGACATTGATGCTGTACTCAATCTTCTTACGGTATAGCAGCAGATAGTCCGGATCATTGGACAGAATCTTGATCTCGGAGTCCGTGTAAGCCTTCTGCATAACAAAGGGGTCGATCACCGACTGGGGCATGTCGGCCTTTCTCAACTCTTCGGGCACGTCAACCGGAACTCTCTCCATGGGAGGCGCGATAAAGGTTGGGCCTCTCATGAAGCTCGTCAACCGTGACGCGGCTAGTGTCATTGAGTGAGTCCTTGTTATCCCGCGGCGAGAGTTGGGAAGGGGGTATAAGTGCGCTGCCAGGAACGGACAATATAACTCACTCTCTTGAATCTGGGGAACGATCTGAATCGCCGATGAACCATTACCTAAGACGGCCACGCGCTTGCCTGACCAGTCACAGGCGCCTGTGTTGCGAGCTGGTCAGTCTGGCACACACGCATATGTTGCAGCGCGTTGGCCGAGGTGGGGTGCGAGGCCAACTCACCATCCCAATAAGCCGAGTGAATCAGGTCCCCCTCGAACGAGTGAAGCCCATCAATCTTGGGCCCTTGGAGGGGAGACTTCGATGTCAGCGGGAAAGCGCAGGAATTGCCATTCATGGCTGAGCAAGTGCAGCGAAAACCAACCCACATTTCCAGCAGTTGATAATACCGGAGCCGTTGATAAGCACATGGCACCAATCGGTGATAGTTTGGCCGTTGTGCTCAATCTTGACCTCTCACTGCGCACGGTCCTCGTGCCAAACAGCGCCGACTACTCTATGCTTAAGCTTGATGTACTTGCGGAGGTTGTACTTGTCGCAAAAGTTGACAAAGTAGTCGTGGATCTCGGGCGAGTACTACATGTTCCGTTGTAGTGTGAGTGTAGGTGTATTCTGAAGTGAGACAATGGTAGCATAACGTACAGCATAGTAGTTCTTCCACTTGGGATTTGGTTCGAACGTGTAACTGTGCTGCGGTCAATACCTCCCACACGATCATGCTGATGATCGGGGTGTGGTGAAGCCCTACGTGTATATTTGTGCGGGCCTGTTCTTGAACGATATTCTGTTAGTCAAGCACGGCATGACTCTCGAGGGCAGAGCGAGGTGTCCACCACGTACACATCACAAGCGCATCCGGGATACCGATCTAAGAGTTGGGAACACCAGTCAGTACCACGCTGGCCAAGGCAGGAAGTTCAATGGACTGCTCACTCTCGAGCCAGGTGCCGCCAATCTCCTCGTTCTTCTCATAGCAGATGAGGTCGTAGTGCTCGAGCTGACGCTCCATCTTGTAGGCGGCGCAGATGCCAGTGGCGCCGGCACCAATGTGAATGATGCGGATGTTGCGCGGCTGTGAGTGCCACTGGTTGAGCATTTGGAAGCCTGTCGAGGCGTGACTGGTGGTGCCGTTGGCTGTTCCGGGAGTCGCCGTAGCGCCCGCAGCCACGCCATGATCTTTGTGGCCGTTGGTGGTTTGCGGGCCCCTTGCACTGGACCAGCCGTCGCCGGCGCCGGCGCCTTGTCCCATGTCCTCAGTCATTGTGAGCACGGATTTGGTTGTGAGAGATTATGAGGGAGAAGTGCTATGGTGATGGTGTGATCAGTGTTGACTTGTGCTGGTTGCAATACGAGCTTGCTTTTAACTCGTCGTCAGCCGGAGGCAGCCCCAAATCGACCTTCGCGTGCTTTATCGAGCAATGGCCCATCAACCCCGGCCTGACTCCGCGGTGTTCTGGGGTTCCCCAGATCTTGAGGTCACCCGTACCATGCCATTCCGCATTGCCTCGCTTGGCAGGCTTCGGGCTCGATGGGGGTCGCCACCCCGGAGCCTCATTGACATCAGTTGTGCTGACTCGTCCCTAGCTCAGGACGACTCTCCCCTCACCACAGATCTCCGCACCCCGAACGCACTGGAAGTCATGGTCCCGCCGCATTTTCAGGCCCTTTCACCCAGCGCTATGCCAGCCGTTGTCGGCCATTTTAGAGATGCAGACCATCGCCATGTCGAACACAACTGTCGAACCGCCTGTAGTCAACCCAGCCGCAGCACATTCATTTCTCTATGGAGCCTACCTGGGATCGGCGTGCTGGGCGCTGCGCAGGTTCGTAGCCTCCGTTTCGGGCGATGGCAAGGCCTTTGACAAGATCATCAATATTACAACACCGGGGCTCGGCCAAGGCAGCATCACTGCCTCCGTGTGCCTGCCCAAATCGAAAACTCCCATCGGCGGCAGACTCCCATGCGTCGTTGTCTTGGAAGGCGGCGGCTTCATCCTCGGCGAACCCAACGATGGGCAGGACATGTGTAGAGAGATGGCAGATAAGGTGCGTAGCGACATGAAATTGTGAGAGCACTCACAGCATCTAGCACGGCTGATACTGCACCGACAGAGCGGCGCCATCATCCTCTCATTGGACTACGCCAAGGCGCCACGATACCCGTTTCCGCACGCCCTGCTCCAGGGCTACGAGGTGCTCCAGTGGCTCGGGACAGACCAGTCGCAGCAGGTTCTATCCGCCGAGATCGACACCTCGCGTGTAGCACTCTTGGGTAAGTCCGCCGGCGGCAACCTCGTGGCTGCGCTGTCGCTACTGGTGTCATTCCCTGCAGGGCCTTGCGCCAGCTTCCGCAGGGACTTGGGGCCTGACTTCCGCCTCCGCGCGCAGCTCCTGCTGTACCCTTCCACGAGCAACAACGAGCTCTATCGCGTTCGGTACGCGGGGACCGACGAGGCCGCCCGCACTAGATCCCTTCCTATCTGGATGGCCGAGCTCATGGAGTCTGCCTACCTCCCGCCTGGTATAGACGTTGATCAGATCTTTGTCGCGCCAAATCTCACAACTCCTACCTTGCTCAAGGAACTTGCTCCCCAGCTGGCCCCCTGCGCGCTCTTCATCGCTGGACTCGATTGTCTCAAGGACGAGGCCCGCGCATATGCGGGCCTGCTGCGCGATGCAGGCATCGAGACCGAGGTGCTCGACTACCCGCTGGCCATCCACGGGTTCCCGCACTACAAACCGGGGCAGCCAGACTATCGCGAGGAGGACATCAAGTCGTGCAGGGCCAGTGTCGTTAGGATACTCTGTGAACGGTTCAGACAGTAGTTTGACTCGCTGTGCGCCGATCCGTCAACGGATGGTCGCCTCGTCCTGGTGTCTATCTGCTTCTCGTCACCTTTGTCCTTTCCTCTTCCCACAGGCATGTTTGATGCTGCGTGTGCATCTATATTATATTGCCTATTTCCGTCCTCGAGTCGGGGCTGTTGTACTGTGCATCTCCATATTGATATTATAGCACGTCCGGAGCGCATCTATGAGAACCTTGATACGTAAATCTGTCAACAGATATGGCGAACGTGGAGAACAATCAGCAAGAAGACAAAATGTCCGCGCACATCCGCTTTATCTATGCAGACGATACTTTCGGGACCAGTTTGGCAAACTGGAATCTAACTTTGAGCAATTCGGGTCTAACCGGCCGTCAACGACAACCTGCTAATGTCAATGAGCCTATGCCAACTTTGACTACCATCCCTTTCGGGTATGGTTCTCAGTTGAGGTTCAGCGTTGTCGGGACCAGTGGCGTGGGTCTGGTGCTGGCTGACGATGCTCAGTCGACGTCCAATGGCATCGTGCATTCGTAATCGAAGCCAGGCTGGTGCCCCACTCGTATACGGATACGGCATCACCTCGTATTCGTGGGCGGATGCCTCGATCTGGCGGGCCAGCCACGCACAACGGTGGTGGTCGGCGAGGTATGCCCCGACTCGTTGGCTTGGCACCGAGTCAGCCCACTGCCGCTCCGGTTTGACATGTCCCCACGGCGCCCCTATGGGGCGAAGAGCTGACATCGTCTCTGCCGTGTCAACAGTGCCAGCTAGCCGTGCCTCCCCTGCCACAAAAGGCTACTTGGAATTGGATGGTGCGAGCTGGCAGCAAGTGCCTGCCCACCGCATCTTACAGAGCGTCGACGTAGGCAATGCATAGCCGCTGTGCGAGGAAGCTAATCTTGGGAGCGTGGTGTAAAGAGGAATTTTCTTCCACCACACCGACATGCGCCAGTCATGCGAGTCGCCCTGTTCGATCGCAAGGGGAACGGAGCGGGAAAAGGTCCATGCTGGCTCCTTTCTCAACCATCTGGAGGGCCAGAATTGCAGTGACGAGAAGTGAAGCTTTCACATCGCCGTCCTGAGACTCTCTGGGCGGTTTCCACGGGCTGAGCAGACGGCGGTGAATAACTCCGTCGCCTGGACTCAATCAACTTGTTGGGGTCCGCTTCTCTAATCCGTGCAGGGTAGGGGATGCGTCTTCAGCCTATTGAAGCGTAGGATACAGGCTATCAACACCAGTTCTTCAGTCTCCAGCTAGTATGACAGATCTCGTCGTGCCGGCAACAACGAGCAATATCTTTGTCCTAGGATTCTTGTGACAGTCTCTGCGGCCATCTGGCATGCCTTAAGAGAGCAAAACGGCATTCGAGCTTGTGCAATTGTCTCTGAACTACAAGCTAGCTTGCAAGTGATCTGCACAATCCAGTACACCCTATGAGACATGAACCCCGACCTTTCGATGCAATATGTCTGAGAACCTGCCCATCCTGATCAGCCTAATCGCTCTACGCACAGGGCCAGTTCTTGTGGAAGGTGATGGTGCCACCATTTGACGTGGCCGCGATGGCCGGGTCCGAGAGGAACAGGCAGTACTTGGCCACGTCGGCGAGGGCGACGTTGGTCTTGCCTGGCGTGTAGCCCGGATTCACCTGGCCGATGAGCTGGATGCCCTCCGTATTGATGCCTGCCGTCCGGAAGCTGTCGGACAGGTTGGTGTCGTCCATGCCGCCGAGGAGCAGGACGACGCTGTAGATGCTCTTAGCGCCGTATACCCCCGCCGTGTTCCTGGTGATACCGACCACTCCGTGCTTGCTGACTGTGTACGCCAGTCAGCCGTTGCAGCCGCGATAGCTGGCCACGGAGCCAATGTTGACCACGGTGCCTCCCGACGGGGATTGCTCGAGCATGGCGTTGACGGCAACCTTGGTCACGATGAAGGTGCCGGTGAGGTTGACGCCCAGCACGCGATCCCACTGCGCCTTTGTCGTTGTGCCGACTGGGTCGAACGTGTCAATGATGCCCGCATTGTTGACGACAAAGTCGAGCCGCCCGAACCTGGAAGTGATTGCGCCTACAAGTGCCTCGACAGCGGCCTCGTCGGTAATGTCGGTCTTCTCGGCCAGGAAGCGGCCTTCGTGGGCAGCAGCCAGATCGCGCGCGAAGTCTTCGAGCCGCTCGGCGTTGACATCGCAGACGGCGACGTTGTGGCCCGCGGACAGAAAGGCCTCTGCGATGGCGCGGCCGAGGCCCCATGCGCCGCCTGTAACGAGCGCAGTGAGCATTGGAAGAGCTGCTGCTGTTGGCGATGCCATGAATTTGACTGTGCCCTTTGTATTTGTATATGTATGTGTCTGTGTGTGCACGTGTGAGTATAACGATGTAACGAGCTGCTGGTTGCCGCTGATGACGGAGTAGTACGCATGGTAGATACAATACCGGGGTCCTGAGTACCGATACAACACCGCCACAGGCTCTTCTTGTGTTGTTATGACTGCTGCTGCGATTTGTCGCCAGATAGCCCCCCTACTATCGTGGCCTACGCGGGTCCAATTTGGGAATCCTGGCTTGTGATGCTGCCGGAGGCGTTATTAGCGCCGGCCGGCAGGGTCGTGGATTGGACCTTTGCTTTCTCGACGTGGGTTTGCCCGAGTCACTCACGCGCCGTCACTGTGCGAGCTTAGCCTCGTAATTCGAGGGCCAGCGGGGTCGCCTCGCAATCCTCGCATCGCCTTCGTTCTTAAACGAGGCGGATCTGGGGATAACGGTCCCTATCACGACCTACCTCCACCTACAAACCTCGCCAGCGACGGCGACTGCAACTGCAACAGCAAGCAACGTCGACTTGAGACAGCAGCATGGCCGGTGAAGTCCCCTTTAACCAGCAGGGCGCCTGGGTGTCGCCCGCGCTGCCCGGCCCGACCGTCGGCGGCGGCGGCGTCGCCACCGTCGTCTTCTCAACGCAGATCGCCGCCTCGCCCGCGCGCTGCCTCGAGGTCGGCCTCGATTCGGCGCGCTACCCAGCCTGGAACAAGTTCATCCGCAATGCCATCATTGAGGAATCGGCCAACCCGGCCGTTGTCGACACCCTCGATGTGTCCCTCAAGTTTCTCGGCGAAGGCGGGGTAAGGGACGGTCTGCTTGTGCCAGGTACAAAAACCTGCTTTATGTCGTGCCTGGATCCGGACAACGACAATTGCAACAATGTGCACCTCGTCGTCACTGTCCTCAAGGAGATCACCCATGAGGCCGCAAAGGGTTCCGCGTGGCGTGGGCGATGCAGGGTGTAAGTTCCCAGCCCATGATGCTATGATTTGCTTTTGGGGCCTGGATAGTCTACCTCACATGCGCATGCGCATGCACACGCGCCAGCAATGTATGCCTGCCTGGCTACATCACAAGCAAGGGGCTGACCCCCGCGAGCAAAACAGGGCAACTGGCTACAAAACGCTGAGCGCACGCAGGACTTCATCGAGTCCGCCGATGGCACGGGGACGGACTACTTCAACAAGGAGACCTTCTCCGGGCCTCTTTCGTACTTGATCAAGCCGTTCGTCGGGACCAAGCTGATCAATGCCTTGGAACTGTGGAAGGACGGACTCAAGGCTGAGGCGGAGAAGAACACATGATTGATCTGCGCCATGGCGGCTGGCAGAGGACTTTCGGAACAGGTAATACAGCAAGATCGGATGCCTGGAAAATATTGGAGCTGAAGCTCGGCAGCCGCTCACTGGCGCGCACCGAGCCGAAAGAACGAGACCATCGTTCCCTAGCACATATGCTAGACAGACCTCACCTGCATTGACAGAACTTGCTCCTCTACCCAACTTATTCTGAGGTCTCCATCAGTCCATTTGATATGTTTGGCTGGACGACGTTGGCAAGGCTCTCCTGGTCGAGGGGGTCCAGCTAGCGGCTAACCACGTACGCTGGATCCTGACAACGAATTCTAGTGTAAGAGACACCGGGATTTCTATACCATTGAAGTTATAGTGGGCAAATTGACCATTCTCGCGTCTCTATGGATTTGACTGCCCTGTCCATCAAAGGGCGTAGGAAAACGCAGAATCGCAGTACTTGAATCTTAGGCCGTCCGGTCCTACCTACAATATAGTAGCTAGTTAAGCCGGACGAACAAATCAACTCCCAAGTGGTTATTTTAATGCCTCGCAGTAATATAGACTTTTAGAGAATAGAATAGATGGGCAGGGCAATAATTAGCCCGTCTCGCACTTATTACAGTACAGTTTGCTGCGTCCAAACAAGATATGTAAGACACTCCGACTTTAGGGGGGCGATTTTCGACAAAAACTACGTTACGAATATCTATAAAATGCTATGCTCCGCCCTCACTACACAAAGCACGAGGCCTGACTCGCCTATCATATCTTTGCCTAACTAAAGTTGCGCCCGAAGCCGCTGGAAGCCGGCTGTTGGCTATGATTCTTGGCTGATTCTAATACGAAGTTGGAAGAAAGACAAGCCGTTCTTGACGAGCTCAACGTTGACTGATTTTATCATGAGTCTCAATCTGGGTTTCTATGTACCTCTATCTGTGTACTTTTCCGCCGGAACGTATCTTACATGTGAGGACTGGTCGAGCGAACCGGGACAGCTCATCCTTTCACTGCCTGCAGATGAGATGCGTGCTCTCCCGTCAGATCCATCGTCCTACGTTCTCCTGCGTGACACACATGTGTCCAGGACCTATGCTACCTTGTCTGTTGTTATCTCCCTTACGCGACTGCGTAATGCGCACAGCTGCGCCCCCCTCGACCTCGAACGACGTACCGTGGACGACGGCGCCGTCGACATGAATCACGGATGCGTCGGCGCTCACCAGAAGCAGCGAGGGCAGGGTGATGGTGGCCTTGGTACCCGCAGGCGCCTGAACCGTCATTTTGAGCAGATCGCCGCAAAAATTCCATCGGACCTCGATAGGGCCTGAAGGGGTAGGCACCTTGCCGCGAGCCCAGCTCTCGCCGAGCATGAGAGGTGCGACAGACCACTCCGCCCAGCCGGGCTCAGTGGCGTGAGCGCGTAGCACGAAGCGGCTGAGCTTCGGTAGCCCAACCGTTCGCAAGACTCGTGGAAAAGCCAAATGCGGGCTCGCCTTTGTCATTGAGCGTCTCCCAAAAGCAGCCAGTGTAATTGGCATTGTCCTTCTGAATCATGGGCGTCCACAAAGTTGAAAGAAGTTCTCGCGCCACCACGGCATTGCCGACGGTCAGGGCTCCACGGAGGTGATAGCTAGTGGTATAAGAGCTAATATATCGCTTGAAACCACTGGAGGTCGCGCCGGAAGAGAAAGCGACGGGGCCGTGGGGAGTAGACAGCTGCTTCAAAAGGGTCTTGAGGATTAATTCAGAGGAGCGGGCAGGGTCCTTGTTGACGCCGGTGAGGATAGCGAGTGCGTTGGAGTCCTGTGCAAAGCTGTCGCGGTTGGTCTCCGAGATTACGTACGCGACCAGCTCATCGCTCCAGAGCTGCGTGTTGATGGCGGAGCGAAGGGTGGAAAGGCGGTCTTGGGACACGGAGGCATCGACACCTCCGTCGGTAAGCAGGCGCGATGTCTCTTGGAGAGCGTATGCGTAGATGACGTTAACCTTGGTCACAACACCCGACTGCGCAGGGTCGTAGTAGTTCCAGTCGCCGCCAAAAGTGGCGCCGGTTAGGTTGAAGAGACCCTTAGGGAGCAAGTGCGAGTGGGACCAGTCGAGCATCCTTTGTGCTTTGGGAGCCCAGGTTTCAGCGAATTCGATATAACCCGTGTGGGTGTAGGTCATGGCCACAGCGGTTAACAGATTCCACGAGTAGCCGATCAGGCCGGTCCTATCGAAGCCCAGCGGCTCCGCGGCACCTTGCTGAATCTTGGCTGTGGGAACATCTTGGCTGTGGGGACGAAGAATCCCCGGGGTGCCCTGCAGAGAGCCAAAGAGCTCTAAAATTTCCGAGGATGAACTCGAGGCCGTGCGTGTTGGTAAGGGCCGCAGCCCCGGCAATGTCGAGATCGCCGGTAGAGGCGATGCGGTCGCGACGGGTTGCATCCGCCGAGGTGTCGAGGGGATTCTTGCCGACAAGAAAGTCTTTGAAACAGCTCGAATCAGTGAGCGGGTGTTCGTAGGTCGTGGCACAGGTGGCATCAGTCACCTTCAAATCTCTGAAGAGGGTACGGTGACCATACGAAGCACGGATGCCGTGAGAGCCGAAGAACTTGCTGAACTGGGAAAGCTTGAGTGCGGTAGCCCGGTTGATGGTCGCGTTGATATCAGTCATAACCACGTGGGCCTGGACCTGGTGCCAGCCGTCCAGACTGCTGGACGCACCTGTAGGAAGCGCCACCTTCTGAATCAGAGTATCCTTGGTTGTGGAATCGGAGTGCACGGCAATGGTGCCTTCGGCGACGTTGACCGAGATGTAGATGGTGCTGTTCAGCGTGTCAGACAGCACAGAAAACCCGAAACCACCCACGGATGGCTTGGCCTTGAATTCGAGGGCATGGGTTGTAGACGACTGCACGGTGATACCGATGGCAGCTTGGGGAGCTTGACTCTCAATTAGGACGCCTTCGCTTGAGACCTGCCAGAACTCCGGGATGGAGTTCTTGGGGATCTCGCTGGGCTGTACAGTCCTGGCACCAGCGGTTCAAATGTCGTTGAGGGTCCTGTCGGAGGTCTCGAAAGAGCCGGGAAGTTCTGCCAGGGGGGTCCAGGGGGGTCAATATGCACGGTTGGGACGACACCGACATTCTGCAGAGTGACCTCGCCAGCTGAAGAGAGGTTGTGCTTCTGGTAACGGAAGCCCCCTTAATCAGGCGGTTTTTGCTCTGCCCAGGGGCCGAGATGTTGTAGGAGTTGACACGGTAAGTGTCCATGGCAGCAGCAAGCGAGAGCGGGCCGTCGCCCTGTATAATCGCGATGAGTCAGCTGGGGTTCCTTGAGAGAAGAGCAGGGTTGAAGCGCCACGCGGAGCCTCACCATGTAGCGGCCCAGTGCGGCCTCGCTCTCAGAATACGTGATCTGAAAGACAGACGTGTCGCCTGAGGCAGAAACAACCTCAAACTCCGGGATGCCTTCTGTCTCAACGCTGTAGTCGAGGATCAGAATGCCTGGCGCGTCCATGGTTGCGCTCAGCACGATCCGCCCATCTTGCGCCTTGATTAATCCGGCAGCTGCACCGCTAGGCAGGGCGCGGTTTAGAGGCGCCCGGATGGTCGCGCCTGAGACGAGGATGGCAAAGCCGAGCTGGCCAAAGCTATGATACGAAGGACAAAGCATGAGGAAAATGGATATAGAGTAACAATTTAACGAAATAAGAAAGAAGTATATACACAGAGAGAGATAGACAGAGAGAGGAGAGAGAGACGATGTGAATATGCAGACCAAGGACGCATCTGGACTACTGCATACTGGAAGGCGGATGTGCCACTATATAGACGCAGGTAGCGCTTCTGTCTTCGCCATGATGGCATGCATAACATGGCCACGGGCGTTAGCGCCTGCACACGTTGCTGATCTGCATGAAATACCTCTGTTAGGGGTACCCCAGACACGACTGCAGCTTTGGCGTGCCGTGCGGCATGCATATGCCAACGCGGGATAGTGGACCAGCCCGGCTTATCAGGCCCCGAGCGCAGCTTCGTTCCTAAGCGAGCATCGTTCCTAAACGAGCCATCGTTTGTACTGCAACCAGGCCAACTGCCGAGACACGACTCTTCCTCGAGACCCTCCCTGACTCGGGCGTTTCGCCAGTCATTACGGAGCACGCACTGCTCCGCAATTGGCATGAGGCTATGCAGCTAGTGACTGAAAAGGTAGACCGCTGCAGGGTAAAGGATAGTGTTAGAAGTGGAGGAATTAAGGTACTTAGGAAGCAGGTCGACCAGGGCTGAAGGGTACGTACCTCTGAAGTACAGAGGCCGATGTGAGGACCCAGCGCAGTGGCCAGGTGAGCCAGAAAAGGCCCTCTGGGCACTGAAGGGCTTCCCAGGGGGGCTCAGACACACATACGCGCCAATCAATGAGGCAACTTTCAACAGTTAGATATTGTTGTAGGCTTGCTTTGTCCGTTCTTGCGCTCTGCCACAATTGTCTGATTCTGCAGCATTCATGTGCCCAAGTATCAGCCTTGCTGCCCCCAATTCCACAACTCTGCATTGCTGCTCACCTCAGTCCTTTCCACACATCTCCGCGTTCAATGCATTTGCCAAAGGACGAGGACGCAGCCGGCAAGGCCGAGCCGGGCAGCCTCCGCAGCTCCATGGACGTTGAGCATGATCCGCCGCCCCCCTACGAGCTCATTTCGACCGGCCCGTTGCTGTCAACATACACGAGCCTGACATGTAGGCCCACGTTGAGTGCCGTGCCCAACTCCCATCGCCATGCTGACTGCCGTGGTGTTCTGTAGCGGAGGGTATCCTTCATATCGACCTGACCTCGTCCAATGCGGCAAGGCTCAGCACTCTTTTCGCCCATCCCCCGGGGCCTGCCTCTATGCTTGCCTCTTTATCTCAACAATCCTCTGCCGGGAAGTCCCCGCGGGGGCAGACAACGCCATGCCCCCGCCTCAACATCGTCATCTTCGTTGTCGGAAGTAGAGGTATGCCACGAAACCTCTTTATGGCCTCTCGACAGACGCTGCTGGGACCTTGACTAAATTTGCTGCGCAGGCGATGTCCAGCCATTCATCGCCTATGGCACTGCCTTGCAGCGCTACGGTCACAGGGTCCGGCTAGCTACTCACGGCACCTTTGACAGGTTCGTCCGGGACTCCGGACTCGAGTACTTTGATATAGGCGGCGATCCGACCGATCTCATGGCCGTAAGTAGCTCTTGCCTCCACGTTGCTGCATCTCTGTAGCAGCCGTGTCACAATACTGACTAGTTGCCTCGGCGTCGGCAGTACATGGTCAAGAACCCCGGGCTCCTGCCGTCGTTCGAGTCGATGCGCGGCGGTGACATTAGGCGTAAGCGTAAGATGATGGCGGAGATGCTGCAGGGCTGCTGGAATTCGTGCATCCTGCCCGACGCCGTCACGAGCCGGGCCTTTGTCGCCGACGTCATTATCGCCAACCCCCCAAGCTTTGCGCACGTCCACTGCGCGCAGGCCCTCGGTATCCCCGCACACATCATGTTCACTATGCCGTGGACCGCAACGCGTGCGTTTCCGCACCCGCTGGTCAAGATGAGCGCCGAGAAGATCGAGCCCGGCGTTGCGAATTGGCTCACTTACGGCCTGGTAGAGCTCATGACCTGGCAGGGGTAAGGCTCGACTTTGTTGCTATTTTTTTGTCCCCCTCTTTGGGAAGAAGCCTTCATTGGGTTCTCATTGACAAGTGGGAAATAGCCTGGGCGATGTGATCAACAACTGGCGTAAGAAGACGCTCGAGCTCGACCCCGTGCCTGCCACGATGGGCCCGTCCATCGTAAGCTACCTGCGCATCCCTCACACGTACTGCTGGTCGCCGGCCCTCGTCGCAAAGCCCGGCGATTGGGGTGACGAGCTTGGTACGTCTTGCAATTCACCTGCCCCTGTCCGCAGTTCTCGGTTCGTGTTGCAAGTATTGCTCAAGAGCACTGCCTCCGGCAATCTAGCCTATTTCGCACAGGATTACCCACGTCGAACTTATGATAGCTGAAACAAAACTGGCATTCGCTTCTCAGATGTCTGCGGCTTCTTCCTGCGCGACGAGCCATCCTACAACCCGCCCGCAGACCTTGCCGATTTCCTTGCAGCAGGACCGGCCCCCTTGTATGTCGGATTCGGCAGCATCGTGCTAGAGGACCCGGAGCGCCTGCACGCGGCCATTCTCGAGGCCGCAGTGGCCTGCGGCGTGCGGCTCGTCATCTCGCGCGGCTGGAGTCAGCTTGGCGGTAATAGCTCCAGCAACAACGACATCTTCTACCTCGGAGACTGCCCGCACGGTGAGTGCCCCGACTAAGCCTGGAAATGGCTAGGATCTCCGCGTGATATTGAGCTAACAGCGTTGCTTGCCCCTGGCAACAGAGTGGCTTTTCAAGCAGGTTGTAGCCGTCGTCCACCACGGAGGAGCAGGCACGACCGCGTGCGGCCTCATCAACGCCAGGCCCACCCTCATCGTCCCGTTCTTTGGCGAGTGCGTGGCTTCTTTCCGTATTGTCGATGTACATATTCCTAACATAACCTCCCTCCTGCCGTATAGCCAGCCATTTTGGGGCAATGTTGTCGCCAGCGCAGGCGCGGGCCCGCCACCCATCCCACAGCGCGAGGTCAAGACGCAGAACATGACCGAGGCCATCCGGTTCCTCACTTCACGCGCGGCCGCGGATGCCGCCCGTGGGGTTGCGAACAAGATGCGCCAAGAGAACGGCGTTCAGGCCGCTGTCGAGTCGCTCCACCGCCACCTGCCGCTGGCCGCAATGACGTGCGACCTTGTCCCCGGCGAGGTTGCGCGGTGGAGCATAGGCAAGCGCGAGCGGCGCGTCATTCTCTCCGACCTCGCCGTGGCCGTGCTGGTCACGAAGAATCTCCTCAAGTTGGGTGACTTGGAAGCGTGGGTCTCCTTTCATTTGTGTTAAATGCTCTCATCCTTATATGGGTATGGATCGTGGCTCATTCATTTTCTTTCTGGTGGGGCAGACTGAGGATAAGGGAGTTCGACATGGACGTGAAGCGCTGGGACCCGATCTCGGGCGGCGCCGCGTCGACACTCGGCGTCATGACCGACTTCACGGCATCGCTAGGCGGACTGTTCATCGATCCGTACAAGGCATACAAGCAGGCGTCTGCTGCGAGCGGGAGCTCCACCAAGGCGGCCGGTAAGGCCACAGTCGCCGTGGGCGGGGGCTTCGCCAAGATGTCGGGCGTGCTGGTCAGGGGCACGCTCGTCGACACCCCGCTTGCGCTGGCCGAGGGCATGAGGAATATCCCGCGGCTGTACGGCGAAGAAGTCAAGGACTATGGCAAGGGGACGGACTGGAAGAGCGGTGGCGTGGTAGCTGCGAAGGTCAGCCATCATGCCACCCCTGCGACGTGTGGACGTGGTGAGATGTGAAATGCTGACAGCGCAACACTACAGAATTTCGGGTCGGGCTTCTACCACGGCATCACGGGCGTCGTTGTCCAGCCATGGCAAGGCGCCAAGAAGGAAGGCTGGGTGGGCTTCCTGAAGGGTGCTGGCAAGGGCTCGATCGGGCTCGTCACGAAGCCGGGCACAGGTTTGTACTCCTCCGTCTTCCTTCGGGCACCAACTGCTCACTCCATTCGGGTAGACGAGCGCTGTGCACAAGCAGCAAGAGATCTTGCGGCATGCTGACTTCTCTTTTGCGTGCAGCGATGTTCGGCCTGATGGGGTACCCAGCCCTCGGTATTCAGAAGTCATTGATGGCCCGGAAAGGCAGAGAAGCGGCGGTACTGGGCTCCAAGGGTGCGCAGGTGGACCTCCTCGCGTCGCAAATGCCGGCCTTTGAGGAGGCGCAGGTGCGGCACATCACCGAGCGCTTCAAGCAGCTGACCAAGTGAAAATAGTCTTGGGATTTTGCGGGCCAGTGTCGTTTCTGATGACGCCCAACTTATAGCATTCGTTGTGTCCTGAAAGAGCTGCTGGCATGTGATATGATCTCAAACTGACACAAAACGCCAAAAATGCTGGACGAACCGAGGCTAAATAGTTATGTACGCTCAATCACATTTACTTGATCTGAGTGAGTAGCAGAGCGTGTTTGGAATTAGTTACCGCTCTGAAAACCAAGAAACCACAGCTTGGGATCCGTGACGTCTGGCACAAAACGCACCCCGAGCCTACACATCACCAATAATGGTGCTCCGCTACTGTTCTTCCATCACGGCCTAGCCTGTTGATTGAATACGTAAGCTGGAGCTTGTGCGACAGAGTGGGTGATCAACCAATCGTGGAGCAAGGTCTTTTCTAATGCCATTAAAACTCGTCACGATGTCTGGTTCCACATGTCCTACGTCGAGTTGATGTTTCTCAGCAGACATGGCATTTCGAAGCTGATCTCTCCGGCTTCAATGTATGCCAGTCCATTGATTTTGCAGTAACAGTAGCTAGAGTCGATATTGGTCCTGGCGCTTGTTCAGGTTTGGGCTCCGCCTGTACAGGTTGCAGTTGAAACATTTCTTTCTCCCTTTAAATGGCGGACGACATTATTGTCATGCGAGACGTTTTTACTGCTGCACTGCGGACAATTGCAACAACTCGAGGTCTCTGGAGAAAACGTTTGTACAAGGTACTACGACCAGACTGCAAAAGAGATACTGGCCGGGGTCACGTGCTGAACCGGAGTCCTAGTCAGAAGTCCTCGACTTATATAGCTGTCCCTGTGTTAGCGGCGTAGACAGCGTACTGTCGGCTCAAAGTAGAGATCTCCTGGCCGCTTGGGACTAGCTCGAGAGACTATGCTGCTTGTAACTTTTGGTGCCGCGAACCGGGCTGTGTGACTGGCCCCCTCGCTGGGTACGCCCTGCCGACTTCGCATCAGCGTGGCTGAGATGGGGAAACGGCCAGATTCAATGCAACCAGACGCACGAAGATGCGTCAGGAAAATCTTGGTCCGCCAAGATTTGACAATCTAGTCGACCCTAGTCTGCTAGCTAACTGGCGTATACTGACCCTTTCCTTTATTAACAGACTCGAGGTTTTCTACTTCTGGGATTGCAGTATCGTTGCGCATACGGCAGTACTGAGGACAAGCCCCTGTTAGTTGTCCGGGGAACAGGGCGTGTCTTGACCTTATCTTGCTAGCTGACGGGTCCCGGCTGCATCAGCGCTGGACCAAGACTTTCCTTACGCACCTCCGTATTCACGTAAGAGGATAGGCCCGCCCGGGCGCAGACCTCCGGTGGAAATGGCGTGCATGTGCTTTGAACCCAGCCTACCCCTGCTGCGCGTATAGAGGCGTATCGCGTACAGAATCCGAGGGCTGACGCTAAGGTTTGGGGCTAAGCACGAGGCCCACAAGCGGTAAGCAGGCACGCAGGCTCCAGATTTAACATTGAACGTTGGAACATCCCAGTGGATCGGAGGGCGACGCTGTGACGCCATTCAAAGGCCCCGTCCCATCCCTTCCGATGGGTCAGCTTGAGCACTGCGGCATGCTGGGTGCCTGGTCCGAGGTGTTGTCGGACGGCGTCAGAGAATACGCTCGGCCTTCGCATCACTCGTAAACGGTGCGATAATCTCCTTATGCTGTCATGCCCTCTTTGAGGGGCCCCACGTAACCCGCGCCAGGGCTTGCCATCATCAGTCCTAGGCCGAGTCGTAGATGAGTATCCGCCCGATCTTCTGCTGATTCAAATACTCTGCTATCTCCAGCCTGTCTAGTCCTCGCTAGTCTCGTAGGCCATGCCTCATATTCTCTCCAGTGCGGTGCCAGTAATCTCGAGCCGCCATCTCTTTCCTTCCGCCGACACGCCTTCACAACAAACTTCGACTCTCTTTACACATGGTAGACCACTCTGCGGCAGCCGCGCCAGATGCGGGCGCCTTCGACTTTAAGCTCTACCGCTACGATTTGTCGCTGCCAGCTGCGATCGTGGCTGTGGCTGTCTTCCTCATCCTCTCCCTGCTCCACACATGGCGCATCATCCGCCACCGCTCCCTGTATTTCACCGCCTTCACAATCGGCGGTTACTGTAAGGGCCACCGCAGAGTTCCCGAGCTCGGTTTTATGCGAAACGTGCTGACCTAGTGGGTTTGTACTTGACAGTCCAAGTGGTTGGGTACTGCGGCCGGATATGGTCTCACTTCGATAACAAGGCCCTCGGGGGCTTCATCATGCAGGCTATCCTGATCCTCGTCGCGCCCGCGCTGTACGCCGCCTCAATCTATATGATTCTCGGGCGCCTCATCCGCGCGGTCCACTCCGAGCGCCTCTCCATCATCCCACTCAAGTGGATGACCAAGATCTTTGTAGCGGGTGACATCGTCTCCTTCTTCCTCCAGGGCGGGGGCGGCGGCATACAGGCCGGTGGAACCCTTCAGCTCTACGACCTTGGGGAAAAGATCATCATCGTCGGGCTATTCGTCCAGATCGTCATCTTTGGCTTCTTCCTCGTTACGACCGTGACGTTCCATGTCCGCCAGCGCAAGGCCAGCAGCCGCAGCGCCAGTTCCGGCGACTTTGCCGTATCCGACGACAGCCTCACCGGGACGACCATTCCCTGGCAGCGCCACCTCACTGTGCTCTACGTCGTCAGCACCTTCATCATGATCCGTAGCATCTTCCGCGTCGTCGAGTACCTCCAGGGCAACCAAGGCTACCTCATTTCACACGAGCTCTTCCTCTACATCTTCGATGCCGTGCTCATGGCCATCGTCATGGCCATCTTCCTCGTCTTCTACGTCGACGACCTTGACACGGGCAAGAGGGGGGCCTTCGGTGACAAGCGCACCTCTGGTGCCGAGCTGCTCTCGAGTCGCGACAGCATGGGCCACGAGATGGCCTCAAGGGCAAAGACAGGGCGAGAAAAACAAGAACGGGAATCGGGGGCGATGATAGAGAGAGCCTGATCGCCTAACAGACATGTACACAAACCAAGCGGGGCTTCTCCCCCGAATCAGATGAACAGGCATTTAGATCTGGGAGCATTTCGTGACCGACTCCACGTCACGAGCTGAAGCTTCCTTCGGCTTCTTCATTATTTCCTCTGTCGCATTAGATATTTTCATGGGTGTCCCTCGACATGGCAGTTTTGCTTGGGAGCAGAGGAGATTTAGAGATCCGAACACGTACCCGCAACTCCCGAGGTTGCGAACTATAGAATCACAACGCATCGCCCACCAACTAGAGAGACTTGCTATTCACCGGCGAGCTAGCTGATTCTGTGATCAGCACGCCGAGATGCCGACAGGTGTAGGAAGGATGGAGGATGACGGGGTACGAATCAATAGACTACTGGAGGCTTTGGGGTCGGAGAGCCTCACTGGTGGGAAGGCAAAGGCTGATAAAGTAGGAGATGACTAGTAGAGGTACAAGGTTTGCGATCGCGCAGGCACAGCAGTCTCCGTCTGGATCAGTGGTCACCGTTATTTTAGTGGTCGATCGTACACCCCACGGAATCGCCATTCAATCAAAACACCGGGATCCCAAAGAATGGCCGACTAGCTTACTTACGCTGCAGTATCTGGTTCCATCTGCCAGCCACACTACTCGATACGCGGGGGCTGGGCCTGGCAAGCCACGGGGCTCCACTCCCCGTACAAGTTGGCTCCTTGGTCAACACACGACCTCTCCCTCCTATAAGCAGGTGTTCGGATCATACGGATATGGCATTACGCTTCATTATGATACAAGGATTCCATGCTCCTGCCTGTCTGCCTGTCTGCCTGTCTGCCTGTCTGCCTGTCTGCCTGTCTGCCTGTCTGCCTGTCTGAATGCCCATGGCAGCAGGAATGCCAAACTTGAATGAGAGAAGAAACTGCTGCAAACACTTCATCATTTCACATGCGCCCAAGTGCCGTTGGCGGGATGAAGCCGACCTCGTCCATGGCCCAGCGGGTCCACAACCGGCCCTCCTCGTCGAGGATTTCGTAGGCCTGGCTGACGAGGCGCAGTGCCCAGCCCTGCATCCACCAGTGGCCCTCGAGCGTGTGGAGCAGCACGCAAAAGTAGGCAAACACGGCGACGGCCTCGTATGTCGGCACCCGCAGCAGTGGCAGCAGGTCGTCTGCCACAAGGTAGACCCAGATGAAGGCGTCCATCATTTCGTAGCCGCTGCCGTCCCGCTGGAGCAGCTCGGCCTGCAGAAACGACTTCTTGAGCTCCTCGATGGCGAGCGCGTACGCGTGCCGCAGGCGGGCGTCAGCGGCTACATGCGATCGCGAGGCGATGACGCTGCCGAGCTCCTCGAGCCGTGCCCGCGCGGCCGACGGCACCGCCGTCTCGGGCACCTCGCGGAGCATGTACCGCTCGCCCGCGAAGGTGAAGAGCGGCCGTAGCGGCCCTTGCTCGGGCACTCCCGCGAGTTCGATGAGCCCTTTGGTCCCGCGCTGGAAGTAGATCCAATCTGGGAATTCGGATGGCGCGCCGCTGCCGCCGCTGGTGCCGCTGCCGAGGAACAGGGTGTCGCCCGGGGCATGGCGCCAGCCGAGTGCTGTCAGACGAGTTGTGTGAGAGGAGAGCAAGCTCGGTCGACAAGCAAGAGGAAGAGAGGGGACGCATGCCTTACCGTAGTAGTTGGTCATGATGGTAAACAGGAAGAGCTTCCGAGCAGAGTCTGGGTCGGCATTCAACAACAGCGGCATCGCGGTCTGCGATGCCGCCTGCTGGTGCATGATAGCGAGGGTGTGGTAGTGATCCTGCCTGTCACGGCGATTGTGCGCCAGGTGCAGGCTAGACACGGCGAGGATCGCCCGCATCACGTAGTCGCAGTCGAATCCGACCTGCACAATCGTCGTCCTGTAGAATTCGCGCAGGATCTACAAAAGCACAGAGGGAGTAAGTTAGTGTCATCAATTCTTGCTTGTAACTTGGTCCGGGCTCGGACTCGCGCACCAGGTTGTCCGCCAGGGTGAGATAGGTGGTCGTTGTGTAGTTGTGCAGCAGCTCGAGATCAGCCATGTTGAGCCCCGAGGGCGAGAGGCTCGGCTGCGGCGTGCCTCCTGCCGTGAAGTCGCAGGCGACCTGGCGTCGCCTGCAGTTGGAGCATGATGGCTTCGCCTCATCGCACTGCCCAGCAATATGGAGTCATGTCAGCGAGTGCAAGATCATCCCGGAATCTTGCATTTATACGTCTGGCATAGCTCACACACACCTTGATCTTCCGCAATTTGCAATTCTTACAGCCTGAACTCGTCCTAAAGGGTTAGTTACCGAGACTCATGACTTTCGAGAGGGGAGCCAATCAGTCTTTGGGCAAGCAGGAAGAAACATGTAGCTCCAGCCTCACATGCAAGTGAAGTAAAGAACAAACACCAAAAAAAAAAAAAAAAAAAAGAAAACAAGCAAATAGACTTGCCAAGGCGGCTCTTATGATGCGCTTTACGCTTCAATCCTGCCATGTAGACGGTCGGCTCCACAGGGAACACGTGTGCTGTGGCGACCTCAAGGGGGCGCACGTGCAGGTTCAGAGGTGCAGGTAAGGGGCTGCGGCCACTGGGGGCCAGGAGCGACGTACGGCGGCTTTGATGGCTGTTGCAGGGTGGACAAAAGAGAGGGAAAAAAGTGTGCATGATGCTGCGGACTGCGCTGCGAGTCTGGGCCATTGGGACTCAGTCGGCGCTCTGATCGCCTGTGGAGTGCCTGTGCCGGGGTCCAAGCGTTCGGCTCAAACTAATTTGGTGCTGGCGCCGCCTCGAGCTGGCAGCAGCACTCTGCAGGCTGAAAAAGTGGATCTCGTTTCCAATAGTAAACTCTGTGTGCAAAAGGTAAACGTCCACAAGGCTATGCGGATGAGATTGCGATCGTAAAAACTTCAGGAGAGGGACCAAGAAGGTAGCTGACTTCAACGCGCCCGCCTTAAGGGCGCCAAAACGATCATCGACCAGCGGCGACATCCCCTGAAGGATCGGCACCGTGTGCTTTGTAATGGGGTCTCAAACTAATGGTTGTTTCGCACATCCACATGTAAAGCGAAATCACTGCTGGTCTGGAGCAGAACACCGCGCAAAGCACACGGGAGCTTGATTTCGTCCCAGCGAGACCACCACCCCACGCGAGAAAGGCTATCAAGGGGTCTGCCGACACTGCCAAGGCTGCAGCAGCGAAGACAGGATCCTTGTCGAGATTGCTGGCTCTGAGAGCAGTGACGGAAGTGCAGCTTGACTTGAGTGATTCACAGACGTCTCTCTGGCAAGCTATGCTGGGCAGCCCGTTTGCCATACATACCCTTTAGGGTCATGCCCAGTCTGATTCATTCTGTTCACGTGCAAAGTCTGACGATTCCATCACAAGTGATATTGTCTCTGTCATGAACGAAACTCAGCACGAGCCGGGCGATGAAAGTTGAGCCTTTTCACATAACTCACCTGCAGCTATGGCTCTCTGACAAGTCGACGTCTCTCCGCCGGAGAAAAGAACCAAATATGCTCATTAGCATGTGGTACAGACTGACTTCGCAACGTCTGTAAAAGGTGAGGTGGTATAGACGCACCAAACAGGGCATTCCTTCCTCTTCCGGCCGCAATGATCAACCTATCATAGGTACCAGAATCAGCCTCGTGTACCTGCCGTTCTTGCCGATCCCTTCGACTGCAGGTCAATTTCCGACCAATAGCCTCAGCGGATCCAACCAACATATGCACGAATGACATAACCTGCAGCGACATGTCTCGGAGACTTTCCTCCACTGCCGTACTGCCTCAATAGCATAAGGAGTTCCCGATGCCCAATCAGCCTGAGACAGGAGTTGGAGTCCTCACGCGAAGACTCTTGGACAGCCCCCCGCAAGTATCCCCATTACGCTTGTGCTGCAAAGAGACTCGTTCATCAGCCAAGCCGGGTTCCTCTTTGTATGACTAGACGTCATTCGTGAGACAGCGTTATATTGAGCTGTGCAGTAACAGGCAGCCGCTATTCTCGTGTGTGTCCCTGTTGTCGATCAGTCGTAATGTGATGCGAGATACCTCCCGTGCCTGTCTGGCACTTTCTTCACAATCTCACACACATTAGACAACAAGTATATGTGCATGTGGTCAGACGCAGTTGAAATGGCGTCCAGTCTTCCTGGCACATTAGTGACGGTAGCTCTCAAATGTGCCCGCTCTGAGTAATACTCCACGCGATGCTCTACACAATCGCCGCGGCAGCCGCTGCTGCCCTCGCTTTTACAGCCTCGACCACTCTGGCGGCCAGCGACCCGTACCACCCGGACTGGATCACCCCAAACCCGAGCCCGGACATTCAAGGCACTGTGCACTTTCCCGGCCGCCGCCTCGACCGCCCCTGGCCCGGCACCTGGGACGAATCCGACACGCCTAGCCAATGGACGCTCCGGCTCAACATCAGCCAGCAGCGCCGTAAGTGGTACCCGACATTCACTACCGGCGAGGAGAAGTACACGAGCATCGCCGCCGAAATCATCCCGCCCGCCGCAGACATGCCTGGATCATTCGGTACGGGGAGCAACATTACCTCGTCCTGGCTGCTCAGTCTGGTAGCTGTCTCGCCGCCAGGCGCGCGTACGTTGTCCCAGGGCAACGACGTCGAGAATGGGACGTGTCCGGGGAGTCTGATCAGCGAGGAGTGCGTGGCAGCGCTGAAGGATCGGTACAGAAATGACCCGAACGTGACGCATGGCCAGGGCGGGCCCAAGCCGGGTGCCGGGTGTGGCGTGTTTGCGGCGGCAAGCACAACCGGTGAGTTTTCAAAGTCCATAACACATATCCGTGAACCATGAAAGGATGCATTGCAAGTCCTCGATTTAGAGCTTTTCTCGTGTGCCATCATTCGGAGCAATATTTTTCTGTTCTGCCCAGGTCATCAGCAAGTCAACCAGCCTAATCTGACTACAGAACTATCCTGGGGCTCCGGCTTCACCCGCTCCGCCACAACAGTATGGCAGCTCGATCGCACAACTACAGAGTTCGACCCCTACGACGTCTATGGCGCGCGCACTTTCCCCTTCGTCCTAGTATGGGGTTACCAGTCGCCAGCTGTACGAGAGGGTCTCGCGCTGCCCCGAGACCACATCCAGATTCTCTGTGTCAAGGCGGATACCAAATACTTGGCAGGTGGTGCCGCGATGCCAAAGGGAGATGCGTCGAGACCCCGGGCGGCGGGAGGTGCGACAACGATGTGGCTTGTTATGTGTCTTGCCGTGTCGTTGGGTTTGTATATTGGCTAGGAATTTTGAAGATTGGTTGGTGCTCCGCGAGCATACCGGATGGAGAACGAAGGAGGATGGCTGTCCGAATTTGACCGCCGTACATTGTGTGCTGTGCGATTGCTGCACGATTCGACCGACTTCGCGGTCACAGGCTCAGCGAAACGGCCTGTGGAACGCTCAGAGGATGTGGATTGGCCCATGCTTGAAAATAGAGATTGCGTCCGCCGATGAAGGTGGCAGCCTGGGAGGACGATCACGTCCCCACATATCTGTACTGCAATTGCAGGAAAGCATTGTTTTTGTAACCACGGTCGCACGCCTATGTAAGGGAGCTTTGTGTTGAGATGGCGGCATAGACCGGCGCCCGTAGAAACCGCCTGGAGCGCACTGCTTTGCAAGTCCGAAGACTGGGGATTAGCATTGCTAGTTTGTGAGCGCAATCATAGCGAATCCATCATAATCCAAGATTTCGACAAAGTATATATGCAATATTCCCTAGCTACGATTTCTCCAGGGTGTCTAGACTCTGCAATGGCATCTTCACAGTCGCGTCGACGGATGATCCTCCAAGTCCTTTACAGGAGTGGCCCGTACATACAAAGGCTTCTTGGCCCAGATTGCAAAGGTCCGCTGATCCATCCATTCACCATGTTTCGCGTTCTCCTCCTGGTCAAGCTCCAGATCAAACCTCATTACTAACGCCGCAAAGATGAGCCGCATCTCGTGCATGGCCATCTGCTGACCGAGGCAGTTACGCGGGCCCAGGCTAAAAGGCATTACCCAGTCCCTTGCATCGTTTGCGTATTTCCGATCGTTGAGCCATCTCTCAGGTACGAAGGCGTCGGGGTCGGTGAAGTTATGGGGAGAGTGAAAGGTTGAGTATTGGTGCACGCTTACGCGAGTGTGCTCGGGTAGATGTTGTCCGAGGATCACGTTGCCGCCCTTGGGAAGCTCGCGCGGCAATCCTGTGGGGAGGGCCGGATAGACACGCATCGACTCCTTGATGCATGCGTTGTAGTATGGCAGGTTGGCCGTCTTCTCGAAGGAGATATTCCCGACTGTTTCCAAGGTCGTGCGTAGCTCGCTTTTGAGCCTGTCGAACGCAGACGGGTTCCTGAGTAGGTTATACGTCAAGCCCGCCAGGACTGTTCCTGTTGTCTCGGATCCTGCCAGCATGAACAGCTCTGCATTAGAGTGCATCTCCTCGAGAGACAGGCCTTTCTCCGACCCCCGAGCCTCCATCACCATGTTCAAGATGTCTGAGTTCTCGGAGCCGAGCCTGATGCGATCATTGACACGGTCGGCGGTGTGTTTGGCGTGCTTATCACGATGCTCCTTCGCCCACTTTGGTTCGAAGACGGAGAAGAGCCACTTGAGGACGGGGTAGTACTGGATGATGGACACGATGGGCAGCATCGACAACAGGCCAAACACCGAAGCTACCCACTCGCTGTACTCGTTGTTGACAAGTAGATCGAGCGGCTTGCCGAAGCAGAGCTCGGCCATGATGTCAAATGTCGTGAAGTTGTAGAGACGCGTTATCTCTATCGCTCCCGAGTCTGCACTGAGCCTCTCAACCAGTGCCAGCAAGTTGTTGACTGATTTTTTGAAGAGCGGCTCTTGCTGCTTGAGCGCGCGATCCGAGAAGGCCGGCGCAAACAGCTTTCGAACTCTCGTGTGGTCCTCTTGGCTGGCGTTGATGATACTCGCCACGCCGTTTGGGTTCTCGACGTGGAAGGCGGACGGTTTTGGGTTCTCCTTGCGGCCCTTCTCGTAGCCTGCAATGTCCTTCCAGGCCCGCCCATCAGCATAGCTGACGTCCATGGGTCCGAAGCGCACCACTGCGCCATATCTCTTGTGCAGGTCATGCATCCATTCCACCTCCCTGCCGACGACGTAGTGGTACCAGTACGGAATGCGCGAAAAGGCGCAAAGCTTTGGGCCGGGTAAGATGGCAAGCGGATGAAGCGTGATATTGTAGATGGCGAGAGCAGCGAGGGACCCAAGTACAGCCGTCGTCACGACGGACACAGTGTAGAGTAATAGGGCCATTGTCGCTCTCTACTTATCATTTGTAATGTAAATAATATCGTAGTCAAAGAAAGCTGGACAAGTGGAGGACCAATTGTCTTATTAGTTTGCGCCATGTGGCGTATTCGTCTAGATTTGTCACGCTCTCATGGCCTCTGTAGGGATGCTTGGATAGATGTGGTTACATTCTCAGATGACTAACCAATAAGGGCGAGAGAACCGGCCTATCATGCAGATATGAGTAAGACGTCTGCATCATGAATGGCTACGCAGGCGAAACAGATCATCATCGCGCATGGAATACGACATTGATCGCAAGCTATAGCCTTTTAGGGCTGCCGATCTAATTGCCTATCACGAAAATCCTCGCCTACCATGTTCGATCTTACTTTCAGTATCGCGAGCTATAGTGTGGCAGATCGCTTGAGACGCCTATCATTAGGAGACCGGCCTCGAAGAGCTCGATTCGAAATCAATGTGTCATTAGGCAGTGTGTTCTCTTCTCTCAACCGGTTGAAAATGAATTACTTCACGTGTCGTATCATTCAATATAAGCAGCTTGAATCTCACAAAGCCCAAGAAATGCCACCAGGTCATCAACCTCGGCAATGATTTAGTACGAAGTGTCATACCCGGCTCAAGGTTAAGTTGTCGGGCTCCTCCCTCCCTTTCCTGAACCTGAGGTGTTATACACCTTGCTATCATAGCGCGACATAGAGATCACCGATGTGGTAAAGTGGTACATGTGATACTCCCTCAATGTCAGCAAGTATCCCACTGCTCCATCCAAGTCTCCATCCACACAACATCCACCGGCTCAAGTCCTCTCAGCGTAGGACTTCTCTCTTGTGCTTTCGCAGTTGCAAACCTCTTCTTCGTTCTCCCGCCGTGATTCATACTTTGGAAGAACGGCAGCAGTTGGATACCGGGCATCACATTGTTGCTAGCCTCTTTCTGGGTCGCAGCGCTTTCGAGCAGCGCAACCCAGTCCTCCCACGGTACAACCTCTACCGTCTGGGATCCGCACTTTGCAGCAAGCTGCCTCTGTATGACTGGAAACAAATTGTTCCATGAGGCTTCTCTCGGGTTTGTAAGGTTATACACGAACAGATTTGCCTTACTGTCGTAGTCTTGCAGTGTCAGCTCTAGGAGGACGGTCGCGGGGACATCGACAGGGATCCAGGTCACTTTGTCCTGCTTGCCAAGCGATGCAGGCAGAACGCCCAGATGTCTTGACACTTTGATGATCTAAAAGGAATAGGTAAGCATCAACGCGGCTGTGGTCTAATTGATCACGAGGGGAACAAAGTCTTACCGTAGGAAACCATTCATTCCGCTTCCACACCCCCTTGCGTCCTAAACCATCTCCAGCACCAACAGGGCCGGCAATCTGGCCGACCCTCAATATCATTGACGGGACTGCCATCGCCACGGCACTTTCCACGATGAGAGCCTCCGCCACGAGTTTAGACTGCCCGTATCCCATGGCCGCCGTAGAGAGATCAGTGATTGCCTCCTCAGGCACTTCTGACCCGACCCAATGCTCGGCCACGCCCACCGACGAGACGAACGCAAGTCGCGCTGCGGACGAAGATTCCGCCCAGAAGCGGATCAGGTTATGCACGCCTGCAACATGGGGCTCGAAGGACGCTAGAGAGAGGTTGAAGTCTACTTGCCACTGATTATCTGGATTGTAGAGCAGCTATTAGCACTCGATACAATTCATACCCAGTATCAGACGGATTTGCGTGACTCACGAATGATATGGGTGGCTTGTGATTTCAGGTACTGGTAGTCCCCTTCATCAAGTCCGAGCATGACTTTGGAAAGGTCGGCCTGTCGGAAGTGGACCTTCTTGCGTACACTCCACTCCGCGCGTAGACCTCTGTGATTTGCAAGTTCCGTCTGTCGCTCTTCGCCGGAAGACGACCGGTTCAGACACCATATCTCTCTCACATCCTCAGCGCTTATCAGTTGGTCGAGCATGTAACTGCCCAGTGAGCCGGTGCTGCCCGTCAAAATGACCACGCCGGAACCTTCACGCGCTGACATCTTTGCTGGAGACTGCGAGGCGCTATGGGCTCCACACGAGTATTTTGCGAGCATCGCTTTCATCTCGTGAACCTTCTTTTGCGGCTGCATCTCTCCCGCAACATCCGACATCGTAGACCCATTCTGATATATCATGGAGAACAAAACGTCAGTAAGAGCGTTGACGGACGGGTGCTCGTAGACGACAGCGATGTTGAGGCTTTTCAGGACGGACGATTGATCCGCCATGCCACTGCGAATGTGCTTGAGGAGGCTAATGGCCTGTAGAGAATCGGCTCCGCCCGCGAAGAAGTCGTAGTTGTCGTCCAGGTCTGAGAAGCCTACGTCACGCACGACAAGCTTGCGGATATCCGACACCAGGCTTTCCCTGCTTGAGGCGTCGAATAGCTGTACTTGCGAGGCGATGCCGCCTTTAGTGTACATATCGTCGATCTCTTTCTGGTAGACGTCGAGCGTCAATTGTTTCTGCACTGTTCCTTTACCAGCTCTGAGAAATGGTTTGTCTCGGGAGGCGAAGATGATGTAGTCGTTTGAGAGTTGTGCGTGTTTTGGTGCGTCTTCGTTAGCCTTTCGGATAGCCGGCGCAAGCTCGTGCAACAACTCATCGCGGCCTTTCTCGGCGTCAACGTGGTCAGCTAGTTCCATGATTGCAGCTATTTGGAGTCGAGCCTGGCCACAGATCAAGACTGAAGATACCAGTGGGTTGACGCCAATCACGAGTTCCATCGACGTGGGATTGAATTTCTCGCCACTTGATAAGACGATTATATTGTCCGCTCGCCCCTCGTAGTGCCAAAGATCCTTCTTTGTGGGGTGAGGGGAGAAGAGATCTTTGAAGCAGTACTCTTGGAGATTGGGGAATGTCGTAAAGACTGTTTGCCACTGAGTCAGTTCAGGCTTGCGTACCGCCCACAACTCAGACAGACCCGACGGATGTGACCTGAGCTCAAGGCCGGTTTTTGGATGGAAGTGCAGGTAGTTCCAGTCCTGCCGGTCGGTATCGACGCAGGTAAGCCATCCGGCCTCCGAGGTACCCATGATTAGGATGAGCTTTGTTCTTTGGCATATCACATCGCCAATCTCCTGAGAAAGCGGGCCGCCTCCAAATGAGACGGCGCGAAGCTTGGACAGGCGCTCCATGGTACTCTCACTCTTTACCATGTCTTCCACGACCAGTGGAGCTGTAAGAATAATGTCCGGACGGGCGTGATCCATCATGTCCTCCAAGACCGTGGTCGTGAGGGGCACATGTGGGCCAAAGATTGCCGTTCGATTGCAATAAATTGGCCAAAGCAAGGCATTGCTCAAACCTGCCGACTAGCCAGCAATCAGTAACGACTCATGAAAAGCAACCTCGCAGTTTCACCTACATGGAACAAGGGGAACGTGACATAAACGCGAGCGTCGATCGTCTCATCAATGAGCAAAGGCTGTCCATCGATTGGGCCGCAAAGCAGGTGCGACTCGTTCGAGGCCGTGCTGGGCATGTATCGAGTCACCGGCTTCGGTAACCCTGTGCTCCCGCTGGTGTGAAGCATCCAACAGGGATCTTGTCTTGCCTCTTCGAAGCTCTTGCGATAAGGATACTGTTTCACGGGCTCAACTCGTAGCAGCTCGTCCAGGCTTGGCGAGATTGCAACATGCGGGCGCACTGCGAATAGGGAGTCGGCTAGATGGTCGTCTTGCGCGTTGGCGAGCCAATGGTGGCATTCGGCGCTTTCCAGAACCGCTCGGTGTCCCTCCAGACTGTTCTTGGGGGACAAGAACAGCATAGTGCGTCCCGTCTTGACGGCTGCCACGGTGAAGATGAGGTATCGGACATCGCCTGCGCCAGAATCAAGTCAGTACAGGGCATCAGCAGCATAGCTCAGCTTCAGAAACAGGCAAACCTGGACCAATGTATCCTATCACTTCGCCTCTCGGACTTTGACCAAACTCATCATCCAAGAACCAGGCAGCTCGGGAAATTGCATTCGCATATCTTTGGCACGACACCTTCTCCAGCCCATCAGTCGCTTTTTTCCCCCTCACGTATTCGTAGATGATGCGATCTGGAGTTGATGCAGCCAAGTCGTCAATGACTGTAGGGAACAGCCGGCGTCCCGCATCGTTTGGTAACTTCAAGCCCTGTAGCCTCAGGATTGCGATTGCCTATTTCGTGGAGAATACTACGTCCATTGAGGCACCTGTCAACATGGAACAAGACAAGACAACCCTGATGTCGTCGTTGCAACGCAATGCAGAGGAACAGAACGCACGCCTGTGGCTCAGCGATAGCACGAGTCGGCGTGAGTGATCCACCCGAGCTACAAGCTCGGCCGGGTTATGGTTCCGGATCAGCTGTACCACCTCGTCGAGCGGGATCCTGAACCCACCTCCGACACGAAAACAGACCCACCGGTCCGTGGGCCGAAGAAAGTCGATGAATAGAGCAAAGGCACACTGCAAAGGTGAACAGAGGAAATTGGCGATAGTCTCCCATATTCACCACCGTCCAAGCTTGAGAACCTCTCATAGCATAGCGAGCCACAATGCTTGAGTTCACTGTTTTCAAGGGCTCCGCCAGCGGTGCCATCGTCCAGGGCAGTACGACCCGCGATCTGAAGGACACCGAAGTCCTGGTGCGTATAACCCACAGTGGCGTCTGCTACAGCGACCAGGTACGTCAGTTGCTCCTTTTCTGTCCGAGTCGACTCATCTGCCGGACCTCCTTACTGAAGGGAACAAGAATTACCGCACTCAAGACATGGTCCTCGGCCACGAAGGTGCGGGCACCGTCCTCCAAGTCGGCGCCGCGGTGACGAGGTTTTCCCCAGGGCAGCGGTGCGCATTTGGCTATCAGCACTCCTCCTGCAACACGTGCGCCCAGTGCCTGTCGGGCAACGATGCCTTCTGCCCTCTCAAGGAATGCTATGCCTACGCCAACCGTGATCAAGGCTCCTTTGGCACCGCCGCCATCTGGGACCAGAACTGGCTATTCCATGTGCCGGAGGACCTCGCCAGCGAGCACGCCGCGCCACTAATGTGCGCGGGGTCGACTGTCTGGTCAGCTTTGCAGCTGTATCCGGCCAGGCCCACCGACCGGATCGGCGTGATTGGGCTGGGGGGCTTGGGACACGTGACAGTCCTATTTGCGAAGGCAATGGGCTGTGCTGTTGTGGTCTTCTCGGGGAGCGAGGGGAAGAGAGAAGATGCCGTCAAGATGGGCGCGGATGAGTTCTATGTGGTGACGCCGCAGACAACGTCGTTGGGTATCGGCAAGCCTCTGGACCGATTGCTCGCCACAGGAAATAAGCAGCCGGAATGGTCTCTGTTCCTCCCGTTAATGGCCCCGGTCAGTCTGCCTCGTCGTGCTTATGTACGCGTGCGTGCGCTTATGTCTCAACGGCTACTGACTTGAACACAGCGTGCCTCGATCTACCCGCTTACGATTGCGTTCGACAACCTCACGGTCCCTTTTATGCAGTTCGTGCTCGCTGGACTGCGCTTGCAGGGCGCCACCATATCTTCGCGGCAAGGGCTCCTAGAGATGCTAGACTTTGCCGCAAGAAACAAGATCACGCCATGGATTACCGAGTTTCCAATGACGCTGGAAGGTGTGTCAAACGCGATGGACACCTTGAAGTCGGGCGGGGTTCGGTACAGAGCAGTGCTTCGGGCATAGAATATCCAGTCATACTCAGACAGCTCTGAAGGGCTTGTTTTGAACTCGAAGGTCATCTCTTCCACGTGCTACATCGAGGAATCTAGGCCAGAGGCTTTTCCAAAATGACATTCATCGCTTGAACGACTCCTTGCGGGTCCTCCAGTACATGTTGGTGGCCAGCCTTGACCACTTCCAACAAGCTCCCAGTAATCGCCCCCTGTATCTCCCTTGCCGTGTCAATCGACGAGATCAGGTCCTGGTCGCCCGCGATAATCATAGTGGGACAGCTGATTCTCCCATACTCAGGATCAACATGGGTCTCGTCACACGCCGCCTCACACACCTGCGCATATCCCTCGCCGCTCTGCGCAGCAATGACCTCCCTGACAAAGGCCCGCACCACATCCGACGAAGAGGGCGCCACGTTCTTGGCGACTGTGCCGTCTGCCATGGCGGGCATGCCCAGCTCGCGGGCATTCTTGGCCATGCCTAGAATGAACGCTTTGGCGGCGGGGACGTTGGCACGGGTCTTGCCTGGGCCAAGGAGCACGAGAGCATGCACTTTGGATGGGAACTGAGCAGCATAGTGCATGAGCACCACACTGCCCAGACTGTGCCCGACCAGTACTACTGGCTCATTAATCTCCTCGTGAGCGAGGAGGGCGGCAACATCTTCAACGTAGGCGGGAATGGTGATGCGGCGCTTGCATTGCGAGTCGTGACCAGTGCGGGCGAGGCCTTTGAAGTCGAAGCGGATAATTTTGAACTTGGCGGCATAGGTGGTTATAAGCGGCTGGAAGAGGTTGGTACTACCGCCAAGGCCGTGACAGCAGAGCATGACGGGACCGGAGGGCTTGCCGTCGATGTCAACGTAGTTTGGGTGGCCATTGACCTCGACGAACTTGGATACGCGGAGGGTAGCCATGGTAGCTGCAGCTGCGGTCCGTTTTCTTTGATGGAATGATGAGATCAGGATCAGCAACGAAGTGCAGCCAGGGACAAGGAGAGGGCAGCTAAACATTCGATGGACAAGAAGTCGATTTGGTCACCTCAGCTGGTGGAATCCTTGGACCCCAGGAATCGACCCCACAGAGCTCCCGGCCGAGCTCGTTCGTGTGGTTGCATCCAATGATACATCAAGGTCGCGACAGTGGGGCCGGCCGACTCACAGCTACTTCTTTTCAGGTCCGACGGCATGGACTGGAACCTCAGCTCGTGCTGCACTGCCCGTCCAGTTTCTCCAGAACAACAACACACTCAGAAACATTACCTCAATATGCCACACTCAACCAAGCAGCCAGGCATCCAGATTGTGCCTTTGGCACATGGCAAGGACAAGGGCGGCGTAGACTTTGGCGCCGAAGTCTTTGGCGTTGACCTAAACAACTTTACAGGTAAGTCTGCTTTTGGCCACGATATTCACGAGAGAAGACATTCCAACTCCAGTGCAGATCACGAGTTCAAGACTATCGAGAAGGCGCTACACATGCACAAAGTCCTGATCTTCAAGGAACAACCTGAAATGCTTCGCCCGTCCCAGCAATACAAGCTCACCAAAGCCTTTGACCCCGAATCTTCCGGACAGTTTGCTCATGCAGGGACTGAGAGCGTTCTAGTCCGCCACAAGGGAGTCGACATCTTGGGCATCGTAAGCCCACCATCCATGTCCTGCATCATTTGCCAGCAAAAAGTTCTAAAACCTCTCTAGCCAGGCCGGATTTCCATTCCGTCTCAACCCCAGGTGCACATCTTGGGCCGCGGGCAGGTGCCACCCGATCACTACGGGCTTCCAGATGACTTTCAAGTCAAAGGCGTCTACAGCAAGAACTTCCACGCTGAGCCCCACATCTCTGACGAGGACGCCAAGGCGGGCGTCTCCCACTTTTACCAGTGGCACTTCGACGCCGCACTCTACGATATCCCTCCACCGCGCGTAGGGTGTCTTCTTGCGGTTCGTACGCCCAAGGGGCCAGACTGCACCATCAGATGGGAGGATGACGAGGGCACCAGCATGAAAGTCGGGCCTGGCGCCACTGCCTGTGCGTGCCAGACACTTTGAATCACCTGATTTCTGGGCCCAAGCACTAACGAGTGGCAGACGTCGCTGGCTCTCGCGCTCTCGAACTCGTCCCCGAAGACTTGAAGTCCATCGTCGAGCACTCCAGGATCCTCTACGCTCCCAAGCCCTTCAAGTGGATGTCCAAAGCACACTCCACCCATCTAGGTCACTCTCTAGTTACTGAAGGGCTTGAAATCCCGATCGAGGAGCTGGACTTCGACGAGGACAAGCTGAAACGGTACCCTATGATCTGGAATAACCCCATGACCGGCGAGAAATGTGAGCCATCATCACCACTCCTTCCTTTCCTCTGTTAAGTGCCTAGGTATGGATACTAACAGTAGAAAAGCACTGCAAATTCACGGTCAGGCGGCATGGAAGCTCTATCTCAAGTCCTCCGCCGACAGCGAGGAAAAGGTTGTGGACGACCTCGCTGAGGTGAGGGCCTTCATGGACAGGTTGATGCGTCCTGCGATTCAGCCAGAGAACATCTACGCCCACCATCACACAGAGCAGGACGTGGTGCTTTGGTACAACCGTGCTCTGTGGCACTCTGTCGTAAGTCCCACCTGCCTTACCAATCGAACAATGCACAGTGAGCAGGCGGAAAATTGTGTCGCTAACTGTTACCACTTCTTTACGCATCGATTTAGACTGAATTCCCAGACAGCTATGGGCCGAGGATTATGCATCAGTGCAACGTCGCTGCAAGTGACGACCCGAAATAGTAACAGTCGCAAGTGCTTTTCTGTGAGAACACTTCCTTTTAGCGTGTTCTTGTAGCTATCAACATTTGAAATCCAGTTCGATGCCTTTTGTCAATTATTGAAGCTGTTGTGACAAGTGAAAGTTTGGGCTTAGAGCACGCAAATTCATTTGCCCGCATTCGGTTTTCTGAGAAGCCTCCTCTTCCCCTCAATGCGCATTGCTTCCTTTGCCACATTCGATCGAGCCCATGGAGTTAGATAGTGACTATTGCCGTGTTCAAATGCCGATGCCCAGAGAGTCGGGACCGATGTGATTGCGCCTCCTGGTCGCAGACTAACTCTGCAAACCCCAACAGAAAGATAAGCCCCACTGGAGAAACTCGGCCGGGACTGATTACCATGTAAGACGATTGGTCCCAAGGACAAGTGGGCAGGTAGATCCACCTGCGATAGGAGAGCCGCGAACCCGGCCGGGTTTTTCGGAGCAAGAAGGAGAATGGGCGGCGGACCGTGTGACTGCTGTCATCGTGCGCCGTGCGGCGATAAGGCTGTCGAACGTCCGCTTACGTGTCTCCCAGTGCGCGCGACGCGATCAACTGGATATGGGAAGGGTGTTATCTATCTTTTGCGAACGTTTTCAGCCTCCATGACAACGTGCTACTCCCTTCGAGTCGATAGCACTCTACCAGCTCTCGCTACACAATGTCAACAGCAACTGAAACTATCGCGCAACCACTTGCAGCCGCCAGCACCGCAGCAGCAGCGGAAATCACCCTCCACACAAATCAAGACGATGAATTCCCCGTCATTGACTTTGGCAATCTCGCACGGGATCCTGAGGGAACTGCCGCTCAGATCTTCGAAGCCGCCTGCCGCTGGGGCTTTCTGGTTCTCAAAGGTCATGGAATCCCTAAGAAGGACGTGGACGCCATGTTCGCCTTGTCCGCCGAATTCTTCGACCAGCCCTCAGAAATAAAGGCTGAGAAGTGGATGAATCAGAAGCAGCAGGGGTACGATTTCAAAGAGTCCGTGTGAGTTTCCTGGTGGCATGCTCCCTTCCAGCGCTCTTTGATTTGCAACTATTGGCTAACGATGTGATGTGCGGGGCAACGATAGCATTGGAGTAACCGAAGGTTTCTGCTTCGGGTCCGTCGCCGGCGCGAACTTGACCTGCGACAACCTCTCCAGCTGGCGGGACGTCCCCAAGCGCACACAAGCCGAGGCCTTCCGTTCCCAATGCCGCAACCTCTCCGAATCCCTCCTCCAAACCTTCGCACGAGCCATGGACTTGGCCCCCGACTTCTTTACCAGCGCCCACTCCCCCGACAAAGACCCGGGTAACGTCCTCCGTCTTATCAGATACCCAGCTTTGCCGGCCCCTGCGGACCCGCGGTTCCCTCGCCTGGGCGAGCACACCGACTGGGGAACGTTGACGCTCCTGTTTGCGCGAACGCCCGGGCTGGAAGTCCGTCCGCCGGGTGATAGGGGATGGGTCCCTGCTCCGGTCGTGGAAGACGCCGTGATTGTGAATATTGCGGACGGCCTGGCGCTGTGGAGCGGCAAGGCGCTCAAGAGCACGATGCACCGTCTGTCGTGGGACAGCTTGCCGTACGATATGCACAGATACAGCATCGCCTACTTCGTCAACGCGAATGCGGATGCGCCACTCAAGATGTTGAAGGGTGAGGTGGGATCGGGAGGCAAGTACGTCGAGGCGCCGACGGAATTCGCGGCAACGTTTGGGGATTATCAGGCGGTGAGAATGCGTATGATCCATGAGAAGTTCAATACGGAGGGGACAGAGGAAGATCTCAAGGTTGATCCGGCCTTTGTCGACATGGTCAAGAATATTGGCGTGGCACACGGGACTGGGGTCACTTTCGATGGAAAGGGTCTTGAGCAGTAGATTGAGTGCACTCAACGCAGTGCTGATTATTAAGAAGCCTTTGACAGCGCGTTGCTTCTCCTGTATTTAAGCTTCGTCGCGGTGCGCCTTGTTCAAAAGAACATGCCTGACTTTGCGTCAATGTAGGCTCGTGAATATGGAGGAGAGGGCTGCTGCACTTCATGTTGAGTCCGTAGCTGATCCAGCCATCAGTTTCCTTGCACTTTTCAATATCTTCGATTTCGGGTTGTGAAATGTCCAATAAGCAGAGAAACTCCTTATCTTTTGCAGAACGGGTTGGAATTAAATGGCCAGAAATCAGGCGTTGCCGGCGACGCTATCCGCTGTAGACAATTATAAGACCGTAACACAACTAGAATGGCGCAACATGAAGCAGTCAAACATAGATTCTCGACTACAGAATAACGAGAGAAACTGCTGTTAGTAACGCCGAATCCGGTTAGTATATACCGCCACTTTCCGCGGCGTAAACAGAGTAGGCTGTCCCTCCTGTAAGTACAAGGTACTTCGGGACCCCGCACGACCCTAGATATACTCATTTGTACACCTATTATGTCAGGGCAGTGCGGGATAGACTGATCAGGGGCATATTTATACAGTACTACTTAAGGCTTGCAGCCATCGTGACGTTTTTCATAGCATGGAGCTAGACATCCATCATCCAGCTTCACCAATCCGACTTGATTTTCCACCCCATTGAATTCCTGCGCTTCTGCACCCGTTCTTGTACGCAATTGACTGACAATGCCATGATCAGAGATTCCCTCACAAGTGTCGCATCAACAGGGCGCTGTTGATGCGGCTGGCTCCCCCTCGAAAATCTGGTTTAGCCCCTATCTGGGAATACCCTCACTCTAGCCCAGGGCCAGAGTAAACCTCGCCGGAAACACCGCCGAAACTAGCAAGCGGTAAACTCCCTTCGGTCGTAGTGGTTGTTTTATCCCCGATCAGGAGAATCCTCACCCGCCCCAGGACAATACGGAGCTCTAGTCGTCGTTATTATAAAGTTTAAGGCCTAGTTCGTTCCGACGTATAGCGTGTCGTATAGGCGGAGGAGTCGATCCGCTATTTCTCGAATACTACCTAACCGCGGTAGAAATAATCGCGAATCTAGGTCGATTATATATTGTACGACGCTATCCTCTTCGTACGAGGTTAATTTCTAGTTATATAGTCGGAGATCGCGTTTCGTAGGTCGGCCGGCTCGTCTTCGTTAGAAGGTTATACGAGGTATATTATATAGCTATATAGCCTTTCGTACGGTTAATTCTGGGTTAGACTAGAGCGCCTAAAGCGCTAGAATCAAATCGCCTTCAATTAATGGTCGTACTATAATTATTGGTGGAGAAAAAGGGGAAAGAAGATAGCCTACACGAATATGGTAGGAAAGTGGCCCGCTTGCTTATGTGGCCCGCTTGCTTGTGGATTACGTTAGGTCGAGGTTTACGTTTTCTTATTCCGCGCAACCAACCACCCACCCAACCAACCGTCCGACAAACCTCTGCATACTTTATCAGTACCCCCTGCAGCTGACACAGCACATACCCCGCATCTCAAAACCGTGATTCTTGCTCGAAATCGCCAAGCCGCGCTGTCATTACTTATACCAACTCGCAAGCAATATCACCAACACACTGCTAGCAAGTGGCCCTCATACTCTCTTATCTGTTAGCATACTAACGACTCATCAGCTCATTCAAGAATCCGACCATGTCCCAAACCGTAGCAGACCAACAACCCGTGACCGACAACATGTCACTACGCGACATATTCGACACGATGAAAAAGGCCCCAGACGGGCGAGGCATAAACGCATTGGGCTATGACGGTGTGCTCCGCAGTTTCGACGAGGAACGTAATGTCGTCGATGCAGTTGGCCTCAACCCAATCCAGATCAGAGAGTACTACGAGAATTTTCCGCTACCTAAACGATTCCTCGCCGCCGACGGCCGCAACATATCTCGTGAGGACATGTTCAACCCCGCTGCGGAGAACATTCCCAGGAAGCCCACAGAGGAGGACATAGCTAAGATGAAGGCCCATAATGAAGAGTTGGAAAGGCGCGGAGTTACATGCTCTATTCCGGCGAAGTCAGCCGACGACAGCGAACCGTCCAAGTCACTGTGAGCTGGGCAAGTCAGCAGGCGACGGTGGCCCGATTCCAAGTGGGTTTGCTTTGATCACTGCAGAAGTTCCAAGGTCTCAATCTCGCTGTGCTCCTTTTGAGTAGTTGTCTGGTAATACTACGCATCATACATAATTCCGTTGGTTCTCAAAGCCATTTGCAGCAGCGTCATGGCGGTGAAGCCGCCGCGAGCCCTCGCTCATGTGTTGCCAATCCTCCTTCTGTGCCGCCCACACTGCGCTCGCGCTGGATCGTGATCCCGGGTATGATTTGTTATCCAGCAAATTGCTGCCGACGCGGCCGTTCAATCTTTTAGGAAGGAGCTTCGTGCGGAGGATGCAGATTGGCCGTGGCCAACCTGGCGCTTGTTGTCAGCGTTGACAAATCAAGCTTTCTTAACACGGCGAGTCACGCGCAATCTGGTGTTCCGCTGTTGGTCTGCTGGGGGGGTGTCAAAAGTTCCTGAAGCATGCACGTTGTTCGGAACCCTCCTACAGTGGTTGGTGGAAGATAACCATGTGTGACAGGGGTCGTTGCGCTGTTCCTTGCGACCTGTAGCCACTTCGACTAATATGTAATTCTTCAGTAAGGATTCCGTAGGAATTGAGTAGCCAATAGCGCCGATTGAAGTCTAATCATCGCTAGCCGACGATGAGGTCTTGGTTGGCAAGATAGGAAGGGTGTCACGACTTGATCCATATAAGTAGAGCAGCCTTTTCCGCCAGACAAGATGAGTGAAGCCTTCAACCCAATCCTCAGTGCCTACACTTTCTTCCTTATCCCGTCAAAGATAGCAAATTCGAACCGCCCAAGATGTAAGCCAACCTCTTCAAGATTCTCGCCATCGTGGCCGTATTTTCGACGGTCCAGTCGGCCCCAGTAGAGACTGCTGAGGGCCAGGTCACCGAGACCCGTAACAGAGTTTATATCAAAGGCATCGTACGTGCTCTACGTTAGCGTCTGGAAAAGCCTCATGTCGTGCTTTATATTACTTCTCTGAAGGCTAACACCAAGGATTCTTCTTCCAGGAATGCTATAAGAAGGACCCAGCGCCTCCTATTAGCGAAAAAGAGAAGGAGGGCGACATTTTTAGGGGAGTCTGCTTTAACTATACCTGCTGGCACTATGATCAGTGTATAGCTAGGGGTTGTCGGGAATGTAATATTTACTTCAACGACTGTGGCGATGAATTCATAAGATGCTATTAGCGTATTGCTAAAGGATCTCCTACCGTAGAGGAGGGAGGAAATGGATATGGGTAGAGGTTAACATGTGGTCCGATCTCGATGTTTTCAACAATTATGCTAGTGTTGAACGGGGCTTTTCGTGGAATTTTCGATTCTACGCTCCAACTTTCATATCTTAGAATAAGGAAATCGCCCAACCTAGAACCTCCGGCCGGGAAACACAATTCCAAGACATATTGTTCATGCCGTGCTCGGGACTTGCTCGTCTAGAGAGTGACACTTCAACACGTTGTCCCGCTGACCGCCTCGAAGCTCTGTTCGGCACCTGCCCAGCCTAGCCGCCTGACTGATATGTGCTAGGGTAAGGGTATAATCTAAGCTGAAGGGTATAGCGTAATTAGAGAACGATAGAACGAAGTCAAATGTATAAGAAAATGATGGGGATAAGAGCTTACTTATGTATTCTGGACATAGCCAGATTGGGTAGAGTGGCAATTGCTGAAACCACGCTAAGCCCTTCTAGAATGCCCCCAAACCCTGCGGGGACAACAGCACGTTCTCGACTACAAGGCAGAATGACCCGCTGTTTGCAACGACAGAATCTAGTTGATTACGAAAGATACAAATCATGTGGCTCCTACGCAAACTGGCAGCCTTTCTCAAAACAGCTCTCACGACGGTGGGATCGAAGCGGGCAGATTGACCTGGTGCATGGTTCTCGGCCCATACGAAGCAGGATACTCAATAAAAGTATGCTGCATGCACCGGTTGTTCCAGATAGCCACGTCTCCCTCCTCGTAAGGGGCAACCAGGATGTTTTCCGGCTCCAACATCCTCCTGTGAATCTTGTTCAACCAAGCCCGCACCTCGTCCACGTCGTCCACAATGCGTACGTGGGCTTCGGGCGAGTCTTTAAGCAGCAGCTTCTGCGCGATGATGGAGTGCACCATGAACGCCGGCTTGCCCGTCACCTCGTTGTGCCACACCATGGGGTACTCCTTCAACTTGGACTCCTCGACTGGTGGCATCTCATCGGCCGCTAGCTCTTTGCCCTGGCCCTGCGGTATGGTCATGCCCAGCGAGTCCTGCTTGCAGCGCGAGATCCACATGTAAGGATGAGGCGCATACGCGACGCGCGAGTTGTCCGCGAAAGCCCGCTCCTCGGGCGTCAGCATCTCATAGAGCTGCTCGCACGAGTAGAAGGCCGTCAAGCCGGGTGAGACCTTGATCTCGGTGCCGGAGCCGTCATCCCAGCGAAGGGTCTGAGGCGGGCCGCGGGGCAGGGTGAGAGCGCGTAGGGCCGTGACACGCGGCGGCTCCTTGTCGTACATTGCACAGTCAATGTGCCAGCGGCCGAAACGGGTGATGCCGTTAGCTATCTCTTCCGCTGTGGGCGGTGCCGCGTGTGTGTTCAGAATCGTCGAGGTGACAAAGTCCTTAGAGTGGCGCTCTTGTTAGGACATGGTAGGCTAGCTCTCGCAGCTTACTGGTCCCTAGAAGGATGACTTACCACTTCCTTCAGGCCATAGTGGTCATCGCCCTGATACCCGGCTCCCACTAGACGGACGCCGGGGACGCCTGGGATGCTGAGCACTGTGATCTGCACATCATCACCCGTGTTAGTAGGGTCCAGTCACACAAGTCAAGTCGACGCGAGGCTCTGTTGTTACTGACCGCCGCAAGCAGACTGGCATTTCCTTTATGCTGCTTCTTGACTGTTTCAATGGTGCCGTGACCATGCACAGGCGGTGCATTCGGATCGAAACGCTGCACAAAATTGAAATGCTTCTGCGGAGTCAAGGCCTCCTGGCCCTTGAAGATGACGAGCTGGTTGGTGAAGATGATCGTTTTCAGGCTCTGGAAGGTCTCGTCGTCGACATTGTTGAGATCGACACCCTCGATGGTGGCGCCAAACCTGACATTAGAGCCCTTACCTGGGTCGATTGGTGTGACCCTGATATCTGTTGACGTTGCGTGAGGCATTGTGGCGTGTTGCTGAGTCTTGGTGCCGCTCGTTACTGGGTGAGCAGCCCTAGAGGACGGGACTGTCCAGACAAAGGGCCTGATATCTTAACTGCACAGGATGGCTACCCCAACATGGCATAGCCTCAAAGCTCGAGCAGATACTCACATTTTGATCCTGTCGTGGCTGCTTATCGGAGGCAATGCGACACATCCGATGGAATGGTGCTCTGGCGCCCCGCTAGAAGTCGGGCGAGTTTTGGTACCCCCACTCCTGTGCCCAGGATACCCCAGGCTCGGAACAAGACAACCGGAGTCTAGATTGTGCCAGCCCCTTGCACAGTCTGGACCGTCTCCAACTGACATTGTGGCAGCATAGTTTCTATGGTGGCACATCAGATATGCTTATCATTCTCTCGCCACTGGAGCCTTTCGTCAGGAGACTGTACCCTATCACTTGAGTTAACGTTGTCACATGATGCCGGTTATCAGACCACGAGCAGAAACGGGCAAGGCTAGGCATTTCGTGATGGCAAGCACACGCAGCAGAAAGAGGCACATGGGCGAAGGTGTCAGGGTCGTGATAGACCATTGATTTCGTTGTAGGATTTATGTCTAATCTGAAGGACTGAGTTTCCACTACAGTATTGCCAGATTACAGGGCCTTCTCAGTGGCAGACACCTTCTTCTCCTCCACACTGCCATCCACGCTCGTTCCGCCGGCGACCTCAATGCTTTCGCTGACATTCATCTCATCCTCGGAGGCTTGGATCGTCTTCACAACCGCCACCCCCTTGGCAGGGAAGAAGTAGTTGAGGAGCCAGTAGACGAGAATAGTGGCGTGGTAGCCATAGAGCCAGCTGATGTTGTACAAGTTCTTGAGGCCTGCATCAATCGACACGGTCTTGGGCGAAACGGCATTAGCGAGGCCAGGAAGCAGAGGTGTCATGATGAGGACCGTGGTGAGTAAAGCCCGCCAGTTGATTCCGTGCTGCGTGCATCAAGTGGTTAGCCTCAGGCTTCGAGAATGTGAAATCAGAAGGCATGATCTTACCCAGTACCGATATCTACCCTCTGGGTCATACAGCCCAGGGACATCGTACTTGCCCCGCTGAATTAGCCAAAAGTCACACGTGAGCATCCCGGACATGGGCCCGAGGAAAATGGCGTAGCCGCTCATGAAGGAGAGGAAGACGTATGCAGAGCTGACCATCAGCCAGGGAACCAGGGCGAAACCACCAAGCAGGGAGCACAGAATCGTGCCCCTCCGGATGTTGATCCACTTGGGGAACAGCGACGTAACGTCATTGGCAAAGGAGAAGGAGTTGGCACTGATGTTGCAGCTGACCTGCGCCAGCACCCAAAGCATGGAGCAAACAAAACCCAGGAACCTGCCCCCGCTACCCTCCCACTTGGCAATCAGCTCGAGGGGTGTCCACATGTCCTGACCGTAGACGACACGTCCCGCACCCATGGCCACGATGCCGAAGAGGGAGGTGATGATCTTGATGCCTGGGATGAAGGGTGCCTGCCACAGGTGTGCACGGGAGTCTCTGCTCATGCGCGTGAAGTCACTAATGTTGACGGACAGCGAGTACCACCCGCCCGTGATGGACGTGAGCGCTGCCAGCCAGGCCCAGGCACACGCGCTGCCGGTGAGGGTGGCCGGCTGGTTGAGGATTGCGTTTACGCCATTGGCTTTAACGCAGATCCAGATGAGCATCCCCACGGCCATGGGGGGCACAAGAATGGATTTCACCAGGAAGAGCTTCTGCAGCTTGTGCGAGGGGATGAGAAGGAAGGGAAACTGGATGAGGTGGAAGATGACGTAGGAGACCATGGACTTTGTGGTGATGCCAGCCGATGGTGGCAGGGTGTTGGGCAGAGTGGCGAAGCTGGGCCAGATACAGGTGATAGCCTGCCCGACTGCCGCGCCGCCGCCGACGCTCTGGATGCCTAGCCAAAAGGCGGCGAGGATGGCTCGGGAGACGACACAAAAGTAGCTGAACCAGTAGCCGTAGCTCGAGCGGATGGCAATGGGGAATGGGACGTGCAGGGTGGCTCCGACATGGCCGTTCAATACTACCATATCCACACTCAGCATCCATCCGCCAGTGCCGAGTCGGCTTTCTTGGTATCAGATGCTGGGCGGTTGGCTTGCTTACTGGTGGCAATCATGTTGCAGATCCCCGACACGAACATGATCAGGATGGCATCGTTGGTTCCCAATCCAACTATAAGAATCGAGGAGCCGGTTTGCCAGGTGGCCACAGTGAGCAAATCGCTCAACCAGTAGCCACAAAAGGCCCATGACCCCCAGGTTCGACGCTCGAGGGGCACCGGATCTTGGTCTGCGGGTGAGAAGTGTCAGCCTGGTGGCCTGTGCTGCGAAGTGCACGGCACTCATCAGCAGTTCTGGCATACCGGCATTCGTCCACACGTCTGCAGGCGCAACGCTGCTCGTCTGCTTGGGCAATTTCCAGGCCTCGATCGTGGTCATGCGAGCCTTGACCTCGTCCTTGCTGGGCAAGGTCGCTTTTGGCATTGAGAATCCCATGATGACGACTTGTTTCTGTTGCTGCTCTGCGGAGTGTCGAGATATCGGCGGATGGCCGGTCTCTTTGAGGCCGGATACCACCATGTCTAAAAGTGCTGCATCTCATGTTGTCGATCCAAGCCCAGAGACATGATTGACCAATAGACACCAACGCGGTGGAACCCATGGCCGGGGGAGATAGCATCGCCATCAACGCATCTCGGCCCAGATAAGATAGCCCAAGGCGCGCTGGCCACTTAACCCTGTGGTTGGTCTCCAATTGCAAGGCGTGGCACAGTCTGATGAGAGAAAGCCCGAGGCGCCACCACCAGATAAGCGAAAGGATGTAAGCCAGCTACAGATTCCCTGCAGCGGCACTAACTACGATGAGAATCCGTGGGGGCGGGGGTGGAGCCACCCGACGGCAAGAGATAAAGAAACCCGACCTAGAACTGGCCCGGAACCCTACCCTACCATACTATCTGGACGTCCAGGAGTCCTGATGGGAGTGCGGGTTTTGGCACCATGACATGCCGATAGCGATGGATGAACCCGGCGCAAGAGTCACGCAGCGCGCGCCGCAATCGTGCCAGCTGTGCCAGGCCAAGAAGCGGCGATGCTCGAAGACAGTGCCCTGTACGGCTTGTGTGAGTCAGGGCATGGCTAACCAGTGCCGTCGTGAGCATGTTATTGTCACAAAGCATCTCCGGACTGCCAAGGCACAACACCAGCACCGGATGAGGCGCGCTGAAGGGCAAACCTCGGTACGTGATCATGAGCATCGCAGGCTGGCCGTGACTGGCGTAGTTGCTGAGGCTGAGGCGGAGGCCGAGGCCGAGGGGTCTTCGAAGCATCCGTCACCCGACCACGAGGCGACAGCGGCCATGCTCGTCAGCTTCTCGCATCAAGTATCATCCGGCTCAGATTTCAATTTCGATTCCGTCTTCGCCGTCCCGCCGCTGCCGCAGTCACGGCCGCAACCCACGTCTCAAGCCCACAGACCGCCGACTAACGTTACACACCACGGCCCTGATCGTCCATCAGATGGGCCGCAGCCTTGGGACGAGACTGGGGACGGGGACCAATCCCCGGACATGGAGGAAGAAGAACAAGAGGCGAGCCCTTTTGAGGCGACGCTGACTTCGTTGGAGTTCATGGTATGGGGTCGGCAACGCGACGGGAGCAACCCAGAGCCACAATCCATGTTGCCTCTGCAATGCAATACCGACACCGACATCCTGTCTCAGCAGCAGGCCCTCGAGATTCTCAGATACCACTGGAAGTGGCTGACGTGGACGCACAACATCATCTACTGGCCGGGGTTCCGCGAGGAGTGCCAGCTCTACTGGAAGGAGGGCCTGGTGAAAGAGAAGGCGTGGCTAGGGCTTTACCATGCCGTTCTTTGCGTTGGTCTTCACCACATGACTTCCGAGCAACGAGGCGAACTCGGCGTTTCTCCCGGTCAGCATGACCCTCTCCCCCACAATAAGCCAAGTTTAGAAGACTCACGACATCAGGTCCCGACATACTGGCTCAACTGTATCAGAGATGTGTCAAGGCCCTACAAGACGCCCAGTACGCCTCGTTGCACACGCTGGTCAACGTGCAGACCATCTGTATCTTGGTGCTTTGTGCGCATGACTTCAAGTATGATAGCCCTGGCTTTTCCCTCTTACCCTGCCCCGTGGAGCGAGCCCTGACTGGAAAGACATAGTGGTTCCAATCTCCTTTCGGTTTTGCTGTCCTCTGCAATCCGCATAGCCCAGGCACTTAACATCCACCGCTTGGGCCCCGACCCCGTCGAACCGCTGCCATACCATCAAGCAATACAGCGCGAGCTGCGGAAAAGCATCTGGATGTTTCTGTCCACACAGGACTGGTTTCTCATCCCCTTCAGCAATGCACAATCCATCTTTCCTAGCTATTGCACCACACCTCGGCCCGTGAATTGTAATGCCATAGCCGGCCTGGGCTCAAAGCAATCGAAAAACTTGTTCTCTCCACGACTAATGGAAGAGCCGACGCTCATGAGCTATCAGCTCATCTCGAATAGAGTCGCTGACGTCCTACGAGCCTACTATGACGACACCTCCCTGTTCGCCAACGACATCATCCAGGATGTTGCCCTACGGAAACTCTACGATAGAGTCCTACGAGCGGACTCTGAAATGGACGGCATCACGAAGTCATTGCCAAAGTACCTGCTAGCGGGACACTCTCTGGCCCACGGCGGAAAGCTGCCCTGTTACATCCCGCGCCAGAGATATCATCTGGCCATCTCGATTGCCCATAAGACCTTGACCATTCATCGTCGATTCTTCCTCCGAAGTCCCACGGATAAGTGGTACAACTACACAAAGGCATGTATCCCCTGACTGGGGCAGGACAATGGACGAATGGCCGGTGATAGTTCTGACGATGTCGTCTAGGTCAATGACGTCCATTGCGCCCGCACAATCCTCACCCAGTTCCGCGCCAATTCTGATGAAAGCACATCGCGCAACCTCTGGACGGTTCTTGCTCACGTCGTCAGCGCCTGTGTGAGTGTCTCTCATTATCTGCTTCGTCAGCAACGCGCCTCTTACCATTATGCTCATTGATCACCTGCCAGATCATCCTCCTCCTCGAGCTAATCTTCAGTCAAGACCAAGACGATCCCATCGGCGCGGCAGCCAAGCACCAACTCGTTTCGGATTCGGTGGTCCAGCTCAAGACAGCCAACAAGACAAGCACCATGTCCATTCGCGGCATCTCGCTGATCGAGCTGCTCCTGCAGCACAGCAATAACGATCTGAACAACAAGTCGGCGAATCCTCTAGATCTAAGGGCCATTGCGGCATACCTGGCCGCGCACAGCTCGCCAAAGTCTGCGGCACAAGTCCCACCGCAGTCGGACGGCGTGAGTGGCGACGGGTTCGCTATGGATTTCGACAAGGAGGAGTTTGATCTGTGGGTTCAGAGCCTGGACGTGCCCGACGTTTTGCAGAGTGGTTTCTCATCGAACATGTTGGATTGACACGGAAGATCCACTCACGTTAAATGCCGGGGGAAAGGTGGCAGAAGCGCATGCTACAACTCACTATGCCCTATGCCGCAACGAAATTGCTGTCACCGATTTTGAGCGTTTGTTATAAATGAAGTCGCGAGTCGCGGGTGGCGTGGAGTACCCAGGAACAGGGACAGCCGACGAACTTAATTGGTTCTGAAGTGTGAGCCAGGTCGTCCTTGACCTTCGCGAGATTCACATCTACCTTATACATGATGAAGTATGGCATCTGCCTGATAATTCGCAGAATGCCGGGTGCTTCGCGACAAGGGAGCGTTCATTTATTGTTCCGTCACGGGTCGGCCAGTCGCGCCAGGATCTCCTCATGGTCCCCGTCCCCTGGGCCGGCACCGGTGGCCACGACGGACATGCTTCCCCGCATGGATCCACCCCCGTGCTTTCCCCTGGCGACTCCAGGCGGGTTTTCATAGTCCGGAGGCTGCACCTCCGCGTCTATCCGCACCAGGCAGAATTCAGACGCCAATTCAGGTGGTTTTAGGGGTCCAAGGTCTTTCTATTCCACCACTCTCAGCATTCGCTGTCAGTTGACTAACCAGGTTACACAAAACGACGAGAGGTCGTCTACTTTAAATATCCAGTTCAGCCGCTACCAATAAGTAGGCTGGCACAAGCAAATATTAGAACTATGAATGCAGCTCTTGACACTCCTCGCAGCCAAGGACATGGGTAGATCAAAAGGCTGAGGGATTACGGATATTGTTCATTATTGTCCCAAGGGCTAGCTAAGATACATTATCGGCAGCCCTACTTGGCCCTGATTAGCAAGTCATAGATGCGTCCATTCGAAACGAAGACTCAGTTTTGATACTGAGGTCCGAGGGAGAACATTAAGCAGTGTCTCGAGTGTTTCATGAACCCCTATTGATACATTGGAACACGTCAGGCGAAAGGGTTCTATCACAAAGTCGAGCAGAGTGGTTGGATATGTAGATTGCCCTGGTTTCCTCTATTGTATGGCCAGTCACGTAGACAAGAAGGCATATCTTCCATCAAGCAGACCGCGGAAGCTTGAACACGCTGGTGTTCATTCACTCTACTCCTGTTTCCTAGCAGTCTGCAAACACAGCTGAATGTCGAGGGCATAATCATGGCAATTATGGCCCTACATCACACCTATGAATGCGTTTCGGCCGTAGCTTCCTTACGTATCGAAGGACGTATACGATGAGCTTAGCCGGCAGTTTCTAGTGCGGACTCCTTCTCATCCGAAGCCATCAGTAGGTCACTTTTCCCATCTAAAGATGCCGCTATTCGGAACTATCTGTCTCCACGTCCAATTGCCATTTGTAAAGCCTTGAACGTGGAATTTATTGGTGTATCGTTGGATGCGGAACGAAATCGAGTGATAGGTCGACGCGGGATTTCAATGAGCCAATCGCAAAGGGAGCTTATTTGGGAGAGCAGCCAGGACGAAAGCGATCAACGGCGGTGACATGCAATTTATTCCGGGGACCAAGTGATCTTGGCTAGTTCGACACGGCCCCAGGGTTCATTCTGGCGATCATACAGGGAATTGTGTCGCTGCCGGTGGAGCCGCCCCAATCACGACGACGTGGTGCCACGGGCTAATAAACAACTTTACCCCAGCTAACATTAGGCTAAATCCAAGCAATTGCCGAATAACGTCGCTGCGCCGATCTCGATAATCCGGGGTTTGTGGGGGAAAAAAGAACTCGTATAACTACGTAAACGTAGCCGCGTGCCAGCGAGGGAATCTATTTGGGTCTTCTCCAGTACACCATTGAGAGAAGGGCACAACGCATTCATTGGCAATGAAGGTGCTGACTCTTCTGTGCTTTTTCTCGGGCCTGATTTCTCAGTGTCTCGCGTTAGCACCCGCAAGATCGACATATTTCAACCCCGTCTTGACCGGGTGGCACTCTGATCCCTCATGCATACGCGTGGACGACATTTTCTTCTGCGTCACTTCGACATTTGAGTCGTTTCCGGGGCTCCCCATCTACGCCTCCAAAGACCTCATCGACTGGAAGCTAGTGAGCCATGTCTGGAATCGCGAGAGCCAGCTTCCAGGCGTCAGCTGGAACACGACGCAGCAGCAGCAGGGCATGTACGCAGCCACCATCCGCCACCACGCAGGCGAGTTCTGGGTCGTCTGCGAATACCTAGGACTACCCGTCGGCAACATCGGCGTGTTGTTCCGAACCAAGAACCCCTTTGACGAGACGAGCTGGAGTGACCCGCTGCGCTTCAAGCCCACCAAAATCGACCCGGACCTCTTTTGGGACGACGATGGCAAGCTGTACGTGGCGACGCAGGGCATCATCCTTCAGGAGCTGAATCTGCAGACTGGGGAGCTGAGCGAGCCACCCGTTTCGCTCTGGAACGGGACTGGGGGAGTGTGGCCCGAGGGACCTCACATCTACAAGAAGGACGGCTGGTACTATCTCCTGATCGCCGAAGGTGGTACTGCCACCAACCATGCCGTCACCATGGCCCGGTCCCGCAGCCTGACGGGACCCTACGAGCCACACCCAGAGAATCCCATTCTGACCAACCGCAACACCGACGAGTACCTGCAGACAGTCGGCCACGCCGATCTCTTCCAAGACACCAAGGGCAACTGGTGGGGCATGGCGCTCGCCACCCGCTCCGGCCCCGGCTACAAGACGTACCCCATGGGCCGCGAGACGGTGCTGTTCCCCGCGACGTGGGAGAAGGACCAGTGGCCGCGGCTGCAACCCGTGAGCGGCAAGATGACCAGCGCCTGGCCATTGCCACCGAGAAGCCGGGCAGGACTGCCGGGCGACGGGCCCTTCAACGCCGACCCGGACGTCTACGACTTCCCACCGGGAAAGCCCATCCCGCGGAACCTGGTACACTGGCGTGTACCCCGTGCTGGCGCCTTCACAGTCGGGCCCAAGCCCCACGGCGGGCTGCTGATCGTGCCCAGCCGCGCCAATCTCACCGGCATCCCCTTCTCGACAGACCAGATCGAGCTGAGCGGTCAGCGCGGCATCTCCTTCATCGGGAGGCGCCAGACGCACACGCTCTTTAGCTTCAGCGTCGACATAGAGTTCAAGCCCCGCGCGGCGGGCCATGAGGCAGGCGTGACTGTCTTCTTGACGCAGGTGAACCACATCGACCTCGGCATCGTTGCATCAGAACCCCCAGCAGGGCCTTCGGGTAGTGGTGGTAAGCCATCCCTGGCACTGCGATTCCGTGCCATCGGTACGGGTGGCGCGCCTCAGCCCAACGTGGTGCCCCTGCCGAGTCCCTGGCTCCGAAGCGATGGCACCGCCTCAGTGCGTCTGCAGATCGACACGCTCAACACCACGCACTACTCGCTCTCTGCCATGCCTGTCGCGCCCGTGAAACCCGGCCCAAAGCTAGTAGTCGGTACCGCACCGGCTAGTCTTGTCAGCGGCGGGAATGGATCGTTTGTGGGGAGTCTGGTAGGCGCTTATGCTACGTGTAATGGGGCAGGCACTGGCTTGGACTGCCCTGCTGGCGGTAATGTGCTGGTCAAGCGATGGCGGTACACAGGTCTTGCGCAGTACTTTTCTGCCACGGACAGTGTGCCCACGTTGTTGCCTTAGGCGCGGTCAGTGGTTGTGAGAGCTCCGGAATTTCCTGAAGAAGAGTCTAAGGCAGTGACTTGTGTGACAGAACCTAGCAAGAGTAAAGCGCGTTCTCTACTACGAATCCTAGTCAGGTCATTTGAAAGTCGCGTCCACTGCTGCCTGGACCTTGTCTCATTGATGCTTCCGGAATGGTAAGATCATGGCCACGTAGAGAAGGAATAGCGGCCTTCGACAGCCGATTCATCTCCTGCTCCAGATGGGTCGTGTTTTCTCATATTTGACGTTGCGTGACTACCTGCATTGCATTCCATGTTTCATCGGGATAATACCGTGGGTTTCACGGCTTACGATCACGACACCCGCGAGGAGGATACTGCCTACATGGCTAGCCTGGGAATTCTCACTGGCGTGAACTTGGATCTCGCGGCAGCAGAGACATAAAGGGCCGTGAACAATATGTAGCCATTACAACAGAGCAAAAGTGAATCTTGCACGAGTACCAGCCTTGTGCATATGTGTACCAGAATACTTGCCCTCGTATTAAGCTCACGATACGTCGTCTTACAAACTCACAATAATTCTCAGATTGATCATCAATACCACGGCCTGTAGCAACATAATTAGGCTTTGGGGAGCCTTCTGGCTCGGTGAATATATGTATATACCTAGCGGATCTATCGTGATCTTGCTCTTATATCGTTTTTCTTAGTTTTACCTTGGACTTCCCAGTTATTTACAAAATGAGTCAAGCCTCTTTCGAATCATTATCATCTCAATATCTAAAGGTCTGGCGGGTCACAGACTTTTGCAAGCCGACTGCAGAACCGAGCTGTCCCTCCGCAGCACCTTGGTTGCACCCAGGGCAAGGTCGAACTCTGCGGAGAACCAGGATTCCTCGTCCATAGGCACAGTAGTCTTGAAGAGCGTGTAGCCACCGACAGTCTGGCCCGTGCTGGCGAGACTTGCCGACCGCGTGGAGAGGAATGGCGCGAAGGACTCGTTCAACCGGGAGGCCTTGTAATTCACGTCGAGCGCTAGGAGTTCGTTGGCGCGGTCTGTACGAACGGCGGCAACAACGGTTAGGTCGTGCGTGTTGGTGGCGGTGGTTGTCAGGCAGGACTGAGCCCCCTGGTACAGCAGGCTATCGTCGATGGGGAAGCCATGTTCGGTGCCGCCGTTGTCGAACACGGTGACGGCGCCCGTGGAGGGCTTGGTCATGCGGACCTTGAAGCCGCTGATGCCGGCGTCGGCGTCGAGGTCCGAGGTGGCAAAGTTGAACCAGGCAAAGCTGGAGCCATGCAATCCAGTTGTGACGCCACCGCGGAAGGTGAGCCGGGTTGTCGGGATCGGGGTCGACACGGGCTGATTGTTGCGGTCGGTGTAGATGAGGTCAATCTGCATGTCGTTCTCGTCACGGGACGAGTCTGCGTCGAGACGGATGCGGATTCGCCCCGCGAAGGAGATGGTCAAGTTGGCAGTGAGGGCGAGTGTATCGATGTAGGGCTTGACATCGATGGGGACGATGGGGTCCGAGAGGACGACGCCCGCCGGGACCGTGTTGATCATGCGGGTGAGGACGCTGGCGCAGGTGGCGCGGAAGACGGCCGGGTCGGCGAGAGCCCGGGCGGTGGCGTTGGCATCGGCGCCAAAGACGCGGTGGTCGGAGCGGAACGTGGCGTTGTGGCTGACAACGAGGGGGTTTTGAGTGGTCCCGTCGAGGTACTCGGTGACGACTTGGTTGTCGAAGATGGCCGCCGAGTCGCCGCCCTCGAACTGGGTCGTGTTGCCCGGGGTGGCGTCCGGGTCTCCGACGATTTGGGGGAAGTCCTCGTGGTGGACGCCGCCGAGCGTGTGCCCGCAGGCGACGAGGGCAATCATCTCGGCCTTTGAGAAGCCCTGCCTGGCGAAGGCGGCCGTGTGGGTGGCGATGTCCTGGTCGGGCTTAGGGACGCCGGTGGCCCCGGGTCCGGTGGCGTCGACGCGGCCGGCGCGGAACTCGATCGCCGGCCCCCCGCACATGTCGACCGACGCCACCACCCCAAGGGCGATGAGGTCGGCGAGGGGCACGTGGGCATTGTAGAACCCGGAGAAAAAGGCAAGCGTGTTGTTGAAGGCGGCACCCTCGTTCTCGTCGCGGGCCGTCTCGTAGCGGATGCTCGCGTCGATCCCGCCCGTGCCCGCCGCCACGTCGGCTGTCGCCATGTCGTGGTACGCCACCCGCAGCCACTCGGCGGCGTTCTGCACTCCGCGCCGCCCGGTCCCGAAGCCGCATGGGTTGACGGCGTCGATGAAGCCCAGGCGCACCGCTCCCGCCTGCAGGCTGTACACGTCCTCCACGATGTCGTACTGGCCGGGCCATACGTAGGCCGCGGCGCCCATGGCCATGGCCGCAGTGCTGGTGATTGTTGCCCGCATGTTGTTGTTGTCGTTGTCGTCGTACAGAGCAGAATGAGTCGGTAGGTGCTGCTTGTTGTCCCGGCTTAAGACTTCTTCTTATAGCCAGTCCTATAGTATCCACCTGCCTTGTCTAGACCCCGGCCACGATCCTTTGTTGACCTCGTATCCTGAATGGGTCCATGCACAACTACCCCTGGTCCACGCGCTGTTGCAATGGTGCCGGCATTAGGAAGGTGGGCCCGTCCCGTCAGGCGGTCCAAGACCTTCAAGGCCGCTCGTATCTGCCGTGTGCCTGTCCGTGCGCTCGCAGAGGCGGAGCCGGTAGTTGGTGGACGGGACGGGGCTAAATTCGACTCCCAGAATTCAAGATCGGCACGGCACGGCATGACACGAGTCTCTCTTTACCGTCATTCTCCAGTGCCAACTGACCTAACTCTATTCCTTCCCAACAAGCCGATAGCTCCACCTTGCCCGCCCCGCCTTCACGACGTGCCCGGATTGACTGCTTCGCATGTGCCACTCCGTTGTCTCGTTGGCCCCGTGCTGTATGCAGATTGCAAGGGGCATCGTGCGCAGAGAAAATCGAAATCTCAAATTGACCCACGGTAAACACGAAGAAGGTCAATGACCCGAGCCTGGCCCAGTACGCCAACACCGTTTCGCATGACTAGCTCTAGCTCTAAACACGCTTTACACAATATCGTGGTACATTTTCTCAAAATCCCAAAGATGAGGGCCCTGTTATCTTGGATGATCTTATTGCACACATTAGGCGCATGCTGACCATGTCAACTTTATCGGATCACATCACTAGTGCCACACTGCAGAGCGCGACCATGAATTTCTACCTGTAAAGGGTTAGAGATCTCTCCTGTTTGTAATGCGCAGGGCCTACTAGCCGTCAAGTGCAGCTTAGCCGGTTGAGGGATTTGCTATGCCGTATTTGAGATTTTTCATTGAGAGAATTGATTGTTCTATCTACAGGTGCAATTGGCGCGTGCCCCACTTCGACATTAGCTAGTAGTAAATGAGGCTGGCACTCTAAAACATGACCCCAAGAGTAGCTAACCCAGATGTCCATATCTGCCTATCCTTAAATCCTGCTGATTCCTAGCTAGGTAGCAGGTATATGGTAATGTTAGAGTCTAGCCTGCTGTTGGCAGCTTCGACTCTGAAAATTATCCACCGATTCTTGGCCAGTCCCCCCATAGTGTCATTTCAATCATCGCGACCACTACATGCAGTTCCGTGAAATTTCCATAGCACCTTAGGACAAGCCGTCCGCGAGGTTGCTACAGAATTGATCAAATCCTGCTGCATCTCCATTGTTTTCGAGAGAGAAAGGAGTGAGGGGACCTGTGGGGTTCTGAGTGCCGAGACCAATTTGGCTCAGTATACCGTTATTCAAGTTGAGCGTTATGACGGCGAAGCTTTCGCCGCATGCGAGCGGTTGGCTAATAGGCCATGATAGCGATTGGAGATAGCCAGCTGCCTGGTTCTTGGCCATCGCGAGCATCCTTCTTTGATGGCGAGGAGCTTTGCCTTTGAAGGTGAATATTGGGTGCCACCCAGTTGATTCTTGGTCGGCGTTTCGGTCCATGGTAAAGATTGTGAGATTAGGACGGCCCCCGGTAGCCTGTCGTTGCTCCGGCGCGATGATGAACCGCGGATACAGAAAGTGTCTCTGGAGGATCTCGTTCCAAACACCATTGCACACCGCTTCACTCGTGCTGTCATTTGCCCACTGGTCAACGAGAAGCGACTTTTGTCAGACTAGTTGCCAACACTGGACGCGATAAGGCGTAGAGTCCGTGGTCATCATGCATGGCGCAATGCGAAGGAGAAGATTAAGGACTGCTTCGAAATATGCACGGTCAAAAGGAAGAAAACTTAAAGTCATCGAAGAAGTGGCTGTAAACGTCTAAGGCTGTGGCCGCTAGGGAATGCCGCTGCCACTTCCACATAATTGCGTTGACCCGGGCTACGGCCAATGATAAATAGGAAGGGGTGGCTGGCTTTTTTCCGCGAGGCGTTCTCTTAGTTCAAATCTCGGCAACTGTAGTTCATTAGCCGTCCCCACAAATGACTTTGCGATGTAAAGTTAATAAATGTTAATGGTGCGCGCCCAGCTCAGCCGCACCGCCAGCCAATCTGGCGGTTACTGATTTCACCGTAAATCGTCGTCTTGACCGGAGTTGCCAAGCGGCGGGAACCACCAACGACCAGTAATACGATGCGTCACGCGGGCCCAAAAATGCTACCATTTTCAGCAATTCCATACAGCGGCTATGTCGTCCTTAAAGACCGCTTCTCCGCCATGGCGAATGATTGCCCTCCCAGGACATGTTCATTCCCTCGTCTGTCCTTGAGATCATCAATTGCCCTCCATGCTGAGGTTCTGCGGTCTTCCCTTCCTGTCTCTTTCCTTGGTGGCTTCTGTGTACGCCCAGAACGCCATCGTAGCATGTCCCGCCAACGCCAAAACATTCACCGCGGATGATGGCAGCGTGTATGAGCACTGCCCATTCGCCGACTTTGGAGGCACGTTTTGATTCCTTCCACACTCCCGCAGACGTGATTTCTCTGCACGGTCCCAGCGTGGCGCATCTCAGTCCTAACGCAATCATTACAGGTACTGCCAATCGTATTATCCCAAATGTCCTTTCTGCACACGACTGCGTGGCGCTCTGCAATCAAAATGCAGCAATCTGCACTCGTGGTGTCTGGGAGCCATTCTACAACTACTGCCACTTGAAGGGGAATGGCGGCGATTGGGTCACCAGCCCCAAGACTGATACGATTCGTTTCATCTCGAAAGGCAATCCTCCCGTGCCGGGCATCGCGGCCTGTCCATCCACGCCCTCCTTTTATGAAGCTGCGTCCGGGGCCATTTTCGAAGTCTGCCAGAACTCTGACTACCACGGCGATGCCGTGCGTGTTGACTGGAACGTCCCGGATCGAGAGACGTGCATCCGCTCGTGTGCGACAACGTCCGGCTGCAAATACGGCGTCTGGGACAAGATTTACAAGGCGTGTCACCTTAAGGGCGACAACGTGCGGTGGGTGAGCGGCACAACGCAATTCGACACGCATCGGATGATTGCTTCCCCCGTGCAGCCGCCTCGCCTAGCTGGCTACCAGACGTGCCCGAGCGCCACGACTCGCTGGACATTCGACGACGGCTCCATATACGAGGTCTGCCCCAACAGCGATTTTCAGTCTAACAGCTATCTTGTGGTGGACAAAGTGCTCTCAGACTGGTCCTGTCTCCGCATGTGTAACCTGGATCCACGCTGTGCTGTGTCCGTATTCGACAAGCAGTATTTCTACTGCCACCTCAAAGACATCAGCAGTGGCAACTGGGTCGCGAGCAACCAGTTCAACGTCGGCAGGCTGATTCAGCGCGGGTCCCGGAGTGCTGTTCCATACCAGGGCCTTGGGCGCTGGAGGAATCCTGTCATGCTGCCGGTCAATCCTGTGGGCGCGTACATTATCCCCGGCACGAACCGCTTCTTGGGATTCTCTGGCTGGGGCGACAACGAATTCTTTGGTGCCGAGGGAATGACGCAATTTATCGACCATGACTTTACCACAGTGAGTGCCCTCTTCTTTGACCTGAGCTGCAGCCCACACTGATGAGACAAAAAGGGCGCGACATCCAAGAGGTCCGTGAGCAACACCGGACACGACATGTTCTGTCCGGGCATGTCCACGCTGGCGGACGGTCGCATGGTCATCACTGGTGGTTCCAATGCCGACAAGACGAGCATCTACAACCCCCTAAACAATGGCTTCTCCCCGGCTGCGAACATGAACATTGCCCGAGGTTATCAGACGTCCTGTACACTCGCCGATGGCAGAGTCTTCACCATTGGAGGGGGTTATAGCGGTGGCGTAGGCAACAAGTACGCCGAGGTCTACGATCCATCTGCAAACAAATGGACCATCATCCGGGGGCCAAACGTCGATGCGGCGTCGACCGCCGAAGGCAACAGGGGAGCGGCCGACAATCACATGTGGCTATTCACATGGAAGGGCGGCTCCGTCTTCCAAGCCGGGCCATCCAGAGTCCAGCACTGGTTCGGAACGACCGGCAGCGGGAACACTACCAACTCCGGCACCCGCAGCAGGACAGACGCCATGTGTGGTATGTGGGTTATGTATGACGCCATCGAGGGCAAGATCTGGTCTGGCGGTGGTTCTCCGGAATACACCAACAGCGACGCAGTGACAGACGCCCATATCACGACCATTACCAACCCCTACCAACCCGCCAATGTCCAACAGGTTGCAGCGCTCCCCCGTGCTCGCGGTTTCGGCAACGTCGTCGTCCTCCCCGACGGCACAATCCTCGTGACTGGCGGCCAGGCCCGCTCTCTGGTCTTCACCGACACTAACTCTGTCTTCGTCGCCGAACTGTACGACCCTGTAGCAAATACATGGCGTACCCTCGCCGCAGCAAAGACTCCTCGCAACTACCACGCCATTTCCCTCCTCCTGGCCGACGGCAGCGTTCTCACTGGCGGCGGAGGTCTCTGCTGGACCGCGCAGGGCCAGTCTACCGCGAACTGCCAACGCCAGAACGACCACCCCTCAGTGGAAATCTTCAACCCGCCATACCTCTTCAATTCAGACGGAACATGGGCGACGCGTCCCGTAATCAACTCCGTCTCCTCAACTACAGTTCGCGCCAACGCCAGACTCACCATCAATGTCAATGACGCCAACGTCACTTTTTCCCTTATCCGCCTAGGAAGCGCAACGCATTCCGTCAACTCGGACCAAAGACGCATCCCATTAAGAAGGGGAACAGCGAACGGTAACAGCTGGACATTCACTTTGCCGAGTGATTATGGCGTCATGCCTCCTGGATATTACTACTTGTTCGCCGTCAATGCAAGGGGAACGCCTAGTTATGCGACGACCATCAGAGTGTCTCTTTAAATCTATTTGAGACACGGACGGGTTTTCTTTTTGTATATGCTGAAATTGGAGAGAGAGGGCCGAGTGGATGTAAAAGTAGTGTAGCTATAGCCAATCGAGTAAATAATAGTATTTTGTCGCCCATCAAGAACTTGATGTCCAATTTTATACCTGAATTATCCCATATCGCGTAAGGCGTCTTTAGGCTTTGCATATCCAAATAACTAGTAACTACATAGTTACCTATCATAAATATTGCTAAATTCTATAGACTCTGGCATGATGCCATCTATCTAACCATTTCCGTACCATAGAAACATCGATTTGCTGGCCAGTTTCCACTTTGCCGACTTCGAATCCCACGCCTTCGCCGTTCGCCGATCCTTGAGCCATCTCCTGGAAGAAGCCCAAAAGTCTCAGTGCGGGAATGTCCTGATCCTGAGCTCTGTCCGAGCTCGCCCGAGCCTCCAACTGCGCTACCCATTCTCCCATCTCAACACGCTTAAACTCGGCTCCTGAAGCTTCCTGGAGCAGAGAGAGCATAGCGTCCCAAGCGATCGGGCTTGGGTTGACGAGGTTTGTGACCGTATACATCGGCTCGTCGCCAGAAGTAAGCACGGCTCTCTGAATGGATTCTGCACAAAGGTCGACGGGGAGCCAGTCGACCTTGGTCTCCAGTACAGGCATTGCAGAGAGGACGTCCAGACCGGTCATCATCATGATCGGCCACATCTCTGTGTGGTTCCATACCCCCAGTTTTGAGTGGCCGCAAAGCTGGCCTACCCTGAGAATATGCACAGGCATCTTGAGCGCGGAAGCATAATGCTGTGTAATCTGCTCCACGATGAACTTGGATTGCGCATAGCCCGTGGAGAGCGCGTTACCCGGATCAGGGCCAAGAGGCAGCTCCGGAATTTTCGTGCCGGTCTCGTTGCCCATCGCCGCTGCTACGCTGCTCATAAAGACAAACTTTTTCTTGGTCCCTTTCAGGCAAAAAGACATCAAGTTCATGGTACCTGAAGGCTGTTAGTTCCAAACAAACTTTTACCCAACGACCAGAGGGAGCATACCTTTCAAGCAATCCTCTTCAAATTGCTGGATTGGCTGATTGAAGTCGAGTTTCCAGGCATTGTGCATGACGACGGTCACATCCTTGGTTAGTAACTCAATCGTCCGGCTGTGCAATCCGAGATCCACGTCCTTCATGTCGTACTGAATGGCGCAAATCTTATCGCTCATATAAAGGCGTTCGGAGTATCCCCTCGACTTCATGGATTCCATCACTCGAGCTTGTGGGTCGGCCCCCCGAACCGCGCAATAGATCTTCTTCACTCGTGGTTGATCGACCAGAGCCTCCAGCAAAGCATTGCCAAGAGCGCCACTTGCACCCGTCAAGTACACGACGTGTCCATCCTGTGGTCCATGGTCGGTGTTGTGATGCTCGGGGGTCGCCCAGCTGCTGATTTGTTCGTTGAATCGCTGAATGGTTGACGCGATCCATCCGTGATGCTGATTTGTGACGAGAGCCTTGTCATCTGAATCGTTTTTCCTATAGCGTTGGAGAAACCCGAGCAGCCCCTTCACTGTTGGATGTTCGAATATGAACATCATTGGAAAGCTTCCGAAAGCCCCAACGAGCTTGGAGCGGATCTTGACGGCCCCGAGCGAGTCAAGCCCGAGTTCGTACCAGTTTGTGTCCTCCGTGATGTCTTGGTGTGCGAGACCCAGGACATCGGCCACGGCGCATTGAATGGTTTCTGATGGCGAGAGGTTCGTGTCTAGGGATCTGCCATTGTCGTTGTCGCCGGCCTCTGGCGAGTCGCCCAGGAACCGGCTGTACAGTTCCTCGACCCTGTCCCCATAGATGCCCCATGCAATATTACGGCGCACATTCCCTTTGGGGGTGATGGGCAGGGTTTCGCCACTTCCGAGGATCAAGATTGTCTCGCGCGGAATCCTGGAATGTGCTTGTGCTCGCTCGTTGCACTGATGCACCACTTCCCACACCGCGACTTCGAGGTCTGTGGATGCCATTCCGCCAGCCTTGTCCCAGCGAATCTCCACGACGAGCGAGGGGCAAAGCTTCCCTGTGCCGAAAACTGCCGTCTTCGCAACCACGGTCATCTTGTCCTCCTCAAGAGACGTTGCCAGTGCTGTCGCGTGCGTCTTTTCCCCGTTGCTGTGTACTAGAATGTCGTCCCTTCGACCCTGGAGTACAAAGTATCCACTGCGCGGGGGGTCTTCCGTGAACAAATCTCCAGTGCGGTACGGGTTGGGCGCCGACTTGTCCAGCCAAAGCTCCGCCGCCAGGGGAAAGCCTTTGAAGACAACACATTCAAACAAACCGTCCCCCAACGGCTCCATGCGCACCAATGGGGACTCGGGGTAGAGATTTCGAAACCGGTACACGTCGGGGTTGTCTCTTGTATGGGGAATGGTTCGTAGAGGCGGCCCTGTTTCGGTAGTGCCGTAGGTCGTCTTCACGTTCACCCCCAGAGCTTGGAGCTTCTCCAGCATTGCAGGAGATAAGGGAGCACCACCTGGCTGCACGACTTTCAATTGCGTGAGCGGTGTGAAGTCCTTGGTGGTGAGTGACAGATACTCGTGCAAGTCTTCGATAACCGAGGGGGCACAGTGAAGGCAATCGGGCGGGTACCCAAGTTCCTCCAACGCTTTCCACGCGGAAAGGATTGAGCTTGGGGACGGTGGCCAGTTTTCAGGGGGCAGGGAGGTCGGCAGCCCAGTTGGGATCCCCGACAAAGCAATTGATAACCCTGCGATGTGGAACCTGCGCGAACCGAATTAGTGCTCGCTTCGACACTCTGTGTTCTCCCAGAGTTCGACCTACAGTGGGAAGCAGAGATACCAGTTCTCTATAAAGTACTCTGGCAGGAGCCGGTACATCCTGGCGATTTGGCACAAACTCCTGTTGGTGTGGATGATTGGCTTTGGCATGCCCGTCGAGCCCGAGGAGTGGATGATCATGGACTGCAAATTCCACACGTCTGTGGTTTCGAACGCCGCCCAGCCCTCGCGTGTCCCTTGACTGCTCCTCAAGTCAACAAGGCTGGCTAGGTTGACCACCGGAAGTTGGAGTTCGTCTTCGTCCTCGAGGGAAGCCTCGTTTGCCGTGTCAACGATGATTGCGACTGCGCTGCAGACACGGAGGAGGTGGTTTCTTGTCGCAGGGGAATTTTTGTTACTGAGAAGGAGGATCCGGATATGGAGACTGTTCAGGGCGATTTGCGTGATCAGGTACTCGATCGAATTACCAGTTCCCAGCATCGCAACTGTGGGTTGTTGGCCGGTGCGGTTGGCCTTTGAAATCTCATTTTGCAACCTTTCGGCGTAGTACGCCGAGGCGCTGGCACAGAGGCCATGGAGCTCAGCCCAGTCAAGAACGTTGAACGAGTGGCCGACAGGGAAAAGGAATGCTGCCTTTGTTGGCTGTGATGAAGCATTGTGCTTGACCAAGCCAGCTACGCTTGTCAAGTCTGGATTGAAGAACCTAGGCACCCAATTAGAGACAAATGTCTTGGCGATGGCAAGGATAGTGAATTTCCGTACTTTGCGCTGTGAGGTTCGCCATGTAAGTTCCATAGCCTTAGCAATTCCTTGTCCGCGTTTGGCGCAGGGAACACGGAAGGATCCGTCATGGCCTTTGGCAAATCAGCTTCAAGATCGGCAATTGCAATTGGTGCCATTGTTGCGATGCCGAAAAGTCTGGGCTTCAACGTGTCTGTGATCTTGATCCCATTGCAGCCCTTCAAGCGTCAGGGTCTTTCTCTGCGTACTCTGAGATCTATGGCCTTTTGTCGGGCTCATCAGTGCGGCACCAATGCTGACCTGGGCGCAAGTTGGCCGTTGGCCATCTTACAGCGGCCCCTATCGACGTCGCCACTAGCCTCGTACCGAGCCCGATAAGATAGGGCCGATCGGCAGGGGCCCGGGACCCTCCTGATAGCGCTGGACCGCTTATCATGCCCTATCTCCATGGCATGGCCAAATCACACCAGGGGCGAGTCAGCACTTGCGAGTGATAGGCAGGGAATCTGATAAGCGTTCCTGTAGATATATGCGTAGCAGACGGCGAGAAGATCAAGTGTGTTTTTTTGTAAAAGAAATGAAACATCATTTTCGCACATCCCCGCCCCAGCCTGGCACTTGGTCTTCTCGCATCGTGCTCTGTGGATAAGGCTTTGAGGCTACTGTGGACGACTCGAAAGCTGCCAAGTCAACCACCAGCAGAACGGCCAATATGGGTCTTCGAAAACGCCTGGAGCTCCGCTCCGAGAGCGCCGAGCTTGGCACGGAGGGGGGCCGGCTCTCCAACAAGGACATGGACCCGATCCCGATGGGCTCGCCCGAGCGCACCTGGGGTTGGCCGAGTCTACTCGGCTTCTGGATCGCCGAAGCATTTTCAATCTCCATGTACCAAGGTGCGTGACTCTTCAGACACCCTCCTCTGAAGACAGCAACTGACTTTTCATGGCGTCCAAATAGTTTCATCGACATCGGTAACAAAAGGCCTCAATCCCGGTCTTGCCATCCTCGCGGTCTTCATCGGCCATGTCTTGGTGTGCATCCCCGCCATGCTCGACGGATGGGTCGGCTGCATTCTTGGAGTCAACTTTCCCGTCTTCACGCGAGCCTCGTTTGGCATACGGGGCTCGTACGCCGCCGTGTTCGTGCGAGGAGTGGTCGCCTGTATCTGGTTCGGCACGCAATCCTTCCAGGGAGGGCAGTGCCTGCAGGTCATGATATCCGCCATCTGGCCTCAGTTCGACAGCTTTCCGAACCACTTATCGGCCGACGCCCACGTCACAAGCTCTGAGCTCCTTTGCTTCTTCCTCTTCATCATCATCCAGCTGCCACTGCTTTGGTTGCACGTGAGCAGTCTGAGGTACATGTTCATGGCCAAGACGGTCATCATGCCAATCTTCGGCTTGACTCTCTTCATCTGGGCCATCGTTGCGGGTAAGTGCTGTTTTGACCTCATCCTCTGTCTCCACCTCATAAACGAGACCGGGGCACTAATGCGTTTACAGGCAAGGGCTTCGGACCTACCTTTTCCAAACCAACCATCATCAAGGACGGGACCCCAGCTGTCGTGGTCTTCTTCCAGTGTGTCACGAGCGCCATCGGCCCGAAAGCAACCCTCGCTTTGAACATGCCCGACTTTACCCGCTACGCCAAGGACCCCAAGCAGGTCTTTTGGACCCAAGCCGTGGGATTATGTGTCCTTGTTACGATGTGTGGTGTCCTGGGTGCGACGGTCAGCAGCGCCTCCGAGGTCATCTACGGCAAGGTGACGTGGAATCCCTTGGAGGTTGCCAGGCTGTGGGACAACCGCGCCGCACAGTTTTTCGCGGGCCTCTGCTGGGCATTCGCCGTGATCGGCACCAACATCAGCGCCAACAGTGTCTCATTCAGCAACGACCTGTCTCTCTGGTTTCCGAGATACATCAACAACAGACGCGGAGCCTACATCTGCGCCGTCTTTGGCGTGTGTGCCGTACCGTGGTACATCCAGTACAGGTAAGCCTGGGATGCCGTCCCCGCCGTCCTAGAGTTTCCCACTGACATACATATCAAAACCGCAGTGCCCAGTCCTTTTCTTCCTTTCTGGGCGGCTACTCCCTTTTCCTGGGTGCCATTGCAGGCATAATCGTCACCGACTTCTGGATTTGCCGCGGCCGTAAGATCGCGGTATCGTCGCTCTATTCTCCACGCGGTATCCACTACTACACCTTCGGATTCAACCCTCGAGCCATTATCGCCTTCATCTTCGGCATCGTCCCGAACATGCCTGGACTTGCAGCTGCTTGTGGTGCAAAGGGGGTTCCGCGAGGGGCGGTATATCTGTACAGCTTGAGTTGGCTGGTTAGCACGTTGGTTGCGGGTTTCACGTACTGGCTGTGCTGGAAGATCCGACCGTTCGCAGTGGACGATGCCAGGGAGCAGCTGTATGTGGATGGATATGCGGAGGGAGAAGAGTCGACCGGGTCGGAGAAGGGCATGGAGACTAAAGAGCCCGACGCCAAGGCTGTTTGACCGACTGGCAGGTTGCGCGACGTTGATTCCCATGATAAACTAATTGACTATAAAAATCCATGGTGGAGACTTGCCAGATCACATCTCACTGCATGTCCAACACTGGAGGGCTGAATTGTGTGGTATTACAAATTTCGATTCGAAGCTGCTTCGAATGCAGCAGGTGTTAATTCTATGAGCTTGCCTAAGCCAGCCACAAACATGGCATCCAGTCGAAGCAGGCTCAGGTTGAGCAGATCGCAGCTCCTAGACTTAATCCGCAGTAAGCCTCGCCATTGTGTCAGGAGTGTCAACGACTCGTCGGCGTCTGCAAGGGACGGGGACAGAGCGAAAAGCAGGACGATGAAGTTACTTGCGATGGCGAAGTTGACGCGTGAATCTAAGCGTGTACGCGATGAATTAGACGGGAACATTTGTCAATGCTAGGGGGTTGGAAAACAATAGAAGGAAATCCCACGTACAGGAATGCCAGAAGGCTTCTAGATGATGAGCCTCTAGTCTGGCCAAAAAGTCATACATCTCTCGAGCAACGGCCATCGCTCCCGTGCGTAACGCGGTGCGGGCCTCGGCCGGAGCTTCATTGCTGTTGGGCCGCAGCATGGCCTTGAATATGGAGATTTTTGCAGTGATGTAGGCCAGCTTCAAGCTGCCGTTGCCGTCCAAGCCATGGCATGGTGTGCCTGTTGAAGGCTGATCGGCTACGTCTGGGCGATCTTGCAACCACTGTGCAAGATCCATTCGCAGCGGCCGAGCGACTTCAAAAGTCGCTTCCAGGGACTTTGAAAGCACCCTTGTTGCTTTGACCGAGCTGCAGAGAGTCAGCCTCGAATTTCATTGATGTTGGCAAGAGGTGAATGGTGTCTGAGGGGCTTACAATATGTGCCGCTGGATTTTGGAGACGATTTCAGTCAGCGATGCCAGGCCAAGAAAGTGCTTTGAAACGGATCCACCGCCGTCAGCCTCTGACGAGGGCCCCAAATCGTCTGCGCGCAGCGAAGAGACATCCCAGTCACATTCCTGGATGTGTGAGCTGCGACCAAAGTTCAGGCTGAGCCACTGGTCTTGCACGAAGACGGCCCATGCAAGGCGCCGACGAAGCCGCTTTTCCCACTGTGGTATCGGCCAATCGGTCGGGTCCAGGTTGAGGCCGAGGCACTGCGCAAGCGCGACCGTGTCCGCCAGCATGATCCATTTGAACGGCGTGTCTGCCACGTGCTTGTTGGTTGGCCGCCGCTGGATCATGAGGAGCATCGTCTGCACGACGGCGAGCGAAGGGGTGTGGAACTGGGCGAGGGCTGCCATCCAGGCGAGCTTGAACAAGTGATCTGCCGAAGGCAGTATGTCGACGTCTACACAAAGCTTGTCGTCAAAGACACAGAACGGCAAGGCGTGGCCATATATAGCCGCCAGCAGGCACGTCGGCAATGCCGATGGCTCGCTGTCGATTCCTTGGATTGTGTGTTCTCTAGAGAGAACCGGGAAATATGGCTGGACGTATCTCCAAAATCTGGATTTCTTGTTGGTCAGGGAAATTCGGAAACGAGACATGGGGATATGGATGTTTGCGGTCTTACAAGCTGATCAGCCTCTTGCCCACCTCGTCTGAAATCATTTGCGCGACATCGGATCGAAGGTCTGATTCGCTACCCGGAAGGCCTCCTGGCTGGGCCTTGCTCGCCAGCGAGTTCCTTTGCAGCATGAACTGGGTGGGCACTCCATCGTCCAAGCCCATGTCTCTGATGTGAAGCTGCTGAAAGGCGCACTCATTCTTGTCGTCAAAGCGATACAGATGAAGCAGGTATGGGTCTGACTCGCCGCTCAATCCAATCACCTGGGCATTATGACCAGGGGTTGCATCCAACGACGATGGCATAGGTGCAACTTGTTGTCGTGGACTGGTTGAATGATGCCGGGCGTGCGGTGAAACGGGATTGGTTGTTGAGTCTGCCACATCCTGGCTCAAGTTCACTTGGTTCGTGGGCGAGCCTGTCTCTGAGAAAGGGGATGTCATGCCAGTGTCTGAGGGAGTCTGGCTCTGGCGACTCGAGACAAGGACATCGCTAGAGTTGCTCCGGCGCCGTTCCGAGATCCGCCTCCTCTTATTGGGTTCCCCGATGAAGGTGCAGTCCTTGCCCTGCCGCCTGCAAAGCTCGCAGGGCGGCGGGCCGTGCAGCAGGCAGGCGGCGCGCTTGTAGCGGCAGAAGTCGCATGGATGGCTGTTTCGCTGGAGAGACTTCCTCTGCTGGTTGCGATGGGGACTCTCCATGGCATGTATCCTGCCCAAGGGGAAGATGGGAGGAAGTGCGTTGTCGGGCTTCATGCTCCCCGCATCCCCATCATGGCACCGGCCGGGGTCTACCGCTGTCCAGGGACGAAAGAAAGGTACGTAGACACTCTGATAAGGAGACGGTGGCCGATTGGTCAATTTAGCGTAATCCATCAGTCGACACTAATACTACAATCGACCCAGGCCACACCTGGCACATGCCCTCGTTTCTCTTTGGCGGGGTTTATTTCCCCTGGATAGCACAACTTGGGATATTATACTCGCTGTAGCTATGTATTTGGTGATGATGACTCTGCGGCCAACTCAGATCCAGGCTTGGCCTCTGGCTTTGCGTCCCTCGCTGGAGCTCTTGTACACGCCGCTCTTTGCCGTCCGGCCTCCCATCCTCACGAGCCCCACCAAGTGATGGACCCCGGCCAGGACGCCGTCGACGACCTGCACGTCCTCGCCGACTGCGGCCTCGACAGCTCCCTTGAGCGGCGTCATGCCCGCGCAGCCGAGCAGCAGCACGTCGGCGCCCTTGTCGTCCACCAGCCGCTTCCCGACGTCGGCCATGATGCCCATCACCTCGTCCTGGCTCTTCTCGTGGAGGTCCAGCACTCCCAGCTTGCACGAGATGACCCCGGCGCACGACGTCGAGAACCCGTAGTGGTGGATGCTGTCCTCGTGTAGCACCCGGGACCGCTCGCTCACCGCAATCAGCCCGAACCGGCCCCCGAGGGTCCGGGCCGCGAAGAGGGACGCCTCCATGATGCCAATGACGGGCTGACGGGGCAGCTCTTCGCGGAGCATGCGGATGAGAGCGTGGTCCGAGTAGCAGGCCACCAGCACGGCGTCGTGGGTCGATGCGAGCGGGAGCACAGCCCGCGCGGCAGCGGCAGCCGACATGACGTTGTCGAAGCTGCCCTCGATGGCCGATGGCGAGGGTCTCGGGGCCGTGAACCCCGTGACGATGACATCCGGTGGCAGCTGGCTCTCCACCATGGCGACACAGGCGTCTGTCATTGCCCGTGTGCTGTTGGGGTTGATGAGGAGAATGCGGATCTTTTTGTCCTTGTTCTTGGCCCCGGCCGTCACACCGGCAGCGTTTGCTTGAGCTTGCCCGTCGACTGACAGCTTGGGAGGCTCCACGACACCCGTCTGTTCCGTGATGCGGCCATAGTGCTCCACCCGCCGGTGTCGGGCAAAGTCAAACGTGCGCTCCTTGCCCGGCCGGCACTCGTCGAGGTTGATCTCCGCGTAGACAACCTCATCCTCAGTCGTCGATGCCTCGGCGATGAGCTCACCCTCGGGTCCGGTGATGCAGCTACCGCCTATGAGGTCGTACTTGCCGTCGTCGAGGCCGCACCTCGCTGCGCTGATGCTGAAGCATGCATTGGTATAGCTGTGGGCCTGCATGACGAGCTTGTGGTGGAAGAGCGCCTTGTTGCGCGCCTCGTCCGGGTCCATGCTGGCGCTTGATCCCCAGAGGTGAGGCGCGAAGCCGGCCGTGTTGTATCCACAGAGCACGACTTCAACCCCTTGCAAGCCGAGAACGCGCCAGCTCTCAGCCCAGCGCCTGTCATTGCAAATCATCATGCCAAAGATGGGGTCTCCGCGTTCCGGAGACGGCCCAACAAGGTCAGGCACCCGGAACGCATTGAAGCCCAGGTCGCCGGGCTTGAAGTACCGCTTCTCCAGTTGATTGGTGGCCTCTGGGTCTGCGAACGGCTCAAAGTCGCCGGGGAGATGAATCTTGCGATACTTCGAAATGATTGAGCCGCTCTTGGCGTGGTAGTAGATGCTCGAGTTGAATGTTTCGCCATCGTCCGTCTTCTCGGCAAAGCCAGCTGACACGTCGACGCCAAGCTCCTTGGCCTTGTCAAACAGGGGTTTTGTTTGAGGCTGCGTGACAATATCGCCGTGCTCAAAAAAGGAGTCGAGCTCCACCGGGTCGTTGATGAGGTGCCGAGGAAAGAATGTTGTGAAGGCAGTTTCGGGGAAAAGAACGAGCTGTGCTCCCTTGGCGGCGGCGTCCTGGAGCAGCACCAGCATCCGGTCCAGCGTCTTAGTCCGGGCGTCGCTGTAGTGCGTCGAACCCATTTGGGCGGCCGCCACTCGAAGAACTCTTGACCCCATTGTTGCCGTTGGTGTTGATACTGCCTTTGATTGTTGACCTTCCCTTTCGCCTGCGCCGATATTTCTACCAAGAACGATTCAACCGCTGCCCGAGTCGTGATGATGCCTTTCTTTTTGCGGTCGCCCTCATACTAGAAAAGGTGCCCCTCTCGGAGGTTAGGACCCCTGTATTCTCCGCTCTATCGCCTGCAGTCTCCATTCCAATCGCACTTGGGCGATAGGCGGATGATAGGGCCCGATCGCCAATCGCGTCTTGTCGCAACTTGCCTATCCCGGCTATCCTTATCTCTCCGCCGGGCCTATCTCCAGCGCTTCATTAATCTGCAATCAGGCGCATAATCACGGCGGAGGTTTGAACTACCATGAAAATTACTGAGAAGCCTACCATCCCGAATTGAGGAGATGAGAAAGTGAGAGCACATACGAAAATTGGAAAGCTTCAACACAACGGAGCCGTGGCAAGCGCAGCGTCGAACTCATTCTCTTCTTGGTCCACAGTGTTAATTATTCCAAATGAACGTTGAACTCATCATTCAGAACGCAACGGTTGTGAGTTTCCACGGCATTTTCAAAAGAAAACATACACAAATTTGTCGCCTGACAACTGACGCATCAACAGGTGACCGCATCCGACGTTCACCCACGTCAAGACATCGTCGTCCAGGATGGCAAGATTCTTGCCGTTGGCCAGAACCTGGGCTCTCTGTTTTCCGCCACAAGGGTCATTGATGCTCAAGATGGCTTCGTCATGCCCGGTGGCGTAGATTCACACGTGCATCTCGATCAGGTAGACACTCGGCCCATTTCATGGCTGCACCCCAATTCTCTGGCTAATTCAAGGCTAGGACAACTCTACAACTGGGGACAACTTTGAGACCGGCACTAGGTCGGCCGTTGCCGGCGGAACGACCAGCATCATCGCCTTCGCGACCCAGGAGCGACACCACCAGTCTCTGCATCCCGTGGTCGAGGACTATCACTCACGTTCAGCCGGCAAATCCTATTGCGACTATGGCTTCCACATTATTCTTACCAACCCCACGCCGACTGTTCTGTGTGACGAGCTTCCTTTCTATGTGAGCGAGGGTATCACCTCGGTGAAGTTGTACATGACCTATGACCCACTAAAGCTGAAGGATGGCGAGATCCTGGATGTCATGATGGCCACGCGGAACCTAGGCATGACAACGATGGTGCATGCTGAGAACAGCGACATGATCTCCTGGATCACAGCCCGTCTTGCGGAGCAGAAACTCACCGCCCCGTACTATCATGCCATCAGCCGGCCCCAGATCGCCGAGGACGAGGCGACCTACCGCATCATCGCTCTGGCCGAGCTCTCCGACATCCCTATCCTCATCGTCCACATGTCGTCCAAGACCGCCGCCTCGCATGTCAGAAACGCCCAGACGAGGCTCCTCCCCATCCACGCCGAGACATGTCCTCATTATCTCTATCTGACGGCTGACTCGCTCCGCCCGTCCCATCCAGAAGATGGTTTCTCTGGCGCAAAACACATCTGCAGCCCGCCGCTCAGAGAAGACCGCATGGACCTGGAAGCCATGTGGACGGGCATCGTCAACGGGACCTTCACGACCTTCAGCTCGGATCACGCACCCAGCAAATACGACCACCCCTGCGGGAAAAAGGCAGGATTGGACTCCAGCGGCGGCATGCGGTACGACAAGGTCCCGAACGGACTTCCAGGAGTAGAAACGCGCATGCCAGTTCTCTTCGAAGGCGGTGTTCTTACTGGCAAGGTGACCCCTCAAAAGTTTGTTGAAGTCACATCGACTAATCCCGCCAAACTGTACGGTCTGGGGGAGACCAAAGGCGCCATCGCCGCGGGATATGATGCCGACTTTGTGATATGGTACCCGACAGCTCAGCAGGCTGCTGTCCACGGGGAAGCTGGGACCGCCAAGATGGAGCCCTTTGTGCTGGAGAACTCCATGTTGCACCATGATATCGACTACTCTCCCTTTGAAGGCATGGAGTTTCACAACTGGCCGCGTTATACCATCCTGAGAGGCAAAGTGGTCTGGGATCGAGACAACGGGGGGCTTGTTGGCGAAATGGGATTTGGGCAGTTCCTGCGCCGGGGCAAGAGCACTTTGAGCAAGCCAAGGAACAAATGGGTGAACGAGTTCCAGCCCATGCCAGAGATCAAGCGGCCGAGTGTGGCATATCCTTAGCTTTTTTCAACATTCCCATTATCAAATTTCCTGGGTCAATCAGGGCTGTCCATTACTGGTCACAGCAAGTAGTCGTCAGCGGTGCAACAGGAAACTCAATTATGAACACGGACGTGCTCGAAGCGAAGACTGGAAATATAGTTCTGTCGCTAGCAAGTATCTTGGATCGTTCACGGTGTGACGTAGATCAATGCCGAGTCCGAACTCCCAAGATCCCGGGCTAGATTTTGAATTGAACATGCGAAAGCGGCATGAGTAAGGGGAGATGAGCCATTTGCGTCGCCGCTCGGATGGCCAATCAGATCATTTGGTGGAGAGTGACGATGGCCGGGCTGACTAAAAGCGTTCGGCGCCGATCGCGCCGCCGAGACCGAACCTTGCCTCTGAAGCAAGCCTCCCTCTAAGCTGAACAATTCCAGAGCCGCGCAAGTTCGGCTGCCGAGATTCAATACTTTAAAGGCGGTCCATTTCTCCTTTCCACTTCTCCATCGTAAACGTGCATCAATCGAGATTCCAATCACGACTTGCACGACAATCGACACACCTGCACTGCAACCCTTTCAAGCACGTCTGCTACCCACCGTATCAATCAGCGGCTACCATAGCCAGACTTTCGAAAGAATGGCGGAACCCACCAGGAGAAGTCATGAGTACTACAGTGCTTCTGCGCTTGAGGAAGGAGACCATTCCGACGTCATGCCATCGGCGCAGGCGGCCAACGAGAAGCAGGTGCCGATGGAGGACTCTCCGGCCCCTGACGGAGGGCTGGAGGCGTGGCTCGTCGTCATGGGCGGGTTCTGTGTCTCCTTTTGTAGCTTCGGCTGGCTTAACTGTACGTTGGTGATCCCAGCCTGAGTCACTCAGATCTCCCAGAAGAGCAAGGGGAATCTCCTTCTTTCCCCGGCGAACACGGACTGACTTTAGAGAAATCTGTGAAATGATAGCCATTGGCGTCTTTCAGGGGTATTACCAGACCGGTCCGCTCTCGGCCTACACCTCTAGCACGATTGCCTGGATTCCTTCGCTGCAGATCTTTTTCATGATGGCCATGGTAAGGAGCATTCCTTTCCCTATGGAGGTGCCTTTATGGACAAGCATTCACACATGTGCGGGCGTTCTTTCTACGAGATCTGACATTCTCCCCACCTGGGACATTGCAGGGACCAATTGTTGGCATACTCTACGACAGGTTCGGGCCGCGCTACCTATTGTTAGGTGGCAGCGTGTTACACGTCTTTGGACTGATGATGGCGTCCCTGGCAACCGAGTACTACCAGTTCCTGCTCGCTCAGGGCGTATGCAGCGCCATCGGCGTTGCCGCCATTTTCCAGCCCGGTAAGTCAAGACTCGGAGAAGTCCCCCCGCCCCCAGCTGAAGGTCGTTTTTTCTATGCTGCGCCGGGTCTAGACAAGTCCCAGAGATTGACCTGACTCCTCTAATGCCTGCCTGAACAGCAATCAACCCTATCCCCTCGTGGTTCTCGACCCGCCGCGGTGCCGCATACGGCATCTTGGCGACCGGCTCGTCGCTCGGCGGCGTGGTCTTCCCGATCATGCTGTCCCGGCTGGTCCAGAGCGTGGGCTACCCGTGGGCCATGCGCGCCGCGGCCTTCCTCATCCTCGCCCTGCTCGTCGTCGCCAACTGCACCGTCAAGGCCCGCCTGCCGCCGAACCCGCAGCGGCTCACGCCCGCGCAGCTTGCCCAGCCGTTCAAGGAGGTGCCTTTCCTGGGTCTGCTGGCGGGCATGGTCCTCCTGACGTTTGGGATATACATCCCGATCAACTATATCCAGGTCGAGGCCCTCCAGGCTGGAATGCGGCCCGAGCTCGCAGGGTATCTGGTTACAACGCTCAATGCAGGGAGGTGAGTGGGTTCTGGTTGTCATCGTTATCGCCTGAACTCTCAGTCTTCCAGACTCACAGGGAGACCATTCCCCACCGCACCCCCCCCCCCAGTCGTGCCCTTTTCCCACACACCCTTCTGCTCTTGTGTATGCGTATGGAAATGTGCTGACGAAGACACCGGCTGCAGCCTCTTCGGCCGCATCCTCTCGGGCGTGGCAGCCGACAAGATCGGCCGGTTCAACGCCTTCATCATGTCGTGCTTCTTTGCGGGGTTCTTCACCCTGGCGCTCTGGATCCCGACCTCCTCCACCACCGCGGCTGCGACGCGCGACGGCATCATCATCGCCTTCTCCGTGCTCTTCGGTTTCTTCTCCGGGGCGTACGTCTCGCTGCTGGGCGCGCTGGTCGCGGCGATCTCGCCGCCGCGCGAGATCGGCTTCCGCACGGGCCTCGTTTTCCTGGTCGCCGCCGTGCCGGGCCTCGTCACGAACCCGATCGCCGGGGCGATCCTGAGCAGCAGCAGCGGCAGTGGTGGTGGCAGCTTCGTGGGTGTCAAGGTGTTTGCGGGTGTCTTGATTCTCGCAGGCACTCTGTGTGTGTCGACGAGCCGGGGGATCGCGACGTCTTGGAAGCTCATGGTTGCTTACTAGGAGGGGAAAAACGGGAGACGGGGGATGATAAAGGAGGTTGTCCGAAAGAGTGTTGGATGTTGTGTGTGTAATGGCAGGAGGAAGTACATGGGCGCTGCGAAAAGGGGGGTTCGTCCGAGCCGTGAAGGCGCGTGGACAATGGCGCAATTCGGGGATGGCCGGGCAGAATTACGCGGCCGCGAAGAGTATACATGAAGGGAAGAATTTAATAAGGCGGCGGTTGATCATGTAAGATTGTATCGGTGGTTATATATTCATTAGAATATCTCTTGTTAGACGGACGTGCCGACAAAGCAATTGAATGGCATTATTGTACACCTTCCATGATACCCGTTTCAGAGCTTTGACGGAGTGATTCATTGTAGGACGAGAACACCAGGTTCTTAAGGAGCTGCCCCCCAGAATCCATAGTTTTGAGATTCAAAGTCGGCTAGCAGAGTAGTCCAGTCCTGCACCTCGCCGTCCCAGTTGATGAAGTCGCCGTGGTCCGGGTCATTGTCATAGCCACGATCCGGCTCCAGCCTGTTATCCTGCGCCGCCGGAAAGCCAGGGTTCTCTGCCCAGCGCTCCGCTTGCTGCGGCTGCTGCTCCTCTTCAAAGGCAGCGGCTGCAGCAGCGCCGTCTCCGGACAGTCGTGCCAGCCCCTCCACTGCATGACTCTCCGCGGTCCGCGCATCATCCACCGCCTGCATATTTCCAGCAGCCACATCGTGATGGTCGACACTACTAGCGGCTACTTCAGTCATGAGAGCGGCAGCCCTCGCACGAAGCGCACTGTCGCGGAGCCTCAGGAAGACGGCCCAGACAGAGCCTGTAGGTCTGTATTCCCGCGCAGACACCTTGGGCAACGGCTCGCCGCCGCCGCCCTGCCGCCACACGCGCGTGGCCTCGTGCTCGAAGACGCGGTCCACGGCGGCCCAGGCGCGGCCCACGTTGGGGCCCTGGACGGGCCGCATGTTGAGGTGCCACAGGACGTACAGCAGGAGGTGGTACTGCGGGTAGCACTCTGAGAGCCAGCGGTAGTTGCGCAGCAGCTCGTCCTTGTAGACCTCGTGGTCCATGTCGAGGATGTCACAGGCCACGACGAGGCTGGCCTCCATGATGGCGGTCTTTGTCCATTCCGTCCTGGTCGTCTTCATCGTGGTCGATGCTACTGCTGCTGCAGGTGATTCTGCACCGTCCTCCCTCCTAGGGTCAGCGCCACTGATTATTTCCTGTTCTTGTTCGTCCTCAACGACATCGTCGCCCAGGGGTGAGGGATGTCGGGAAAGGAGCTGCACCCGGCTCACAAAGTCCCTCTTGGCCAGCACAATGTTGCAGGCCAGCAGTGCAGCCTTCTGCTCGGGGATGACCGGGTTGAGGTACACGAGCAGCGGGCTCACGCGGTCCATGAGCTCATCCACGATGGTCTGCCGCACCTCCTCGCCGGCGCCACGGGCGAACTCGCGAGAGAGGCGCTGTAGGGCGAGGGTCGCCTGTGCCATGATGAGAAAGTGCGTGGCGTTGCAGAAGTACGCGGCGGGCGGGGGCATCTGTGTCATGCCCGGATGCAGCGCCGAGTCGTCGACATGGAGCGGGAGCCGGGGCGCGTCGGCGCTGTCGCCGCCAAAGGAGGCGTCGGTGACGAAGCCGTGGTCCTCGGCGGCGCGCTTGTCCTGGGCCTGGAGCTGCCACCACAGGCGGCGGCGCATCTCGGCCTCGAAGAGGGACATGCGCGGGAACGCGGTGCCGTCGCGGTGGACGCCGAGGGACTGGGCGAGGCGGATCGCGAGCCCCAGGAACGCCCAGTCGGAGCGCGAGGTGCGGTGCGCGCGCAGGCTCATCATGAAGAGCGCAATCGCCTGCAGGGCCGTGACGGTCGGCGTCTGCATGACGTTGGCCGCCGCGAGGGCCATCTCGAAGCCCGTCTTGGCCCGGCTCAGGGACTCGGCCTTGGGCCGCCCCAGCACCGAGGCAGCCTCGCCCGGCCACATGGACGTGATGGCCGAGAACCAGACGGCGTGGAGCAGGCAGACGACGTCGGCGGGCGCGCTGTCGGGCCTGTCTACGGCGGTGAAGACGGCAACCTGCGTCGTCGGCATGTGCAGCAGGCACAGCAGGCCCGACGTGTTCTGCACAAAGATGCGCCAGAGCTGGGACGCCTGGCCCCGGGATGGCAGCAGGTCAAGCGGCGACCTTGGGGGACTGTCCGGCTCGGAGATCATGGGCGAGAAGGGGTAGCCGATCGGGCTATCCATCACTGTCTTTACGGATTTGCGTGGAGGGCCATCGTCTTGTGGATTTTCTGTCGGCCGGTTTTCGTCCTCCTGCTGCTGCTCGCGATGGTGGTCGTCGTGTCAGTCAGCGTGGCTAGCTCTGAGAAGCCTGCACTACACAGATCGCATCAAGGCAGACGGACTCACCTCCTCGAGGACGCGTGACAGCAGGATCTCGTTGACGTACTCGCTCGAGTCGTTGCCTGACCGCAGGACCCCCGCAAACGCCGTACTGGTGCGTCTGGCGTTGTCATCATTAGACCTTGTCGGCGTCTGCCTTTTCTGCGTCGTCGAATGCCTGCTATATTGCAGGCTTGTGTCACCAGGGGAGGCCACTGGCCCTGCTGGCTCATGGCTGATGAGTGGCCTCGGTGATGCCGCCACGGGCGTCCTGCTGCTGGACAGATGGCCAGAAGACAGCGACACGAGGGTGCCCTCGAGCTGCTGCAGGCGGCCGGCGATGTCTGCTATCGTCGACTTGGGTTTCCGTGGCCTCTGCGTGCCGTCGTCGTTGCCGCTGCCGTTGCCCGGGTACGCGCACCGGTGCTTGCCGCGGATACACGCCGAGCAGGGCGTCTTCTTGTCGCAGCGCACCTTGCGCTGGTGGCACGGCATGCATGACCGTGAGGCTGGTGACGGCTTCGGCGTAACACCAGACATGCTGCCTAGCCGTGCTGTGCTGTGCGCCGCCCGATGTGAATGGCTCGGGACAGAGAGGGTGTGTCTTCGGCCGTGTGGTAGGACCTCGGACCAAATATCGAGGCCGGGCAGCCGAGCACAGCACTGCCTCCCTTAATCCGGTTGTCTTTAGATGCCTCGCGTAAGCAGCAAAGTGGGGGCTGTGTGGTCGGCCTCGGTGCCGATCAGGGGTCCGAGGGCCGATCGGGCGCAGCCGATTTTATTGCACTTGTTTAAACTCTCAGCCCACGGCACCAGAGTTCTAGCCCGATTCTTTAGCGCAGCTCTGCACCGCGGCTGTCTCCAGGCTCCGGAATTGAGCCATAAGTGCCGTGTTAAATGCCGGCCGGCGTGCCTCACCTGAGTCGCAAAGATGAGACTTGCTGGTAGACCATAGATTGGCATTCGGCAGACTACACAAAAAGTCCGAGCTTCTCTGTACCATGCAGCTACTCGTTTCTCGGTGAAATAAAGGTGCTAGTTGAAAATGAATAGATTTACATGTAAACAAGGGATTTACAGCATGGAAACTCCCACTCCGTAGGCAATTCGAAGTCAGGGGTGCACCAGTCGTTCATAGCTCTGGCCGCCCCATGGTCCACACCCAACCAACCAACCACAACCCACTGGCCCCTCTACACTCTCGGCGCAACTATAATCTCGGCGGGTGTCTTGCTGTGGAGATCTGTCGTGCTGGCGATAGCTTCTCCGCGGCCGCTCGACTCCTCGTCGTCAGTCCCGTCGTCCTCCATCCGGTTGAACGTAGTCATGCCAAACATGTTGCGCGCCGTCTGTCGACTCTTGTTAAAGTTGCTGCTATTGCCACCGCCGCCGGGGCAGTTGTGCTCGATGGCGCCGCTGCGGCCGTAGGTCGGTGTCGACTTGGTCGTTAGCCCAAGCTTGACAAGTAGGATCCGGTACAGAGGTCGGAGCGTGGCAAAGCTGCCTCCGGTGATCGCGAGACTGGCTTCGATCTGCGTCCAGATCGAGATGGTAGAAGAGGCCCCTACAAAGAAGAAATTGGCCAGCCTGCCTGTCAGCGCGTTTCCCGTCACAGATTCGGCATCAGACCACGTCGTATCTCCTAGAGCATACTTACACAGGGGATCGGGGTCCTTGAAGTCTCGAAGGTGCGGGAAGCGTATGATAACGGCAGTGCTGGCACTAGGCAGGTGGTGGTCTTGTTAGATTCTAGGCATATGCCATCGTCGACGCGGTGCATTTGACAGTTTTGAAGACTTACAGGCACGCCATGCCGAGAACCAGAGTTAGAGCTAGTTTCGTCTTGAGGCTCATCTGGAGGTGAAAGACCAGCCATGCAGGCAACAAGGTGAAGGCGATATCGGTGAAGAGTGTTAGTGCGCTATAAGCGTACATGATATTGATGATCGTGTCGATGTCAATGCAGGTCCCCGTTTCGCTGATCTTTTCCCACGCAAAGGAGATCGGCCTGCACTGCAGAACAGTGACAAAGAAGAAAATGGAGCTAGCAACGATTGTAGCACCGAGGGCGAGGAAGATGATCCAGCGATGCACCCTCTTATTCGTTATACGTAAGAGATAGCAGCCGACGGAGAGCTTCGAGGTAGCGAGAGTGACTGCGATACTGGGATAGCAGGCATATAACCACTAGTATTGACACTCAGTATTAGTCCTACCCTTCACTCAGGTGTGATGCCCAGAACAACGTACCATCAACGCATTCTCAATTCGTTCCGGTGGTACTTCCGCTGTATGCATTCCCGAACCTTCTATGGTTGCCAGCACACACGTAACAGTACTGGCAGTGAAAGCGATCTGTCCTGCCCAGCTTAGTACCCATTCAGGAGGACATTTCTGAGGTGACAGAAGACGGTATCAACAATTCCATGAACGAACCATTGCGGCCACCATGAGCCAATCGTCGGCAGCAAATGCCTTCATGATAAAGGCACGAGCGCATACACGCAGGACGACGGCCACAAGGGCCAGCGCCCAAGCGGCCAAGGCGACCGATCTGATTTCCAGACTCCGACTCTCCAATTCGGCCATGGCGACAGGTCTTTGCCTTGGTCTTGGCCTGGAGCTGACGTATAATAGTGGTGATCGGATGGTGTCTGCAGAGAATGACCCAGGCTTCAGAGGGCCGATGTGTGTCCACGCGGGCTCGTGTAGGACATTTATAAAGGCAACACAGGCTCTGCCTGGCGCGCCCCGCGACCACGGGGATTACGCTCACAGCGAATCACGGAAAAACCCTTGTTCTGGTGGATCTTCCGTAGTCATGCACACAACTATAAGTCTTGTCACTGGACTCGCCCGGCTGCATCAACCGGACTGGCGCCACAGGACAGGGCGAAGCTATGTTGTAGCAATTAGGAGCATAGTCACACTGGTGTAAGGATGCATAAAGACCAAAAGAAGCAAGGGATTGCGCCAGACCTAGCCTGTGTCAGGACATCGATAGCCATACTCCGCGCCACGCTATCGTCTCTTGGTGGAGATAAACCCCAGACGCTGATCACTCCGCATGCAGCTTCAAAGTTTATTTTAGTGGCATACCATCTTCATTCATGAGCCCATCCCATCGTGCTGCTGACATTCCCCTCGACGCTTGAACTACCTTGGTGCTCCGTTGCCTGCGCCGTACTCTATGCAAATGGATAATTAACTTATGTATTTGCACACCTGACTCTCGCCAGTGTGACCCCAAGAAGCTTCTCCTGGCATGGCTGGCGGCAGTCTAGAAGTGTGATCGAGGTGGGGACGTTGGGCCGCCACCCCTGCACTAGCCCCCGACACTACTACATGATCGCGCCTGGCGAGATCGTGGCGGTTTGCACCATCAGTAAGGCGGGTGATCCGGCAGGGCTCCGCGGAGGGGGTCACCATCTGAAAAGTAGTCCCTAGATCGTATCTAGTCGAGGTCCAATGGCTGAATCCATGGAACGCATCCAGAACCAGCCGAGGCCAACCCGAACCCGAGCTGAGGCGCGACGGCTGGGAGGCGAAATGTCCCGAGGGATTGGCGGTTGGGCCGCAGAACCAGGGATTAAAATGGCCCGCCTGCCATTGGGGATGGATCGCCAGAAGTGAGGAGCATCACGGAAGCGACATAGAACTGCATTACCTCGGCAGCTCATGCCAACGCTTCGCCGTAGCAAGGCGCAACAGACTTCTTGGACCTGGCGAGTCGTTCTACTCTCTCCACAGGTGGTCGGATGGACCCTGGTGCAGATCTGTTCTTGGTAGTGATTCAAAACTAGCGCGGAAGAAGGCACCGCGCTTGCTCTGACAAGATCCTAGATGAGAAGCAGCCCGAGGCCAAGTCAAGCCACAGTGGACCATGATGAAGGAGACATGTGCTCTGGGGCGCCGAGCGTCTCCGACAGGCGGAAAAATGCGAACCCACCTGTAGGCATAAGGCTAGTCACTAAAATGAGTGATAAAGACGGTCGGCATGCTCTAGGAAGTCGGGAAATGGCAGGCCCCGATATCCACGCAGCGGAAAGTCCCCGCAGATCCCGTGCTTCTGGTCTGGGTGGCTGCTGGTGTGATTCACTGGGGAACAGAAATTAGTCTTACCAAAGTAATGCCGTACTGGCACCGGCTAGAGCAAGGGTTCGTTAGAGGCACTATCATCCCGTGGCCATGCCCTTTAGGTAGTGGCACGAGTCTGTTGTACCTGGTCTCAGCAGTACAAGCAGTATATGGCGGAGTTGTGGTCGTTAAGTCGGGCTGCATATCCCATTATATTTCCGTCCCGCCTATGCGTCCTCATCAACACCGGCATCACGAGGCTGCGAATGCAGGCCGAGGGCTGGCCGGTCTTTGGCATACAAGGCACCCTTTCAAGATGCCGGGCCTCAGGACGATCGTCACGTAAGCCTTTTCCATGCCCGCTGTGTAAACAGAGCGAACACGCACTTGCGTTTGACAGAACTGACTGCTGATCCTTCCAAAGAGACGACTGTTGACAGCTATGTTAAACATTGACTCGCTTGAGCCAACTCAGCAGGTTAGTCGTGGCGAAGATATCCCAAACCTCGGACGAGATTTGGTCCAGGGGGGTCTCATCAAGACCTTCCGGATGTCAATGTCCGACAGGGGCAGTGCCACAACTCGTGATCTGCATTACCATCCTAATCTTGCTTATCTTGATAAACGTGAGTCTTAAGCACAATGGCGATAACCAGGCTTGCAATGAATACAAGATGCGTAGAGGCTCTGTAAAAGGTGGCGAGGTTTCTGGCTCGGAAATTCCGGAAGGAGCTCATCATTCTATGTGAACCTTGAAAGCATGGGCGCAAGAGCGCATCAGGCGGTCAACTCTCGCCAGTAGCCCAGAGCTCGATCGCGACACGAAACATGCGGAGCATCTCCTCTCAGAAAGTACCGTGAAAGAACCCTCGAGTCTCGTGTAAGCAACGAGACCCCTCAACAGAAGGCGCCACTTTACGGAGTCGCTGAAGCTCTCCTTGAAATGTTCACAGGAGCTGGAATATGCCGACGAAATCGACTGCGTCAGCAACTAAACGTCGCTCGAGCGAAGAGCTCTGGGAAGATGTTTGATTGGCGGGCATGCATTCTTCCGGTGCTGTGTAAAGGCGTGAGCATAGCAGCCTCATGCCTACCAGGTAGTTGAAAACCGGCATCCTCGCGCCCTGCGCCGTGAGGCTAGTAGTCTTATATCAGATGTACCATATGAAACTCGTGGGAGCTGCGGGAATCTTCTAGAGCATGAAATATGGGAGTTGTTTACATCGAGGACTGCTGCCTGCTTATGACCTTTTTCATCATCTTGTGTGACCAAAAATATGTGGACCATGATCCCCGAAGAGAAAGCTGTATCATGGAGCCTTCCATGTGACGCTGAGGCTATGATGGGCTCCAGAATGGCTAAAGCCTCGAAAATAAGACACTGCGTTTATTCATACAAGTCGGACACGGAGCAACTCAACAGTATGGCCCAATATACCCACGCCAGCCTCCTGGCCGACATAGCGGTTGCTCTTCGCAACGCGTTTTCAAGTGTCTCTGAATACGTTTTATCACCTTCCGCCGACACTATGTGAAACCTGCAATTTTGCCTGCAGTTCCTATCATCGAAGCTGCAAATTACGGCCCTCGCTAAACGAGAGATCGGCACGGGTTCTATGTACTGAACGGCGGGCACAGGGCGCGTCCCACGCTCATGTATACGCTCTCAGCGCTGTCGGGCTGCATATGATGCGTGCCGTCTCAGCTTTGTCGCAATGTAGGCACCTTGGAAAGTTCACTTTTTACTGTAAGGTCAGCTGGGGCGGCAGGTCATGTACCAAGGTACAAAAGCGGCATGATGGAGACTTTGACTTTGTGGGCACGACAACTTTGGCAGGAGATTGCGGATCAAGTCGGTTAGTGTAGCTCGCTGCCTGTGCTTCGCTGGTAACTGTGATGACATTATCCGTCGAAGCACGTGGGTGAAAATCATGAAGGAAGTCTAAGGACCGGATATTAACAACCGTTGGCTATGACTGGAGAGGCCAGAAGGCTATAGTGACCTTGGAGATAGGGATTCGTAGGGATTCTGGACCAATGTTTATCCCTGGATACGACGCTACTTCTTTCTTCACATAACTATGCGCGAAAAGAAAGTCTCTTTTAGTTCCGCATCTACAGCGTGAGATCCCTGTCACTAGGCGAAAATTGCAGACAATCGAAACCCTCCTCTAACGCGCGCATGCATTATGGGTCTGACCTGTCACTGTAGCCTTCTGGCCTCTCCGGTCACAGCGATAATCATGCGGGGAGCGAGCATGGACGACAATATCCTCCACAATTCTCCAGGTCCTCGCAACATTTACGGGCCATAGCGTCAAGGGAGCACCTGGTCCTCCATCCCGTACTCCAGTGCCTGTGCCTCACTATATATCATTCACGTGGAAATATCGTTAAGGCATGCCACGACGAAATTACTACACAGTTCTACTCACAGGAGCACCTTCCTGACAGAGACAAGTTACTTCTAGGAACAATCGAACAGTAATTGAGTACGGAGGCTCTCACTCAGTCGTACTAGAGGTTGTGCGACTACTGTAGATGGACATGCCTTTGGCCCGCACGAGCGCGTGCTGCCAGCGAGCTGAAGTGAGAGAAGACAAGAAAAGGACATCAGTACCTAGGTTTCATCTCGTACGCCGATCCATTCCCATGCCAGTATCCTTGCCATGACCATTGAGTTCACTATGACTGGCCCCCCTGTCTAGTCACCAGCATCCCGGAATCCAAGCCCATGTCTTATCCCCTTCGAGCTGAGCGTGGCTTTCCATAGAATCGTCAGTAACTAGAATGCCCACATGATCACACAGCGTTGAGCTTATGCCACTCCAGCACGTAGCAGGACTGGACAATTCGCTCTGGAGCTGTTTTGTCATGCTTCCTTGGAAGGACTAGCGAGGACCCAGTCTGAAGAAATTCGACTTGTGGCGCATCAGGGCTGGATAAGACTAGCTGGGGGCGATTGTGCGCCGAAGGTGACAATCTCGGCGAAGGCAATCCGGTGCGGATTGCAGTGGCTTGACCAAACCGGCTGGGACGCCTACTCGATTCTGAGAGTGCACTTATCTATGGCCAAGAAGTGACCAACAGTCAGACTAGTTTCCACGATAATTACTAAGTTGAGGCCCAGTGCGACATGACTATCCACACTGCCTCTGACAAAGACTCTGCTGTAGCTTTACAATTCTACCACTGATCAATTCACCATTTGCAACTCATGTCGCTGCCGAGCTCGTCACATTCCTTTGAAGTGTAGTTCCTTACCCATGCGTTATGATGAGATTCGCTTTGAAGAAACACGACTTTCTTTCTCTTGGGTGTGCGACTGCAGGCGTCCTTCCTGCCAGCTTCCTAGCCCGCGCTGTACGGCGTCCTCGCTATGAAGTTAGGGCATATCGAGAGAGAATCCCGACGGATGTGAGGCATTTCATAGGCACTCCCGCGGAGGTCGCCCGGCTTGGCTCGATTGCCAAGACCAGATGCTCGACTATACCTTGCGCCTCTCTCATCTAGACTCGTAGAGCGCGCAAATACTGTCCCCGGTCCGCAAAGTGGTGTCAGCCACGGAGCAGTAGCAGGATGCTGATCGGGACCATGAGTCAATCATTCTGAAGGACAAAGAGGGGCCTCTCGAACAGAAACCGTTTGGGGCCCATCAATTACAGCTGGGAGAGTGGTGACAGATCTCCTCTCATGCACAATTGCCTATGGGGTCCCGGCAGATGCTCTTCTTCAGCCCCCTGGCCCTGGCGCCAACCACTAGCCTCAACGATCATGGCCCAAAGCAGTGCTAGTGGGCAAGTAACAGCCTGGCTGCGCACGCCAAACGTCCACGTCATGCGCCGTTGCCGAGCACGGACAGCAGCTGAGGGCCGTGTGGACCGTTGATCCCGGGCCAAGCCCCGTAGCGCCTGTCATTGCAGGGACTTCATACACTATAGCAAGTAAGGTTTGCATTTAGAGCGTAAACAGTGTACCTGGCGCTTGAACATCTTCCGCGTACCGGCATAGTGCGTCTCCTTAGCGTTTTCGTAAAGCGCTTGCCTGACTCGCCCCAAGGTGCCCTCGAGCCCCTGAATGTGATTGCAGGGAGCCGACCGCCTGGATACGCACAGGCATCGGGACTGACTCCGAAAATGAGGGCTGGAAGGATCAGAGAGCGTGTGTTGATCGTTTCAGGGCTAGAGGTGGATGCGCGGGTATAACAAGGGCTTCCCCAGCCGTGGCAATCGTGAAGAGCCAGGTCGACCTCGAACTGCCATTTCTTGATTTATATTGTCACGTCTTATGGCCCTCGAACCGGACTGGAATTAAGCAGCCGTCGTATCGCACTCTCTGTCTACTCTCTTTCTCGAAGTCTGGGTCCTCTACGAATTCGACATGGGCAACAATCTCGTCCCGGACGTCTATGCGGCCTCGATCATCACCTTCGTGCCCGCAACTGCGAGTTTCGCTGCACGATGGTGGGCCAGGAGCATAACGGGTATCAGCCTTTGGTGGGATGACTGGTTTGTCATCATCGCATATGTGGGTTGTTTTCATTATGGCCTGTAACTCTTTGGCGGATCAGACTTTGCCTCGTATGCATGTCGAATCCAAGCTGACACGGAAGTCTACAATAGTTCTTCGCCGTCGCCTACAACTGTGCATCATGGGCCTGGATCCAGACTGGGGTTGGTCAACATCTGGCCGAGATCCCTGGTGACCCAGCCGTCGCGCTTCGCAATGCCTCAATCCACATCATGGTCGCGGAGTTGACCTACGCGACATCGCTGGCCTTTGTCAAGTTCTCCATCCTTGCTTTCTACTGGAGGATGTTCAAGACGTCTCCCATCAAAATTCCCATCATGGTACTCTTTGCCCTGTCCATGATCTGGTTGATCATCCGTGTAAGTACTCCTTCACGTGTTAACCCCAACGCAGACATGTTTGCTGACCTGGCCTCGGGTGCGGGCACAGACCTTTATGAGCATCTTCCATTGCATTCCGGTCTATGCTCTGTGGGAGCCTAATGTCCCTGGTGCTACATGTATCGTAAGTCCGCACTTTTCCCGTTGGTCAAGATGTCCGCGCACTGTCCTCGATCAATTCCACTGACAATGAATGATGTGGTCAGGACGGCTCTAAATTCTTCACGGCCTCGACCTCTGCCCACCTCGGGCTCGATATCCTCATCATGGCTCTTCCAGTCTTCCAAATCGGGCGCCTGAAGCTCAAGAAGACTCAACGACTTGGTGTCAGCCTGTTGTTCTTGTTCGGCACGCTTACGTGCATCGCCAGCATTTGCCTTGTCGTACGTAAACCCCACCATCAGGCTCGCTGGAGACAGTACGATGGAAGTGGCTGACCTTTGTTTCATGGAACAGATCAGAGCAGTTGCCCTTAACCCAAAGACGACCGACCTGACGTACGACATCGCTCCCATCATCATATGGGCCTCGGTTGAGGTCAACCTTGCCGTGATTGCCGCCTGCTTGCCCTTGCTGCGGCCCATTTTCAGCCGCCTGCTCAACAAGATGCACGTCGGCTCAAACGACAAGTCGAGCGGTGCGGGAATGACGGGAGACTACCAGCACACCCGGCCCAAGTCGTTTGTCCGGATCGGCACCCGTGGCGGCACTCGGACTGGCGGCGAAGGTGGCCGCTCCAAGGTTTCTGATGACACAGACTCGACTTATGAGCTCGCAAAATCGCCCATTCACGGCGGGGGCACGTACCCTGTTGGTAACGGGAGCGCCGACTCCATGGAGCGCGGTGACCGCCACAACGGAGGCTTCGACGGTGGTCACAGCAGGGCTCAGGTGACGATTACAGGGGTGGCTCCAGAGGCAGGCAGTTCGCGATGGGGCTCTACCTCGGTTGCTCCTGGAGGAATCATGGTCAAGAACGAGACAAGCATCCAAGTGAGTCATGGGGCATGACTGTAACTATATCTTGGATTGCGAGTGTTTTCAAATACAATGACAATCGGATGTGCAACCACGGCAATGGTGCTCTAGGATAATCTCTGCCACGCGTTGTTCGAATCAATATTGCCATGGATATGTACGTGGCTTCAACCAAGTTTGCCACGTCGTAGCAGGTGACTGCCACGACACAAGCTTATTATGACACCGGTCTATTATTACCCGATCAGCCGGCTCACTGCCCTGAACGGATTCCAGCTTGCTTATCCATAATTATTAACAGGTTATTCTATGAGTTCGCGAACTAGCTATTAGGCAACCAGGGATTATTCAGGCCATAACTATCCACACCATTCGGCCCTGCAAGTGCTTCGACATGCCCACTGGCTCCGCCAAACTTTGAATTAATATATGTCAACCTCCACTGCCTGCCCTCGCATTCTGAACCCAGGCGCCTCGTCCACGCGGCACCTCTTCGCCGTCACACATCTCGATAAAGCCCTGGCCTCTGGACTGATAGCGTGATGGGCAAATCTGTCGCCGGCATGGGCCGAGCATGCTGTTTGCCTCACACGATACCGAACTTCTTCTGCAGTTGCTCAGTGGAGCTTGTCCGGCTCTGCGCGTCCTCATCCTTGGGCTCGTGGACGACCTCTGTCTCGACCTTGCGGCGGATGCCTCCCTGCTCTTGATCTTGCGAGTTGGTGGTGCCGGCACCGTTGGCCGTGACCAAAGTCTTCATCCGCACCGCCGTGATCTTGTCGTCGCCGCCGCTTGCACCGGGCCCGCCCCAGTACGATCGGGCACCGCGCCCCTTTCCACTCTTGTCCTGCTTGGCGCCGCTCGAGTTGTGATACACGTTGCCTCCGCTGCCACTTGCGGCGCCGCTCCCATTATCGCCCTGCACGGACTTTGTGATGAGATCGGCCATGTTCAGCTCGATGTAGAGCTTGATCCCATACACTGCTGGGTGGAAGAGGCTGTACACGAACCCTGTCCCGATACTCATGGACGCTATGAGGATGACCTGTACAGCGTGGTTAGTCCCTATTGGTCGCCAAAAACATCGCTTTCAAGTAGTGAGTCTGCTCGTACGGGGAGGGGATGGGGTGACTTACATCAAGAGTAATCGACACGGAGATCATGGCACAGTTGAAGTAAAACAGGGGATAGTACTTGGTAAGGCCATTGCTGATGAGCTTGGACCGAATGAGTCGGACAAAGTAGACGTTGAGTGAGACATCGACGATTGCGAATATGGCCTTTTCAATGCGGTCCCAGTAGTAGTTGATGGTGATGTACGTCCCGGAAATCTGGAGCTGGGCAGGGATCCATATGCAGAAGACGCTGATGTTGATCAGACCGATAATGAGAACCGAGGACCATTGCAATTGCCGGATCCGCGTCCGGTCTCTTTTCAGAAGTGCGATTCGGTTGATGATGATCTGAATGATCTGTGTGTGCGTCAGACTGTTAGCAGATGGTCTTTCTGTACACCATGGAAGCCGTCCAGGTGCGGACACTCACGCATTGTATCTGAAGTGTCCAAAGAATGAGGATGATGACAAACAGGGCGAATCTGCACAAGTTTTCGTTGGTCAGCTATGTGAGCCCGGTAATTCTGACGAGTGGACTGTCGCGACTTACGAAGGCTCAATCGATCCCCATATATAGAACCAGAGGATCGGGCTGAGCAGGAAACAGACCAGCCATTCAATCCAGATAAGCGCCACGTAGGCGGTCACGGTCCTTGTCCGCTTCCAGATACCCCACGTCTGTCGAACTCCCTTGGAAAACGTGAAGACAGCGAAGCCGATCGAGACACCCCATATCATGGAGGCCACGTTCATTTCTATGTCCGAGGGGGCCACATGGACGTAGGTGTCGGGCACAAAGAGTCCCCCCATCTTGACTTTGGTGGTTATAGGGAGGCCCAAAAGTGTCGATAGTCGTATTACTGGTGCTCGTGTCGCGATGCAGCACAAAGGAGTGAGAAGTCAGAGTATGAACGCGAACATTGGAGCCAGCTGCATAATGTATGTGAGCTTAGCGGAGCACAAGGTCAGGATAGGGGTCCTCGAACAAGGCAAGTCCATCCCCTCCAGTGTGAAAGGACACGGGATTTTGTGGGTGTGGACGCGACGGGAGATAAGCATAGGTCCAGATTGGCCGTCTAGAAGACTTCAGGTCTAGATACACATGTGGCTCGGTGGCTTTCTGGAACCGTCGATCTGGTAGGAGCCGCTTAAGCCGCTGGCGTGCCCGATCGATGAGCTAAAGCAGACTAGATAGTGGCACTTTCGAGTCAGCATCGGGCTATAACCATGGCAGGCGGTGCATGCTCAGCCCTAGGTGGACGACCGGACTGCTGCTAGCTCGAGAATTTGTGTCCGTGCGAAAGCCTGCTTGGCTCAATTGCCATCGACCCGAGGAAATGGTTCGCGCTGTGTTACGCTGGTGGTGGCTCGCTTTGATCACCAACTAGCGACTCCGCTTGAGATCGACGACAGCCTAAGTGGACTGTCACTTGACGCGTCTCGTGGTCAACGGGTCCATCTCAATCCTTGAACCACAGGTCCCCTGCAGAACCCAGATCCAGATCCATTTGGGGACCACTCTGTCAGTCATGATCGACGGCGACGAACGCTTAGTGCCACAATGCGGCCCTGACAGATCTTGTGCAGTAGTTCACATGGCAGGAAGCCGCCTGAACTAGTTTGGCTCACATGCCATAGACTAGCATTATTGCGATTCGTGTAGTCGGAATTTTACTAATGTGGCGAGCAAGATACTGCCTGTGCTGCACCCGAGAATGCCGCTGTTTCCGCCTCAGTCACAATTACACGACCTTGTCGTGCAATGAATTCTTGAAAACTGCAAAGTTCCCCTCGTTCCTGCTGTCGTACACCGCGAAGCTGACCGTCCTCCACCAGCCGCCCACAAACTCGGCCTCCTGAAGCACTTCGAGCCAGCAGGATGCAACATGCCGGGGCGGATTCGCAAATGCACCACAACCAATGGCGCCAAGGACGAGATGGCGGTGCTTCTCCGTTGCAGCAATACGGAGACACAGGCGCATCTTGTCCTTTGTCAGCTCCCGGTCGGTCGGGTCCTCGAAGTGCTGCCTGTCCTGACTGAGTGGAGGGCTGCGGATCCCAGCAATGCTGATGACACTGACGACTGGGAGATCGTGCGGCGCCATCCTTGGTACCAGGAGGCCGTGGCCGGCGTCTATGGCGTCTCGAATAATGACCACGTCTCGAGTATATAGGCCCATTCTCGGTGACCATGGATAGTAGTGCTGATGCAGTGACAATATCAACGAGCTCCGGAAGCAGAGCGCCTCCTCCTGTGCGGCCGCGCCATGGAGCCAGCCGCCTCCAGGGTTCTTGTCCGATGCGAGATTGAGAACTGCAATCCTGTGGTCGTTCTGTCGGGCTTCGGAGCCAGACTCATCCCTCGGCGCCTGCATGCCGATGGCCACGTCGAAGGAGTCCGCGTTCAGGACCGTGATGCGGGTGCCGACCATGTCACCCGCCTGCTGCCCTTCCTCGCTCAGAGTTTGGAATCCGGGACACATCAATGGGTCCAAGGGGTGTAAGTCGGCCAGGTCATACTTGGTCGAGCTGGCTGCATCAAGATCTGGGAGGCTCTCGAGAATGCCCGGGAGGACGTCGATGGTTTCCTCTGCAATGGCTGCGAGAGACTGTCCCTTGCGGTCCCCGCTTTTGACTGGGCGTGAGTCTGATTTGCCGGCTTCTTTTGGCACGCCCAGCCCTTGTAATGGACGAAGTTTGGCTCGAATTTTCGAAAACATTGCGACTGGTGGTCAAACAGAATGGCTTTTGCTCGAAAGATCTGGTCCATGGCTTGCTGATATAGCACCGTATTCTCGAGTGAGGCCTCAACAGAAAGGCTGTGTCGTGTTTGTAACCTTCAGCCGCACGATGCCACTCCTGTGGCTGAGCATTGGCCTAGCTCTGCCCCCAAGACATGGCCGCCGAAAAGCGGACGAGGCTGAGCGAGAGAATAGACTTCCATGACAAAAGTTGGAAGTCGGCCGACACTGAATCTGGATTAGAATCAGCCACGAGCGTCATTGGTCGTCGTTCCTTCGACCATCTGGCTCTCCCCATCTCATGATGGATTGTTGCTCGTTGTGCCTCTACCGTTTCCTCCTCGTCACATCGGTCTTAGCTGGTCCACCCGCTTAGTCATTGCGATCTCTGTTCTTGAGAATGCGGCGGGGCTGAGGGATTTGCTTGGCCGCCACAGCTACGTCACTCTGCGAATGCAATTCGAGTCCCCCTTTTGAAGTCTATTCTGTTGGGCGATTCGAAAAGAGCGCATGCTATTGGCCTGGTATGGCTGGTTTCACAAGCCAGCGCTCGGTCCCAAATCAGACATGGTCGCACGTGGCTTGCAGCAGAGTCAGCCTCAAATCCCGTCGTTACCAGCAGGATTATGACTAAGCGCAGCCTCGAGCACTGACAAGGGCAGTCCCTGCGGTGATGGCGTGCTCCTCTCGTATGGAGCGGGCAGACGTAGCATTGTGGTGCACAGAGACGTGCATGAGTTGGTGTTTAGCCGTCCACCGTCTGACCAGCGGCAGGCATCGTCAGGGGAAGCTCCAGTGGTTTGGTCCACCGCGGGGAACGGGGGCAGAGGCTAGTCCAAAGCGCATTAGCAGGCTGTTTTATAGTGAGGAGTATAGTGCGGAGCAACGGGGCCGCTGTCACGGAGGCGCATTCCGCACTGCCTCTTTGGGCCGCACGACCGTCCTCGCCAACTGCCCCCCGGTCCTCACTATGGCAGTTGGGAAAGCCCTGCAAACTCAAAGCTAGGGCCCAAACGCACCCATTCGGGCCGACGCCCACAAAGGGGAACACGGAGGGTGAGGCAGGCAGCTCGCGGAGCTGCAATGACGCCTGTCGCGGAACGGCACCAGCTTGGCATCCGTGGTCGTTGTTGGAGGAACGTAGCATCACCGGCCCGTCGGCCTTTGTGGGGTTGAGTGAACGGGTGCAGGCACGTCATTTGTATATATTTGCGCTCGTCTGTCTGCAGTGTTTCCGAGGTTTTGTTTCAAGCCCATCTCATCATCATCACTCACCAATCCTCATCCACAAGGCTCAATCATCCCCTCTCCGTTTACTCAACATGGGTATCAAGACTCTCCTTGCCGCCTCGGCCTTGGCATCAGTCGCGTGGGCCCAAAGCCTTTGCGACCAGTACGGCTACTGGTCGGCTGGCAATGGCTACTATGTCAACAACAATGCCTGGGGCGCCGGCTCCGGCAGTGGCTCACAGTGCACCTACATCGACACGAAGCAGTCTGTCGGTGTCTCGTGGCACACTGACTGGAACTGGTCCGGCGGCCAGAACAACGTCAAGAGCTACCCCCACTCCGGCCGTGACCTTCCCACGAAGCGTCTGGTCTCCCAGATCTCGAGCATGCCCACCAAGGCCGAGTGGAACTACGCCGGCAGCAACATCCGCGCCAACGTGGCCTATGACCTCTTCACGGCCAACAACCCGAACCACGCCACCAGCAGCGGCGACTACGAGCTCATGGTCTGGTGAGTTGTGCTCCTTGCTCTTTTGTTTCTGGCCTCTTCAGTGTCTCGCCATGCTGACTGTCATGTTTCCTCCCAAGGCTCGGTCGGTACGGCGGTGTCCAGCCCATCGGCAGCTTGACTGGCACGGTCAGCGTCGGAGGTCGCAGCTGGGAGCTCTGGGTCGGCTACAATGGCGCCATGAAGGTCTTCAGCTACGTCGCCCCGAGCCCTATCACCAACTTTGACGGCAACCTGAAGCCATTCTTCACCCACATGCAGAGCGCCCAGGGGTTCCCGGCCAGCTCTCAGTATCTCATCAGTATGTTTCTATTGCCAATCCTCCTCAAAGTATGCTGCTGTGAAACAGAGTCCCGCGACCTGCTGACACCATTTCTCTTCCACACGCAACAGCCTACCAGTTTGGCACCGAGCCCTTCACCGGCAACGGCGCCAAGTTCAGCACCTACTACTTCTACGGTGACGCCAACTAGAGTATTGCGCACAGAGACACTGACTGACACCACTTATGCCACGAAAGTCCCGCCACGGCTCCGTGGTGGCACTCGCAGGCCGACGACGAAGGGGCGCGTTCCCGAGTGGGCACGAGGGACCGGGACTTGGTCTTATCATTCTCTTTGTGGACGTATTTCTGCCGCACGATGACAATCTACCCATCACTCGTTTTGGGGAGGCTTCTTGGACGTACAGACGTACGAACATATTCGACTTCTTTTGTAAATATTTTGAAAGCTGCTGATAGACATGACAATTGATTGCCGGAGAGTATATAACGTCATCAAGGTATACACCCAGTGCTTGACGAAAATTAGCGATTCTGATGTATTGCTTCTGCTGTTGACGTTGGATCAGACACCGTCATACTGTAGCAGGGCAAGCGTGATGGATGTGTCAGCATCGGGTCCTTTTCCAACCAACATCCAGAACTTTTGCAAAGAGACTTAACACTCGCGTAGCTCACGACGTGTGTGATGTAGGGATATCGTGCCCCTGGGGGAGTGCCCGCGTCCGCGCACTGCTGAAGGGCCAATTCAAGATCATGCGCACTACTTGTCACTTTCAGATCCATTGCGACATCATCACAAGAGGAGAGCATGGATAGCAGAGTAGGGGATTGAATCTTTTAATATTTGATGAAAAGTTTTGAGGGGTATATGCTAATTCTGGGAGCAGTTACAACAACGCTGGCTCAACGGCATGATCATTTACGGGACACGCCATGCGGAGAAGAAATTCCCTTTGTTGCTGAGATCAGTATCCTGCGCGGCGGGAAAGAACTCCTCTACTGCTTCTGAGAGATCATCATCTCCTCGTTGTCGGCGATGGGGGCAGGGCGGTTGATGCTCTTGTTGAGGTCGTTCTCGGCGACGACGGGCCCAGTGCCGGTGATGGCACTCTGGGGGTGCTCGGACGCAGAGGTGAGGGTGTACTCCTCCTTGTCGATGTGGCGGAAAGTGAAGTAGAAGATGACGGTCAGGACACCGCCGATGATGGTCGGCGCACCGAAGACCCAGACGAGGTAGGGGTCGCTGACGACGCTGGAGCAGGCCAGGCCGATGGCGTAGGCGATGGCAGTGTTGAAGAGGTTGATGGCAGACACGAGACCACGCATGTTGACGGGAGCGCGCGAGTAGGCGATACCGTAGGCGGGGACGTTGATGAAGAGCTCGGAAATACCGCCAATGGCGAGAGGGAGACCGGTCCACCAGATGCTGATGGGGGCGACACCCGTGCCGATCGTGCAGTCGGAGGAGCCGAGATAGCCGCAAGGGGACTGCTCGTAGGCGTACTTCTGCAGGATGGTGTAGCCGACACCGCCGAGGGTGGAGAGGGCGAGACCGGTGGTGATACGGGCAACAGGGCCGTAGTGGATGTTCAGACGGCGGAGCAGAGGGTACAGGCCGTAGTTGAGGACAGGGGCCATGAGGATGATGGAGAGCGAGTTGAAGTTGTTGATGACGTCGTTGGGCACGCCGTTGGTGGTCAACATGGTGCTCAGGAAGCTGACCGCAGAGCCTAGACCGTTGTCGTTGATGTACTGGATGGGGAAGAAGCAGAAGATGCCGGTGGCCTGGAAGGTGCGGCGGACATCATCGACAAATGCGTCGTTCCAGTGGGTGGTGAACTTGCGCTCGAGGCCGGAGGCGGCAATGTGCGAGGGCTTGGCGACATCCCAGAAGCCCTTGCGGCCGATGCGCTTGATGCCGCCGCGGCGGAAGCAGATGGCGATAATCTTGACGACGTTGCCGAGATCGCTGCCTCCGGGAGGGTGGAGGATGAGTCTGGGCTTGAGCCACCACATGAGGATTGGCAGAGGAAGGTAGAGAATCAGGGGGATCACAAAAGCCAACCACCAGCCGACGTACTTCTCGCAGTAGGTGGTCGCGACGTTCATGAAGCCACCAATGTTGATGAGCAGGTAGAACCACAGCATGACGCGCTCGGCGCTGTGCTCGGGGTCCTGGATGACACGCTCGCCCTTGGCGGTCTCGACGACAATGGGGACCTTGTGGGTCATCTGGTCGAGCAGCAGAGGCGAGACGTTGGGCTTGAACATGGCAGCGCCAATGCTGAGCGTGTAGAGCGAGATGAAGTAGGGGACCTTGGCCATGCCGCTGGCGAGGAGGTCAGGGGCACCGGCCGCGCACATGAGGACGTGGGCCACACCAAAGACACCGATGCCGTACAGAATCATGTTGAAGCGGCCAGTGCGGGTGTCGGCCATGTAGCCGAAGAAGAGCGGCAGGGCGTAGGCCAACATGCTGAAGGACTGCGAGACGGCGTTGGCGACGTTGGGGCCCATGCCGAGGGCACCGGCAGTCTGCTGGTCGTTGGGGTCGATCGGGGGCGCACCATAGCCGTTGCCGCCGCGGGGCATGGGCCGGTTGACAAAGTTGTTGATCAGGGGCTGGACACCGTAGTACGAGGCACGCTCGCAGAACTCGACGATGCAGATGAGGTAGGCAATGGTGGGCAGCTTGCCCGGCACGCGGCGGAGCGTGCGCATCTCCTCTTCCGTGGGCTTGCCGGGGTAGTCCTCGGCAATGAAGTTGGGGTCGTGGAGGGGCGCATGGGCGTCTCCGGGAGGTGTGTGCGGCATCTTCTCATCGACGTCGACACCGGCATCGCTGATGCTGTCGCCAGTGGTCCGGCGGGCAGGCGCTGTAAGCGGAGAAGGGGTCCATGTCAGTCGCTTTGTTGGTGAAGCCGATGATGACTGGAAGCGAGAAGCCTGTCACTTACCCGTGGCGGTGGTAGGGGAAGCCATCTCTTGCCAAGATGCTGCGGTGCTACACACAGAGTCTGATCGACACGCGGAGGTGGTTATGCTGCGAGGGTCGCGGGATGCAGAGACCTGGGGCAAGCAGGAGGAGGACAGGCTCGAGGTTGGCAGGCAGGCGGGCGGCAACTCTTTTGTACGAGGACGACCACCGGTGATGGAGTGCTTGGCCAGCTCCGTCCCGGCAGCCGTCTCCCGTCGAGCTGCGTTGCTGTCGCATGGACGATCCGGACCCTAATGCGTCGCCGCCACCTCCATGTCGCGGACAAGCTGGGGCACCCTGGCCGAGAGCTTCCCTTATCGCGAGGTGCCCACATGGGCTGCTCCACCGTCCTTCTAGAAAACACAATGTGGAGGGCGGCGTTGGTGCGCGATGCTACCGGACGTGTAACCAGTTGGTTGCTCTGAAGGTGTGTGTGGCCGCCTCCCACGCGGACGGGGCGAGTGGCGCCTCCGGGGGGGCTAACGACCGCACGAATCAACAGCCGAGGCGCCACACATTATCGGGCTGCCCTGCTTGGGCCTGCTGTGCGAGCTTCTAACCCCCTCCCGTCCTGTCGCTGTCCGGGCTACGCAGAACGGCTGGCTGAGAGTACGAGGCGGCGGGCCAGCCATCGTGTTACATCCTATAAGCGATCGGCTCGGGCTGCTGACGATGATCATCTGCAGGTCGCCGGCCACCTCCTTCCCTTCTGCGTCTAGGCCGCACCGCAGAGTTGCTGGCGCAAGCCAGGGGCCCAAGCCCACAGAGGGCAACAAGAGCATTGGTATTGTTCCGCTGCTGCATGCGAGGCTAGCTGATGCGCAAGAAAGCTGGGGGAGGGGCACACACACGCTGCAGACCAGATAGACAGGCGAGATAGCTAGGTCGCCGGATGTGTGTCTGATCGGAGCGTGTCGTGTCTCAGTGTGCGTGCCTGCCTTTCCTGGGCCGGGCAGGCAAGGGTCATGAGGGCGACAAATATGTCAAATCATCATGTCATGATGCCGTATCGCCCACTCCCTGCCCCTTCGGGCAGTCCCGGCCGGCCATCTGTCGCACTGCTCGGTGGTGCATGACTGGTGCGGGCTCCTCTCATTACCGTGAGAGCGGTGTTGGAAGTTAAGGATGTGTGCATGGACCGCGGACGACTCGCTCCCATCCAGGATGCGGACCCGGGAACCGCAGGAGAAACACATTTAGCCGCCATTCGTCTTGCCCGGAGCTGTCGACAAAGGCCGGTGCTCCGAGATTTGGCCACCAGATGCTCCACCAGACGACACAGTAGACTCGGGTAGACCACGCCGCCTCACCGAAGGTAACGGACTCCCAATTGCTGGAGCAAGATAACCACCACCGACGGTTGAAACGCGCTGGTCACATCAAGCGCCAAGATAGCGAGGCCTCTGCATGTTGGTGGCTTGCCATGATGACGACGCCCTCGGGACAGGTGCCGTTAAGCCTTTGCCAACGCTGGGCAGCCCTGGCAGACCTTCGTAGGCCAAGACGAGCCAAGATGGGAGGCGTGTTGCATGCAGCTTGACCGTGACGGGCCGAATGATTGACTTGGTAGGGGGGCCGCTCTCCCCCCTTGCCCCCCGTTGGCCCTCCCCCCCCTGACTTTTCACCTCGTGTGCCCGGCCAGACACGAGTTTTATTCCCGGCCGTTCGGTACTTGTCAGGCTCAACACCCAGGGCCCCCATGAGCAGCAAGATAAGGCAAGCTTTGAGGCGTGAGCCTGCCTTGTCGGCCCAGGACTCTTGGATCTCCCTTGGCCTGGTCCGCCGAGCCCGGGAGTGCAGGATGCAGAAAAGCTTGGTGTTTTTGTTCCAAAATGCCCGGTGACGTCGTTTGTCGCCGATAAGAAGACGCCACCGACCGCACGCAACACCACCGGACTGGGCGAGAAGGGACGTACGCTAGCCCAGAGCTGTGTGCCTGTGAGCTTTAAGCATCAGCAAGTGCCGGGCACGCCGCGCGCGAGAAATAGGGCAAGCCCGCTTTGCGAAAGGGGGCTAGAGGGCTAGAGGACGCCCACGGCGCACCGGGAGCCACCCACGCAAAAACCCCAGCGCGCCTCTGGAGGGACAGGCACGCGACAAAGCGTCGGCCGCAATGCCGCTAGCGAGCGACAGAGGGGACACTCGCGGGTCTCTTCTCATTTCCTCCGAAACCCTGCTCCCTGCAGCGTCCGGGCCCCACCACAACGGCGATGCCCATGAATTAATCATTTCGCGAGAGACCTTCGTCGTCGCCGCCCTTCAGGCTGTCTCACATGCCGCTAACTGCGTGGGAGCTCTTGATGTCTCTCATGTCTTAATCGCCGTCGAGAAGAGTTGCGGCTGGCGAATCCCCTCGTGGTTTTGGGGTTGTAGAAAACCATCCTCCAACCCCCAAGCAATTGCCTTGCACGCAAACCCTTGGCATTACCATCCCATTAGCTAACCTTCTGGCCTGCCTTCCCGGCACACGCTCGACGCTTGGAGAAGAAGGCCCCGCGCAATAAGGCGACCGGGGACAACTTCCCCTTCGCCTCTTAGCGCCGAACGTTGGCATGTGGCGGCCCCCAGAAGTGCCAACGGTGCCCACCCGCGGGCGATTCATAATCGCAGAATTACATATATTTCCCCAAGCGAGATACCGCTGCACTCCGCAGTTGGGCAAACTCAAATACGCAGTAGGCCTGCGCACTCGGGAGACAATAATGGGATATTCTCGCTGAAAGCTAATCTTGAGTGACATCTCGCACGAGTCTAACAGGGGCATCTCATGCCGATCTCCCCTGCATGCGTCCTTGTCCAGAGAAGGCAGGCCATTTCAGCTGCGGAATTGAGGCGGCGCAGACGCTGTCGTGACATTTGTGCCGAGGACAGCCGCGTCGTCGTCGTCAGCTTGCCCTCTGCTTTGTGTGCACTTGCGTGGTCTCGCTTCGGCGGCTGGCACAAGCTCTGACAATGTCGTGATTCGGCTGGCTGGTATCATCACGACTTGCTCCAGTCGTTCGACCGCCCGTGGCAAAATATGGCGTCCACGTTTCTCGAACATCAGCCGATCAATCCGAGCCTTGATGCGTGTCGCAGTCACCGCACAATTCTGCAGAGCGACTATCAGTGGCCAATCCCACGGGAGCAATTAGACAGCCGTGTTACCCTGTCAATAAATTGTCACGAGCAGTGGCTGGTGCCCCAAATGACAGCGAGTCGGCGAGCCAGCCGGCGGGCGGTCACGGCATGGACACAGTCGACCAACTGGGTCATTACTACGCACCTCGCGCTAGCAAAGCGTTGTCGCGGCCAGTACGACGTTACATTTGGATGCTGAGATAAGACCGGGCCTGTAGTAGGTAATTGATCCTCTGTGTCTAAGCCCGAGATGGACACACCTACGGCACACGAGACGCCGACAAGGCCAATCACATTGGACCTATCACCCTTGCCTCCTTCGCCTGCCCCGAATGGTGATCGCCCGAGCCCTGGTGGGGTGGCGCACAAGCTTTTTCCGTAGCCGCAGACACGTCGCGCTAGTTAAGTGTTTGGTGGTGCCTGTGACAGACTGTGTGCCGCTCCATGGTATGGCCTGGAAGCGCATCTTGCTGCGAGGCACCATGCCAGGAGTATCGCTTCACCACGCTTTAGAGAGATATTGGAGAAGCACTATTACTGCTTCGAGAGTTTTGACTTGTCCACGGGCCCCAGAATGCCAACCGAGGCGGCGCGCATGCAGCAAGCACCCCCTGTTCCCCCGCACGACACCAGCGGCAGGGCCTGTCGCCGCCGTCGTCAACTGCATACGCGTCCCTGCGTCGTCCGATGGCAAAAGCACCTCCCTATCTCGTCCCTAGCCTTTGCGCCTTGATATCAGCCTCCAGATCCGCTGCCATGCCAGCCGTCGGGCATCTCAGCTTTTAGATGGTGAGTTGAGGAAAGGTCGGTCCAACCCGGATCAGCCAATGCCATGGACAATTTTGATTTCCCGGTGTCTTTTTTTCCAAATCCCCACCGGCGCTGTCCGGCGGAACCCAAAAAGCACCAAATGGCCAGTGTCCGCACGTTCCCACTATGGCGTGCTTGAAGAGACTTCAATGGCAGGCACGCACTCCCCCACAACAATCAAAGCTTGGTTTCATGAGCTCGGTGAGGTGAGGTGCGGTGAGGCTAGGCGAGCTGCTACTGCTACTGCTGCTGCTGCCCACCCGGAGCCGTCCCATTTCATAGCAGACCCTCTCCACCTCGTGCAGCAACACCCAGGCTAGCCCACGACGCAGGGTCCAGGCCAGCACGCCTCCCTGCGGGCCCCTCTTGCGGGCGGCTGGAGCACCACCGCCACCGCCCGCTGCCAGGAACAAAAGCCGCACGGAGCAGGGTAGCACAGGGCACAAAAGCACGAAAAGGGTCCAGAGCCGCACTACCGCTTCCAAGGACCTGGGACCTGGGTGGTCCGGAGCGCTCCGAGGGCTCCGGAGGTCCCCTGATGCGGCATCTTTGGTGGACAGGTTGCTGCATGCGAAATGGTTCTGAAAGTTGCCGCCCATAATACTGACTGGTGTTATGCAGCGTTGCAAAGTGCTGGGATAGCAAGGAGATCTCGGGTTTCTCGTTCTGGTGTGCTTACGGCCAATGACCTGTTAGTGTGGTGATGTCTGTGGCGCCGCTGCGGTCGAGGCGTAAACAGCCAACTAAAGGAAAAAAGCCCCTACACGACTAGGGATCCGCATGAGCGTCCGGATTGCTCTGTCACTTGCTTCGGGAGAGATGTAGATGCTATACAAAAGACGAAACAACGCGCCGCGTACATGCTTGAACGAAGAGAGGGCCAGATCGAGCAAGGTATATCAATGAAGATACGGCGATGCAAAGGCCGGGACAGTCATACACTGGTACAGTATTTAATAACCGCTAGAGCGGCATGGCGAGATTAGACCATGACCATGTTCAGGTCATGTTGCCTCTGTGCAAAGCATATCCCAAGGATCGGGAAAAGGCGCCCTTCGCTGTTGAGCATCACCGACACGCGCCAAAAGTAACTGGAAAGACGCTTATTGGCTGCGCGACCGCCATATTCACGGTATATTTTTTCCATTGGACGTGTGATTATCTTCATGGAACATTTGTCTTTCAAAATTGGCTTTTTCTCAGTTCTCACAATCAAACCGAATTATCTGATTCGGGACTAACCTGTAACTCTTCCGGACAATCTAACCAAAGATGCTCGCTGGACACTACCTCACGGCGTGATTACCTCGGGTCGCTCTGGAAAATATACAGAAAATCGGAATAAAAGACCAACGCAAGTATCATGTTTCACTTCTGATGTGTTGCGACAACCGTGGCACATGATATTACCCCGCCGACTGGATGTGAATACACGATTCGAAGCGTGTTCTTAATGCAGTACCGACTGATGGAGCTCGTGTAGTCGCTGCTCTAGTTCTTCCTTGACGGTCTTTTGTCTTTTCTTCGTGATTTCGTTCAAAGCAGATTGGAGCTGTGAGGAGTCGGTGCACATCGGCAACAGTAACAGTAACTTGACAAAGTCGACATGTCCGCACTTGGAAGCCAACTCAAGCACAGACTTGTTTTCTTGAACTCATCCCTCTGGGTCCGCCCCATTCTCAAGGAGGATACGAATAATGTCGGCCTTCCTACGCTCTGCGAACGATGAGGGTGCTGGGAGTTCGCTAATCTTGCCATGACTTACTCCTGCTAAGAATGTCCACAACGATTCCAACTCTCTGTGATTGGCGGCGGTTGCGAGCGCGGTCCGGCCACCTCTACCGACATAGTTGCTGTCGGCGCCGCTCCTGAGGAGGAGCTCAACGCCTTCTGGCCACCCTGCCATGACGGCTGCTATCAGCGGGGTGATGCCGCCTTCTGTAGTGTGGTTGATGGTGGCTCCTCGCCGCACAAGGCTTTGTATCATGTCAGCGCGTTGCAGCAGGGCCGCTTCGACGAGTGGAGTGAGCCCTTGCCCACAAACCGCATCCACGTCTTTGACACTATCAAGGAGCATCTCTACAATATCCACCTTCCGTCCTTGGATAGCAAGACAAACCACGGAGTTGCCCTTTGTATCTAACCTTCCTGTGTCAGCTCGCCGCGAAAGCAACATCTGAACCGCCTCCATCCGGGACTTTAAAACTGCTACCATGAGTGGCGTTCTCCCGTCTAGGTCGGCTTGATCGATATCGGCTCCATGATCAAGGAGAAGTCTCACGATGTCCTGATGGCCCAACTTCGCCGCGTAATGAAGTGCGGGTTTTCCATGGAAATAGTCAGAGGTGATGTCGACTCCGGCATGTAGGAGCATTCTTACGATTGCCGCCGCATTCCTTGCGGGGCCCGTCGTATGGATCGCCGCATAAATCGCCGCATATAGATCTCTGCCATGTGTTTGGGCTCCATGCTTGAGGAGTATTTCCACCGTAAGCGCGCGACCTGCTTGGCATGCAAGGTAGAGAGCCGTGTCCCCACTATGATCGTGCGCATTGACGTCCACGCGGCAATCACCCAGCAGGAGCTCGATGGTTCCAAGCCACTCACGCTCAAAGTCCTGTTCCTCCATTTTGTATAATGGCCTGCCGCAGCACCGTATGAGGGGCGTCCACCCCTTTTCGTCGGTCACGGACGGGTCTGCGCCGGCCTCGAGCAGGATGCGAACCAGGTGTGGTCGAGTCTCACACGCATAGTTAAGTGCAGTACAGCCATTTCTGTTGGTGAATTTGATGTCGGCGCCGTGCTTCAGCAGTAGCGACACGACCTCCGTGGATTTAGCGGAGAATAATGGCGGATAACCACGCTCATCCGCGACGTTGGGATCTGCGCCCTTGTCGAGTAGCAGCTCCACCAACGCCTCATCCCCCAACTCAACAACTCGTGTGAAGACTGGTGTGTCCCACCTGTCTTTCGTGGTGTAATCTGCCCCTCGCTCCACAAGCACACGCACCACATCTGCGTGCTTGCATAACGCAGCCCAGCCTAGCGCAGTCGATCCCAGCCAGTCTACACGGTCCAGCTCGGCTCCAGGCCGCTGCGACAGGAGCTCAACAGCCGGCAGGACGCCAAGCATAGACGCCACCATCAATGGCGAAGGCAGCGATTCGTCGCTTGGTGTATAATATCTATGTTTACCCTCGGAAAACATGGTCGACACGAAGTGGTGGCGCGATTGCGCGCAAAGCTCCGCTGCTTGCTGGGCCAGTATCTTGCCGCCTGGTTGTTGCCCGTCAAGTACGTGTTCGACCCATTGTTCGAAGGCGTATATTGCGAAGCAGTCCCTTTTGTGTGCCTGCAGTGGCTCTCGGCACGGACAAGTGTCATGAGATTTGCTGTCGATGAGTCGGGGCCCTCTAAAGGTGCGGCTAAAACCCCAAGCAGGCCACTCGTAGAGTTGAAAGAATCGCAGGCAGATCCGGGCCATGATCAGTTCAGCTTCCGCAGCAACCACAGAACCCTTCCATGAGCCATTCTGGTCGACGCCGCGTGCGAGTGGTTGCTGCCGTGCAAGGAGAAATTCCCTTGCCGTCTGATGCAGCAGATAAGCCCTGCCCTCGACGACAATGACAAAGAGTCCGCAGAGACCACGAATCGTCCGAAGCATATGGGTTTCAGACATGATTTCCAGCTCGTCTCGCCTCGAAATCTCTGATGTTAAAGCCCACGCCTGTGCTAGTTGTAGTAGATTCAGAGGCTCTGCTGCGGCAATTATAATAGACAGCATCCTCATCACATTTTCACGTTGCCCGCTCCGACTGAGAATCTTCTCGTACGCTGCATCGACGCCCCGCGGGAGGTTCTGTACCGCTGCGCGCAACGATTTGGGGTCTGTTCCAAACATCTTATCGATCTCGTCTTGCACCAGATACGCCCACAAATAGGTCTTATTTGCGACTTTTGTCAGCTCTTGGTAGAGTATATCTTGCTGTTTCTTTTCGAGGCCAAGATAAGCCGCCGTGTTGCGAAGTTTGTGGGTTATAACAAGATCAATCTCGCCCGAGATTTGCTCGAGCTCCGAGTCATTCTCCGCGGAGAGATGTATCTCGGAACCAACCCCGTGGAAGCCCCGGCTGATGTCGTTATAAAGACGGCTGGATATAAGGATCTTGACTCTGCTCGTGCTGGCGCTCTCGCTCCACTTGACGAGAAGCCTCATCAGCACCTGACGATCATCGTAAACACATTCATCGAGAGCGTCGATAACGATGACAAGGTTGCCAACCGTGACACCACGCGCCACGTTGTGGAGAAGGTCCCACAAGTTGCTTGCTGAGGACAGTAGCTGCTGATCCCGCTTGAACTTCTGGATGAGGTTGTCGGTGAGAAGTTCAGGTCGCTGGAGGAGTAACTGGTGTAGGAGGCACCGCAGTGCGCCAATAATTGACTTCTGGTCCTCAAAGTCGTCCTTGAAGAAGAAGTAGCAGACAGCGCTGTTGGGTGCTACCAGGACAGTATCAACAAGGTGCTTAAGAAGAACCGACTTGCCACAACCTGGGTACGCCGTCACCCATAGAATGCCGCCGGACTCGCTGCTATGCCAGGCTCTGAACTTCTCATGTTTCGTGAACCATCTGCAGGTACCCGCTACTCTTTCCGGATTTCTGTCCTTGCGGTCTCTATAGGGTATGGTCGGCAGCGCGCCGAGGACTTTGTTACGCCGCTCCTCGAGGTCAGCGTAAGCCTTGTTTCCTAGCTCTGCCAGCTGTCTCCTCACGGATAGATCGCGCAGCCCCGCGTTCTCGAGGTTCGCCAGGTCTCTTCGTGCGCGGGAGATGGACTTCTCGAGCAGGTTATCGAGGTCTCTGCTGGGGATATTGCCGTTTTGCTTTTCAACCTCGTGCCTGGCGTCGGTGTAGGCTTCCTCGTAGGCAGTTATGGCCCCGTCGGATGTTGTGTACATAGCTCGCAGCAGCTTGAAGAATCTAGATTGCAGCTCTGCCGAAGTGCTCAACGGGTTGATTCCCAGTTGAAGATTGGTGGACTGTATGAACCTGAAGTAGTCGATCATGCCTCCCTCGAGTGACACCAAAACGATGCCATGTGCGTCTGGGTTATGTTGGCGGCGGAGCTCAAGGAAGGCGATTTCGGTGAGAACATGGTGGAACCCAGGCCGAGATGTTGCCGCATTCAAGACATTATCCAGAATCTTCCGTCGGAGTTCGCCAGCTGGCAATGCTGCATTCTCTGCATATTCCCGTTTGATTGCATCCATGTACTCATTGGCGGAGGGATGCTCGCAGTAGCTCTTCAGGCGCGGGGTGCCACATACGACTACCGTATCGACCCGCTCGATGCCAGTCGCCTCGCTGTCAGTGGTCGCACGGCGAGGAAGCAGACAAAACTGGTTCTCGAGGATGTCGCGACACGCCGACTCGTCGCTGCCCAGACGCGTTTCGTGTCCGAAAAGAGCTGATGGGTGTCGATCGGATAGCGTGCGGGTTCTTAACCTGCGCAGCCAGGCGATGAATGTCTTCACTATGTCGCTGTAGCCGGGGCCAAGTCCGTCGTCTCCACTGTCAGGGTCATGGGCGTACACGATGAAACTGGTCGGCGACGAGGGGCCGGAGAATGCATCGATGTCAGCCAAGGCGTCGAGAGTGGCTTCGAAAAGGCGATTCATCACTGCGGCATCGTCAGTTGAGATTTGTAATCCTCCGAAAGTCGGCGAGAACTCACCTTCAGCCTGAGAGAGCGTCGCCATCTCGGCTCATGAGCGCCGGCACCTATACGGCTGCTTGCATCCAGAGTCTTGGGGAAAAGGGGGGTAGGAGGGTGAGAAAGTGGAAGAGAGGGGCAGAAGGAAAGGCTGCGGACGGCCAGGCTTTTGGAGGGACGACTCTGCATGCTCTGGATGGGGGCGGTGCGGGAACAGCCTCCTTGGCAGGCATCCAGATTCGGGTACCAGTACCATGGAGGAACCAACAAGGAAGTTCGCAGCCTTATAATTCATGCTGAATTTAAAATCCAGCCCATCGACTGTCCACATTGTTTCGATATTGAGATATAAAAAAGGTCTGCACGACTTTGGGGCTTAGTTGCAATTTGCACCCTGCGACACCCGTTCTCAAACCCCGACTTATTGATACCATCTGATGATGCTTCTTCGCCCAGCACAGCGTTCTGACCTGAGATTAGGCCACCCAACCAAATATCCTCGAATATATATATCGTGCATATCCCTTGTCCGCAGAAAATCGCCTTGCACGTCGAAACGCTTGTTTCGCAGATCCGGTGATATCCACTCGCGAATCTAGGAGCAACTTTACAGCAACCAGGCGTTCATGCTCCGCAGCCACTTCCAGAGCCGATTGGCCGTTGAGGTAAGTCTTAGATATTTGCCCAGCTCGCGGTTTGGCCGGTCCGCCACCAAATGCCTGAAGTTCATCGTTTCAATTATACAACGGACTTACTTGCAGCCAGACGCACCGCCAATATATGCCTAAACAACACTGCAACCCATCACGTACGACCATAGAATCAAGAGAATTGAGGGTCCCGTCCGCTCCCCTGTTTACACAAGCTTGATACCGCCGGATCAGTAGTTGGGTCGGTGACGACCAGCGAATCCCCGGTGTCGTACGTTTTCTTTTTGCATTTTGTATCATGAGGGGAGCCTGTCGGTTTTGCAGTCTGCTTCGCTACGGAGTCGAGGGCGGTGGACGGATCGCAAAAATGAACCCATGTTGTCTCAAACAACGCACACAGAATAAACCTCGAGAGTGGGAGTAGCAGCCCAACGTCTACCCTTGGCATCTTCCCATTGCCCTCGCCCAGTCCTTGCTTGATCTAAGTGCAAACCCATCTATAATCAGATCTTGCTCTTTGGCAACTTGACCACGATCCACGTCGAGTCACACGTCCCATACCGAACTCCCCCTTCCCCTTCAATCACACTCTTGACCACAATCTTACGCCCCGTAATGCTCCCCAGCCAAGTCCTGACCACCACCGCCGCGGGCACCGCGATCGGCTTGAGAAACCGCACGTCCATGCCGACCGTGTACGCCGTGGTCCCGCCCAAGCCAGCCAGCCTCTTGCACAGCCTCTGGCCCCTCTCTTTACCGAACCCGCCCTGCTCGGCCTTGACGCTCACCGCCTGGTTGAGCGCGAGGTAGTTGCCCACGCACTCGTCGATCAGCACGGCAAACATGCCCCCGTGCGTGACGCCCTGGAACCCGCGCAGCCCTTCGCCTAGGTCAAACGCCATTGTCGCCTCGGGGATCAGGTACATGTCCCCTTTCTTCTCCTCTGCCGTGCTGACCCCTCCTGCTTCTCCTTCTACCCCGTTTGACTCAGCAGCAGCAGCCTCCTGCTCCTGCTCCTGCTTCGCGACGGCAGCCTCGACGCTCGCAAAGTCCAGCGGCGCATGCCACCCCAGGGTCGGCGCGACGGCCCCGGAGTCGAGCAGGGTGCGGGAGAAGAGGCGCTCGTTCAGCGCCGTGGCGGGCGGCGTGGGCCGCTCGTGCCGGCTGCCCGGGCTGAAGGGCACCGACGTGGCCCGGTCGTGGTACAGCCGCGCGATCCACGGGTTGGCCGCGAGGAAGGCCTCGTCCTGCGGCGTGAGGGCCGGGTGGCGGTCGTGGTAGGTCATTTGTCCGTTCTCTCTCTCTCTCTCTCTCTCTCTCTCTCTCTCTCTCTCTCTCTCTCTCTCTCTCTCTCTCTCTCGTTCCTTGCGTTTATTTGGGCCTGCGTACGGGGCTCCCGGTGCTTCTGGACTTTGTGTTGTTTTTGCCGTGTGCGAATTGGCAATGTAACGCCCCGGGCTGCGGCGGTGAAGCAGTGCTGATGTTGATGATGATGATGGTCCAACCACGTCTTCCGCCTGTGGCAGCAGGTAATGCTACTCCGCAGAAGGCAGATGAAACAAACGAGGATCAAATAGCCTATCGAGGGCTTACTTTTTCGCCTCCTGCAAGGTCCGAGGCGAATAGCCTCACAACGACGTCGGTGTCGTGTCGTGTCGTGTCGTGTCAGCAGCACATCGAATGCGGACGGTCTGACCGACTCCCCCCCCATCGGGTTTATCTACTCGTGAGATTTCCAGGGTGATAACGCACGTACTATGATGGTACGTGGTTGGGCCCCGCTTGCCGAGGCTCTGCCCATTTCTGTCTCCCTGATTGGACCCAGGCACGGGTTGGCTTGTGTATGTGCTCGGTGGGCCCGCATTTGTGCTGCACCATCTATCCATCCAGACTCAGTCAGCCTTGGCAATCAATCCACAGGGTTGCATCCTCGCAGTTCTCGAGATGGGAGAGATAGGTGGAATGTCGCAGGTAAGAGACTTGCCAGAGGCCATCCGCACTTTTCGGGTCGCAGCGACGTTGCATTTGCTGCAACAGACCAAAGAGAAAAGAAGACATTGTGTTTCGGTGGTGGTGAACGTGGAATATCATTGAAAGAAAACCAGGGACCAAACCTAAAACTGCCAGGAACAGATTCTGCCTTTGCCACTTTTATTGGTTTTGAGGAACTCTAAAGACTCCCCTGTCGCTCAATCAATCAACATCGACGAAAATGCTTTGTCTACGTCATACAGCGTTCAACCCAGGTAGTTAAAACCTACCAAGTGCCAGCAACACTGTCCTGTGCAAGTAACAATGACCCTCAAGTTCAGAACAGATTATGAGACATAATCAGACAGCATTGACTGGCCTCTTCAATTCAGATTGAGGGGGAATAGTACTACAAGGATTGTGCTCGCTCGGTCATTAGACAATCAACGCGCCCCATACCCTTCAAAACTCCTTGGATTACATCCCAGAACATCAAAACTCCGCGCTTTTTGGGGCAAAAGGCACACGTGCCATTACAACAAGAAGGAGAAAGAGAAGGAGAGGAAGAGAAACAACTCCCTCGTGAAAACCGTGCAAACGCCCCGCTGGGAACAAAAACAGAAAGCCACAAAATTTACAGAAGCCCACAGAGCCCCAGCACCACCTGGTTCGAGTGCGTCTCGCCATTCACGTCGCCCAGGTACCCGAGCCGGCCCTGGCCAACCCTCGCGAGCGCGACTGCCGTCTGGCTCGAGTCGTACTCGCTCGTGTACCACACTCCAGAAGGCGCCACGTTCTTGAGGTACACGGCCTTGGCGCTGTACATTGGCGGCAGCTTGTCGCTCAGCGCAGCGTTGCCCACTGCACTGCGCCACAGTCTCAGGTTGGTGCGCGAGTAGTCACCCCGCTTCCAGGGAAGACCGAGGCTGCTCATGAGCCGGTCGAACTGCCCGTCGTTAACAAAGTTGCTAAACTGTCCGGCCAGGATCACCGTGGCGCCGGCATGCAGACGGTCCAGGACCTTCTCGCGGACGGCCTGGTGGTGTGTGATGGCGCCATCGGCAGCCAGGATCACCGTCGACAGAGGGGCGCGGGCCAGCTCGTCCAGGGCGGCTTGGGGATCAGACACTCGCTCCAGGGTCGTCAGTGCTCCAATGCTGGAGATGAGGTTCGCGTGGATGTCGTTGAAGAGCTGCTCGCTCTCGAGAATCAGAGCGAGAACTTTGGGCCGCTCGACGGGGACCGCCGAGATGGTGTCGCGGAACTCGGGGATGGACTGCGGCAGAGCACTCGCAGCCTTGGCGGCTGCATCAGCCACCGTGTTGAGCTCGCGGGCAATCTTCCAAAACACGACAGCGAGCCCGGACTCGTGAGCGGCTTCGACCTGGCCGAGCAGGAGGTCCCAGAGGTCCTGGTTCTTGACCGTGTCGCCCGTCTGCAGTTTCCAGCCGTTGCTCATCCACGTCTTGCACCACCGGGTGGCTCCGTCGACGACGTAGGTCGAGTCTGTGGCAATGACGAGACTGCGGAAGCCCTCCTCGACCCAGTTGCACTCCCGCAGCGCCGCGATGGCGGCACGCAGCTCAGCCCTGTTGCTGGTCGCGACGCCGCAGACGTCAAAGGGGCCCTTGTCCTCGAGCCTGGCGGAGATGACGTCTGGTTGTGCATCCGGCCTGCAGAGGCCAGGGCTCTGGACCACAGCCCAACCGCCAGTGGCATTCTGCTGGCCATTGTTCGCACAGGCACCATCGACATAGACCAGGGCCTGGGTGGCGTCGTTGCGGCAGACGAACCGGTGCAGGCCGCTGGCGTTGATGCTCATGGACTTGAAGAGCTGCTGTGGGGTGGCAAGAGGGAAGCGGAACAAAGCCGGGAACACGGCGCCCGTGGCACGGCGCTTCTCGGCGATGTGTGCCGGCATGGTGAGGATGGACTTGGGCACCGGCTTTGGGGCATACTGCCGGGTGTACTTTGCGACCTCGGCCTCGACCATGCGGATGGCGTCCTCGGACTCCTCCCAGGCCCGCTTGCCATGGATGCACGCAAGAGCGGCGTCCTCGGGAGAGCCCTGGGAGTAGTACTCGGGCAGCCTGATGTCGACGTCATTGATGAGGGTCTCCCAGAAGTAAGGGTTCTTGTCCTGGACACCTTTGCACAGCTGGGTGAACTGGTCCTTGAGCCTGGCCGAGATGCTGACGACCTGGGCGTAGTCGTGCCTGGAGACGCGGGCGGAGACGACCTCGCCGATCTGGCGGTCGAGGGAGGGGTCTGCGGGGAAGCCCTCGTCGTGCTCGTACTCGGAGATGTCGATGTACATGCGGACCTTGAGGAGGGTGAGGGCGGAGGCATGGGAGAGGCTCATATGGCCCTGGAGGAGCGGGGTGACGGACTCGAAGGGATCGGCATTGTGGACGTCGAGGTAGGGGAGGCTCATGTCGCCCCAGTCGTAGAGGTCGTCGGCAAAGACGAGGGCCCACCACTTGATGAAGTCGTAGCACTCCTGCTCGCGGCCGAGGCGGAGGAGGAGGGAGGGGATGATGTCACGGACGCCGAGGTTGTCGCTGCGGCAGAGGCGGAGCATGTCGAGGCCGTGGGCGAGGGCGGCCTCGACGGCGTCGCCGGTGTCGATGCGGAGGAGGGCGTCGAGGGCGGCGTGGCGGGCACGCATGTAGTCGCGGGTGTCGAGGATGCCCCAGAAGTGGCCAACGCTCGAGGTGAAGACATCGGCGGGGAGGAAGAGGTCGGGGGGCCTGGCACGGAGGGCCTGCTCCTCTGCGGCGAGCTTGGCCCGCGAGTTCTTGATCTTGTTGCAGTCGTCCTTGTGGAGCCTGCGGTGGGCGGCCTGGTGGTGGGAGGAGCAGTAGTGGACGACCTTGCAGCCGGAGCAGCGCAGGAGGCCGGCCGTGGACGCGCAGGAGGCGAGGGCACAGCGCGGCGGGGACAGCGTATTGGCGAGAAGCAGGCGCTCGAGCTCGGCACTGTCCCAGGAGGGGTTCATTGTGGGCGGTGGTGGTTGTGGTGGTGAGCCGCCGGTGACGTTTGGTGTAACGAGTGTGTGTGTGGTTATGGCGTGGAGAGGTGGCGAGCGGTGTCGAGGTTGACAGACGAGCCGGCAGGATGTGGAGGCCACATGGGCACAGGCGAGAGCTCGAGAGAGGATGACTACGTTAGGGAGGAGTAGTGAGGAGGAGTAAGGAGGAGGAGGAGTCGTGAGAGGGATCAATGAGGTCGACGATGGGGGAAGGGGAGGCAAGCAGGACAGGGCCGGCCGGCTCTGGAAGGGTATGCTGCTCGTGGAGGAGGAAAGGTCGAAGCTCAGTCAGTCACTCAGTCCGTCCGTCAGGGTCCAGCAGGGCGGGAGGGGAGCTGTAGCTCTGGCTAGCGTGGCCCAGCTAACTAGCGCAGGCGCGGGCGCGGGCGGGCCGGGAGGTGGAGCCCCCGGGGGCCTGGGGCTGGGGCAGGAGGGCAGTCAGTGGTGGTGATGCACGCGTGCGTGCATTGATGGATGCACCAGTCTGCCCAACACGGACAATGGATGGAATGGATGAAAAGAATGAATGAGGGAATGAGACAGCATGGATCGGACAGGCACACCGGCTGCGCGTGCATCGGAGAGGCTACGTGCGTGTGCGTGCGCGGGAGCGATGCAGCACGAGAGAGAGCCAGGCAGGCAAGCAGGAGGCAGGCAGGAGGAGGGACCGGTGAGGAGCTGGACGCACGTGGTGGCGGGCCGGCACCGGTCGAGCTGCTGCCCGAGTGCGGCGCGGTGGCACCGAAGGCTGGCCTTGACCGGTCGTCCAATCCAGGCTGCCTGGTCGAGCCTGGCAGAGCACCTGGCCTGGGCAGTCCAGTCCCTGGAACGGTCAGATCGGCCAGGTCGGTCAGGTCAGGTCAGGTCCAGTCCCAGCACTGCCAGGCCTGTGTGTCACGGGTGCAACCGCGTGTGTGTGCGGGGGAAATGGGAGGCAGCCGGGGCCCAAGTCACGTAATCGAGCTAGAGTGCAGTGCCAGGACTCCAGGGCCAGAGACAACAACAACAAGCAACAAACAAACACGACAGAGGGCAGGGCCAAAAAAAGAAACCATCCTGGGAGGCGGGCGGCGTGCGGGAAGGTGCAGCCCGCCGTCAAGTGCCCCCCACCTTCCTCTCCTTCCCCGACCCCAGCACCAGCACCAGCACCAGCACCAGCACAGCACCAGTGGATAGCAACCTGCCCAGGTGTTTGTTGGACGGCACAGGCGGGTCCGCACGTAGCCAGCCAGCGAGAGCTCGCCCCTGCCTGCAAACACCACCACCCCCGCCAGATCGCTGGCCGCACATTGGCCCGGCTGCCAACTACCGCGTCCCGCCTCTGCAAACGGCTGCCAGGGGCCTGCCTGAGGTATCCAAGGTATCTCTCTCCAAAGACATCCATGGATCTATCTATTTATGCTGATGCTGCTGCTGCATCCCACATATGCAGGCTGCGTTCTTCCTCTGCACATCGTCAGTGCGTTGTTATCATCTTAGATAGCTGCCCCAAGTCCCCGGGTGCTCGCCAACGCACCGCAACGCAACGCAACGCAACGCAGCCCGGCCCAACGCACCGGCTTCGCATCTCGCGTGTCCAGTCTTTACTTTACAGTGCTGACCTGCTGCCCCCGATGCCCCCCACCCCGGCTCCGAGTTCCGCGCTCCCTCCCCCACACAAGCTGCATGAGCAGGCCAAGCATGGTTCCTTGTGCTCGCTGGCTGCAATTCAACAATTCGTGACGTGCTCGACTTGCAGACCCACCACAGACACAAACATGTCGTCGTCACTACTTACTCAGATGCTCAGGTACTCAGGCACACAGAGATGCTTGTCTTGACTTGTCCTTGACTTGCAGGGTTCCAATCTTGACTTGCATCGTCTCTGCTGCTGCACCGCACAAGCCCGCATAACCAGAGAGCTGCAGCTGGTACAAATCCTCATCATCACCACAATCACCACCACCATGTCTGCCCTTCGCTCTCTCCGGCCTGTCGCCCGCCGCCTCGCGCTCCCCGTAAGCGGCAACGGCAAGGCCCTCGTCCACCGCCGCCTCCTCAACACCGAGTCGGCGCCTGTCCTCTACTCGGCCCACGCCAAGGCCGTCGGCGCCCGCGTCGGCCACATCGAGGGCGACGATCTCGTCGTCGACCTCACCATGGCCAAGGCCGTCGGCGGCACCGGCGACAAGGGCAAGACCAACCCGGAGGAGCTCTTCGCCGCGGGGTACGGCGCCTGCTTCCAGTCGGCCATGAACGCCGTCGCCGTCAGCATGGGCACCAAGATGCCCGAGGCCCGCGAGGACAGCGTCGTCGACACCACCGTCCACCTCGTCGGCGACATGAAGGCCCTCGACATGGGCCTGCGCGTCGACATGAAGGTCAAGGTAAAGGGCATCGACAAGGACCAGCTCGAGAAGATTGTCGCCCGCGCGAAGGAGGTCTGCCCGTACTCGCGCGCCACACAGGGCAACGTGTCCACCAACATCGAGGTGGTGCACTTTGACTAAGTGGGGGGAAGAAGAGAGGAGAAAGAAAAGGGCAGCGGACTGTACCATAATGTGTAGATTCACCAAACCCCAAAATAGAAGAGGGTCGCACGTTCTAGGACCGACCATCCACATTCAATGAAGCAGAACGGTGAAAGATTGCTTGCTTGTGTGTGCCCGAGTGAGACCACTCGTGCTCTACTCCTGCCTACTTAGGTGCTTTAGGTAGCATGGCCTTGGAAAACCTCGTCTGGCCGCACACAAACGACCCGTGCTTTCTTGCTCTTCGTCTTCCCACCATCCGCACCCAGCGACGACGACGACGACGACGGCACCACCGCCGGCGTGAGCGTCATCAGCACTCTCGTCCGGTCCCCATTCCACGCATACGTCGTCCACGCGAACCTCGCGCCGGCCGGGATCTCGCCCGTCTCCGGGTCCCTCCCGCGCTCCTCGGCCGTGACGTGCGCCTCGCACCCGGCCACCAGCAGCTTGACGTGCCAGCTCTCGTCCATCTTTGCGAGGCCCCGGAGCATGACCAGCGCGCCCCTGCGCGTCTCGGCGTGCCGGCACTTCTGCGCGATAAAGTACAGCGGGTTGAGCACCGAGAACCGCAGGCTCTCGTAGTACTGCGCGATGGGGCTGTCCCCGATCGCGGCGTGCTCAGCGACGCCGCCGGGGCCAAAGTCGGCCTCGAGCGCCGCGAGCACCGTCTTGCAGTCCGGGATGAAGGCGTCCCACGCCATCTCGCTCGCGTCGAACACGCACGAGAAGCACATGAACGACATCATCTGGCAGAGCCCTATCGTGGCGAGGGTCGTGCGGCGCTGCGAGTCCGTCTCCTGGCCTTCCGCGAGCTTGTGCTCAAAGAGCTTGGCCCAATGGGCGTGCTTGGCCAGGAGGACCTGCCGGACATTTTCGATCGCGATGCTTGCTGCTGCTGCTGCTGATGATGATGATGTCTTTCGTGGGGGTCCGGGAGACTCTACCCCTACCGGGTCTGCCAAAAGGTTATGTGTTGACGGTTGTGATGGCGCTGGGGGGATGAGGCGAAACAACCACAGCCCGGCCCTCGAGATGAACAGGTCCCACTCACCGAGGATATGGTCCACGGGCTCGTCCAGCGCGGGCACGCGCGAGTCGAGGAGCTGCCTGGCCAGTTCTCCGCCGATGCCCTCGACTCCGCCGTGGATGCGCTGGCCGGCGGGATACACGGTCGCCAGGTGTACAAAGCAGCGCTCTGCCTCTCTCAACCCGCCATCGTCACTCGGCGCGGCAAGGCCCGGCGACGACGACAGCAAAGGTTGCTCGTTCGCCAGCAACGACGACGACAACGACGACGATCCCGCCGCATCATCGCCCGGGCCCGACAGCTTGGTCATCGGCGGCGTCGTCGTCTGCGTCAACTGAGGCGGCCGAAACACGGCCAAGTGCCTCTTGAGCATGCTGATTGCGTAGATGAGCAGCCGGTCCGCCTCGGCCGTGTTGCCCTGGATCTGCTCGTAGACGACAAAGAGGTATGTCGCGATGAAGATGCTCCGGGGCGACATGGCGGCGCCCTGCCGACCGAGGCGGCTGCGGAACGCAGACATGGCGCGGGCGTAGTGCCGTGCCGCCTCGCGGAGGTTGGCCGCCACGGTCGGGTCGCGGGACGCCGATACTGCCAGCATCGGGGACGATGGCGATCCCGTCTCTCTTGGGGAATCCCCGTCGCTGTTGGACACTTCTCGCCCGCTGCTACTGCTGCTGCTGCTACTTTCCCACCGGGGACAGGACGCCGGGGCGGCCAGGCAGAGGCTCTTTTCCCGGTCGAGCGCCACCCACATGGCGCCCAGGGCCACCACAATGTCCCGGACGCTCGTGTCGGACACGCTCTCGCGCTGCACGATGCGTCGCCAGAACTCGCGGTCCGGGAACCGCGGGGCAATCTTGTAGCGGTACACGTCAAAGTACAACGCCTGCTTGGAGGTCAAGGGCATGAGCGACGGCGGGTGCGCGTCGAGGGAGGAGAGGAACAATGACGATGCGACGGATTGTGTTGTTGTTGTCGTCGTTGTCGTTGTCGTCAGTGAGGTCCTGCGCTTAGGCAGGAGCATCCGGTTGGCCGGTCTGTGGTGCTGCTGCTGATGCTGATGATCCGGCCATGGGCGGCCAGAGGCAGACGAACTTGACGATGTCGAGTCCGAAGCAGGATTGGCCTGGTTACCCGCGCGCTTGGATGTGCGGTAGCCCTCGCAGGTGCGGCCGGCCTTGATGCAGCGCAGACATGCTGGGCTGGTCTCGTCGCACTGTCATCACCATCATGGCAGCCAGGCCTGGGTCAGTACAGTCCCGTTTGCAATGCGAGATGCGGACAATAATAACAACTCGAGGAACCTGGGGACAGATTGGGGCCAGGCAGGCAGAGGAAGAGAGCAAAGAGAACAAGGGACAAAGGAAAGGCAGTGAGAAGTACCTTGACCTTGCGAACCCTGATGAGCACGAGAAAGCAAGAAAAGCAAAACACTCATCAGCTCGGACTGCCCAACCACTAAGGACGCAGAAAGCCAACGACCAGTCCGCCGACCGGGATCCTCGTTGCCTTGCGACGTGAAAACTCACTTGCATGTGATGCAGCCTGTCCGGACCTTGCTGGACCCTTTACGGGCCATCCTCTCCTATCCTCTTCTTCTCCTCTCTCTCCCTCCCTCTCACAGATACACCCACGAACAGGGAAGGTACGTCGCTGGGCGAGCAGGTAGGCCGACACCCCGGCCGGGCTGGGGGATCGGGTGCCTCCTGCTACTGCTGCTGCTGCTGCTTTGCGGGCTGATTGCGTGCCGGCGTCGATGTCGTCCACGCAGGGCGGCCCAACCCACCGAGAGCCCTCCTTGCCTCTGAATGGCTGGCCGAGTCCGAGCTAGAGCTCGGGCTCACGATGACGACCGAACCGGTCGGGGACTTCCGCGAGCACGCCGCACAAGCGGTGTGTGTCGACTAGCTGGACAAGGGAGAAGGGGGGGGGGACGTTGATGCCAAGCGGTGCCTCTCAAATTGAAAAAGTGTCAGCCCAGGTCGCCATGCAGAACTGCACTTCAACTGCGGTTTCGACAGGTCTGATTCGGATGCGGCGCGCACATACACACAGACGGCGGCGGTGACGGACACTCTCTGTGGAGTGGAAAGCAGAAGGACAGAATCGGGGGAGGGGCGTTGTTGGTGGGTGCGTGGCCTGGCTTGCCAGGAACCGGCGCCCTTGGCGGCTCTTTTTGGAGCAGCCGCTCCAGCGGATCCGTCGGGTGGCGGTGCTGACATGCGTGAGCCCCCCCCAGCCAGATATGTCAGGGGTTGTCGTTTGGCAGGTTGAGATTTTGGGGGCGAAGGCTCCGCTTCCCCATCCCATGGCCCTGTCGAACAACACCGGACTCGGGGCGGCACCCGATAAGCCTCATCTGCTTTCGTCGGCGGAGGGGGCTTGCTAATTGGCCGGCGCGAGTCCGAGCCTGACCACACGCGCCACTTCCCCGTTGTGATCTGGGATCTTGAGGAAAAACTATGGGGAAAGAGCAGGAGTGGGGAGCACAAGGCGGCGGCTGCGGGATGACGGCCTCATTTAGTACTGACGTCGGGCTTTTCCGCGGAACTAGCCGGTCGTCGTGACGCTGGTAGGTTGAAGTTTATATAAGACCGGCTGCTTGCTGGGTGCGCTGGTTACTGAAGTTTGCGAGTCTGCTAGGCCGTGGCGCTGATTCACAAGACGTCTATGGTATATTGACAAGTATTTCGAAAGCAGTCTCCGCCAAGGCACATCCTTCCCAGTATGGCTACTACCACGCCGTCACCCACGCTCTATGTCATCGGCTCCGGCCCGGGCATTGGCAGAGCCGTGGCTCAGCTCTTCTCCGCCAAGCGATATGCCAATGTGGCACTGTTCGCCAGGAACCAGGAACAGCTCAAGAACGACAGCGAGGCAGTAATGTCCAGCAGCAACAACAACAACAAGAAGGTGCAAGTCCGCACATACCCTGTCGACGTCACCGACTCTGCCTCCCTCAGCAAAGCGCTGGACCTGGCGGAGCAGGACCTCGGCAAGCCAGACTGTGTCTTTTACAACGCGGCGCGGGTGCTGCCCTCGAAGCTGCTGGAGCACGACGTGGGCGAGATCGAGTACGATTTCAAGGTATGCCATGCTATTCCTCACACCATATATGGAACCCTCCCACATCCCCAATGTAAGCATCAGACGTGCTCACTGACCCCCTTGGGGAATGCAGATCAACGTCTCCGCGCTCTACCTCGTCGCGCAGCGCTATGTCCCGCACCTGCTTGATCTCGCGCAGCAGAGCCCACAATCCAGCAAGCCCGCCCTCATCGTCACGAGCTCGCTCCTCCCGAAGCAGCCGATCCCGCAGGTCTTCGCCCTCTCTTTGGTCAAGGCCGCGCAGAGGAACCTGATGCAGAGTCTGTACATGACGTACGGCGGGGACAAGGGTGGCGGCGGCGTGCACATCGGGGTTATCAACGTCGGCGGGCCTGTGTCCCCGGACAGTGAGGAGCGGAGTCCGACGAGGATCGCCGAGGTCACGTGGCAGTGGCTCGATGGTGCCCAGGCTGAGCCGTCGTTTGAGGTGGACGTGTGATTTCGCCATGTCGAAAGAGCCATAAAGAGTTGGTGGATGGGCATCGCACTGCTGATGGCGGACCGTCCTATGTCGTAGATCGCGGTCCAGCTCACATATGAATATCAGCGCTCAAGCGAGTGTCCGGTTGGAACGCAGCATCAACGAGAATGGCAATTCTGGTCTGTACCTGATGGCGCCCATCGCGTCCCTATGCCACGATTTCGCCGAGCCAACGCCCATGGGTCATGCTGACCTACATGCCGTATCGGGGGCCTTTGTTGCGACTTCTATAACAAGCTCCGAAAATGAGGCTCTCCTGCCATAAGCTCATAGTAAGGCTGCCGGCAATGGTCGAGAAGCGCTACTTGCGTCCTGCGGAAGAGGCACAATTACATCTGAAAAGCTAAGCAATCGCACTGCGAAACGGCGACAGCCCTCTAGAAACACCGTCAGACATCACCGCGGTCGTTGTTCTTGCCGCTGCGTGGTTGAGCATCCCCGGCGAGTCGGCGAGGACATATCGAGGGACGATTTCGGCTGTGCAAGCAGGAGCTCTGCGTGCCATAAAGTCGAACCTCAGCACAGCGTTCTTGCATTCGGCGAAAAGGCCCAAGGCGATGTCGAAGTGAGTCGACTAGGCTCAGCAGCACGCGCCGTGTCCTCTGAACAGCGGACTTGTGCTGCAACCCCATTGCCGGCGAAACATGCTGAACGTGCCTTGGTCTTGCCATGAATCTGCCCCAAGTCTTCATCTCTTGCGCCTAGCCGACCGCGTTCATTTTTGCAATGTTGTCCTTGTCGACCCCTTTACCTCGGTGTGTGTGGCTCCAATATGTGATGGACATGCTGCCCTGCCTGGCAACGTCCAGCTTGTTCTTGCAACTGCTCGCGTTGAAGGTGTCCTGTTCCGCGGAACAGAGCGCGCGAGTCGCCTCATCGCTGTCCCAGTTGAACGGGTACGCCCACTGTTGCGGCAGCAGCACGATCCTCTCGGGCACCCCGTTGCTGCTGCTGCCGTCCTTCTGGCGCGCCGCGTACTGGATGATGCTTTCTCGCAGTGCGATGGGCCCGGTCATTTGCTCTGCGGACGGCCAGTCGTACCAGTATCCCGCCAGAGGCCTCTGGCTGCGATCGACCTCGGCCTTGATCGACTCGATTGGAAGCAGGAAGAAAGGGTGCCCGGGAGTCGAAGCCATCCACGCGTTGGGAAGGTGGTGCTCAAAGTTGAAGTCGCTGCCCATCCGTCCGAAGACTGCTGTCGAAGACTCAGGTGCCGCCAGCTGCGTATTCAGTGTCTGATGCTCGCCGACGCGGTCGATGCCGTAGACGTCTAGCATGTCTTCTGTCGGTCGGAGACAATCCGTATCGAGATCCGCGTATACTCTTCAACTGCAATCAGCATGATAACAAGACCATCTAAGCCACCACAGAGCGGGGGCAGCAGACTCACCCTCCAAAGGCGTGCATGTACAGGTTTCGCATCATGTCCACGCGGTAGATCTTGCCCGGCAGCCTGTTGTACGTCTCTTCGAGCCACGGGTACCGCGCCTCGATGAGCCCGCGGTTGTCCTCGTCGGTCCACAGAACCCACTCCCAGCCTGGGTGCTGTTCACGGCACGTCCTGCTCCACTGCGCAAACTTGGCGGGAAGATGCTTGTTCTTCCAGCTCTGGTGGAACAGCTTTGGGATGCCTCGCGGCCGGCCCACGTCGTAGGGGTTATTTCGTCGCAGGAGGTCCTTTGGTGAAAGCGCTACCGCCATCACAGGAGAGATGGCATCTGATGAGTTGCTGTCATGGCGCGATGGGTCGGTCAAAGGAAGGGGTTCGGGGAGGCGAGTGCCCAACACTACAGTGGTCGAGCTGACAAGCAGTGTCGCAAAGTCGGGCCTGCTGGAACGAGGGTGGGCTGCCCACAGGCACCAGAGCAGAAAGTTCAGAATGACAAAGACAAGCAGCGCGCGTGGCCAGGACAGGCGCCTGCGTGAGGTGACGGAATGCCGGAGCATCTTGTGGGCATTGTCATCGCGCGGGGTGGGTGGGTGGTCGGGGGGAATGTGGCAGCGAGCGCACCAGGAAATGCTCAGCTCCCCGAGCCTTTCTTCTAAAGAGACGAATAAGCACTACATCACTGGGGAGAGCAATCATTCCCAAGGCAGCCGCGGACCGTGGCAGGGATGTTCATGCAAACATGGTGGCATGCAGGCACCAGTTTGCCAACCAGGCCGCCTGCTGATAGCGCATATGTCATCATCCCCCCATGAGACTGGCTAGGACCAGCAGGGGCCAGGGGCTGGGCATATGCTTATCCTTATAATCATTTGCCCGACCCATGTCTGACCCCAAGTCGCGTTATAGGCGTGTGCCTCGCTAAGCGGCAGTCATCTAAAAAGTCTTGGCGCGCGTCCTGTCGCGCGCAGATTGTGGTGTGATTGATAGATTCTCTATCTCTTATGTTTATGCTCTGTTGAAGAGGTCTCTGTCTAGCCCCGATGGGTGTGAAAAGGTCCATCTATACCTTGCTGGTCGGCTCAATCTTTTCGTCCACGGCCACATCCGACGCGGTTTCCGAGGGGAGCTCCTTGCGGCCCTCAATCTTCCAGATGGACGCGACGGCAGGGATCAGACTGAGCGTCCAGAAGACGACATTGATGACAGTGGTGTAGAATGGCGAGAATTTGCTGCGTGAAGTCCACAAGTTAGCTCCTGAGCAGTCACACACACCTGGCGACAAAGACACACGACGGTCGGCGACTTACCTGCTGCTAATACCAAAAGAAGCACACTGTCCCCAGCTCTCTACGCCGCGCAGCAGACCCGTGTATCGGCTCAGTTCGCCGGTACCGTCACCAATCGTGCCGACCAGGAAGTAGAGGTAGTTCTGCACCAGGTTTCCAATGGTCTGCAGCATGATGTACACGCCAAAGGCCCGTCCGAACCCGGGGGACGACCAATCGAGGGTCGCAGGCTTCTGCACCTCGAAGCCGTGCTGGACAACCATGACCCAGATCCAGAGCAGCGTGAAGGGGCCCGCCGAGGCGATGAATCCATACCGGAGGCGCGTTTTGATCGTGAGCTTGTCCGAATCGAGGAAGATGCCGAACAGGACGCAGGCGAGCGTGCCGGTGATGGCGGAGAGGAAAGACGCCAGGGCGCGGGCGCGCACAGAGAAGTACAACGTCAGGAAGGTTGAGGCGTAGCCCTGAAGGGGGGGTTAGCATCGCGCCATGGCACAGGTTGCTGCCGACGTCTCGTGAGGGAGATTCTTACCCAGTAGAACCAGCAGGAGAAGAAGATTGGCAGGAGTAGGCCGATTTCGCGTGTCGACACCGTCTTCCACAGCCGGCGCAGCTGCTCCTTGGCGGGCGTGGGCGCGTCGACGACAATCTTTGTGCCGTCACTGCGCACCGCCTTCTCGGGCGGCGAGAGGAGGAACGACAGAAACGCGGCCACCGCCTGCAGGGCGACGAAGACGAGGATCGTTACGTACGAGACCTTGCCGGCGGCGGCGTTGGTCGCGTTGAGACCCAGGTTGATGGCACCGCCGATGAGCTGGCCGCTATTCTTGAAGCCCAGCCAGAGCGCGAGGTAGCGGCCGCGCATCGCGTGCTGCGGGTACGAGAGCACGATGGCGCCCTCGGCAGCCCAGTACAGGCCCGCGCTGATTCCGCAGATGACGGCGCCAAGGATGACGAACCACTCAGTGCCATAGCGGTTGTTCTGGTACAGAGCCGCGCTGTAGATGGACCAGCCCAGCGTGCCGGCGATGAGGGTCTTCTTGACGCCGATCCAGTTGACAAAGACGGGCGAGAGGACGCAGAAGAGGCCCATGAAGCCAAAGACGAGCGAGTTGCCGGCATTTACCTGTTGATGCTGTCAGCCGGTGCTTGGTCTTTTGCAACTGTCGCAAGGGGGCGGGTTGACCTACAAGGTATGGCTCGAGGGCGCCTCCAGCACCCAACGAGTTGTTGGCATTCTGCATGGCGCGTTAGTTTCTCTACTTGCGGGACTTGATGGCTCCTCCTGCCACAGGAATGTTGGCCTACGTACCCACAGACCAGGACCGAGCAGGGCGATGAAGCCGGCGATGATCATCTGCATCAGCACGCTCCGGAAGAAACTCCCCTTGGCAGCCATGGTGACGGTGTTGCGTTGTCGGGCGTGTTGGGAGGAGCTGAGAGGGCAGCACCAGAGGATGATCCTGTTATGGCTGAACACGGTCCTTCTTGCCTCTCTATATTTCGTCCTCAGAAAATGAGGAGGTGAGACATGCATGCACGAGCCGCGACGTCTTTGTATCTGTGGGGAGCATGAAGACCGTGCAGGGTGCCACAGCCGGATGGAGGCAGCGGGTGGATCAGCGGCGGGCCATCGGCCTTCTCTCGACGAAAATCCTGCTGATTGCAGATGGCGTGATTGCAGATTGCGCAATTCTTTCACCAAAGAGAATCCCTTGCCAAGCCCGTCTCCGGAGCTAGCCGAGCAGAAGATGCGGGCAGGCGCCTGTTGCACTTTCAGCTCAGATGTCGCCATTCTCACACTGCCCAATGGACATCTCGGCTCAAGTGTGCGTCTGCATCGTTGTTGGCCCTCTGATACGAACAGTGGCTGGCCTCTTCCCCGCAAAGAAGGTCGCGAGTACATTCTCCCTACAGCCTACATCCCTTGCCTTGATATGCCAAATCACACCCTCCAACACTTAGCACGAGACTGCCGCAGACCTGCCAGATGCTCTCCACGAAGCTTCAAGTCAGCATGCGAAATGGACAAGGGATCCGTCCGGTCGGCCGGACGCCGCCGGATCTCACCGGGTGACCCACTGAGCTCCGATCTGCAATTTCAGAGTTCGAGCGGAGTTGTCTCCGTGCTGGCACAGGGGGGCTGACTAGCTAGCGCCAGCTAAAAGGAATTTGACAGGATGACACTTTGCTCTTATTCAATAGATCAAACGAAACCCCAGATAACGCTACGATGAAGAAGACATCCACTCCCGCAGACTGAACAAATACCGAGGTCTTCTCCACTGCTCTCAGATTGTGGAAAACACAGAGAGACTCGACAGCGCCGTCCCCGGCCACGCAAACATGGTGTTTGACGAGCACGACGACCCCAGTGCCTGGTTGTCCACCCACGACGGCTCCCAGTAGAACAGCCCCTTTCCGTTCCTCGTGCCCGCGACAACCTGCGCGACCTGCTGCACAAACTGCGTCTGCCCTGCCGCCGAGAAGGGTATGCTCCTCAGGTCGCTGGGGAACGCGTACGCAGGGCTCGGGCAGGACGTCGGCCAGTCAATCTCGGCAACCACAATCTCCTTGTTCCACGTGTTGGCCATGTTTGCCAGCGTGCTCCTGAGGGATGCCAGCGTGGCCAACGGGTTGTAGAACGGATAGTACGAGACGCCCATCATGTCAAAGTCCGACAGCAGGAGCGGGCCCGCCGCGAGAGTCTGCTGGTAGAAGTAGCTCTGCTGGGACCAGTTCCAGCCGTTGTCGAGGTGGATCATGATCTTGGGCTTCGGGCTGAGCCGTGAGTCCTTGATGCCAAAGGCAGCCGAGTGCAGCAGGCGCGCAATGTTGTAGTAGTTGCCCTCCCTGCCCGTGTTCCACAGCAGCCCGGCGCGGATCTCGTTGCCGATCGAGATGATGGACGGCGCGATGCCCGCCGATGCGAACTGGTTGGACACATCGAGCGTGTAGTTGTATAGCCGCCACGAGAGATTGTCAATGTCGGATGGCCAGCCGCTGGGAATGCTCTGATGCGCTGGGTCGGCCCATGTGTCGCTGAAGTGCAGGTCGAGGTAGACGCCCAGGCCAGCAGCTTTGGCGCGTCGCGCGAGATTCAGGTTGTAGTTCAGGTTGTAGTCGCCGTTGCTCGGGTTGACCCATACTCGCTGGCGAACAATGTTGACTCCGCTGGACGCGAGGATCCTCTCAAGGGGCTGCACTTGGCCACTTGTTGTTTTGTACTGGATGCCGGCCCTTTCCTCGACGGCCACAGAGGACCAGTCGACTCCGCGGTATGTGAGGGCTGCTTCCGTGCCAGCAAGAAGGTCGGCGAGCCCAAGGACTTTGAGCAAGTGCATAATGAGATTGGACGAGAAGCGACAATCGAAGTGACCACGCCACGAATGCCTTGGGGGGGAAGTTGGTGAGCACCGCCGTTATTCTGCGCGTTCTCTGATATGCTCTCAGCCGCTACGACCATCGTGGCACGGAGGCTGGCTATCCGCGACAAGGCGTGTGGGGCAGATTAATGTTTCTGCGATGGTGATAATCCATCAACAGGAATCGTTCATCCCCACACTTGCTGCACTGGCGACTGCAGGAGAGCCTTGTCGCATATGCAGGCCACCTGCCGCTCCAATAAAAACGCCATTTCATTTGTGCTTATACACTTAAGCTGAGATTGAGCCATAAAATGCTTGAGGGCCTAATTTACGTATACTAGGACCTACAAGAACGTAGTTATTCCAGTTCCAATACTCCGGCGGCTTTCTTACTTAGATAGTACTCTTACAAATGGCATGATTAGCCCTTCTTTATATGCTCGTAGGCCGCCGCGACTCTCTAGAAGGTATTTTCGATTAGTAAAAAGAGTTAATTTCGCGTGTTGGTTTGCCTTGACGGTATAGAACTTAATAAAAGCCGTATATATTTCGTGGTGATCTTAGTGCACAGGTTAGACGCTGCATACAACTTGTCTATGCCATCGAGTGGGAGATGGTGTCTTCATAATAGTGATTACATATCTGGCCGCCCAATTTCGAGGCATGAACCCACTTGTCAGGCATGCGGCATATTAAACAAATTGTGAAAGCTGGAGGGAGCCTATGAACGATGACCGGAATGGATGTGTTGAGCTCTTGAAGATGTCCGGCATTTTGATCGCTTGAGACCCGACGATGAGCCAAATTTGTATGCATGTAGCCGCGACAGTGTGCTCCTGACGCATTGTTCACTTGTCCTTGTGCGGCAGGTCAAATACTTGATGCACATCCCACCTAGCATGTATTCCAAGTCACACATACAAACAACACCGCATTGCTGATTAAAATTATATTAATGCTCTATGTCACAAGAATGATGCTCCAACAAATCTCCACGCAACGAAGGTTAACCCGGACTCGCAAGGCCTCGGGGCTCCTGATTCTACTCGTAGATGTAGCAGAACGGACCATCCAGAGTGTCGAGGGCCTCATCAATGGAAAGGTCGGCGGCAACCTCACCAAGGTCCAGGTTGTCGGTGCGCTGGGTGTAGCCCTCGGCAGGGCTGCGGGCCTTGATGGTGCCTCCGACCTGGCGCGCCTGATCGGGGTGGAGGGCCTGCCAGAGCCAGTAGACGTAGTCGACCATGGCGTGGTGGAAATGGAATATGGGGCTGTTTTACTCGTTAGCATTGCTCGCGCGAGTGCTGAGAGATGAGACTTAGAGGAGAAGACTTACTCGACGACGGACGAATAGTTGTCACTGTTGTCACCACCAATGACGTGGTGGCCACCAGAGTGCAGGCCGAGGAAGCCATCCGGAGGGCGGCCCTGGAACTCGTCCTGGAAGGTGACGATGTCGCCCGAGTGGGGGCCAGTGACGACGTCAAGAAGGTTCTCATAGTTGTGCCACTTCTTGGCGGCGTACATGTTCAAGTCGCGACGCAGGCAGCGGGGGTTGTAGATCATGGTGCCAGCGACGGGGGTGGACATGCCGTCCATGGCCGGGCGGATAGGGCCCAAGCTGATGCTGATGTCCTTGATGAAACCGCTCTGCACGCAGCCACCACCGGTGCCGGAAGGCACATAGACGAGGCCAGCAGCAAGGGTGCCGTTGTGCTGGAAGAAGGCACCGTTGCCACCCATGGACGTGTCACTCCCATCGAACAGGGGGTTCTCGAGCAGGCGATCCTGGTACTTGAACCAGTTCCAGTACTAGATTTGGATCCTTATCAGTATTGTTCGGCATTAGTCTTGTGGTCTGTCTGGACAGGGACTTACCGGGTGGGCGCCCTTGTAGCCGCACTCCTCACGCAGGGCCTTCTCGTAGACCCAGTTGTGGTACCGGTGCCAGGTGAGGAAGTTGCCGGTGCCGTGGATACCGAGCGTCTTGTTGATGTGGATGGCTGCAAAGTCATCGTAGCGGACGCGCGCACCAGCGGCCCACTCCGCACTGACAGTGCTGGGCTTGGTGAACATGCACTTGACGGCGTCAATGTAGTTCTTCCGCTCAGGCTTGGTCATCTTCTCCCTGTGCGTCGATTGCGAGGGTCAGCTTATTGCGTAGGCATATATTGATGATCACAGCAACGGACTCACCAGTCCTTGCGGCGACGGGCGTTGGCCAGCGAACACTTGCCAGGCTTCGGGGGATTCAGTTTCTCCTTAGCACGCAGCTTCTCCATGGCCTTCTTGGTAAGCTCTTCGAGGGGGTTGCCTGGAGGTCCTGGAGGTCCTGGAGGTCCAGGGGGCCCGGGCGGACCTCCTCCTGGTGGACCTTCTCCTGGTGGGCCGGGAGGGCCTGGCGGAGTAGGGGGTCCGGTAGGAGTAGGAACAGTAGAAGAGGTCGAGAGAGTGGACGACGTCGTGATCACTGCGGATGAGGTACTGGTGCTGGAGGTGATAGTCTCCGACGAGGACGAGGCAGTTGAAGACAGGCTTGTGGGTGTAGCCTGCGACGACGTTGCCGAGCTGCTGGTAGAGGCAGGTCCGGTTGCAGACGAGGCGAGACTGGACGAAGCCGTGCTACTCGAAGGCAGGGCCGAGGACGAAGGCGGGTGGCCGCATGGCTTGCCCGAGACGGCGCCAGCGAGGACCAGGGCGGCGGTGAAGAGAGTGTTGACGTGCATCTTTGTGGCACGACGATATAAACTGCAGGCTGCTGATTTCGGCAGCGCACAGAAGTCAAGAGAGGGTGGTGATTTCCAAACGAGAGACAAGGAAGGAGTGAATGCCCTGGAGAATGGCAATGCTTTCCACGTGGCAATGACCCAGATTTATGTATGTGACCGTCCTGCGGCAGGGGTCTTTGGCTGCGCATCCATGAGCCAGGAAGAGGGCCCTGTCGTTCACTGCAGCTTGCCTGCGGCCGACGCCTATGTGGACATTGGCATCTGATCAATCTTCCAAGCTTGCTGTGCCACATTTCGATACTTGACCCCCCTTAGGGATTTATCAGCGAATTTGCATTAACGTTCTAGGATGCTGCTGGGCATGCCTGGGGGATTCTCACCACGGGAGCGAGCATGTTCTTCGCAGCGCAAAGCGGCTATAATGTTTGGAAACAGCGATCAAGCTGCCCAGGTTGAATTGTACCACCTTAAACCATCTTAAAGATGGTTGTAATTTCTGCAATCAGTCGAATGTTCCTGATAAGTGACGATTATGTGCCCAACGGTCGGAACATCCTGCAGCCGCCGCATCGCTGGCACCAGAGCCAGATCGATTCACCAGATCCGACGGAATGGCTCAACCCCGGCCTGGGTGCAGCAGGACTCGCGTTACATCCGAAGCACACGCTTAACGGCCGTCGGCCAACTTCCAGACACGCTTGCAGCCCTAACGAATAACCAGGGATGCTGCTTGACATCGTGGTCTGCCCAGGATGAGATATTGTTCTAGGCTCGTAAAGTTCTTTCGCTTGCAGGACAACCCTTGCCTGCGCGATCGAGCCAGTCATAGACCCGGAAGCGCCTGAGATACTGGACTCATGCCACCCACCCTGGTCGCACCGCGAAGTTCCAAAACCATATTGGGGATAAAGTCTTTACACAGGGGCGATCAGGGGCCTCCCCTAGTCCGCCCAAGGGTCCACACGCTAGAAACGGGCAGACTCGGCCAGGGAGCGTTGACAATAGGCGTGGGGCAGTGGATCTTGCTGGTTCCCAGTCTCGCTTAGGGGAGACACGGCCACTGTTCCGGTCGAATCGCATCTCCCCTGAAAGTTCCTTCGGGCGCGGAGTTATTCTCCAGGCTCCGAGAGACGATCACCCGTGCTTGGCCGTGGCTCGATGAAGAAGTCTGACCCACGATCTTTCCACCCCACAGAGTCCAGGTTTAAACATGGACTCATGTGCTCTAAGGTTCAGCCCATCAACGGAGCGTTGCGCCATTCACAGGCAGGACAGGGTAGCGGAGAATTTCGCCCGAGCCACCGTTGGACGGCTGTCCACAGAGTCGCACGTCCGTGTTCTGGCAGAAGAACATTAGATGATGGCAGCACGACCAGGGAGACACCTGCACTCGATGTCCAGCAACAATCGTGATGCCGAGGCGGAGATGAGAAGTTCCGTCGGACGCCTGGGAGTGTGGCAACCCGAGAGCTCGGACGCCTTCGACACAGGGTTCCATCCAGACTGGGGCTCCCACCACAGCCACACCCGTCTCTGCCACCGGGAGTCTATTCGAGTTAGGGTTAATGACAGCCATACGTGCCATTTTAAGAACGCAGCAAGTGGGCGCACTCTGCACTGGGATGCTCACAAGGTCTGGTGAGGATACACGGACGACCGTTATGATGCGCAGTTTCCACGGAGTCTATGCCCTCCTCTAAGAGGACATCATGCGAACGCCTCTGGAGGGGGCGCAGCAGGACGAGACTCTTGTCGGTGTGGGTTGGAGGAAACGAGTTGTGACTACAGGGTCAACGGTGATTTCGGCCCGTTTTGCAGGAGCCTGGTGTAGTTGCATACGAACGACGGATCCGGGCGACTGCCCAGGAAAGATCGTTGAAACCGTTGCTCATTTCGTCCAAAAAGAAAAGCGCCCGGGGGCGGGCTAGGCCAGGCTGGAGAAGATGCTCCTGCCAAGCCTTGGCATACCGGGATCCAGATCCAGAACTGCCTAAAGAAACCAAGCTTGTATTTTCTCGTGGAGCCAGGCATAACCTCATGGGCGGCCGGCTTCGTGGAGCCAATACTCTGACACACCTGCGCTTCAGGTGGCGGCTGGCCCTTCTCGGCCGACCCTAGCGCGGCGAGGATGCATAGCCCTGGTTCCGCATCCTCCAAGATTGCCTAAGCGAGCAAGAGCAATAATGCGTGCTTGATGGAGAGCCCCTGATCGCAACAGTCGCGGGCGGGGAGCCGGACCAGCGAAGCACGTCGAGCGCCACCGACCAGACTCCCGGTTCACTCTGACAAAGTTCCTCGCGGGCCCATATGACACATGGAGTGCCTCGAGGCCACAACGTTGCAACACGTCCGAGTGGCGCCATGTCACGATCCGACTTGCTTGCCTTTTTGCGTAGACTGCCGGGCAGAGAAGAACTTCTGCCACATGGAGTTTGCTCCCCCGGATGTGACATGGTTCTAAACTCGGGTCTGTTGCTGAGGATTCGCCCGGGCTGCCCCCAGGCACCGTTGCAGTGCTGTACGGAATGTCACGCGAGTAATTCCCATTGTCTTTGTTGCCTGTCTCCTCTATAGTGATGTCTGAGTCTGAGCGTGGGCTGCATCTTGATATAAGCATCGGGAAGGGCCCGCTCTCGTCCTGCCGCTGATCCCTTGGCTTTCCTTGTCCCGCATCCACGACTTGTGCCCGACTGACAGACAATGGCCTCGATGGGGCAGTAAGTGATCGACGCTCATAAACCCTGACGACCCCAGCCTACATTCGTCGCCGATCACTGCTCGAGTCGACTGCGCTCGTTCCAGCAAGATTGCAAAGTTGAGCGCCCAGGAGTTGACGACACAGGACGGCAGTCATGTCAACAAACTCGACAGCGGCGCCTCTTGACCCGGCATACATCGCGGCAAACAACCTGCCATGGCTGCTCGGTGTGACCGTCTCGTTCCACATCGTGGCGTGGATCATGGTCATCCTTCGCGTCTACACCAGAGTAGTGCTCGTCAAGTCCTTTGGCAAGGATGACGCGCTCATGGTCATGGCTTTGGTATGCGCCACAATGTGCCTAGAGACTCTTTACTCCCAGGGCTGACTCGATCCTTTACGCCAGGCTTGTAACTTTGGAGGGGGCATGATGACGCTGATCATAGCGGGGACACACGGATGGGGCCGACACATGGACACGCTTTCCAAAGCCGACACGATGGGCTACACGATGATGATGGCGTTTCACGGCATCGTCTCTTCCATTACCGCCTTCATGTTTATCAAGCTGTCCATCGTGTTCTCCTTGCTGCGCATTCAAGGCCACAACAAGACGTACCGATTGTTCTTGTACGGGCTGAGCGGTAAGTGCTCACAGGGGCTGGATGCCACGAAACCGGCCGCTTGCTGACTAGGACCTCCTCCCTTGGCAGTGTTCATCATTCTCTACACCATCGTCGGCTGGATCTCGTGGGCCCTCTCGTGCTACCCGCTCGCGGGGTACTGGGACAAGTCCATCAAGGCGTGGTGCCTGCCCAAGGAGCAGTTCTCGGTCTTTTCCTACGTCAACACCGTCTGCAATATCACGACCGACTTCTTGCTGGCGTCTCTGCCCATCCCGCTTATATGGCAGCTCAAGATGGCGCTGCGGTCACGCATCTACCTCATTGCCATTTTCGCTCTGGGCTACCTGTAAGTTTCCTCGCACAAACTTGACAACTATTTCATCGTTGCTGACATGCCCAGAACTTGTGTGCTTGGCATTCTCAAGGTGGTGTTCCAGTTCAGTCCACTGCACGCCAGTCCCGACAGGACATTGTAAGATCAAAGCCTCCTCCTTGGGTTGACAAATCACCCGAACTCGACCGCAACTAACTGGTTTATCCATCACAGCGTTGACTGGGTTCGCTTCTGGGGCTTGTAAGTACCATTCTCTGATTTTGGAAGACCCCTAGCCGAGAACCCCCACCACTAACATTTATCGGAATCCAACAGCCTCGAAGGCAACATGGGAATCGTCGTGGCATGCGCCCCGACGCTCAAGAAACTCGTCGGCTCATGGCTCAAGCTGGGCACGACACAGAAAGGGTCCGGCTACGCCTACGGCGGCCAGTCGGGCACTCCCGGCGCCCACCACCAACACCGAAGCTCATTCCTGTCCCGCAACCGCGACGGCGGCGGCGGCGGCGTGGGAAGCAGCAGCAAGAGCCACCACGACCGCAGCGGGTACATCAAGACGGTGGACGACCGGGGCTCGGACCTCGAGCACGACGAGGCGCACGAGATGGACAGCTACCACCACCGCAAGTACCAGCAGCACCACCACAACGATGTGTACATCGGCCACGGCGGGGTTGGGGGCGACCACCAGCAGAAAGGGCAGCACGACGTGCAAGTCACGGCGTCGACTTGGTCCCCTGTCGCCCGCACGGGCAGCGAGGAGCACATCCTCCACGGGACGATTGTGCGGACCACCGAGGTGCGGGTGCATCCGAACTAATCAGACAGATCTTGTTTCGGTGATAGATCATAATTCATGCCGTTAATTCTCGTTTGGGGGGTTTAGGGGCATATTTACAGGGGGGGGCGTGTGGATCGGGAGGACGGGACGATGCAGAAAAAAAGCTTCTGTGACACCGGGGGTGGCTTGCTCCGATGTCACCTGTCAAAACCTCAGGATTCGACGCCTCTTGCTTTTGCGCTGCTTTCTTGGCATTCGAGCGTGCGTTAATTTGACCTTTGACAACAATGTTTAATGGCGGAATGTAGATACCATGTATGAAGCAGACAAAGCAATATATATGAATCGAGCGTCCCTTTCGGTGATTGCACAAACTGGGAACATCGACGCAAGATCCGGGGAGGATGCAAGAGCAAGCCAATCGGATCGTGTCACGAAAGAGACAGGAAGCTCCTCCTTGGTGCGTTGCACACCTGCATTGCTCATGGCGGCCGGAACCTGCAGACGACCCGGCAGGAATCCTCCGATGGGGGGACTCTGAAGCAGGGGGTCCACACGGCGCAGAAAGTCGTTGTCCAAGAAGTGGAACCGCCCGGCGGCATGGTCCCTGGCTCGCTAATCTTCATGCTCTGCGGGCGGGCCCTTCGTTCAAGCTCGCTCCGTGAGAGACGCCTCGTTCGGGTCGAGTGCTGGTTGGTTGGTCCCCGACGATCCAGCGAGGTGGGATTTCCCGCGGAAGAACCCGTTTCTCTGGACACTTGCTTACTTACCAAGCCAATCATTTATACACACACACCCTGTCGGATCGGGGGACGACAACCGCTGTTTTATGTTGTCCTACACGCGGTATATGTTCTCACCGAAACGCAGCCGTGTTGTGTTTACTTGCGTGCTTCATCACCACCGCCCCTCATGCTCCCGGACCGTGTTCTTGTCCACGGCGTAAACAGCCATATTCTCACGGTACACACTGGCAAGCCGCCACCTGGAACTGGCGGCGTCCAGGAACCCGTCCATATCAGCAGCCGCAGCGCGAAGGCTCTCATCCCCAGTCTCGGCCGCGAACCAGTGAAAGGTCGCCGCGCTCTCGTACATGGCGTCCAGGACAAACGGGCCCAGGAGGCCGAGCACATGCATGCTCGCCGTGTCGTCGCTGTCGTCGTCATCTTCCTGGTCCTGGTCTTCGGCACCCTGATCGGCACTGTGGCGCCGGCGGACAAGCGCGAGCACGTCCATGGCGACAGAGTGCAGGTGCCGACTTGTCGCTTGCGTGACGGCCGTAGCCCAGATCTGGAGGTCGATCTCCTCAGTGGTCTTTGCGCGCGGGTCTGGAATGTAACCCGGGGCCGCTGACATCTTTTCCGGGCAAGTGCAGCGATCCAGGACAAGGAAGAGCGCCGATCTGGCCAGAGCGCCAGAGGCCAGCAGATGGATCCTGGTCTCCAGTGTGCAGCCGCCTCCCTGGCGATCTACGGCCGATGCGAAGCTTTGCAGCTCATCCGCTAGGGCCATGACCTCAGTAGGGCTGGGGACCGTAGGCTTTGCTCGTGCCGAGCGGATGGCCCGGTTGAGATACACGGAAGCTTGGCACAGCCGTGCGAAGCCTGGTTGTGGTGTTTCGTGCGGCGTGTCGGTCGGGTAGCCGAATGCTTTGCTAGCATCGCCGAGGTCCTGCGTATCTTGAACGTCAGCGTAATGCATGCTCCGTAGGTTGTTTTCTTGGCCTGCTACAGACAGCCAACCCGAGGCACGGTGGACGTACCCAGACATCATCATCTACGGGCAGCCTGGGCTCGGTTTCTGATTCTGAAAGCATTGGACGTCTTCGGCCGCCCACGACGACGAGCTTGTCTAGGACAGAGATGGCCCACCAGACTCTTCTCCTTTCCTCCGACTCTGTCCAAGTTGTCTGCCGCAAAGAATACATCGTTAGCGTTACGAAGGGACACAAAAAACCACGGGACCCGGGCTGACAGTAGGAAGGGAATGCACCAACGCACAAGTTGGCCCAACAGAGAAAACTCGCCAGGAGCAAGGCCGAGGATGTCGGCGTACCGGGCGCACGCCCCCACGGTCATCCAGGCTGCGGGATAGATGGCCTGGCCATATTCGAACACCGCGATCAGGACCATGGCCTGCAGGACGAGCAGCGAGACACAGCCCTCGGCCTCCAGCTGGGCCAGGAAGTCCTTGGCGGCACGATAGAGTGTCAGGTCCTGGTGGTCAGCGAGAGGATTCGTGACCACGCGCATGGCCAGGAAGAGCATGGCCAGATCCGGGCCGGGGCTGCGGACAGGCAGGCCCATGTCCAGCCGCTTCTTGGACACGATAGGGAGCCATTTGTGGATTGTGGCGAAGTAGCTGCGGGACGCGTCAATGATGCAGTTATCCTGGCTGAGGAGCGCCAGGACGGGCTGTGTGTATATGGATGTGCAGCTCGTCGTTAGTTGTCGCGATCAATGTCCAGTCAAGGTATGCTCTCGCGGAGGTGGCTCGAGGGCAACTCACTGCAGGGATGGAGCCGGAAGGAGCCGGGAGCCGGGCGTGGGACCAAATATAGCAGTCTAGATCGACGAAGAGGGCGGCTGGGAATGCAGTGTCGCCGTGGTTGGGGCTGGCTGGAGGAGGGATCGGCTGAACGAGGTCGGCCGAGCTGGGGGCTAGGGAAGAAGAGCAGTCGTTGCCGGGGGTCGACAGGGCGGCCAAGGTGGTGCTCGGCGGGGGAGTGAAGCCCGGGAGGATGTTCTCGAGGGCGGCGAGGCGTGCCTGGACGTCTGCCCACTCGCCGGGAGTTGGGAGAGGCCCGGCCTCGATGCCGTAGAGGCAGGACCGGCTGGTGCGGCGGCACAGGCTGCACTCGGGCAGCACCTTGTCGCACCGGCGCTTGAGCTGCTTGCAGGCGAGACACGCCTGGGCACTGCGCGGCGTCATGGCTGGCCTGGTTCAAAGCTCACGAAGCTGGTTACCCGTCGTCCGCCACCGAGGAGGCCATGGAGCTGGCCGTCGCGCCCGCATTTCCCCAAAGTTAAAATCCCACCCGCGCCTGCTCTAAAGCTGCTGATAGGGCCATCGACGCCCAGGCGGAGCACCTTATCGGACTAATCACACGCCAGGTCCTCATGCCTTCACCATCTGTGCTGTTGTTGCTTTCCAAATCGGCAAAGATTCAAGCAGGCTTATTAGGCACCAGTTCTGGCTCCTTGGTAAGCACAAACGAGAGTGAAATTTGGATGAAAAACCGCAGTTCGACCAGGTAATACAAAAGGTCCAACCCGTAGTACGTACCAAACAAAAGAATGCCGCCCCCGACATATTATTTTTGACGAGACCGCCTGCACCTCCAAGCGCGCCAGCATGAAATCGTCTCAACCCAACCTGGGATGCACCCTACACCCTCAAACAATCCTGACATGGTTGCATCAACGCCGCCACTAACTGTGAGCAGAAGCGAAACATCCAGCGCGAAGGCACTTTTGGACCTGGGCGTTGCCTGTAAAAAAGAGGACTGCAGCACCAGTCGAGACGCCGCGAGTTCTCCTCTGGAGAAACACCCGGGAGAGCATGTCGGCCGCCATGTCCCTGCGCAAGATCTGCCGGACCGCAGCGCGGACAACCATGCCTACAGGCCCAGGCTGCATCATGGCTTTGACTGCCTGGAAGCTGGCTGGCGACTCGAGCATCTCGCCCAGCTCTTGCAGATCATTGCTGTCAGAAAGAGTGTCCATCACGATCTTGTGGAAGCTGCCTGGTTCGAGCGTCTTCATCAGGGTGGCCATCATGTTGCCATGGCCCATCTGTTCGTCTACCTTTGTGCGCACGCCCGGCGACACGGGGCCGGCAGCCTGCGCCATCATCGCGGCCGGCACGTTGTCGGCCGCAATGATTTTCCCCATGGCGTCCATCGTCGGGGCGTCGAAGTTCATAAGCTTGCCCACGTGTGTCACGAAGCCCTGGTCCATCATTGTCTTGCCAAAGACCGTGCCGAAATTGGCATGGGGGTCCATCATCGCGCGCAGGGCCGACCGGACCTGCGAGTCGGCCGCCACCGCGGTCATGCCCTTGGACCACTGCGCACCGTGCGGGTAGCCAGCGGCCACGCTCGTCATCAGGTGGGTGATGGACGGCCGACCAAACTGGCTGAGGAGGAAGGCGCCGATGTCCTGGTCCGGGCCCAGCACGGCCTTGAGCGCCTCGATGACTTTCGGCTCCTTGAAAATGGCAGCCACAAGCTTCCAGCCGTCCATATCAGAGAATACCGCGTCGATGGTCTTCCCAATACGCCCGTCGGCTGCTGCGTAGGCGACACTGTCGACAAACTGGTCGTTTTGGAGCAGCGCAAACAGCTTGCCCACGAAGGGTTTATTAGTGAGTGAAGAAACTTGCCCGGCCCTGTTATCTGGCGATCTGATGAAGGCCAGGAAATCATCGGCCAGCTTGGGGTCTTGGGCCATCCGGACGAACTGGGTGCCGATGTCAGCGCCGCCCCCTATCTGCTGGAGGGCATCAGCCACAACACTAGTTTGGGCGGGAAACGATATCAGCATATTTTGTCTGCAAGGTCTGGTATCTTCAAAGCCCAGGGTTGGGGTTTTCTCACTTAGAATTCGGCGATGTTTCTCTTCGGCGCAGCGAGTCATGGTAGAAGCTGTCGGAGCCAATATCTTGGGACTCTGAGTGTGCGGCTGTGTGGAATTGTCAATGAATGGGGACTGCGAGTTATATGTACGGCCATGCAGAGCGTGACTCGATGTATGGGCGGGGTTCTGTGATTACTCACAATATATCTCGGGGTTCTTTCTCTCGAAGAACGCTGCGAGACTGTATCAGTGCTGTGTGCGACGAGCCAGGCGGGTGTAACTTACTGCCAATCCTTCCGAGAAAGGAAAATCCTGTGATGGACGAAATGCCACAAGTGGCAGCGACAACAATGGAGAACTTCATCTTGCCTGGCAGTGAGGATACGCCTTTTGGGAGATGTCTCGCATGGGTTGGAGCGGTTGTGTGGGCAATGGGACAATCCCTGAGATATAAGAGCAAATGAGATCTCCCCGGGGAGACTAGCAACTGCTTCCAGCGGTCTCACGATAGCCATAAGCTCCCTCAGCTGAAACGTGAGCTTGCGCACGCAGGCTTTTCCACCCAAGTCCATAAGACGGGTTGACGCCTAGTGCGGAGCTGACCCCATGGCTGAAGCAATTCTGCGTATCTAGCCACTACTTTAACCTCTGCCATGTCCAGCTAAGCAGATCGTGCTTATGCGGTATCGAGCTCTCAAGTCGAGCTTCTCAAGCGTTCCAGTGCCGCAAGAGGCCGCCGTGGGTTGACTTCGAACGTGGGCAGAGTTTCGCCGGTGCCTGGAACCAGATATGGTAGCGAATAGCAGAGCTCCCGGAAGCTCCAGTGGCTTCCCCAGCTGAGCATGGAGCTGCATTGGCTGGGATGTATGAGCCGCTTACCAGGGTTGGTCAGTTTTGTCTCCGATGCCAGGTTCTGCACGAGCTGGGCAACCACAAAGTGGCCGGCCAGTCATGGAGAATGTCTGATATTGCCACGAAGCTCTACGCTTATGCAGCCTCCAAGGCTCAAACAGCCCCCTCCCTTTGTATAGATGGTCGAGACCCAGATCGTGGTAAGCTGAGGCGTGGAGATTCGTCCGGCACAAAAGCTTAAGGACTCTAGCTCGAGCTTAGCAGCACGAGATTGAGTTTGGCCATGCCTTGTGCTGTGAATGCGCGCTGTGATCGCGCTGCGTCAGAAATCCCATGTTTCGAGGGCTAATCGCATTGTCAGAGAGGCTGAGTACAGCGGTCCAGATACGTTGGACTCCTGTCCGCGCCATATGGCACCTATCCTTGCTTCAGTGTGCTTGGCCCACCCTGCATACATAAAGCAGGGTGGGGATGGTTCAGCCGTCGACAATATTTGTGCAGGAGTATAATGCACACTGGTGTACTTTTGTGAACTGCACAATTCGTATCATTTCCCGCGGATGTCGGATCTCTGGCTTGTGTTCAGGAGGCTGTCCTTGAGAAATGCCTGTCCAGGTATGAGCAAAGCTGAAGCGGAACCAAGCCCGCCCAGTCATTTCCCTGCCCCCAAAAATAATTGCCCTGGCCGCTTCCAGAGCGGGAATCGCGGCCGCGGCCCCCACTCCCTCCACAACGGCCTCGACCACCGCCTGTCTGTCCGCAGCCCAAACCCGCCATGCTTGTCTTCCTTTGCCGCTCTCTGAACAAGCCGCAGACAAATAACAGCATGCTAGCCAAGAAGTGGTGGAAAAGAAATAAGCCCTGTCCAGGCACCTATGCGGCCAAAACGAGACCGCCTGGCCAAGCCAAGCCATGTAGCGTTGATTACATGAAGAACGCAGTGTCTTGACTTGGAAGACTGGAAGCGCGAGTACCTGGGGCAGAGACGCCTGTGGACCCCACCGGGGCACTCCTGGCCGTGCCCCCCAAAAGAAGAATCACGACTAGCGGCCATGGTAATCATGGCCCCAAAAAAAAGATCGCCTCTTGGTGGTAATATCCTCTTGGGAGAGGATGCACCGGGAATTGAGCCCGATGCGGGGGTCGAACCCGCAACCTTGAGATTGAAGAGTTCTTAAGAGTCTCACGCTCTACCGATTGAGCTAACCGGGCAGTCTTTGTCAGAACTGCTTGTTGATTGGAAGCGATCTTATTTGTGTTCATGTAGCTGCATCATTCTCTGGCCTCGTGGACCTGCCATCTACTTGTTTGTGTTGTCCGCATTCCCATGCCCCAAGTCTTCACGTCCCGCTTGATCTCGACTGATGTGCTGTCTCAACCCTGTTGCCCTCGCAGTATGCTTGAATATGCTCAGAGTACCCTCATTCTGCCCTGGTGGCGAAATGCAGCACCTTGTCAGTCGTTAGAGTGCAGACACATTGGTGCAAGTTGGTCAGCATCTACGTATTGTCACATGCGCAACAAATGTGATGCTGGACGACCACCCTAGAAAAGAAACACTCCTGTGCCACCCGTCAATTCCCGTCTTGGAACAACGGACGAGAGATCTCTGCTTCCTAAATCCGTGCTGGCTTGTTGGGGCATGACCTTGTATTGTGTGAGACGAGTGCGCCAGCCCTTCAAGCGCCCTCGGACTTAATACGACCGCGCTGTGGTGTGATCGCCCTGCCTAGCGGAAATCGCGGCCGCACACGGAAGAGTGCAGCACTCAGCTCCACGCACCAGCTCCGCCCATCACCAAAGTCTAAGTAGACATGCTTCTCAGTGTCGCCTAGGGATAATTATAAAAGGCACGATGCCGGCTTCATATTTTCAGTCTTCAGCACCAGTGCCAGCATTCAACCCTATCATCCCCCATCCCACTTCAAAGCTCCCACATTCCCCGCCGCCATCATGAGTCTTGGCATTCGCTGTAGCACCCTCTGGCCTAACAAGCCGGTCCTGACGGAGGCTAATCTGCCCGACCAATCTGGAAAGGTGCATCATCTCCTGTCCGCCACCCCCCTCTACGGGTGCCAATACTCTAATGCTGACCCCGAGCACAGGTCTTCATCGTAACTGGCGCAACCAGCGGAATCGGCAAGTATCTCACGGACATCCTATACCAGCACAACGCAAAGGTCTACCTTGCGGCCCGCTCCGAGTCAAAAACCAGCGAGGTTATCAAGGAGATGCAGACAGCACATCCGACTTCCCGCGGCACCCTCCGCTTCCTCAACCTCCAGCTCGACGATCTCTCCACCATCAAGAAGTCGGCCGACGACTTCCTCACCCAGGAAGACCGCCTCGATGTGCTGTGGAACAATGCCGGTGTCATGATCCCTCCCTCCGGGTCCGTCACGAAGCAGGGCCACGAGCTCCAGTACGGTGTCAACAACCTCGGCCACTTTCTCTTCACGCTCTTCCTCCAACCCACCCTGGAGAAAACCGCCAGGTCTGCGACCAAGGACTCTGTCCGCATTATCTGGGTGTCGTCCAGCGCCGCGGATGCTGCCCCCAAGCCCGCGATCGACTTCAGCAACATGGACTACCATCGCGAGGAAGGCGCCTGGCAAAAATACGGGCGCAGCAAGGCGGCCAGCGCGATCCACGCCGCCGAATTTGCCCGCAGGACTCAGGAGGCTGGCATCATTAATCTGGTGCGTAGAATCGAGTCTCTCCCTAACGGATTGACCCAGGCTGGTCGGTCGTTCTGTCTCATGGCTCAATGCTAACCAAGCAACACATACTAGGCTCTCAACCCTGGCAACTTCATGACGAACCTGCAGCAGAACATGTCCAAGATGGAAGCCACCATGTTTGTAAGTCTTTCCACACACTACCCCCCAGAACAGAGACTAAAATACTGTTGGGCTTAGAAACTCCTCACTTCCGATACCATCAAGGGTGCATACACGGAGCTGTTTGCCGGTTTGAGTGACACAATAACAATGAAGAATAACGCCGGTTGGGGTAAGTTGTCCTCTTGCCAGACTGTTGGCCCTCCGCATAAGAGGAAGAGAAGAGGGAAAAAGAAGCTAATGTCTATCCGCTGCGTGCCTTTCGAATATAGTGTCACCGTTTGGCAAGGTTGAGCCAGTCCGCAAGGACCTCGTGGAACCCGAGATTGGCCAGAAGTTCTGGGAATGGAGCATGCAGCAAGTCAAGCCGTTCATGTAAACCCCTGGCATTAGAATTTAGGCCATACCTTTCCTTGGTTGAGAAATAATTAGACTACAATCACATTTGGCTTCATTTGTGTTCCATAAATAAACAATATCCTTGGAGAGATGTGTATATTGCTAAGCTGAGACGCTCGTAAACAAGCTGGGTCATGGGATATTATCATGGTCCCAGAGACTAGCGACATATCATACATTGATGTCCTTCTGCAAACGACTTTCAACTTTAGCCTGCAAACGGTCCAGACGTAATCTGAGACTGGCGAACTGGGCGCTGATTTCGGAAGATGCAGAAGAGCTGTCACTCATCGAATCTTCCCGGCAATTCTCCTGCCATTGTCCAATATATCTCGCAATTTGGGGCTTCAGCGTCTGCGTGGCCCAGATGTGAACATTTTCCAGGATTGCCTGCAACGCAAGGATGTCCCATACGTTCGTCATGTCGCCTGTCCAGATACCAACCATTTCCTAGACGATAGTGGAGCGTTGTTAGATCCGTTTTCAAGACCAAAGTGCACCGAAAATGCCGATTACTCACAAATGCATCCCCAGCAACGGAGCCCTCTGACCCTTCATCCTCAGTTTCGACATCATCGATTTGGTTATCCTCTGGAACCAGGTATGTGATCCAGACCGTGACATGAGGTCCAATTGCGGTGATAGACACCACAGGTGGGACGTGCTCGGAGTTGGCTCCTGGCTCGGCGTAGCGCGCCGCTGCTTGCATAATCATGACAGCTGCGGAACTAGCACTGGCTGTTTGGCAGTGACACTCTGTTTCCTTCTTCTGCTCTTTCTTTTTCAGCTCGCACACAAGCCACGGAAAGCAAATCATCTCATTGCTGCGATAGAAGTCTCCCTTCGATCCATAGCCCCTTTTTGCAGGCTTGATGACTGGACAGGAGAATAGCCCATGGCTGGCGAGTTCCTTGAGCACATCGATGGAGAAGTTTTCGACGAGATCACCATGGGGATAGTCCGGTGTCGTTTTCACCTCACAATCTGGTTCGCGCATCTTCGTTGTTGATGTGTTGTGAATGCGAAAATAACAGGCATAGTCTGGCCTTGGCATCGAGAGCTCTCTGCGATGTCGGGATCGGTATCCTCCGCCCCTGTGGAATAAGTGCCAGTCGCGCTCGCCCTCCCTATACTTTGTATTAGTTTCCGGCACCCACCATTCTACTCAAGCATCATGGGGCTTACCTACATTTCAAACGAATCCGAATAAAGTTTCCTCAGGCGTGTGCTGGCAGCATTGCACCGTGTCAGGGCGTGTAGAGTGGCCGGGCTTTTGTGATGATGTGAGATCCACGTACTGTCTTGAATCCTCTCGCTGGATTTTGCATCTGTCAAATAAAGGTTTGAAGAAGAACGCGCCAAAGAAGTCATTCCACTTCTTCTCCGATCCACCTTTGGCTATGATCTCCTCGGCCTCCAGCCTGATACGATCCGCAGAAAAAGCGCTTTCCTCGACATTTGTTCGCTCGCGCTTGCCGAGTCTTTGCCAAAGCTTGGTGCGCGTATAGGCTTCACAATCATCTTCTGAGTCCAAGCGGAAGCGTGACTGGATGGTATCGTTTTGATCACAGATTATTCCGGCCAGATTTTCGATATGCTCGGGAGCAGAAGCATCCTCGATGGTGCTGTGGATGGAAATGCCGTTCTCGGCCAGAGCTTCCAGGCTGTGACCCATCGTCCTTGGGTCCCTGGTCTAATGAGCCAGGTTCTGAGTAGCCGAATATCGGTCGAATTGATGGACGAACACCTGCAGGTACTAGTGTGTTGATTGGGAGAACGAGAGATGCTGGATTATCGCCTGTGGCAGCCAACAATTTGTCCTCGATTGTCCTTTAAAAGACACGACTCTGCAGTTGTGCCAAAGGTGATACGCATCTCCTGCAGGTTCCAGCCGAATTTGGAAGGTGGTCCGGCGTGCTGGGAGGAAGTTGTAAACAGCCAGGGGTTGTTCCGCTGTTGTCAAGGCCCTGTCCGCATCACTGGGATGTAGGGATCTACACGGCTCAACAAGATTAAATTTTTTTGGTACTTTGACATTTGTCCTTCCACACCTACACAAACTCTTGGACATCCTTCATTGATTGCGATATGCTGCTTTGATGGCAGACCAACACGGTCTGTGGACCTGCAATTTCGACCTGCAGCTTCAACTTCGGCGAGAGCCGAGGGAACAGCCATCGAGATGTCTTGGGAAACGGAAAAGGGGGGAGCGGCATGACCCCCAGAGACAAATAATCAGCTCTGCATACTATTATATCCCTTGCATTCTGTGCATCGGATTTGCAGGGAACGGCAAAGCGCAGAGAACCAACTGCATCGGCGTGCATCCCTTTTCGCTATTTGTTCTCCACTTTCACCCATGTCCCCTGCGAGATGCGCCTCCTCCTGTGCCGTCCTTATTTCCTGCGTGATCCACGAACCCGGTACTGAGTGTGCCTGAGTAAGAGAGGAACGCGTGTCGAGGTCATTTAGCAGTCGCGTCTGACTTTTGTGGAAATTAAGGATGTGATTCGCATCCCTGACCGAATCGAAACGGACGGCGTTCCCGGCCCTTGATCACCTTTTCTCCGACCTGTCCAGCCTCTATCCCGCGTGTCCCCAGCAGAAATCAAACAACCCAGTCTGTCAAGTCTAATTCGTTATCGGAGCCAGCGCCGACATACAGCTGCCCCAGAGTCTGCTCTACCTCGGCCTTTCCGACCGTGTGAGGCGCCTCAAGGACGGCGCGCAACGACGCGTGGTTGATGATCTCAATGAATATCGGCCACGGGAGTACCTCTGCCGGCTTTTCAAGCCCCGACGTCGGGGCAATCTTATCCTCAACGAATCGGCACAGAACGTGAAGGAATAACCCCAAAGAGTATCTAGACCCCGCCGTGCTCGCGAGTTGCTGCTGTAACAGGAGATACTCGTCTGACCCCTGTAGCAGCCCAAGACTGTACTTGCTCATCAAGGAGCTATCCTCGATCTTTGACAAGGGCACACATAGCTCTGGGGACCTTCCATTGTACTTGAGCTCGTTGTCGCCAAGCATCTCGTAGTGTTCCTGTGGCTTGTTCGTTTTCTTCCAGATAAGCTCGTGCAGGATGGACCCCGAGGTGGCTTTACTCGAGCGCACGACCTCTTCTATCAGCAGGTATAAGAGCCTCTTCCACACAGCAGACTGAAGTGCCTCAGCCGAGACGAGCTGAGCTTCTCCTTGCCTCAAGCCCGTCATCTCGGTGTTATTACTGCCGCCCATGAGTGTGACCGCGCGGAGCATGACCATGAACCCGGCAAGTGGATATCTGAGAAGCCCGGTGCTCGCCTGCGTGCTTGGCCCACCGGAGCCTGCCCCATTGGCGTTGTGTCTATCAGCCGCAGCAGAGAGGTCAAGGAATGCCCGATTCAGCGCGGTCGCGATGGGTAGTGGCTGCATGACAGCCTGCCCAGGAGTAGCTCCATGTTGCTGCTGCTGCTGCTGCGGCGGCGGCGGCGGAGTAGCAAATGCAGTCGACAGACTCGGCACGACGCTCAAGGACGTCAGCAGCTCCGCCGCCAACCACCGCAGCGCGTCCGGGCGGCCCACGAGCGGAAGCCTGTTACTATCATCAGGGTGCTTGAAGGTACCAGCTCCCACGCTGCCACTGCCGTTCTGAGGAACACCAGCGAATCCGGGGTCCCCAAGCACGACAGCCAACAGCACCATCACCGCATCCCCCGCGGCGAACCTCCGCTCGAGCGCAACATCCAAGGCCTCGTCGTATACCTCCCTCCTTGTCCTGCTGCTGCCGCCGCCGCCAAGGGTGTGGCCCAGTTGCACGAGCGGCAGCGAAGACAGCACCGTCTCGCCAGTGATGGTGGAGTGCTTGGTCTGCACGGCCAGCGCGGCACATGCCTCGCAGCACATGTGCTGCGAGGCGGACAGTATGCCCCTGGTCTCTGCGAAACCGCCCATCGCGAGCGGGAAGAGGAGTTTCGCGCGCTGGTCTGGCCGGGGGAAGTTGCTCGTCTTCATGGAAGGCGGTGTCGTTGCTGGTGGTGTGGTCGGTGTAGCGGTGGAGGACGAGGCTGGGGAACACAGGAGCAGGTGGAGCTGGTTACTGGAGGATGCGCAGACTGCACATGTACCCTTCAGCGCACCATCAGTATCGGGGGAAGGACTGGAAGATGGTGAAGGTCCTGGTTTGGTCTCTGGCTTTGGTGGTCCTGGCTCCATCGCGGCTGGGCGGTATGGTAGCTGGCTTGACACGGAGTGACGTGGCATCATGGAAGACGCCATGATACCGCCGAGGGGATTCATCCTAGCGCTGAACCGGCCCTGGGGAGTCCTTGCGGGCGAGCCGGGAGTACTCGCTGCGGTGTTGGTCATGCCGTTGGTCTTGCTTGCCGTCGACATAGCGGGCAGGTATGACCCCGTGGAGTTGAGCGCGGCGGCGTTGTGGATGGCAACGTTGGACCGCGCCGTCGCTCGCTGGATGAGCTCGTCGCGCTCTCTGGTCTGCCTGGCATACTCGGCCGCCGCATCTGTCGTGCTGGCGCTCCCCATCTCGTGGAGTTTCGCCAGTCTAGCCTGTAGAGTCGCGTCAGGCTTCACACCTCCCTGCAGACACTTGATGATTTGAATGTACAACGCTCTTGCAGAGACCACGTGGCTGGACTGTGGTGCCATGGCATTCATACCGGTGGTGGTGGAGGGCATCTGCTGCTGCTGCACCCACCCCTGGAACTGCGCGGTCTGGTTCCTCGTCTGCGCCGTCATGACCAGGCTCGCGAGGTTGTCCTCGTTGGCAAAGATGCGCGAGACCTGCTCGGCGCGGAGGCGGTTGTTGTAGAGGTCGTCGAGGTTGACGACCTCCGAGTCCTGCAGGACAATCTCGTGCTCGGACAGCTGCCTGCTGCTGCCCGGCTTGCGCACGGCGAGGTCGGCAAAGTCTGACCACCGGAACATGGGCAGCGTGGAGAAGTCGGTGGTGTTGTCAAACACGGGCTGCGGCTGGCCCCTGAGGACGCTGGCGAAGAGCCCCTTGGCTTGCAATACCCGCAGCTGTCCGGTGGTGGTGTCGCAGTACAGGAACAGACAGTCTGGCACGATGGCGAAGACGCTCACGCCGACGGAAATGTCACAAGTGTTCATGCCGCCGCCGCCGCCGCCAGGGCCCCTGCTGCCGTTGCTTGCCCTGCCAAAGATGACGGCTACGCAGGTGTTGCCGTGCAGCCGTGCCTGTGCGATCTGCTGGGCGAAGCTGACGCGGGTGCGCGAGTCGATCAAGCCGTCGGTCATGAGGAACCACAGTGACGAAGAGGCAATGGTCTGCCGATGGATAAAGCTGTGGAGGAGTACCCGCGGATCGGTGCCTCCTCGTGACCGCAGCGTATGGGTGCCCTCGAGCGGCAGAATGGGTGATGCCACGTTATCCCAGGGCAAAATACGCGCTCGGGGTTGGGCGTCGGCGGAAAGATGGAACGAGACTTGCTCAACAAACTCCCGTTCCCGTTGGATGGTCAGGCCGCTGGTGCTGCCCGAGATGTCGACGGCAAAGGCAACAGTGGCATCACGGAATGGGATCACATCATTCTCTTTCTTCTCTTCAGGGGTAGTAGAGGCTATCTGCTCGGGAGGTGTAGTAGCCAGCCCTGAGGTGCTTGGTGACAACGGAGATGAAGCTGGGGATTGGGAAATTGCATGGTGGCCTGGCCGCGGTGGCGGCGCAGGATCATGTTGCTGAAGGAGAAATTTAGAGACCATGGCTGGACAATGGAGAATGATTGGGCATCAATAACCCCCCTTGAACGGTGGCGATCTGAAAGATGAGTTCTGTGATGCGGAAGTGAAATGAACGAGAGCAGAGGTCTTTCCTGACGAGGACAGGGTGGCTGCTTTATAGAACATAGGTGCCTCAAGGTGGGCAGTGCTGCCTGGGGCAAGGTTCGCATAAGGCTGAATAGCGCAGTGTATTGACGTGGATCCGTACTGGGGATTGACTGGGCTGCAGTCAAATGCTAGGGAGCCCACAAACCCGGCTATAATTAGCCAATACATGCTTACCTAAGGCAGGGAATATTCACGGAGGAAAGACCCCTCGCGTTTTAGAGAGGGCTTCACGAAAACGAGGTCCTGGGAGTTTAAGAATTGGTAATGCATTTTCTATACGTTGGTGTCACCCCTGGGCAGACCAGCCTCAGCTGCACTTCCACTTCGTCGACCAGAAGGCGGCTGATGGCGGGACGACCTGTCGCAGGGATCTGGCAAATTGAAGTCCGCGAGGAGCCTTGGAATACTTGTTGACGCAGTCGTTGCAGTAGTGCTTTGCATACAGCTTTCTGCGTTAGAGACCCGCGACGGGACCTCAATGGCGGCGTCAGGCAACCATACTTCGCCCTAGTGTTGCAACGTGCAGCAGGGAATAGCCTATGGGATACCTCGGAACACCTCGTCGGGCCTTTGGAACTCCTCGGGGGCAGATGAATGGCGCTTCTGGACACGCCTCACACCGTCATTAGGTTTTTGCTGACTGTAGGCTACGATGTGGGCATGCATCCTCACCAAGACGCTCTGCGGCCATTGTTTTGCCAGGCGGCATACAATTACAGTTTACGCACGGTGTGTCTTGCCTCGGCTCGGCTGCCAGCGCTAATATCTCCACCACATGCCCCGAGAGGCCGGCGCCCTTGTTGCCTCCAACATCTATGCACTCTCTGCTCGTCACAAAGAAAGGCACCCAAACACAATCCTACATTCAGCTGTCGCACCTCCGTCAATATGCCCTCGTGGTCTGCTCTGCTGGTTCGGCTCTACATCATCTGGATCCGCCGCTCCAAGGCGCCTTACTCGAACGCCGACAAGACCCGCGCCCTCCTGGCGTCGCTGTATCTGCAGCCCGAGCCGTATGCCCCGCCAAGGTTGGCCAGCGATGTCGTGGTCGAGCGTGTCGATGTGTCCGAGTGGCCGCTATACCGCGTCGCCCTCGCGCGTCCATCCGCCGCAGACCTGAGCAAGACCACGTCTCCTGCCAATCCACGGCCTGCAATGCTCTACCTCCACGGCGGCGCCTGGATCCGCGAGGCTGCCCCCGCTCATTGGAAGTTCGTCGCGCAGGTCGCCCGCGAGACGGGGCTGGACGTGCTGGTTCCCGTGTACCCGCTGCTGCCACGGCCGACAGCGACAGCACGCCAGATCGTGGACGGGCTGATCAGGATCGTGCGCCTCACCGAGCAACCCGTCGTGAGCATCGCGGGCGACTCGGCTGGTGGCTGCCTTGCTTTGGGGCTTGCACAGGAGCTGCGAAAAGCGGCCCCGGAGCTCGCGGCGCGAGTGCGGTCCCTCGTCCTTATGTCGCCTCTGCTGGACTGCGCCTTGTCACATCCAGAGTGCCTGCGGCTCGACAAGCACGACCCGTGGCTAGGGATCGAGGGCCTGCGGGTGCTGATCCCGTACTGGACGGGCGGGCTGCCGACGACACACCCCCTGCCGAGCCCGCTGTTTGGCGAGATTGATCAGCTGCCTCCGGTGCTGCTGCTGTGTGGCACCGACGACATCCTGTGTTCTGACGCGCGGCGGCTGAGTGCGCGGTTCCAGGGCCAAGACGGGAGCGAGGGTGTGCCGGGGAGCTTTGAGGGCAAGGACTTTACGTATGTCGAGCAGCCCGGGATGGTGCACGTGTATCCGCTGCTGCCACACTGGGAGGGCTCGCAGGCGAGGGAGCTGATCATGGCGTTTGTGTTGAAGCATCTTGACTAGGCTGGGGGATGCCTGGGTGGGTGGTTGTGGGACATGGAAGGCCTGCTGCTCAGGGCCATTGACGACATGTCTGGTGGTTTCTGCTGGTGATGGTTTTTGATGTTGCGTTTTGGATGAGATGAGGATCTGGACTGGCAGGGCGCTTGGCTTGGCAGATAGATGATGAGGGTGCGGTGCTGCTTACGCTTACATAAGTCCAGGCACCTGTGCTTATAGCACAAGCCAGAATGGATTGTTTGCTAGATCCCCGCTCGATGGCAGCAGGCTGGGTCTTGACATGTTGAGACCAGGGCCCATGCAATCAGCCAGGCCAAAGTGACCTTAAAGTAGCAAACCTGCTGTTGCCTTGCGCGAGACCATTGCTCGCACGGGGGACGACCACAGCGAGCGACCGGCCAATCTGGAGGGACGCAGCAGCGGGTGTGGCGCAGACCCATACGACACGAGCTGCCTGGCAAGGCACACACACCCACCAACTTGGTACGTGCCTTGGGAGGAACAGGCACCCAGGCACAAACAGACACATACAAACACACAAACGCACACAATCACGCGCACAACAGTCACCCGCGAATCATCCACGCAGCGACATCCTTGGGCCAGGCTCGCATTGCGGCGCGCGGAGCCTCCCATCCTCTCCTGTCCCCTCCTCAGCCATCAGCAATCTGACTCATCCCCGCCCCCGGCCTAACACTGACCCGCACCCGCCGCCGTGCCGGTCTGGCTCCGCACGGAACGGCCACGAACACGCCAGCTCCGTCCCGCCACCCGAGCACCACGAACCCGGAGCCCGTCTCCCGGTCCCCCTGGGGCTCACCGCTTGGTCCAGTGAGTTTAAAACTCGTGCCACCACCCCCAGCCGCCCAAGATGACCGCCATCCCCATCCGTGGCCTCTCCCCCACGTCAGACTCGTCCACGTTGGACGAGTCCACGTCGGACTCCGCTGCCTCAGCCCCCTCCAATACTCAGCCCCCGCCGCCCAAGAAGCAATGTTGGGAGTGCCAGCGCCGTCGTGTCGTCTGCGACTCGGTCGAGCCCGTCTGCGGCAAGTGCGAGGCCATCGGCGTCGTCTGTCCAGGCTTCGACGACAAGAAGCCCCTCGTGTGGCTCGCCCCCGGCAAGGTCACCGCCCGGCCGCGCAAGAAGAAGCGCGCACCCAACGGCGCCAGGGCCATGGCCTCGGCGGCAAAGAGGGGCTCCGAGCTCATCTCCCGGCTCACAGGGGAGAAGCCTGAAAAGATCGACCTGCGACCCATAGAGCGGCAGTTGACCAAGCACAATGCCCTGCGCAAAGCCGCCGGCAAGAACAAGGACATGTACGACTCCACCTTCATCCTGTTCCCCGAGCTGGTTTACGACAAGGACATTGAGCAGATATTCCAGGCTGCTCGGTATTGTAAGCAGGCCCGCGATTCAATGAGCGTTCTCTTGACAGCACTCTGACCTGCATGGTTCGGTCCGTGCCAGACGATCTACAGATGTACCCAGAGTATGAGCCCATCCTGGCAATGATACCCCAGGCCTTCATCCGGCGCTTCGAGCTGCCGACTGTGCCCTACTTTCCGATGGCGATTCGGCACAGCGTCATCTGCATCACGCTCGGCCACCGCATCCACAAGCTGCCGACCACAACGGACCCGGCATTTGTCTTCAAGAGTTGGGAGGTCTTCTACCGGCACCGCGGCAAGGCCATCGCCGGGCTGACCGCGGACATGGGCAGCCTGGACCCAGTCAGGCGCTTCATCGCGCTGATCGGCACTGCGACGTTCCTCATGGTTGATGTGAGTTGTGTTTGTGGAAGATGGCCGTGTCGCCACTCTGGGCTGTGTAGACAGCCCCTCAGGCCCGGCATATAAGCGTCTGAATGGACCCTGTGCTTCTTTTCCTAGCTGCTGACCTGCCATGTCCAGATCCAACAATGCTACCCAGACTGGCGCATCCACTATGTTGGGCTGCGACATCTGATCGACCTGTGCGGTGGCCTCGACTTTGTCCAGTCCTTGGCCGAAGAGACAAAATCCGTCATGCACGTATACATGCTGTGAGGCAGACCCAATCCCTACATGTTGCATCCGATTTCACTCAGACACTCAGATCTAGACCTGCTAACAATCTGCCATCTCTCTCACACCCGCACAACAGCTGCGGCATGTTTGCAAACGCCATCACCCACCGCACCCAGCAGCTCACCTGCGTCAGCATCGACGAGCAGCGAAGATTCATCGAGAACTCGTACGACGAAAAGATCATGCCGTACTTCATGTGCCCTCGCACGTTGCTCCTCGCCATAGTCAACATCAACGAGCTCCGCGCCGAGGGCATGCTGCACCAGTTCCACCTGCCCGACGAGCCCTCCCCCTTGCCCACGCCGGCCGAGCTTCTCGCGCAGATCGACGCGTTCGACCCGGTCCCGTGGTCCGACAGCATCACCAAGGGCCACCAGCCGCAGGTCGTCGCGCTGGGGGAGCTGTTCAAGACGACGACCCGGCTGTACTGCATCCTGTCGCTGCAGGCCGTCGGCTTGATCCCGCGCACCGTCGAGCTCGAGGTCACCAAGGCGCTGCACGGGGACAAGCTGTTCGGCATGCTGCGCGCGCAGATGCGGTCCAACATCCTCATGCAGAAGTCGTGCCTGTTCAGCGTCGCCGTCGCCGGGTTCATGGCCGCGCACCGCGGCGAGGAGGACAGGGTGTACATCCGCGACGAGTGCGAGTTCCTGAGCCGCTCGGCAGGCCAGGCGTCGCCCCTGATGCTGAATGTCGCGCTGCAGTCGTTCTGGGAGTCCGGGCGGACTGAGTGGGACGAGTGCTTTGAGCAAGGGTATGCGCTTTCTGTGTGCTGAGGGGGGGCGGGCGGTGAGACACGATATCGGGTGGGATTAGAGCGTGTTGTGAATAGAGCAGAGTCCAGGTTGTGGTGATGCGGGATGCGAATCTCAACTCATGGTTGTAACATAGAGATTTTGGTTTTGTCTAACGTATAGTCGCGGTCCGCCCTCCAGAGTCAATCGCCTGGGTAAAGCGTAAGTAACACTGACTTTGTTTTTATCCTATCTCTCCAGGGTTGTCGTGTCTCTGGGACGAGAAAGTATTCTTGCTGCACCATCAACAATACTGAGTCTGAGCGAGGCAAGCATTCATCAGACCCCAAGACCGGCTCCAGGTCGACTCTCAGACACTAGCCGCCCCGCGAACATTGTCGAAAGACTACTCGTCCCTCTGCAGGGAGACGATCCTGCCGCCCACTGGTCAACCCCATTGATCGACCTGGGAGGGGCAGACCGGCAGTTGCCCCCCTAGCTCCAAAATGCACCCGTGCCAAGACCAATCCGGCAGGTCCCTCGACTGCTTAGGCCAAGGGCCGGCACTCAATCTCGCGCGGATGGCAGTTCCCGCGGCGCCAATAGGAATAGGCAACTGTCTTCGAATACAGAAGGTGCTGATTACGACAACACCACTATTGGATCATACCTTCCATTTGCACATCGCTCGTGGGCGAACACTGCCGATCCCCCTCCGCCGGGCAGGCTGGGGCCCCCCTGGTCTGTCACGCCTATATAAGCTCACCCATCAGCCAGGGAATGAGGTCTTGTCCGATCGCCAAGCCTGCAGACACGCTTGGCAGGAACACCTCCATCTGTCACTACCACCTGCGCCATCATCATCATCATGAAGCTGCTCCTCAGCGTGTACGGCCTTCTGGGCCTCGTCTCGGCGGCAGCCCTCCAGCCCCGCAAGGTCTCGTACGATGGGTTCAAGGTCGTCCGTGTGCCCGTCGGCATGGACGCCTCCAAGGTGACCGACATCGTGTCCCAGCTTGGGCTGTCCACCTGGAAGGGTGCACCCCAGGCGGGCCGCTTTGCCGACATTGTCGTCGCGCCCGAGAAGTTCGACGCCTTCACCAAGGCGACTCAGGGCATGGAAGTGTCGGTCATGCACGAGAACCTCGGCGAGTCAATTGCCCAGGAGTCTGAGTTCCCCGACTTCTCTGGTAAGTACCAAGCGATGCTTTCCCCTCTCAAAGATCAATGGACTGACATGGTTCACAAGTCGCCGCCGTCAACTCGACCTGGTTCAATGCCTACCACTCCTACGCCGACCATCTCGGCTTTCTCAAAGGACTTCAACAGCAGTACCCGTCTCAGTCAGAGATTGTCACCTCGGGCAGCTCGCTCCAGGGCAACGCCATTACCGGCATCCACCTCTGGGGCAGCGCCGGCAAGGGCGTCAAGCCAGCCATCGTCATCCACGGCACCGTGCACGCCCGCGAGTGGATCGGCACCATGGTTGTCGAGTACTTTGCCTACAACCTGCTCACCAACTACGCCTCCAGCAGCGAGATCAAGGGCTTCGTCGACAAGTACGACTTCTACTTCTTCCCAGTAGTGAACCCGGACGGCTTCATCTACACCCAGACCACCGACCGCCTGTGGCGCAAGAACCGCCAGTCCACCTCGGGCTCGTCGTGCGTCGGCCACGACATCAACCGCAACTGGAACTACCAGTGGTCCGTCAGCGGTGGCGCCTCCACCAACCCCTGCGCCGAGGACTTCAAGGGCACTTCGGGAGGCGACACCCCAGAGTTCAAGGCGCTGTCCTCGTGGCTGTCGGGGATCAAGTCCAAGCAGGGCCTCAAGCTCTTCATCGACTACCACTCGTACTCCCAGCTCTTCATGACTCGTGCGTTGGCCCTCTTCCTGTCTTGCATTTCCAATAACCACAGATTAATACTTAGCTAACACCGCACTGCAACTTCAGCCTACGGCTACTCATGCACAGCAGTCTCAACCAAGAACACCGAGCTCCAGTCGCTCGCCCGCGGCGCCGTCGCGGCCATCAAGGCCCAGTCGGGTTACACGTACCAGTACGGCCCGATCTGCAGCACCATCTACAAGGCCACGGGCAGCAGCGTCGACTACGTCAACGACGTCATCGGCTCCGACTACACCTTCACCTCGGAGCTGCGCGACACGGGCAACTACGGCTTCGTTCTGCCGGCCAACCAGATCCTGCCCAGCGGCCAGGAGGCGTATGCCGGGTTCAGATATCTGCTGCTCAACATGAGGTAAGACTGCTGGGCTGTCTTTCAGAAGCAGCATGCTGTCAAACAGGGGTGGGGAGACTTGGGGCAAGTAGGCCAGGTTTGCAGTGTAGTGCCCTGGATAGGGGCCATGTGTGCATCAGGACGGATCAGGTGGGGTGTCTTAGGGATGGCCATGAGGCCAAGATGCAAACACACTTTGGTTGTCCGCGATTATTAGACCTCGGTTGCCTCTGTGAACCGTGCTATCTTATTCAGCTGTGTCTGTCTAGAGCGGAATGGCCTTTAAGTACTTCAACATTTAGAATGAAGGACGAAATCCACCATTTGTCCTCTTCGACACGCAGTCAGACTGAGCGCAATCAACAAAAAGTTGGTTCTTCGGGAGTGGAGGGGAAATTCTCGGTGCCTGTGTCTGTGGCAGCTGCTTGCATACTGAGCGGTGCCCGAGTCCTATGCATTCGGTCCAAAAGCTAATGACACGATATTGAATGCAGGCAGGGCCAGTCGCGCCGTACTGGTGAGGGTTCCTTACTGACCGGCAAATAGCCCGGGTCCTTCTCGGGATACATGGGATATTTCAGACCGGTTGCAGTTTCCGCGGACTGTATGGCCAATACTAATCTACGGTTCGTCAAGAGGCGTCAAGCGATGCCGTGAGCAACTCTCGTTGATGCTCCAGGGACTTGGTACCTGCGCAGAAGGAAACCTTGACGCCTCCGCAGCTGCAAGTTGAAGGAAGGCGACTTTTGGCACTCTGCAAATACCTGGAAGCCCACGACCCCGGCCGGAACTTACCGTTAGCTTTTGTTCTTATGCAGGTGGAAATTACAGTTGGGGGCCCGCTAAGCGCTTTCAGGGCGCCATCAGGCCTAGAAGACAACGGCTATTGTAAGCGCGAAGACTAGGTCCTAATCAGGAAATCGCCGGCCTCGGCTGAGTGCTATCGAAATTCGAACACCACGCCATATGTATTCAGGCCAGGCATTTCGATTTTCTCACAGAACGTGGAGTGGTAACCAGATTGATCTCAAGTATATAAACTCCTGATGCTGCACTTTTGACTCCAGCTTCGCCTTCCCCCATCACTTCAGCAATTGGAATCAAATTTGAAAGCCAACGGATCCTTCCAGCGAACATGGTCTCGCAAAAGCTTCTAGGATATGCGCTCACAGCGGCGGCCCTTTTGGCTGTGGACGCTAAGCCATGCTCCAAGGCTATCACCACGCCCTCCTACGGCTATTATCCTTATCCGACGACTGAGAGCGTACCGGTGGCTTCGCCAGGAAGCACCTACAGCCTCAGCAACCCGTCATCGTCCTCGACAGTATCTAGCAGCGCTACGACGTCCTCTTTTAGCTCTTATTCATCCGAAGCCTCGGAATCCAGCACCAGCAGCGAATCTTCCAGCAGTAGCACAGTCTCGGAATCATCGATCAGCTCAGATACTTCCATGACCACTACGTCGTCGTCGAGCACGAGCGAGTCCACTACCAGTCTGACATCTTCCACTTACCCTGACACCACATCCAGCACCACGACCTCGACTTCATCATCAACGTCGTCCTCATCCTCAGCTACAACGTCCTCCACTTCCTCTGATACTACGTCTAGTACCACGACCTCAACTTCATCATCAACCTCATCCTCATCCTCATCCTCATCCTCTACATCGCCACCTCCGAGCCTTCACACCTGCGGCTTCGGCACCGCTTTTGGCTACCAGAACCCCGTCGGCGGCGTCCCCAAGTCCACCACCCTAAACACTCAGTCGGGCCAGGGCTGCAACCGCTGGGGCTGGTACGAGACGCCCACGGTGGCCGAGCTGCAGGGCGGCATCTCGGGCCCCCTCTACGTCGGCGCCGGCGGCAACGACATAACCAAGGCCGTCGACGTCGGCATCTGGGTCGCGACGGCCAACGCGCAAGGCCGCGTCACTGTCACATACCTCTTGAACCCGCCCTACACCTTGGCCGAGGTCCACGTGAACCTGGTCTGCCTGCCCTTGACCAAGTGCGCCCCGGGACAGTACACTTATTCAGCAGGGAGTATTCCGAACCTGCCGACCTGGAGCAACCCGACGCCGCTCGTGTATCCTACCTGCACTGGCGGAAGCAAAGCCGCGCTCATCGTCCATGCCGCGGTCAACATACTCACCGTAACTCAATCCTGCGCCGCCCCAGTGGCAAGTTAACGCAAGAGCGCATATACTCAACCTAATTCACATATACAGTGCCGGCTCAAGCATTAGTGGCATCCGTTAGTTGTTATAGAATCCCTGCTGAGACTTCAATGTTAATACATAATCTGCGATTGTTTTCTCACCCATATGACAGAAACACTTCCACTGTTACTCAAAGAAGACGAAACAAAGCAAGGTGGCATGGCGGAGCCTGAGTGGTAGTCAGACCATGCCCAATCAAAGCTTGCGTGTTTTTCGCGCTTAAGGTCAGAATGGAACAGTATTTCTCCAAGCTCCGATGTGTCATGCAACAATCACTAGTGAGGTCTTTTTTTTCGTCTTCCGTCTAGTAGTTTCTTGTGAGCTGCGTACGAGATCTATTCTAAAACTGCCATAGGAGAAAGAATTTTGGAGCTGCTGATTCGACGATGACTTGGAAAGGTGTTTCTTGTTTCGTCAAGGCTTGATGGATCCCAGCATGGGACGACCACCATTGGCCGACTTGCCGCCGTCTATGGCCTTTGGAGTAGCCAGCCGCACCTCGGCGCATTTCAGCTGACAAGGATGCATAGCGCTTAGCCACTCCTTATAAACATGGAATCTGAACAGAATAAAGTGTTTCTCAATTTCTTTGGATATCGTTCAGCCTTCAATTGTCATAATCATGTCCACTCCGAAAAACGAACAGCCCGAGTCAAATGCCCCGACCGAGCCTTCTGGCGAGGTGCGGCAGCCACCAGAGCCCTTGCCGGAGATGGAGGCGGCGACGACGACGACGACGACATGTGTTCTGGACCCCCGCGGCGATTTGTTCGTGCTCGCCAGCGGCAGCGGCGGACTCTGTGTGCCTCGAGACCCCGTCCGGTTCCAAGTTTGTTCTCGGACGCTGGCCAGGTCGTCACGCGTGTTCGACACAATGCTTTTCGGCAACTTTGCTGAATCGAAAAGAACAGAGGTCGATGGTCCGGACGGCACAACGGAATGGCTTGTGGAGCTCCCAGATGCTCCGCCACAGGCCATGAGAAAACTCTTCGAAATAATGCACTGCCGATTCGTCCCCTTCGAGCAGGGCAAGATCCGCATACTCTACGACTTGATCACCATGGCAGACTGTTACGACAGTGTCGAAATACTGCGGCCACTGTCCCATGTTTGGGTGGACGGGCTTCGGCGCCTGAACGTCAGGGAGCTCTCGGCCACCACCCTCCTCGCGCACGCCTGGGTTTACTACTCGCTCGGCCAACGAGCCGACTACGAGCAGACGGGCACCGTGCTCGTGCTCGACTCTGTGCCCGCAGACTTCACTAAGACCGCGCACCTTACAGCGCTTCCGCCCATGCTGCTGGGTACGTCGCCGTATGCCATGTTCTGATGGCATTTGGTGCTTTCGTATTGACGCTCAGATCTTCCCCAGATAATGTCCGCGCCCTGCGCCTGCAGCTCCTCGGCAAGCTGCTGGAGCCGCTCTACAATGCCACCACGGTCCTCCTCGAGGGTAACGCGAGCCCCTTGGGAATTTGTGTGTGGAAAGGCACACGTTACAGCAGTGACAACAGTATCGAGCAGGAAAAGGTAGACTGTGAGCAGCGACTATTGGGCCTCCTCGTTCGTGAGCTGCACAGACTTCGTCTTTGGCCTCGGCCGGACGTGGCGGACGTGGACGTGGCTCCCAGAGTCCTGTACAACGCCATGAGGAGGCTGGCTCAGCCAAGGAAGCACATGGCGTCCGATAACCACCGTAACTGTGTGCTCGAGCTTGAGCCTGGAAATCTTGCCAACACTGGCGATGATCATAATGGACTGAAAGGGCTCGAGGCTTTCAGATACATCGCAAGCGCGAAAGAGGTCGAGTTTATGGCGCGCTTCACAAAGAAGTGATCGAGGTGTACGTACGAGGCCTCAAGCCGTGTAGAATGGGTGAGATGAATATTTCATAGAAGTACAGCATGGTAGAAAGGAAGATGCCAATGCCAAGATGCGCCATTGTTTTCCCCGTCATCGCTGTTAGTGACGCAGGGTAATATCACGCTGCTGTACATCGAGCTTGGGTGCACTTTCCACAGATCTTGGTTTCCCCTCAGTGCTTTCATGATTGGGGACGACACTGACGGGCATATGAGCAGCTCTGAAGTAAAAAGCCTATCATGACATTATTTGCAATGGAAATCAGTGTGGTACGTCTAGGAAGGCATGAGCAGCGTACGCTCGCTGTCAACCACACCCCGAGATATGGGTCGCGCTACAACGTAGTGGAGTGGAGATCCCGCAGTCGCAAAAGACAACTTGTCCTACTGAACATTTATCGCTAAAACCTTTGATCTAGACGAACATCCATTGTGTACGACAAGGCTGAGTCATTCTAGAGCGACATGCCAGACTGAACGCTAACCTGGGTGGATCCTAGTGCTGATGTTATTCTCAAGGTTCAATCTCTCCACGTAACTTGTTGAATACAAGAACTCATTCAACACACCACATCATCACCAAGACTTCCACGTTCAACGGTGTCGTTGGTTCACGCGGAAACCATTTGGCTACCGAATAAAAGACAAGTATAATGCGTGTCCGAATGCTCGGATGAGGCACCCAATATACCGAGAACACCATGCAGACGGCTGCAAGTACGACGCAGTATGGCCGAAGAAAGGGAGCCGTGCGAGGCGCTAGAATTGAGACTGCAGGAATCGTGACATAGAAGCTCTGAAAAATGAGGAGGTGTTGCTAATACTGATCGAACGCATCGAGAGATACTAAATGCATCCGGCTCAGATAGGGTTTCCATCCATTCCCGCAGTCGGCAAGAATCGGTGCCAGATACCGGTCGCTTAGCCGTTGGAGCGGTGGACATCTCTTAATTAAGGTCAGTAATTTCCCGCCTATGATGCTAGCGTCGATGGGGTTACTGGACACAAATGCAAGGATACATATAGCGCCTATTCTATTTTCATAAAAGAGGCGAGCGATCTGGGGTATTGTAGCTGTGTGGATCCGAGCAGCTGTTTGTGCGGCCGTTCTGAGCCCTTCTAGGCTCAACATGGACTATGACAAACCGTTTTCGAGCCAGTACGTCCAGGCGTTCCCAAAGCGTGAAGGACCGTGACGGATATCAAGCACGAGAACAGGCTGGCCCATTGTGAACTCTACTGTGAGCTGAGCAGAAATCAGACCGACAGAGGTTAAGACATAGTCTGAAGTTGTTGTTATGCCTGGCAGACCTTCTGGCGACAAGCTTCCCGTGATCAATGCAGTGTCGTGTGACTGTGAGATGCTGACAGTATGAAAGTTCTGGTCCGACTGAGCTCTGAAGGATCTGTAGTAGCTTGGGAGAAATTGTCGTGGGGGTCGTTCAGAATATGGCCTGCACGTAACGTTGACGGAGAATTTCTTTCCTTCAAGACTCTCGAGGCGTAGATGAAGGTCTGCCATCCCCAAATCCTGGCGGGAGTCAGTCCAACCGCGGTCGGCGACCACGAATGCCTCCGTGCTCTCGTCGTCAGCATCACCCGGCAGATCAACGATGACGAAGTCTCGTGGAACCGAGCGGATCCACACGTCGCATTTGGGGTTTGGAGACCGCGATGCCTTGCCGCCAGCGTCGACCTGCGTATATGTGGCCAGGACAACATGTTCTTGCGCCCAGTGATACTAGTTCTGGTGAGGAATGAAGACTGGTTTCTCTATTCCTCGGCGGAGGGTGCCGTCGGCACTACGGGCAATGGGAATCGCTAGCAAGTTAAGTAGCTGGTTCGGCTTAAAGCAGGGCAAGAGGAGATATCCTTAGCGTATAGAATCTTTCTCCTCCCCTCTCCGGACAGGCACTCTCGAAATAGGAAGCCGGAGCTACAGTCCTTTTGGGGTCAGGGCCCAGTCCAGGTTAGGTATCTGGCGCGTAATCAGTATATTACAGCTAGTAAAACAACGCGCGCTTAGGGTAAGGAACCCCATGCGGAGTCGGAAAGATTCATCGCTCTCTATCCAGGAACGCTCCTACGGATAGCGTCTTCCTATAAGGAGATACCTTATCGTAGAGGCTAGCTTCGAATATTCGGGTTTATCGACCGGTAGAAGTAGGCGATTACTAAGAGACATATTCCACATAAGCAGTATAGGATCAAAAGAGTACCGTAGGATCTCCTCTTACAATCTAAGAAACGCCTTTTCCCCTTCACCGTAAATTAAAGGTATATTAACGTCGAATAGGCCGAGAAGATAATATACTTCGTCTTCTTTCCGAGTTATCCGGCGCGATACGGCCTAGCTTATCCTCTCGCCTATACTCGCGTAAGTAAGCAGGGCTTTACGCGGCCACGGACTATTAACTAGATAGTCCCGAGCAATCCTAGCTACGAGACCGATCTAGCGAGTAAGGTCGTACCGTATTACAATATAAGTCCAGTCTATTATGTAGAACTCTATATAGCGAGGTACTAGAAGTTCCTATAACGTCCAGCCGCGCGTTATCCATTTCGAATTTGTAATCGAAGTAGTCGAGGGATTCGAATCGTCGGCTATAATATCTTCCAAGTATATATAACAAACCTTAGCGTCGCTATACTAAGTAAACATAGAGTTAATAGCTTCTATAAGCTCAGTACTACTCGTCTTATCGATATAGCAAGTATTAACCCATATATACTTAAAGCCCTACTTCAGTAACTAGGCACAGGCCGCGGCAATCTTAGTATAACCCTTTCGGCTCGCGCCGCGGTCTAGTTATCGAAACTCTTAGAGGGAGACCTCTTCTCCCTCCCAGGTATACGAGAGAATAGTATAGGGCGGAACATTAGCTCCGTAGAATGTCTCAAGATTCAGCGTCTCCGCATTAATGAGGAACATTACTGACAGTACACAGCATCGAAAATCTTTGAAGGTGATGGTCAAAACCAGATGATGGCGAAACGGCCATAACTACCAGGGCTTTTCTACACAAGCTGCGCCACGGCTGTCGCAAGGCTGCGTGTAGGCAGCAGGGTAGCGTCCAGCGCATGCATGCAGCAAGATATGCACGCATGTGTTGGAGGCCTGCATATGATATGTTATCTGAAGCCCAATCTCCACCCTTGGCCAGGCACCTCGTTCTGCTCACATTCTTGCAGGCGAGAGATTAAGGCAAACAGGCTTGGGCATAACACACCGTCTGTCCTTCTACTATATAGGCTCATTCTGAAGTTACATAAGCACACATCTGCCCCATTCCTAATCGCGACCTTCCTAAGCTCAGCCTGCTAGCCATGGACAACCCTTCCCCCACCCTTGATAAATCATCCTGTGGATAAACTCTGTCACACTTGGAGCTTGCAAGCACCCTCGCGTCGGCTGCTTCCTCATCCCAGGATAGTTCTCCGGGATGATAAGCTCCAATGTCAAAAGAGCATCGTGAACCCCTTTGCAATGCAAATCGGCTTGTTCACGTTGGTCATGCCTTCCCAGACATAATTCTCCTTTAGCTCGCTCTGAGACATGTGGCGCGCTGCTATCCAGCGGAGGTAAGCTCCCGTCTCGCCAGCTCGCAGCCCCCGCGTTTCCTATGCCAGATGTGAGACATGCCACGAGATCGAGGCGCTGCTTAGCCGGTTCAACTTGGAGGATAGGAATACATCGAGACAGACGCACAGATAGCATATGCGTACAGAGCAGAGATACATGTAAGCTTGGTGAGAAATACCCAAAGCCCATGCGGCGCCCGCGACCCAATCGGAAGAAAAGCGAGCCTCCCAGCAGCTAGTACGTAAATAGCCCGGAGTGCTAACTTAACCTAGGCCACCAGTCCGGATCCGGCCAGGTCACGAACAGCCTCAACAAACACAAGTAGCAAACATCCAGCACCAGAGGATCCGCATGAGGTCTCGATAACTGCCGGAAGCAGCGCGGGCGGCCATTTTAGAGCGCAGCCACTAAAGTTTGTTGTATTGACAGATCGGTTAGCGCGAGCCCAATATGGGTGGCAACCCATCTCGCAGACGTTCCTGAGTGGGGACGTCTGCCACGCATTACGATCTACTCGAGCCGACGGCCACACTTTCCGACGCCTCTGACTATGGCAGACATGTAAATGACGCTCATGAGACTTTAACAGACTCTGGATGACTTGAGTCTACGGTGTAAATGTGCGGAGGGGCTTGGGTGAATCCAGGGCGCCATGCATTGTCCCCGGGTCCAGTACCTTTTTTGCCCACTGTACACGGGCAGTGCCACAACTATCTTGAGTCGCGGTTCAGCGATATCCACATTATAATTCGATCTTAACATCCCTTCTATGCTAGTCGATGATGAGGTCGTATTTCAGAGAGTCGATATTTCCCAATCTTGCTGTTGAACCTGACTCTACTAGTCTTGCTCAGGGAGGATTGCACAAACGTGGCTCCCCTGCCAAGCGGTGACTCGACTTTCGTCATCCAGGAAACAAGACTTTTCACGCAAACTCAAAGTGCTCTTGGCTTGTCTTGGCCATTAATACCCCGAGCCGCCATCCCGAGACAGCAGAGGGCACCATCTGCTCCTCATACGCCTCGGCGTTTTTCCCATGCTCTTACTCTTCGTCCGTTGTCGTTTTCGTGCAGATCGCACCAACGACATCTCGCCGCCCAGCAAACACGCGTACAACAATGGCGAGGCGTGACAACCGAGGTCTTCTGGCCCTCGCAGGGGGCGCATTGATAACATCTCGTGTCCTGGCGGTGCCCGTGATTCAGGAGCCCACAACGACCTTTGACCCCCCTGACGCCACCGGCGAGCCGTTTCTCGACAATGAGAACACATATCTGTTCAGCCATGCCGCCTCCGACATCCCGGCTCCATCACCGACAGATACTGAAGGAGGTGCCGCGATCGGAGACTTCACACCCGCACCGCTTGTGCCTCCGGGCTATCAACCCCTTGGCGGCGTCGGAGTCAACAGCTCCAGCCCCGTCTACGAAGCTACATCCGAGTACGACCGGCAGTCGCTGATCCTGGCGCTGTACCAGGAGTGGGCCGAGCTCGACTTCTTGCATCAAGGATTCGCCGCGTACACGGACATGGACTTTGAGCAGGCCGGCCTCCGCGCCGCGGACCGGCACCTGCTGGGTCACATGGCCGACCAGGAGAGCGGGCACGCCAACGCGGTGACCAAGCTCCTCGGCGGCTCGGGCCCGTCGCGGTGCACCTACAACTACCCGCACCAGGACGTGCACGAGTACCTCGACTTTGGGCAGAAGCTCACGCGCTGGGGCGAGTCGATGGTCTACGGCTTCCTCCCGCACCTCGAGTCGCGCGAGGCGGCGCAAATCATGACGCAGACCGTGTCCACCGAGGCCCGGCAGCAGATGATCTTCCGGCAGTACAACGGCCTGCACCCGATGCCGGTGCTCTTCGAGGCGGGGATCCCGCAGGCCTGGGGGTGGACGTTCCTGGCGCCGTACATCAGCCACTGCAACGCCACCATCGAGCGCGTCGTCTGGCAGAACTTCCCGCGCCTCACCGTCATCAACCAGCCCAACCCGGCGCGGCTGGACGCGAGCAAGTCGTGGAACGAGACGCGCCACGACGCCGCGGGCACGCAGAACAACGACGACATCAAGGTCGGCGAGGCGTGCGGGCTCATGTGCGGGCCCGGGATAGCGCACGACCGCGCCAGGCCCCTGAGCTATCCCGGCCGAGACGTCTTCCTGCAGTGGGACAGCCCCGGGGAGCCCGTCGGGCCCGACAGCAGCTACTCGACGAGCATCCTGGCTGGCCCGCCGCTGTACGCCGCCTGGGTCTCGGCCACAGAGGTCACCTACACCCCGCTGCTCGACATCTCGGGCAACTCGGCGCACACGTACCAGCCCAACGCGACCACGTATGGCGGAGTGCCGGTCATCAACGGCACAATGTATATTGCGATTACGGATGCGCAGGTCGGCGTGAGCTCATTCAACTTGGACAGGATCAATCCGCATGTCGTTGCGCTGGGCATGTACCAGGCAGGTTAATGCCTGAAGAAATCTCGTTTCGACGTCGGGGCGATGCCCTTAAGTTTTTGAAGGAGGAGCACAAACGGCAAAGTGCGTGCTCCTAGGAGGAGAAGTTAAGAATGGGCCAGGGGAACGAAGATACAGCAAAGATAATATCAAAGATAATTTTTGTGTGCTCCATCTTATATCATACATGAGGAATGCGGCATGCCCGTATGCCTGCGTAGCCCCCGTATCATGGTCCCAGCTCGCTCCTCTGTTCCTGGGGGTTGGGACAGCCCTGCTCTACGCCTTCTTTGGGCGCATGGCATGGTGGTGCAATATATCTGGCGCAAACGGCGCTCGATGAGCCGGCATCTCTGCGACAAGCTCACTGCACAGAAGGTGTTTCGCCAGCTCTCGGGATATCCTGGAGTCTGGCGTGGGCAGATTTCCAATGAGACCCTGTGCAATATAGATCGGGGATGTGGCCTGCGATAAGAGATCGCGCACAGTCTATACTTCGGATGTCAGTCATTTATGAACTCCCAGGGCACACTCGTTGATGGAACGAATGCAGGGGCCGGCGCCAGCCGGAAAACTCACCGTCATGATGACCATGTCCATAAACCTGTGGGTCGGACTGTGCGCCGCGATCTGCGCGAGCCGCGCCATCTCATCACACCCCGCGATCAGGCTGTCGAGAGGAAACCCTTTGACCATGGCGGTCTGGCGGAGATACTGGCCCAGCTGGGCAATGATCTTGGCGTCTTCCCCCGGGTCCTCCTCGCCATACTGGTGGATGAGGAGCGCTTCGAGGATCGTAAGTGCTGCCGCGAGGGGGTATGCGAGCAGTTGCCTGGCGCGTTATATGTCAGCATCACAAAAGCCCGCCAGTTTGTACTCGTCGTCTAGAGCACTTACCACAACTCCGGAAGTGTCGCCGGCGGCCAGGATTGCAGGGCGGACAGCGTCGACCGCGCGGCGGCAAGACAGTATGCTCTGGCATTCTCGCGCGCGATGGGCGGGGTGTTCTCCGCCCGCAGGACAGCGTGGTATATCATGCTGCCGGCATTGCAGAAGCCAAAGTGCAGCGACACGACCGACACGTCGGCCAGGGGTAGCGCCAGGTCAACCCCTAGGAACCCGCCCATGCTGCCGGGGAGCTGCTGCGCCGCGAACGCCGTGGCCGGACAGATGGAGAGGGTCAGGTTGCGCAGGACCGCGTGCAGGTCGGTGGCACAGGCGAGGATGGCGCCGGCGCTCTGGCCCCTGCTGCTGGCGGCGGCACGCGGGCTGTATAGGCGCGCGTGGATCTCGGCCGTGATGGTCGCGAGCCGGACGCGGGCCCAGAAGTGGCCCTGCGGGCGAGACTTGACGGGGACGGGAGCATCGGTGGAAGCCCGCGTGTCCAACGGGTAGATGGTCTGGTCAATGTCGAGCTCGCGGATCGAGGGCGGCATGCCGTGGGTGAGGGACAGCTCCTGGTCGATCGCGTAGAGCGCCCAGATCTTGCGCGTTGCCAGGTCGCGGGTCTTGTCATCAGCAACTGCTGAGGGTGCGGGATCGCTCTTGCTTGCCACCCAGCGGCTCTGCAAGGCGCTGCGGACGAGCATGGCGGTCGTTCTCGTGTCGGCAGTGCCCCTGGTGAAGAGCACCATCGAGAGCAGCGCATCGACGACATCGCCGTTGGCGTCGGCGTCAGCGTCCAGCAATAACGACGAGAGCCGCTCGAGGCTGGTGCTCATCTGGTCCCAGGCCATGTCGTAGCACCGACGCACACCGTCCGCGGCGGCACGGACGAGCACAACGCGGGCCATGATGCTCTCGATAATGGTTGTCCATGCTGCACTGCGGTCGGGCGAGGTCGTCATGTCCTCGATGCGCCGCACGAGCCTGTCCACGTCGAGCACGGGGAACTGGGCGTTGATCTCGTCCAGCAGTGGTGCGACAAACCAAGCTATCTCGTTGCTCGAGTACAGCCTCTCCAGGGACTTTGCCATGAAATTTGGCAGGTGCATTGAGCCCCGGAGCCTGTCACGAATCTTGTCGAGCGCAGGCTTCGGTGCAGGCTGTGGCGGTGAAAACGAGACGGCAGACAAGACCGGGTCAAGCAGGCCTGCCGTATGCCTTATACGCCTGTCGACTGCATCGCCGCGGTCTGTCCGTGTGGCTGCCCCTGAGTCCGGATCGCTCACCCTCAGGTCTGGATCTGGCACAAGCTCTCGCCGACTTGTCTCCTGGCCGGTACTTGTAGAGCTCTCACGACTTCGGGGTGTAAGCGATGCTTCACCTCTCCCAGTACCCTGTTGCTGCTGCTGCTGATGCTGTTGCTGTTGCATCATCGCCTCCATCTTGCGGAGCCTCTGCTCGAGGTCCTGCACATGTTGCTTACTGAAAACCGGATAATTAGCGACATCACTCGTTGATGCACGCTCAACGTGTGTCAAGAGACGGCGGAAAGGGGAAGGGATGCCGGCGCACCTCTTACCTGGCCCACGCCGTCGTGGTGCCCCTGTGTAGATGCACTCCGTGTTGCGCTTCGCGCAGATTGAGCAAGTTGGCCATTTCTTGTCACATCGTGTCTTCTTTTCATTGCATCGGCGGCAGGCCTGCACTTGAGTCTGGATGGTGTCGCCTAGCAATCAGTCGACCAGTGCTCGGGCAAGTTGGAGGAGGTTGAGGGGCCGCTTGGTGTTCTGACAAACCTTTTTCTGGCCGGCCTCAGACTGCGGCCCTGCCGCCGAGGCCACAGGGATGTCGTCCCCGTCATCCGCGGACGAGGACGGCGACATGATGGAGGGAAAGCTGGACGGCGACGGGACAAAACTTCGATACCATGGTAGTAGAGCCCGGAAACTTTTCTGTTGGCGTTCCGGGCGTTAGGGGGCACCGGCGATGAGTTGGTCGCTTCACAGAACCCGCTCGGGCGCTGGTAAGGGCCGGCCGGGCTGGGCTTATGAATGGAAATCCGGTGGCGGAACCAAATTGCGCCCGGGGTCCAGTTTTCAGTGCCCATGAATTCCACTTCGGGTGGCTGACGGCGTAAGGGCAGCGGCCAATCATGGGGCGTCACCATGGAGTCCCGGACGCAATTTGCGCCCGGATCTTAAGGCAGCACTGATCAGCTAATCAGACGGCCCGGGCATAGCGAAGTCCGCTTTGTCCTCAAGCCACACCTTCTCCCGCATGAGCTAACCCACAGCTGCGAATGCGAAGCGGGCAGATTACTGTACAACGCCTAGTTCTCGAGCCGGTGGCCGTTTTGTCAGCACTACCCTCTGGTCGTTCGTCATCAGCAACCTTGTTCCTGTGTGCCGTGATCACAACGTCTAGGGCATCAGTATGAAGCAGCATCGTCTATTACTTCTGAGATGTACAAAAGGAGCTGCTGTGCCATCCATATTGCAAATATTCTAGACATCAGAGCACCGACACAAATAAACACAATCCATCACAACCAAAAACTACCAGAGACCAAACAATTACTTCTGTGTCTATTACTCAGAGCGACTTCTCACAACGAATCGAAACCAAACCTTTATTTGCAACTCAATAAATCAAAAATCCAACAAAATGGTTGTCATCGCAGTCGCCGGAGGAAGTGGTGGTCTCGGTCGCGCTCTTGTTGAGGGGATCCAGGCTCGAGGCAATCACGAGGTCGTGGTTCTCAGCCGCAAGGTAAGGAGACAGACCACACGGACAGCAATCAAGCATATTCTTTTCTGACATATCTCGCGACCATCAGGCCAATCCAGCTCTTGAAGCCGAGCGAGGCGTCCGCTTTGTTCCCATTGACTACTCGGACGTTGAGGCGGCCACCCGCGTCCTCGAGGAGAACAACATCCACACCATCGTCTCTGCGCTCAGCTTCATGCCTGGCAACGGGGACAATTACGAGGACCGCCTTGCCCTTGCCGCGGACGCGTCCGGACCTACCAAGCGCTTCATCGCCAGCAACTGGGCCCTCGGCCATCCCGAGAAGTAAGTCGTGCAGTAGTCACAAAAGGCACCCTCCCAATGACATGGGTTGCAAAGGCACAATGCTCACAGTCGAATCGTCACTTGTAGCGACCCTATGCCCATCGCGGCAGCGAAGGATCGCATTGTCGACGTCCTCCGCGCGTCCAAGACCCTCGAGTACACCGAGGTCCGCACCGGCTACTTCCTCGACTACTTCGGCATGCCCAAGGTCAAGTCCTACCTGACGCCCTTTGTCATCGTGCTCGACATTGCGCACAACGCCGCCGCGATCCCAGGCACCGGCAACGACCGCGTCTCGTTCACGCACACGCGCGACGTCGGGCGCTACGTCGCGGCTCTTCTCGACGTCGAGAAGTGGGAGACTGAGACCACCGTCGTGGCCGAGACGCTGACCTGGAACGAGTTCCTCGCGCTGGCCGAGGAGGTCAAGGGCACCAAGTTCGAGGTCACCTATGACGGGCCGGAGCTGTATAACAACGGCAAGACCGGCGAGCTGCCCACGCACAAGCAGATGTATCCCTTCTTCCCCAAGGAGATGCTGCAGGGGATGGCTTCGGCGTTCAACCTGACCTTTGTGCGGGGCATCGCGGATCTGAGTGGCGGCGTTACCCACAACGCACAGCTTGACGAGATCAAGCCGTGGAGCGCGAAGGACGTGCTGGAGATGGCATGGAAGGCTTGAATGTCTGGCACCGCATGGCGCCGGGACTTTATTGCTGCCGGAGAATGATTTGGGGATGTGGCGGAACATGATTGTTGGGCTGTTATTTGACTGCAATATTCGAGCACAGCTAATAGACTTTCCTTTCAAACATTGCTTCGACAGTGATGACACCAAATATGCCAGCTGAATGGTGTAGCTGATACTGCTAAAACATAGAGTTCCGGTGTCTACTATAACAGTCGAGCTGACGTGGGCTCCTACGAGGAATAGTAAACTGTGCCTACCGACACAACTTTCTTCATGTATTGTCAGCACTTTCGAAGACCCTTCCCAGTCATGCCATCACTCGAAGATTGATTTTTCGGTGAAGAAGGACTCGCAGCTGAGCTATGACACCGCTTTCTGAGTGGCGTATGCAACGGTCCAAGCGCCGATCGCAAGCGTGCAGATGATGAAATATCGTCATAGTATGTGCTTGCATTAGACTAAAATGGCTCTGTGTCTGTTTGCACGTCAAACCCTACAGAATTACTAACAGCCAATGATTGGTACAGCTATCGTGATACCGCTAGTGTGGCAGATGGTCAATCAACGCGCCTCGTGTTCTTCCAGAAGCCTCAGCCCATTTATGCTTTTCACTAGGGGGAAAGGCTAGCCCTGGGACCGCCTCTTTCACCATTCCAGACGGAGCTGGTCGTGCCGACACGAAAAGGGATAGCAGGTTCATCCACACACCGAACCAGATCATACCAAACCAGAATCGTCTCACAACAACCACAAGATGGCTGCGACTCAACCTTCATGCGTGGACCGACCATATTTGTCTGAGGGGCCCTCTTCCCCAGGAATGACCAGGGCAGGCGAGCAGGTGGGTACCAAAGTTCAGGGGTGCGCCCATCACCACTCTCGCCAGAAGCCGGTTTCTTGGTGGCCCGGTGCCTGACCCAACACGAAAAGAGTCTCGCAAGGCGGGACGTAAATTGCCCGAGAACCTGCAGCTCTCAGGGATCCATGCTGCACACTTCGCCTTATCGCCATGAATGATGGATCGCGATGTTGGTACTGACGTGCCAAGACCCCGAACGAGCCTCAGGTGAGCCATGCAAGGTGCTTGCAGCGGCGGTGACATCTCTTTGCTTTTTTTTCTTCGGTTATCTTAGTATTCACGTGCCAAGAACGTCTGAAGTCTTGCTGTCAAGCAACAGTTCGTGTCACATGCAACATCAACACGTTCTTGTGGTGCTTTTTCTCTCGGAGGCTTATCTGCATGTATCCTGACAGCAGAGCTTTCTTTTTCTTGACCACGATGCTGCATGATGCAGCCGCATTTGCAAGGCTTGATAGACGCGCCCAGCTGGTGGACGAGCCTGGGAACGGTGTGCCTGGGTCGCAACGGCAACGAGTGCCCTCGTAATGCTGCATGTCGAGACCTGGACCGTTCCTGATGTGTCGCAGCTTTGAGCGGATAACGCGCTATATTGAACTTATAGTATGCAGGCGAGATGCTTGTTACTAGCGTCCCAATCATATAAGGCATTAGACGAGCCTGACTAAGGAGACAATCAACCTGGGAGCAAGGCAAATCCGGTTTGCGAACTCGTGTATCGGTCCCACGCGCTGTCGAACAGGACTGAGCGACATCTCTGACGACCTGTACCTATCATACTCGACTCCTGCAGCCAGGGCTCCGACGAGAAAAATGCCGAAATGCTATCGTTGAAGAAGCATAGCTTGCGAGCAGGGGGTCCTTGTGACTGTACGCCAGCCCGTGGCGCACCACTTCCCACCACTCCGTCTGTCGTCCGAGCCAAGAGTCGTCTTGGCATCCCACCACCAGATTGCCGGGCATCTCTTGCCAACAGGGCAGACACGTTGAAGAAGAACAAAACTCGAGCTGCGAAGAAACCCCTGTACCCACAGACCACACCTAGTCTGCTGCTGCAAGGGGCGAGGATACCACACTGCGACGTGCGTTGCGTCCCCCAAACAGGGCCAACTTCAAAGTCTGGAGTGCAGCAATGCAGGGTAGTACTTGTTTCTGCCACGGTCGCATGTCCTGTGCATTTGGGAAGAGGACGGCGCAGATCGTCGGCATTGTCATCCCGCGAGTGCATGTCCTGTACTGTCGCGCTGCCTGCAGTGCTATTCAGATGGTAGGAAGATAAGCTCCGGCAGTGGATAGTCACGAAATTCTCGATGGCAGTGATAAACGGAGCAGCTGAGCACGACGGTGATCGCAATGCTGCTTTTTGATCAAGAGATTGCATTTTGGGGCGGCGATCCACGGCTTGTCACACTGTCCCAGTAGTCTGTTCCCCCGAGATGGGGCCAAGACTCGTCCCATCTGCCACATGGCAACATGGTCGCTTGCCGAAGCGAGAGGGTCAGCACAGATCACCAAGCGGCACCGGTTTGGCCCGCCCACGTGTGCCCATGGGCGTGGGCCATGCAGCTGGCGCAAGAAGAGAATCTCGGGAGTGATTGAGCCATCCCTTGCTGCTGTTCACGGGATTCTGATACTCTAGCTCCAAGCGCAAGGCTCTAGCGAGGGCCGAGAGGGAATGCGTCCTGCCGGGGACTAATAGCAGCCTTCTAATCCCACCCACCCTGCATCGGGTTCCTGGTTTGTGACGCGATTGAGAGTTTACCACAAGAGCGCGGGGCGTCGAAGACCGGCGGCGGGGCAAATTGGCGAAACAGCCTGGCAGGTTTTTTGGGCCAGTGAGGGCTCAGGGGTAGCGAGCGTCCAGGATGTGACCCACATCCGGCTGGGCACCAGGCGCCTCAGAGACGACAATGCAATTCCGTCTCCCGCCCAAAAGTACATCCTCTAGGGCCGAGGCGTCTTGCAAGGCAAAATGCCAAGCGGGAAGCTGCCAACACTAGTCCCCAGAACGGACATCACAATGTCAAAGAAGCCACAGAATATTGAACTAGGCTAAAGAAGTGGGACGCATCCCGGAGTGCATCATGAAAAAGGCTAACCCAAAGAGACAGTCTATCTATCCGAGGGACGGGCTGGTCGGTCGGTGTGTCTGGGGTTGTCTATCAGAGACCCCTGTTCGTCTGGAAATGTTGGGACGTGCTGCTGGTGGGTAGTCGATCGATAGAGTTCCAGGGGAGGCTAGCCAGCAATTACAGCGGCATGAATAACGGCCCATGCAGCAATTCGCCCTCGCGTCTTTGACACATCAGGTCTGTCAGATCGACACAGCTTCAATCGACAGTCTCCACATGCAAGCAAGCAGGCGATGCTCCACGACGAGGCCCACTGCTGCCCGTCACTGTCATGTTGATCATTGGCGTTTGGCATTATCTGGCTTGGTGTCCACTCCACTTCGAGGCATGACAAGGGAGAATCAGTGGGGCTGAGCACTAGGCGGCGGTTGGCACCACGGGATCGGGTCACCAGCCGGATTCATGGCAGGACTGCCGCAAGTTGGTCCTCTGTGGTGCCATCAGTCTCGGCCGGCGGAGATCGGGGGACGTTGCGAGGTGATAAGTCTTTGATCCCCCCAACGCTGACATCGCATGCATGCTGGTTCATGCCAAGGACAACCAGCTTTCCTTTGCCTATCTGTGCCATGGCTTTGGTGCTTTTTTCCCTCTTCTTTCGATATCTTATCTTTCGCAAGAATTACCTGAAACCGTCTGCCAGGAGAACTCTCCATGCGCCACATAGGACTAGAGATATGGTGCACTTCTCCGGCTGATCGGAGCGACCCAATCATGACGGCATATCGCGTGCTTCCTCCTTGCAACTGCCGGGCCAGACTCGGCAGCAGACGCATCTAGAAAACCGGCTCAAGACGGAACCCGGTGTCAGTGCGTGTGCATAGCGTTGCACTATTGTCGCTAGCTGGACGGGAGCCAAACACTGGCGCCATGTCGGCTGTGGCTCTAATTGCTACCTAGCCGAGGCGACCTGAAGAAATAATTCGCGCGCTGGTGCTGAAGATCGGCATACCCGCCAGGGGGAAGTGCGCGAACCTTTTTCTTTGCAGACTGCATCGCCAACGTCTTGGTATTGGAAGCCATCGGGTGAATAGAATCAAATGGCATCAACTCTATTGGGTGCCATCGCATGGAGCACTCGCTGGCCTTGCGCCAAGAGACCGTGGGAGGCGACAGGGCCAGAGCAAGGAAAGGATAAGCCCCGCGATTTCGAACAGCGACGACTGAACACCCGCGCAAGGGTGAGGTTGCAGATGCAGGGGCATTATGCAGCGTGATCGCTTGGGCCCCTCGAGATTGCATCTCCGGCAGGCCTTGTTGGCGACATCCTGCCATGCAAGGTGCGATTAGCGAGCGACCGTTTTTTTCTTCTTCTTCGTGTCTGCCAGGTGGGCATCATCCCAGGGAGATGCCGTAAAAGAATCGCTGTGAGACACGTGGGCGCGCGCTTGTGCTAGCCGAAAACACGTTGCTCGGGGATGCTAGCGTCTTTTCCCAGACACTCCTCTTACAGTCTCACCTCGTGTTAGCGACCGAGAGTCGAGAGACCAAGTGGCATAACGCGGGGAAATGCCCAGACAGGGAATCGGCAGCGAGCGAACATGCGAGGATACAGGCTCTTGACCATTTTAGGGAGCAAGGCGCCGAGCTGAGGGAAGCTAGAACTAGCCGGCCGAGCCCCCCTCGTCCATAGCCCCAGGTTGATCGTCGTTACTAGCTGCCGTTTGTGGTCGCGCACAGACACCAGTCCGGGCGTGTGGCGCCCGTGGTGGCTCTTGGGCAAGGGTTTCCATTGGGGGTGGGTGGCTATTACCATGCACCACGTTGCGGTCGTCTTGCATAACTATGCTCGTCTCTTGCTCTACTTGACGCATTATCAAGTAATACTGCGGACATTATCTGGAGCGGCCCTGGCTGTTTCTAGCCAGGGGCACGCAGGCAAGCGAGCCGGGGCCAATGCCACCATGCCATTTCCCCTCTTTCAAAGTGCCGACATGTTTAGTGGCTGGGACACAGACACGATGCAGCGTTTCATCATATCGGCAGTCACCCTCGTCCGCCCGATCTTTTTTGGAGATTTCTGGAGAGCACGTCCCACGCGGTGCCAAATTTGGGAACCATTGGTCACTGCTACTACCCCGTTCACCGCGTTGCTTTTTCGACCTGTCACGAGGAAAGCTGTGCCGCTTAGATGCCTATCGCGGTCCTACTGTACACAATCGGTACCTCCCGTTCCTTGTCGCCAGACTGACACTCGTTGAAACCGAACTGGCTCGAACGGTCGTGTCTGTCGTTCTTTTCGCTGCATGGCCGGCAGACGCTCGTGTTCTGCTAATAATTATGCATCCTTCGTGAGGCTCGCCCTAAACAACGGCTGAGTTTTAGGCGGCCCACCATACCGAAGCCTCCGTGGAGCGCAGCTGAGGGTGATCTGCGCCAATACCAGGCACCACCGTCCCCGGTGGCGTTAGGCGTGCTTGTGGCCTGGTGCTGCGAGCGCCCGACGATGCCGAGAGGACGCCTCTCGCGATTTTCTAGCGTCTTTACCCTTGCCGTTCTCCTCAACCTAGAACCCCTGCAGCTGGCGGCAATGGCGCTCCGCAGCGCGCAGAAGACCCTAGTCCATGTGGCCCTGGCGAGTGCCCACACAGATATCCTCGAGATCATCATCGCCGCCGCCGCCGTCGTCGTTGTTGTTGTCCCAGTCGCCCGCCCCGCTCCCCATCGTGGTCCCTGCTCCGCTAGCGAAGCATCGGCCAGGGGTTCGACCCGATATGAGATGTGACTTCCGTGTCGGGCATGCGCTTCATGTGTGGTGCCTGCCGTTCGGTGCAGGCTCTCGGGCAAGAAAGACCGGGTGGGCGTGGTTTGGTCGAGGACCCTGATTTCCGGCTCTCATGCGGTCCCAGCAGTCTCACACGAGGCCTTGCCTGGACCTGCATCAGCATTTAAACACGGGCAGCAACCCACTTTGGCTAGCTTTGTTCTCGTTCCGGATCGTCGCCGCCGTGCCCGTACGTCTTCAACAGCAGCCCGCGTCACGTATTGGCGCCGCCCTCCCTCTCACCAAACAGTCTCGGAGACATCGTGTTACAGGCACCAATCATCAACCACATTCATTGTTGTCCACCGATAACTGCACCAAGACGTCGACAACATGCCGGCAAGCAACGCTCCCGACCGGAGCGTGGAGCTCAGGACGGTCGCCATCGTGCTATGGAGTCTGGCTGCGGTCGCCATGTCTCTACGCATCTATGTTCGAACCAGAATCATGAAGGCCTTTAGCATAGACGATTGGTTCATGCTGTTTGCAATGGTAAGAGGGTGACGATGAAATGTGCCTGTGAGCATCGCGCCGACTGACTGGCCTTGCAGGCATCATTCACCGCCAACACCGTGACGTCTGTCCTCGGCACAGTCTATGGCTCTGGTCGCCACATCACCGACTTGGTGATCACGGATGCAATGAGGGCCATGATGGTGAGTTCGTCCTGCTCCTGAGCAACATGGCTCATGCCGATGGACCTGTGCTCTGACTGTCGTGCCTCCCCTCCTCAAACAGTTCTGGTGGGCATGCTATCCCACCTTTGCCATCACCATGATTGCCTCCAAGTTCTCGGTCGGCTTCTTCCTGTTACGCATCACGACGCAAAAGGTCCACCGCTGGATCATCTTCGTCGCCATGGGTCTCTCTCTCGCCACCGGTCTAGCCTTCTTCTTTGTTGCCATCTTCCAGTGCTCGCCCGTCGAATTTGCCTGGACTCGCTTCGTCTCGACCAATGGCACCTGTCTCGCCCTCGACACCATCATCAAGGTCACCATCACGTACAGCACTTTTGCCATCATCACCGACTTCACCTTCACGCTGCTGCCGGCATGGCTCGTGCTGAACCTGCACATGGACAAGAAGACCAAGATGGCCATCATCCCTATCCTGAGCATGGCCTGCATGTAAGTGAAATGCTGGCCCTCCAATTTGAACCACGAGACTCAAGATACTGACTGCGCCCCTCTTCCTTTCCAGTGCCAGCTGCGCCGTAACCGTCCGCCTCGCCTTCCTCAACGACTTTACCAGCCCCGACTTCCTCTGTAAGCTCTTCACACACACAAACCCACGACTTCAACCTTGGCGTCCACACTTCCCGAGACTAATTGCTTTTTGTTTTCCTTCACTCTCCAGGGGCAACCACCGACATCGCGATCTGGTCGCAGACCGAGCAAGGCCTCGCCATCGCTGCGGGTAGCTTCGCAACCCTGCGCCCGCTGTTCCGCATCATGATGACCAGGCTCGGCCTCACGAGCGGCGGCACCTCGGGCCCGACCTACGGCAACCAGTCCGCCGGCGGCGGCGGCCCGAGGGGCGCCGGCAACACGGGCGGGTACAAGATCAAGAGCAACAGCACGTTTGGCGGTGGTGGCGGCGGCAGCAGCAGCAAGCAGTCGTCCAAGGCGGACGGGAAGCACAGCATGTTCAGCCTGACGACGTTCCACCGCATCGACGACGACGCCTCGGACGAGATCGAGAAGGGCCTCGGCAGCAGCAGCGCGTCAACCACCGAGCTCAACTCGCCGTTCGCGCAAGGGCGGATGCGCCAGGACAGCGATGATGGCGCCGTGGCTGATGGTACCGGCCACGGCGAGTACAGGGTGAGGGTGTCGTCGCCGCCGCGGACAAGGGGTGTTGGGACTGATCCTAGGATCCCGCCGCACCACGACTTTGAGAATGTGTATGTCGGCGGGCGGGCACCTCGTGGTGGTGATCGGTATTAAGTGGAGCTGGGCTGTGTCTGTAAGGGGTCGAAGTCTGATAGGAGACTGGCCTCATGGACAGGGGTGCTTCATGTGTGTGCGTGTGTGTTGGCGTCAAGCGAGATACCCTTTGGCGTTGTTGTGTGCGGATGAGCTTTTCCTTTTGGTTTAGGGCACTCATTCTATATCGGTCAATAGCTTATTTCCCTTCATATTTCAGATTCAACGCTTCAGCCAAATATACCATGAACAATGGTGATGCATTTTAGAAAAGAGGAGTGCGCACTAATGCTGGGAACCACCATGAGAACTTGACGTACACATCATGCGCACTGCCGCACGGAATGTCTGTGCTCTCACACGCATCGCGATCTCACGTGGCAGGACAATCTATCATTAATAGCTCTATGAAGTTCTCCACATGACTTGCCACGCGACTGATGCTCTCCCCATCTCGCCGCCCTGAGCACCTTTGCCGCCTCCTCGCTCGATCGTGCTTGCAGGAGACGAAAAACAAAGCCTAGGGGACGACTATTTGCGCCTTTACTTGGGGAAGTTTCAGACCCTCCCGAGAATACTTGGCAGTTACACAAACCGTGGAGCAGTCTAAGTACACTGCCCCGCAATCTGGTGAGTATAGCCGTAGCTCGAGGTGATGGTGTAGTTGTCACCGCTGCGGGGAGTGCCGTAGTTGGTGGCAAGGCTTGCAGGCCAGGGTTGGTCGTACTGTGAACAACAACGGACGATAGCTTTAGTAATAGTATGACACAACAAAATCCCCATGTTGCAACGTGGCGATGGTTGGGCTGGACGACCCGAGAAGGAGACTCACCAGAGTACATGCTTGATACTGGAGCGCCGAGTTCTGGAGCTGCAAGTATGCATTGAAGAAGGCGCACGTGACCGGCGCGCTGCCGTCCGTCGGAGGGTGCTGGAACAGGTAGTCGTTGTATTCGTTGCAGGCCATGGCGCAGAGCTCCGTGTCGAGGGCACCGACGGCGAAGGTTCGGATGCCAAGGTAGCTCGATGGCGGGGCCGCGATGGCGCCATCGCCGAAGTATTTGGCCGGGCAGTAGCCGAGTGCGGTGAGATCCTTGGCCCCGTAGTTCTTTTTAGCCCGGTAGCCGTTGGACCCGGCGATGACGACGTGGAACTGGACGCGGTGTTCGCCCGTGTTGACGGCGTTGGCGGCAACCACAGGCCCGCCCCAGAGGACACACTTGATGGTGGTCGTGCTGGAAGGGTTGGGACATGCGTCACCAGGGGCCTACCAGGGGAAAAGAAAGAGAGTCAGCCTGGCGGGCTTTGGCAGGTTTGTTTGACATGAGCCCTGACCAGAACCGGATCGCGCTCAAAGAAGAGGTTGAAGCCGTTGCATCCGAAGTCGGCGTCGCACTTGGCCGCACATGCAGAAGGGTCGTACACGTCCATCGTCGTGTAGGTCACGTAGTTGGTGCTCGAGACGGAACCCTGGAGGTTGGAGAATGTCTGTGCGTATCCAGAGGGCACGGGGGCATTGAGTGCAAGGCTTGCCAAGGTCGGACTATCAAGGAACGTTGTGTCGTCATCTGGGGTGATTGGAGGGCCAGAACCAAGCGGCTCCAAGTCGCACGCGTCTCTCTTAGCCGGCTGACGAGTTGGCGTTGCGACAGCCACAGCCGCAAGCGCTGCAAAAGCGAGTGTGTATCTCATGCTGAGGACTGTAGTGACGGAACGAGAGAGGTTGTGATTTTGGTTGAGCAATGTCGTGTATTGAGATGTTCCATTTGTGAGCAAGGAAGCATATTTATCAAAAAGCAGACGAGCCACGAATACTACAGACTGGGCCAGCATCGGCTCGTGGCAGGACTTCTGGCTTGAGACTCGATTGAGTTCACCATCGAATAGCTGGGGCAGTCCGTGACGCTAGATAATCAGGCCATTGAAGGAATCGTGGATGCTGTCTATACGCGCCAAACTGGGATTAAGTAGCCGCTTGTCGACTAGTCACTCATCTGTGCACACATACCTTCGCTTAGATAGCATTAACAATATCTTTCTAGCTCAACACCATGACCTGACTAGACCAATAGGCAGTCGTGCCAAACCTAACGAGCTAGACTATTGTCCCCAGTTCCTTTTCAGATAGCGCTCCGCCGGCTCTCCTGATCTTGAGCTTGTTCTTCCCAGCAGTGCATTTGTCACCATTCCAGGTCCACCTCAACCGCTGCGGGCCCGCCATCTGCCAGGTCGTCCCTTTCGGTGCCTCAACATGTACAGCCAGCTTGTCCGAATGCCCCTCTTCCCTGTAGTGCAGCCATGGCACGTAAACAGTGGCATACCCTGAGCTCGGTCCTCCTGCGGCTTCTTTCGCGTCTCCCCCCAACTCAATCTCAAGCTCAAACAGACTCGTGGCTATGTCAAACGACATGGCCTTGAGCTCGCCGCCAGCCACGACCTCTGCAAACGGCCTACACCACGCCGCAGCCGCCCGGAAGCCTGCAAGCTGCTCGTGCTGCGGGAAGGACCCGGTCTCGGCGCAGTATATCGACAGGTCCTCGCCGTTCCAGTGGTCTCCCCACTCGTGCGTGTTGATGGGCGAGTAGGCCCAGATCGTGTAGTTGAGGAGATGCGCATCACAGCCCTGCAACACGGCGTCGAGCGCCTTGACGTGGTCCGTGTAGTCGCCGGCACCGTCGCTGTCCTTGTCCTTACCCTTGTTTCCACTAATACTCCTGTCACCATTCATATTGACTGTACCTGTGCCCGGGTCCACGGCCTTGCGATAAGCTTTGCCGTCATCGAGATTGAACGGGATCCCCATCTCGCCAATGAGCGTCGGGATGTCCGGCGTGTCGCTCGCCAGGACGCCAAGCTGGGCTCCGATACCCTTGCGCACATTGTCCTTGCCCAGGCGCAGGCCCGTCACTTTGGTCTTGTGGTGGCCCCTCAGGAGGCCCACCACGTCAGCGTTCCACCGCTCGTGCCAGTGCCGGTGCATGACGGTCAGTCCGTCGTAGTAGTGTGGCGAGTACGCGATGAGCCTGTCCTGCCCTTTCTCGACCGGGTCCCTGGGCGGCGGCGGCGAGAAGACCGTTGGCTGGATGAATGCGATTGCCGTCTTTGAGTGCTCGCGGACTACGGCCTGCCACTTGCGATTATACTCTTGCCAGTAACTCGACAGGAACGACAGCCTGCCCTCCTTGTCGTTCTCTTCCTTTGTCGCGGCCAGCGCAGTGAACGGCAGGACCTTGTGGAAGTAGTCCTTCTGCAGCAAGCCCCCCGTCTTGCTATCCCACACCCCGTGCAGCGCCCACACGCACTGCCCCATCTCCCACTCCGGCGCCCGGACAAATTCCCACCGCGGATCCTCCTTGTCCAGCCAGCAGCCCCGGGAGGGCTTGATCGTCATCCGGCTTGATTTATGCGGGCCCGTCTTGCCCAGCCGGTACTCGTCGACTTCCTGCTCCATCCCCATCCCCAGGCGCATGCCCTCGATGGGCGTCGGGTTGCTGCCAATCTTGGCCGTGTCGCGCTCAGTGGTGCCCAGGTCCTTGAGGCCAATGTATCCGGGCTCGGGCTCGTTCATGCTGTCATAGCCAAAAGGCAAATCACCCAGCGCGGCCATGAGCCGGCCGTACGCCGCGAAATAATGCCGCTGCAGGAAGTCCTGGATATTCTCATCGGCCGCCTCGTCTTCTCCTCCGACTCCATCGCCCTGCTGCAGCTGCAGCTGCGTCTGTTCGCGGGGATACCGCAGCCTGCATTTCGGCGCGATGGTCCTGCCGGCAAAGAACAGTGCAAAGATGGTCATCGTCGCCAGCCGGTTGTGGTTCGTCGTCCACATCATCGGCGGGATGGCCTTGGGGTCCTTCCTAGCCCGGTCCTTCTCATCGGGTGGCCACTCGGCGTACCGCACGCAGGCGTGCGTCTCGCCAAAGAACCGGTCGTCCAGGCCGCACGCGTGGATTGTCCACAGGGGCGCGCCGCTCCCCCCCGCGAGGCGCGACCAGAGGTCCTGGTGCGGGTTGATGACGACGCGGAAGTGGTACGGCGCCGCGGTGCAGAGCTCGACCAGCGTGCGGACGTACGCGATGTATGCGTCGTCGTAGACCCCCGGCCCGGCATGCTCCAGGGCCTCCCAGACCACCGGGATGCGGAGGATGTTGAAGCCCAAGTAGCGCAGGCGCGCGAGGTGGGTGTGGGCGTCTGTTGTGGTCGCAGCTGGGTGGGAGGAGGCACTGCTGGTGGTGACGCCATTATTCTTGTGGTTGCTGTCCTCGCCGGGAAGACCCCGGCCAGGCGTGTCGTTGAGTGTGCTGTCATTTGTGCCGCCAGGTGGTGACGAGGCAGGAAGAGTGAAGAATGTGTTGATGTAGGTACACGACTCGCCCGCCTCGAGCGACTCGAGGTGGTATGTAGGCTGGCCCAGGGGGAACTTGCCGTCGGCGAGGTTGACGCCACGGAGGATGAGGGTCCGTCCGGCCTCGTCCTGGAAATGCATCGTGCCTGTGGTTGTCCTGTCCTGTTTCCTGCGTTTTGTGTCTAATCAGGAAGCACTCCTATGTGGAGGACGCCAAGAGGTGCGGCGGGTATCTGGCAGCCAGGGGTCGTGATCGTGATGTCAAGATTGGGTAGTATCCAGGGTCCTGTCCTGCGGAGAATGCCGTCCGTGGGTAGCTGTCACAGCGCAACACCTTACCCAGTCATGCGAAAATACAAGCTATGGTGAGAACGGGCAAAGTCTGATTTACTAACACTGGGGGGAAATGGATGATGCTTCGATCAAGCCACGCGCTTTTGATCTTTTTCTCAGAACCAGCAAGTCTAGCCGCCCGCCTTGTTTTCTTCTTCTACGCTGCTCCACAAGCGGCTCTCTTTCCCCCTGACGTCAGCGATGTGAAACCCCCCCCACTCCCATATCCATGAAAGACCGGATGACAGGTGCCACAAGCCTATCATAGAACCCTGGAGCACATCAGCCAACAGTGGAACGCTCTCCATCGGTCGATGACCCGCGCTTTGGCGGTGCCGGCGAGCCGGGCGAGCCGGGAGAAATACTACCCTGCATGCACTAGCAGACGCACTCGAGCCGCGACCCGTCCACGCGGGCAGTACGGGGTTAGACAGAAAGATGAGGCGCATGGGTTGAAGCAGGAATTCCAGCACCATATATAGGTGTCAACATCCATGCCAGAGCCCTTTGGAACGCACAGGAAAGATCAGTGGATATACGCATGAAGATCCCCTTGATGTCAGGCCTACAAGCCAGCAAGCTTTGAGGAGCTGCGCGGGGCTGGCAGTCCTGTTGGCTTCACTCCTGATGTGATTGGGAGAACAGGTAGCAACCCCCCTGGCTTGGACAGAGATCCGAAATTCTAATTTAATCAATAGTTATTGGCATTTCGTTTTGTGTAAAAGTCTACTCACCAGGTCAAAGACGTTTAGTCGAGGATTGATAGAAATTGTAACTCAGCACGATAGCAGGAGTTTCCGGAAAAGATCGACTGCCCATGCAGTATGTCTTGGCATAAGTAAGACAGGTACCACGCCGTGCGGGGAAGTTGGACTTTTCTCCAACTTCTGGGCAAGATGAACGCGGATCAACGCACATTTGCGCTGCAGCCTGCTGTTTAATCGGTGCCTGGCCGTGCTGACGAGGCCAGCTGCGTCAACTTAATTTGTATCAGGTCCAGCTCTCGCAGCCTCCATGCGTGATAAAGGAGACACGGCTCCGTGCGTGAATCTCATGATCAAGATCCATCACCAGCCACTTTCTATTGTTTCAAATCTGCTATTTCACCATGGCTGGCTCAGGGGTTACCGAGGACAGCATATCTCCAGCAGCTACTCCCGGGAGACCGCAACAACAATTTGAGGTCCAGGAACCCACCACAAGCACCATCGGCAATGCGGCCAACCTGCAAGGCGACCCCAGCCATGATGAAAACGAGCCAGATGACATGGCATACCCGACCGGCACAAAGCGCTGGCTCGCCGTGTCGTCGCTCTTTGCCGCGGCGGTCCTGCACGGGCTCGACCTGACCATTGTTGCCGCCGCCATCCCCAGCCTGACCAACGACTTCCACACCCTCGACGATATCGGCTGGTATTCATCGGCGTATTCGCTCATGGCCGCGAGCTTCTCGTTTGTCTGGAGCCGGCTGTACACCCGGACCTCGCACACCTCGGGCCCCAAATGGACTTACCTGGCCGCGTTGTGCATCTTCGAGCTCGGGTCCTTGCTGTGCACGGTCGCGCCGACGTCTTCCGTGTTTATCCTCGGCCGCGCGATCGCAGGGAGCGGCGCCTCAGGCATCGGCTCGGGAGGCATCATCATCATCGCGCGGATATTCCCGAGGGACAAGAGACCGCTCTGAACCACGGCTGTAGGTGCAGCACAGATGCTGGGCATTGTGAGCTCGCCGATCGTCGGCGGTGCGCTGATCGACTGGCTGCGAACGTGGAGGGGGTGTTTTGGAATCAATCTGCCTCTGGGAGCTGCGGCGATTGTCTTCATCGTCTTTGGGTTCAAGGGGGATGTTGGTGCGATTCGAACGCGATCAGGAGCAGCACCGGCGAACGACATTGCGGAACCACGAGAGCAACAAGGAGAACGACAACCTGAGCAAGGACTTATATCCAGGACTGCCCACCACCTTCGCGAGTTTGACATCCTCGGCACCTTCCTCATGCTCCCTGCCATCACGACATTCCTCCTCGCCCTGCAGTGGGGAGGCAACCGCCACCCGTGGACCGACAGCCGCATCATCGCCCTGTTCGTCCTCTCGGCGGTGCTGCTCGGCGCATTCGCCTGGCGGCAGCGCGTCCTGCTCGAATCCCGCGCCACGCTTCCCCCGCGCATAGTCAAGATGCGCTCCGTCCTCGCGGGAGCGTGGTTCACGGCCTGCACAAACGCCACGCTCGCCGTGACGGAGTACTATGTGACCATCTATTTTCAAGGGGTCAGGGGCCTGAGCGCCATGCAGTCTGGGCTGATGATGCTGCCGATGCTCATCGGGATCACGGTAGGCGGGCTGCTGTCTGGTGTTGGGATCAGCCGGATGGGCTATTATAATCGTGAGCTCTCTTTCACTCCTCTCGGATTTACCCCTTTTGTTGTGCTCCAGTCAGGCTTCATGTCCTCTCCCCACGTCTCACCTGCACACCTGATTTTATTCTTCGAGAGGAAAGACCTGGCTCACTAAAAGCTAACCTACAATTTCACACAGCATTCATGATCGCAGCGACCCTCCTCGCCCCTGTAGCAGCCGGCCTGCTCACCACCACGGGCCTCGACGACCCGGACGCCAAAGTCCCGTCGCTTCTGGGCTTCCTCGGCGTCGCCGTCGGGCTCGGCATCCAGACGCCCACCATCGCGCTCCAGACCGTCATGAAGCCCGCGGACCTGCCCATGGGTATCGCGCTGCTCGGCTTCGGCGCGACCATGGGCAACGCCGTGTGGATCGTCGTGTCGGCCGCGCTCTTCCAGGGACGGCTCGGAGTCGAGATTGCCGCGCATCTGGCGAGTGCCGCTGGTGGTGGTGGTGGTGGTGCCGGTGCTGCTGCGGGTGGCGAGGTGCTGGGCAATCTCACGCACACGATTCTCACGGGCGAGGTCGGGCTTTCTGAGATCCGCGACCTGGTCGGCGGAGACCGGCTAAGGGATGTGCTTCTCGGGTACGACGAGGCGCTGACACAGACCATGTACCTGCCCCTTGCGCTCACGATTGCCATGGTTGTGGGCTGTGTGTTTACAGAGTGGCAGAGCGTCAAGAAGAAGCAGTCCTGAGCCCTGAGTGGGAGATGTCATGCCCACTAAGCAGGCGCACAACAGTCAACTGACGGCGCTGAGATGGTCTTCCACCCTGAGCGTTTTCCCACTTTCTTTGTGCTGTCCAAGAGTTGCTCACAAGGTGAAGAAAAAGTGCGCACCCAGCCTTACAGCAATGCATACCGTCTTGTACAGCCAACCTTGAGCGATATCGTACAATGCGGTCCTTATAGCTTCTGATATGTAGATGATTCAATCACGTCGAGTAAGGCCCGAGATTCGAGGGAGCGCATGCCTGGCCGCCCGATGATGAGAAAGCCAGACTGTTCGCCATACAACTAACATCGTATCTAGCCGTTCCACCCACCCACACACGCCACGGCAGGTCCGCCGTTCACGGATGAACATCCTGATCAACGCTCCAGTACATCACTCCGCCGAGACACTTGCCGTCCGCCCACTGTGTCTTCTGCCTCATCGTGTCTTCGTCATCATACCCGACCCACTGGTCCGACCACGTGAGCTTCTTCATCATGGCGCCCGGGATGGTGGACGATTTGGCCGTGCCCTCGCCGAGGAGCTGCTGGATCTCAGACAGCATCATGATGCCTCTGGACTGTGCGCATTTGCCGGGCACAGAGGGGCCGGTGAAGGTGCAGCCGAGGTCTGCACACGTTCTGTCTATTGGCAGGAAGCCACCTTATCAGCAAAGAAGCTTTACTATCCGGTGGCCATGTGCGGCTCTTAATGTTTTTGTGAACTCGTGTGTGGATTTCAGACTCACTCTTCAGCGTGTACCCGCGCCCATAGTACGGCAAGCCCAGGTTGATCTTGGCCGGATCAACCCCGGCCGACCACAGCGGCGTCATGGCCATCCCGATCTCGCGGATGTCGGCCTGGCCCTGGACCTTTCCCGTGCCGTCGCTGCCCTTTTCCCAGATGCCGTGCAGGTCGTAGGCCATGAAGCCGAAGCTGTCGACGTACGGCTCTAAGGCCTTGAGATCATATTCCCTGTTTGCGCAGTCACGTCAGCATCACACACAAAAACGCGCGGCACAGTCTTGTCTCAACAACCACCCCACGCCGCCTGAGCCCTGCCAAGCTCTCAAAGGTTGACCACGATGATAACTGACACACAGAGAGGACAAGGAACTAACTCACATCAGATAGGGCTTATGATGCGGCAGCACCATGCTGATCCCGAACCGCCTCCCAAAGGCATCCCTCATATCCTTGACCAGCCGCACCAGCTTCTCTGTGTCCGGGCTCGCCCCGCCGTACGCCTTGATCCCGGGGTACTCCCAGTCCAGGTCGACCCCCTGGAACCCGTACTTTTCCATGAACGCGACGAGCGATTTCACAAACGCGGCGCGGTTCTCGGCCGTGCTGGCCATGTCGCTCCACGTCGTGTACGTGTCCGAGCCGGGCGAGGAGCTGAAGTTGCCGCCGCCGACCGCGATCCACGTCTCCGGCGGCGGCCGTGCTCTCTTGCCGTCCCTTGTTGTTGTGGTGGTGGTGCTGCTTTTGCGGCTTAGCGCCGTAAAGGCGCGGTACATGGTGTCGTTGTCCTGCGGGCGCTGCTCGACGGCGAAGGTGGTCGGGTTGATGTTGGCAAAGGTGTAGTATAGGTGCGTGTACCTGCTCACGTCAATGTCCTGCGGCCGCACGATATCGCAGGGGCGCACGTGCACGTTGGACCCGGAGTAGTACCCTATCGACCGGCCCGAGGAGGCCGTCCTTTTCGATGAGTTGCATTGTGGTGGCGGAACGGTGTGGCAGGGCCCGACGGAGGACTGGCACCCTTGGTCGACGGAGCAGTAGGAGTCTGTGTTCCCGCAGAAGCCGCCTTTGGAGCAGCACATGTTGAGCGGACAGCCCACGCTGCCGGAAGACGAGGCTCTTCCACAAGGCGTCGGCGAGGAGGATTTGGGGAGGAGTTGGGAGCCGGCGAGGTCAAGCCAGGGATCTGAGTAGGAGGACGGGAAGCCGAGGGGCACGCCCATCATTGCGAGGGCTGGTATTGGAGGGGCCGCGGTGAGAAGACACACGGCTAGTATCCGCAGCCGGTGTACCGAGCAAGAGGCCATGGCTGGTTCACCAGTGTGCCGTGGCTTTAATGGCAAGGATGAAAGAATATGACAATGTCAGGGACAGATTCAGGGTGCCCTCGCTACCATCACAAGAAGCGAGGAAATGGTGGAATGAGAAGCGGCGGCTCAAACAGGATAGAGCCGAGAGTTGAATACTTAAGTAGAATAGTCATCGCGGAATGAGACATTACGAATCGCCCAGCAGAGCGGCAGCCATGGGATGATGCAAGGTCCCGCCCGCTACGCGGCAGCTACCGTGAGTAGCGTATGGTGGCTTGGCTGGGCCACGACATCTTTACAAAGTCTGGCCACTTCCTGGCCCATGATGACTGATTTGGGTCTCTGAGGAGCATAGCGTACGTATCCGCTGGTTCGTGGCAACAGTCAGAGTTGGACGTTGCTGTCTGTTATTGGCTGCCAAGGAGAGGTGGCATGTTGCTGCCCGGCAAGAAACGATGGGAGATTCAGTCGAGGCTCGCTCCACAGGAGCTGCTGTGTTCCATGGCATACGACGACTACGTACTGTGTTTGGCATTCCTGGCGCAAAGTCTATTCGGCGCCACCTGTGGACTCTTGGCCACGATGTCTCACCCGCCAACAATCGGCAGGCTTGAGGCGGCCGGATTGACATCACTGTCCAGTGCCCACGTGGCGACACCCTAGGAAGGTCTAGCGACGTTCTTGTGTTTGATAGGGAGACGGGACGGTAGATCTGGTCCGACCGTTCTGTATCAAGTATGTGGGTGACGAATTGGTGGTTTCATTGAGAGCATCATCAAGTTACTCACGCACCCTGGCTGACGCAGGTCCTCGGAGTGACAATGGCCTCAACCTGGATAGGAGGGCCATGTCGTTCACCTTCAGACTCAATGGTCGCGGCCTCATCCATCCATCACCAAGGCTAGTATGTGCCGACGAGTGAGAGAGGTCTGTCTGTGTTTGTTGTGTGTCATTGGCTGTCGAGCATCAGCATCACTTCCACTTAGACGCTGCTGCCCGATAAGCGATAAGCCCCCTCCCCTCCACCCGGTGCCTGCCCCGCCACCGGCTCCCTTCAAGGCTGCAACCACCAAAAAAAAAGTTGACGATACGTACCACACGTCTTTCTCACCACCTCCCTCCTCGCCGCCCAAGAGAAAGACCGCCACCGTCCCGCCATGGCGTCCTCGGGCTCCGACACCGCGGCGCCCCTCGCCGCCATGAAGAGCCTCGTCCAGACCACCTCTTCGCTCATCACCCAGCTCGAGAGCTACCTCCACTCCGTCGCCGTCACCACCAACCCGGCCTCGGCCGCCACCCTCTCCTCGCCGCACCCGGGCACGCCCACCTCGAGCAACCCAGACCACAGCGACCCCTTCTCCCTCGCCCACGACAGCGCCAGCCTCATCCGCGCCCACTCCACCAAGCTCTCCCTCTTCATCATCAACAACCCCTTCACCCCCACCGCCATCTCAAAGGTCCTTCGCGAGCTCGTCGCCGGCCCCATCCCCGCCATCGCCTCGGCCGTCCAGCTCTGCGACCCCGCCCGCTACACCTCGGCCGCCCGCCGCGACCTCGCCTGGCGCTGCTACCGCGTTCTCCACGAGCTCCGCGTCCTCGTCGACGTCATCCCCCTCGACGGCAAGATCCTCTCCGACAAGCAGAAGAACGGCGCAAAGGGAGACAAGGGCAGCCTCGTCTCCACCGGTGTGCTCTGGGCCGCCTGCGACGACGTCATCGCGCTCAAGAGCCTCGGCATCGCAGGGTTGTTGGTCAAGAAGGTCGAGGAGTACAGGGACACGCTCAAAGACGTCCTCGAGGAGCTCAAGGAGTGGAGCGAGGAGGTCGAGGAGGACTCGGACAATGACGACGACAACGACAACAACAACAACAACGGTGTCGCGGACATCACGGGCGGCATGCAGAGCACACACCTCTCTGCACAGGAGATGATTGACGACCTCATGGACGCCCCGCGCATCCCGCGCAATGACCCCGACCGCATCCGCGAGCGCCTCGACTCGTGCCTCAAGCGGCTCCGGCTCACAACGCTCATGTACTCGGCGGTAGTCAAGCGGCGGCTCAAGCCGCTGAGCGCCTCCAAGCTTCTCCCCGTGCCGGCGAGTGCCGTGACAGAGGACGCGCCGTCGGGGTCGGTGGCCAAGAGGCTGGACGAGGTCATGCCGCTGCTCAAGGGCCTGCCGCACAGGTTTGGGGATGTCGCGGCCGCCTTCTACGACTTGGACGCCGACGCGATCGACCGCGCGATGGACACGTGCTTCTTTGATGCGTTTGCCGCTTCCGACATGCTCATGAAGCCGTGGGACGGGAGCGTGAAGGACGAGTTTACCGACTGGGCCGAGAAGTTTCAGATTAGCATCAAGAAGCCGGACTGAGACGCGCATATGATACCAAATACAAATTACACCTTCCAAATCTTTATGTCTAGGGTCGCCAGGATTCTGATACATTGCTGAGCCCGTGCATGGCAGTCCTCCACTTGATGATGTGAATCAGCGTTTTATCCCAGAGTCGCACCGCGACAGCCCACCGTCACGGGCCTCTTATGTTGCCCTCAACCGGGGCCAATTTTTCGTTTTACGCATACTATGCCGTTCAACAGCCAATAGTCACAACATTAAAATTCACCTTCCCTCCCTTCCGCCTCCGTATCGCCGGCCCAGTAACAGTCCTCCATGCCCGGCCCTGCCCACTACTGCCTCGGCCCATCGACACAGTGACCTCGCCTACCCGACCCTGGATGGGAACCACGTACAGATGCGCGCTCCCGACCGATCTGATGGGCTCCGCGATCGTCGTGGCAGCAGCGTGCCGAGCCGGCATTGGACGTGATATTTCAGGATTTCCAAAGGAGACAGTCACTGGCTTGGGAGTGTCATGTATCACGATGATGCTAATCACATCGTCGGTCCCGTGGGAGGCCGGGCTGGTGCCGAACTCGCCCCATACTGTGCCTAGATCAGAGGATAGGTGAGTTTGAAATGTCAATAGAATGTCAACACCAAAGTTATATGACTGGGTGTTGCAGCACGGTACTCATACAGAGTTGTCGCTCTGTGTAAAGACCCGAAGGTGTGTGATTCGAAAAAGCTGGGCAGAACGATACAATACTCACCATCTTCATCTGCCCCCACGCCAATCACGTCGGTTCGATACCACGCCACGAGGCACTGCTCGTCCTCCCTGGCCAGTGCCAGAGCGTCTGCAGCACCATCATATAACCCCATCTTGAACATCCTCGCGAAATACCTCACCACCCTGCCGAACGCCCGGTGGTCACACTCCACGACATAGCGCTCCGCGCCGGCGACGATGATCTGCCTGTGCCGCGGGTGGCCGCCGCCCGGGCGAGGCGGCGTGGTGAGGTAGCTCGACTCGCCGTAGTCGTTCCACGTCACGATCTGCACGAGGTCGGGATTCTCGGCGAGGACTTGGGCCCAGCGGTCGAACCAGAGCGTCGTGCAGGTCGGTGCCCAGTTCTTGGAGTATTGCGGAAGATCTGTTTGTCGGTGTGGAGAGTTGGGTTAGCAGAAAGGTGTTGATTTCTACGATGGAATGGCATGTGCAACTGACTGGTGTAGAACCATGGGCTGGCGCCCATCATGTACGCCTTGTCGTTGCCCAGGATCCGGCGATAGGCCTCGTCTGCATCTGCGGTCATAGTCTTGCTGCCGGCTTCTGGCCAGCATGCCCAGTTGACTATTTTCCATGAGAAGAGAACAGGCAGGGATTGTCAGCAGGCTGTGCTCATTTAATGGAAAAGCACAAAACGATAAGCACAAACAATAAAGCCGGGCAACTTACACGCTCCAACAATCATGTCAAGCTTCTTCTCAACGCCTTGTGGTCCAAGCGACGTCCACGCTGGAACAAGGAATATACCCTGTGCTGCATCTTCACAGTCCTTCTCTCCCACGTCTCCGGCAGCTGTACCCGTGTTGAAGCAGTTCCTCACCACGGGCCAGTTGTCCGCCCATCCGGTGCCCTCAAACGTCGACACGACTGCCCTCCCGTCCCGCGCCCGGAGGTAACTCCGCCTCCTCGCGAACATGGTGATGTACCGCACAACCTGCTCCACAGACCACGGCTGGCCGGGATCCGCCATGTCAAACGACAGGAACAGGCGGAAGCCTTGCCGTGTGCTCAAGGCATCTTCCCCCTCTCCCCCTTCCTCCCCGCCGCTGCTGCTCTCCGGAGTGGCCTCGCCGTCGCGGCAGCTGCTAGGTGAAAAGGTGCCGATATGAGTCGCATCCGCGACCCGGAACGCGAGGTCCAGCTGTTCCAAGTTCCAGCTGTCGTCTCTCCCAATGTTAAGCGCGAAGCCGTCGATGCCCATGTCTCGCGCGGCGTGGATGTCGGCTTCCCATTCCTTCCGAGTCTGGAGATGGGTCAGGCCGAGCATGTAGTGCGCCACGACGAGCTTCTCGATCACTGGCGGCGGCGACATGGCCGGCCCTGCTGGTACTGTTTCCGATGGACTCGATGAGCTGAGACAGAAACTTTTTAGGCTCGCTGGCGATGGTTATTGCGCATTTCTGCGTGGCTCGTCGATGAGGAGGCTGGGATTGCAGGTCTCCCTTGAAGATGTTCACTGACGAATCGGGCCACGATTGCCGAATCTCATCTACTGCGATGCTGGAGGCATTGGTCTGGCCCCGCCTTGATATGTCCTTGTGCTGTGCTTAGGCTGTCGATGACTACGGCGAGGAGTGACGAATCGTGACTGTACTTAGTGAATTTCGCCTCGGCCAAGTGAGCTGTCCCTCTCGTTATGTGGAGGGGCATTTAGCGGCCGCGGCCTTGCCGTCTGGCGGACCTGGTTGCAACACTTTGCAAGAGGGGTCAGAATTTCACGTGCGCTTAAGTTCCTCCCCAGCCACATCCTAGGCAAGCATAGCGGGCAAGTGAGACAGTGCACATTGTGCCACGTATGGTTGCATAGGTTGCTGGCGTCTGATCACCGAGTCCTGATAGCACTCCGCATGGCTGGTGGGGAGGAACGCATTGCGAAATGCACTTGCGAAACCAGATCCTTAGTCGCGGCAATGCCATTAACAACCATGGGGTGTATGTAGACTGGCTCATGTTGAGTAAAGGCAGAAGAAACACGAGTTCTATCTGTATTTCAGCGCTAGCCACTGTATGTCACAGCAGACACAGTCGCAGACACAGGCGCTTCCCCTCTCCGGTGAGCGTGCTGTCTGGGGAGATGCTCCCCCGGTGGCTTCCTTGATGGCATATTCGAAATTGCGCTTAATAGAGCATGTAAGGACATCAAATGAAAGTATGCATGTGCAGCTGATCATTGCTAAATACTACCATCCATGTTCAAAAGTCTTGCCTGTGCCAGCCAAGTACCATACTATACAGGAAAACCCAAGCGGCAATATAGCTGTGATGTGTCAACTTGCTTTCCTCACTGCTACTCCACCAGGAACTTTTACCGTGGACACTCCATCAAGAGTGGGTAAAGGCCCTCTTGTAAATCTAGGAGGGTTTGTGCAGAGTTGGATGAGTTCTCTTCCACTGCTTTGGGAAATGTGCCGCGTCAAACTGGTTGATCGCCCTGTCCAGCTCGGATTTCAGCTCCTTGGTTTCCTCGATAGCCTCTTTCGCGCGAAGGGAGCCCAGGCACTTCTCATGACCAGGAATTCCGTGACCTTCCATCGGTAGACCCTGTATGATCTCATTAAGCGTGTGTACATAAGACCCAAGCGGGCCCTTGTCAGATGTTAGCGGCCACAGGCCGCAAAGCTTTATCGTTGACAAAACTTCGCCTATTATGTACGACCGGCATCGTCCTCTTTCTTTGGAACTCTGACCCGCGACACACCAGTTTTGCTCGATCCACGCATCTTCGATCACAGCCTTAACAGCGGGGTACTTCAGAATGACTTCGTAGTAGGCGTATGTGGTCGTAAGTCTGCGTTTGTGCACAAAGTCTATGAAGCCTCAGCAGTCTTGATTCTCTGGCAGGCACGGCTGGACGTAGGACAAGGTTGAATCTTACCTTGAAGGCCGGGAACTTGGTAGAGCTTGCATCCTCCCTTAGTCCGTGCCTCCGAGGTGTCCTCTAAAGGGGTGACATGGAAGATCAGGCAGAAGACCATCTTTTGAAAGGGGCTATGATAGCCCAGTTCCCAGCAAATAAAGGCATACTGGTACAGCTCGAAAGGCTCACACTCAGGCTGAGATGAGCCAAGCCACGCTTTCATAACGTCAAAGACGGGAGCCAAGACCTCCGTGCAGTCATATTTGTGTGTTAGCGTGGTGATGTGATAGACTTCATCTAGGGTCAATGTACTGCTGGTCAAACTGTGCCCTAAGTCGAAGTCAAGGCAATACCAGCTGGAGCCATAAGTGAGACGCAAGACGAGATTCAATGCTGTGACGTCGTCATCCGGCAGGTGTATTACGCTTTCATGGTAATGCTGCAGGGCCCGGGGGAACCCATCCTCGTCGAAGAGCATGCTGGAAAACACCGGCGAGCAGCGCGCGAGTGTTCGGGAGCAGACGCGGAAAGCCCAGGTTGGTGATTCGACGTCGGGCAGAAGCGAGACCTTGACGCTATCAGCAGTGCCTGCGCATATCCAGAGGTCGCCCCGCGGGTCCATGATGCGCTTCTTGAACTCTGCGGGGACGAGGGAGCCGGGAGCCATGGCTGTGATGGGCGGTTGTGATGTCGGCGAGTGTCGCATCAATATATGCACCGTGATGCAAGGTGCGAAGGTTCCGACGGCGGGATGTAGGCGGAAGACTTTGCGAGTGGTGAGGCGCCAGTGATGAGTCTGCCCAGGGCGGGCAGTACGTGCGGGTGTGTTGTGAGGAGGCAACGGGGGACAGATCGTCAGAGGGGATGGCGTGGTGGGACCCAGGGAGTCGAGCCAAGTTCGACTCAAAGTCGATGCGGTGGTGATACACGTTGCTTGCAGCTGGTGCAATGTGGCAACCGAAGGCTCAGGTTCAAAGACGAAGCTGGCGTCGCAATGTTGTGTTGTGCCACAGGCGAGTTGTGGCAGCTTGGGGTTGATGAGGTGGGTTGCGGTTCGTGAGTGTCACTGCGGAAGCATAATGTGCGGGAGCACACGTGATTGCACAATGCATGCAATCAGTCAAGGAAGGCGCGAGCTGCAACTTCCTCCGCGACACACAAAGCAGTGTGATCCGTACCTCAGGCACCAAGGGACAGGAATCGCAGTAGTGCAATGTATGCTCAGGCTTCGCTTCTTGCACTACCTGCACTCGCCAGATAATTTGTCCTCGACACCAGTGTCCGTCCGCTCTTGACCATCGTCTTCGCCTTGCGCACAGATCCTGCATCAGTCAGACAAAGCCCTGTCTTGATGGCCTGCGCCTCGAGATGCCTCGCCTCGGGGAATGTCGCCGTGTACTCGAATGCCTCGACCACACTCCCGACCACCTTCTCATTCCCGTTGCCAGCACTCGGCGACACCGTGCAGCACATGTGCCGGCTCGACAGCGCGTGGGGTGTCCCGTTCACCTGGCTGTTGACCCTCGATGCCGCCGCATACACAGACATGGCCGGCGATGCCATTGTGTCATCCAGCCCGGCTCTCGAGTACGTGCCCAGCGGTGGGTTGGATGTTGGACTCGTGCTGATGCTCATCGAGCTGACCCTGCCCAGCAGCCTCTCCAGCTCGCGTGGCGTCAGACTGACCAACTTCAGATCCCGGGGCAGCGGCCAGAAGCCGCACGACAACAAATGCCGAATCGCCGCCCTCCGCAGCCGCTCCTGGCATGCCTCGCGCTCCTCATAGGGAGCCGATGTCACCGCGCAGAAGTTGGACATTCCACCAAAGGCGCCCTTCTCTAGGTGCCGAATCGGAGCAAGTAACGAGTTGACCACCGAGCAGCGGTGGGATGATATCGAGTCTAACAACTTAGCGTCAGCCAGGCACGTTCCACATTCCAGACCCAAGAGACAACGCACCTTCGAGACCTGGAGCTTCCGCAATGATCTCTTCCCCAGCGGCCTCATCGCCGTCCCCAAAAAATTCCATCTCGCCAGCTTCCGACGGCGGAAACTCGACAATCAGGGTCCGCACCGTGCTCTCGAACCCCTCTCGATCACCGAGCTGGTAGTAGATCCACGCCAGCCTCCGCAGCATCTTGCGGTCCGAAGTCCGCGTCCCCTTGAGCAACGAGATCCACGACTGCGCCCATGGCCGGGTCATGCCAGCGCAGTCATACTTGTCGACCGTCGTGATGAAGTCGTACAGGGCCTCGATGAACGCATTCGACCCGCCGTCGGGCAGCCGTGGATCCAGGCTGAAATCGTCATACCGGCTGTGCATCAGACAGAGCAGGTCCTCGAGTGCCAGCGCATCCTCGTCCTCCAAAGTGATGCTCCAGTCCGCAGCATGCGGCTCGGCCGGTCGCGCCTCGACAAACGGCCCGTACAGCATGGTGCGGAAGACGGGCGAGCACCGCGCAAGTGCCCGCGAGCACACGCGGAACCTGACAGCTTCTACTGTGCCGTCGTATCTGGCCGGCACGACAAGCCAAAGGTCGCCCAGCTCGTCGAATATCCTCTCGCCTGTGGTAGCAGACGTCATGGTGGGCAGCAACGGTTGGACAGGGAAATGGCGCAATGCCTGCATTATGGAGCTTGGATGAGGCAAAGACCATCAACGCCTGACGTATGCTGCGAGATGGCGCACTCTGATGGCAGTCTTTTGCTGGACTCTTGGAACGAAGAAGAAGGATCGACAGACCTCAAAAAGAAGGACGACAGAAACCAGACCGCGTCAGCGACGACCGTGGAAGCAGCTGGCCAGGCCAGGACCACTTTCGGCTCGGTGCGGCGCTGGTGCCGCCAAGGACCCCGGCCATGCAGGGCTGACCAGGGGGGGGGGGGGGGTCTGGCCAGACCGACCGAAGGAACGGCCTGTGCAATTCCAACACATTCGAGGCGGCAGGGACCAGCGCTTCCGTGCTAAGCTCAAACCTTAAAACTGGAGCCCAGTCAGGATCAGCGGCGCGCGTATTCGGTGGATCCTTCCCTGTGCTGCCATCCCTTTCTGGCCTTGTTGGAATCATCGTCTCGTATCGCAGGCTGCAACGTGAGGGAGCGTGGGACGACCTGTAACGAAACGGCTGGGGGGAAACACACAATCCTGGCAGGTGGGTCAAAGGCCAAGCTTTTTCAAAGAAGGCTGTGTCGACGACCACCCCCGACTGGCCCGGAGTACGGTGGTACCAGCGGCGGGGCGGAGCGGGGGACGGCCCCGTCTTTGTGTGGGATTATCAGGTCGGGCACCCACGCACAATGCGGATGAGGCGAGGCGGCTGATTGTGCGTTTGGGGGCGGAACGAATGGCTCAGTCAGCATGTGCAGGAGGGGAACATGGGCGGCGTCTAGTGACACAGGATGGCTTACCGAGACGGACAAATATGGCACAAGCACAGAAACAGTAGGCGTGTGAGCACGGCCGACGCCCCTTGCGTGCATGGTCTCGTCTGGCAAGTGCATCTCGTTTCAAGTGTGGTGAGAGAGAGATAAGCTGCATGGGGAATGCATTACGATCTGCGCAGGATCGAGAAGGCTATGCGTGGTACGGGTATTGTGCGGGTTCTTCCCGGGATTTGGGCCAAACAATGTCAGACAGACTGTCCAAAAAAAAAACTTGCGATCGACTAGGGTTTCACAGGCAGTCAGATTACTGGTAATTGGCGGAGAGGTAGCCACAGTCGTGGCCCTGGAAGGTCATGTCACGGCCAAGTAATTGTGGTAATTCTACGCACCGGAGCCTGCTCGGCATTAAGCACATGGTCTTGGCGCTGAATTTCATGTTCGTGAAACATCGTTGCTGGATGCCCACTCCCGGAGTGGTCTGTTCTACTCATCTAGAAAAGGGGGCTTGGAGAGACCAAAAGCGCACATTTGCCCTCTGATAGCTACGCATTATGCGATGGCTATGCAGAGCTGGCAAAATGGAGTCACATTGGAGGGGGACATCGCAGGTCATCTAGTTTCAGTCAGCTTGCCCCTGGCTGACGTGGGTACGGCGATCGTGCATGGCAGATGGCGCGCCGGCACACGGTCAAGAAAAAGTACGGTGTTGAGGAAAACTTCGCTGAGCTTGTATTTGCGTTCGCCTAATCCAGCAGTCTATCTTACGTCTAGATACCCATGTACGCAGCGACAGACTTCATTCATGTTTGTATTGCTTCTGCTTGAGTCGCATAGAAAAGTGCGATCGAGTTCCACCGCGGGGATAATCGCACGCATGTCTGTCCACGCATGTGTGACTCGTTCGCCAAGAATATCGTTCGCCGACCTCTAGCTGAGAAATACTATAGCACTTTTCCGTTTCCGGTTGGCCGCAGGGAAAGTGACGAGGTTCAGGCCAGTCAATACTGATTGGCGGGAAATGTGTCCGTCCTCGTCCGGGTGTATCTTGTACTCATAGTTGTCAGTGTAAGTAGGCGGGCGTGACTGAGAAAGCTTCAGTTTGCGAGACCAGCCAGAGGTCAAACGCCTCCTCAGAGCACATGCTGAGTGGTCCATATGAGATTGGTTATTGCAAGATGTATTAGCCCCCTCGCGCCCCGAGAACACTGGCGTGGTGATGCGCGCAAGTGCCTCGGGACTGCACGGCAGCTTCTCAAGTTCGGGGATCGGCCACATGTTGTGCTTGTTCAGGTCGCAGATCAGTTTGCCGAGGATACGGTGCTCGCAGTCTTGCCTGTCTTTGGGCTCGCTCAAGCTGGACATGCAATGACCTTTGAGTCCCGGAGTGGTGCTCAGGAATCGCAGCACGACGCGTTCGACGGGATCGATCAGGTCTCTGATCATATGACTTCGGTAATGGATCAGAGTTTCTGGCTTGTTTTAGTATGGCCCGCCAGCGTTCAAGGACTCGCATTTTAAGGCGGGAATGGAGACATTACTCACCTGAAAGGCCAGGCGGAAGAGCACTCGGTGCGAGGTCTTGTGGGGTGATAGTATCGTCGATCCATGGAGGAAAGCCCACCACAAGCTGTGTAATGGTCCGCGTGTAGCCATGCTTATAGCCCAGTTGATAATAAATCCATGCCATCCGCAGAAGATCTCGCTCTTCGTTGACCTTCACGTCTAGCAACAATTGCACCCAGCCGTCCGCGAATGGGCGGAGCAGTGCTACGCACTTATACTTATCCGCAGCCACAACGAGGTCGTACATGTGACGAATGGGTGCGCGCTCTGTATCTTTTGCTTCGATAGGAACGAGGCCGCTGAAGTTACTGTGCATAATTTCGAAGACGGGTTTCATGGCCGAGGCTGCATCGTCCGGCAAGTATACCGCCCACTCGCTGGTGTCCTGCAGCTTCTTCGCTTCAACAAAACTGCCAAAGAGCATCGTGTCGAACACCTTTGAGGCTCTGGCTACAGTTCGCGAGCAGACTTTGAATCGTGCTGGCTCATTGCTTCCTGAAGAGTCTGTGCCGCTGACATGAATGAATAGATCTCCGCGCGGATCGAGGACCGTTGTCGTGAGTGGAGTCTGAGCCGCGGCTGAGCTCGACGGTGTGGTACTTGGTGGGCGTGGATCCGACATTTTCGGAAGCTCTTTTGTCTCGCTCTGTTTGGTTGAGAGCTCGAAGGTATGTAAATGCTTGACTCAATCTCCTGCGTTGAGAACGTGCTGAAGAGGTGGCACTGAGGATTGTGGGAGTTGGTAGGCTCTTTCGGCAAATTGATTCCAAGTCGACTTCCCTTGCAGATAAAGTCAGCGCCAGTTTCGTGTTCCGATTAATGAGAAGCGATGCCCAGCTTAGGAAGAGCTCCCGGGTTTTTTTACGGGAAATTGAGAAGCGAACGGTCGCAACTGAGGCAATGCAGCTATGTAAGCAGGCGTATGTTGCGCTAGGCTGTCAGCTTCTTGGTCTATGTAAGTACGTCTGATCGTGAATAAGATACCGCGACTAGCAGCTCGCTGCTCAACCAAAGACCACAGTCGCGGCGAAGACACGCGTAAAGTCTCCCTGTATTGAGTATGGGTCGAAATATGTCATGCCTCAATAATAAACAGGGCTTATCACGGAAGCTCTCCTTTATATGGGAAAATTGTAATATCTTCTACTAACACGCCTATTTGTTCCTTGATGTACTCAGAGCCTTGCACCCAGTGGAGCTGACGGATAAATCACCAGGCAACGAGGCAGCCCAAGTAGAAAATGACTCAAGAGCAGGAGCCAATCTTGGCCATTTCCTGGCGCTCGCAAGTATGTAGCATGCTTGTATGAAGACGGAATGGGCTGTCCGGTGCTTTTAGCTTGCTCCAAAGAACGGCGCCTTGTGTGATGCGAGCAGTTCGGCCGGCCCAAAAATGTCCACGCCAGTCCGGCCGGCCTGGGTGGTGATATGGCGCAACTCGGACACATCGACCGTGTACTTGTACTCCGTTGCGTAAGTCGTCCTTTTAAGATTCCTACATCCCCATTCAACACCAAAGGTGCGTAATGGCGGTTTGAAAGCCCTGCATGTGCCGTGGTAGTCAAGAAAACGAGGGCCACTGCACGCGGCGGCCAGTTCTGTGATAACGGCATCCAGCGCCGTCAAGGACAAAGTCATGTCCTTGGCCGTGGGAACCGGATAGAGATTTTTCTTGTGAAGCTCGCGCAATGCCTTACCCAGCATGTATGACTCGCATTGCGCAGCAAGCTTGTCATCTCGACTGCACCCTGTTGAGGTTGTTCGTTCTCCCGTAATGAGTGCGGTCACGCTGAAGGAGATTGGATCGAGCAGTTGCCTTAGCATTCTTTCCCGGACGGCATGGAGTGACTCTATCGGAACGCCGTCAGTTAAGCTTGTTTCCACAAGTTACCGCGTGTAAACAGCTAGGGCTTGCGAGCATGGTAACTCAACTTACCCAAAAGGTGAGGAGGTAGGACGGCAGGCAAGTCCAAATCAGCGACAGGATTTCCCGTCTTTGTATCGGCCACGTCCTTTATAAGCCGTGTGACAACATCCTCGTACTTGGACTTATGGCCGAGCTGGTAGAAGATCCAGCTCAGACGCAGCAATGCTTGCTCATCCTTGTTCTCGGCCTTGAGGGATTGCACCCAACTCGCCGCGTAGGGCCGCAGACTCGATATGCAGTCGTATTTGTCGGCGACGACCACGATGTCGTAGAGCCTACTGATGAATGTGTTGGAATCAACATCTACGGCCATCAATCCTCGCGACTGGCCATGCATGATGTTGAACACCGCCCGCATAGCAGGCACCGCGTCACCCGCCAGTTCAACCACCCACTCCTTTCCGGGATCACAGTTGTTGCCGCCGGCCGCCTCTGCAAAGCCGCCAAACAGCATTTTGTCGAATACAGGCGAGCATCTGGCCATTGTGCGCGAACACACGCGAAACCGTGTAGCGTCATTGCGGCCCAACGAATCAGTCCCCGCAACGAACAGGCACAGATCGCCCCGTGGGTCAATAACCTGTTCCATGGGTTCTCGTTCGCTGTCTGTGAGGCTTCCGGCGGGAATTTCGACTTCTGGTACAGCCTCTGTCTCGGTGAGAATTATATCATCTGTCATGGTGAGGCTTGGTGAGAAATTGTTGGTGAAATTGTGGTGAAATGTTGCGCATCCTGACTCCTCCTGCGCGTTTGCCGGCATGTTGGTTGTGTACGGTGCATATAGTGTTAGAATCTTTGTTAACATACTGTGCTGACCCTGGTGCGTCAATAGCTTGAGGCATTTCACAAACCTTTACATGAGACGGTCAAACCGCGTTTGATCGTCTCGCGGGAAGCTATCACAATCCTTCTATGTTAATCAGGCGGCACGGCTTGTAAAATTTTAATTCACGGGAATATCGACATTGTATAACGTAACCCACGGGTGACCCGCCCACACGGGTGACCCGCCCACTTTCCGGGCTATCGTCCGACAATATATAAGTCAATTCAACCATAACGCCTCAAATCAATTGAAACTATTCAGAATCCTCTTCTTCAGAGGCAGATACAACTTTCTGACACGTACGAGCATTATGACCGGGCTCGCTGCAGACGCCACATCGTCGCGCGCGCGTTTCGGGCCTCCTCGTACGACCACTATTCTGACTCGTTTCCACTATTAACTGCTGCGTCACATCGATTTGAGCCTTCAAATCCTTTGCCTGATCAATCGTGAGGGACCCTCCTTTCTGTAGCTGCTTTCTTTTCGTACGACGACGGCGGCTAAGGCGGTCATTTGCATCTCGAAGTTCGGCGAGCTCTTGGCGTATAAGGTCCTGCTCGTGTACCATCATTATAACTCCTTTTTCCAGCTGCCGTAGGCTCTCAACAATGGACGACGGTGAGCTATTCTGGTGTCGTATGATGCGATTTTTAATATACTTCGTCTGCGATTCGGTCTCAATTGGGTTGTTCGGCGTCTTTGAAACCCATGGGGGTGGTAGTCCAGCAGAGGAACCAGGTGGTGTCGGCGTATGAAACTTCATATCTAGCTGCGAAATCACATAATTCGGGTCGTACGGTACTAGGCCTGTCGCTCTAAAGCCTGCCTGGATGTTTGATTTGGTCATTGCAGCGTCGTACGCCTTATAAAAGGCTGGGAGGAAGTCCTCCTTTGAAACGTGGGTTACGTGCGCCCGCATTAGACCTTCGATTTCTTTACCGTACGCCCGTTTCAGAGGTCCAAAACACCCAACATCGAGAGGCTGGAGCTTATGCGACGAATGAGCAGGCATACAGAGCGTGATAATATTCTGTTCTTTGCAGTAGAGCTCGAAATCGACGGAATGGTGGCCCTCGTGGCCGTCGAGGATGAGGAGGCGGTAGGTACCCTTCGTACGACTCTTCGTATGGAAATCGAAGTGTTTTACCCATTCTAGGCCTCTCTCGTTCGTCGTCCAACCGTTTTCTGAAAGCGCGATTACCCAGTCGGGCGGTAGGGGGCTATTCGCGGTCCAGGAGTCGAGGTGGACCTTCCCGGCGAAGATAATGTACGGCGGGATTGAATAGCCGTACGACGCGATACCCTGGATTACTGTAACCCATTCCTGATTACCTTGTTGTACGGCTCTTGGCCTCCCGCGTCGATCGGAGGTCGTAACAACAGTTTCGGCGGAGATTTTACCCATCGCGAAGCCCGTTTCGTCGAAGTTATAGATATCGTCATCGTGGATCCCGTATTTCGCGATTATGTTTTGTACGAGCTCAAACCACGCGCGATACGCGTCTGGATCTTCGCAGAGGACTCTCTGGTAGTCGATTCTTCGATTAAAACGCGTACGGAGCTCTGATCGTCGTCGGACGAAGGTTGAGGCCCAGTTCGTTCCGACACGCGGCGCGTCGCGTACGGCGAGGAGTCGATCCGCCATTTCTCGAACACCACTAAGTCGCGGTGGAAATGATCGCGAACCTAGGTCGATTACGTATCGTATAATACTCTCCTCTTCGTACGAAGTCAATTTCTGGCAGGGTGGTCGGGTATCGCGTTTTTGCTGTGCGCCGCGTTTTCGGTCGCGAAGTGTCGTACGAGGGACTTTGTAGATCTGCGCAGCCTTTCGTACGCTTAATTTTGGATCGGATTGAAGCGCGTTTAGCGCTAGAATAATGTCGCCTTCATTCGATTGCTGTGGCATGATTTTTGGTGGAGGAATATGGGATTGAAGATAGCTTGTACAGAAAGATTGGGAAAGTGGGCGGGTCACCCGTGTGGGCGGGTCACCCGTGGGTTACGTTAAGTTCAATCCCCAAATATCCATACTGAGCTAAACAGACTCAGTTACAGCCGCCATCATCTGTTGATCGGTGGCTCGTGCTTGCCGTGAAGTGGCAAGTTCTACCCTTATGCTCTGTTACGGAGTGCGCACTCCGTAAGGACCTTGAAAGAAACAGGCGATAAAGCAGACCAGTCCGTCTTGGAACAAGATCAGTAGCTTTCAGTACCAGGTGCCCATACTTGGCCAGCGATGTCCCTTGATAGAAACGAAAAATTCATTCTGCTCTCAGTCGCACGTCCTCATATGACTTGGTTGCTTCTACAAGTTTCAAGCCTAGAAATCTGGAAAGAGAACGCGCTCCTCTCTCAGAAGCGTATCAGGTGCCAAATCTCGCGTACCCAGGATCTTGGCTTGTCGAGAGAGGAAGTCAACCTCATCAGCTGTGGCGTGGTACCGGTAGTCAGTGGTGTAAGGGGGAGGGTCAGACCATTTGTCGAGTTCTCAGCGATTCCTCCTAGGTTCGGACACGGGACTACACTCGAAATGATACTTGACACACCTCTGACTGTCCCTTGCTACTTTGGTAATGAGGCCGTCCAATGGACGTGGTGCCAGAGAGACAGCTTGAGGTGGCGGTAGCGGCCACGACTTGTGATTTGCCAGGTTGCGCATGAGCTTGCCCAGCATCTGAGACTCGCAGTCTAGTTCGTCATTCTGGGTGATGTAGACTCCGTCCGATTTGCAGATGCCTGCTGGTACTTCTTGGCCATTGATGAGTGCTTTCATGTTCTCCTCGATTGGGCGGAGGAGCTCAGATATCAAACGGGTTCGTAGGTCATCGACCACACCTTGTGGCAGTCAGCTATGTCAGAGCGACTGGGCTTGATATCTGATCCGATGCATACCTGGCAAACTGGGCGGGAGCACTTGAGGTAAGGAATACTGGGGATCAGTAGCTGCCCGGCCGCCGATGGGAAACTTCATCACAAGCTCCGTGATCACTTCCTCGTATCCTTCCTGGAGTCCAAGCTGATAGAAAATCCATGCCAGGCGGTAAAGACGACGCTCTTTCCTAGGCATTCGGAGGCGCAATGTATATGCCCAGGATGCGGCCCAGGGTAGAAACAAGCTGGTGCTAGTGCACGCATACTTGTCGGCAACAACCAGAAGGTCGTACATCTGAGAAATGACGCCGACGTTCCTAGATTCCACAGGTTTTACACCATCGTGCAGACCATGCATGAGCTGAAGAAGCGACTTCATCGGCACAGAGGCGTCCTCTGGCAGGTCGATCATCCACTTCTCGCCCAGTTCCCGGTTCGTCGACGATTCTGCGAATCCGCCGAATAGCATTTTCTCAAAGACTGGCGATGCCCTTGCGACAGTTCGAGAGCATACTCGGAATCGACACTCCTTGCTGCAACCCTGAGAGTCTGTCCCTTTCGTGTGCAGCCACAGGTTGCCCCTGGGGTCGACTACGCATTCTTCAGAGGATGGCGACGTTGGTTCCGCCATAGTCTCGTCTGGTAGATGCTCCATATTCTTGCCTAGGTTGTGGATGCTGGCGTGTTGGTGGTGTGAATGTTGGTTGTCGTGGCCGTGCTCAGGGTCGCGCCACCCCTGCTTTCTGTTTTGTGAAGAGACCGTGCGAGCGGCGCAGTCGAGATATTCGAACTGTGTATCCATTAGCAGCAAGGGTGATTCTATGCCACTGACCAATGCTGAACGATGAACCAGATAACAGCTGGGCACGGCAAACGAGCCAGGCGGATCGAGAGTGCCCACAAGAGGGGAGTCAATGCGGATGGAGACGGCGGGTGCAAGTACTTTCCAAGTTTCTCTACAAGCACAGCACGAGGCCTGAGAAAAACGCGGTTCGGCACAGCTTCATTTAAACAAGCCGTTTCTCGATCAAATATTTTTCCATCGTCCTTCCAGACAGCATAATCGCATTCAGACACGCCACACGACGATAGAAGTATCAACTCGACAACCCATCGCGCGTCTAGTTTTGTTGTAACTACAGAAAAGGCCCAACATTCCATTCACCAAAAATATTGCTCAGTCCCGCCCGAAGAAAGGGACTTGGTGCAACTGGAACATCCGTTGGGGAGCCAACAGTTCAATCCCGGTCAGGCAAGCCTGTTTAGAGAGGTGAGTGCTTTCCGAAGCGGTAGGGGCATATTTGAAGTCGGTTGTATAGCTCAGCTGGTCCGATGGGGTTCTTAGTTCCGCCAAAGTCCGCGGTGGCGCGGAGATTGCCCTGCATGCACGATGGCCAGGCTGAGACTTGGGGCCCGTGCAGACTCTCGCTAGGTCGGTAATGACAGCATCGAACGACCTTGGAGATGCTCGTACCTGTGAGGGATCTGGAAGGGGGTCAAGCTGCATCTCGTGCAGCTTGCGAAGGGTGTTGCCCAGCATGAACGATTCGCACTCTGTCGGGCCACCACCGTGTATACGCCGCATGATGCACAGGCTCTCTTGGCTGGGGGGTTCGATAGTGAGCTTGCGGATGCTACTAGTAACTGATTCCAGAAGGCTCGTGATCAGTGAGAGCTGTGTAGCCCGCAAACATTCTGATCAACCATGTCAGCTTGGTCTCGAGCCTAGGTGCCTCACAGGACGAAAACTTTGCACCAACCTAAGAGGCAGGGAGGAAGGATAGGAGGAGCCCGAGAATTCCGACTCGCTGCTCTGTAGGGCATATCCATGATGAGGCGAGTCACAACTTCGCCATATTTGCTCTTGTGGCCCAACTGGTAGAAGATCCAGCTCAGGCGTAGTAGATGCTGCTCATCCTGGTCGCCCACCGGGATAGATTGCACCCAGAACCCCGCATATGGCCGAAAGAGCGCGACGCAATCATACTTGTCGGCCAAGACTACCAGCTCATACAGGTCGTCGATAAAAGATTCAGGGTCGGCGTTGATCGGCGTCATCCCCAGATACTGAGCATGCATGATCTTGAGCAGGATGCCCATGGCCCGCGGCGAATCATCTGGGAGGTGAATCTCCCACTCCTGGCCTGCTTCTCGGGCCCTGCCTTTGCACGACTCGGCGAAGCCGCCGAAGACCATCTTGTTGAAGACCAGAGACGGCCGCGCCAGTGTTCTAGAGCAGACGCGGAAACGCGCCGCGGTTTCGGTTCCCGTCGAGCTGGCGCCTTCGGCAGTCAGCCACAAGTCGCCGCGCCGATCGATAATGTATTCCCGGACTTCACTCATGGCGGGTTTCTTATCTGCGATGCGCGCCTCTGCCTTGATATGGCGCGGGACAGCAGGCGAGGAGTTGGTCATGGTTGCGGCTGGAGTCATTGAATGAAAGGAAGCTGGTCAACGACTGAAGGCGGGAAGCTTGCGGGTGCTCACCCCTCCGTCCTCCCTCCCTTGTGTACGGCGGCTGTCAGGCTGTCAGGCCGCCATGGCTGAGAGGCGGGCACAGTGCCCGCATCCCAAGGACTTGCTTACAAACCGTGCCCTTATCTCATGCTGTCCAGATGGCTGCACCTCCCAGGTTGTCACAGATAAGCGCGCAGAATTAATGCTTGGACGAGTTGTGAAAGACTATATATCCATCTTCATCTGTGGGAATCGAGGATGAAAGAGATCCTACCCAGTTGGTACAGAACCCCGAACTCTTTCTTTTTAATGGGTGATGAGCTTGTGGTTTGTTCTCAGCCAGACAGGTGCTGCAGTCCAACACCCTTCGTCTCGACATCTTCAAGCTAAACTCCATTACGTATCCTTAACTACCAGAAACACTCGTGAGTGCTAAACTGAGGATTACGGAATGTTATGTTGTCACATCACGAAAGGGGATCCCAAAAGTGTCTGGTAAATCTCAAGACATCGTCTGTTGGTGATGGCCCCCACACTTTTATCAGAAATCATTGAATCAATCAAAATGAAAATGTACCACTGCCGAGATCAGCCCCTCCTCACATGCCGACGTCCAGGCTATCCATCACGGGATGTAAAGACCATCGCGAGTACTGAAAGAACCGTACATGAAATCTCGGATCTGATAAGATGGACCAAGTTTTATCTACTCTTCATCTTCGTCTGACCTCCATCCACTTGTTCAAGTCAGGCAATGCCAGTAAGAGACCTCTTCCGAGCCATCTCGGCAATCTCTTGTTCGCTGGCCTGGTATCTGTAGGTATCGAAGCCCCCCTCAGGCCCCAATTTTATGACACATTCATAGTGATGAGTAGTGTCGTCGTTGTTCTCGCGGTTCCTGGAAAATCCTTCCATGATGTAATAGAGAGTGACTGGAGCCATTGTCAGTGTCTCGGCAAGTGGAAGTGGCAAAAGGTTATGCTTGTGAAGCTCCCGCTGTAAGAAGCCAAGCATCCGTGCCTCGCAATCCACCCTCCTATTGGAAGGCAATGGCTGGCTATAACGTCTGTGAACATAAGGCAGCTGTCCCTTGCAAAGGTCTACAGGACAGTCTCCACCTTCAAGTAGGAGATCTACGGTATCTCTAATAGAGCCGATAAGCGCTGTAATCGTTTCGAGCCGCAGGGATGCCACTGAATCTTCGCGCTGTTAGTATCTGCCATAAAACTATGCACGAGAGATTGTATGTACCGAGAAATTCTGCGGGAAGGACACTAGGGGTCAAAAATTCGCCATGTATATCATCTCCGATGCATTGTGTATACGGCGAGTGGAGGGCAAGCTGAGTGACTATTGCTTCATATCGATCAATCTGGCCCGTCTGATAGTAGATCCAGGCTCGGTGCATAGCATCGTCTTCGCCGTAGCTTTCCTCTTCCAGGTTCTTGACCCAAGACGACACCCAGGGTTTGAGGATTGAAGCACAATCGAAGAAGTCCGCTACAACGGTAAGATCGTAAAGCTGGCGGGTAATGCTGGGCGGGTATTGTTGAAGTTTGTTTTCGTCCATGCCGTTTACGGTGTCCTGGTAAACTTCAACGTTCTGAGCACCCTTGTCCCAGTTGCTGCCGTCGGCATTCTCTTGATGGGCATCAACTTCTTTTTCCAGCGCATCAAAACTGCAGTGCATGATTTTGAAGAGCTGCTTCATCGCAAGTGGTGGGCTTTCAGGGAGTGTAAGCACCCACTCCTTCTCTTGTTCGTTGGGTTCTGGTCGCTGTGATTCGGCAAAATCCCCATAAAGCATCTTCTCGAAAACAGGAGATTTTCTTGCCAGTGCTCGTGAGCACACGCGAAATCGCAGAGGGGTGGCGGGGCCCCATGATCCCACGCCGTGGACGAGAACCCACAGGTCGCCTCTCGGGTCGATAGTTTGTGTTTCGTACTCGATGGCCTCTGATCCCTCGTGGATGTCGAGGCCTGTTTCGAGCTTTGCATCATAGTCGTCTTCGGTCACCGAAAATGCCTCGACACCGGGGAGTCCTGTGGCCTCACGTGCAACGGAATCACTGGCAACTGCCGCCAGTGGCGCTTCGTCCATTTGAGATGGAGTGCCAGTCATCAGGTTGCTCGACACGATCAATGGTCTCGTTGTGACGTGGGGGGCCGTTGTGCTGTGTTGGGCTGTTCAGGGTTGAACCTCGTTGTTCGAGCAAGAAGAAGAACAAGGTGAAATGAGGGTACGTCAGAAATCGTCAGGCCGCAGAGGGCATGTGGAAGTGAGGGCGGGCAGAAGAGGGGTCGAGCTGCATCTCAATGTTGGCTGTGGCATGGCCAAGGCGGTCCTGCGGGAGGCCAGCCAGTTTCAGCCCAACATGCAGGTCGCGCACTGGCGGCCAGAACTGCAAACGTCCCTGTGCCTTGCTAGGATCGTTGCATAATCTGCCCTGGTCGGCGGCAGCCTACTTCGTGGCTAGCGAGTTTCCATCTCGAACCATGAGAGTACTCCTACATGTTGGAGGGTCCTCGAGCGAGTCCAGCCTCGTAGACTATGCCGCGTACTTCGGTGATGAGCGACACTCGAGCCAGTGCGCACATGGTCAACACATTTGGACAACCCTGTCCCAATAGCCCCAGGAAAAGAAGGCGAGGTGAAGAAGTTGTCAAGGAAACGCAGACGGTGCCGAGAAATCTGAGAAGCTTTGTTGCCTGAGATGGTATTTCTTTGTGCAAGTCCACTCAAGAGATTGCTCGTGAAATGATTGTAGACGAGAACGATTCTGTTCAAACTCACTCAATCCTCTTCCAGCACAAGACCAACTACCATCCTATTCCGAGTCATCTGCACGACCTCTTCGTCGGTAGAGCGATACTTGTAACTGTCAAAGCCTCCCTCGGGTCCCAGATCTAGAACACAATCTCTGTGGCTTGCGTTGAGCACAGTAACTTTCCTCTTGTTCGAGAGCTTTTGGATCATCTGAAACAGCACTCTCGGCGAGACAATGATATGCTCAGCTGCGGGTACAGGCCAGAGACCAGCACTATTCAGCTCGCGTTGCAGGTGGCCCAGCATGCGCGCCTCACAGTCCAGCTTGTCTCGCTTCGGCGCGGGCTGTGTGTTTTCTCCTCCAGCCTTTGACATGGCGAAGCCCTTGCAAAGCCCAAGTGGGGTGGCTCGAGCCTGAAGCAGAATGTCTGCCGTATGCCGGATTTTATCAAGCAGAGCCTGGATCGTCCTCCGTTGCAGCCTTGCTATGGCTTCTGGTAGATGTCAGCCTTGACCAAAATAAGAGGAGGATGACCTTGGCGTACCGAGAAACCCGGGCGGGAGGACACTTGGGGGGACTCGATCACCGTTCTCACTGTCTTCTGGAGGGAATTCCATAGCAAGCTGGTGAACCGCTTGCTCATAGCGGTCCCTGTGGCCCAGAATGTAGTAAATCCAGGCCCGTCGCATGAGATCTCCTTCATCTGTCTCATGGGGATCGAGCCCCTTGAACCAGTAAGAAACCCATGGCCTGAGGCAGGCAATGCAGTCATAATAGTCCGCAACCACGACCAGATCATAGAGCTGACGGAGGACGGTGCATGGCGCTGATGAGGCATTCCCGGGCCGGGAGGACTCATCGCCATTTGCAACATCACTGCTGGGCTCCTCGTTGTCGTTCGCTGAACTGGTCCCGTTGGCATGGTCATGCGCTTCGTTCCGATCGACACCATTCTCAGTCGAGTCATCTCTGTTGGCTTCGATCTCGCCCGTTTGATTGTCGAGGACAATTCCTGGCTTTTCCAAGGCCACGAAACGGCAGTGCATGATTTCAAAGAGCTGTTTCATCGCCAGTGGCGCGTCGGGCAGCTTGATTTCCCAGTCCTGTTGGTTGTCGGCCGACGCCCCCTGCCGTGACTCTGCGAACCCACCGTAGAGCATTTTCTCAAACGTGGACGATGTTCTAGCCAAAGCTCGCGAGCAGACCCGGAATTTGAATGGCGTGGGAGCACCGCATGATCCGGAGCCGTGGACGAGCACCCACAAATCACCCCTAGGGTCAATGATATGTGTCTCGTGCGGTATGGGCTCGTGTGTTTGCTCGTTCTCAACTGGGAACTGAAGAGAAGGCTCCGGCTTTGCTCTATTCTCAAGGGGTGGATGTTCTGGAGCGTCGTCGACTACAGATGGTGAGGACTCTGGGTCGTCGCCAATCCAACCAGGGGCTACTGCTGGGATATCCTCGTGCTGGAGGGTTGCGCCCGGGTCCATTGCGCCAACCCAAGAGATCAAGCGGTCAGGCCTTGTTGCGCGAAGGATTTCGGCCAGGTGAGTAAGGGGAGATGGACCAATTCGCACGCTTCTGGTGTGTCTTGCACTTCAAATGTCGGAGAAGAGGGGTAAGAATTGGCTGGGAATCTGTCGTTGTTGGTGGCGCAAGCGCGAGGGCCTGCCAGACGCCAACCATCCCAGCCCAGGGGCAGAATCCCTGCGTGCTGTCAGCACCCGCTCCCAATCTGCCTTGTCAGGCGCAGCCTGCTTCGCCAGCACATGCCTTGATACATTGCTGGCACTCAGCCGTGGAATCAAATTAGAGACATTGCCATAGGATTTTGCAGTTCAAATCTCAAGAGCCATGTCAGGCTGTCTCTGGCACTGTTCGTCCCAATCTCTGAACAGCAGAACGCGATACCTCTTTGGCTTGGCGACCAGCTTCAACTGCAGATGCACCAAACTGTCCCCAGCATGCCCAAAAACGGCCACTGAAGAACATCAGCGGCTCAGCTCTGGGATCAAACACCACTTCGCCTTCCAGTTTTCTCACCGTTTTCCTCCCGCAGCGCCCTTTCCAGACAGGTATTGGATCTGAGTTTTGACGTACAATGAAGGCACCGGGTATCTGCGGGATCTCAAATGGCATCACGTGAAGGATAGAGGGACCGGTTGCATGAATAGACAGAGTTTATGAAGAGACATTTAGACCTGGCGTCACTTCGGAGCAGGCTTGCAGAATTGATCTGCACATCTCTTCCAGTTCGAGGCTGCTTCCAACTGTCTGGGACGAAAGACGTCCACCAGGCTGCCTAGCTTGGCGAACAAGGTCTGGCCATGCATAGTCACTGTGGCGTCGTCAGCCACTCGCAACGACTTTCTTTCAACGCGGAGTGGGGGACTTGCAGCTGCACGACCTGTTTAAGGTTATCAACAGCCCGACTGAAATCAGAGCGTGATGTTCCCTTTGGGCAATCTCAGCGCAGCTAGATTTGACTGCACAAAGGCCAGCTGCACCCCTTACCCTCATAAGCTAAGCTGAATAAGGTGCCGGGGCTGCCATGCGGCTATTCTCAACTAGCTTTTGCACTCGTCCTTTCATTCGTGCGCCAGCCGCGTAGGTGGCGTACGGATCTTGATGGGCACAAGCACGAAATCACAGGCCGCGGCTTATAGCGATAGTATCTGGGAACGCAGCCCAAAACTTTTTGATTTCTTGACGTTCTAGGCCTCTGTTGGGTTTGCTTCTCTCGATTGGCGCGACCGGATGACCTGCTTGAAAGAAGCATGCCTGGAGCCATATCTGGGACGCCAAGTCACATGGTATCAGCAACTGGTTGGTGAGCGCGACCATCACGACAAGCCTTTTCCAGTATAACGTGTGGTAGAGATGGCCATGTCATAAGGCTTGACTTTGATAGTAGCGCTGAGAATGATCTTCTGCTCCAAATGCCTCGTCTCAGACCAAGGTCGATCTCCCACACTTCAACGTCCAGACACGGGCTGAGCCAGATCAAGCCAAGTTGGAGAACAATATGCAGGAGCGGGGAAAAGCACAGATCTAAGATTCAGCTCGCTCATACTAATTCGGTTAGACAACGCCGCGGCGCTAAACAATGGAGGTCGGCACTTTTAGGTCGACCGTTGAACCCAATTCACTGCGATCTAGCCCACAATTCTCCGAGCTACGATTTACGATGAAGGGGAGGCGCCGCCACATCCCGCGCCGGATTGCGCAACGGGTCGTGGTCCAGGTCTCCTTGATGCGCCCAGGCCGGCCGCGGCCAAGCCAGTTAGTGATTGGGAAATTGATGAAATAGCTGGCCCCCTCCGGGTGCCCGGTATGGTGTAGCAGAACAGCGGAATCTTGGAATGCTGACTCCTGCATATACCACCTATCGAGCCCACCAAGAGTAGAATCAACAAAGAGAAAGATGCGGCCTTTTTCATATGTCACGGCTTTAACGACGCTAGTCTCCTGCGCACTGGCAGCGACGGCTGCCAGCAGCGCAGTCACCTTCAAGCGCCCGGTTATGGCTCGGCTCTGGCAGTACTCAACCTACACACTGCAGTCGCCCGCGGTTGACATCAAGGCCGCCGCATCAGCGATTGCGGGCATCAAACCCTCATATGTCTGCTCCACCATCAGGCTTCAGTACAACTTGGATCTGACACCACAGATGGTATGTGCACGCCACTGCTTCCGTGCTGTGGCTGACACCCGTCAGCTTCCTGACTCTTCAGCCCAGCTCCCAAATGCTAATGGCCTTCACCGTGTCGAAGATCAGCGACTTCAACACCCTCCGGGCGGCGGCATCAAACGCCAAGTTTGACATCGAGCTGAATCTCACACCCACGGGCAACAGAGCATACCCCAATGCGGACGCCATCGTGGCGCACATGAAGGACATCAGCAGCAAGATCAAGGTTGACGGGTGGTGGCTCGACTTCCTCTCGCAAGCACAGGCCGCGAAACCACACTGGATCGCCAGGGCCGCCAAGTACGCCCATGCGAACGGCCAGACCGTCGGCGGGAACTGCAACACCGCAGATGTGCCCCCGTCCATGGACGCCGTGGCGTTTGTCGACGGTCCAGACAGTTCCTCGCCGTTTGGGTTCTCGATCGACAAGTCGTACGTCTCGGCGATGAAGGCTAATGTTTCTCCCGGCACGGCCGTGCTGGGACATATCCACTGCAACCCCCAGGCTAGGCCGACCTCGGAACCGTGCGTTTTCATGAATGACTGGGATGCCAGCAAACGGGCAGACTTTCAGAATTACTGGGCCACGCAGCAGAAGAGCATCGGGTTCACGTACATGTGGCCGATCCACTTTCCTCTGTGCCCAGGGAATGTTGCGTATGATCCTCGGGCGGACAAGCTGCCTATTCTGGCAAAGTACTCGTCGCGAAAGACGGTTTATGGATACATGAAGACTCTGGCGGCGAAGTACAATTGAGGAATGGATGCATCAGGATATTACCTAGGTAGTTCACACGAGTCGTGAGGTGGCTTTCTTTCCTCGAAAAGGCTGCGGTTGGACCTCGCTCTGCATGTAGTTCTATAAGTGCTTCAGTATCTTATGAAGAACCGAGGACATCAACATGTCGGATTTGAATAGCCCTCGCACACCTTTACGAACTGATTCTCTCTAACATCCCGCACTAATTCAGGATAAGCCTCGGCCCTCCTCTACCTGAGGCAATGGAGCTCGCAAAAGAGTTTTGGCGGCCTCATCGTCGCAAGTGCGCACAGCAATGTCCTGGTCACCTAGAAGATCACTACTAGTTGATCTCCGATGTTGAGCCGAAAACTCCATGTAGAGATCACTACACCATGTTCCGCCCTGCCAAACAGAAAGCTCCCTCGTGATTCTTCTACTGTTCAATGACCTCGGAGGACTTCCTTGGGATTGTTGATTTGTTCTCTAGAAGCCTACGAAATACTTAATCGTCTTCTGGTCTCCATGACTCTCTGTTTGATTCTCCAAAGTCGATCTTGGCGCCTCCCTCAATGAGTCATGAGACGTATCATCGGGATCTTCGTTCCAAGGGTCAACGAAGTCTTCGTTCGAGGCCACTAATCAAAGCTGATCCAGACTTCGGTGGCCAGCAGCCAAATGAAGAGGCTCATCGTGATACTTTGTCTCATATGCAATACCCTTGCCGGTCCATGTCTCTCGTGTAAACCTGCCATCTGCGGTTCAGCCGCGGTACCTACAGAGATTTTGAAGACTCCAAAAGGATATCGACTAAATCAAGCGCAGTTGTTCATTAACGGAAAATTAACTAGTAGCGGTAGTTTGTCCAAATGGGTCAACATACGTCATTGGCAGAGGCGTCGTGCATTGCGCCAATGATATGGGACCCTGAACCGCCGGTGTGATCAAACTGAATTCTAAAGGATTTCGTCCGCCGTTGTCCGGTGACAAGTGCCTAACGTCGTCATCGTGTGGACAGACGGTAACAACAGGCATGTCAACACCAAAGCTCGCTCAAGTGCCTAGTGGAGAGACTTGGCTCTCCGGTTGAGCGCAAACAGGAGCATGGTCTAAGCAGATACACGTAGGGAATAATCAGAGATTGGCTCAACATGCGATGCATCAAGAGATATGCTGATAGTAATCCCTGTATAAGTTGATGCCCAATGCTAGGGGTGTCGGAAATGGTGGTGCGTATTATGCGGAGGTGTGATGCTTGAAGCCTGGCCGAGACCCCGACCAACCACGCCGCGGCCAGATCACTTCACATTCACGAACCCCTGCCTACAACCCCCACCTGCGCACTCAAGAGGCTCAGATCTTTTCTTTGACCGTGGCCAGATACAGAGTTGAAGGACCAATGTTACACTACTTATTCCCAGACTGGTTCGGCCGGCCTGGATCTCCCTTGTACGTTCCGAGGATCAAGGCAAACGAGGGTTCGGTCCGCCCCCCTGCTGCACAAGTATGAGCCTGTCGGGTTCGTAGCCGCACTCGGATCGGACCCACACCTTGGATCCTTCACAGCAGTCTCGGAGGGAGCACGCGGGCCTGCCCAGGGATTCACATCCATGCAGAATATACGGCCAGAAGGAGCAGGAATTCCAAGGAGGGATCTGAACTCACACTTGCGAGGGCAAAAGGGTCATATCATGGATAAGCTTTTAAAGAAGCGGTGTCTCGGAGTCTGGTCAAGCTCGACGTCCATTCCAGATCCGCGTATAATTAAGCAGTCCCAAACTCAAACTCTCCCAACCAGACCGCATCTTAACACAAGCACAAACACGGCACTTCTTGTTCATCCACAAGACAGTCAACAGTCATGGTCGCCACCCTCCACATCGCCACCGCCCTGGCTGGCCTCCTGGCCACGGTCGGCGCCATCGACGTACGCTACTACACTACGCCCGGCACCGGGAACACAATCACCTGCAATGGCGGTTACTCACAGTGCACCGGTCTTTCGCCGGACGTCTGCTGCTACTACTCGGGCAGCCGCACTGTCGCGTTCGCGGCCATCCCCACCGAGTGGAGAATCCAGGCTCGCTTCTACGGCGGCGAGAATTGTAGCGGCGAGCAGCGGAATGACTACAGCAACGGCCGTGACAACATCTGTTGGGCGTTGAACGGCATCTACGTAAAGGGCGCTGGTTATGGCTTCGTCAACAAGCGCAGCGAGGCCGAGATTACTGCTGCTACTGGCGCTGGAAATAAAAAATGCGTCAGGCCTGATCTGCTCGTCTTTGAGACTGGCGAGTCGTACCAGCTTGACACGCTGACAGAGAGCCAGTATGCTGAAATGGTAAGCCCTGCCTGATGAAATTTGTCGATCACCACAACCGGATGATACAACACAAGAAGCTAACTCGCATTGCGCTACAGTATGTTCACCTGAAAACACTGCAATCAAATACTAGCGCAGTTTTCTTTCGTTACCTATCAATCATGAGGATCATGCTCTCATTCAATATAAGCTAGCTCTGCGATGTGAACTATGCTGACCTCATTTTTCCCACATACAGCACTTCGATTCACATGGCCGGTGGAAATGCCACCGACGTCCCTGCCTCATTCTCTGCGTTCCGTCGATGAGGCCTGATCGAGCCCAGGGCCTCAACCTCAAACAACGTCGTGTCTGGCACCTACCAGACGTCCGTTTGCCAGACGGGCCCGGGATCTGCACTTGCAGAGGACAACGCTGTCGCGAAGAAGTTGTGTGAATGGACAGGGAAGGAGTTGGGATGGTCTGGAGGTGGCGGGCCTGAGGAATAATTCAATAGCGCCCGATCCCGCCTAATGGCTATTTCCACGCAAACACTGAAAGCCACGATGACGACATGACGAGTACAGTGGGCTCTCAGTGAAAATATTATGTGCGGAATGTGGGTTTGGCCAGAGAACCTGGCTACTATGGCGCGGTGTTTTAAAGTACGACGTCCGGTATAGCTCCTCTGATGTTCTCTGGGACGATAAGAGGGCATAAGCCACGAGATGATAGAGTGATATTCACAACGTCGAATATTTCGCGGCTGTGGAGGTGTCCTCCTTGCTATGATAGGTAAATCATTATCAAAAACAAGCTCAAGGAGCGGCTTCAACCCCCTTAACAAATATTTTGCGACTCCAGTCGAGCCAAGAGCCAATGATTTCAGACCACGAAGGAAGGCTACGAAGGTCTGCCTCTATCCGATTTGAACGAGAGTGACCAAGGGCCATCCTCCATTATTTCTCGTGCAATGAACAGCCCTCCTACGAGACATAAGTCATTCTCGGGACGCGTGTCGTCAAGCTAGGGTAATTTTCCGGCAATGCTGCCTGAAAGGAGGAATCAAAGCTCACCGCAGCTTCTGAACAAAAGGGCGCTGTACCCTGAAGACCTTACTCCTCCAGTGTACAGCCAGCGCTTGAACTCCAGTAATCATTGATCCGCAAAAAGCCAGGGAAAGGTCTTGCCCGGTTCGACCACTCCACGGCGAGACTTTCAACCCGCATCCTCGAACGCTTCATCAGGCATGTAATGAGCATATCACGTCCCGAGGCCCTGATTTGGCATTGATGATTATATGCTTTTTTCTTCTCTTTGTGTTGCACTGTGATACCAATTTCTTCCTGTCAGGGTCCGACTCTGGCTTTGAGTAGTTGGTTCTTAGTCCTGCAGCCCGCGACCAGCTCTTCACCACCATTTACAAGCTCCATCTAACCCGCGCCTACTCGATGTAGAACGATAGTGCAAATATGACGAACGTATAGACCGACAGAAGCGAGTACCACACCTCGTGCGCCCACGTGATCCATCCCGTCTGGATCACCTTGGACTCTTCCTTGGGATACGCGACCCCCGTCTTGTCATCGCGGTCAAGCAGCTCTTCGCGGTCCGGACAGTCCGGCGGAGCGATGGCGTATGCGATCGGCGTCCAGCACGAGAGCAGGCAGCTGAGCCACAGGATCGGAGGCCAGCCGGCGTGCGTGAGGATGACGATCAGCAGGTCCTTTGTGCTATGGCTCGGGTTCCGGGTGATGTTCCAGTACGTGCCGAGCACCACGGCGACGAGGACGAAGAGCATGTACACGAGGTGCAAGTAGCACTGGCAGTCCCAGATGGTCACCTTGAGGCGGCGCCAGAGCGGCGCGCGGCGGGCAGGGTCGCGCTCGTCAAGCTCGGCCTTTTGCGAGCCCGAGGAGGTGAAGACTGCGATCTTGCCGCCGAGCCAGGAAGGGAGGCAGAATGTGCGGATGACGGAGATTGATTGGACTGGGAACAGGCTGTCAGGTCGGTGAAATGGCAACAAGGGGGGTTTGTGTAGAATGGGGAGAGAAGAACTTACAAATGGCCATCCACAGCACGGCCCTGGCCTCGCGCTGGCCCGTGAAGTACCCACTGGGCAAGTACGTGACGACCTCGTTCCAGCGGTTGAGGACGTGCGAGGCAAACCACACGCGGATGAGCCACTTCAACTGGGTGTAGTTGCTGAACGGCACGAGGTTGCCGCCCGAGATGAGCACGACGGGAGACGTGAACATGGACGCGACCAGGGCGACGGTGAGCAACGAGGCGATAGTGTATACAAACCCGCAGAGCCTCTGATAGAAGGTCATGCGCTTCACGAGAGGACCCCAGAGGCAGAAACGCAATTTTACAGACGTCTGCACGGTGCCGATGGTCTGGAGGAAGGCGTTAGCTGGTCGTTTAGAGCTATCCTGTAGGGAGAGAGATTGATCACTTACCCAGCGTGTCCTCTGCTTCAGGTGACTGGACAGCGAGTCCGGCACGGTGCCATACTGCAGCGACTCGTGAACAAAGGCCGTGTTCCAGCCAACGCCGAGGAGCATGCTCGAGGTGCACACGTCCTCGGCTAGAGACCCCGTGGGAAAACGCCCGATAGACTCGAGGGCTGCCCGGCGCATGATGTACCCAGATCCAGTGCACCACGCAACACCCAGGGTATCCTTCATGGGCTCCGAGACATGAACAAAGAGGTCCAGACTCTGACAAAGGGGGTCGTCCTTGGGTACATTGTAGAACAGCTGCGGTGGACACGTCATGCAGCACTTGGGATCCTGCAGCATGTGCGGGATCAACGCCCGCAGCCAGTCGCGCTCAGGAATCATGCTGGAGACAACGTTAGTTACCCATACTCATCCAGGCAGAGAGGAAAAGAAGGAAAACCTACTCAGCGTCGAGGGCAGCGAAGAAGTTGGCCCCGCCGCCGGGCAGGGACGCCGTCTCGTCGAGGGCGTAGTTGAGGTTGCCAGCCTTGAAGTGGTGTGGCACGCCAGGATACTTGGGGCGGGAGCGGTAGTACAGATTGTCAAAGTGCTCGACGGCAGTGCGCTCCGTCTTCTCGCAGAGCGTGGCTGAGTTGCCGTCGTCGCAGATGATGACGCGGAAGCGGCTGCGCGGGTAGTCGATGTTGCAGGCCGCCTTGGCCGTGTCGAGGACCAGGTCGTCGTCCTCGCCACAACAAGTGATGATGACGTCCACCGAGGGGACCTGGTCGCCGATGATGCGCAGCTTGGGCCGGCGCCGCATGCCGATGGCGTGCAGGCCCCAGAGGCGGTGCAGCAGCATGGGGATGAGCACAATGATCTCGATGACGATGAACGCCCAGGCCATCCAGTACGTCTGTTGTGCTTGGATCTCGGCCGAGCGGGTGTACAGGATGCGCAGGACAAAGTAGATGAACTGCACGCCAATGGTGAGGATCACAAAGGGCGCGCTCAGGCGGTATGCCCAGCGCTTCCAGGGGCTCATGAGCTCAATGTCGTCGTGCTTGGCCACGCGCATGATGCTGTAGTCGTCGTCGCGCTCGCTCATCCCCTGTCGGACAATCGACTTGCGCCGCCGGGCCTCGAGCTCCGCATGGGCTGACGGGGCAGGACCGGCCTGGGAGAAGCGGCGAGCGTTGAAGGACGACCAGTTGGTGTAGTCGACCGACTGCACACGCACAATCTCGTTGACCCGGAGGTGGAGCGGATTTTCACCGTCGCGGTCGTGCAGGATATCCATGTGGTGCGCCGCATTCTGGACCGCAAAAGAGACACGGCGGCTTGCGGTGGAGGCCCGACGTGCGGCTGCGACGCTCCATCGCCGCGGAGTGTCGTGGAAGCGCGGCGTCGAGGGTGTAGTGGCCGTGGCAGATGGCTGGGGGCTCCCTTCTGATGACCCCCCTTCCGATGAATCCCCCTCTTTCCATGTGTCTGCGTGAAGACCTGGGCGTTGTCAGTATAATAACATGCAGACGGGGATTCAGTTCGTGGGTACGCACTACCAGGGGGCTCGCTCCATTCTTCTCCTTGGGTGCTGAAGTAGACGGCTCAATGGTTTCATCCTCTGGCAAGACTTCCAAAGGATCGCCAGCGGCGTGGCTCTGTCCCCAAGGCGGCGAGACTGGCGACCTGGGAGAGTCTGGATGGTCAGATGACGACCCTCGGCTGCTGTTACGGAAAAGCATTTTGAGAGTCTGGCACAGGAATCTCGTCTTGATTTGACTGGGATTGATGGCAGTGTTGCCCAAGCAGGAGAGATTTCAACGCCATGGCGCCTTTATACATTTCCTAAGTGCCAAGGCAGTGGCCGGTCACCCCTCTGCGCAATACAGGGCCGATTACTGCAAGAGTCATGTACAAAGGTTGGCACTTACTTTATTTCGGCTGACAAAGCACGTCGCGATCGCCGTGGCTGTCGCCCAGAACATGGTACCCGGTCTCGAACGGAGTATTCTCCGAGGCCGTACCGCTTGCACCAGCTCTTGGCAACTGCCATGAGGCTTGATAGTGCACTTGTTGATTCGCTGGCGGATGTCGTCCCGCGGTGTTAAGGTTGGCGCCATGACCCGGCAGATCTAGAACTCCAAAATGAGGCCGGTTCGGGGAAGACATAACCGCCTCGATACCACGAACAGATGCCAGGACGGCGAGAGCAGCCTGGTCCGTGTTCTCGACAGGGCGGGCGCGACACAGAAACTGTTCAGGAGCGCACGATGGGCGTAGACCTAGGAAGCAATGAATGCGCCGGTGTCGTCACCAAGTCTGATCAAGGAACTCTTTTTAGGCTCTGCCGAGAGGGACTGGTCAAGCACAAGAGCGTCTCACTTGGATACTGTGAGCGTGATAGGCAACGCAGAAATACTGTGCTCGATGTATTTGCATTGGCCCCTCTGGCGTGGTTCAAGGACCAGCATTACGACCTCTGTCGGCTTCTGGGGAACGAAAACCAATAATTCCCGCCCGCTATGCGCGGGGTGGAATGCTCCCCACAGACTTGTTCCGGGGCAATTTGCCAGGGGTTGTGCGTCTGCCGAACTGATCCATTGTAATTTCCACTTGAGCCTTTCCAGATTTCTGCATCGGTAGCGACATCGTGAGGTACCTGATTTGGACGCGCTATGCCAGAAAACGTCCAATTACGTGAAGCGGTCACGGCCTGCGCTTCCGTTCTTAGCATTACTTCTAAGTTTACAGCCGCAGAGCATCCACGTGGCTCTCGCGGGGCCAGGCTTTGACGTGATGCTTACCCTTCAGAACAGATTTTCACTTCCCAGCCGGTAGTCTTGGGGTGTTTGGCCGCGCCTATTATGGGCTGCTGTGTGTGATAGGCCTAACTGATTACACATCGGAGCCACCAACAGCAGTAGCACCCCCCGTGCGAGCCCGCGGGTACCCTGCATTGCAGCAGCACCGAACAGCTCCAGCAGACCCCAAGTGCGGGAGGGATGCTCTTGATTTGGCCTGCTAGGTGTCAAACCCGGCATCGCAGGCTATTCTCCACGGACGTAGGTTACATTTTCCGTCCGTTAAGCGCCGGGGCATGTATCGGCCGAAGCCACGGCACCCACGGGATGGGGTGGGCAGCATCCACCCGCCAGTAACCTCAAGCTAAATCATTGTGCTCAATTCCAAGTTTGGCTAGCGCCCACATCGTGTCTTTGTTCGATTGGGCAGAAGGCCATCTCTGTACTTGACTGTGATTGACCCGATTCCGACTCAAAGTTCTGCAACCGTTTAGGGCGGATTATGGCGAAAGCAAATGAACCAGCACTAGATTCACATGTAAGGTCTCCATGCATCTAGACTCGGTCGTTAGGTTGCCAGCCCGGCAATATGATAGATCGGGGTATGTCAGCGGGATAAGGTTAAAAGCCCCCTGTTGGGGACGAGCCTGGCCGCAGCCTCGTGGTTAAGGTTTGGTCTTTCCGAACGACCATCCTGCAAATCATAACGACTTTTCGGAGATTTCTCCGCCTTGGGTCTCACATCGGATCCTGCCAGTTATCAGGGTCGATAGCCAATCTCTATTATTTGGGTTCACCTCAATAAACCTAGCAACCTTGCTGGGCAAACCCACGTAGGAGACGGTCAATATCTAATCCCTGGTGTCTGTTCTCGACCCATCGCTGGTCCAACACGACAACCAGCTTCCGCAAAAAGGCGTAAACGAGGCTCAACGATTCAAGCCACTGATTCGGTTGTTTATCTTTGTCTCACATTCCAAAGCTCTCGGCCGGGGGTGTCCTGTCAGGAATTTCCATTCATCGAGCAGAGGCTGTGTCGGGACAAGAGATCCGGCACCGAAGACATGTGAAAGGATCGGCCTCGTCTCGAGTACATCCATCTTTCACATTGCCGGCGTCTCTTTTCAAGTATATGTCTATGAAGCAAATCTACGGTGATCTCCCTGTTGTTGCTACGAATACAAGACACGGCCAGCACCAACGTATCCTCTCGTCGAAGACTTCCACACTGAGCCATTTCACGTGTGGAAGGAAGATTGTCACGTTTCGGCCGTTGGCCAGTCGACCCTCGAGCACATCGCGAACATCATCTGGCTTTGTAATGCCCATCAAGCAGCCTGTGAAACACTAGAATCACGGCGCACTACTTGCCGGTGCTAATGCAATCATACGTCGTGTTTGCGAATACACCCATGCCGTCTGGCTCTGGGCCATCGGATTATTATATCCGACTGGCTGTGCTTGACTTACGCCACTTTGAACCTTTAACTTTATTTGGACCGGCAGCGCCATGGGGCTCTTCGGGACTTTGCTACCCTTGTGCCAGTGTACAGGAAAGTGTTTGAACTTGGTTGTTTGTCCGGTCCAAACTGAAAGCATTTGTGTAGGGTGGCCATTACGGATTTAAGGTTTACTATGACGGAAATGAATATGAGAGGCACTTCATGGGGCTTGCAACAACTCGCTGGTAAAATCTCTCTGTCGAATTGCTCAGCTGCTCAAGCCCTGGAACCGGCGAAATGTTGTTTAGCTCCCCAATGAGGCAAGCAAAGCCGCTTTGGCCCCGTCTGCGGACCGCCATCGGAACGTCTCATCCACGCATGACTGCCACGAATGCATGGGCGTGAGATGGTCGCAACTTTCTAGAAAGCTAGGAAGCATACCAACTGGGCAGTATTGCACCGGACCCCCAGCTTCCCATGAAACGTATCACCCCATTAGGTTTTCACCCTTTCGAGGGAAAAGTGGAGATATCATTACCTCGTGGGCGCATAACACTATAAGATGGTGCACACCCCTGTGCTGAGCTCCAGTTCTCCTTCTCCCAAAGACCATTTCATCGATCAATCGTCCTTGGCGCGACAGCATGAAGCACGGCCCTCCTGTCACCAACTGCCAGATTGGTAGATACCCGGCTACCGTGTGACAGGCTGAGCGTGGAAACAGGGGGGTTGACCCACCCCTTCGTTAGAGATAGCCGGTAGCATCCGATCGATGGAATGCGGAGGTGCCAGGATTTGTGGGAAGGTGGCCCGCGTACACCACCGCCGGGTTCTGGATCCTTTGCGACCTTCCATTTTCCTTCCAAAAGGACTGCTTTCGTCCATCATGCTTCATTGCTTCTCTCCATCCCTAGCCTTTCATGATTTATTTGATTAGTTTCGGGACATGTCCTGTCGACAGTCTCTTACCCTGAAACGAATGCTGATCCGTCGTCTTCCCCACCCGTCATTCCCCACCGGTGTTCGCCTTGTTCTGGCGTGGATCTCATGTATCCGGACTTCGCTCATCACAGCTGGCGGAGCGAGCAGCGCAACCCGAGCTGAGCCACCAAGTTTGGCTAGTCTTGGCCCCGGTGCTTCAGGCAAGTGCCGCGGACTGGTGTGGTGGTTATCCCAGTCTCTCGTGCAGTCGGAGTCTTTGTCGGCGAGACGAACCCCTGTGGGGTACCCCTGCGCGTTAACTTCGGACCCCAACATCCGACTGACAGTGGAAGGTGTACAGCACCACCCCTGAACATGGTCCGCTTGGGGATGAAATGGAGAGCGTTCAGTGAGGACTCGCAATCATGATATATTTGACACTCTCTGCCACGATGCATGGTCTCGTGCTAGCTGTGGTTCCGCTCCAGTCCAGCAAGACCAACTTCTTGGCCGGTCCTCGTCCACAAGATCTCTCTTTATCCTCCCGACCAACGCCTCTGTCCAACACCAGGAACAAGCCCGTACATTCTTTCGAGATAAATAAATCCGGACCGTCAACATGAAGTTCTCTGCTCCTGCCATCGCCCTTCTGGCCTGCACTGTGGCTGCCGCTCCTCTCACCGAGCGCGCCACTGGCACAACCATCAACGAGCTTGACAATGGCGGCTGCCGCCCCTACATCATGTTCCATGCACGCGGCACCAGCCAGGCTGGCAACGTCGTAAGTCGCCCTGTATCTTCGGTGCTGCTCTTGCAATCACAGAAGCGGTCACTAACGACCCTTTTCCCCACACACAGGGCCAGGACCCTGGCCCGCAGCTTATTGATGCCGTCAAGGCCTCTCTGGGCACGGCCAACGTCGCCGGCCAGGGCGTCCCCTACTCCGCCTCTCTCGCGGGCAACCTCCAGTCCGGGGGCGCCCCGGCCAGCGAGGCCAAGGCCTTTGCCGCGCAGATCATCGCGGCCACCACCAAGTGCCCCAGCGCCAAGATCTTCGTGTCCGGCTACTCGCAGGGCGCCGCCCTGGTCCACCGCGCCGTCGAGCAGCTCTCGACCGCCGTCAAGGCCAAGGTCGCCGCGGCCGTCACCTTTGGCGACACCCAGAAGCAGCAGGACGGCGGCAGGATCCCCAGCTTCGACACGGCAAAGACGCTCATCATCTGCCGCTCGGGCGACAAGGTCTGCCAGGGCACCCTGACCATCACCTCGGCCCACCTGGACTACTCGCCGCTCGCTCCCCAGGGCGCTGCCTTCATGGTCAGCAAGGCTTAGCTGTCTGCGGCTGAGCTCTGAACGGTCAGAAAGAGAGGAGGACAGCAAGGGAACGACTTTGACGGGCAATGACCATGTGGCAATGAGGATTCGACGGTTGAATTGATGGCTTGTAGATATGCTGTTACACAATGAACTTATGCGAGGCGAGCGTTGAGGTACCGAGGGGGCATGCTTTGTCAATGGCCCGTGAATGGACCACTCAAAAAGGCAATTACTACACGGGCATGAAGAATTGCTACCCGGGCATGACTCTTACACGGGCATGACCTTTTGCAGCCTCTGATTGGTCCATCCCTTTTTGTTAGTGCATCTAGATTCTGCCAACGCTTCCCTTGTACCTCGGGATTAGCTCTCCACCACGACGATCGACGAGACATATGGAAGCTATTCACTAGCTAGCTACTACACCAATTACCTCTTGTCGCATGTCAAGCCTACTGATAATGATTGTTCGTGAAAGATACCATATTTGTCAAGGTCCCAGGGCTCCAGGCGTGGTGTGTTAGGCCCCCTGCTGAGACCAACACTCAAACACACGCTGTATCAGGAATATCCAATAGCCTCATCTTCCAAGGCATCTGCATCACAAAGCAGGTCATTCCTTTGTGCTGAAATTGGTCCCCTCTTTCCTTCTTTCATAGTCAAATCAACTGCCCCTTTAACCATGCTCTCATCCGTGCGTGCGACACTCTTCCTGTCGCGATCAAGGCCGTCATTATATCCCAGCCCGGCTCTCGATCTAGCTCAGCAAGCAACCAACGACTTCGAAGCTATCAATTACGTCCTCGAAAACGACAGCGGCAGAACCAATCTGAGAGTTCAAGACCACCTTCGTCTAATAGCACAGGGACGAGCATTGGCCCACACTATAGCGTGGGAGACGACGAGGCACTCTATAATGCTTTCGCCTCGTACCCAGAGACCTTCACGACCGCTCCACGCCCCCATGGATCGCGTGGGCTGAACGAGCCACCATGGGAGCTGCGATTCGATCATGAGATTCACCTATCGAATGATTTCCCAACCCGAGGAAGACGGTCGCAACGAGTAAGAATGCCTATACCAGGCCCGGAAATCGACCAGCCACCTGCCTGCTCTCCACAACAATCAGCACAAGAACAATTCTCTCCAACAAGACCCCAGTTTCAGTCCGCCCTTAGGCTAGTGCGCGAGGTGATTGGGACAGATCGAAGACTTACCATCGAGCTCGTCCGGTCATACGAACGAGTCCGCCAATGGCGCGAGATATGGGGCTACTCGCCGCTCAGTTCAACTCCATTCGAATCATCTCCGCCATACTCGCCTCCCCGAGAAAGGCACTCTCCGCCTATCGCCTCGCCGCCCTCGCCCGACCACCCCTTGTCGCCTGTCCCTGACCCGATCCCGAACCCACCTATCCCAGGCGACCCAGCGCTGTCAGCCGAAGTCCTGTTCGAGTGGGTGAATACTTTCGCGAAGGCTAATGGCTTCGGTATTGTTCGACGAAATGCCTACTCATATAAGGGTCGGAAGATCCGGTACTCTTTCCAATGCGATCGATTCGGAGAACCACGCCCCTCAGAGAGTACCGGTATTCGGCAACGGAAGTCTCGAAAGTATGGTTGTAAATGGATGGTCATTGCCGAAGCACTGGAGGAGGGTAGATGGCTTCTACGACACCACGATAATTCCGAGCATAGCCAGCATAACCACCGGGCCAGTATCAAACCATCCGCCCATCCCTCCCACAGACGACTCACTACACCTATCAGGGCAACAGTCGAATCGACAAGCCGTCGGGTCGGAATTCGGGCCCGTGACGTACGCGCGATCGTCCTGGAGCAGCATCCCGAGTCATCTTTTACACGAAAGGATATCTATAACGCCAGGTCTCGTATCAGTCGAGACAAGTTGAGCGGCCACACTCCTACTGCAGCACTGATCAAGCTGTTCGACGAGATGGAGATTCCCTATCTTGTTAAGTGGGCGGATGATGAGCCAAACCGCCTCATCGGTCTTATCTGGACCTTTCCGTACTGCCTCCAGATGTGGAAGCGGTTTCCTGAGGTCATCAGCTTCGACAACACATACAACACCAACCGCTTCAAGCTTCCATTATTCCAAGCAACAGGACAGACCTGCCTTGGTTCTGTCTACAATGCGGCGTTCGGTCTGATCGACAACGAGAGACGGGAGGGGTTCCAGTTCCTCTCTGAGAGCATTCGACAGATCTCAGAGCAGCACTCTATTCGCCAACCGGACGTTATCATTACTGACTTCGACGGTCAGATGAAGGCCGCCCTGAATGATCAGTTCCCTAATGCACAGCAGCAGCTGTGCATCCACCACATCAATTCTAACGTCTTGCTCAAGTCAAAGCAGAAGTGGGTCAAGGGCCAATGTAGCAGTAGTAGTCCCGACAGCAGCAACGGGGAGGACTACGCTCCACAGGCACAGGCTGAGCTCGGCCCGAAAGACGGACAGTTGGTCAACGCGCAGACAGCTGAAGTCGTCCCTCATAGCCATCGAGGGGTTCTCATGATGTGGAAGGTCGTCTTGTTTGCGGAGACAGAGGAGGCTCACGAGAAGGCGTGGGGAAGCCTCTGTAGGAAATTTGACGATCAGCGGGCCATCCTGCGGTATCTCCATGGAACCTACATGCCTGTCAGGGCGCAGTGGGCACGATGTTTCATTCGCAACTATCGCAACTTCGGCATACGCGTCACATCTGGGACAGAAGCAAGCAACAACAACATCAAGAGCTATCTCCTAAATGGTATGAGCAATCTCTATCGGCTTATCGAGGCTATGCAGGACATGATGAAGGACCAGGAGCGAGATTTCAACGACGCCTGCGCAGCGGACGAGGTACTTACCGCGCGAGAGTACATAGGGTCCAGCTCGGAGTATCTAGGCGAACCCCGGACAGCACTCTCTTCGAAGGGTCTCGGGCTTATCAACAAACAATATCGGCTAGCAAGGAAAGCAATGCCGACGGGGAAGAATCCGTTCCCTGACCCCATTGGCGATTGCAGTGAGGACTGCTCGGTTTCGACCGAGCTTGGAATCCCCTGCTGCCACACAATCTACTCAAAGCTGGTGAGTGGCACGCCTCTCACCAAATGGGAGGTCCATCCTCGGTGGCGCCTACGAGAGCCATCCTCTCGAGATCCATACCGACGAATCCTCGACCCTAAGATCGCCACTGCTCTCCGTGGCAGACCTAAGAACACCACACAGGCTGTTCCAGCGCGGCTAGCCATTGAGGCAAGCAGCCAGCCGAGTGGCCAACGAGCCAGCAATCCAGCAAGCCAAGCGACAGGGCGCAGACGAGGTCGACCACCAGGAAGTCACAACAAGTCAACGCTAGCTAGGCTTGCTCTGGAAGCGAGCCAACAGGCCAGCAGCCAGGCTAGTAGCCAGGCCAGTGCCTCATCCCAGCGCCAGACGCGCAGCCGGTCAGCTGTTCTTGGAGCTGGAAGAACTACAGGAGTACGTGCCAACGGACGGAAGACGCAATCTAGCATTCGCAGGCGAAGGAGTCAGTGGGAGCTGCTTTACAGCGACGAGGAGGTTCTTCCATCTATAGTAGTTAGAGGATAGAGATATAGATAGCTGCCCTCTAGGGCGTGCTGGAATTGGCCGTGTTCTGTATTGAAAACCAGACCTTGTTTTGATATACGCCTAAGACCTGTTCTAGAGGCCTGGTTGACCTGGTTGGTTCTGACTATACCGAAAGCACGGCCTTGTTAAGAGAGCTTGCTTCACCGCCTTTGCACTGATGTACCTGTGGGTCGAAGGAAAAAAATGAGCGAATCAGAGGCGATAGAAGTCATGCCCGTGTAAGAGTCATGCCCGGGTAGCAATTCTTCATGCCCGTGTAGTAATTGCCCTCAAAAAACCCTTGTGAGCCTTGACGGGGCACTCTTGAAACACTCAAGTTCCGTACCTGCTTCGAAATATATGTTCATCATTATCTTTATGAGTGCATTGGAAGTAGCCTCGGCAGATTGGATATCGAATGCGGCATTCTCCCTGTCGATGCTATCACACCCGCTGCTCTGGCCCAGAAGCTCATTGAATAAGATTTACACTGCCTAGCGCGGCGGTTCTGATTCCTTCTGCTAAATGTGGTCTGTAGCTCGTCGCCGCGGGAGGGCCTGACTTTAGTGCTTATTGGCCCATAGAAGTCCAGGGACAGGGGTTCTCGTCAGCATCCACACCTCCTTCCTTGCTGTCACCACGTGGTAGGTCACATTCATCAACTTTGCCTTGTCTCTGTCGGCAACCATCGAAAGCAAGAATGCGCGTGGAAAAACCATGGCGCCGCGGCTCGAATCCCTGCCTGGCGAGATCCTCGACTATATCCTAGGATACCTCATCGGCCATCCCGTCGGCACGCTGCGCCGGGAGGACAAGATTGACTGCCTGGCGCTTTCGCACTTGTCGCAATGCTCGCGCTTCCTCAGCCAACGGCTCGAGCACATTCTGTTCGGCACCACTGGAACCCTGCTGACAGCCAACAGGCACGGCTGCATGACCGGCAACCTGCATGCCTTGCGCAAGGCCGCTGCGCACGGCGCGCCGCCCGGTGTTGTGAGGCATTCAGGGATGACCTACGTGGAAGGCGTGGACTCATATCACCGGACTTATGCGAGGCGGTCGTCTCTGTTGACGGCGTTGGAATTTGGGCAGGCGGAGGCTTTTGACTTGCTGCTGGAGCTCGGCGCCGGATTCGATGCTCGCGACTACAACGGGCTCGATGGAATGGAGTGGGAGTGGGATCTACTCGCGCTGGCACAGAAGCTCGCCGAGCCGCAGCACGAAGCCCAGCTGACGGCGTTTGTGCGCGCCACGGCCGAGACGCCGTCCTGGGGTGCCAACGGCACTGGCAGAGAGGAGCACTCGCAGGCCTCGGCCGTGGTGACCAAGATGCCGCTCGGAACAATGGTGCTGACGAGGTCTCTCAAGTTCCTGCGCGTGCTGTTCGAGCAGGGCCGGCCATGGCGGGTGAACTGGGCAATGGTGCAAGGGCTAAGCAGTGGTCCGGATCGGAATTCCCAGCGGCCCCTGACGCCCCTGAGCGCGGCCTGCCTCCGAGGCGACATGGCCGTGTTTGAGCTCGTGCGTGCCGCGGGTGCACAGGTCGACTTCAGCTACACCCTGCGAGAGCAGCACGCCAGCAAGCATAGCCACATCCCCATATTCATGGCGGCCGAGTACATGGCCACCAGCGGAGGGGACACGCGGTTCCTGGACATCTGCGTGGCCGCAGGAGCAGACATCAACCAGACGTGCCACAGTCACCCTTCCACGGGCCGGAGGCTGGACTGGCACAGGCAGCGGCCACCGCATGTATGCACCACTCCCCTGCTGACGTATCTCGACGCCGCCTTCGACTTGCAGGAGCAGCCCGTGCCACCTGCTGATCAGGATGAGGATGTTTCTCGTGCCCCACGTCCGCAGTTCAAGACCACCGCCCTCACTCCCCGCGAAGGAGTCGCCTACCTTGTTAGTGTGCATGGTGCGCGAGCAACATCACCAAACATACCACCACGAGCCAGTAATCTCCGGTATCCCGCCGTAAAGTTTTGGGACCGCGTCTTCGGCGCAATCCCCTCTCCGGTCGAGCTCCTCCTTGCCAAACACGGGATCTGCACCTCGCTGGAGGACCCGGCGTTCTTCTCCGTGATCAAGCTCCTCCTCAGCACCGAAGGCGCCGCCAACGTGCCGGACATGGTGAGAACCATGGTCCGCTTCGACAGCGACCAGGCTCCCCGTGCTTCTGACGAAGACGCGAGAGGTAGCCCCGCGCCGCCGACCTGTCCTCCTTCTCCTCCTCCTCCTCCTCCTCCTCCTCCTCCTCATCCCAGCTCCGCACAGCAGCAAGCCCACGAGGCGCAGCTCTGGGAGCAGCGTTTCTTGCCGCTCTATAAGCCGATGCTGTCGTCCCTGTCAAGCGAAGAGAGGGCCCTCGCGCTCCGGCAGCTCGTCCTCGACAAGGTCAGGCTGCGCATCTGGGCACTCACGCCGGGGAAGTGGCTCGGGCTGCGCGCCGTCGGCCGGGCGAGCATCCGCTTCCTCGTGGAAGCAGGCGCGGACATCAACTATGTCCACGTTTCTAACAAGGATAATAGCGAGGGCTACATCAAGCACGACAACAACAACAGCAGCAACAACAACAACAACAACAACAACAACAATGACGAGAGATGCACGTCGTTGGGCGTCTCCCCACGAACAAACATGTGCACGAGGGAGACGGGCATGAACCTGCTGCACAAGGCGATTCACGAGTTTGTCCTCCATGGTGGCGGGCTCGGCGGGGACCAGATGCACGATCACCCGGCGGGGTATGCGTGCGCGTACACCGGGCGAGTTGCGCGCGCGATGGGCGAGTTCCTGCTCTTCCTGATCGGTCTGGGGGCGGATCCAGAGCGTGGAGGCGTCTCGGGTGAGAAAGAGCAGGGCGGTGGCTTGGATAACGGCGGAGGTGCGAATCCAGGATGCTCTCACGATACAGACAGACACAATGACCACGAGGACGATGATGGTGATGACGACGACGATGACGAGCATGGCCATGCCACACCAGCCGACGCTCTGCTCGCTCTCGTCGCGCAGGGCCGAGTGCGATATCCCGGCGGCACGCTGGAGCAGGCGCTCATGTACCTCGTGACTGTGCTGCGGCAGCGGCGCCTCCCCGAACTCGGCCAGGTCGAGAGATATAGCGGGAAGAGGAAGCAATTTCGGGAGCATTCGCGGACCCGGGAACGCGAGTGGTGGTACCAGCCTGGCGAGCGGGGATGCGATGCCGAACTCGACGCTCGTGTGGCTATGTGCTATATCGAGGGCCGCGGTGGCTGACTGGACTCGAGATATGGGATCGCCGGTCGTCTGTTCATGATGGCTTATTGGTCGACCAAGGAGTGTTAAAAGCGTCCAAATTGTGCGCCCCGAGTTATCAATGCGACTGGCTGAATACACTCGTTGTGCACCCTGACATACTATACCAACCTATTGCAAACGGATAAGCTGCCTGGAACTGCGCATAACTGACCGTAAGTAAATTACTTTCCACAGTAGTGAATGGCCCTTTCCTTGTCCGTTGCAGGTTAATCGTCTGCAACCCCGGGTTCTATTCCAGGGTGATAATGCTGCTGCTACGGGCAAGTCTATCGATCTAACAGCACTTCGTCCCTGGGCACTCCAGCATTGCCCGTAACTTCTCGTTGCCAAGGGAAAAACCTACCCTACTCCGCTCTGACTCGGACCGTCAGCCGCGAGACGATGGCTTGCCCGCCTGTCAGCCTTTTTCCAGGGAAGTCCGAACTAGGACTAGTCGTCCCAAGGACCCCTGGAAGACCCTATGCCTTTGTGTTCCCAGTAGTATTACAGGACCAGAAGAAGGACCCCTGTGCACTGTGATAAGATAAGAGGACTTCTTTTGCTTTGTCATCGCAAGTTCCGACTCTGTAACATCGGGCAGCGGGGGTGATTATGGGGGGTAGCCTAGATGTTCCCAAGCTTAGCTCAACTACATTGCTTTTATCAAGCAACCATAACCGAGCCACCAGATTTTGACCCCAGTAAAGACCACAATCGCCATGCGTCTGCTGTCATTCGACGACCACCATAATCTCCTCTGGACCTGGTTTCCTGACAACAAGGTTCCGCCATATGCCATCCTGTCACACACATGGGGCGACGAAGAAGTCACCTTTGCCGACCTCATCAGTGGCCGGGCACACCACCGACTCGGGTACAAGAAGATTGTGTTCTGCGGCGAGCAGGCGGCGGCGCACGACGCGTTGGAGTACTTCTGGGTCGACAGCTGCTGTATCGACAAGGAGAGCAGCGCGGAGCTCTCCGAGGCCATCATCTCCATGTTCAGGTGGTACGAGCGCGCGGCCAAGTGCTACGTGTATCTGAGCGATGTAAGCGCTTCTTCTTCCGATCGGCGCCGCATCCCAGACACGGATCATCCTCCTCATCATGATGACACGGACTGGTGGATCGCGCCGTTTCGCGAGAGCCGATGGTTCGACCGGGGCTGGACACTGCAGGAGCTTCTCGCGCCCAGACACGTCGAGTTCTTCTCGGCCGAACGCCAGCGACTCGGGGACAAGGACTCGCTCGCCCTGCTCATACACGACATCACAAAGATACCCCTGACGGTGCTGCGCGGGCAGCAGGCGCTGGAGACCATCAGCATCGAGGAGCGCAGGAAGTGGACCGTGGGACGCGAGACGACCAAGCCCGAGGACCTCGCCTACTGCCAGCTCGGCATCTTCGGCGTGTGGATGGTGGCGGCGTACGGGGAGGGCGAGGACAGCGCGCGCCGGCGGCTCGACGAGGAGATCGACAAACTTCCTTATACTGGTATGGACCTTTTTCCGCAGAAAAAGCCGCATGATGATGATGATGACGACGATGATGACAATGATGATTTCCCTTGATTTTTTTTCTTTTGAAAGCTTACCACTTTCCTTTTTAGAGCGCGAGGCTCGACTGCATTCATCATTCGCAACGGCAGTAAGCGACCATTATTACACCATTCAAGAAAACGACGACTATGCCCTCGAAGCGGGGTACCGATTTGAGCGCGTGGAATGCTTCGTCTGGAGCAGGCGAGAGCCAGGAACCGTTCCGGTGTATCAGTATCTCGGCACGCACAATGGCGACCATTTCTACACGCGGGACGCAGACGAGGGGCACAGAGCCAGAGTGCTAGGCTACGTTTTCGAAAAGGTTGCTTTCTATACCTGTCCGGTAGGGGTTACAAGAGCAGGGTCTGAAATGCGCTCGCTGGGTAGATTTCTCGACACGGTGCACGGCGAGCACTTTTATACCGCTGAAGAGCAAGAACAAAGAGCAGTAACAGAAGCAAGTTTCCAGGAAGAAGAACATATCGGATTCGTCTTCCCTGGGGAGACTGAGCAAACTGTACCATTATATCGTTGGTATAAGTCATGAATCTGTCCATTCAGCCAGGTTTACATTTGGGAAGAGTCTGAAAGGGTTTGTGATATCCTTGGCTGACCTGCTCTGACCATATCCTTAGACAAAGAGTCGAGACAAGGACCGGTAGCATAGGACCCAGTGCTAAATCTGGAGGACAAAATAATATATATCTCCATGTTGCGTATTTCAATCTGAGTGCTGTTCTAGATCACTAGTAGGTAAACGCCTTCGAAAACGCCACAGAGCCGCTCGTCACAAAACACAAAATTGAACGCTACTCATCCTGCTCATTATAATGCCACAGCCGGAACAGCCCATAAGAAAACTTGGGCCAACAACCTGCTGGTGAATCTCAGAAGGCGGCAAGCCGCAAAATAACAGACTTCACCGTTCAATTATACCGCAACGCTAGACTGGACCATCTGCACAGGTGGCTGGACAGCATGCAGCTTCTCAGCCACGGGAGCGATCTCCTGCTTCGCAACACTGCCGATTTGGTTTTTGCGCTTGAAGATCGCCAGTCGCTCCTCGAACTTTGTCCGGAAGCTGTCGTCCAGTTCGAATAGGTCGATTGCGTTGCGGGCGAGCATGTTGGCTCGCTCGTCCCAGTTGAGGAAGTTGTCGAGCTGGGGCTCGGTGCAGAGCATCTTGCCAGCCATAGGAACCTCTATGAGACAAGTCAGTATGCATTCTGGCGACATGAGGATGAAAACGTATTAGACTTACCACCAAGGGGGAACGGGTAGTCACTGCCCAGCACGATCCTGTCGGTGCCAATCTTCTTGCACAAGAATTCCATCAAGTCGGGATCGTGCACAAGCGAGTCGACCCAGAAGCCGCCGTGCGTAATGTGATCCGTGGGGCTGACACCGCCGGCGTTGACGGCTACCAGATCTGGCCGGCAATCATAGCCATGCTGGATCCTGCCTAGAAGGGCAGGAAAAGCACCGCCGGCGTGGGCGAAGCAGAGCTTTAGATTGGGGAATTTGAGCAGCACACCGGAAGAAGTAAGCGCTAGGATGCTGAGGGCGGTCTCCGAAGGCATGCCGACGAGCCACGAGCCCCAGTACTTGGACCACCGCTTTTGGTTCTCCTTGGGTAGAGAGTAGCCGAGCGGGTGCACGAAGACGGGCATCTTGAGGTCCTGGCAGGCCATCCAAAAAGGCTCGAGCGAGGGGTCGTCGAGGTTTATATCGCCGATTGTGGTTCCAATCTCGACACCCTTGAGGCCCAAGCTCTTGCACCGCTCGAGCTCCTTGACGGACTCGGCGACGTCCTGTAGGGGCACCGTTGCAAGACCAACAAACCGGTCTGGGTGTGATGAGCAGACCTCGGCAATGTGGTCATTGAGATGGCGCGCGAGGATGGCAACAGGCTCGGTGGGCTGGTCATAGAAGAACAAGATGGGCACGGTGCTGAGGATCTGGACGTCGACGCCCTCCGCGTCCATCTCGCGGATGCGAATCTCGGCGTCAACACAGTTGGGCTCGACGGTGCGGAAGAACTTGCCGCCGACGTACATGTCGATCTGGTCCGGGTCGGCGCCGGGCTTGGTCGCCGGGCGGAGGTCGAGCCAGGGCTTGTCGGCACCGGGCTCCGTGTTGACCGGGTACGAAGAGAGGTCAGGCAGGCTCCGGGGCATGATGTGGGTGTGGGTGTCGATGCGGTAGAGAGAGGTGCCGTTGATGCGAGCAGCACCAGCCCGCGGATGGCAGCCGGTGGCGGTGCAGCCACAGGTGCTGCTGTTGCTGCTGCTCGAAATGCTGTCTCTGTCCATATCGTCTGATATCCTGGAAGGGGCCATGGTGGATGTGAAAGGGGACGGTAAGGAGACGGGAGGAGGTGGGTGAGTGCGAGTCGTTGTATACAAGTATACGAGGTGCCGAGCTTATCACCAATGGAAAAGGCCTGGGAAAGTCGGTCTGGAGGCAGCGATGCCCGACGGCCTGGGGATATGCAAGATGAGCTCCCGAGCAAGTGGGAAATGCAGGCAATAATGCGAGATGGCAGTCCCGCGCAGTTCCGAATGCAGCTTGTGGCCAATCAGAGGACCGGGTGGAGTCGATCCGGGCAGCTGGGATCTGTCTCGGGGCCGCTTCTGGGAGTCGGCGTACTGAGGAGAGCAGCGAGGAGGACGGCTAAGGGAGAAAAGGAATCGTAGGATGGAGGAGACGGTGTCTTTGTGTGCAGCAATCACAGAGCAGACACATGGAACATGAAGCAGGCGGGCAGGGCGGGAGCATCCAGTCCAGGGGAAAGCAATCACTTGTGACGTACGTGGGGAGCCGTGCACTAGCATGCTGGTGCTTCCGAAGGGACGTTCCTTCCTTCCTTCCTGCCTTAGGGCTGTTCTGTCTGTCTCACACCGGTCGCGTTGCTGGTTGGCTGGTTGGCTGGCTGGCCCCAATGGCGTCCCCTGCCTGCCTGTTGTGGGTGTTCGGACCGGCCCCAGCGAGGCAGGCGTGCCTTATCCGCACTCCCGCCCTCCGCCTTCCGTGCCCTGCCCTGCTCTGCCCTGGTCCTGCCACTTCCGCACCCGCCAAGCCCGGCTTAGTCACCAGCCGCTGCTTCCCCAACCTTAGGTAGCCTGTCCAGGTGGGCTCGGCGTCGCGAGCCGACGAGCAGGTCGGGTCTCTCGGTAGCCGTGGAGGCGTAACTCGACGCAATCGGCCAAGCTCTTAAGAGGTTCCAGCGTGCAAGTGCCGTTGGCGTGAAAATAGCCCAGTCTCTTATCAGATCTTAGACCTTGTCAGTGCATCCATCCACTCCTCTCCAGCAATCACCTGCGACTCCAGACCGTACAAACGCAACTCCACAACCACCAACAGTTGCCTGTCGCTTCTTCTTTCCCAGAAGCTCACCTCAGACACCACCGCAAACAAAATGTCTGTGCCTCTCGAGAACAAGGGCAGCCCTCCCGTGCCCGCGCCCCTGGCGTTTGCCTCGTGGCTGGCCACCAACCAGGAAAAGCTGCAGCCCCCCGTCAACAACTACTGCCTCTACTCTGGCGCCGACTTTGTCCTCATGGTCGTCGGCGGCCCCAACGAGCGCAACGACTTTCACGGTATGCTTCAGACCATTTCCCCATCCACATCGTCCTCTTCCTTTTTACACGTCTGACCCCCGGCTGACTCTCTCGCTCCCTTGCACACATCCACAGTCAACGAGACGGAAGAATGGTTCTACCAGCTCAAGGGCGCCATGCTCCTGCGCATCGCCGAGAACGGGCAGTTCCGCGACGTCCACATCGCCGAGGGCGAGATGTTCATGCTGCCCGGCAACGTCCCGCACAACCCGATCCGCTTCGCCGACACGACGGGCCTGGTCATGGAGCGCACGCGGCCCGAGGGCGCCATGGACCGCCTCCGGTGGTACTGCACAAAGGGCAACCACGACGAGATCACCATGATCCGCGAGGAGGTGTTCCGCTGCGTGGACCTGGGCGTCCAGCTCAAGCCGCTGATCCGGGAGTGGCAGAACAACGAGGAGCTGCGCAAGTGCCCCAAGTGCGGCGAGATTGCTGATGCAATGTGAGATTGGGGTTTGGGTATTTTGGGGCAGTTGTGAAGAAAGGGGTTGTGTGTTGTCGTGACTTTCTTTGTTTAGCGTGGTTTCTTTCAGCAGGTCTGGTTCTTTCATGTGTTCGCTAGCATAATACCACATTCTTTGAACCGTGAACCAGGGAGTTTTCCCTGTCTCTTGTGGATTGTCGCTGCCCGAGTCGGACAGCACAAACTGTGTCGAGCAGCTCAGCGATGGCAGAGCCTGAAGCCTCTCACTATCCCATCCTGCAGCGAGCATGCGAGACCGTCACAGCCAGTAAGCACATTCGTCACCCTTCAACGATCGCCCTCAATCAGTTGCAAAGTTGGAGAACATTGGGGTCAGGGCAGACACAGCCTCCACTCCACACAGGCGGCTCAGCATGTGGATCCTTTCGGCCATGTACCCTGCTTATCCGAGCTTCCGTCCCCTACCACAGCCACCTGGCAGTGGCCCGCCCTTCACCACAGCATTGTGCGTGCCGGCACCACAAAGACCGAAGACTCCACCGGGACGGAAAAAATGCCCGGCCAGTACCGTCCTGGCCGGGAGCGTCCGGCACGCTGGCATTGACAGATGGGCAAGCGGGGCCGACCTCCGCCGGCGAGCAGGTCCCCGTCCGTTGATCTGCGACCGGATCTCTGAGAGGAGATGTGTTAACTCTGTGCACCGCCTAGCCGTTGCAACCGATCCGCATCTGAGCAGCAAAGAGGCGCATGTAGATGTGCATGGTTGGTCAGAACAATGCTCCAATGTCGGTCGCTACATGAACAGGTCGCCGATAAGTGATCGACAGGACCCGGCCGAGGGCTGTCTAGGCTGTCTGGTTAGTAAAAGTGGGCGTTGGAGGTATCTCGTGCGAGAACGGCGGCATCGGATCGGGGACACACGGCTACGGGAGACAAGACGCCCTGTCACCTGTGAAAAGAGCCGCACGTAATTATCGGTTTCGTGAGGGGAACAACAAGCGCAGTGGGGCGCGTGAGGAGCAGCACAACTACGTAAGTGGGGATTGATTGATGTGGGCACCTTTCTCCAAACTCCAGCTTGGCGTGAATAGGCGTGGGGCACTCCGGTCTGCGGAGGAGGCTTGAAGCGGGGTGTGGTATTGTGCGTTTTTGTTTGGACACGGCCCGGGTATTCTTTATTCCTGAGTTTTTTCAAGGGTTCAGAGATCTGTTCCTCGCTGGCATTGACTCGTGGCTCGTCTGTCTGTCTGTCTCTGTGTTTGCGAACATACGCTTTGCGTGTTGACGAACAAAGGAAGAACCCTGGTAGCCACATTTCCCTCCTTTCGTATTGACACCAAACATACACACACACACACACATACACAATACACACATCAGACAATGGCATCACCAACAATGAAGGCAGTCATCTTCCACGCCCACGGCCCTTCCTCGGTCCTCACCCTCTCCGACTCGGTGCCCAAGCCCACCCCGGGCCCCGAGGACGTCCTGATCAAGCTCGAGTACGCGGGCGTCAACTTTGTCGACACGTACGTCCGCAACGGCCTGTACCCGACCCCGCTGCCCTGCACCACGGGCCGCGAGGGCGCGGGCGTCATCGAGGCCATTGGCGCCTCCGTGCCCGCGGAACAGTACGGCCTCGTGGTCGGGGATAAAGTCGCCGTCTTCTCCCCGGGAAGCATGGCCGAGTACATGGTCGCCCCGGCCAAGGGGGTGCTCAAGCTCCCCCCGGGCGTGTCGACGCGCGAGGGCGCGGCCATCATGCTCCAGGGCCTTACTGCCTGGACGCTGTGTCGCGACGCGCACGAGGTGAAACCTGGGGAGACGGTGCTGGTGCAGGCCGCGGCGGGCGGCACGGGCGGGTTGCTGGTGCAGATGTGCAAGGCGCTCGGGGCGACGGTCATCGGGACGTGCTCGAGCGAGGAGAAGGCGGCGATTGCAAAGGGCCACGGGGCGGACCACGTGGTCAACTACAAGACGCACGACGTCGAGGACGAGGTCAATCGGATCACGGGCGGCAAGGGGTGCCACGCGGTCTTCTCGGGCGTGGGCAAGGACACGCTGGCCAAGGACATTGCCATGACGAGGCGCAAGGGCACGTTTGTGACGTTTGGCAACAGCAGCGGCGCGATCGCGGGGGTCAAGCCGCTCGACCTGAGCAAGCGCAACATCAAGATGGTGCGGCCGACGCTGGCCAACTACATCACCGAGAGGGAGGAGTTTGAGCTGCGCAGCGGAGAGCTGCTGGCGCTGGTCAAGGAGGGCAAGGTCAAAATCCACTTTGGCAAGGAGTACAGCCTCGAGGGGGTTGCGCAGGCGCAGGATGACCTCGTCAGTGGGCAGACGGTAGGCAAGCTGATTGTCAAGATTTAGAGGTTGGGGGGTATTGGCTATGCGGAATAATAACATAGAAATGAGAACATGACAATCAGGATTACTTGGACGTCGTGGCACATGTGTTGTGATACTCCTTGGCGTCAATCGTCACGGCAATGAAGCGCATTGACACGCTCGTTTGCCTTGGCCTCTGATGGGCGTTGTTATGAGACACAACCATACGGAGTCGGCTTCATGTTTCGAATTAAATTGTATTCAACGCTCATGTCATTCATTGCCTTCCTCCCCATCAATCTCCATTCCCTGCACTTTTCCTACTGCCTCCACAGCGCCTGGCACTGGATCTCCACGTTCAGCCGCTCGTTCGGCAGCGCGGCGACCTGGACACACGTCCGCGACGGCGCCCTGGTCTTGTCGGGCCAGACCTTGTTCCACTCCTCGTTCATGCCCTTGTAGTCCGCCATGTCGGTCAGGTAGACGGTCGCGCTGAGCACGCTCTCCATGCCGCACTGGCCCTCAGTGGCGCCGCGGATGATGGTCTCAATGTTCTGCAGCACCGCCTCGGTCTGCAGCCGGATGTCGAGCGTGTGCTTGCCCGTGGCCTCGTCGGTCGTGCAGCCTGCGTAGGTGCCGTCGCCGCGGCGCGACGAGGTGCCCGACACGAAGACGATCTGCTGCGAGGCCGGGACGACGCGGGCGTGCGGGTAGTTGGCGAGGCCCTGGGCCCGCTCGGCTGGCAGGAAGTACGAGGTTCCGTTGGGGGATGCCATTGTGGGTGTGGTGTTGTTGGATGTGACAACGCGAGGATGGAGAGGTGGTTTCGTTGGGAGGCAGAGCTGCTTAGTAGAGGTCCGTGTGATTTTGTGCAATTGCTGAATGATGTCAGACTGGTTCCAAGAATCTGAAAAGAGTACACGGAGAAGAATATGCTGATGACGAGAGAGGAAGGTGAAGGATTTCTTGGAGGCTAACAAAAGCGAGGAGGACACACCCCACGGTGGGGCTCTCTTCCGTCCGCCGTCAGGGTCTCGGCGAGGGAGCTTTGCACAAACGACGCCTCGGGTGCTTCGCCAGGCACAGCTTAGAGGCGGGGCTCCGGCATGGGCAGCCTCACGCCGTTCCTGACCAGAGCTCCGTCTCCGAAGAGCCCTGCGGCCTTGGGGCGAGAGCGCGAGAGTGCAGCTACCGAGCCCGGAGCCGTTGTCTGGGAAGCGCATTATAGTGCAGATGACTGAGACGGAAACACTGTATGGGAGCTCGGAAGTGCACCATGCGATCGGGCCGCGCACTTTTCTGACCAATGATCTGCAGAAATGGTGCTCCAAGTGGGGATATCATACAGTGTACCTACTGTACAGATAGCCATGCCCCGCTGCCTCCGCCCGAAGGCCTGGGCGGGTCCTGGTGCTGGCCATGCGGAGTACGGCCCGGGTTGGAGAGAGAGAGGCAGGCGCGGTCGACGTCGCTCTGTCCTTATCCAGCCCGTGACATCTGCTGCATTCGCTGCCTCACTTTGTACAGGCAGACAGTCCTTCTGGCACGTCCCATCACCAGATCCATCAGCGACTGTTCCCCTCTACATCTCCGTTTGTCGCAAACTCACCCCACAGCAGCCAGAGAAGATGGGCTCGGTCAATACACCCAGCGGTAGCAGCAGTACCAGCTGCCCCGCCCTACGCGATGCCTGGGCTGCCAACACGCTCGAAAAGGCAGAGGCCTTGATCAAGGCCAACTCCGCCAGCAGTACCGGAACCGCAGGCCTCGTCATGCACAATTTCGTCGGCGGCAGCTACGTGCCCTCGGAAAACCACATCGACTCGGTTAACCCCAAGACCGGCCAGGTCTTTGCCCAAGTGCCCGTCGCCAGTGCAGACCAGGTCGAGCAGGCGCTTCAGACAGCCACCCAGGCCTTCAAGACGTGGAAGAAGACGACGGCAGCAGCGCGGTCAGCATACCTGCGCCGTGTTGCGCAGCTGATCCAGGACAATCACGAGCTGTTCGCCGTGTGGGAGAGCATAGACCAGGGCAAGACGCTCGCGCGGGCGCGGGTCGAGGTCGATCGGGCCATCTCCAACTTCAAGTACGTTTTTTTGGGACGTTTCGTAATGTGATGGCTTGGTTTCCTTCATGCTCACCTTTGTGATCACAGCTACTTCTCCACCTTCATCCTCCACCAGTCCACATCCGCCCGCATGATCGACAATGTCGCATTGACATATGAGCACCGGTCTCCAGCGGGTGTCTTTGCCCTCATCTCGCCATGGAATATGCCCTTGTACCTCCTCACCTGGAAGATTGCGCCTTGCCTGGCGTTTGGTTGCACCGCCGTCGCCAAGCCCAGCGAAGTCACATCCATGTCGGCCTTCCTCCTCGCCGAGGTCCTGCGACTGGCTGAGATCCCTGCAGGCGTCATCAACATCGTGTTCGGCGACGGTCCTACCACTGGTTCGGCGCTCGTGCGTAGTCCACTTGTCCACGGTGTCAGCTTCACCGGCGGCACGGCGACAGGCATCAGGATCAGGCGAGACACCGCGGACCAGATATACAAGCACCTCTCGCTCGAGCTGGGCGGCAAAAACCCCACCCTCGTCTTTGACGACGTCGACCTTGACAAGGCCGTCGAGACGGCCGCCACCGCGGCATTCGAGAACCAGGGAGAGATCTGCCTCTGCGGGTCCAGGGTATACGTGCAGTCAGGCATCTACGACGAGTTCGTGAGTCGCTTCGAGAAGTTTGTCAGAGACAACTTCAAGTGCGGCGAGCGTGTTGGCGCGGTTGTGTCGAGTCCGCACTATGCCAAGATCAGATCGTACCTGGAGCTCGCGGAGCAGGAGAAGGCGACTTTCGTTACTGGCTCAATACCTCCCGCGGACCCGAAGAACGGGCTGTGGATCGACCCTGTGGTGCTGACGGGCGTGTCGACCAAGTCCGCCGTCATGCGCGAGGAGATATTTGGCCCCGTGGTCACCATTGCCAAGTTCGACACCGAGGAGGAGGCGATCGAGCTGGCAAACGACAACCCCAACGGCCTTGCGGCAGTGCTGTTGACCAAGGACGCCGCGAGGATCAGGAGGGTCGGCGAGCAGATCGAGGCCGGCCTGGTGTGGGTGAACTGCTGGCTCGTCAGGGAGCTCGGCACGCCGTTTGGCGGCATGAAGAACTCGGGCACGGGCAGGGAGGGTGGCGAGTACAGCCGCGAGGTATTCACTGTTGTACGGACATTGCATATTCCGATGTAGTTGGTTCTGGTCAGTTATCGAAATATAGCGTGCATGAGTTTTCTCGTATGGCTCGTATCGTGTGGTAATGGTGGTGGTGCTCATTGTGGTAAGAGACAGCAACTACCAACCGTCAGGTGCCATTGTTGCGTGCAGCGTTGTGTTGGGAAGTTGTAGGCCATTTTGAGCGGGAAGTTCAGTCGTGTTCTGGGCTGCCCACTAGCACAATAACATCGATGAAGGATCAAAGTGAAAGTTCGTGGCTGAAATGAGCGACCCCCCAGCTCACTTAGTGGCACTGGCGGGTGAAAAGTCGTATCTCGTGCAAGATAGTGGGATGTGCAAGCTGGAGCACATGAGAACAATGGGCAGGGCTTTGAATACGGCCTGTTCCCAGCCTTTAGCATATTACCTCAGGCGGAGTTCCTCGGCCTTACCCTTACTTCGCACTGCACTCTCATTTCTCACGATACCTCAACAGCAACACCTTCCTGTAGCCTCTTCAACCCAGACTTACCCTTATAACTAGAGCACGCGCTCGCAAACTATCACAGACAGGGAGCACAGCGAGCCTGACACGAGTCCAGGTGGTGTGTAAGCATACTTATTGTCGATACTGTCGGAGTCTCGGCCTCATACTGGGCCTCATGTTGGTAAGAAACTACTCACCAGAATCTCACAACCCGATCTTCGTTCTTTCACCCTCTACTGCGCTCAGACCCCCATCCTCTGACTGACCACTTTATTTCGCCAGACCTCGCAGGTCATTCGACGAATGGGAAGCACGGACTTCCTTCTAAAGACAATCATGACGCCTACCATCGTTCGCATTTCGGGCTATCCCGTTCTCACGCTTAAGGTCATCCAAGACAACCGCGAAACCCTGTTCGAGGTCCAATCATCAGTCCTCCAGCAGTCAGGTCGTTACTTTGAAGGACTTCTCGGAAACAACTTCATCGAACGTCGCCCGAGGGATGGCGAACCCTGGATTGTCGACATGCACGAGATTGATAGCAACGTCATAGAGAAGGTCCTGAGGTTCCTTCATGACGAGGATCCCGCCCCTCTGAAAGACTTACCAGAGGACGAGCTCGTCAATCTCGTCGAATTGATCGACTTTCTACAATGCCACAAGGTATTCCACTATCTGGCAATTTCGTATTGGGCGGCACGTGTCTCAGCTGCGAGCACAAAGTCACTACAGGGAACGGGCGGCCAGCTTCTTTATGTCGCTCTACATATGGACCTGGATACGCTCGTGAAAGAGCTTCTCGATGGCTTGCAGCATGAAGTCAATAACAGTCAGGGAGGCGCTTCCAGTTCCCACACTGTAGGACAGTCGCTATGCCTGCGAGATGGTACGCCGCTTATGTTCCATCCCTGTCTGAACAAGTTCAATCTGCCGGTCCTCCTGATGAACAACCGAGACAAGCTCTGGGCTGCCGAAGCCCAGGCCAAAGCTGAAGCACTAGAGCTTTACTACACAGGCATCTCTCCATACTTCCCCTGCGGTCATAAGAACAATCTAGCCACCTGCCAGAAGAATTACGGGGATGCCGCGCGTAAGATGTCATGCTACTACGCGCTCAGTGGCTTCCTCATGCATGAGCTGATGGGTCGAGGGCTCGAGCCCGGCAGCTTTACACTCGAGGCCCAGGCCAGCAAGTCTGCCGAGGCGTGCTTCGATATGCTCGACATGATCAACCTGGTTGGTCTGCAGTACCATGCCGATAGGCACAACTCCTGCAATCCGATCCAAGGTCTACGGGACGGCCTCCGAGCGATCCGCCAGAGATTCGAAGCGGAGAGGAAGGAGTACGATATCTTCCCAATGCCCGAATATCTGGAGCAGGGCATGCAGAAACGAAGATGGGAATCGGATGCCTTGCTTCTGGACGCTGACATATCATCACCAAATGCGTCAGGCTTTTGATGTCGTCAGCAATGGATCGCGTTTTTCTAACCCTGGCTTTGACCTACACACGCCATCTTGATCTCTTCCTTGTCGGCTGTGTTTGTTTGGAGTTCACTTTGATACTAGCGATAACAAACGCCTGCGTAGCGCCTCGTCGTGGAAGTGCGATGGAGCGCAATGTCTATCAGGGAAATACTAGCGATCCGATACTGTAGGAAGAGCAGTTTTGTTGTATGATATGCTTCGACTTCTTAGATCGTCATCTTGCCAGCAATAGGCAGAAGCGAGTATGAGGGGACAATTATAAGGGTTCTGGAAAAGCATACATAGTGTAGCACGAGAGGGAACCTCATTACCGAAACCTCAAGCTCTGCTTCGTACTGCGCACCGCCTTTGCTGCTCTCTTGACCTTCACACTCCATGGTTCATGCACATCGTGGATTGCGATATCTCCCACCGCTTCGGCGTACCATACATGTTGCTTCACAACTAACACGATATCAACGTCATCCGTAAGTGCGTGAAAATCCATGCAGGTGAAGCTCCTTCCTCCTTGAGAAGAGCTTCATGCACACGACACCACAACCACTTCACAACCTACATTCAATTTCGACTTTGGAATCTACAGTATCACTTCCACGGAGGAAGCATCCTGGCACTGCACAACTTCAACTTCAACTCCCAAGCGAGCAAAGCGTGATCCGTCTCTTAACGCAAGGTCAGTAAACGTTCTCCCCTCGTGAGTTGACCGCTTCCTATTGCGCCACTCAGACAACTACTAGTACAACAGCTCTTGCCCGTCCAAACATTGTGCGCCTTGCTAACAACCACGGCCCTAGGTGGGTAACATATAAAGCCGTTCTTGCCGCTTTTACTGCCCCCGAGTAGGGTTCCAAGTTTGGTTCATCGTCCTCGTCACGGAGCAGTCACCAACAAGTTCACGTCAACTGACTCCTCACATCGATCTCGACGGATTATCAACCACGACATAATGCCTCGCCTTTGGTCGTTCCTCCCTCACTCTACTCTTCGCCAGCTTTCGACGCCTCCAATCCCCGCTCGGACTCCAACACGCGAGGCTCTCACGGCCTCGCCCTTGGCTCGAGATACCTTCGTGTCGCAGAGTGTTAGCTCGCCTTCAGTATCTGGCTCGACAATCCAGAATGAGAGTGCCTCAAACGCTACACCAACCGCCCTTGGGGGACACACGGCCCTGACCGGCCAACAGGCAGCGACATCGAGCCTTCCCAGCGGCACCGCTGAACTCGTGCCCGCAGCGGAGCTTCCGCAGGCGGCGAAGAGAGGCCCGGACTCATTGGATTCTACAAATGAGGTGCCAGCTCCGAAGCGGCAAAAGCCACGTACACCTGACATCTATCTTGACGGCCTGGGTGACCTCACTGTTCGGGTTGCCTACAATAACACCACTACAGACTTGCTCGTCTGCTCGCGCACGCTAGCTCGAGCGAGCAAGTACTTCTCAAAGTTGCTCTACGGGGACTACGCTGAAAGCAAGTGGAAAGCTGGCACGGGCGACTGGGTCGTCGCGATGCACGAGGTTGAGCCACAGATGCTCGCCAAGTTGCTCAGATTCCTCCACACGCACGATCAGGCTCAGTTGCAGTCCTTTACAGCACCCGAGGTGTCCGACGCGGTTTGCGTGATTGACTATCTGCGCTGCGAGAGATCGTTCTCCTCCGTCGTCACGTCGTACTGGTCTTCGAGGATTCGGGACCAACTCAATGCCGAACCAGAACAGAACTGCAATATACTCCTGCATGCGTCGCTGCACCTTGGCCTCAGTGACCAATTCACAACGTTGATGGACAGGCTGCAGTCTGAGGTCAACAAGATCAAGCCGCGTGAAGAGTTTTCAGCAAAGACGTCTAGCATGCGGAAGGATAAGGCACTGCCCCTCACCCGCAGTGATGATGAGCTTCTATCACTTGACGACCGCCTCGAGAGATTTGGCCTCGAGGATCTGCTGCGCTGGCGTCGGGACGCCCTCTGGGGGAAGGAGCTCGAGTACAAGTGCAAGGGCCTTCTGATCTACCGCAGCCGCTTGCTTCCATACCTGCCTTCGACAAGCGCAAGCGCGACCACCAGGCAAGCCGCAGTCCGTGCCATTGCTCAAGGTCTGGCCCCGCCCCGCAACCGGAAGATCAAGGCGGCACGGAATCGCTCAGATCAGTACGCCCTTTGCGTCGAGCTCAGAGCTCAGGGCATGGCATCGGAGAACTTCAACCCAGGCTCGCACCAATACGAGTCTCTTCTCGCCTGTTTCCAGGCGCTGCGTGGAATCTTCCCCCGCCATCCCCGCCAGCGACTTAATTCCCCACGACGATTCGCCATCATGCAGATGAGGAAAGAGCTGCGAGTGGTTGAACATGAGTTCCGCCAGATCGTTCAAGACCACAACAAATTCGACATGCCGCCGCAGCTGGAGCAATTCCTGCAGGATCAAAGGAAACGATACAACTATGCTTGAATGTCTGCGGGTGCACCCTGCTCGAAGCACTGACCTGAGTGGGGAGAAGGGAAGCGAAACAGTGGGCTAGTCTTTGGTTCAAGGCAGAGCAAAGGCATAGCAGACCGAAGCGTCTTGTCCCATGAATAGGCTTCACAGAGCCACAACGCGCGTTTTCAAGCCATGGGCTGCAGGTTCATTTGTGCCTGAGAGGGGTTGGGTACAAACAAAGACGACTGGGATAGTAGAAAACAAGGATTGAGACATTCGTGCTCTAGACGGACTAGCTCTACTAGCAAGGCAAGCTCATGTACCGCTACATGCGCAGATCAATTGGCTATCCTCGGCGGATATTCAACCAGGACGTGGCAATTAATTTGGGGGGCCGACGAAAGAACTTTTAGCTTTGCTTCGCGCAAACAACGGATCACAACTTGTGGCCATAGATGCAACACATCAAATGAAGCCTGACTGTAGCAGGCAGCAGATACAATCATGGACGCAGTAACGAGCAAACATTTTGCGGGAGATCGTTAAAAGATAGAACAGCTGAGCTACCAAGGCCATGAAAAGAAGTCCTGTTCCTAAGCTACTCCCTCTCCGGCGACTCGACCTCGTTGTCCTCTCTCGCAAGAACTTTCTCGCAACTTGCCTGCCCTCAGTGAACGATCCAGGCACATGGATAATGAACCAGGGGTTACTGCTTTCCAGGAATTAGGGAAGCGCATAAAAAGCCAATGGCGCCCATGAGAATACAGCCTCTCGAACACTCATTTGGCAAGAACGCAAAAAGCGCATAACACCTCATACGACCTATCTTCAAGCAAACAACACCCACTGCGCCAACCATGGCCGTAACCAGGAGAGCCCACGAACTCGGTATCCCCGACACCATCGCTCGCATGAAGAAGCGGCGCCGCGAAATAGGCAGAAACGTCGCCAGCGCACCCACACGCCCGCGTGCCTCACGGCCCCGGTCACTGCGCCAGGCCGCAAAGCACAACTCTTACAAGTGGGACGAGGCGGAGCCGCCCATCCGGATCAGCTGCATCGGGGACAATGCAGATGACGAGTCCGTCAGAGTCGGAGACGTCCTGAAGTTCCGGGTCGTTGGGCCGGTGGGCTGGCGCTGCCGCGTGCTGAAGTACAGCGTGGAAGAGAGCGTCCTGAGTCCGATCTGGACGATGCCCGATCAACTGGTCGAGCACGGAGATCAGTATCGCTACAGCGGGACCACCGAGATTTCTTGCCGTGCTCCGAGGCCAGGCAAGCTCACGTTCGAGGTCGAGTTCCGCCCCCGGGCGAACAGGGGCCAGGAGTACAAGGTGTTGCGAGTTGCACTTGCAGGCATTGTGGTCGAGAACCCATCAGATGGAGCAGTGACAGCGGCCGTCAACTGAGAAGGGCCGTGGAGGAAAAGAGTTTACCCACAGATGTAACTAACATACGAGCACTTCCAATTCAACAGCTTGCACGGGAACGACGAGTGCACGCACGATAATTGCACAGTCTCTGGGTGTGTTCAATTGACGGTCTGGGCCGCATGGCTCCAACCAGGCGCGTATTAATTTGTGTTCAAGAAGAGATTCAAGGGGGGATTGCTTATTGATTGCGTGCTATATGCTTCGATGACCAGCGGTGTCTGGGATACATGACGTGGTGTGCTAGGCCCAGTCGTTCCTAAGCACCCGATCCTGCTGCCTCTTCCGCCTCGCGAGCGAAAATGATTTGAAGGGGCTGTCTGTCCAATGTCTCACGGAACGAGGCAAAAAAAAATAGAAGGGGAAAAAAGAAGGGTCTGGCCGGGGATTGAACCCGGGACCTCTCGCATATCAAATCCTGATTACTCAGGGAAGCTGTAGGGTGGACCCTAAGCGAGAATCATACCACTAGACCACCAGACCAGGTCATTGTTTGTTGAGATTTCGAGAGTATTATTATACTATATGTAGAAACTATACTCCGCAAACCGGCGATTGCTTGGGGGTATCTTGATTCGCTTTTCTTCCTGTACGTAACGCTCTTTTGTCACTACTAGCACTCTTTGTCCGCCAATTTGACGCAAGTTGGCCAGTGTGCAGCCAATGCGTGGGGCGCACAAGTACCTGACTGCACGCTGACACCCGCCCGTGTAGTACATACAACCTCAGCTTGAGTGAAGTGGGGCGACGACAGACCTTGGGCTCAAAGAAGGAGGTCGTACTAGAGGACCAGTCGTATGACAACCCCCTCTTGACATTTTGTGACTCCACATGAGACTTGTGAAACGTGAGGCAGTCCGAACATGACATTGCGGCTTCCTCAAAGAGTGCAGATCGAGTTCGGTAGAGTACATGTCCCGGTGTTGCTCTGCCTTCACATGCATGTAAAGCAACACAGATTCATCTTCTTGATTTGTAGGCTCCGAAAAACACTGTATAAAGCACTTGCAACAGCAGATAAGAAAATCATTACTCAGTTCTAGAGGCAAGGCACTGCAATCATCATCATATTCGAAACACGCTGCAAGATTGACGAAGGCCAGACATATTCGCCTCCCCTTCCCTTGTTCGCTCGAGGCCGAAATTCCTCACCCAAATCCCATATTTTATCTATCGGAAAAAAACGATTAGCAAGCCTAGCATGCACAATGGCGGCAACCACGCAGATCCAGCCCGAGAAGCACGCGGAAGATGAAATCTCCGTCACAAACGCGACCGGCAAGGCTGTCCCGGCGGGCGGTCACCTCTGTCTTCGCGTAAAGCACCCTGAGAGGCAGCAATACATGACTCTCAGCTATCGCCCGGCTCAAAACGCTTATAATCAGGTCGCCCGCGACGAGACGGACTCCAGCAGTTCGAGATCTCACCCAGTCCTGGGCGAGCCACGGCACAGGCCGGTCAAAAGAGCCATCAACGTGGTCATGGTTTATCTGGATGCTCCCACGGAACCGGGATTATGGCAGGTGGATATCGCCTTTTCGGACACGAAGGGTGGCCCGACCAGGAACACAGTGTCGACTAAGACGGCAATCAGGGTAGTTGACGAGCCATGAAGGCTTTGGCAGAGTATACCGAGCGATATTTTGAACCTGATAACTCCCATGTAAATGAAGGAGAAGATCCATTCGTCTCGCTACTCCACTTCAAAACCACGCTATCTGATGACGGGGGCTGATTCAAGCATTTTCAGCCGACTTTGATCAAAACCACATATTGTGCCATTGCCAATCATGCTCCCCCTGCCTAATCTGCCACGGGACACATGGCCAATTAGCAAGCCTTATCGTTGAAGGTGTAAGTTCCACCAGATCCCAGATCGGCCGTGTCTGCCACAGGCTGGTCATAACTGCGACAGGTACCCGTCGACGTGCCGGTAAAGGGGTCGGTGACGATGTAGAAGCCAGTGGACAAGCATCGACTGTCGTTCTTGCACGAGGCGATGCAGGCGGCCTGGTTGGTGTTGAAGTTGGAGGTATAGCTCAAAATATTGGGCAAGCCCTTGGCGTTGCAGATCTTGGGCTTGACCAGGATCGGCGTGACGGTCGTGACGGTTGCGGTGGTGGTGTCGGTCCCCGTGGCGGGCACAGTCTGCGTGGTGATGAAGCTGGTGGTCTCTTGCACGGTGAAGGTATAGGTTACGGTTACCGTCCGACCCTGGACGGTCTGTGTCGTCACGGGCCCAGCCACGTTTTGGGTCGCTGTGCTGCGGAGTGTCGTCGTGGGCAGCGCCACAATGCAGGAGCAGGCACTCGAGATCTTGGAGGCAGCAAAGATGCGCAGCGGCGTGGGGATGGGGACGGGGACCGTGGTGAGTCCGCGCTGGTAGACTGTCCGCATAGCGGCGGTGGCGGTCACCGCGACGGTGGTGGTGGGGTTGGCCTCCCGCTGCGTGACTGTCGAGGTGATGGTGGTGATGGTGGTTGTTGACGCAGTTGCGGTCTGTGTCTGGTTGGGGAGGGTGGCCAGCGAGGTCACAGTAGCTCCCGTCACGGTCGCCGTCTGGACCAAAACTGTCGTCTTTGGTCCACCCAGATAATCAGAGCAGAAGGAGCTGGCCCGCGACTTCAGGGGCCCCGTGAGAAGAGAGACGACATCGCCCACGGCGGCGCACGCGTCAACACCAGCGAGAGGAGCTGCGCTGACGAGGGCTCCAACGCTCAGGATGTAAGTAATGGCGAAGGAAGTGAGCTGCATCTTGCATTCCGGTATTGTAATGAAGGCGGTGTTGTTTTATCAGACGCATTGCTGCTGTTGTGAAGACGGGAGTTGCGACATGCTCGTCTTGGCTCGGTACAACCCAATGATATGTACATGTGCATCTCCAAACTCCGCACGCGACCATGGCCCCCTCCCTGGGGCATTCCGGACCATGGGGCAAGTAGTTACTTGGTCTGAGGTTTGACATTGCCGATAACTATTGCGCCTTTGCTGCAAAGATGGCTAGTAGTCAAGGAGGACTCCTTGTAGGGGTCTAGACTAGCCCATTCCCTGTCGCAGCTGGCGTGCTGACCACTTTTGTGGATGGTTCGCGTCAACCAGGATAAGTGGCGCCGAGCCAGATGCACACTACTGCAACGACCTGAATTGTTTGATCTTTCAGCTTTCGCAACACAAATCACAAATCACGCGCTCTCCAGAGGAACCGCCACGCGACTCAACGTGCTCGTGCCGAATTTGCAGAATCTTTTCACCAGGGACTTCAGTTCTACATCCAATGCTCAGTGCTCTGGCCTACAGGCGGCCACCGAGCTATGTCTCGGATAGAAAAACTTCGGGGGTTTACGCAGGTTTCCCTATCTGTGAATTGCGATCTAAACGCCACGAGGGGCCCATGCTCCAGACCGGCGAACCCCGTGGCCAGGCCGGCATCGCCCAAGCTGAGACTTAGTGGCAGGTTCGAGCATATACTCGTAACGCTTTCCGGTAAAGCTAAAAGTACACACGTATTCGGAGTGCGGCCTTCGCGATCCCAAGCTGATTATAACCTGGTTTAAGGTTTGGTCTAGATCGACCATCTAGGATCGCCTCAGCTCTCTATGCTCCGGCACGGAAATGAGTTCGGTGATATTGTCAGCCGTGCTCTGATGCCGATCCATGGTGTCAAGGGTTACGCAGACATCAGTGTGTTCTGCTGTCAACGACTAGTTAGCAGACATAGCCTGGCTGGGAGGCGACAAATATTGAAGCCAGTAGGGGATGAATCAATCCAGGAGTACGTTCAGTAGGCAGCGATATACTCCGCACCGAGTTTTTCCCATCGTTCTTGGCCATTGTATATCCGATGGAGACGTGGAAGCATTAGCCATCAGAGGCTCTTTTCAGCTCAACGCAATCAGTTGTCGCCATCCGCGCCGCTCACATGTACATAAGACAATAAATCCACTGGAGTCTAGTCTAGGCAGAACTCCAAACGTGTGCCTACTAGAACAGTCGATAATGCTCGAATGACTGCAAAAGGACATGAGCCTCCCCAGTGGCGATGAAGAAAGCGCTATTATCAGATGCTACTCGTGCCCCATAACTGGCCTGGAAGATAAGAGGCGCCCCTTGGCCGGATTGCCCCTCAAACCTGGAAGCTCTAGAGACTTCAACAAGACATCCGATAAGCTAAAAGCCTTGATCCTACTGCCATGCAACCCTTCGGCCTTTGTAGGCCTTGGGGGCGTTCTACATCGCAGTAGCGCCCATAGTAAAGTTCACGGCGCCTGGGATAAGGAGTTATAATTAAGCTCGGGAGGCCTAGATCTGGCGTGCTAGCTAGAGGCGGGTTGAGGGACGTGGGGCGAATTTTAGGTGGTTGGTTGGTTTATTTATTGGCAGGTTGCCAGGGCGCCCTGCAGAGAACCTCCCGGGGGTTAAAAGCTTGCGGGGCTATCTCGGGGTCCTGTATTACAGGAAAGGCCTCGCCCTTTGGAGAGCATCCTCAACGCTCGCTCCTGGGGCGAAATGAATCATTGAGATGGCCGACTCCGCCCTAACAGGGCAAGGAAACGAACCCTTAGTGGTACGAAAGCAAACAAGCTATAGCTGATAGTTGCATCACTAACGACACCAGTCGCCTGGTTAATAGTGATAATAAACCTCGAGCGAAAGTAGCATGGCCAAATGACTGAACTCTATCAGCCTTCTCTCATGTGAATAGCCGCTGGGAAACTCTGGAGAGCGCAGGTGCCGTCTAGTGACGAGGTGGGTTTTGCAAAGGTATGGATGGAGTTAGGTCACAGAGCTAAGGATTTTACAAAAAGCCGTCAAAACTTGCGGGGACAATAGCAGGCTCGCGACTACGCGGGAGTTTGAGTTGTATTGTAGTCATTCTAAGATTTATACTCTGGTAGAGTTTGTGAATATCGCACGGACCCCTCATCGTGTTACATGATTCCACCAGTAGGAAAGATGCCGGGAACGACTGCCAAAGCCATCCTAGTCTCCAATGCATGGCACTGCAAACTTCTATGCTGGACGGGGAACAAATGGAAGACGTTTCCCAAACCCTGTGCGCCGTTTGATACCCACATGCGGCCGGGCATGAAATCGCTTTACATAACGATAATCACGCCTTACTCTTTATCGGATAGAAGGAAGAGGCTTTTTGGAGGCTCAAGTGCACTGTTTTACTTGCGTCGAGCTCAGGAGTGCATCTGACCCATGTCCGATCTAAGGCGTACGACTTTCGGCCCCCCCCCCCCCACGTCGGAATTCGTTGCGCCTAATCATTGATCTGTGCTCTCGCCATGTGTGTCACGAATAAAATGCCAAGCTAGGTGAAAGGAGATCACAGATGCTACAAGTAAACATTTTGGGGTGTGCACCCAACACCACGAAGACCTGGTCCACAAGCCCCTATCGTGAAACACAAAGATCTTTGAATACAGAAATGCCTTGTCATTGAATGGCAGTGTTTGCATCACGTGGTTAGAGGGCACCGAGTCGCACATATCTGGCTTCTTCCACCAACACGCTACGGCTGCCTCGAGCTGCTTCGACCCCTCGTATTGCACACATGTGAAGTCGCCAGAAGAGGACAGTCGCCTTGCATGCGGCCAGAACCACGTGTCCTCGATATAAGGATGGCGCCGTCCACTGATCTGTGATTGAAGCCAGTCTATACCCATTCCAGGATTTTCGGCAGCTATACAGCCCAACGGCTACTATAACTCCGCTATATACTACTTGTACTGCTGAGACCAGGTATACCAGGCTCCTACTATTACCTAAAGTGCATAGCTACGCGATAGTAGTGCCCTGACCAACCCTTGCTCCAGCCGGTGCTAGTACGGTATTACATTAGTAAGGCTACGAATATAACACCCTAAGTTATGCCGTCCGAAGGATCTTCGCATAAGACTAAACACTCCGCCGCGGGCAGCGGTTCATAGGATAAGATAAGCTACTTGTGACGACCCGACCAACAGGGGAACTGCTTGGGGCTGAGGTAACAAACAAGCCCAGCACAAACAAGGCCGCAGGATCAGGCCAGGGACAAGGGCGGACCAGCGAAGGCTGGCGGGGAACACATTATGTAAGCACCCACCTTACGTCAGCAGCCGACGATGAACGGTCGCACGGCGACCATCATCCGTCGGTCTTGCGACAACAAACTGTCGGCATGCGACCCAACGGTGTCGCAGGACGACGGGCACGATGAAGGACAAAGGGATATATAGAGCCAGAAGGATCTCCTAGATAGACAGTCATTACCTTTGTACTTCAGCGATCAATCTAAGTATCAGTTTCACCCACACTTGAACTAGTCACTCAATTGCCGAGACTGGTATCTCTTCCAAGAGACACGAACGACAACCCAGAGAGAGAACGATAGCAGAGTGTTAGTTGATATCGCGCAGGCTTTACCTATCTGCAGAACAGCAACCCCAGCGCCCTACCAGACGGTTGACCCCGGAGGTAGGATCGTGACACTACTTAGATAAGAACTCTGAACGGCCTAACCGTAGTAGTGCCCGTGGCCCCGACGTCGCTATAATCTTCGCCCGCTTTATCCTCAACTATACCTGGGAGAGGTTATATACTAGGGGTACGAGTACTATTTAGTAGCGTAGTACGATAGGGTGTCACGATCCGATCTCCGGGGTCAACCGTCTGATCGGCGCTGTGGGGTTTATGTTCTGTATAAGGCAGGTAGCAACCTCATGCAATACTGACTCCGTGCTTGTCGTGTTCTCGGGGGTTGTCGTTCGTGTCTCTTGCGAGATATCACACTCGGATCAATTGAGTGACTAGGTCAAGTGAAGGGTGAGAATGATACTTAGATTGATCGCTGAAGTACAAAGGTAGTGACTGTGTATCTAGGAGATCCTCCGCGTCTATATATCCCTTGTCCTTCATCGTGTGTTCCCGTTGGATCGTCCTGGATATGTGGGATATGTAACGATCCGCCTGATCCAACATATCCAACTGGATATGCCTGGATATGTTGTATTCCGATTGATCCAACATATCCTTTCTTGCTGACGTAATGGGGATGCTTACATAAGAAACCGGGGGTGCGTGCCCCGCGTGCATGATCTGCCCTTGTCCTTGGCCCGATCTTGCGACCTGTTGGTCGGGTCGTCACATAGGGCTCCCCTAGTTAGTACTAGCCTGGGCCTACTACCGCCGGCCCTGAAATATTAGAAGGCGGTAAGGCGGCCGTAGTAGACGAATCGGAGACGGTAACGCTAAAACTACTAATAGTAGACCGTATTATTAAGGGCGGCGGAATTAAAGTCCTAGCTACATACCCTTATTTCCTATACTATATGTCACGATCCTGCCTCCGGGGTCAACCGTCTGGCAGGGCGCTGGGGTTGCTGTTCTGCAAGATAGGTAAAGCCTGTACAATAACAACTAACTCTCTGCTGTCGTTCTCTCTGTGGGGTTGTCGTGTCTCTTGGAAGAGATACCAGTCTCGGCAATTGAGTGACTAGTTCAAGTGTGTGGTGAAACTGATACTTAGATTGATCGCTGAAGTACAAAGGTAATGACTGTCTATCTAGGAGATCCTCCGCATTATATCCTTTGTCCTTCATCGTGGTCATGACATGTCTGGCTGACGGTCATGGTGGTTTGGTCATGACCGTCAGTCTTGGCGCTCATGACGGTCATGCATGAGATGCATGACCGGTGGTACCGTACCCGCGCTTCTTATCCTTATCGTGCCCCTGGCCCGTGATTACATAAGAAACCTGTGACGGCACTGCCACATGATCCGCCCTTGTCCTTGGCCTGATCCTGCGGCCTGGTTTGTTTGTGCTCTTCTTGCCCAAACAGTCGTCCCCTGTTGGTCGGGTCGTCACATTTAGATTAAGGGCCTCGCGCTAGGAACGTGGATTATTAAGGTAGAGAACTAGCCTTTTAAGGACTAGGAAAACGAGGACTTTAGCTATACCGAGCCTATCGCGATTTCGAGGCTTACGACGGGCCTAGAGGAAGAAGAAGAAGGGGATGGGGACTAGTAGGACGAGTAGTGGACCACTACTTTGGTAGGTGTACTAGGTAGGCAATGGGCGCGGGTCGCGGTGGACAATTGTGACGACCCGACCAACAGGTCGCAAGATCGGGCCAGGGACAAGGGCAGGTCATGCACGCGGGTCCAAGAAACATTACCTAAGCCACCATGATGAGTCATCCAGGACAGGACCACGCCAAGACCATGGAACTGTGCCAAGAACTGTGGGACTGCGCAGTCCCAGTAGGAACTGCGCAGTGCGCCGGTAGAACTGACAGTTCCAAGGCACGGCAACACAGTTCACGATGAAGGACAAAGGATATATAGAGCCAGAAGGATTTCCTTGTAGACAGTCATTACCTTTGTACTTCAGCGATCAATCTAAGTATCACCCTCACCCTTCACTTGACCTAGTCACTCAATTGATCCGAGTGTGATATCTCGCAAGAGACACGAACGACAACCCCCTCGAGAACACGAGAAGCACGGAGTCAGTATTGCATGAGGTCGCTACCTACCTTATCCAGAACATAAACCCCACCGCGCCGATCAGACGGTTGACCCCGGAGATCGGATCGTGACAACAATTATCTTATCGTTTGCAACTAGACAAGCGCTGCAGTCTTGTCCCTTCTATACATGATGGAACGTGTCGCCAAAGAGGATATCTTCGCTGTTGGGTCGTCGGAACATGTCCTTTTGCTTAATGATCTGACGTAATATCTTCTTGATGGGAGCCCTATCACGGAGCTCATCACCCTCTAGCGAGTGGATAGCGCTCAATAAGACGCGCGGTGGTTTGTTTAGTACCCCTTTCCGCGCGAAGCCACTATCCTCGTACTTGCCGAAGTCATACTGGAGAACACCGGGTTGGTCGTCTCGAGGAACGCTTATAGCAATATCTCCAAGGCGGATGTCGAGTTGGTTGCTGGGAATGCCCGCGCCGATGCCAACCATTAAGGCAAGGCGGACGTTGGGGAATTGCTGACTGACATGTGCAGCGCAGTGTGCTGCATTGACGGCTCCCATCTCAACTGGTTCGGCAATGATAACCCTGTGATCGCCGATGCGGCCATATTTGTAGACGTAGCTTTGCTTACCGGAGGGTTTGCATGTAAACTCTTCGTCCAGCGTATATCTGACGGCTACAGACTCCTCCACAAGGGCACAAAAAATGGCGACCGTAATGTTATTTGGGGAGATTGATTGAAGCACTTCCTCTTCAGACTCATCTGTATCCTCGTGCAGGACATTTCTGTCGGGCGAAACCATAGCTCAGAGCGACGAGTCAAGAGTAGAACATAATCAGTAGCTCGAGATCACACCAGAAAAGGGCATATAGAATGGGGAAAGAGTTGGATGGGAAAATCGCAGTTAGGCCTCGAGTACTCAAAGACGAAGTAAGAAAGCCTCGGGAGCATATGAGGGGTATGCTACCTTACTGCTCACCGGTCTCATGCAAGCCAAGCGTGGCCGGTCAGCACTGCCACAGCCCTTCCCCGCCTTGACAAGCGCCAAGCGGCTCGCTACATTGATCCAGCTTGTCACAAGACGACAGAGTTAGGTACACCTGCAGCAAATTAACCAATCCTGTGGAGCCTGAGGCTAGAGATGATGTAGGTGGGCTGCCGTCCGCAGCCCCTAATTCGTGTGTGCTGCTGGCGGCCCAGACAAGCGATTCTTGGGTAGGTCGCTACTGTGGCTTTGATTTCTCGATTATACTGTATAACACGCACCAAGGCTGCATAGCATCGCCTGCCTGATGAGCTCTTGGTAAGCCTCGCCTCCTCCTCTCCAGTAACTACGTAGTCGTATTCCAGGTTAAGCTACCCAATCTCACCATACCACGTTAGAGCCTGAGTGGTGTAATAATAGGGGTATACAACCAGCGCGTCGAGCTGCGGAGGGATTGGTTGAGGGACTAATCCCTGTAATAACTTATTGCAAACGGATAAGGTTACCTCAAACTATACACGACTGTTAGCGGATTACTTTCCGTAACTGAACCGTTATCGGTAGTTTAGGATACATTAGATTCGGGCCTCAAATGACCCCACTATCAATACCTTAGAACCGCGGAAGGGTGACATATATAAGAACTGCTAGCGCTATCATCTGTGTAGTTCTTTTCAAAAGACGGTAGAAAGCTAGGAGATAAGAGAACTTTCGAGCAGCATATTCACGAGATTACGAGCATTCCTATTGCCGCCCTCAGAGGTGGCTTGTTCGAGCACGATGTTGACGAGCGAATGAAGTGGATGGGCAAGCGGGAGATAACGCGCCCAGAGGATATAGCTTATGTACTTCTCGGGCTGCTTGGCGTTCAGATGCCCTCAATATATAGTGAAGAGAAAGAAAGTGTATTACGGCGGCTACGTAGAGAGGTTCGCGAGGTCACCTCCCCCCTGTCTGTACCCATGGCAAACGGAGCTGCGTTCGACTCCCGCGACGAAGAGCATAATCCACGATGCTATCCGAAGACACGTACAGATCTTGTCCGTCAGATTGATGAATGGACGAGATTTGGCAAGGAGCCAATATTCTGGTTAAAAGGCATGGCTGGAACCGGCAAGTCAACAGTGTCGCGAACAATTGCCCAGCGCTTCGACAAGGGCATGCTTGCTGGCAGCTTCTTCTTCAAGAGGGGTGAGATCGATCGTGGCAATGCTACCAAGTTCTTCACCACTTTAGCCGCCCATTTTGCTATTAGAGTGCCGCACGTCCGACGATTGGCCCGAAGTGCGCTCGATGCTGATCCCAGACTCCCTTCGAAGGGCTTACGCGAGCAGTTTAAACGGCTTATCTGGCAGCCACTTACCCAATTACAAGATTCGCAGACTTTTATCATTGTGATTGATGCGCTTGACGAGTGCGACCGAGACGAAGATATCGGGGTTATAATCTACCTCGTTGCACGAGCAAAAACTCTCCGCCATGTCCGCCTACGAGTATTTCTTACCAGCCGCCCTGAGCTACCGGTTCGCCTGGGATTTACACAAATTCGAGGCGATTACCAAGAACTTGTTCTTCACACAATACCGAGAACTACCATCGAGCAAGATCTTCGTGTCTTTCTTATCGACGAGTTGATTAAAATTAGGGACGAACATAACGTTGATGCGTTCGAGGATGTGAAACTCCCACCAGATTGGGCTGTTGCACATATCGATTCATTAGTCAACATGGCCCTCCCGCTTTTTATCTACGCTGCTACGATATGTCGTTTCATCGAAGATCGAGCATGGTCTGATCCTGCTTCCCAGCTGCAAAAGATTCTTTTCTATCAGGTAAACTTCGATGGATCAGAGATTGACCGGCTTGATAGCACATACCGCACTGTGCTAGATCAGATCCTCGCTAAGAAGGCCGGTTCTGCAAGGCAGTGTCAAATCAACCTCTTCAAAAGTATTGTTGGACCTATAGTGCTTCTGGTCGAGCCACCTTCAGGAAAGGCCCTTTCAGAATTACTTAATATCCCTTTAGCCGCTATTCAAGGCCAGCTGAAACTCTTACATTCCGTATTATCTGTCCCAGATACGGCGGACGCGCCTATTCGTACATTCCATCTATCCTTTCGCGAGTTTCTTGTCAATCCATTGAAACAGAAAGACGAGTTCTGGATTGATTCGCGAGCGGTTCATACGAGGCTTGCCACACAATGCATTCAGCTACTATCTAAAGAAGACAGCCTAAAGAAGGATATCTGTGGCCTCCAGGATCCAGGCGCCAGCCGATCAGAAGCCAGCCAACAGACTATCGACGCATGCATTCCCTCTGCTATTCAGTATGCCTGTTTACACTGGGCACATCATCTTCACCTAGCCGATGACCCTATTCACAGTCAAGACAAAGTGTATAACTTCCTACAGTATCGTTTTCTCTACTGGCTCGAGGTTTTTTGTCTCTTAGGGAGGGTTCAAGAATGCATAGGTATATTATCTACTTTGCAGAGCATTTTTCAGGTGAGTCTTCGTCAATAACCTACCAACGTGAATACTAATTAATTAGCCTGAGACGGGTATTAGCATTTTCCTCTTAGATGCTGATCGATTTCTCCGGAATTGCATTTCGATTGTGACGGATTTCCCTCTACAACTCTATCTATCGGCTTTGATATTTGCCCCGGAGAGTAGCATTGTGAAAACACAGTTTTCTGGTGAGGCTTTAACCTGGATAGCGAATGCACCTACGGTTGCATCAGACTGGGGCTTGTGCATCCAGACACTTGAAGGCCACAGCCTCTGGCTTAGATCGGTTGCGTTCGCGCCTGATGGGCGGCGGCTCGCCTCGGGGTCAGGGGACAAGACCATCAAGGTCTGGAATGCCCAGACGGGCGCGCTGCTTCAGACGCTCGAGGGCCACGGCGGCCCGGTCGAATCGGTTACGTTCACGCCCGACGGGCAGCGGCTCGCGTCGGGTTCAAGGGACAAGACGGTTAAGGTTTGGGATACCGACACGTGCGCGCTGCTACAGACGCTCGGAGGCCATAGCGGCCGGGTCGACTCGGTCACGTTTGCGCCTAATGGGCGGCGACTCGCCTCGGGGTCAGGGGATAAGATGGTCAAGATCTGGGATGCGCACACGGGTGTGCTACTGCGAAGTTTCGATATTGATACTTTAATTAATAACCCAACCATTACGACTAACGTCGGTAAGTTTCCTACCACTGAATCAAATCAGCTAAGGGCAGATAGCCGAAGCAGAAACTCTGCTGTGACTATTAAGCCCGAAGATAGTCGGGCTAGATATGGTATAAGTACTATTGGCAACTGGATCACACGGGACGGGAGGAACTTCGCTTGGTTACCACCGGATTACCAAGCTAACGCCTCAGCTGTACGAGGATCTAGAGTTGCTATTAGGACCAGTAGGAACACATTCATATTCCTACATTTCCCATCATGATGTAGCTTTACACATATCCTAGAAGTATTGTTCATATTTCCCCTTTATTAAGAGGATACCAGGAGAGCACGAAAATCTTATTCAGTCGAAGGCTGTCTATACATTAACTCAGCCGAAGGCTGTCTCTACGTTAAGTCGAGGCACCCAGATTCCGACACCCCCTGGATTCCGACACCACCCAAACCCACCCAAACCACCCACATTGACCACCTCTTTTTGACGCGACAGGACGCGCAGAACACGTCTATTTCATTGATTTGTTGGTGTTTGAACGCGCCGGAGCCAGCACAATGCCCAAATACACCGAAAACGACATCCAGAACGCAATGGCCGACGTGCATGCGGGGATGAGCCAGGCGCACGCGTCGAGGGTCTGGGGGGTCCCAAGAGTCACCCTCATCGACCGACTTCGAGGTGCAGAGCCCTCCTCCCTCGCCGCCTCTGGCCAGCAGAGGTTATCACCAGTTCAAGAGGAACAGCTGGCGCGCTGGATTCTAGTGCAGGACTCACTAGGGCTCGCACCATCGCACGCCCAGGTGGCCGACTTCGTCACCAGAATCCTTCGGCTTGGTGGCGACCATCGACCCCTCGGCAAACGCTGGATTACAGCGTTTCGAAGCCGGCATCCCGAGATATCGACCATCCTCGGCAGACGACTTGACTCTACAAGGGCAAATGGTGCCAATCCGAAGGCAATCAATGCATTCTTTGACCGCGTCGATAACCCCCTCCTCTCGTCGATCCCCGCGTACTACCGATACAATATGGATGAGACAGGTATTATGGAAGGATATGGTGCAAATGGCCTCGTTCTAGGGTGCTCAAAAAAGCGCGCAACGTACGTCAAAGGAGACTCATCACGATGCTGGACGTCCATTATCGAATGCGTCTCTGCTGATGGTCGTGTTCTTGAGCCTGCCATTATCTTTAAGGGCTAAACCGTTCAAGCACAGTGGTTTCCTGATAATGAGCCAGAACTCAGACTTATCGAGAGATGGACCTTCACTGCCCAAAGCAACGGCTGGACGTCGAACGAGCTAGCCATCCATTGGCTGAAGAGGGTGTTTATCCCTTCAACGAAGCCTGACGACGAGAACCAGCAGCGCCTCCTTGTTGTTGACGGGCACGGTAGCCACATCACCGACGACTTCATGTATGAGTGTTTCCTACATAAGATCCACCTACTATACCTCCCGCCGCATACCTCGCATGTCCTTCAACCTCTCGACCTGACGATATTCTCGCCGCTGAAGGTAGCCTATAGACGCTATGCACAACAGCTTCATATCCAGAACGACAGTAACCCCATAGGTAAAACTGGGTTCCTCATTTGCTATGCGAGAGCACGTTACGAAGGCTTTAAAAGGCATAATATTGTGACATCATGGAGGGTGACCGGCTTGTGGCCAGTCTCAAGGTGGCGGCCTCTCAAGAGCTCCCTCGTCGTTAAGCTTACTACTCCTCCAGCGCAGAAGCAAACAGTGGACTTCAATGACGTTTATAGGGCTTCAAGGCCTACTATAATAAAGACACCACAGCAGACAAGTGACGTTCGCGATGCCTTCAATATAGCTGGGTATAACCTCACAAGAAACCCGACCGCCAGGCTCCTATTTAGGAAGCTTAGCAAAGGCATCACCGACAATACCCATGAGGTCGCCCTACTGCAGACAAGAGTGACAAAACTAGAGGCTACAGTCAAGCGATTAAAGCCTAAAAAGCAAGTGATAGTCGCGCCTCAAGACCCCAATGATAGGTTCATCAACATCGAAGCCATCAAGCGCAGCCAAGCACTACTTCAGGCGCGCCTCAGAGAGGCCCAGGAGGCAGCAATCGTGCCCTATGAGGACTGCCTATTTGAGTGGCAAATAGAACTCTAATATGACCTCGTTTTACTGCTCAAATGCACTCGCAATTGCCTCAAAACGGCACTCATTTTGGGTGGGTTTTGGTGGTGGGGAGGTGTCGGAATCCAGGGGGTGTCGGAATCTGGGTGCCTCGACTTAATGCTTTGGTGCAGACAGGTCAAAAAGTTTTTCCAGCTCTGATTGGTCCAGATGGCCGCAAATCGTTGAACGATTGGACGCCTCCGGTTTTAAAGTGGACCCCAGTTTTATGGGGCTCAAAAAGTTTCTCGCGCTTTTATTGGCCCAAACTCGTATGGACCTCGCAAAACGTTGCGCAACTGGTTGGCGGCCTTGTCAGCACCGTATTTCGCGATTGTCGTGGCCAGCCCTCCCCTCACGGCCCACTCCCTCTAACCGTGAATATTGCTGCCTGTTGATGCGCCGCATACTGCTACAGGGTCGGACAGCCAGAGCTACTTAAGCACCTCGTGAGATCAATCGACGTACAGGACGTTGCCAGATCTGGCGCACCGCAGATCGCCCACGAAGACACGTGCTCAAGCAAGCCCTTCATTGCATGCACTAGCGACCAGCAGAGACGATGCCTCAAGCCACGGGGACTGCGACGCGCGAGGAGGAGCACACGCTGCAGCTGCCTAACAACCGGCAGCTGGTCTACGCTGACAACGGCAACCGGGCCAGCCGTACCGTCGTCCTCTTCTTCTCTGGCTACCTCTCGGTTGGGATGGCGCGCAGCATCCCGGCGCCGCTGCGGGAGCTGGACGTGCACTGGATCAGCCCGACGCTCCCGGGCAACGCCGAGTCGTCGGCCATCCGGGGCGCGCCGTACAACGTCGGCCTGTGCCAGGACATGACGCGGCTGCTCGAGCACCTCCATCCGGGCGGTCTCGACGCGCTGTACGTCGCGGGCGGCTCGTATGGCACGGTCCAGGCCCAGATGCTCTACGGCGCCCCCTACGGGCTCTTCCCCATCGGTCGCAGCATCGCCGGCCTCCTGCTCCTGGCGCCCTTCTCGCCCTTCCGCGCGCACGCCGGCTACAGCCGCAGCATGACCTGGCAGAACTGGATCTCGGTTGGCCCCGTCAGCCAGTGGTTGCCCTTCCGGGCGGTGCCGCGCCTGGTGAGCGTCGCCATGGGGTCTAAGGTCAAAGACGTGGCCACGGCCAAGGCCTTTATGCACGACTTCATCGTCAAGCCAATGGACGCCGAGGAGCGGCGGGAGCTTGACGACTGGCTCGCGCGACAGCGAGAGGACAACGGCGACGACGGCTCCGCCCCGCTGACCCAGGACCGCTGGCTGGAGCGCATGGCCGAGGGCGCGGTGCGCTGCGCCCGCAGCTGGGACGGCTTCCTCGAGGGCAGCGACGTGCTGCACTCGGACTGGGGCTTCGTGCCGGCCGAGCTGGACGCGGACCACCGCCGCCCGCCCGTCCTCATCGTCGCCAGCGACAAGGACGAGCTCGGCCACGATATGTACCGCTGGCTCCGCGACAACTACGCCAACTCGGCTCTCCGCGTCCTCCACGGCGGCCACCTCGCCGCCACCTTCCACATGGACGAGTTGTGGGCTGAGCTGCTGGCCATGAGACGGCCGCAGGCGTAAGGCGGCAACGCACCCTTTCTCAGGAGAGCAAAGCCTGCTTAAGACTTCGCCGTCCAAATGACCGCTTTTATTTCTCCTCGCTCTTGTTTCTCCTCGCTCTTGTCCATAAGTTTTTCAGCCGAAGGCTGTCTATACATCAATCCATAAGTTTTTTTTTCCGAATAACGTTATGTCAAGACCGGATCGGGATTATTCTCGCGGTTCGGCGTCGTCGCGGAGTCGGTTCGTAACTGGTTACTCATCGTTCTACTGTAGGCTGTCCTACTGCTGTCGGGTTTGTGTATTCATCGGTGGATCATATTTAGTGGAAAATATGGGGGTAGAAAGGGAATCTGGGGTAATGAGGTTAAGTAAATCCTCGGAAAAGGGGCTGGAATGAGACAGACCTGCTACGTGCACAGACCTTTCGTAGGACATGACATATCCAGGAAGGCAATGAGCGAGACTTCACGGCATGCAGGGATTCTGTTGGAGATGTGGGGCGCGTGGATCCCTTGGATTTCACCTAAAACCGCCCTGGAATAAGACAGTAGGTCAAGTAGGGGCCGGAATGATGGTCAGGCTGCAAAAGGTCATGCCCGTGTAAGAGTTATGCCCGGGTAGCAATTCTTCATGCCCGTGTAGTAATTGCCTCAGAGAATTAGAGCCTCTAATTCGGCACCCCCTTTTCTTCTTTTCGATTCACAGTCTCCTAGGGATACCTAACCCATTCAATTTCAACCCTAATAACCGAATCATGGATCAATGAATGGCCGCCGGGCCTTATATAAGGTACCCAGCTTATAGAACTCTGCCTCAAGCAGGGAGCCACATCCTGTCTCTACTCGTTGCTTGCAGTACAATGCAGACCCAGCTCACTCTCGACCCCATTGTCGACAGCACATGGCAGTCTGTGCAATCCTTAATTAGCTACCCGGGCGCTGTAATATGTCGAAGTAGCTACAGGCCTTCGAAAGACGGTGCGCATGGCTCATTGATAATTCACCACATGGGGGCCTAGGTAGTTGGTAAGCACCGACCAGCTGCAAATACTGACCACCTGCTTATCTGCTTAAGATCTGCAGGTCCGCGTCCGACAGCGTGAAAAAGGGCTCGATGCACTGCTCGTACGACGTCTGCATGATCCAGTCAATGTCCTCGGGTGCAAAGGACGAGCCCTGCGCATCGTTTTCCGCCAGTCCGACACGCCCCACCTGCGACTGCTGCGAACCGTACGACGACGGCATGCTCAGGGAGAACATGGCTGCCGGTGGTGGCTCGGAGAGCGTGGCCCCTGCATCGTTGGTCGTCATCATGTCTGACGGACTGTCCGTGTCGTGATGGTTCTGGTCGGCAAACGCGCCTGCGCTCTGCATAGTTGCCTGCCAGCGCCTGAACGAGTCGTAGTCTGGGACCTGGCTGGGCGGCGCACGCGAGAGGTCGGCGCTGCACGACGCATGCCCCGAGTGGTACCTGGAGCCCTGCAGGAGGAGGTGGCCGAGCGCCTCGTTTAGGTCCTCGATGAGCGACGTCTCGGCACGTGCCAGGTCGCCCATGGACGACAGGTCACGCACCATCAGCAGACCTTGCTGTAGGAGGCTTCGGAAGGTGTCGGTCCGGTTCTGGATCGAGTAGGCTATCAGCACGAGCAGGAACGCGCGACACGAGTTGTGCTCGATGAAGGACCCTTTGGACAGCCCGTCCTCGCCCTGATACAGATCCCAGCACAGGGCCGCCGCCTCGCAGGCGGCGGCAATGGCGTCGTCCACCAGTGTGCGCTCGGACGCGTTCCTGGTCTCACTACCGGTGCCTTGGGCCTGGGACTGGACGGAAAGCTCGCCTGATGGCAATGCTGCCGCTGCCGCTGCCGCTGCTGTTGCTGCCCGGGTCCAGTCGATGGAGTCGTTGGGGATTGACGATGTGGCACTAGCCTCACGATCATCTCCCTTGGCGACGCTGGCGTTGCTGAGACCCGGCGACAGGAACGGCCGCCCGACAAACATTCTGATCAAGCAGTACAAGAGGCGCAGATGCACACAGGAACGCGCTGCCTGGGCGTTTTCGATGGCGGCGACGTCTAGCGCAGCGCGCGGTATGGTGTCCCAGTAGTTCTTCAGTTCCGCCTTCATGGCCGCCAACTGTAGCACGGCAAGACCCGCGTCGGCCATATGGGTCTTCTTGCGAAGGAACAGGCTGCTCAAGAGATGGTTAGATAACAATGGAATTCGACGCGAGGTGAAAAAAAGAAATACTCACATCTGCTTCAGGAAGTCACCGAGGTACTGAATGAGCTTGATCCAGATGACCATGCGCCCGATGTCCAGAGGCCCATCGTCCGGCATGATGTCGGGCGCCGGGCGAGGCAGGTCAGCGTCGATGTCGGAGGGCAGCAACGAGGGTGGCCGTCCGTGGAAGATTGCAATCTTTCTGCGACAGACGGATTTCAGCACTAAGAAAAGCCAAGGGAACGGCGTGGAGCGTCAACTCACTTTTCTATGCTGCAGACAGACCACCACACGCGGTTGCGCGTCTCAATGGTCAGCGGCGACATCTTCTTGCCCTGGTACCGGCGGTGCATTCCATTCTGTATGGCAAGCCTAGTCGCCAGGCTGAAGTAAACGTAGGAAAGCCCCGGAGCGTCGAGCGGCTGTGCGTAGAAGCCCAGAATCGTGATGGCCTGCACGCTCTCCAGTGACGCCGACTGGAGCACCTCGGGCAGCAGCCGCGTGGCACTCTCGTAAAACAGATTGCCCACCTCGTCCTCGGCCTCGCCCGGTGGCTGCAGGGTAGTAGCCTTGCGCCGCGACGAGTCCATGTGGGCGTACTGCGTGCCGGCCGCCAGCACGCCGAAAATGATGCACACGGTGGCGGCGTCCAGCTCGGACGCGTCGCCCGGGCTCCCCCGGTACAACACGTCCAGCTTCCGCTGGAACCAGTCCCTCTGCACGAAGAAGAAGTTCTTCTGCGCATAGGCGAAGAAGACCTTGGCGAGGAACGTGGCAACGAAGCGCGGCGGCAGCCCGGCGACGGCATCACGAATGACTCGCGTGCTCTGCTTCTCCCGCAGGGGCCGCCAGCAGCTCGGCACCGTGTCATGGCCTTGCACATCATTTTTGTAGCCAAGTCTGGCCTGGACATGTCGTTTTACCTTCATGGAAAAGGTCCAGTAGGAGAACTCGCCCGAGTAGTCTAGCAGCGGTTAGCCAAAGCTTGGGGGTCAAGATAGGTGCTCAACAGACAGGCTGAATTGCGGTCTCGGGGTTCCAGCTCGCAGTCTTGATCGCAGACGTTCTCGGCTGCCTGGGCGACGACCTCGTGGGCCGAGTCTGGACTTCGTGCCAGGCATGCATGGTAGTGCTTGCAGAGGCTGTCGGTGTCGAGGGGGAGATCGGGCCGTTCGTGCTTGAGGATGCCTTCGAGGTACTGGACGCGGCATGCGAGCTCGGCATAGGACGCCTTGTTCGCTGGCGTCTCGTCGCGCCTCCGCCTGCTTTTGCGTGTGTCAACTCGGGGCGATTACCGCGGCCGCAACAAGGTCGGCGGAGGACGTACTTTACCTGGCTCAGGCGAGCGCTGGAGAACTTGCAGGGGCGCTGGAGACGAGCACACCGCCGGCAGGGCTGCCCGCCCTCACACTTCTCTTTGACTTTGCGGCATCCATCGCATCTGCAGATTGATCAGTCGGCCACTCAGGGGGTCCTGATGACATGTAGAAGGTGGGGAGGGAGTTTACGCCCGGGACGCTCGTGACTTTGCCTCGTTAAAATAAGATAGCCGCCCTGGTCGTTCTGCATGCCGCGCCCATTCCTCCGCCATCCAATCAATGTCGGTGCCCACTGCGGAGGGTCGTCCACGGACGGGCTCAGACTGGCCGTCGTTCCAAGTGGCTTCGCTGTGCGGTACGGACGTTGGTGCGTAGCTTGCCATCTCTGCGAAGAAGTCTGCCATGGAGAATCTCAGCGCTCCGCCTGGTGGATATCACCACTCTGAACGTGTCATGGCAAGATTCACGGCTGGGATGTGGAGAAAAGCGAAAGCCGGCGGGGACGTGGGCATCATGTGGGGTTAACACGGGGTTCAGAGCTTGCACTGTGCCAAGAAAAAACTCAAAACCCACATTTCTACATCCTTATCAAGGTATGGGCCTCTAGTAGACCTTGATCTATGAGCGACAATCCTGAGGCGGGACCACCTAATTAGGTACCTAGCCTCCTAGGCCTAACGGGCTGGAAGGGCACTTGAGGGTGGTTTCTATGCACGTTGATGACCCCGCGTTCTCTAGCGCGCCCTAGGTAATAAGCTATCTTCAGTTCGTTTTAGTCGTCTCCTTAACACCCCCACCCCCGTGGGGACGGATACAAAGTAATATTTCATAAACTGACGCGTTTGGATCGTACTGTGTTGTATGGACTGTTACGCCCGGGATTGTTCTTGGGCTCTTATGAGCGTCTGCCTTGGACGACTACAACAGTCGTATTACCAAGGTTGACTTCCTCGGCACGTGCTCTGTCAAAAGTCTACAGACGGGCCCTCCTCGCCTCAAACGTCTTCTGCGCCTTCCTCCAATTCTCCAGCACATTGTTGCCAGTGCTGTCCAGCCTGGCCTGCGTGATCTCAAAGATGGCAGGGATGTCCACGTCCCCGAAGCCGGCCTTGTCCACCACCATAGCCGCGATGCCCTTGGCGGCCAGGAACACCTGCGGCATGCCGTGTCCGTTGAACCCGGCCAGAATGTACTGGTTCTTCCGGCCGGGAATCTTGCCAACGAACGGCAGCGAGTCGCTCGTGTACCCCATGACTGTGGCGTGACAAACAAATCAGTGAGTATAGTGGTGGAGCGACTACTGCTAGTAGTATCGTAAGGGTTAGGCCGAGGGAGCCCACTTACTGCCGGTCCATATTCTATCCACCTTTGCCCCGCTATCCTCCCACCCGTGGAAAACGCGCTGCATGAACCCATCAAAGTAGTGCCGGGCCGACTCGATCAGGGCATCGTCGTTCGCGTTGTTGTACCAGCTCGGCAAGTCGTGGAAGAACTCGGACCGCGCGCCGCCGACGACGATACTACCGTCCAGCCGCGGGATCAGGTACTCGTAGTTGGTGTCGGACCAGCGTATCATGTACGACGTGCGCAGCGCCGGTGCCGCCACCGCCCGCGCCGGGCGAATGTGGCTACATATCCCCCGCGCCGCGATAATCTTGTCCGCGAACTCGGGCAGCAGCGCGTTGGTGTAGCCGTTGGTCGCGAAGATGACGTTCCGGGCCCGCATCTGGCCCCGTGGTGTCGTGATGGTCACGTAACCGTCCGTGTCGGTCGTTTTGCTGACACCCGTGACTGGTGTGTGGGTTTGCAGGTTCACGCCCGCGTCGAGTGTCCTCGTGAGTAGGTCGAGGATGAGCTTGCGTGGGAATAAATGTCCGGCCGAGAAAGTAGCACATGCTTTAGCCCCCTTGACCCCTGATAGCTATTTGAAAAAGCAAAAAGTCAACAATTGAACAGAGGCATCAACAACACTGGACAACAACGATGGAGGGGGTTTGGTGTCAATGCTCACCTACCCTTTCGGAGTCGGGACCTTCTACAAAGTACAGATCGGCTATGGTTAGGTTGGCATTGTTTCGGAGCAAGTCGATTTTAGACTTTGCCTGGGCCGCGGTCTCATCGGTCATGAAGACGTCGACGGCTCGCGTGTAGACGAAATCGCAGTCGATCTTGTTGTCCTCGATGGTCCGCTTCACCGCCGCCAGGTTGCGCACCTCGAAGCTGGCGACTTCTGCGGCGGCATCGACGCCGTGGGAGACGGCGAGGTTGGCTGGGCCGCTGTAGATATCCGGCTTCAGATGGCCGCCTGGCACACGAGCCAGGGAGATTAGAGTCCATGGCCATCAGGGAGGGAGACAGCGTCAGAGGAGAGGACGAACCATTTCGTGCGGTGGCGCCGGAGCACGCTTGCCGAGCTTCGAAGATGGCAATGCGCGGTGGCGACGTGCCCTGACTCTTGCAAGAATTGAGGATGTGGTGCACGGTGGAGACGCCTGCGTAGCCCGCGCCAATGACGGCGATGTCGACTTGTGGGGGCAGCTCTGAGGTTGACCGGTAGTCGGCCAGCCTGTGTGCCGCTGCTCCCCAGAACGAAATTGTGGGGTTGGCAACGGGAAGAGAAGAGCCAGCCATGGTGACGGTGACGGAGGCGGTAGAGTCCAGGCCGCGGTTCCAGTCAGTCCTGGTCTGGGCCACGGCTTCTTGGGGACGATTGGGAGTCTTTTAATTGTATACCAACGGGGAAGGGGGGCCGCGATGGATGATTGGGGGTGGAGACTTCCGGCACTAACATAAGCGGACCCGGGCCGGTCAGTAGCGTGGAAAGCCCCCCAGAGCGCCGGGTCCGGTCGAGGTCATGTACTGTGTAAAGTCATTAGGGTGAGTGAAGGAGTAGCCAGCCAACCGGCCTGCTTTGTGGGCCCGCTCCCTGGCCTCCAGAGATAAGCGGGCGCACGAAGACGCCGCTAACAATGGATTTCCCCAAACGACTGTGCACGCTTGTCCAGCCGCTACGTCCCTCCCCGTACTGGGGAAGTCGTTATCAGACAGGGGCAGGGAACTTGAGCCGGTGCAGATTTCCTTAAGTATCGCTTCATGCGACGCGTAAGTCGAGTTACGGAGGACTTGCTCAAATCCACTCTCCCGACTTCCTACTTTGTCAAGCCCTGGTCTGTGCTACCACCATGGCGTCTTACAGCGCAAAGGACGAATCCAAGATAGAGTCTGGTCCCAACGACAAGGCTGACCTGGCCCACATCCCAAGCTACGCCGCCATGGAGAACGCTGAGCATCATGACGGGACCGCCCAAGTGCAGATCGACGAGGCCTACCTGCGTGCCGGATGGTCTGTCAAGTTTTTCCGGGGCATCCTGCTGCAGATGATCCTCTTTGGAGCGTGAGTCGTCTCCCTCTTTCAGGCCCTCCTTTCTCCTTGCCCACTCCCGGAAGGCCGCACACTAGGTTTGCCCCGGGACTCTCTGGCCACACTTGCTGACCAGAGAGAGTGTTTGATCAGGCTCTCGTTCGTTGGCCCCGCGATATCGGACGCCATCTCCAACCTCGGCGGCGGCGGGCTGTCCAGCCCATACCTGGCCAACCTGGCGACGTCGCTCAACTATGCGGCGGGCTGCGTGGTGTCGCTGCTAGGCGGTCCGCTGATCAACAAGCTCGGCATCAAGTGGGCGTGCATCATCGCCGCCCTGGGCATGCCACTGGCCGGGTCAGCGTTCTATGTCAACGCCACCTCCGGCGTCAGCTGGTACCTTATCCTGGCCAAGACGGTGAGCGGCATCACCAACGGCTTCCTCTACGTTGCCGAGGCCACGGCCATGCTGTCCTACCCCTACCCCAACGATCGCGGCTTCTACCTGGGTGTCTGGTCCGCCATGCGCAACTCGGGCAGCATCATCGGCGGTGGTATCAACTTTGGCAACAACCACAACGTCTCGGTGGCCGGCGGCGTAGCCACGTCTACGTATCTCATCTTCTGTGGGATCGGTATGTGCTACTCCTAGTGCGTCTTATTGTACTGTGACACACACGCGCTAACCTGCACTCCTCCTGTCCAGAGTGCACGGGCATCATCTGGGCCTTCCTGCTTTCTCCCACGCGCAGGGTACGCCGCCGCGACGGCAGCATGGTGCGTGTGCCGGAGCAGCTGAGCTGGAAGAGTGAGTTCGCGGCGCTGTGGCGGCACTTGCGGCGGCCCAAGATGCAGCTCATGTTTCTGCCGGCCTTCTACTCGTTCTTCCTGGGCGGCACCATGGGCACCTACCTATCGGTGCACTTTTCGGTGCGCGCCCGCGCCCTGTCGTCGCTGCTGCTTCCTTCCGTCACCGTCCCCACCGTCATCATCTACGGCAAGCTGCTCGACACGCGCCGCTGGTCGCAGCCATTCCGCGCCTGGCTGGCCTTTGCCATCTGGTTCGTCTGCCAGGCCGCCAGCTTCTGCTGGATCGGTTACAACTACAGTGGCTTCGGCACCAACCGGCTCGCGCTGGACTACGGCCTGTGAGTCATCTGTAACTCCGTCCGCCTCCCTCTGATATTCCTTGCTGCTAATCCACTGCCCCCAGTGACGGCTCCACCTGGGGCGTGGCGTACGGGCCCTACCTGCTCATGTTCGTGACGAGTTACTGGGTCCAGGTCTCTATGTACTGGATCCTCGGCACCTTCACCACCGACGCTGCCAGCTCGGCCCGCACAGGCGGGCTGTTCCGCGGCTTTGAAACGCTCGGCCAGTGCGTCTCGTACGCCATCAACTCCCAGAGCTACATCGACATCCGCATCCCCTTCGCTGTCCACGCCGCCCTGCTGGCCGCCACCGTTCCCTGCATGGTCCTCCTGATCAGAATGGTTCCCGAGATGCCCGCCGACGTGGATGTGGATATTGGTGATTTGGTTGTACAGGGCGTGGCTGCTAAGCCCCAAGAAGCTGAGCATAAATAGGGCTGAGAATGATATGGAAAGGGGTCGGAACGGACGGGGTCATGGTGGTTTGCCTTCTGTCTGATGAGCCAATCGCAGCTTCTCTATTGTGGATTTTTGGCATTTGCTGCCCCAAAATATTCAACTACTTCCTTGACTGCGCTTTAATCCAAGAAAAATCATCCACCTGTCGTTGCGTAACATACGCACTCGTGCCGACCAAGGTCGACTCAGCTCTACAGCCACACCTGTTATATAGGCGCTCTTGTTCGCCGGAGGCTTTTGTGAAGCGTCCAAGGTTTGCAGGAACGCAACCGGCGGTATGAGGACATTGCGGGCGTGGACCAGGCCCCAGGCACAATCAGGTTGGACGGAAATCGGCGCCGGCTATTTTGTTTACAGTGATCACCGTCTCAAAACTCCGAATCCATCAATGTTCCTACCCTAATACTATGTTATGAGTAAACTACAGTGATAAAACGTAATATCTATTTGACTGATATTCGGATATAAGAACATGAATTCGACTTTTTCAGTGGTTTTGTTATATAATCAAAGACAAGTGACCACTGTGAACTCCGTAGCCGGGCACGCCTCGCGACGCGGCGTTATAGCCACTGCTTCCTTTACGTAATGGAACAGGATCGCGACCAAACTCTATTCTTATCCTGGCGCGGGCAGGCCTGGCTTAGGGTCAAACAAATGGTGGGCCGGTCCCCGGCAGTAGCCCTGTGGGCCCGGCAATGGCCATGCCACCGGGAAGCACCGCCCGGTTTACCATGCCGGTGCGGCCCATTGTCTTGGCGGCCCCCCTCATTGAACAATCGGAGCCATCCCAAATGCCGCGCTTCTTAATATCTGTGGTGCTGTAGGTTGGGGTGCGAGGACGTGTTTGGCATCGAGACAGCATTTCCTCCATTACGTCTCTCTGACAGTGTGACTCTGGTCTTTCCATCCATCCCGCCAGCATGACCCAAAACAAGACTATCGTATTCGATGTGGTGGGCACGCTCGTGTCGTTTGAGCACCTCTTCGATGCAATCGACGCGCGCCTAGGCGATAGGCTGAAGGCACGCGGCATCCAGCCTAAGCTGCTGTGCTGCTGTTGGATGGAGATGGCCGAGCGCGAGTATACCTACCTGTCGCTGTCTGGGCGCTACCTCGTCTTCTACAAAGTCTTCGAGGCTCTGTTCTACCGTACGCTATGGTACGCCGGCGTGGAGGATCCGCGCGCCTTTGCCAGCCCGGACGACGTTGCCTACCTGATCGGCGAGTGGAAGCGCATGGAGCTTCGCGACGGCGCCGCCGAGTGTATCCGGAAGCTCCGCGACGCCGGCTTCACAATCTACTGCTTCACCGCGGGCGACGTGCCGCGCGTGACGGGCTACTTCCAGCGCGCGGGCGTCGACATGCCTGCCGACCATGTGCTCTCGTGCGACACCGCAGGCCTCGCCAAGCCCACCCTCGACGCCTACCGCCCCATCCTCGCCCGGCTCACCACTGACCAAGGGAAGCCCTGGTTCGCTGCCGCGCACCTGTGGGACGCATCAGCGGCTAAGGCCGGAGGGTGAGTAGGCCAGACCTGTCGAGGCGCATGATAGCAGCCCCCTGCTTACTCCGGCCAAAGTCACTAACTCGGACCCTCCTATTGCAGATTCAACGCAGCTTACTGCACCGCGCTCGAGGGCGAGAACCTGTCTGAGATCTTCGGCCAGATGGACGTGGTGGCCGACACGCTGCCAGACATGGCGGACAAGGTTATTGCTGAATCGAGAAAGTGACTTGTCTGATGGATGTATGGCGAGGAAAGAACACATTGTTATGTTCCTGCTATCGTCAAATAACGTACTCCATAAGGGAGTGGGACAAATAAGGGAGTGGGACACTTCCGTGCTACCTACGCGACAATATATAAGAGAAATCAACCATAACGCCTCAAATTAATTCAAACTATTCAGAATCCTCTCCTTCAGAGGTGGACTCAACTTTCTAATACGTACGCGTATTATAGCCGGGCTCCCCGTAGACGCTAGATCCTACCTCCGGGGTCAACCGTCTAGCAGGGCGCTGGGGTTACTGTTCTGCAAGATAGGTAAAGCCTATGCAATAATACTTATACTCCGCTATCGTTCTCTCTTATGGTTATTATATCTCTTGGAAGAGATACCAGTCTCAGCAATTAAGTAACTAGTTTAAGTATATGGTGAAACGGATACTTAGATTGATCGCTGAGGTACAAAGGTAATAACTATGTATCTAGGGGATCCTTCGCATCTATATATCCTTTATCCTTCATCGTTCCGGTATGGTCACTCCTTTTTACGTGATAGTCGCGTCTTCGGGGACGACCGTCACGCCTAGCAGAGTGACGGTCATACCGATATGCATAACCACTCGTACGGTACCCGGGTTCGACCCTTATCGGTCCTGATCGTTACTAACATAAGAAACCCGTGACGGCACTACCACATGATCCGCCCTTATCCCTGGCCTGATCCTGTGGCCTAGTTTGTTTGTGTTCTTTCGTGCCCAAACAATCGTCCCCTGTTGGTTGGGCGTTACACGCGCTTTGTAGGTTAACTATGGTATCGTCTATGGAGTGTTAATTTCGATACGTTGTATATCGATGCAGCTTTACGAATTGTTAATTGTGGGTTTTTAAGCGTATTAAGCGCTAGAATTAAATCGCCTTCAGATAATTATCGTGGTATAATTATTGGTGGAGGAAAATAAGAAGAAAGATAGTGTCTTTCAGAAGGCGGGAAAGTATCCCACTCCCTTATGGAGTACGTTACCTCTTTTAGATATTTTATTATATTGACATGAATATATAACGAGAGAAGAAGGCACTATTGTATTCCTACTTCTCGTCATTTACCTCTCTTAGATATTATATTGACCTTCGTTCCTCTTTATAAGAGTGTCATTACATGTTACTCCGTATATCCTCGACTGTCAAGGTGCCCGTCTTTGAGATTAGGTACTCCTCAATCGCGACGTCCTTGCCCGCCTCCTTGCCGTATCCCGACATTTTGATACCGCCAAATGGTGACTCGGCACACGACGAATTGCCTGCAGGTCGATTAGTAAAACAAGTTTTTATGATGAAGTGAAGCACCTCTCTCACCCGTGTTCATGCCAATCATGCCGGCTTCCAACGACTCCAGCAGCCGCCAGGTCCGGCTGACATCCCGGGTGAAGAAGTAGGATGCTAGACCCATGGACGTGGCGTTCGCCTTGTCCACGGCCTCCTGCTCCGTCTCAAAGCGGTAGATGCCGAGCAGCGGGCCAAAGATCTCCTCGCGGCACGAAAGCATGTCGCTCGTCATGTCCGCGATGATGGTGGGCTGGTAGAAGTGTCCCTGCAGCAGCAGCTGGTCGTCGTCTCCCCCGTCTCCGCGTGCGGCCCGCGCGCCGCCGCAGAGCAGCCTGCCGCCCTTGGCGAGCGCATCGGCCACGTGCGCCTCGACCTTTGCCAGGCCGCGCGCCGTCGTCAGTGCGCCCATCGTCGTGCCGGATCTGGCGCCGTGGCCCACGCGCAGCCCACGCGTCGCCTGGACCATCATGGCCGCGAAGGCGTCGTAAACGCCGCTCTGCACGTAGACGCGGTTGGCGTGCGTGCAGGCCTGCCCGGCCGTGCGCCACTTGAGCACCATCAGCGCGTCCACGGCTGCCTGCAGGTCGCCGTCGTTGAAGATGACGAACGGACAGTTGCCGCCCAGCTCCATGGTCAGCTTCTTCAGGCCCTCGCTGCAGTGCCGCGCTACGATGCTGCCGACGGCCGTACTGCCAGTGAAGGTAACCTTGCGCACGAGCGGGTGCTTACACAGGCGCTCGCTGACGGCGGGGGTGAGGGCGTTGTCGGTCGTGATAACGTTGAGCACGCCGGCGGGGAGCCCGGCGCGTAGTGCCAGGTCCGCGAGGGCCATGACGCTCAGCGGCGTCTCGGGCGACGGCTTGACAATCATAGAGCAGCCCGCCGCCAGCGCCGCGGCCGCCTTGCGTACAATCATGGCGACGGGGAAGTTCCACGGCACCAGCGCCACGCAGACGCCAATGGGCTGCTTAACGACGACGGTGCGCCGGCTCGACACGGACGGCTGCGCGACAGACCCGCGCACGCGCTCCGCCTCGCCCGCGAACCACCACGCGAACCCGTTGGCGTAGTCGACCTCGCCCTGCGCCTCGGCCATTGGCTTGCCCGTCTCGTGGACGACGAGCGCCGCTATGTCGTCCCGCGCCACCGTGATCAGCTCGTGCCACCGCATCAACACCTTGGCACGCTCGCGCGGGTTCGTGTGGCGCCAGCCGCCATAGGCAGCCTGCGACGACTCGACATATTGGTCCACGTCGGCCACGTCATTGTTGGCGCACGACGCCCACACCTTGCACGTGCCGGGATCTGTGCGATTGGCTCTAGTTAGTCCTATGTAGGTTCCGAGCCACATCCTGGCACAGGCTGCAGTAGCACGCGACTGACCTTCGACATCAAAGCGGTTCCCCGACTTGGCTTGCACCCATTTCCCGCCAAGGAGCGACGCCTCGTGGAGGAGCGTGGGGTCATTCAGCTGTGTGGTTCTGTCGTCAGTACGCCGGCACAGACCCCGGCCATGGGAGGGAGAGCTAGAGCTGTGCGGGGAGAGGCGACGCACCGTGAAAGGCAGGTTCGACATGGCGGCGTCGGAGGGAGTAAGGCAGCTTAGTTGGAGCAGCATAGAGGACGGTAGCAATTAGTCCGGCCCATAGCAAGCGTTCGAGACAGAGGCAAGAGGGCCTGCAACTTAATAAAGGAGGCACAAGCACTGTTTCTGTTGCTGGTCGTTACTATACACCCCGCAGATACGCTCAGCTTCGGCTCTCATCCTGTTAGACAGTGCAAGCTTAGTCACTCAGCTGGTGCGGAACACCCTAGCATCTCCATGCCTATAGAGAGACAAATATTGTCATTCGCTGATGGTGCAAAATGTGGGGCTTTCCGTCAGACCGGAGAGCCACAGGGCCGGGCCGGGGGCCGGGTCCATAATTCTCGACCGGGTTAAGAGCCGCTTCCCGATGAGGAACACCAGTCATCCTTTGTATGTCATGCGGTGCACTGTTTCGTCACGCTGGCCTGACTGAGAGACGCCCGGCATATTTGGTGCGATGGACAAGCACGAGAAAAAGTTGCTCGGCGTTACCTTCACAGTGAGCCGTGCGGTACGAACCGGCTACTGACGGGTGCAGCCAAAGAGACTCCAAAACCGCCTGGGCGCAACCGGCGTTCCGTCGTAGGCAAGCCGAGTTGGTCAAGGAGCTCCAGAACCAGGTCGAATCGAGCCACTAGCCATGCGATGACCAGGTCGTGGCGCTGGAACGTGACAACAAACGTCTCACGGCCACTCTCTCCGGCATCCTCTCCCAGGTGGAAGTGTCTACAGATTCCTTGGGGCTGGTGTCAGCGGCATGCGCTGTGGCACCCGATGGGGGTAGTTACGGAGACGTCTGGCCGACCTGATCGTTGGCATGGCCTGTAGGGGGGCATGGAGAAGAGGAGTGCGAGTAATCTTACGCGAACCTTGAACTACCCGCACCGGACGTCCAGTCCCTCTTCGCTTCGCCCGGCTATGCCTATTTGACCTTCAAGTACCTGAAGATGGACTGCGGCGCGTCGCACTACAAGATGGACCCGGTATTCTTCGTCAAGTATGCCGAGCTGAGACAACATCATGGCGTCGAGCATGCCCATCCGGCCCGCTGCACAGACCACTCTGACCGCAAAAACCCTTCGGTCTTCGAGCCCGTTCACGGCAGCGCCTTTGACATCATGGGCAAGGGCATCGCCAACCCCATTGGTGCCATTTGGGCCGCAGCGGATATGCTTGCTTGGCTAGGAGAACAGGAGTCGGCTGATGCCATCATGGGTGCTATCGAGCGCGTGTGCAAGGAAGAGAAGGTTACCGCAGATATGGGAGGCGAGTTGAACACCAAACAGGCCGCGGCTGCGATCTGCGAAGCCCTCTCAGCCACCAAGTAATCAGGAGTTCGCGGCATCATGGGCAGAATACATTGGATTGGATGGCATGCCGAATGGTGCTGGCCTTAACAAAATAGACCAAAAGCAATGTAATTAAGATTATTGACTCTCCCCGCCCGGTTAGTACTCGAGAGTAGCCATAATGGTAAAATCCTGGTTCCTAGAAATTTACTGGAAGAGACCCAATTCCAACAACAACATGCTACGCCCAGGACTCGTTTCTGTTCTTGAATTAGCGTAGGTGTTATGTGAATGTGGCTTTTGCTGATTGCAATTGGTGAAGATTCCACAAATCCGGAAAGATTTTTGTGGCAGAGGTAGGTAGGTACCTGCAAAGGTACCGCCTCGTGTGCGCCATGCCAATGATACGTCAATATCAATATAATGGCCCGTCTAAACAAAGTAGCGCAGTAAGGAACAGACCTGGTGACAGGAAGCTGGCGTTCCATCGCCCAACTGTTTGAGCTCACAGGTACGATGATATATTCAACAACGTTGACATGCATCAAGAAGGTCGACAAGCTTGAGAATTGGATCAAATACTACGATGGATTCTCTACTTCAAACTCTATCGGGAAAGTAATTTTGACCAACACCATATGCTTGGCCCCTACTCAATTCCCGTCATAATCATCTTCGTGACAACGAATTCGTCGATGCCGTATTTGCTGCCCTCCCTGCCAAAACCGCTCTGTTTGACGCCACCAAAGGGAGCGACCGGATCACTAATGGCACCTGTAAATTTCTCCAGTCAGTTTTCCGGGCGATCTCATACAAATAGCAGGAACAGACGAAACAAACGTACCAACGTTCACACCAACCATGCCGACTTCGAGCGCCTCAGCAACACGCCAGCAGCGGCTCAAGTCCTTGCTGAAGAAATATCCGGCTAGACCAACTTCGGAATCGTTCGCCATATCGATGGCTTCCTGCTCATTGTCGAAGGGAAAGAATGCAGCGACTGGACCGAAAGTCTCTTCAGAGCAGATCTTCATGCCAGGCTTCATATCAGCCAGGACAGTGATGCCGAAGAAGTTGGTTCCCAGGGAGAGACGCTTGCCACCGTGAACAACCCGAGCGCCCTTTGCCACGGCGTCCTTGACGTGATCATCCACCTTGGCTACGGCAAGACCGTGAATGAGGGGTCCATGAGTCGTCGTTTCGGCCATACCGTCTCCAACCTCGAACTTCTCAACGGTATCAACAACCATTGAGACGAACTTATCATACACTTTGCGGTGTACTAGGATGCGGTTTGCACACACGCAGGTCTGCCCGGAGATACGGAACTTTGACGCAATAAGGCCGCGAAGAGCGATATCGAGATCAGCATCTTCAAAGACGATAAATGGGGCGTTACCGCCAAGCTCGAAAGATACTTTCTTAAGAGTGGACGAGCACTGGTTCATCAGGAGCTTCCCTACCCTTGTTGACCCAGTAAATGAAACCTTCTTGACGATGGGGTGCGTCGTGAGAACCTTTCCCACCGCCACAGTATTTTCCAGGGCGGCAATAATATTGACGACGCCCTTGGGGAAGCCAGCTCGGTCAGCGAGTTCTGCTAGCGCGAGGGCTGTCAACGGGGCTTCGGCGGGGGCTTTCACGACCACGGTACAACCGGCAGCCAATGCAGGCCCGGCCTTGCGGGTAATCATGGCGGCAGGGAAGTTCCAGGGAATAATAAGGCCGCAGACGCCCACAGGTTCTTTCTGGGTAATGATGCGACAGCTGGGGTTGCTAGCCTGAATGGTGTGTCGCCGTAGGTCCTGGGCGCCTCTTCGGAGAACCATACGAGGAAGCCGGCGGCGTAGTTGACTTCCGTCTTGGAATCCGCTAGGGGCTTGCCGTTCTCCCAGGTGATAATTCGTGCCAGGTCATCCGCATTCTCGATCATGAGCTCATACCAGCGGCGCAGAAGCCGGGCTCTCACCCTCGGCTGGGTCTTTCTGAAGGACACGAAGGCTTCCTGGGCGCGTTTGATTGCGGCTTCGGTGTCCTTCTCGTCAAACTCTGGACATATGGCGACTTCGACCAGGGTAGATGGATCTGGAAGAGGTTGCCAGTGAGATTTCGCTAACAAACAAGCAGCCATGGGACAATGACAATGAGCAAGGCAAGGAATGCCCTAATTGAGGAGTAGGGAGTATGCCGGAACATACTGTCAACTGCGAAGACCTTTCCTGACTTTGCTCCACCCATTCTCCATTGACGAAGCATTGGGTCTTCAGCAGGGAGGGGTCGCGCAACTTTTGGAGAGGTCAGCAATAGGGTCCGCCGAGAAAAGGTCTGTGTGAGGTGCAAAGTGGTACGTAGTGTACTTTGACTTGCCTGCAAGATGTCTTGAACCGACATGTTGGAAATGTCTTTATCCTGAAAAGGGATTGTTTTCGGGCAGATAGAGATAATCCTACCGTCCAGCCGTGAGGACTCGATCACCGCTCATGAAATTGCCTGGGGACCAGACAGGACGCAGCCCGCCGCCGCGGCGAATTGATGGATTTATTCTTTGGCCCCTCATCAAAGTTGCGCATCGCGGAAGGGCTCCATTGTGCCGTTCGCCGATAGCGGTTGCGGGAGAGGACCGGTATGGAAAACCACATGTACCGGTCGCGCCTCTAAACATGACCGGCCGCGGGCCGGTGAGGCCGGGTCTGTGCCGGTCCCGGTGCGGGGATGGCGCAGGGAGGGAAATGCGGATAGACTGGAGCTCGTCAGGTGGTCCACCTACGATAGGTTCCGGGATCGAGGCGGCATAACGCAATGATCCTGGTGTCCCCAAAAGTCGCGGCCATGAAAACAAATGTCATGGGGCAACGGCAACAATTGCCTTTTACCATCCAACTTCTCCCCCTTGATAAGATCTGCTCTGGCTCCAAACCACACCATCAACTCAAGTTTAACCATATTCTCACATTCCCAGACTTTCATCATCCAAAGATCGTCTTCTTCAAAGAAAGTCTGACAAAATGCCTGCCCTTCTTGAGAGCTTGGTCGTCACTGAGGTGCCTGGTCCCATCTCCAAGGTGGCTTGCAAGAAGCTTGACCAGTTCTTCGACTCTCGCGCGGTCCATTTCGTTGTCGACTATGACAAGAGCTCCGGCAACTAGTATGTCTCCATCCTACGCAGTTCGTGGCTCTTTGGTCTTGGCGACACCTGGCTGACGAATCTTGAAGCATTGTCGATGTTGACGGCAACCGGTACATTGATGTGTACGTTTCCCCAACAGGAGCTGTTGGTTTCTTGTCTCATCCGCTCGATCGTCATGTTTGGTTTGGAACGCTTCGCTCACTTCTGTCTCAGGTACTCTCAGATCGCATCAATCGCTGTCGGGTATAACAATCCTGCCCTGAGGGAAGCAGCGCAATCACCTGAGGTCATCTCAGCGCTCGTGAACCGCCCTGCCCTTGGCAACTTCCCATCGAGCAGGTGGCATGATACCCTTAAGGACGGCCTGCTTAAGGTTGCACCTGAAGGGCTGAATATGATCTTTACCGCCCAGTCGGGCTCTGAAGCTAACGAACTCGCCTACAAGGCTGCCTTCATGCTTTACAGGCGTAAGGAGCGTGGCGAAGGTGCGGGGTGGACGCCGGAGGAAGTCACCTCATGTGTTGATAACGCGAAGCCTGGCTCTCCCGATCTTGCGATTCTGAGCTTTGCCAATTCCTTCCACGGCCGTGGATTCGGTAGTCTATCAACCACCCGCTCGAAGGCCGTCCATAAGCTGGACATTCCCTCTTTCCACTGGCCCCAGGCTCCGTTCCCTGCCCTTAAATACCCCCTCGAAAAGTACACCTTTGAGAACGCTGCTGAGGAGCAGAGATGCCTCAACGAGGTTGAACGTCTCATGACTTCCTGGTATGTCATCTCGCTCGCCGTTCGTGCCTAAATCAATGAAGAACTTCGGAGTGTCCCCGAGCTAACACGCCCGTTGAAGGCGATTCCCTGTTGCCGGTCTGGTTGTTGAGCCGATCCAGAGCGAGGGAGGCGACAACCATGCCTCGCCTGCCTTCTTCCAAGGACTGCGCGGTATCACCAAGAAGCATGGCGTCGCCATGATTGTGGACGAGGTCCAGACTGGATTCGGAGCGACTGGTAAGTTCTGGGGCCACGCGCACTGGAACCTCGATTCGCCTCCCGATATGGTTACCTTCTCCAAGAAGGCGCAAACGGCAGGCTACTTCTTCGGTGACCGCATGCTGGTTCCGGATAAGGCTTACAGGCAGTTCAACACCTGGATTGGCGATCCGGCCCGCGTCGCCATGAGCAAGGCCGTTATCAACGAGATCCTCGACAAGAATCTGGTCGAGCAATGCGTAAGTAAGCTCGAGGCAGAAGGGACTTCCTAGTTATGATGCTCCTACATCCAACGACGTTGCTAACTCGACTCCGATAGGCTCGCGTGGGTAAGGCCCTGTATGCGGAGCTCGAGACGCTCGCACGGAAATACCCAGATCTCGTCATGAACCTACGTGGCAAGGGACAGGGGTAAGTACATGCACAATGCAGAAAGAAATCGACTATTTGTGCTCCGAAGGACAGCTAACCTGGCCATAAAAGTACCTATCTCGCATTCGACACGAAAGATGCAGGCGCGCTGAGCAAGGCAATGAGGCTTTTGGGCGTCAACATCGGCACATGTGGCAAGGAGACTGTCCGACTCCGCCCTATGCTGATTTTCGATGAATCCTTTAGTGAGTTCCACATAATGGGAAATTTGAGAATTATTTTTACTAATTGCGAATGTGCAGTCCCGGCTCTCATTACCGCCCTGGATAAGGTTCTGGCGTCTACATAGGGGATGGGTGTTCAAGGATGTGGTAGAATGTGGAATTAGACTCTTCCCAGTTGCTTGATATGAAATGGAAATCTGAATTGATACAACATGACATTGGACGAGCGTGGATGAACGTGTGATAACCTAGTGTCCCCGTAAACTCAGCCCAATTGTTGCGGCTCCTGATAGAGCATCAGTGAAACCCTCCTGCGGGCACCTGGCCTGCCTGGAGTCGCTGTTCTGTGTCGAGCTGCACCAGCCACAGACATCTTCACACCGTGAACGTCATACATTCAAGATATTTCATCTTCATACCGATTTCAAGCCGCAAATCAGGAACCATTTTAGCCGACCTCAACACCAGATGCAAGACGAGACATCAAAATACCGGGCGTGGGACATCATCCAGCGGGGACATCTCCCACCAAGAGACATCCCCACCAAGAGACATCCCCACCAGAGACATCTCCCCTAGGGGACATCCCTCATTAGGGGACATCCCTCATTAGGGGACACCCCCATAGAAGACCGGTCCCCTACGGGGTCCGCCAATGCCTTTTCGGAACGAGCTGGAGAGTCCGAGAAGATTCGAGAGAAGAAAGGCGCTTGCCTTGTGAAGCCCTGAGTAGGGTCAAATCAGACACAATTATCCGCACCAGATAAGACAGAGTGCAAGGTTTACAGCCTGGCTCTGCGAAGCTGCGTAATAAGTTCTGGATAAAGTCGCAGCTGTACTCCGTGCTCGACATGCTCGCTGACGACAATCTCACAGTTTCCCGGGCGTTCCTGTTGGTGCTGTCATATAGTTGGCACGTCCCAGCGAGGGCAATCTCATGCGGTCGTTTGTGTAGAGTGGTACAAGGGGCCGGGCTAGTACGTCGACAAGGTACGATAGATCGAACGCAAGGGGTTTCTGCCGTTCGGAGCTGTCTGGCCGCGAGAGACGCGCTGTCTCATCTTATCAGGGCGAACAATCCCGACATATGCTTGACAGGGCTGATTGGCTCGGGTATGGACGAGGTCAGCACCTGTGAATTCACGTTCGCGAGATGGAGAACGTTTTGCGCAGAGGACGTACCACGCTCTGTCATCAGCCGACGGATGCAGTTGAAGCCTGCCTTCTGACCCAAGACTGAATAGGAGCAAATCAAGTTGCTATGGAGTAAGATGCACTCTTTCAGTGACACTACCTCTAACCTGAGCAAGGACACCGATTGTAGCATTTCGCCATTCTCCAACTCCAGCGTCTTGCACCTTTCTTGAAGAGCATGCACTTGTCGCGTCTTTTTCTGCCGAGACTTACGGGCCGCAATTCGATTTTGTCTTCCGAGCTTCCGTGAATCAAGCACAGAGTGCCTCGCCACAATGCCGGGGGTTCGCCTGATGTACATCGACTTGTTTGACAAGGTGAAATGAAAGTGGTTTCGGACTTTGAGATCACAATCGAATAGACTAAGATCCAGCTTGTGAATTGAGAAGGATCCTCTAATGATTGAGATTCTGCATCTCTTACCTAGTCAGGTCCTGACAAGTTCTAGGAATTTTCACCTCTGGATTCACAAGGTTTAGGAACCCGCCACTACCTCCACAAGTTCTAGGAATGTGCACCCCAGGCTTTACAAGTTCTGGGAATTGTCTGCCATGGACAAGTTAGCAGGTTCTAGAATTTGCACCCCTGTTGTCGAAAGTTCTAAGACTTCAGAAATTTCCAAGAGTAGGCATCTATTCCGGCACCAGGTTCTAGTTTTATAGGAACCTGAAAATTTGATGGCTTAACAGTAGGGTTGCGCATTAGAAGATATCGCCTTGGTGCGACAAGATCACTCGTCACACTTGAGGTATCGGAGATCAAGTCATGCATTTCAGCGGACTTCAGAAAATTGAGTTCCCGCTGGAGACGTAATCTGGTGGGAGCGCACGGTGCTGATGCTGACCTTCCTTGTAAATTGCGCCTGCGGCGTGTGCGGAATTGGAACAATTAGCTCGTCTGTGCGTATGCTGCCCTGACCATTGCAAGTTACGCTCGTGGCTTCTAAGCTATGACGCCACTGGATGCCATGCTCAGTAGAACTTCAGGTTGCTCAAAAACAAGGACGACAAAATGCACCAAGCTCGGGGGTTAAATATCCTTCGCTCTACAACCACTGTATACCTAAATTATAAACCAGACCCGATAATTGGATTCAACTTAGAAAGAGCTTTCTGCATCAACAAGTTGAAAGCGTTATACTTTCCACTTTTAACAGTATAGTAGAGAGGAACATGTCCTATATAACCACATCTGTTTCAGGCCTTATCTTCTTGCGTAAGAAGCAGATTCATAATGTCGACGTAACCTCTGCTTGAAGCAGCATTTAGCGGTGTCCATCCGTCATTGCTCGCGACCGTCGAGTCGGCGCCCTTCTCGAGAAGCAGCCTGACTACCTCGAGGTGCCCCTCAGATGAAGCGGCATAAAGAGCATTGCCGTAGTATCCGCCCTGGGCATTGGCGTCTGCCCCCCTGTCGAGCAGCATATCCACAGACTGGCGCAGTCCAACAAATGAGGCAAAGTAAAGAGCAGTGGGCACAGACACCGTCTTTTCCCACGGATCGTCCGGCTTGTAAAGGTTGTAGCCGAACTGAAAGGCAATGTTTGAAGCGAAATACTCTTCAACTTCTGAGGGGACCTCCTTTCCAGAGAGGTCGACGCCCACGGCACATTTTGACCAGTACTTTACTACATAGTTTGCTAACAGTGTTCTTTCTGTTCTTCGAAACGTACGTCCGGAAGCGATTTCGATAAGGTATGAAAGACATACCCTTACAATCTCTGCGTTCGCGTTAGACAGTTCAAGATGTGTTTTCATGGATTCGTCTACTCGAACGGAGGTGCTCTTGAACGGAGAATCGCGCGAGTTGTATATCAGTAATGATCGTCTTGCTCCAACTTTCTTCTCTTGTGACTAAGATCACGAGACTTGAGCAGTACTTTGCAACCTCTTCGGAATCTGGCATCCGATTGCGTGGATCGAATCGCGGCTGACCGTCAGGATCGACTGCGAGCGCGTCCACGGCTTCTTCAATGCTGAGTGGCCGTTCAGAGTAGACGAGAAATTGCAAAAGTCGTCTTGCATGGTCCATATGTTCTGGCGGAATACTTTTCAGAATTCTTGAGTATGTTGCGTCAAGCGTCAGCGGAAGATTATCTAATTCCTTGTCGACGGATTTGGGGTTCAAGGCACTCCTTGAGAACGTCGATCTGACACGATGCCCAACGGAACCTAAATTGTTAGTAATATTCAGGAACAAGGTCGATATATCTACGTGGTAACTTAGATTCCATTCGCCTTCTGGCTCAGCTCAATCTCAATCTTCTCCTAGATGTCAGGCCGGCCTTGCCACCAAGACATCTCCTGTATTCGCATTTTGATATAGGCGTTGATGTCGTCCGATACGATATCGCTCTGCAGACAAATGATGTCATGGGCTTGAGCCCAGCTCTTTATGGCCTTCTGGATGTCTTGCTCCGGCCGGCTTGTTCCGAGAAGGTGCACATCCAAGTCGACGTTACGAAGTTCCTTAATCCACTAGAGTAAGCCGCCCGCGAGCCCGTCGCACCGCTCATGACACTCATCTAATGCGTCAAGCACTATCCAAACCTCGCCCGCCAGCTGCAGCAAACTCTGAAACAGGTTGAAAAGCGATGTACTGTCTGGTTGTCGACCTCCACTTTCACATGATAAGTAGAGAGCATCGACATCCTTCTGGAGCTCCTTCTGACTATTGTAGAGCTGAACGATCAAGGAACGTAAGTGGTACTACTTTGTTGCACTGCTCGAACAAAGCCTTGCATCGTAGCAGATTTTGGAGTACATGGTAGCACTCCTTCACCTTGTGATACATCACACACGTGTAAGTCGCCGAAAGAGGACAGTAGATTTGCATGCGACCAGAACCACGTGGCCGCGATATAAGGATGGCGTCGTCCACTAATCTGTGAATGAAGCCAGTCTATACCAATTCCAGGATTTTTGGCAGCCATACAGTCCAAAGGCTACGAGCATTACCCCCCCCCCCCCCCCCCCACCCCCAAGTCATGCCGTCCAAAGGATCTTCCCACAAGTTCAAGCACTCCGCCACGGGCAGCCGTCCGCAGGACAGAGCTGACTACTCGGACAAGAATTCTAAACGGCAGGACCGTGCTGCCCGTTGGCCTGACGTCGCCACATCTTCGGCCGCTTCATCCTCAACGGTGCATGCGAGAGGTCATGTGCCAGGGCTCGGCGCCTTTCAGCAGCGTAGCACGACTGGGGTTCCTGGCCAGCACCAGCCTGGACCTGCCGCCGGCCATGAACTGTCAGAAGGCGGCAAGACGGCTACAGCAGACGATTCGGAGACGGTGACGCTGAAACTGCTAACAGCAGACCGCATTGTCGAGGGCGGCGGAATCAAAGTCCCAGCTACGCACCCTTATTTCCTGTACCACACTATCTACCGTTATTTCCCCACGAGCAACGTGCGCGATGAGAGGGGGCTCGAAACTTGCATGAATGGACGGTCCAGATATGGGAATACAGACAGTTTGGATCAACGGCCTCGCGCCGGGAACGTGGATCATCGAGGTGGAGAACCAGCCTTTCAAGGACCAGGAAAACGAGGACTTTAGCTGTACCGAGCCCATCGCGATTTCGAGATTTGGGACGGGCTTGGAGGAGGAGGAAGAAGGGAATGGGGACTGGTGGGACAAGTAGTGGACTGCTACTTTGGTGGTGGTGTGGGAAATGAGGGGACGTCCTTGGTTTGATATACCTTTTCTACTCTTTTCCTTTTTGTTCCCATCATCAGTCATTCATTGGTAGTCTTGTCCAGACTAGGACAGCATCCACTCCTTCCAGTAGCGGTAACAGAGCTCAGTGTCAATCCACGGTGGTGCCTTGATGTGAATTTCCCACCGTTGCGTTTAAGTTCATAGGGGCTTCGCGAAACTGGAAGGACTAAACATTGCCTCTCATGCCCTCTCTACTAAGCTGTAGTTGGTACAACCCATGGTGCAGCCCGCGCTTTTTGGGTGCTGCTTACACAACCACCGCTTCGCACGATCAAAATGGAGAAGGCGAGCCGTGACTACTAGGCTTGCTCCTGTCTGTTATGGTAGGTGTGCCAACGAAGATGATTTCGCCTCAATCAGTATAAATTCGTAGGCCAGGACACGTGCTATCGATCACTGCCCTCTCCACGCTTCGGCTCTCCAGATCCGAGCGGCGGCCGGGCTGTCACCATGCCCCCAATCTCAAAAGCCATGACCGCACGACACGCAATCGTGGAGACGAGATAGCGCGCCGCAAGGACGATCGCGTCCGCCGTGTTGATGAACATGGTGCTCGACATGACCAGCGTCCCGTAGATGACGTGCAGGATCGTGCCGAGGGAGATGCCGCAGAGGAGGATGATGAACAGGACCGACGTCGATGGGCGTCCCCCGCGCGGGCGGCGCGGTTGGCGCAGAGACAGAGTGAGCGTGGGGTCCTGGATGATTGACGGCGTGAACTCGTGGTAGATGAAGGATCGGACGCGGTGGACGAGATTCTTGTTGCGCCTGTTGTTGTGCCGGTTGTTGTTCCTGTGGTTCCTGTTGTTCCCGGCTGAGGCAGCGTCGGCTTCCTCGTCTGCCACGAGCCTTCTAAAGCCATCTCCGGCTGTGCCCGTGTCGCGATATCGCAGCCGCATGGCCACAGCACCGCCGCCGTGAATCGCGAGGGCGATGACTGCCCAAAGGAGCGGATGGTACGTGGTGTCCGTGGCAAAGCTGCAGACTGCCTTGACGCTGAGCTCGTAGCTCATGACGTAAAGGTTGGCGACGGCGCCGAGTGCGAGGAGATACTGCACACAGCATACGAGCAAGGCTACGCGGTTGCGACCGGGATGATCTCCCCTGAGCCGGTCCGAGAGCCCCATGAAGACCTCGTCGTAGTTGGCCGCGGTGAATCCTGGAACATGTTGGTCGGCCCTTGTGAGCTCAAACATGCGCAGTGGGGAGACGACTGGTGCTCCGGCGGCCAGCAGCAGAGCCAGGAGCGGCCTGCGCATGGACAGGATGCCGCTCTCGGCGGTGCTCGTGCCGACGAGGCTCAGGATGCTGGGGAGGAAGCCCAGGACGACCCCGGCTGCGGCCAAGTTGGCCTTGTTCATCTCGCTCATGTGCTCCATGAGGCAGTCGACTGCGCGGCCCGAGATGCACTGAGGCCACTCGGCGTGACTGGGGCAGCCTTCGGCGACACCGGCGTGGTAATCCGAGATCTCTATGCTGCAGTTGTTCTGGGCTACCCTGGCGAGGCCGGGTCCGTACCCGGGGAAGTACTCGAAGAAGTGGTCGTTTGGGATGGCGGACACTGAACGTGACAACATGGCCAGTGCCAGCGTCATTGTCAGTGTCGCTGTTGTGGATGCGGCTATCCGCGGTCGGTGCATCGCGACAGCGGGCTGATGTGATGAACGGGTCGATTAGTAGGTCAGAGTCCCCGAACCGAGTTCCTGCGTATCAGGCTATGAGCTGCCATTCGAGTACGACAGCAACAGCTTGAGGCCATGATACAATGCCAGAAGCACAGAGGATAAGAAGGGAGGAATAAATAGGGACTGGTCACAGTGTTGCGGCCCGGAGGTTGCTATTCGTGGCCATTGGGGGCGGGGATGAGGCTGACGATCCTGCGCCGTATAGGTGATTTTGAAACTGGACAGCAAGTCCTTGCTGGCAACCTGGGAGAATGCGAGCCAACCATGTCTGTTTCTTTTGTGCACCGGGATGTGTACCCGGCGGAGAATGCCATGAACCCTTGAGCACCGGTGTCAAAATACGCCCGCGGACATGACTATGGAAATGGGCGGGCCTTTGCGTGGCTGTGGATGCAGTCAGCCGTCCCGTACAGATGCCATGCGCTGTGAAGGCGCATTGCAACAGCTCCCACCAGCGTCAGCATGCATATACGAAGAGGCCATCGCCAAATGGTCGAACACACATCATTTTCGAAGGCAGGTGGATCGTACGCGTGTATCAATCACGAACGGTCCGTGTCGCGGCCCCAGTGAGCGCGTGGAGCGGTGAATCTAACCGAGCCCGACGACATCGTGCTTTCGACGGTTGCTTCCTGTGTGTATCGCCTGTCGTCCTTTCAATGCGAGTGTTTCGATCGAGTAGGCACGTTGGTAGCATGCACGTCCGTTTGGACTTCACGGTCTACAGGTGACAGTCAGGACTTGATTACGTCAGCAGGACCCCTCCTGTCCAGACCTGCAGAGCTGTTGACCGGAGCATGTACGTCTTATCTTATCGGAGTGGAGGGGTTCGTGCCCACGTCATGCAGGGGCGGATGGCGTGCTGGTATGCACTTTCCGTTCCTGGTGGCTGTGCTGTGCAATTAGCGTGTGCTACTTGTGGTGAATCAGTGTCATGGCCGGCGCCTGTCTCCGCCGGAACCGACGGATGTGCAGTCCCTTGCCAGCGTGGCGGCACGACTGGCTGCCGTCCATCCATTAGGTACTTTAAAGTTGGCAGCCATGATTCATCATGTCATCCCTGGGGTGACAAATGCTTTGATTGCGCAGGCACTTGCTGGATGTCCTTGACGCAATCCAAGCCGCCCCACCAACGCCCGGCGCCAATCCCTGCCCCAAGCACATGCAAAAGCACGATTGACACCCTGCGATGCGGCACTTTTGAGATCGCGATACCTCTCGGAGCCGGCGATTGCGCCCTTATCGGCTCCACATGCACCCCCGTAGCGCAAAGCTCCAGATCCGCACCGCGAAAAAGTCGAGCCGAGCACGACCCTGAAGATCGGGGCGTCATCCAGGGAACGGCAGGCCCCGGTATGGGCACCACCCTTAATAATTAATCAACGGTCGCCCGTGATGGCCTCACAGGCACCAGCCTTTGCTTCTCTCCTTTCCCCCCTCTCCTCTCGGGTCTGATCACAGCTCGCTACACCCGGCAAGCAGCACAGTTCCAGCCACCAAAATGGGCTCTCTCACTCCACCACCTCCAGCCCCCGCGGCTACCCGCGTCCGCCCCAAAAGACCCCTCCACGACGTGATCCCGCCCCTCATCCTCGGCACCGCAACCTTCAACACGCAGTACGTCGACGACCCCTATAACGAGGCCGACCTGCCCGCCCTCGCCATCGTCTCCCGCGCCCTCGACCTCGGCGTCAACGCCTTCGACACCTCCCCCTACTACGGGCCCTCGGAGCTCATCCTCGGCGCCGCCCTCTCCCACCCCTCCGTCCGCGCCCGCCACCCCCGCGACTCGTACTTCCTCGTCACAAAGGCCGGCCGCATCCACGGCGACGTCTTCGACTACTCCCCGGCCTGGATCCGCTACTCGGTCCTCCGCTCCCTCGAGCGCCTCCACACCGACCACCTCGACCTCGTCTACACACACGACGTCGAGTTTGTCTCGCCACAAGAAGTCCTCGCCGCCGTCACCGAGCTCCGCCGCCTCCGCGATGAGGGCCTCGTTCGGCACGTGGGGATCAGCGGGTTCCCCGTCGACACGCTCTGCTCGCTGGCCGAGATGATCCTGCGCGAGACGGGCGAGCCGCTCGACGCGGTCCTCAGCTACGGCCACTGCACGCTGCAGTGCACCACGCTCGGCTCGAGCCAGACGATCCGCCGCTTCGCCGACGCCGGAGTGGACGTGGTGCTCAACGCGAGCATGCTGGGCATGGGCCTGCTCACGACGCGGGGCGTCGACGCCGGGCCCATGGCCAAGTGGCACCCCAGCCCCCACGGGCTGCGCGAGGCCTGCGCCCAGCTCGTCCGCGTCGCGGCCGACGCCAAGGAGAAGCTCGAGGTCGTGGCCATCCGCTGGGCGCTGGACACCTGGTCGCGGCTGGGTTCTCCCCTCGGCACATCGTCGTCGCCACTGTCCGGCGGCAGCGGCTCGACGGTGGGGCGGCAGCGAGTGGGTGTCAGCGTGATGGGCGTGTCGAGCGTGGCCGAGCTCGAGGAGACGCAGCGCGTGTTCAACAGCGTGCTCGAGGGCCTCGACGACCCGGACACGCCCGCGAGCGAGCAGACCGAGGCGGCCAAGTTCAAGCGCCAGTGGAGCCTGAACCGGGTCAACAAGGTCCAGGGCGTGGTCGAGCAGATGTGGCAGGTGCTCGGCACGTGGAAGGACTACGCGTGGAGCAGCCCGGAGCCCGGGTTCAAGAACCAGCGCAGACCCGAGGACGCGGGCGTGGTGCCGCAGGACGACGGCGTCATGACGAGGTACAGGGAGAAGGTCAAGAGGCAGCAGCAACAGCAGGCACCACAGAAACAGGGCGTTGTCGACCTGGGGTCAATAGACGAGAAGGAGAAGGAAGTGGTCGAGGTCAGCGTGCACGAGGTGCAGCCTGTAGATTCATGATACCATTTGAGGGAAACCTTCCAGGGCCGCATAATTAGAATGAACCGACGCGAGTACTTGTTTCGCCTACTTTTGGAAGCAGATTCGAGGAAATTTGTGGGATGTACTTGCGTTGCCACGCCACCGGTCGTGAGACAGACAAGAGCAGGGAAATCTACAGCCGGTCACATCGTATCCCATCCATTTCTACCATCGCAGCCAGCCACTAACCATCATATGCGGGCGCGTCTTCTCATCTGGCGTTCAGCCAGCCACAACGGTGTGGTTGAAGGTTGTCGATGCACGGAACTTGCCGGTTGCTGCTGACCTCTTAGTGGCTGGCTGACTGGCTATAGCCTCCCATGGGACGACGCATCCGCACGTCCGATCCACTGATGGTCTAGCGGGCTTCCCCGTAGGGAGAGGATGCTCACAGCCTTATGAAGCAATCGACCGCCGGGCGCGCCTTCTCAACTCAATCTTTTGTTCCCTGGTTTCTTATGCTTTGCTTCTGGTGTGGCCGGCCGGGCAGAGGCTGAGAACAACCTGAAGAATGTGAACTCAACAACTTGCTTTTCTTTTCTTTTCTCTGTTTTTGTTTTTGTTTTTGTTTTTGTTTTTGTTTTCTGAGCTTAAAGCGTGCAAATAACTGGGTCGTTGCCTGGAATCAACAAAACTCTTTTTGAGCCCGGAATTCTTGACCCCAATACCTCCTGCTTCTTTTCTTTTCAAAGACGCGTGGAAAATCCTTGGAGTGATAGAAGTGATGTGGTGTGCACACGTTCGCGCAACTGCGTTTCCCCCTGGGGAAAGGGCAGGATTCCATGCTAGAAGCAAGTGCAAGTATCCAAGATTTGTCGGGATCAGTAACGTAAGGCAAAGCCTAGTCCAGCTTAGGGTGGTTACGTACGCATACTGAGTTTCAGTTCATTGCGCCAGTCGTGGAATCCCCTTGCAGTAAGACGTCAAAGGAGATATCGTGACCCTTCAAAGTTGGCCCTCCCCTGGGTCCAGACTGGCCTAGATCAGCGCCCCATTGGCATGATCCCCCCCCCCCTTTCCCCAGTATCTAGTGTATGTATGTACGCCTGAAGTCAAAGTCGGTCGCCCGATTGAGTTATATAATAATAATAACACTACCTCAAACTTTGAACAAAAAGGGGTCAACACGTCCCCGGGCTTGAGGCGGGGCGGAGTTTACTTCCGGAGCTTGGACACGGGAACAAAGGGGCCCGAGCTTTAGCAGAAACTGGATAACGCGCGGAAGCATGCACGTCCGTGTGCGTTTGTGTGTATACGTGTGTGTCTGGTTTCTGTGTCTGCGCGTGTGCGTGTGGGCTGTGGCTGCTGGTCTGCGACACGGGAGTCTGTCACCATCGCCGTGTGTGTGGGGGAGGCGGAGGCTCCTCCCGAAGCCCGACGGACGGGGGAGAAGAATGGAGCAAGGCGCGGATTCTTTTTGGAAATTACAAGTCTTGATGTCGGGCAAGTGAGCATGCACTTGCTTGTTATAGCGGCCTGGTGCTTGGCGCCATGTGGCCTAGCACAGACAGTCCGGCTGCACAATAAGTGTGTGTGTCCCAGGCCCCAAAGCAAGGCTTGTTTCTTAGACTGTGGATGGGGCCGGAGCAGGGAGATTTGGCGACTAGCTTCTCCGCGATCTCTGGAGGTCCGAGATTTGGATTGTGGGCAAGTATACGTATATATCCCCTAGGGATGGTGGTGTTGGTGTTTGTTGTTCCCCGGCGTAGCCTTTTGTTTGGTTCTGCCAGGTCTGGTCTCTGCGCGACTCACTGGTAAACCCCTTTCTCAACCATACAATACTCACATTGCGCAATGGCTAGATTCACCATCATCCAGGCACTGGCGGCCGCAGTCGCGGTTGCCGGGAGCGCTGCTGCGCTGGGCCCTCGCCATGGCGGACAACACATGTGCGCCCGTGACAAGTGTCTCAACGGGGTAAGGATCCCTCTTGGTCTTGTCCAGATGCTGGGGATGACGAAGTTACATGTACTGACAAGAATGATGGTCCAGGTTTCTCGAGGTCCCCTGAGTCTGAAGGGAGATCGCGCAGCATCGGTGGCCAGCAAAGACTGTGCTTGGTTTCTCGACGTGACGGTGACGCCGTGTCCCGTGTAAGCCAGCCATCATTCCAAGTTCGGTGGTGTCCGTTGATGCATTGCTGATGACAAGGCCCGGCCGACAGGACCATCACGGCCACAGTGACTGCTCTGCAGACGCCGGGCACTGTGACGGACGTTGTGACGCTGGTGGCGACCGAGACCGAGTTCCTTACGGATGTCGTGACGGAGGTGACCACCACCACACCCGTGACGACCGAGATCACCAGCGAGACGTCGGTGTCGACAGTGACCGAGTTGTCGTCCTCGACCGAGACCATCGTCTCTGTCTCGACCACGACGACGACCACGTCCACGACCACCGTGAGCAGCGTGCCCCTGAAGCGTGCCGTGCCCACCAGTGCCGGGAGAGCAAACTGCCCGGCGTCGTCGACCAAGCCCGTAACGAGCATCCCCTGCTACGCGCCCTGTGGGAAAACGGCCGCCGCATACTCGTCGGCGTGCAGCTGCCTGGGTGTCAAGGGCACGACCACGACGCTGCCCGCCTCCACCGTCAAGGTGACCGTCACGGCGACGGCGTCAGTCCCGGCCGTCACGGCGACACAAACCACCAGCCAGACCACGCTCGACGAGTCGGTGACGACGACGACGACGCAGCTCACCCTCACCGCCGCCACACCTTCCACGACCACGACAACAACCACGCTCCCCAGCACCACCACAACCACCACCACCCTCGTCCAGACCACCTTCACCCAGACAACCACCACCACCACCATCACCGCCCTCACCGTCCTCCCCACCTCCTGCAACCTGCGCCTCCAGGTCGCCAGCGGCGGCACCTACACCGGTCAGTACGCCACAAACTACCGCGACGCTCGCAACCCCCTCGCTCTCACGCCCGACCAGGGCGACGCCGCCGTCCTCCACCAGGAATACGCCACCGGCTACCTCCGCGACGGCGACAGCAACATCGGCTCCACGAGGGGCACCCTCCCCGCCAACATCTTCTTCGGGCCCCTCTCCGACACCTCCCTCTCGCCCCTCGTCTGCCAGCGCGGCGCCGCGCTCAGCTGCCGCAACGACGTCGGCGGCATCGTCTTCATGGTCTGCCCCAACGAGGACAGCCAGCTGCGCTTCGGAGCCGAGGTCTCGCCCAACTGCCAGGAGATCAGCTTCGTCAAGGTCTGTGTCTAATGAGAGAGAGGGAGAGAGAGAGATATGACAGTGTATGTGCAAAGCAAGTCCGGCCTTAGATTCAAACCGGCGAAGGAGGATAGGGTAGATGGTTGGAGCTTTCTTCATTAGAGCGGGAAGATTTTAGTCTTGCGCTCGGGTTGTCGGGTGCGGGCTATCAACAGGGTACATTGCATAGCATAGCTCTGAGTCCCACCTGTTGTCACTCCTAGTGAAAGGGTGAGTTGACACGTTAATATTAATATCGCGCAAGGAGTCAGCCCGGTGGACTGCCATGGAGAAACCAAGATCTGCTTCAGCATCCCTGGTGACCACAAGACTGATTATTTCCTCCTTTTGTCCACTCCTTCTTTGTTTCCTTTGTGTGGTCATTGTACCACCACAGTCTTGTGATTGTAGGTTGCACCTATCAGAGATATAAGACACAATGAATGGTCTCCGTCGACACAGTAAATGCATTATTTTATCCGTCACCTCAACAAAAATTCATCTCTCAGCACCCGGACCACAGCAGTGAAAATCAAGCGCCTCCTGCGAGCCATCAGTGGCCAGCCGTTGGTGGTCGACCGCCTCCTTCACGTCGCGAATAAATGCGAGACTCGTCGCGACAGAACAGGAAGAAATGCCTTTGACCTTGTAATATAACTAACTGCAACATAACTCTTCAAAAGCAGGTGCTCTGCCCAGACCCCCGCGTGCTCACCTTCTGTACCTGCGCAACCCTCCCGCCAAAGTACGAGTTAAACGCGTCCTTCTCCTTGCCCGGCATGTCCCGGGTCTTGCCCGCGGCGGCCGAGAACCCGCGGGACCCCTGAGCACCGCCTGCGCCGAAGAGTGCCACGATGATGCCGAGGATGGCGCTCTCGGGGTCCTGGACGAAGCCGTAGATGGACAGGGCGGCGCCGGCGGCGTCGCCCGCCAGGACGAGCATCCTGCCGAGGTTGTTCATTATGGCGCTGGGTATTCCCCTCAGGGCCCAGCCTATCCCGGGGATGATCATCAGGAACGCCGTGACGAAACCCAGGATGCCGTCCAGCCGCTCCGCCGCCTCGAGCTCGTCCGCCAGCTTTTGCACGTCCCGCATCGACTCGACGGCCTTGTTGGCCATGAACACGAGCAGGTGGCTGCCGTCGACGTACTCGCTCGACTCGCCGTAGTAGAACCCGGCGGCGGAGGACTGAGCAGCCGAGCCGAGCTCGTCGTGTAACAGGGTGAAGTTGCCCAGGGACGCGGCGATCTGCTCTTTTGGGTTGGGCACCTCGTAGTCGCGCCTCGCGCCGGGGAAGCCGTAGTAGAAGGCGCAGCTGCACAGCTGGCACGGGTCGGGAGGGAGGTTGGGGCTCTGCCAGCAGCCCGGGTTGATGTACGTCCGCCGCGTGCGGAGCTCTACCCAGTCCGGGTCGACGCCGGCCTTGACCAAGCCGGCGTCGTAGCCGTCCTTGTCGTTGAGCGTCCAGTGGTACGACTCGTCGAGGTAGGTGGTCGGGCAGTCTGTGGGTTTGAGATACGGACCTGACTCGACGCCATCCGGGCAGTGGACACAGCCCAGCTGGGGGGAGTCGGCGCAGCAGAGGCGATAGGCCTCGACGGTGCACGAAAAGAAGCTCCTGCCCCCGTCACTCAGGGTGTAGCGGTCGACAATGTCTGGGACGGACTGCTGGACCCACTTCTTGTAGCGGGCAAAGTCGCCGTCGTAGCCGTCTGCCAGCATGTCGGTGTACGTCGAGAGAGAGCGCTGGAGCTCCCCGGCCATGGCGAGGCCAAGGTACGTGTTGATGCAGCGGCGGGGGATGCTGGCCAGGTTCGCCTCGATGAGGTCCACGGTGGTGTAGACGTGGGATTTGTCACAGACGACATATACAGCCTCGTTGGAATTGTCGGCAGACGTGGCACAGATGCATACCCCATAGCCACAGGCGAAGTTGCACATGTTCCTCAGTGTGAGTTCGTCCTCGTCTGGCAGGATGAGCTCCGTCATGCCGCTGGGGATCTGGACGTTGGCGAGTGGCTTGAGAGGGCCGTATCCTGAGCATACGCAGACGCGTGTCGGGCAGTATCCGTAACTGCAGAGCCAGGAACAGAGGTCGTCGACCTGGTTTGCGCTCCATTGTGAACGGCCATGGCCCGCCGTGCAGGCATCTGGCAGAAAGGGCGATACACTCGGGGTGGAAAGGGTCTGCTTGGTGGTCGAGCAGTACGCGGGAAACCGGAAGCCATAGGTGTAGGTGAAGCTGCAGAGGCCGATGTAGTTGGTATCGCTCTTGGCGAAGCCTGTCACGGGCGTCGCCACTGGCATCTTAGGCTGCCGGCCCAGCTGGGTACAGACACAGGCGGACTCGGGACAGTAGCCTAACCCGCAGGCTGCGGCGCAGATGTCGGTAAAGCCTGGTGCTCCAGTTCCGCGGATACAGACCAGATCATTCCGAGAGACCGTCTGCGCCGAGACCCCCCCGCTGGCCTTGCCGCCATAAACATGGAGGTTGAAGTTGGCATAGCCCGCGGGGTTGCAACCCCCGATCCGAGTCCCGTCGTTCACAGTGGCGATGGTGGCCCCGTTGCGCTTCAGAGTTGCCCGTACATCGCCCGAGAGCCCATCCGTAATGTAGGCTTGGCCGTAATACACGCCTACACCACCAGCTGGCTTGCTGTACCATGCCGCCGACAAAGCTTGTCCGCCGACGGTGATAGTCAACGTCGCCTCTGAGACTAGCGTCGCTGTAAAACCGATATACCGGAAGTTGAGAATATCACTGGGCAAAGACTCTGGCTGCAGCTGCGTCGCGGTGTTGACCACGGTTCCGCCGTCGTTGCAGCTATTGACGTCATGTGGCAAATACGAAAGCAACACGCTCTCCTGCGTGACGGTTGCCACACCATTTTTGTACTGCTGGGCCCAAACGGATAGGGGCCAGCGGAGCGCATCGTGACTTATCCCCGTCACGTAGTCATAAGTAGCCTTGCCATCTGTGAATGGAGGCGAGGCATGTGTAGCACCGATGTGATGGGACTGATTGAACGAGAGGCAAATAGTATACCGCGCGTCAGTACATTGTTATATTGTTATGTCATGTCATGTCATGTCACCCAAGTCAAGGCTTTGGAGGGACATAGGAAATGCTTACCTCTCCGAAGTCATTCCAGCTAATGATCTGGACATAATCAGGAAGCAAGAAGAGAACCTGCTCCCAACGCTGTGCCCAGAGGTTCATCGTGTGGACTGGCCACATCCAGTTCTTGTCGTAGCCCGGGAGATTTGTGTAGAACCAGGGCGAAACGCCCATCATGAACGGTTTCCGCGGCTTGCTCTCGTCGGGCCCCTTCAGTGCTTGGAGATAAGACGCATCCGTGTAGGTGTCCATAGCACCACCGTCAAAAGACCAAGCTGCCCAGCTGAACAGACCATCTGCAACGCCACCCTGATCCGAGAAGTGTGAGTTGCGGAAACGTCATTCCCAAGGCAAAAAATGAAGAGAAAGAGTGGAAGGTGGGTACGAACTCCAAGGCGCAAAGCCTCTTGGGCACCTTTCGAGGACCAATCAGGCATGAAGAAACACCCAATCTGCGCCTTGATCTCATTCCAGTCGGCGGCATTGTCGGGCCCTTCAAAGGTTGAGACCAGGGGCTTGGCCCCATTGTGCTGAAAGTAGGCGCCGTGGCGCGCATACGTTCGGAGAAGAGAGATCACGGCATCGCGGTTCCAAGGACCGAGACCTGCGTAGTCGAAGGAGAACAGGAGCTTGAACTTCTTCGCGCTGGCTGCTGCGAAAGCGTTCCCGAGCTGCTGGTCATTGATGGGACTGCCGGAGGCAATGTTGAGGGCAAAGGCGTCGATACTGGCTGCCGCAGCTGTGGCAATCTCGGTTTCCCATTGACTCTGTGACCATCCGCCGGTGTTGTCAACCTTTCGAGGGTGTCAGTAATTAAAGGTACCGTAGAGGCAGTGGTCCAGGACAGAAAGTCAAATATCAATACGGGCTTTCGTCATTTACCATGAAATGGGCAAACACTGCTCTTGCGGCTACGGCAACGGTGCTTTGGCAAAGCAGCAGTAAGGCGGCCACTGCCGGCCTTGGAAGCAGTCTCATGGCCCAGGCCGTTTCAACTAGGTAAAACTGTACTTGGGGTGTTCTGTGTGGGTGTGCTTAAAGAGGGAAGAATCTTTGTGGTGGAAGCCGGCTCTGAAAGTCCCCTCTGAGCACTCAAATAATGCATTTCTTCCAACCGACCCCTGGTGTCCCCACAAAAGGTCCGAGTTGCAATCGCTTGGTAGAGAATTGAATGACGACAAGCGCATTCCACTTCACTCTACACAGAATTATCCATCCCAATAATATAAACTAGCAATTCAAGTGCCCATTCACTCAGCACCGTACTATTCGTAAACATTGCTGAATCACGTCCAGCGTTTGGGTCGTAGGGCTTCTTTGAGAACAACAAATATGATGGCGTACCAAAGCAGAGTCGGGCTAGTCACCAAGCTCAGACGCACTAGAACTTTGATTTAGGGAAAGGCGGGGGACAATGGAGGGGAGGCCTGAGCGATGCCAACGAGGCGACACTGAGTCTGCGTTGATTGCTCGTGTAGCATTAGCCACGCTCTTGCTTTATTAATATACCGCTGTATGCAGACCACATGCCACTGTTGAAGAGCCAAGGCTCACGAGATCGGTCTGGACTGGAAATACGCAAGGAACATGGACGCCATTTGTCTTGGCACCAGTTCACGTCGTCGACTCGTGGCAAGGCCCCTTTTCTAGATACCCACGCCATTCTTACGGCACCGTGGTCATGGTGGTCTCATTTCTGACCACTTTGGGTCAGGGCACGCGAGAGACGGGACGAAACAGGCAGGAGCCAAGGCGGTACTTGGATGCTTACAGGGGATCCTAGGCTTCAAGGTTGGGCAGCATTCATCCAATCAGTTGCGGGGGCCCATGCTTATATCAGACGATGATATTCGATGGAGACGCTGAACAGTAAATGGGATTGGTAGATGCAGTTACGAGTGATCCGCCTTGGGTCCAGTTCCTGTCTTATTCTCCACAACATTAGTTTACCCGGACAGGGTAAGGTACGCCGGCAGATGCTGCTTGACCAAACCTGCTCGACTTTCCTTCCAGAGATGACTTTGCGGAGCACCCTCATGTCTTCCATCATCAACGTCGTCATTCCCGGTTGCCTCGAATCTCATTAACACTTCTCACCCAGGAGACGGCAAGGTAAGAACTCAAGCAGCATTTACAAATCACGCTTGATGAGACTCCTCCCCTTTCTGGGGGAGAGGCTTGATTCCAAGAAGAAACAAGGAAAAAAGGAAAAAGGAAAACAACAGAAGGGAAAAAGTTAGGCTAACTAAAAGTCTGCACGACAGATGAGGTTCAACTTCGCCATTCTGGTCATCATAATTGCTGAGCTGGTCAGCTGTAATCCGCGAACCCAGCCGCTTGAGCTTGGCGTTTCCTTCGTCGGGCACCTGGCAAGGCCCGCAAAGATAGGAGACAGGATCAACAGACAGAAACCAGCCAGCCTGGACCAGTTCTTGAGATATGTATTAAAGACGCCGCCCAGCTCCGTGGTGCCCACGCCGAGCAACCCGACCGCGCAGAATGTAGCGGAAGCGATCCGGAAAGCCGGCTTGAGCACCATCTGGTATACCGAGAACAAGATAGTCGGCAACGCCCGCACTGTTGACGAGCTGTTTGATCGGGTAAGCAGTCCCCTTTCTATTGCCACCCCCGCCTGCAAATGCCAATATTTGATTTGATTGGGCTGACTGGAGAGAGGTGGCGTCGTGCGTATAACCCCTATAGATGAAGCGCATATTCTCAAAAGAGCCCGGAGCCATAGCGCAAGTTGGCCCAGTCCTCAAGCAGATCTTGGACATCCGAAGAGACGCATACGCAAAGAATTTCTCGGAATGGTTATTAGCAAACAAGAAAATTGCGGCGGAGACTGCAGTAGAGAAAGGGATGGACGAGAACGGCAAACCCGCAGACTTCCTCAGAATCGACATGGCAAAGCTTGCTGCAAAGGTGGGCCAGCAGACGTTGGACGGCTATCAGGCTGAATATTTCCAGATTGAAAAGGGCAAAAGGGGTGGCCAAGAGGCTGACAGCTCCAACATCAAACACTGGAAGGTCATCAACGCAATCCATGAATTTGAGCAGAGTGTTCGCAAGCCAAAATAGTTCATCTCAAACAGAAACCCTTAGCACTTCCATTTCCAAGGGTTTTGGTTCGCGGAAAATAGTGAAGGCCCCGTGGAAAATCAAATGCATTCTTTCATCCGTCATGGCAACACAAAGTCATCTCTCAACCCCCGACCACAGCGATGTGAATCAACCCCTCCCTCCTGCGCTCTTTGGGGGTCAGTCATCGTCATTTACTCCCGCTCGTCTCCAACGCGAGATGCTTCCCGCGCGCTCTGAGAGCCGAGGATCTTCTATCAAGACCCCTCATGGTGGACTTCGGCCGGGTCGTAGCCCCTCTCCCGTCATAGTGGGCGACCGTGCGGGCTCTGGGACCATCCAACGGTCCCTGGCCTTTGGGTCGCGTCTTGCCATGGCCAATGTGTCTCCGCTCCACTGTTTCCGCATGGCAAAGCCACCATCTGGGAAAGTCTGGAAGCCTCACCTTTCTCCGATTGCTCTTGTCTTCTGGGCATGCATATAAGACACGCAAGCACACGCCATTTCCCTCCCAAACGTCTCAGCAACCTTAAAACACCAGAGCTGGCAGATGCTGCCTCATCGGTAGCCCTCGATGCAATGTTCATCTTCAAGATGGCACTTCTCTTCTGCGCTGCCCTTGTCGCAATCACTCCCTGCGAATCCACCGTCCTCACGGCATTTCACGGCCATGGCACATACACGAAACACAGCAACACAAGCAGGACTCAAGGTAGTCAAGATGCATTTCTTTCTTTCTTTCTCGTCCATTCAGTTATATGATGTCTTATAACATGAACCCTCCCCCCCATTCCCAACCCCTCGCGATGGCAATGATGATGCTTCTGAGCCAAAATACCGACTGAAATGTACCAACTCTGGGATTGGACCAGAGTGGCCCGTGGGGCGCAATCAATCGTGACTGTGCAGAGCACCAGAACCAGGACGTGACGGTCCGGTTCAGCTAAGCACTCACGTCAATCCGGGGGCTTGTCAGGCACACCGTCGATCGAAGGGGACTTTATTCTAGGCCTTTTTGGGTGCGGAACGACTCTTGGGTTTTAGCGAGTCTCCGTAAATGGTTAGTGACGAAGGCCATGGCGACTATGATGAAGCTTCATTGCCTGCCTAGGCAGGTATATGATCTGAGTCGTCAAAGTCAGACAATGTCTATGCTAATTGGAGCAAGGGGCATCTTTACCTGGCAGCATCCTCAGTCGCTCGAGTGACGACAGGTGGTGATGATGCAATGTGGATGCTGTGGTGACAAGGAGTCGTCGATGCGATGGCGAGCCGGCAAAGTTGCCTGGTGTTACTTGAGCGCTGCTGTGCCCCATGGCGAAGGTCGGTGGGACAATGTTGACTTCGAGAGTGATCTGGCTTGAGGCTGCAGGCTTGGGAACGTGGTGCACGAGGGCGACAAGGCGGCAGGCGTTGACGAAACAAACGAGTGGTGATTGCTGACTGCGACAGGAATACATGATGGATATGAACGAGCCGAGAGCAAGATGTTCTGTAAAGAGATGCGAGTTTTGCAGTGCAAAGATGGAGCATGAGATGTTGGGTGATGGAAGAAGAACGATGGACGACAGCAAGTCTCAGGCGATGACAAGAGAGATGTCAAATCAATCAGTCAGTCAGTCCATGCAGGCAACAGCGACTGTGAGGAAGGAGCTCGCTGCAAATTAGAAGACATGCACATGTCGAGACGGTTGGCAGGAGCAGCCCCGACTGGGGGAGACACGACACACCACACGACAAAGCAAGAGCGCCCTGTCACACGTAGCCGAGCAGCCACAGCTAGAGAAGAAGTTGGAATGCCATACAGATGCACTCAATCTCACTGGCCTCGCTCGAGATTAGTCTCAGGCATGTCTTTCTTCGAATCATGCATTCGTAGGGTCGGCCAGTCGCTACACAAATCAATGGCCGTCCGCCATGGCCACTATAAAGGCCGGGCAGGTTCTTCTTCCAAGAACATTCACCCCAGGAGACCAAAACTGCATACCGTGGACATTATTATCCGACTTGCGTTGTACATCTTGGAAGCGAGGCATCGCAACCCGCAGCATCTATGCTTCCTACGCAGTCCGGGTTCTGGGCAAGTAGTTCTGTAACTGACGTGGATTATCTATCCAAACATCTATCCATCTGTCCATCTGTCCGTCTCTCTCTCTATCTCTCTCTCTATCTCTCTCTCTCTCTCTCTCTCTCTCTCTCTCTCTCTCTCTTTCTCTCTCCCCTTCTGCCTAACCCACGATGAACCCATCAACAGACCTTTTACGGCTTACCTTTTGTCACCAGCCAGTCTGGGTCATTTCTTCCACGCATGGGAGGGCGGGCAACTCAAACAGAATGGTCGATAGTGTGTTGTCATTAAGTAAGAAATAAATAAATAAATAAATATCCATACAAGAGCACCCCCGCACCAGCCGGCCTGGTCAACGAGTGATACTTCCCCCTTTCAGACAGAGAGATTCTCGGCGGAAAGAGAGAGAGATCCTCATTTTGCCCATTCGCTCACTGACTTCCTAGCATTTCCCTGCCGCCCAGCCTCCGTTGACGTCCGGTATCCTGTTTCCCTCCTTTGTGGAGGCACGGCGCGGACAGATGAAACAAACAAGTGCTGCCGCCTTTTGCAAACATGCCGGGCAGAAAACATACTTTCTTGTTGGCAGGGTAGGGTACGACAGGATTAATAATCGCATGTTCGCGCACAGCATGGGGGGCTTGTTTGTAATAAAAAATCGTGTGCTGTGATGGCTGCCACAGTCTGCTAGGTCACTGCGGGCCAGATTCAGCTGATGTCGGGGATCCGCCGTCGGGAGTGAATGGCGGCTCGGAGCTGGATGGGCGCCAAGCCGCCCCATGACTCGGCAGTCGTCTCAAAAAGCGGCGCGTGGATCTCCGGCCGGGACCGCGGCGTCGGACCACTCTGTCCGGGTCCGACGCGCTGGGATCCACCTTCAGCTCAGCCCACGTGCGTAAGTGCTTGAACTTATGCACACCCTCGGCCGGAACCAAAATACCCTAAGTCAGCTAGGCAAGCAGGCTTGCGATCGTGTCCTGGTCCACATATATCAAGAGAAAAGAGCAGACGGCAGATTCTTCAAAAGCAGAATGGTTCGCTTGATTGGATGATGATGACGATGATGATAATATATGGTAGTGATGATGATCATGTCCTGATTTGAGGAGAAATTCTCCCTTCTCCCGGCATTCATACTCTGACCCCATACGCTTGTAGATGTACCATACTTGACATGCCGCTGATCCATAAAGGAAATACAAAGAAGAAGTGTACCACCAATCTATGTGATGCGCCTCCTTGAAAACGCCATGAGAATAAAACAGATGAAGACTGTGGCAATGCACATCTGTCGGTGCCAAGGTCTTTCGGAAGACAGGTATGCATCGCGTGACAGTCTAGTGCGCGACATCATTGGCACGCTCGGTCGAGTCTATCACGGTCCCAAGCTGCTTGTCGACATTGTCGGCATCCGTCACCGTGGGTGTCTCGGGCGTCAGGGTCAGAATTGGCGTAGGCAGAGTGGCAATCGGCGAGGGTCGCGCGTTTCCCGTATGTTTCTTGTCCTCTGTGGTGGCGGACTCGGAGTTTGCGGCTGCTGGGACGTCCATCTTGGTGTCAAGAACAGGTACCGCCTTCGTCACCGTCATAGGCGAAGCTGCAACATCGGCAACAGCACGCTCGACATGCTCCTCATGCGCCACTTCGGGCTCCGCCTCGGCCTCCTTGCCCTTCGGACTGGCATGCCCGCTCTCTGGCGACTCTGGCTCTCCGTCCAAGTGTACTCCCACCATCTCGGCAAGGCTCTGGAAGTTGAAGAGCGACTCGCCCGGGTTGGCATTGTCACCCTCGTCGCCGCTGCGGCCACTCAGGCTCAGCCCACTCGCGCGTGGATCCTCTACCGCGAGGGACTGGTTGACGTAGCTCCCAGGAGCACTCTCCACGTCAGACGTCTCGATCGAGCTGGCGTTGCTCATCTGCCGCAGGTGAGACTTGCCGCGTGTGGCTGCTGCCGCGGTTGGCGAGATGCTGATTGGCGCACTGGATGCTGCTGCGCTGGTAGCCGCTTCGCTATCGAAGCTCCGATCGACGCCCTTTCCCTTGTCGCCAGGGGCGGTATCTACTGGGTTGGATGTCGGCGGCCTTAGGTTCGTGGAGCTTGTCTCGAACCTCAGGTTGCTCGCACCGCTGTTGCCACGCTTGCGTCCAAATGGCAGATTCAACGAACTCGAGCTCGCGCTGCCACTAGCGCTTGGCCCTCCGTAGACTGTGTTGCGCTTAGCTGCCTTGCGCTCCTCCTTCTCCCGCTTCTTGGCCTCCTTCTTGGCGTCCTTCTCCGCCTTCTTGCGCCGATCTTCCTCGTCCGCCAGACTCAGTCTGATGGCTTCGGCCATCATAAGGTTCTCGAGATGTGCGGGATCGAATCGCTCACGCCCAGACCTCGCAGCGGTTTCACGCGGTCCTGCATCGGGCCCGCCAGGTGTGTCCACGCCGCTGTCGGTGTTCTGCGCCTGGGATGGGCTTTGGCTGGGGCTTTCACCGCCCCGAAGATCTCGCGTGTTCCTGCGACTGAACCGGCTCGACCTTCCAAACAGACCCCGAGGCTGCTGCTCGGGCTGAAAGAAGGCCGCATGATGCAGAGCATCTGCGGCCGCTGCCCTCCGGCGCTGCTGGGCTCGAGCGGCCGCGAGTTTGGTCGTCCATTCGGGCCGAATCCGATCCGTAGTAATGACGTTAGGGGCTATAGCCGACAAGCTCTGGCCGCGCCTGCGAGAGACCGGATTCGATGTGGGTGGCGTGCCGGAGTTGAGAGAGCTGGTGGAAGACATCGCATTGGACAAGGACCCATATCCCTGGCCGCCGGTGGCGTAGACGACACCGCGGCGGAACGGCGGGGCGTCATACGTGACACCAAACTCTGACTGGGTGCAGTAAGGGCACTTGGCAGGCTCCATGATGAGTTCGCCGGTCTTGTTCTCCTCGCCGTCCGCGGTGCTCTCGTTGGCGTTGCTGCTGCCCTCTTCCCCAGGATGCTGCTCTGGGTAGTGCGGGTCTGGCCGCTTGATCTGTACGAAGCATTCGCTGCAGATGAGCTGGTCGCAACACCTCGTCCGATTGAGAAAAGGCGGGTAATACATCAGACAGAGTGGGCACTCTGTACCTTGCTTGTACAAAAAGACCTCGATAGGCTGGCCGTTCACAAAGGGGTCGCTGGGCTGGTTGACCTCTCGCGGCTGAAGCTCAGTGCTGGAGCTGTTGCGGGTCAAGCTGAGGACGGCGCCGAGCGCTTTCTTGTGCGACTTGAATGAAGATGCCGGGCGAGTCAGGGAAGGTGGATGTGTTGGCGAAGGAAGAGCAGAGCCGGACTGGGATACACTCCTGTCGGATGAAGCTGACATTGTCCGTGGGCCCATGGGCACAGTGAGGCTGTTGATGTTTGCTGTGGAGTCGCTGGGCGACTCGACGGGCTGGGGCACAAGATGATCGGGAATCTCGTCGGCAGGCGGAATGTCTAGCCCTCTTGCGGCGGCAATGATCTGGTGCTCGACCCAGCTCTCATTGAAGTCATCGAGGCCGCGCCAGAACGGAGCTATCCTGCGTTCGATCTGGGGTCGCAGTCACGAGGTCAGGACAATTGCACAAACGCCATGATTCCAGGTTTCCCGCGCATGAACAACATCTACGTAGGCAACGGGCTGCACACTCACCTGAAGATGGCGGACTGTCGACTTGCTAAAGTCCTCTGATGCCGTGTAGATTCCCGTGGTAACGAGATACCCCCCATCGACGTGCTCCTCGCGCATGCTACGCTCTCTTTCCTTGAGGCGGTTGACGCGCTCGCGCTCGAGCCTGCGTGCCTCGCGCTCCGCCTTGGTCTCTCTGCGCTCGAAAGGCGCATCTTCGGCGGGCTGCTCGCCATGGGAGCGTTGCTGATGACTTGCGCTGAGGCCCAGGACGGCGAGATCGGGCCTGGTGCTGGCGCGGCGGGATGACCGGTCATGCCGGTCGCTGTGGCGGGTCGAGGACGAGGGGTTGGCGGATAAGCCGGCGGCGGCCGTGTCGAGGTGAGCAGCGCCAGGGTGACGGCCGCCAGGGCGGGCGTCTTTTGCCTGGGCGTTACCCATGATGACACGGGGAAGGGCGGATCAGCGAGAAGGGTCGTTGGCGCCAGGCCGTGGATGAGACACCGAGGGAGGGAGGGGTGGTGGTTGTCGCGGCGGGACAGATGGATGTGGTGGTGATGGGCGATAACGACAGTCTGGAGCGGCGGATTGGCCCTGGTGGCTAGTTTTCTGGCTGGCGATGTGCTGCTGCTGTGCCGAGAGGACGAGATGTCGAGATTGAGGATGGGATTGAGCAGAGTACAAGGCGAGTAGAGGCCTGACCTGGCCTGACCTGACTCTTTGGTGTGCAGGTGAGGACGGACGAAAGTATGATGACGGCGGGCAGGCGCGATGGGGCAGGGATCGGCTGGAGCGCTGGTGTCTGTGCCTTGGCCGCCCAAGGCGATAACGGGCCACTGCCAATGAATGGGGCGGCTGGAGCTCCCTGCCTCAAGGTGCTGAAGTGCAGGCGGGGCCCGCGGGTGGATGCTCCAGTCTGCCTCCTCTCCTCAATGCGGCCTGCAAGTCTGTGCTACAGGGCGGGCCTGGCCTGGACCAGACGCGGATGACTAAGAGGACCTCTCGCAGGCACACTCAAACTGGAGTAGGTCGGCTTTCTGCACCGCGAGTGCAGTCTCGCAACGGCCTGGCTCTGGCATTTACGGGTAATTCTGTCCGTGGCCACCACATGCTTGCTGGCTAAGGCACCGAAGACCAACAGGGGCCTCAGGCATGCTCGGTTGGCATCGATGAGCACGCACCAGGGCGCATGAGGTTGGGCAGGCACCAGCTCCATTGCTAAATGCTTTTGGCGGGTCCCTCGCGCAGCAATGCAATCCCTCGCGTGTGTGTGTGTGGGCGGGGTCGGGTTCGTCTGATTGCAGCACAAACAATCCAATCCATCTGACGATTCGCCAGAAAGGACGCCCGTCCATCTCGCACTCCCTTCCTTTTTCATTCTCTCCCGTCTCTGGTTTCTCTCTCTCTCTCTTCCTCTGTCTGCCTGTCCCCCTACCCGTCTTGCCCGCCCCGAGTCAGCATCCACCACCGCCATCCGCCACCCCTCCAGCCTGGCCGCCGTCTCCTCTACGCGCCGCTGCCGCCCGCTCTCCCCACAGACAGGCGAGCCCTGCCCTGCCCTGCCAGGCACGCTGCATGCCCAGCGAGCTTGGCCCCGGTCCCTGTGCCTGGAGAACCGCTGCTGGGCTCCACCCCCACGGATAGCGCGGCCTTTCCCCCCCGACCATCGGCAACCCCATCGGCTGTTCCAATCGCTGCCTCTCCGATCCCGGGTCGTAACGTCCGGGGCGCTACAGCAAACCACCTCAACCCTGAAGAGCTTTGCCGGTAATGTCACAGGACACGATGGCATCACGCCGTGCCAGTGGGTGGCCAAAAAGGAACCAAATAGGCGTCACTCCAGAGCCTTTAGAGTAGCACAGATTTGCTTAATCATCAAGACAAGAAGCAGCAATCCTTTTAGCCTGGCTCTAAACCTAGTACTAGCCTGCCTTCAAACTGCCCTCGAGTATTTGGGCGGATGCGCTCTCTGTTCACAGGTCAGAAGCAAGCCGAGGTTCTGAAGCTCTATACCCCGAACTTATGTTGTCAATGAGCAGGTCGTCCAACGCACTGCTCCGCTGCCCCCACCGCAGCTTCGCAACTTGGTCTTAGCGTGCCACGTCTCCTGTTATTGATCACTTTGTGCTGAACTCATACTATCTTTCGGGACCGTACCAGCCATGAGAACATCGGCATTTCTTCATGAGCAAAGGAGTATCAAGCCATGGGCCCTATCTCTTGCCCCTTTTAAGAAACTCAGCTCTCGCCCTCTTTGTTCAGGCCGTCACATGAATTGATCACGGATCGAGGCCAGCACGAGCTCGGATGTGGCGAGTGTGGCTCTCGAGGTATCGAGAATGGCGTTGTTTATAACATTCTTCTGTCCAATCTGCAGCCCGAAGAGCTGCTGACAGAGGCACTGCTCAACTTCAGCATCCATCGTGACGATGGCTGAGTCAATGACTTTGTCGTGACCGACATGTGCAGTCTAGCAGGTCGGAAAGGCGGTGTTGTTTCAACAGCGCCTCGTCGGCCGTCAGAGTCTTGGCTATTCCGCGGAATACGAGTGACTGCTTGCACTTGGATCTGTTCAAGCCATCATACCCAACGAGAACCTCCAAATGGTGCAGATGGTCTGGGATTGCTGATTGACCCTAGACCTACGCATCTGCATTCGACGCGAGTATCTCCAGACCTCCCCTTTCCGACGATGCGGGCCAAGTATTCCAAGTCCGCGTCTGCAAGCTGCTGCAATGCTACCATACGAGGCCATTGCATGTGATGGGCCTTCGAGCCAACAAGCAGCTCACGGGTAAGCCAATCTCGAGCGGGGGTTAACATGCACGAGTCTGCCTCGTCAGGCTGTGCCCAAATGCAACCAACAGCCGATGCACGCTGCTTGCCAAATCCAGCGAGGCACTTTCGGGCACCATATGGCATCAACCACGTAGCTTCCTGGCCCCCAGCTGCCCTGCCTTGAGAATCTTCTTCTCTTCCAACTTCCAGGCAATGCCCTCCCGAGAGGAGACTGCACAGGAATTCCAAGGCCACGCCTGATGAGCACCACCATGATCGCAACCATCAGCTCCAGCCTGGCCTACCCAGCGCAAGACCCTTCTGCCAACTCGAGCCATCGCGGTACGGATGCAGCGTCTGGCCCCGGCAATAGGGGGCCAACAGTGAGGGAGAAGAAACACGTGTGTGACATCTGCCACAAGGGATTCGACAACAAGTACAAGCAGAGAGACCATCGGCGGGCCCACACAAGGGCATCAGCCAACGCGATCACCATAGCAATTCATCCAAAGCCAGCCACTGCGGTCGCCAAGACTCTCTCTCATCGAGGACTTGTCTATACAACGCTCTCGAAAGACCAGAAAGCTGCAACGCGTGCGCAGCTGCCTAGTCTCTGCCACTCCGAGCAGCGGCTCAAGAAGGAAGGCTATACCATTATTGCAAGTGACGACATCACCGCGGATGGCAGCGCCAGCGCCGGGGCGGAAACTGTGCTTCCCACGCCTCGCGCAGCCCCATCAGCGGTCAAGATATCTGCAATCGTCGTCGACTGCGAAATGGCTGGCACCGCCGAAAAGGACAGCGAACTCGTCCATCTCACACTGCTGGAATTCTTCTCCGGCCATGTGCTCCTCAACAAACTCGTCAACCCCACCCGGGCAATCACTGACTGGCGCACAAGCATTACGGGCATCGACGCCAGCACCATGCAGGCCGCCGTGGACGACGACAGAGCCCTGCAGGGCTGGCAGGCTGCCCGCGCCGAGCTCTGGCGGCTCGCTGACGACAATACCATCCTCATCGGCCAGTCGCTGCACAATGACTTGAAGGTCCTGCATACCACTCACTACAGGGTCATTGACACGGCTGTCCTGGCCGCGGACGCGGTGCTGGGACAAAAGTCCAAGATCCGCAAGAGATGGGGCCTGCAGGAGCTCTGCCGCCAGCTACTGGACATCCACATCCGCCAACCAGCCGGGCCGGGGGAGAGTGTTGTTCACGACGCGCTGGAAGACACCCTAGCAACGAGGGAGCTGGTCTTGATGTGCCTCTCCTGGCCGGAGAACCTTGCTAGCTGGGCCAAGGAAGAAAGAAAGGTCTTTTACGGAAAGAACAAAGGTGGCAAGAAGCAGCTATCCAGCTTGCGTGGTGGTGGTAGCAGCTAAGCAGCCACGGCGTGCATGTGGGAAGACAGCATGCTCACTACCCCGGACAGCGAATTCGAGGTACAGAGATGGGAGGATGTGGTGCCGTGGGGCTTCTTGCCAAGCTCGAACTGATCAGTTTCCGCCATGAACTAGTCAGCCTTCCCGATCGCTGTTCTTTTGAGATCTGGTTTTTCATCATTTTTCTAAGCCCCTGTGTGCTGTTTGCATTTCTGTTCTTTTTTTCCCCTTCCTTCCTACTCCCTGAATCTAGCTGCCCAGTATATTAGGCATGTCTTTTCTCAAATTCCTCCAGTTTGTACCATGTTGTCGAAGACACGAATGAAATTATCCACTTTTGAGACGTCGAGCACACGTTGCTACCAATGCCCTGACAAACGACGCAAAAGAATATCATGCTTCCAATGCATACAACCAAATGTCCCTTTGCTCTCGATTTTTGACTCCGCTGGCGACGGTGTACACGGCGCCGTAATATTTCCCGAACTCGTCGGCGCGGCACAGCTGCCCGATGCACGCGGGGATCAGAGCCATCCAGGAGCCCGTGCCGAAGCCGAAGAGGGCGGTGAAGGCGTACAGGGCGGCCAGGGAGGTCTGCCCGAGGGGCAGCCAGAGCGCGAGCATCCAGACGAGCGTGAAGGCCATCATGATCAGGAGCGTGTTGAAGCGCCCGATCTTGTCGGACAGGTAGCCCGGGCCCAGGCGGCCGAGGCAGGACGCCGCGTTGAGCACCGAGACGAGGTAGAAGCGCGTGCTGGGCGGGTAGCTCGGCTGCGCGCTGGCGTAGGTGGGCAGCACGCCGAGGGCGGTGAAGAGGACAATCTCCATGCCGAAGACGCTGATGATGAGCAGGATGACGCGCAGGTCGCCGTACAGGGAGAGGGAGAAGATGTGCCGCGCCGAGGACCTCTTGTGGGCGCACACCGTCCGGCCCTGGACGAGCATGTTCGCGAGGATCAGGCAGAACGCCGCGATGAGGCCCACGATGCGGACGGACCAGGCGTAGCCGTACCGCGACAGGGTGTGCTCGAGGACCAGGGGGAACACGACACCACCTGTCGAGGTCCCGAGCCCTGCGACGCCCTGCGCGAGGCCGCGGCGGTCCTTGAACCAGTGTGCGACCACGGCGAGACCGGCAGTCGTCACCATCGCGGCCGTGGTTCCGCCTAGCACGCCGCAGCAGAGCAGGACCTGCCAGTACGTGGCGCACTCGGCCAGCAGCAGGAGCATGGCGACGTAGCCGATGCTGCCGACGAGTAGGATCCAGCGCGGGCCGTAGCGGTCGAACAGCGGGCCGATGAAGATGCCCAGCGCCAGGGGAAGGAAGGCAAAGGTGGACGAGATCCAGCCAACATCGCGGGCTGCGTAGTCCGAGAACTGGTGCGTGCTCCAGTAGTCCTGCAGCGTGCCGATGGCGACGATGAAGCCAAAAGTTGGGAAGAGGGAGAGGCACGACCCGGCCACGACGAGCCAGGCGCGCAGGCCACCGTCCGGGAAGTCGTCTTTGATGGCCGATTCGTCGGAGGTTGTGTCTGAGAGGCGGGAAGAGTCCTCGCACTCCATTGACTCTGTAGGCCTGGTCATGGCTTGATTGTTTTGCGTGTTGCTGAGCGTGCCACATCTCTATAATCGCTGGGTCTTAGAATTGGACTCCCGCATGAAATATTTATGTAGCAGCTGGAAGGCCATGCTGGGGATTCGCAACGGCTTTTAACGTCATCACGATGCCTGTGCCAACATTCGTCAATAGCAGGAGCCGGTCCGGCAGCAAGAGATGCGCTGTAGATCAGACTCCAGCACGGCAGCACGCTGCGTCACCGTCCCAACTGCCGAAGTCATAGTGGTGTAACAACCTGGTGACAGCAGGGGTTGGGCGGAGTTCCGGAGTATATGTTCCGCCCAATCATGGTCCACTGCCTGTCCACTTTCGGGATATCAGCCTTGTGCATAGCGTGTGTACATGGAATCGGTACGCCATGGACATGTAGATCCCGTGAGGCGACTCCGTATTGTAGTGTGAATCACACTTTCAGAGCTCATGTCAGTTGAGGGGGTGTTCGAAAGGCGAACGCGGAACGCCTGTGCCAACATTATCGGCGGTTTGTTGGCTTCGGTAACTTGGCCCGCCTTCCTTCTCCGTGCCATTAAATGTCTGCCTAGCTAGGCATGTATTCCCATGGTGGAATTCTTGGGCAAGCTTGGTTGGCAGGACCAAATAGGTAAGGCGAGGCCTTGAATGTCCCATTGTCCGCTTTTCATGCAGGGTATAACGAGATCGGCAGCGCTCTCGACTGACCGAAACCTCCGCCCACCACTATAGCATGAGCGGCATGATCTCATGAACCAGGAATTCTGACCACTCATTCTTCTCCACGGTAGCCCACCTTCCCACACTATTGTATCGGCATGTTGACATCATACGGATTTTCCCACGAAACGAAATATGCCGGCAGATATGCCAAGCCTTTTCCGCGGAATTTTCCATTCAACAGCGACTTCGGCTCACGCGCCAACACGCCACCTCGCGTTCATCAATCGTAAATCGAAGAAGCATACTGTCGGATAATCTTTGAGTATCCGAGAAACCCAGCCACAATGGACTTAGAAAGCTCTTTTGAGCGCTAAGCTTGGACTCGCCAGAACGAGCATTCTGAAGAGTACACGGTTATCATGCTGCAGTCGCTCATCGAAATTCAAAGTACAACAATCGAACCATTGGGAAGCCACTGGTAATCTCAGAGAAATATCTTTTCCAGGGTATTCTGGTCAGGAAAAAGAGAGTTTACCGTATGCTAGGTAGCAGACCGTCGTTGAGACGGGTGCTGGGCAGCGGAATCATGAGCAATCAGAGAAAACGGTTGCGCTAGCACAGTGGATCATGGTATCACGGACTATGTCATCGACAAACAAAGATTCAGGATGCGCCCAAGACTCCGTGAAGATGGGACTTCTAGTAGTGTGGTGGTGTTGAACGGGGCGCAGAAGAAAGCTTTCGTGCTGGCGAAAATGCTGGCAACATTGTACGTCCCCAATGAGCCTGCCTTTTGTGTCTTCTTTGTTCTGACTGTGAAGCAAAGGTGGTGCAACTGGAATGCCATCCAGCCCTTACTCCTTCCAACATTTCATCCTGCTTGTCAAGAAACACAGCCAAGTAGGACAGAGCCTGGGCCACAGGTTCCACGGGGCACGAACCCAAAGGTTCTCAACAGCAAGCCATGTCGAAGCAAACACCAGAGGAATGCTCACCTAAAGGAAAATGTTAGTAGGCTGGTCGCACTTCGTGCCAGTTGCGACAGTCGTATCGATCTATCTTTTTGTCTGTTAGCCCTTTGTTTTGTCGCACACTCCTTTTGGTGCGCCTTATCCGGTTTGTTAGGTCTCTTGCTGTACTTCCGATTCTCTGCAGCCTGTCCGTGTATAAATCTGTCGAAAACGTGCACCCAAAGTCTATCCACCGACTCTTGCTCACCCAGACGCCGCGACTGCCGAGATATAGTGCAGATTGAAACGCTCAAACACCAGCCATGCCTCCAAAGGATAGTTTGGCACCGAAACGAGCAGGGCCTCGGACCACAGCTCAGTCGAGCGCCGCCAGCAGTTCCACCACTCGTTCAGTGGTCAGACATTCTCAGGTGTTGCCTATGCCGCCGCAGCCTGAACAAGGACAGGGACCATCAACTGGCATGGGAGAACTGTTTTATGTCGAGGTGAAGGAATGGAATCCTGCTGAATGGTTCGACTGGGATGGCAAACCGCTTGAGGGGGCTTAGCCCGACCAACGATCTTCCGCATCTGACGCTTCCGGGCAGCTGAGTTCAACGCATGCAGCCGAGAGCAGTGCCCAGACATCAGGTGAACAAAGTGTCGAGAGAAAGGACAAGGGGAAAAGAAAGCAATCTTCACCCGGAGAATCCTCCGCCAGCAAAGCAAGGGCCGTCGACAGCATGGCGGGACCAAGTCGTCTCAATATCCCGGCCAATGTGTCCGAATACAGCAGGATGCCAACCGCAAACCGATTCGTTGGAAGTGCTGCGCCGGCACAACCTACCGGGGGCTTACCACGACCGCTATTCCAAGTTCATTTCGAGGCACCATACCACAATGTTGATAAAAGAACGGTCTCTCCCGGGGAGGCTTTAACCATCGTCATACATGGCGCACAAGGACATGAAACCTGGGCAATGCAGTATTGGGCACAGAACACCTTCTGCAACGCTGAGGACGTGAAATGGAGCTGGATGAGTGAAGAACAAGTTGTGGAGATCAGTTGCAAGGCCCCGGAGGAACAAGGCAAGTACTTTTTCAGGATTGTCATTCTGTCTGACAAAAAGTTCATGGTGCCAAACCTCTTCGTGACGGTGGTGCGATGACTAATGGTCGGCCTGAGTTAATGCGCATGAAACAAGTTTGAAATATTCCGAGGGTCTGGTTGGGTTTCGCTAGGTTATTAGGAAGGACAAAGGATGGCATAATACGAGACGATGCATCTCTCTCACGAGCTTGAATCATATGACGCAAGTGATGAAGGGATATGAGCCAGCGGGGTATTACGTATGTCAATTCACGGAGCATATGCATGTGAGTTTGATGGAATTTCCTGTGCCAACAAACTATGCGCATGTCCTATGAACTTGTATCCAACTTAATTCCCAGTGGTCCGATCGCGCGTTCCCAAGGATACAGCTTCACTCCAGCCAGAGTATCCCATTCATGGAGACAGAAAGTGTAGACTGATATGCAACGAGCGCATAGCAGACTAGTCAGTGATACAAAACTACAGAACCCCGCCATAAGCTTAAGCAGCATGTTGTGTCGCCGGTGCCGCTCAGTATCGCTTCAGTGGGGGCGACCCTTTGCAGGGAGGGGGTGAAAACTTTGTCTCGACAAACCTGGGGCAATCGTCAGCTTGTTCTTGGATGCGACACTGATTCAAGACTTACACCTTCTGCATAGACTCCTCGCGTTTTTCAAACTTGTAGTAAACCTTGTCAATGTCTTCCAAACGCACCCGGTGAGAGACCATCTGAAGAGGGTCAAGCTCCCCGTTCTCAATCTGTTTCAGCAACTCTTCCCAGTATTTCTGGACCGGAGCTTGCCCGTTTCCGATGAGGCGTACACCCTTCTCCATCAGGGCGCCTAGGTTCACCTGATTGGAGTAGCCCAGGTATACTCCGGTGATTCCACACCGGCCAAAAGGGCGAACGGACTCGACCATCTCGTTGACAATCTCGCTTGTATCAGTCTCCAAGCCCACGGTAAGCTGAAGCCAGTGAAACCAGCCCTTTGAGTATTCACCAGCAGCGCACTCCAAGGCGACGTCGGGGCCCCTCCCGTCGCACAGCTCATTGAGCCTACTAACGACGGTCGGTTTCTTCGTAAGCCCGAAGGAAAGTTTTTTGTAGTCGACTATCTCAAGCTTATCCTTGTGTTCGGCTGGCCAGCGCGATTTGACGAAAGAGAGTCGGGGCTCCGTATCAACGAGGATTATCTTGGCTGCACCAGCCTTCAGGGCGAAGACGGCGGCCATGTGACCAATGGGACCACATCCGAAGACCGCGACCTTGTCCCCTTTATAGACTCCAGTGTCATGGACGGCATTGTAAGAAGTGCTGACGACGTCGCTGAGATAGAGCGCCTTCTCCTCAGGCACCGAGTCGGGGATCTCCAGGAGATTCACGTCCCCGAACGGAACGCGGACATACTCGGCCTGCCCGCCGGCGAATCCACCCGTGAGGTGGCTGTACCCTGCGAATCTGGGAAATGGTCAGCTGTGAGGGCTCAAAGATATCGCCAGGACGACGCGGGTTCCTTCTCATACGATCCTGTCTGGTTGCCATATAGAAACTTCATCGTCTTGTTCGAGTTGGTCCTCTCGCACATCGAGGAGAGCTTCTGCTTGCAGTAGAAGCAGCCGCCGCAGGCGAACTGGAACGAGCTCACGTAGCGCTTTCCAATCTGGACCCTCTTGATGGCGGATCCTACCTTGGGTTGTGGCATCGATCGTCAGTGATGGGAGGTCAGACACAAGGCTTGAAGACGCCCGAATTACCTCGTCAACGACACCCATAAACTCATGGCCCAGGATATCTCCCTTGGTCATCTGCATAACGACCCCATGCAGCAGGTGTAGATCTGAGCCGCAAACAGTTGACCCAGTCACCTTGAGGATGGCATCTGTGTCCTCGAGAATCTTGGGCCTTGCGACGTCGCGGACCTGGACGTCGTTCTTGCCCATCCAGCATAGCGCCTTCATCGTCTCGTTCTTGCCCGTCTTACCGGGAGTGAACGACGTGACATCCTGATGGGTGGCAGCACTGCCATCGTGGCCGATTGCCTTCTCCACGGCGTATGCCAGCTGACTTGTTGCCATGATTGCGACTTGAGGGGGTGTCTGTGTCGAGTACAGGTGGTGCAGAAGTTATTGCACATGCGCTTTGTTCATCGAGCCGGATTTCCGAACGCGCACAAGTTTATATAAGTCAAAATCGTCCCCACGCTGTTAAGTAGACTGCATTCGCTTCGCACCACAAGTCACTGTCCCGTCAGGAAAAGGTCATCAAGCCCACTCAATCTGAAGTCATCAAACCATAAACCAAGCCCTGCGGCTGTGGTTCAACTCCGATATCTCCACGCACCGCAGTGGAGTACTTGAACGGACGAGGGCCCGGAGACTTGGCTATTGGGCTCTTTTGTCCAAGCCGCAGGAAGTGCGCGATTCTGGTTGTACATGTCAGTATCACTGGTCAATAAGACAGTAATCATTACATCACCAAATGCGCTCCGCGAGGACTGGATCGATCCTACGGCAGTAAAAGATAACGTGCGTGGCTTGTGTCTTGTGACGGGAGTTTGACGATTCGCACACGTCACGGCACATGAGGCTTAAATGGCTGGACGCTACGGTTAGATATGCCGCTTGCTCCGACGGCGTCAGCTCCGGTGATGCTGGCGTCGCTATTGGATCGGAGCAAATGCAAACCACAACTCTGATCCCTCTACCGAATCCTTGGAGAGGGAGACGCGCAACTGCAAACTGGGCCTGGGCCCTGGGGATCACGATCGACGTGAATGGAGCCCGAACAAACCGGAGAGCGCAGTCCGGCAAGTGAGCCGCCCTAGTCTCAAGGGGTCGTCACGCCGCATGCAGGTGAATACTGGCTCCACGATAAACACTAGCGCGAAGCGCGCAGCCGCTTCTTCCTCCGCACAGACGCCTGCTTTCAGGCCACCAGCCAGGGGGCTGCTCCGGGATGCGGGCGCGGAATACTACAAAGGACGCGTTTGCGCACAAGCTGGAGCATCAACAAGATTAATCCTAAACCCAAGGGTCAGAACTCTGTACCAACTTTGACCGATCCCGGCATCTAACAAACTGCATGTTGCCTGACACCGGACGGATGCACGCCGACCAGCTTTCATTCTCGCCATCCCCGATCATATCAACCATTAGCGCAAGCCGCGGGCAATTTAATACTCCGATAATGTCATTTGCGGACTTCTCAATCTGGACGGCAATCCCAACTGTAGTCAATTTGCAATCGCTTTCGCTGACGGCTTCAAGCAGCTTGGCCACGGATGAGCAACAAAGTTCTAGTTCGTGTTCTCAACTGTGAGACCGCTGCTCACGAACTAATTCAGCCGGACATTAACGACGTTGCAGCTTATGTACTTGTAGCACAAAGCTCACGAAAAACGGGCTTCCTGTGTCGACGCACTGATATAAGACAATAATTAATGGGGTCTCGAACGAGGCGCACGTTTGTGGACCATCATGCGACAACACACTCGCTGGGTTGCCAGAATTCATGCTCGAGTAACTCGATACTGTTGGCAAATAGTATTCGTCCATCATGGGTACTCGCACTATCCATGGATCACTTGACTATGGCATGCCTTGTGATGTGTGCGGCTTATTGTCTGCCAGAACCCATCTTGAGTATTTTAATTTAAGAGCGTGCGTGGCGGGCTTTTCATCGTGTTTTCCCTGGTTTTACGTGAGACTATGTCAGTTAACCGCAATTTCAGATTGTTCAACAGATTTACAAGATAATCCTTGGTGCTGCTCGCGAGTAAGGCCTTTGGCGTTGTGGCCAACGGATAGAATCTACAGCCCTTGGGGCTGACCGGTGTGGAGATGGAATAGTGGATTGGGCGGAGAAATTCTTCAGCCCGCCACCAGTAACACCGCGTCAAGCAAGGCCGGCGCTGCACCGGAGCCTCCGGCGGACGTTGTGAAACCAAGGCCAGCTCTGGCGGAGTCCCCGAGAGACAGACGGCGGCCAAGGCTGTCAATGCCAAGCTGTTCAAGCTCATGAATTTCGCCTCGGACATCGGGAACCCTGCTCAACGTCTGGTCGAGTATCGCGATGCTGCTTGAAATCATCTCGGGGAAGCCATAAAGGCGCATGAAATGATGGGCGACGGGGGCAAGGAGAGGCTGGGCGACCATATAGAATGCAGTCATCGCCTACAGGCCAACTCAAGCCCAATGTCATAACTCAAGAAGGAATAACGCGGCTGTATGGCCACTGTTTTGGAGTGTCGCGTAAATGGGCCGCCGGTATCGCACGACCTGCATAATTAAACCCGCGGCGCTCAAGGAACATTGTTGGACGCGTCTTCGTCGATGAGGCTTGAACTTCCGGTGCCGAGTCTCTTCACGATACTGCGTGAATGAGGTCCCAAGAGGCTCATCCCGCTGCTTGCGAGCCAGGCTGCGTATCACGGAGGCGCCCACTGGAGCTAGGCAAGCTTCTGTGTGCTCCGATCAAGCTCAGTGGTCCTTGTACTCGTTGAGGTATGGGGTATCAAATTCCCATGGCAGACCAGTACATGATTTGAAGCTCGCACAAAGAGATTTGTGACGAGCACGACCGGCCCGCTGAGGCAGGCCATATTTATTGCTTGCGTAGGGCTAGGTCAATGGGTCTGGCAGAAGGGGCGCCTCTGGCTAGGAAGTAATGCGCTCTTCAGGCTGCCATTGATGAAATAATTTCCAGGGCAACGGCCGTCACCACCCATCGCCTGCCCCTCAACGGGACTCTTCTCACTTCCTTCCCCTCCATGTGAGAAGTCTTTGGACATCATTTCATGCCAGTCCTACCTCGCAAAACAAGAGTTCACGCGGATTCGCGTCATTCTCGTACACGTCGACAACATTCTGGGTATGATCATTGTCTCCAGGATCACAAAGAATCAAGACTCCATCACAGCCCCGAGTCGTACCAAGCCCAGCTCGCGATCAAATCGGCTTCACCGTCGATACCTTCTTCGAGCACGACATTCGCATAGGCTCAACCTTCCTGCTGCCGGCAACTATCGTGCGTGACGATCTCTTCAGAACTCTCTCGTCATAGGGCGCCAGGTGGGTAGGTCACCCGATCGATCACAGACTAAACGTCGCTCGCCACACCGGCACAGGGTGCGCTGACCACAATGGCGTTGGCCAGTGCGATGAATTCGATGCTCGAGTCCTCGCCACCAGACATGGGCGACGAGTCCATGTCCGAGGGCGATATAGCTCATGTACGAGATGATTCAACACCGCCGAAAAGTGAAGTCGTCGTTCCCATTGCCAACTGGTCCTCAGCTATCGGTTATAGCAGGTCAGACCCCGCCCCAGCTATGCAAAAGATTATTTTCCGACGCTCTGACATGAATTCCGAATTACTACAGCTCCATAATGACTCAAGATGAGGACCAGACAATCACCACGCCCCCTCCAGCAACTGAGTTGTACCGCCGTCCTGATGTGGTTCTGCGAGCTGGCCACCCCGCGGTTATAATACATGCCAGCTCAACCTTGTTGGCGGAGCATTCGCCTTTCTTTCACAGGCTGCTCTTCGGTCCCTGGGTTGAGAAGAAGCCAGAAGAAGGGGATTGGGTAGTTGACCTCCCGGACTCGAACGGCAGCATGCTCACGTTCGTCCTTGGTGTCCTTCACGGGTCGCCACACGTAGCCTGGCCATGGCCGAACGAAGATTTTATAGAGAAGCTAATTAGAACGTGCGACTTTCATGACATGGTCGCATTCCTCCACCTCATACAGAGCACGTGGGTGGAACAGGTCCAGGAGCGGCCCCTAGAGGACCTTGCTGTGTTCGCAGCAATGGTCATCCTCGGAGCGCCCAAGGACGAGGTCCAAGCCCGCCTAACGCTCCTTGCGGGCGTCGTTAACCACGTCCAGCACGATATGCTGCGACCCCGAATCTGGAAAGATGGGCGCCGCCTTGGCCCCGGTGACGCCAGCGTCGACGACATTGGTATCATCATGCAGGACAACAAAATGTTGTTCAACATCCCAGACGAGGACGCCTTTGGCCTCTACGATATACTGGCGCATAGCGCGCAAGAGCTCAAGCAACTCAAGAGGACCACGATCGAGGACATGTTTGAATCGCACCGCCGAGCCTACGCCCCTTTCTTGGACATCACGAGAGACACGCATCGCAACAGCACCCTCGGCTGCACCGCGGCGCGCGGCCACCGCATCGCGCCCTATGCGCAGCGCGTCTCGTGCCACCGGATGCAGCTCGGCGGGTTCTACGAGGAGCTCGTGCGGCTGGGCATCACCGACGCGCGCGCCTACTTTGACCACCGGACGCGTGCAAAGCACAGCGTCGAAGAGTGTGCCAACCACCTGCTCGCTTTCCAGCCGGACGGGACGGGGAGCCAATGGCGCTCTCATATCCGCTGCAACAAGCCGCCGATGCTGCATCGCGTGGTCAGTGACAAGTTGATCGCCTGGCAAGACGCAGTGGCTGAGCTGAGCAACCCTGCTCTTCCTGACGGCCTCGTGCAGGTGCTAGAGCAATGGATCAAGGCGTGGGCAGACCCTGCTGCCTATGCGGTGGAAATGAGTGACTGATCAGAGGGATGGCAGAGTGGAGAGTGGTTGCGGTGCCACCAACACTGGTACCACACTGAAACCGTCGAGTATGCCTCGTGGATGAGACGCATGATCAGTAGCGTGGAGTTGATGTACCCGCTGAAACCCAAAGTCGATTGAGATCCATTGGACAAGGGGGATTTTGTGCTTTGACATGCTCGGGAGCGGGACGTTATGAGTCGAGTCGCATTTCTTCACAGAGGCTTTGACAGTCATGAAAACATCTAGCCCTGGAGCCTTGGCGCGTCAGCAGTGTCGGAGTCAGAAACTGATTATCGGTCGTTCAGAGCCTTCATTCTGAATGCGGGAAGTGAGTAGTTTCTGCTTGGGGGCTACTTAGATTTTGTTCGATGGTGGCACCGGCCTGGCAACGCACTAGACAGTCTATGACAATAGAAGTCCTTTTTGCGTAATCTTGGAATTCAGCTATCTGGTTTAAGATCTCAGCTCTTATGAAAGTTTTCGCATCTAGAAAAGAACTTCTCTGAACGTGGATAACTTGTCTCGAGCCTCTGGGTCATACCAGAACGACTTTTCGCTCTTCGAATTGACCGATGAATGAAACTGCCTCTTCCCGGCTCCCGAAATGGCTTGAAGCAATCCCTATCCGACGGAAGTTACCATTCGCAGCATCAGCAAGTAGAAGACCTTCCATTAAGTTGCGTGGTGGCGCGGATAACTTTATCCAGAGTACGAAGACCTCTTCCGCAACGTCTTCCATCGAGTCAAATGTTCCATCATACCATGAATAACCCTTCATAGCTTGGTCTTCAGGCTGCATATCCCCGTCGCGCCCCCGGAATCGGAGTATTGCTTTAACATTATCAAAATGGGATATTTCCACTGTCCCACCAACATCAATGATGGCGGCGGCAAAAGGCCCTCTCAGAGTAAGCGCTGCAGACTCAACTTCCCCTGTGTCGTCCTCGCTCTGAAACGTCATGGTGGCAGACAGGACGGCGGCGAACAAGATGCGCCCCATTTCAGGCAAGGGCTGCATGGAGAGTCTCCCGTCGAGGCTGGCCCAAGACCATGTGGGTGCACGATATGTGTCGCGTCGTTGTGCAGGGCCTGCGACGCACCACATAAGCCCGTCCGGAAACTGCTCTTCCCAAAGCCCGGCGAGATAACGATGGTGCTTCCCAGGTTTCAGCCTGTTCAGGGCTGCTCGCATGTCCTTCGCGAGGCCGGATATCGCAACAAGCTTGTCTGTGTGGACTGTGAGCTCCCGGTCCGTATAGTAAGCCACGAGAGCTATCCAATCGAGGAACAGCTGTTCAACTTTGTCCTCGCCAGTGGATACATCGGGCCCGTCCAGCAACGTTTTCCACAAACAGGGACTTTCATGCGTGCTTTTGGCCCGCTGATCCTCGTCTGCACCCCCAATGCTGATTCTCGACTGATCTGTCTCGGCACAGCGAGCTTCGCGACACTCCCAAAACACCTGGCGGGACCCAAAGTACAATGTGCGGGGTGCCAAAAGCCGTTCCTGAACGACCCAGGAGCGCTGCACAAGCGGCTCAGACGCAAAAGCGTAATACCATGAGATGCTCCTGTCGAGCTCAGACACGTAGGCGGCTTCCACCTCGTCTTCGGCAGTCTTGACACGCACCATGGTGGGTGCCACGCGTGAAGGATCACGCTCAAAGAAGCATCCGCCGTCGCTGTCGCTGGCACCGAGCGCTGCGATGCTGAAATGTGCATGCTGGTAGACGTCCTTCATGGTCGCTGCCTCTCTCTGCCAATCATCGACGGAATCCTGGTATATGCACAGTCTGTCCACCCAAAGGTAGTCGACTTGATACCTTTGCACAATCTCGATGGCTTCTCTGAATGTCTTGGGCAGGCTCTCGACCCGGTTCTCCTGCTGGAGATACTGTGCAGTTGTGCGCGTAAGCATCAGCAGGCTCTCAGCCGGTTGTTTCCCCCAGCAGTAGCTGAGCGCCGCGTACTTTGACGCCGCAGGACATTCCCCTCCAGAGACAAGGCGAAATGTGCCTGACGGGCTCAGCTGGAGCAGTCGGTTCGGTCGAAATGTCGATGAGGCTTCTCTGCGTCGGCACAGCTCATGCTCAGTGAGGCAGTTGTTCATCCAGCCATCCATGACACGCCAGGCTTCCGGGCAATTGGTGGAGGGGCCGAAGTTGGAATTGTCGCCATGATCGTACTCAGGGTCTGATATAGTGCTCGGTTCCAGAGTCAGCATTGACACGCAACTCCCTTTACTTATTACCCAACCTGCATTGTCGGGCCAGACCATACATACCTTCGAGGGGAACCAAGTCAAAATCCTGCTGGACAGAGCCAAAGCCGTAGAATATGCTTGGCTTCTTCACCGAGGCTCCCTCTGCGCTTGACTCTTTCCAGGACAGCCAGAACACCGAGAAGTACCCCAAGCGTCCAAACTCTGGCCTGTCTGATGTTCGTACACGCGCCCGAGGGAAGAGCTCGAGGTCAAACCTCTTACATATGGTGCAGCCCTGCTTACACGAGGCCAGCCATGACCCCTCGTCCTTGTGGTGGCCATGCACGAACCGAGGCTGCACATACCCCTCTTGTTCCCTTGCTATGTCAACATGGCGGCACAAGGAGTCAAGGGCGGAAGAAATGAGGTTCCTGGAACAGCAGCAGATGGCGGGAGACGCTGCTCACCTGGATAGTCGTCAAACAGGTCGCCGGTGGTGCAAAGCTTCACGGAGCGCGTGGGGTCCCACATGCCCTCGAGGCCATTCTTGCACACGTCGCAAAGCATCGTCAGTCCAGCTAGTCGCTTATTGCACGTCGGCCAGCCAGTAGTTGCGGGTGAGGTAATGAGGAGAGAGGAGGGGCAGTCCACCAAGGGCGTGGGAGATCTGCATGTAAGACGCCAATCCCCACAAGAACCCCCTGTGCGTGCCCTGGCAATGTCGCTCTTGTGCTCATATCGTGATTGGCTGACCTGTCAAGCAACCATGTCCAACAGGAAGCGAACGAGCCGTTCGATAATATGTGCTGATTGCGGTTCTATCGTGACTGTCTTTGAGTGAGGTCGGTGCCAGGCAAGCCCCTGTTTAATGTGCTGCCTTTGTTGCGGCTCCCTGCAGTAAGTCTTGTCAAACGCGTTTGATGCAACACCAGGCAGTTAGCCAGCAGGCTGAAGCTGGACGATCAGACAATATACCAGCTCCATTTGTCAGTTTTTGCCACAACTCGTCATCGTTCACCGCTGAATCACAAGACGTTGTCTCTGTCAAACCCTGCATCGTCTGCCCAGACTGACCGTATCACACCGGCGCAGCGTCTGACCAGCCCTACTCGTCTTAGCTGCCCCGGACATAATCCTGACCTTGAGGGATTAGTTGAGGGCGCAGCTGTTTCCCCAGTCATGCTGAAATCGGCTCCACGCCCAAAGCCTGCCCCGTACTGGCGGAAACACACCTACGTAGACACCACACCATACCACACTAGACCCATCACGGCACCCACGAGAATAGCGACCGGCGGGCTCACGCCAAACCAGTAGCCGCCCACATAGCTCCCCGCCGTGACAACCACCCACCACGGATCAAGCCCCAAGTTTGTGCCCAGCTGGTAGCTCTCGTCGATATAGCCCGTCTGCCAGAGCCGGTACACGGCCGTGTAGATGAGCCCAACGGCCGCGGCATTGATCCCGCGCAGCGACGACTTGACCCAGCGCCAGCCACGGATCGCATGCCACACGCCCATGGTGCCGTGGACGGTGATCAGTCCGGGGGCGAACATGCCCGCGAACCCCAGCGCGGCACCCGCTGCGGCGGGGTATCCGCCATTGATGGCCGTCAGGCTGCCCAGGTACACGGCAAAGTTGAAGTTGGGGCCGGGAAACGCCTGCGTGATGGCCAGGCCGATGAGGAAGTCGCGCGTGCTGAGCCAACCCTCAGCGACGGTGTACTCGCGCAGCAGGGGGATCACGACGGGACCACCGCCAAAGATGATGGTGCCGGCGAGGTACATGTTGGCGAAGAGGCTGAAGAGGAGGGACTTGGCGGGCAGAGTACCGCGCAGGATCATGATGACGGCAAACGAGATGAGGAACCCGACGATTATGGCCAGTCCGGTCTGCCAGCTCAGGTTGAACTGCCTGTCTGCAGGGACGACCCGGGGCTCGGTCTCGGACTCGGGAGGCGCATAGGCGGCCGCGGCCGGGCTTGCGCCGTCGGCGGTGCTGTGGCTGGCAGTGCCGTCCCTTGTTGACTGTCTTAGGTTGGGGAGTTCGACAGCCTCCTCCTCCACAGGCGCCTGTCTCCTCTTCGCCTTAGGCTGGAAAAGACCAATCACAGACTTGACAGGACCATGCAGCCAGCGGAAGTCGTAGACAACCGTCGTCACGCCGGCCAAGAACATCAGGAGAGGGAAATACCACAGTGCGTTGTACAACATGCCCGCGGACGCACCGAGAAAGACAATGATGCGGGTCAGCTTGTCGGTGATGGCCTTCTCCGATAGTTGCACCGCGGCCAGCGCGACTATGCCCACAGTGGCGGCGTTGAGGCCGGAGAGCACAGCATAGGCGGGACGCGGGAGGGTCTCGCCAATGTTGGACACGCCAATGGAAAGGCCGAACATGCCCAGGGCGCCAGGAAGACTAGCTTCGGGGTCAGCAAGCAGCAAGTACAGCGGGCAGTGGTTGATGGCGCATCTCACCTCCACAGAAGGAAGCCAAAGACCGCGGACAAGGTCCCGTCATGCAGCAGGTTGATGCAGTAGTGCATCTTTGTACTGCCGGGGCCCGAGAAGGCCTGGCAGACGCTGAAGAGCTCCTGGTACTGTAGGGGGATATGCATGTGTCAATGCCTGTCGCCAGTGACGGGTGCGGTGCGAAAGAAACTTACCATTTGCTCGTCGACCCATTGCAGCTTGGTGGTGAACTTGTCCCGAAACTGGAGACGAGTACGTTGGTGTCAGTGCATGCGGGGATGAAGCATCATCGTATTTAGGAAGATGTCACTGACAATCTTGAAGTGCGTGGGCGGACCACCAAAGGAGGTGAACCCTAGGTACCAGTTCTGGCGGAGGGTGTTGGACAGGTGATCCTGCAGATCGGCTGGATGCCACCCGAAGCGACGCTGGATGGCCATGCTGCTGGCGCTGACTTGTCCGCGCGATGTGGTGAATGGCCAGGAGCGATACCTGTGCAGGCAGGTGAGAGCGGGAGAGACGCGGGACAGAGCGACGACACGCGAGGCTTTGGTGGGGATCGCCGTTGGCAGTAGCCTCATCTGCGGTCCGAGCTAGCCTAGCCACGTCCTGCTTTGCCAGGCCGCGCTCCTGGACCGGCGGGCCCGGCACGTGTGCGGGGGAACGCCAGTGATTGAAGGACTGAGCATGGCCAAGACATCAGAGCGCGGAAGGTTCCGCGCCAAGTCATGACCATCCATCTTTCTCGGTTTGACGGACACAAGATGTTTCCTACAACCCAGGCGAATACCGAGGAATCCATGAGAGAGCATTGAAATGAAACTGCCACAACTCGGGGCCAGCAGCGCACCACATACATGTGATTATTCTGTTGCTGGGTCTGGAAGTTCCTCTCTCTGCCTCGATGGTCCACCGTTCAGCCACGGCCAACGGCTAGCCTTAGTGCCCGGCAGCCTCCCCTGAACTACGGCTTGCGCCTAATTAGTGGGCTCGATCAGTGCGTACCCTTTAGGTCAGCAGCTTCTTTGGTGCCCGCGTCACTGTGGCGCTGCTTTGTTGCCAGCATCGGAACACAAAGCCTTGCTCGTGCCAAAGGCTTGGCGATGACTATCAAGTTCTTGCGGTTTCAATTCTGTGAAGCCTGAGGGCACAAAGATGCGATCTCCAGCCTCATGCCAAGTCCGTGGTCTAGTGTCGCCCGTGACGTGCCGGGTCTCACCACAGCATTCCCTTTGCAACTAGGGTTTCCCCCCCGCAATTTGCCAATGCAGCACACTCCTGCATCCTGAAATAAGCAAGTCATCCCTGCATGCCTGCCAGGGGCACTGGCACCTCGACTCTGTGACCCGTCTGGTTCCTGTGACCAGCCCGGCTCGCCGGCAATGCTGCCGCCGGTCTGGGCCTCTACAGATCGCTCCCGGCCGACCGCCCGCATGGGACGGCTTCCCCGAAAGACGGCCTGAGCAGTTGACGCTTGTCGGTTTTGGGGCTGGGCCCTCTCTAATAGGTGGCCCAGTCATGCTGGCCGCGAGCCAATTGTTATTAGCACCAGGTCGGCAGCTGCGCCGCAGCTTACCAACGTTACGTACGTTTGCAAAACATCCGTGCCGACCGCCCTGTGTTACCAGCTCTCGTGGCTCAACAACGGCCCTCGGCGGCAGCACGCCTGGGCCAAGGCTTTCGGCCACAGTCCGCAGGATGGATCCCGATTACGCGGCAGACACTGCAACCTGGTGCGCCTCAGCAGCTGCTGAGGTGTTGCGTATGCAGCACAAAGTTCACGACCTGCAGGGCGACGGCGATGGCTAGAACATCAGCTTCGCCTGGCATATTCGGACGAAGCCGGCCAGGCTGGCACATGAATGAAATCCTCTATCTGCCATGGGTTTATAAATACTTCGTATCGGACAACGGTCGTCAGATGCCTCTTGGACAACACCGCAATCTGATCCGCCTTCTCCTCAAGTTTCAGAGCAGGTACCAACCATCACTCCAACATGAAGCTCGCCACAATCACCGCTCTAGTCGCCAGTCTTGGCCTCGCAAGCGCCGCCCCGGGTTTGGCTCCTGCCAAGGCTGTTGGCGTCTTGCACATGTTGTCCAAGAAGTGGAACTACGACGTCTGCAACAACAACTGCGCTCTTTCGGGTGTCGCCATGCCTGACGTCAACACATTCCAGCTCCCTCTTGAGAACAACTACTCTCAGCAGTGCCCCCCAATCTCCATCTCGCTGCCCGATCGCAGCACCGTCACTTCCCAGGTCTGCCTGGACTTTGTCGGCACGAACCTCTATTTCAACTTTTCGTCCTTCCCTGGCTACACGACCAAGGCCGCGTCCGTGGCTTGGGGGCTGAAGGGCAATGTGGACGACCCCTCCAGCTGGAGCAGCGGCCCTCCGTCGACCAACCTCCCGTGCACTCAGGGGGCTTCCGGCTTTGTCTGCGTGTTGCCCTTCGCATCCATCTTGGGCCTCACTGGCAGCGTCGCCACTACCGATCTGTTGGCTGGAATGTGCCCCAATGGCGCCCGCGAGGCCCTCGACCTCTTCCTGTCTTTCTCCGGATCAGCCCAGGCCACTGGTTCCTCTACCACAGTGGACTTCAACAGCCTGCCTCCTTGCACAACTCGCGACGCAAGCGGGACATGCACAGCCTCCTCGACTACCCAGAACTACTTTGAAATGAGCTACCGCTGCTCCAGTTGCGAGGCCGCCCCTTGCGCATCAAGCTCCTCGTCCTCCACCTCCACTTCCACCACCTCCTCCACCTCTACCTCCGTCTCCACCACTACCTCCACCTCGACTTCGTCCACGGCATCGTCCTCCCCGTCCCCCAAGCCATGCGGCTTTGGCACGGCCTTTGGCTACCAGAACCCCTACGGCAACTGCAAGAAGTCCTACACCCTCAACACCCAGAGCGGCCAGGGCTGCAACCGGTGGGGCTGGTACGAGACCCCCAGCTCGCAGGACCTGCGCAGCGGCATCGGCGGCCCTCTGTACGTCGGCGCGGGCGGCAACGACATCTCCAAGGCCATCGATGTGGGCACCTGGTCGGCAAAGCTCAACAGCCAGGGCCGCGTCGTCGTCACCTACGCCCTCGACGCCGGATATTCGCTGTCCGAGGCCCACGTGGACGTCGAGTGCCTGCCCATCGACAAGTGCGCCCCCGGCCAGTACACGTACAACTCGGGCGCCATTGCCAACCTGCGCACGTGGACCACCAGCCCGATCCCGTACCCTCCGTCTTGCTCGGGCAACAACAAGGTCGCGCTGATTGTTCACGCCGCGGTCAACAAGCTGACAAGCGCCAACACTTGCCCAGCCCCAAAGTGCACTTAAGAACAAACAGCTGAGTGCTGGGCATGGTGGAGCACGGGGGTCAAGAGGCTTGGAAGTTAGGGGAGGGCTAGAGAGAGCTGAATTGAAAGGAGGACGTTGTGTAAAGATAATTTTTTCGAAAGTTTTATAAAATTCCAGATGTCAAGTACAGTCATTATATCCTGCAAATTTATGACTCTTTCTGTGCAACTCTGAGGCATGAAAGACACGAGCGCACAGGTTACTCGGGAGCAAGTGGTTCTCTTACTTCGCACTATTGAAATGAGGCTGGATCCCAGCGCCGTCGTTTTTGGGTGGCGCCAACGTTCTGGCGCACCCTCGTGCAGCTTGCATGCTCCTCCCCTCACATGTGGAAAGTCGTACTAGCTTCGTCCTGTGAGTTCTAATATCCTTCTGCATCAAGTTCCCTTCAGGTCCTGCCAATAAGCGCTTGGGAGCGTTTGGCTAGCTAGGTGATCATGCGTGGCCCTTCGCGGCGCTGGGCGTCCTGCGCCTCCTTTGGCTTTTTGTGGTCTCTAGCTATTTTCTTTTTGAAAAAAGGATTGCTGTCGGGTTTGCATTTCCTGGCACGTCCTTTTGCCTTTTGCAGCTACTGATCGTCCTGGTTCTCAGTTGGGTCATCGCCACCATAGTCATTTGAGGGCGGCAGCACCCTGACTCGTCTGCTTCTTCTGCTTCTTCTTGGTGCTCTTCTCACTAGTCTAGAACAAGTCGCCCTCTCCTTCCCCTTGTTGATCGTCGATGACTCGCTTCGCCAGAGTGTCTCCCACAACCTGTTTCAAAAGCTCGTTTCGCTGTTGCGGCGTAGAGAATACAAGACCAGACTTCTCGTCCATCCCGGCGAGGTGCGTGATCACCCTGAACGAGTACCCTTGGTCCACCAAGAACGCCTGGCGCCTGGTCGAGTAGTACATCTCCGCGGTGTCCCTCGACACCAGGGAGTAGAAGAAGGCGTTGAACCCTTCGTCGGACCGGCGCTTCGCGCGGAGGATGCGCCCGAGCCGCTGGGCCTCCTGCCTCCGCGAGCCGTAGTGCGAGGATATCTGGATCTAGCAGGTCGCCTCGGGGAGGTCCAGCGAGGTGTCGCCGATCTTGGACGGGAAGATGGTTTTCACGTCGGGGTTGTACATGAAGTTGTCGAGGATCTGGACGCGCTCGGAGTTGGTGGTCGAGTTGTCGAGGATCTGGACGCGCTCGGAGTTGGTGGTCGAGCCGCAGATGCAGACCTTCTTCAGGGCGACCGCGACGTGCCATAGCGCGTACACGTTGTCGGAGAAGACGATTTCCTTGTCGCCGTGGCCCTCATGGTAGTCGATGAGGAATTGGCAGGTCCGGATCTTTCGCGGGTTCATCGCGTAGAGGTTCTGTTTGAGGCCCCACCCTCCTGATCACCTCCCTTAACGCTATATTCCCTAGACTATGCTCGCCGCACCGGTCACAACCTTCGAGCAACAAGATAACACGAAAAGCTTTCTTGTCCGCGCCTGTGGTAGCCTGTTGCGATCTCTCATGGACCAAGACCGACAAGTGGTACAGTCCCGAGATTGTGTGGAGTAGATAGCCGTGCAAATGGCTGACTATATTTCAAAGCTTCTTTTGACCGAGATACTGCCTGTACGACTTCGTCAACAAGCTAGAGAAGAGCAGTCAGGTTCAGTGCCTAGCGAGAGTCACGCTAGCTCTAAGCGCGCGCGCTTAGAGGCCAGACAGGATCGCATTAAGGCCACACATTTCTACTAGTTATCAAGGGCAGCCCCGGCATGGTCTGCCAAGCTATGACCTAGACGTTCTCTTGGAGTTGTGCTCAGTTCAACAGCCCTTACTTGGCTTCGGATAGAGATGATTTCCTACCTCTGCTCACTGGTCTGGTGTTCGTACAAATCAATGGCCACGCGAGAGCATCTTCAGGGACACCAGACCAACTCGACATCCTACAAGCTTCAACGTGCCTAGTTTCCAACTACAAATGAATGGACATGCGTTATGGTAAAGGCCTCAACACCCACAGCCCCGATCCGACATTTCGCCAAGCCCTTCGTGGGGGTCAGCGGTCCTACGCGGGATGTTGTCAGCGTGCAGCGCCGATCAGATCACGAGGGACTCGAGATAACACAAGCAACAGGGCAGCGTAAGCTGGTGCAACATCCGATGCCGAGGCTGTAGAGGTTTGCTGACCCCGCCTGCGATCATGCATTCTCCGCTTCCGGTCTGGCCACTCTTGTCATCCTGTTCTGATAGTCACAGCACTTTACCTATCACCCGCTTCTTAGAGACGTATTGAGTCACCTCACCTGTTCGATGGACTCAAGATCGCCACTATGGCTGATTCGTTCAAGCATCAAGATTACACCGTAGGGTGGGTTTGCGCCCTACCCATCGAGCAGACGGCCGCCTGGGCAATGTTGGATGAGAAGCATCCCCGCCTCGCGAGCCCAAAGGGCGACGACAATGCCTACATGCTCGGCTCAATCGGCGGGCACAATATTGTGATAGCATGCTTGCCCAAAGGTCGCATAGGCGTGACCTCGGCATCCACTGTCGTCACACAGATGGTGTCGACCTTCACGGCCATCCGTTTCGCCCTCATGGTCGGGATCGGCGGGGGGATTCCGTCCAAGGTCTCACTTGGCGATGTCGTCGTCAGCACTCCTACCCCAGAATTCCCAGGTGTTGTGCAGTGGGACCTGGGCAAGACAGGGACTCGCGGATTTCGAAGGACTGGCGCGCTCAGTCCTCCGCCTGCATCTCTGTTGTCAGCAATCTCGAGGCTTGAGTCGGCACATGAGATCGAAGGCTCCAGGATTGAGGAGTTTCTGGAGGAGCTAAAGCAGAAACATCCAAGGCTCACATCAAAGTATTGCAAGTCAGCGATGCTGCAAGACTGGGTGTTCCCAGCGGACTATCCCCACGTGGAGTAAGCTGAATCGTCCATTGCTTTCTGTACGCGCAGGGCTGACATCTGATGCTCATGAAAGGAATGCCCCGACTTGCCAAGACTGTGATCTCAGTCTAGCAGAAATGAGAACCTCTGATGAGCCGCGAATCCATTACGGACTGATTGCGTCCGGCAACCAAGTTGTCAAGAGTGCTCAGCTCAGAGATGAGCTGTGCGTATCTCTAGGCGGAGGAGTCCTGTGTATCGAGATGGAGGCGGCAGGGCTGATGAACAAGATCCCAACACTGGCTGTCCGCGGTATCTGTGACTACGCAGATTCGCACAAGAACAAGGACTGGCAACCATATGCCGCAGCTGTGGCTGCCGCTTTTTCCAAGGAGCTCCTGCTCGATATTCAGCCTGCTGAAGTCAGCAACGAGCAAACAGTCAAAGACTTGGTAGAGGCTAGTCAGTGAGGCTTTTCTCCCTCTTGCAAGCCCGCGATGCTAAAATAAGGTCAGTGACGACCGGCGTCTCAGAGACACGCGAGCAGGTACGGAGGATTGAGCGTCAGATAGAATCACAACATGATCGCGAGATACTGGACTGGCTTTCGCCCACAGGATATGGGTCGCAACAGACTGAACTCCTCAGGAGACGCCAGCCTGGCACGGGGCAATGGTTCCTCAACCACGAAAATTATGGGCACTGGCTAAATGAGCCAGGTGCTACGCTCTTTTGTCCCGGAATCCCCGGAGCAGGCAAGACTATGCTTGCCGCCCTCATCATCGATGACATGAGCCGCAGGTATGAGACATTGCCCGATGTGGCTGTTGCATATGTATATTGCGACTACCAGCGCGCTTCTGAACAGACGACCGAGAATGTCCTCAGTAGCTTGTTGCGGCAGCTCGTATCACCCCTCCCACACACCATCAACGCAACGAGGGATCTTTATGGCCGGCATGCCAATCAGCAAACCAGACCCAGTCTGGAGGAAATACTGCGGGTTTTACACGATGCCGTGAAATACTACAGCAGGTGCTTCATTATTATGGACGCTTTGGACGAGCTTGAGCCAATGTGTCGTCGATCTGTCCTCTCAGAAATCTTTGAGTTCCAAGCCCGATCTGGAGCAAACATCTTGGCAACAGCGAGACATATCACAGACATCAAAGAATCATTTAAAGGTGCTGCCGTGATAGAGATCAGCGCAGCCCACGGCGACGTCTTGGCATTCCTGTCTGCTCAGCGGAGTACATTGCCATGTGCTGCTGATGAAGTGATCTGCGCCGAAATCACGGCCGCGATAACAAAGAGTATCGGCGGCATGTGAGTTTGACCTGCTCTCCGCATTCCACATTCCAGATATTAACCTTAGTAAAACAGGTTCCTGCTCGCTCGACTTTATCTCGACTCTCTCAAGAACAAAGACACCCGGAAGCAGATACGCGCAGCGCTGGCCAGGTTTACCGCCGCCTCAAGTCCCCACGGCACTGCCTCCAGCACAGTGTACGACACTGCCTATGAGGATGCTATGGAGCGAATCGAGATGCAGCCTCGTAAGGACAGAGCGAAGCAAATCATCATGTGGATTACTTGCGCCAGACGACCGCTCACGATTAAAGAGCTACAATATGCATTGGCGGTCGAAGCTGAATCTGGTTCCGAGGCGCTGGACGAGGACAACATTCCCACTCTGGACATGTCGATCTGTGCCGGGCTAGTCACAGTTGAAGGCAGGACAGGAATTGTCCGGTTCATTCATTTCACAACACAGGAGTATTTTAGACGGGCCGCGCCCAAGTGGTTCCCGAATGCCGAGCAGCTGATTGTTTCAACCTGCCTCGCATACCTGTCTTACAAACTCCCCGAGGAGTTTTTCGAAGCAAACCTCGACCTAATAAGCCGTCACGACTTGGTGCCTTATCCTTTCTATCCTTACTCAGTCAACTACTGGGTCGACCACGCTCGTCTTGCGCAACATCATTCGTCCGTCCTGCAGTTCCTCAAAGACCACCAACGAGTAAGGCGCACAGTGGCTTTGACGAGGTTGTGGAAAACCTTCAGGAGGGGCCCTCTGCCAATGCCCCATAATGGGTTCGAACTCGCTGCCTGCTATGGACTAGCACACGTTGTTATGGAGCTGCTTCCATCCTTCGACGTGAATCGCGACAGCAGAATACTTATGACAGCATTAACCTGTGCGGTACACAAAGGTCATACCGATGTGGTGACCATGCTCCTCGACGCGGGTGCACCCTTGGACGGACCGACGAAACACTCAACACCACTGCAAATCGCTTCTTGGCAAGGCAGCACCCCCTTCGTGATGATGCTACTTGACTTGGGGTCAGCTATTGATTACAAAAATGACGGGGGATGTTCAGCTTTATCATTTGCAGCAAGGGAAGGTCATCAGGATGTGGTCAGATTACTTCTCGATGCAAAGGCTTCAGTGGATATTCACGACGACATATCGCGGACGCCATTGAGCCATGCAGCAAGAGCGGGCCACGTGGAGGTGGTCGGGTTACTCCTTGAGGCAAAGGCATCAGTGGACCATAGAGACCGTACTGGAAACACTCCATTGATCGAGGCAGCAGAAAACGGCCATGTCAAGGTGGTCAGGCTACTCCTGGATGCGAACGCGTCGGTGCGACCGCGTGGCGATCAGGGTGAGAGCGCTTTAACCCTGGCAGCCTCAGGAGGCCATGAGGAAATCGTCAGGCTCCTCCTCAAGGCAGGGGCGACGCTGGAGCCGAATCGTGACCGTGGGAGGCATCTTGGTTTTCGGCCTTGTAGTCCACTCCCCGCCGCGGCATATCGTGGGCGGGCGAACGTTGTCAAATTGCTCCTTGAAGCCGGCGCACGAGCAGACATGAAAGACGAGTTCGGAAAAACGCCAATGGACTGGGCGGCGGAACGGGGACGCCCGGAGGTGGTCAAGCTGCTGCAAGAACACATAGCACAATTGCGCCTCAACGCAGAGCAACGGCCGCGGACGCCGTCCGCTTCACCATAGTAGTCGTATCCAATCGGCGAAGGAATTTTGCTCACGTACCACTGCCTTGGTGGGTTTGGAACTGCAAGTATGTTTGAACCGCCAACAGGAGCAGGTAGTTCCGAGACGTAACATATCTTTTGACTCCGGTTAGTATCGTGCAGGTGGTGTATATGACGACATGTATGCCACACAATGAGCAGTATCAAAGGGGGCTCGCGCCCTACTTCCCAGTCAAATGGCCTAAAAACAGGGCTGCTGCCGTGGAATCTTGATATCGGTGACCGGCAGATACGCCAGCAGACACGACCTCCCGATAGAACCCCTACATAGAGACTAGCGACTGGGTCAGTTAAAGTACGTTCTCTGCATCAGTTTCGAGCTCTAAACTCTAGCTTGCCTAGGTGTCCCCCGAGTGACAATTAGAAAGCCGCAGGCTCGGCACAGTTCGACCAGATACGATCTTTCAAAGCCGTCGTCAGTCATGTACCATCATTCTGATGTAGTCTGGAAAGACCGCTCTGAATTGGGTAGAAAGCCAAAAGTGACTGGTCGGGACTACGAGCAATCTATTTCTGCAGAAGCACTGCAGCGCTCAACCTCTATACACTATGCTGCCAGGCTTCTATCTTGTGCATCTGTCTTGACCTCCTCCCAACAGCGTGGTCCAGAAAATGGCGCGGCGCCTGTTGGCCTCAAGGAGGTTTCCTTCCACACCTAGCGAGATGATACATGCTAGATCTGACCTGGCCATTCCGCTAAAGAAGCTTGATCCCTCGCAAATCTCCAAGCAGCATGCTTTTCTAATGTAGATGCTAGGCCAGCGATTATTACCCGAGGGCGCTATGGTCCTCAACAACGTGGTGGCATGCCCTGCCTACGAAAGCCTCCAAGTCTTGGGCTGGATTCCCCACTTCGGACAGCCAAATCGCCGCATGGGGAAGACATTATGATCTTGCGTTATGGATGTACAGTCGCCAGAAGCAGAGGTCGTGCGAGTTGCGTCCACCAGAAGCCTGGATATGAGACTGTGGAACAGTGTTGTCGTGGGTGGTCGACTGCGTTGTACATGACTGTGATTGCAAACCTTGGTGCCACCTAGACGTACTCGCCAGCCTTCCCCTCGCAGGTGAGTTTTCCGTGTGATGTGATGTTGCACTCTCCTGGCGCTGCCATTGGAGCAGCTGTGTCGCAAACACGTTGATTGCGGTTCGTGGTCTCATGCTATCTGCGTAGATGGCGCCTTGTGGTCCGAAGAGGAGTCATTTTGACTTATGCTGTTGTACAGTTCTCACGGCGGAAGTCCAGCAGCAAACTTGCGCGCCATCCAGGTAGCGCCGTGCTCGTCATATTCCTGCTTCGTGACAACGAGCTTCTCAATGTCCTGGTGTCTTGCCAGTTGCGCAGCGCCGTGCCACGTGCTGAACAGTGGCTTCTCAGGCCTGGCGACACGGACCAGGCACTCGTCCGGCACCCGTTGGACAATCTCATCCTGTAATCTCTCTACAAAGCCCTCAAATAGCGAGTTGCCGCCTACGACGACGATGTTGGCTAACAGGCCTGGCCACAACCCGATGGGAAGAGCCTGGAGGGACTCCCACACGACATCAGCGATCCCGGGCTGCTGCAAGCCGACATCGGAGGGGTTGAACAAGATCTCTGGGATCGTGAAGCGCTCATTGCGTAGAGTGAGGACGTCCTCGCTGGTCTCGCCAAGCTGCGCCGCGAGCTTGCGTGACCGCGCCGTTTGGGTGGGATCGTAGTCGCGTACCACACCCTTTGTACGCGTGTGGAAGTCGGGCAGCACGTAGTCCTTGGCCACGCCGCCACCCGTGAGGAATGCCTCGCGCCTCTCGCCGCGCGTGCCTTTCCACGTCTTGTCGAGGTCACCCGCAAAGTCGAGTGAGACGTAGCAGGCCATCTCCTTCATTTCGTTGACAATGTAAGTGTCGTTGCGCATGTCGTAGTGGCGCAGAGATAGCATGCGGGTGAGGTAATTTGTGAGGAATTTGCCGCCAACTTCGAGGCGTCGCACGGCCTGATTTAATGGTCGGCCCTTGAGCAAGGGGGTGATGGTGGTGTGGGAGTAGCCCGAGTCGATCAGGAGCATGATTTCGGCAGGCCGATCGAGCTGTAGCTGAGATACAGCGTGTGGTGCTGAGACAGCGTGGGCAGAGGCGTTTGCAGTTCCGTCTGCATCAGACATTGGCTGGTCTTCCCCGGTGTTTGTCGCAGGCGTGTGCCCATTCGGTGCAGAATGGACTCCGTAAGTGCTCAGCGTCCTCTGAACATCATTGTACGCATTGAAAGACGCGCCACTGCCACGATAATAGCTCATGAAGCCAAACTCTTCAAACACCATCTGGTCGCAGTTGGTCTGTAAGATGGGCAGATTTCCCGCGTGTTCAGCCAGGATGAGGCGCGTCTCGGCCGGGTCGCAGCGCAGTGGGGCAGTGTCGTCGAAGAACTCGCGGTCCCAAATTTCGCGCTGGGCCTCCCAGCTGACAATGTAGCCCTTCTCTGCGGGCCGGCGGAAGGCCATTTCGCCAAAGTCGCGGCATGTGTCGAGCTCGGAGCCGACGTAAGTCTTGCGGTCAGCGCCGCGGGCGATGCAGTTGGGGATCACGCGGGGATCGATATCGTCGGTGGTCGTGGAGGTCCATTGTGACGGGGTATCGCCTTCGGGGAGAGGGCCGTCGCTGGGAGGGTTGGAGAGGGGAGCGACAAAGCCAGCCTTGATGGTGTAGGCGCCATTGTCGAGGACAAGGGTGCGCGCCGGCGCTGGGGGCGGCTGTGGCTTCTTGCGTGGCGGCATCGCAGACACGTTCTGTTATTTTGAGGGCGTGGGCATGGCTGCTGTGGTGCTGCTTCTAGGTGGTTGTGAAGCAGGGTCGCGCGAGGAGAGGTGCCGGGTCGAGATGTTTGTTGGAGAAGGTCGGCTCTCGAAATCGAAATTGTGGTGGTTGAGCTCTCCTCTCCAGGCAAGGCTTGGAAGGCCCACAGAAAGCTTGGGGGAGCTGTGGCCAGGGATGGCAGGCACACCAGGGATGCGACGGCAGGCACGACACATCTGTGATCTGACATTCTGCTCCACAACTTCACTACATCATCAGAACTCTTGGGTGGGCACAGGGCCAGGCGCATCGTACCTGGCAGCAGCCAAGCTGGAATGTTGTCTGGCCCAGTCTCACAATGGCGCATTGTCGGTCAAAAGCAACGGGCAGCCACAGCCGGCCGCGAAAATGCACCAGCGTTGGCGGAGCTAATTTCATCCCGAGACCCCTGCTCGGCCTTGGAGCGCTTCATGGTCCCCGAGAACCCGCAACGTCCTTTCGTCGGTCAAGTTTAGGACGCATCCCAACAGTTTGACAGTGTATGTACGCTGGCGCCGAGTGTGATCCTCCAACTTGCCACACACTGACCGTATCTATTTTTCCACGAGTGTTGCAAGATTCTGGGCCTCGCCATGTTCACCGCCAGCGTCATGCTGCTTCTGCCCAGCATGGCTCACGCCTCCATCTCCGTCGCGATGCTGCTTGCGGCCGCTGTCGCGGGCATCTCCACCATCACCTTCCTGCTCAGCTATACGCGGTACCAGCTTGCCATGTCCCGCGCTCGCAGCTCTTCCTCTGCCGACGTCCGCCCGCCCGTGATCCCCTACTGGATCCCCTGGCTCGGCTCCTCCCTCGCTTTCCTCACCCCCAACCCGGGCAAGTTCTACCGCGACGTCCTCACCCGCCACCCGCCCGAGATGGGCTTCTTTGGCACCGTCCTTGCCGGCGAGGTCAACCACATCGTCTACGCCTCTCGCGCGGTCCAGGCTCTGTTCAAGGTCAAGTCGGCCGTCGCCCACAGGGAGCACCTCACGCACGACATTCTCACCAAGACCCTGCGTGTGTCAGAGGAGGACTACAGCAGGATGTCGGCCGAGGGCACGCTCGTCAAGATGCACCGCGACGAGGAGATGAACCAAGAGCTGTTGCTCCGGCAGTCGGCCGTCAACGAAAATACGGGCACATTTGTCGAGTTCCTCAAGGCGGAGCTGGCTGGGTGTGCGCAGGCCTCATCCACGGCTGGGGGCACTGCGGATGGCCAGCAGGTGGTCGGTCTTTATGCGTGGCTGCAGGAACACATGTTCCGGCCCTCGTGCAAGGCTTTCATGGGAGGCCGCATCAACGACATATATCCGGACTTCGCTCCCGACTTTTGGAGGTTCGAGAACGGCATGCTCGACATGCTCTTTGGTATCCCCAAGCTCATCAACCCGGGCCCATATCAAGTACGCGATCGGCTCGTCGAGAACCTCACCCGCTGGGTCGAGGAGGGCGATGCGGCCCGCAAGGAAAAGAGTCTTCCCAACCCGTACACGCCCGAGGCAGAGTGGGAACCCATCTGGGGTTCCCGGCTCAGCAGAGGCCGCCAGGCGCGCTGGATATCCGAGGGCTTGACCACGCAGGGCCGGGCATCGATGGAGCTTGGGTTTCTGTTTGGGCTCAACTCCAACGTCATCCCCGCGACGGGGTGGATGCTCATGCACATTCTGGATCCGAAGCACCCGGACCTGCTGCCGCGCGTGCTGACCGAGCTGCGACGAGCCGTCATCCCACGTTCTGCCACAAACACCACACAGGCAAACGGCACCGCAAACGGCACATCCACAGCCGCCACCGAAATTGAGGGCATCAACCTTGACATCAACATCCTGGTCGCCCAGCCTTTGCTCATGAGCCTGTACCAAGAAGTCGTCCGCCGGTATGTCGACGTGCTCGTCGCGCGCAAGGCAGAGCAGGACTTCCGCCTGCCCCTGGACTCGACCACACCTCAGGGCAAACCGCACATGCTACTCGTCCGCAAAGGCGAGACCATCATCACGCCCAACATTGTCAGCCAGAACGACCCGGCATTCTTCATGGACCCGCCCGCCGACGTCTTTGATGCGGAGCGTTTCCTCGTGCCCAGTGGGGGTGGTGCTGGTGCTGACAGCACAGCGGCGGTGGCGGTGAAGAAGAGCAAAGACGCTAGCGGGAACGAGTACACGGACGAGTACGTCTTCAGCACGTCCGCCGTGGCGCACAAGTTCTGGCCCTATGGCGGCGGCAAGACCATCTGTCCCGGGCGGGTGTTCGCCAAGCAGGAGATCCTGGCGACTGTGGCCGTCGTGCTGCTCGGTTTTGACGTCACAGTGGAGGACCCGGCGGAGTTCAGGATCCCGGGGTTTGCAAAGGTGTATGGTGGTTCAGGGACGATTCCGCCGCATGGTGATGTTCGTGTGCGGATCGGGCCAAGGAGTGTATAGCCGGGGACCCCAGTTATAGACGATGAATATGGAGACTGGATTTGGATAGAACTCGAGAACCAAAGAATTATCGATATCACCCGTCTATTGCAAATAGAGTGTTTGGAAGGATAACTTTGCACCATACAGATCCATCGAGTTTAGTTAGCTGCAAGGGTAGCAAAATAGCATGCTGTGTGTCAAACTACACGACAGGACCAGTTGCAGGAAAATGGATGAGCGAACATCGAGTGAATCATGATGACTTCGACGCTCAGTTCAACCTAGATGATGGCAAAAGGATTGGTGATGCGCATGCACACGTACCCTCCGCGCCGGATGGTGCCTTGCACTCGCAGGGAGTCCTCCAGGTGTGGACGGAAGTGACGAGTGCGCGAGATCCATGTTCCCCAGGGCCGATACTACGGCAACGCGACGCGCGCTGCTTCGGACAGGGGATACAAGGAGATTGTTACCTTAGACTACTTATTTCATCTCTATATAATCGGCTGTTGCACATGGCTGAGGATGCTTTAAGCAGCTGGCGAGCATCACGCCCAATCACATTCGCTCCATGCCCGGATGCCATTTGTCCGCGAGGTGGGTGGGTCGCGCCGCACAGGATGGATTGCCGGAGACTTACCAGCCGGCGACTCCAGTTGCGCCGCTCATACTTTACCCAGCGCCACTTGCACTCTGCTACACAAAGGCTGCGACCGGCGAAAAAGTCCCCGAGAAGCATTCATCGCCGTAGCTCCGACATGCTCGCCCAGCCAACGTGAAGCGCCAGCAACATGCGCAATGGCCAGCCATTCCATGCAGCGGGGCCAACAGCAGCAGCAGCAGCAGCAGCAGCAGCAGCAGCAGCGACGACAACAGCGCCCCAACCCGCTGGCCAAGGCATGTGTGACGTGCCGGACCAAGAAGATCCGCTGCGACGCCGCCCAGCCCCGGTGCTCAGCATGTCTCAGCCAGAGCCGCGATTGTGTGTATCGCATCGAGGCTCCACGTAAACGGTGCGTGCGCTTCTGGCTCAGGCCGCCCTGCACTAGGTACCTCATATGCTGACCCTGGCTTCAGGCCGACCTTCTCACAGATCGCGCAGCTTCAACAAGACAAGGGAACACTACATGCCTTTGTGTTGAAGCTCAAGAAGAGTAGCGCCGAGGAGCGCGACAAGTTATTAGCAGAAGCTGTGGATGCAGATGAGAATGTCTGCGTCGTATCCCGCTCCGACTCGTTCGCCTCTGATAATGTCCTGAGCAAGACGTCGCGGCTGAGACGTCGGTCTAGCCTCGAGACCCCAGACGCATCGGACGACGAGCTTGACATTGCACATTTCATATCGGTCGACGAGGCAGGGAAACCCAGGAGCTTTGGCCCGTCATCTGCCCTCCACAATCCGACCAAGAGCGACACGGCCGTTTCGCCGTCACAGCAGACCGCGGCGGCCAAGGACCACATCCGCAACACCCTCGTCGCAAATGCCGCCCTGCAGAGGCAGCTGGAGCACCGCCTCAACCAGCTATCTCATCTCGATGGCGTGCCCATCGACCTGGCATTGCATCTTCTGAACCTGCACTGGACCAGGCAGCACCACTCGTTTCTTCTCACATATCGGCCTGCAATCATGCGGGATCTGCTGTGCTCTGGTCCTTATTGCTCCACGTTTCTGCTCAATGCCATATTCGCGTGCTCCAGCAAGTTCTCTGACCGGCTAGAGGTGCGGTCGAACCACAATGACCCGACAACGGCTGGGCGGCTGTTCTTCCGCCGCTGTGATGAGCTACTATCCCAGGACGGCCTCCTTATGCGCCCCAACATCAACACCGTCATCGGCCTCCTGCTGTTGGGTTCCACGTACAATGCCCGAGGCGAGACATCCAAGGGCTGGCTGTACACGGGGTACGCCCTGCGCATGGTCTATGATTTGGGTCTACACCTTGATCCGACGGAGACAACGGACAACCCAGAAGATGTCGAGATACGTCGCCGTGTCTTCTGGGGCGCTTTCGTGTGCGATAAACTACAGAGCCTGTATCTCGGCAGGCCCGTGGCTATTAACCTGCGTGACTCTCAGGTCTCGCGCGACTTCCTCGACGTTCTTGAGGAGGAGGAGCTGTTCACTCCCCCCCTGGCAGATATACGGATGGGAGGGCAGCTGAACGGGCTGCCGGTTGGCGTTCCAATCTGCTCCGTGTCGACATTTCAACAGCTCTGTCTCCTCTCAAAAATCATGACGACCATCATCAACCGGTTCTACGTTGTGGGGGCGACTTTTTCCAACTCCCAAGACAGCCTGCAGCAGGTGGACAACACCTTGCAGCGATGGAAGGAGAACCTGGCCCCTAAGCTCGACTTCCAACCGTGGCTGAGCACCACCAACATGGCACCACCACCCCCGCCGCCGCAGCCGCCCAACATCATGATCCTCCACAATCTCTACCACTCTCTCATCATCCTCCTGCACCGTCCATTCATCTCTGACGGACACCTCCGCCGCTCGGCCGCCGCAACCCCGATCCGGTCCTGGGAGCGCTGCACCGTGGCCGCGTGCCGCATTACCAGCATCGCGCTCGCGTACAAGTCCGCCTTTGGGCTCTCGGGAGCACCCTACGTCCTCGGCTACAGCATCTACGTCGCCTGCACCATCCACGTCCGCAATGCCGTGTCGCGAGAGCACAATGGCCCCGAGCACTTGTCGCTGCTCGTCGCCAGCCTGCGGTGTCTGGACGAGATGTGCGTCGCCAACCCGGGCGTCGCCAAGCCTGCGGGCATCATCCGGCGCCTGGCAGAGGCCAACCAACTCAACCTTGATATAGGTACGTAACTTGAGTACACTCCTGGTGGGCGGGTAAAGATGAATCGCAATAATGGAGATGGCAAATGCTAACACAAGCGGGAGAGCAGCAACTACCCCAGCTGTCGATCAATCCACCTTGAGCTTCGACCTGGACGCCGTCTTCGACATGTTCCCGTTGCCGCCGAATAGCGCAGATGTAGTAGACGTGGGGCTGCACGGATATCGACAAGGTCTTCATTCGGACATGCCTCTTGACCCTTTGTTTGGACTCATGGATGGTGCGGCGGCCATGAGGTTTGACGACCTGGCATCGCCGGCATTAGGGCTGTGATTTCAAAAAGACCCAGTGAAGTGAAGCTCATGTCACATGGTGGCGTTTCGTGACTACCACTGGTAGTCATGCTTTAATAGAAGCAAGTCACTTCTGACGCAAACGTATGATAATTGCACCGGCTCCGTTGGACTGGCGTATTATTATTTATTGCCCTTTGACAAAATGTACCGAGCTCAACTTTGGAGAGGGAGCGGTAATAAGCGCTTTGCCACGAATCCGCTGTCCATGTTAAGGTTGCCGCTGTCGGCAGTGCGCTCCCCGGGCGATTGACCCACCCGGAGCTTCAACCTCCGGCCCAATCGCCGCCCCGCTCAGGTTCACAAGCCGGCAACAAGCTTGCCTTATAGCACAAGTGCAGGAGAGCTCCAACGTATAAATTCATCGGCTGGATCCCACAATATACGTTTCTGGCAGATCGTGTCTTCCATATTCATAGCAAGGATTCCACAAGTTTTTGTCTACTTGCAATTTTTAGCCCATTCATAATCCTGGTCGTTTGGCATCATCACCATGGCACTACCCAGCGAAGTCGAGGTCCTGGTTGTAGGCAGCGGAAACGCAGGCTTTGCGGCGGCGCTTTCGGCGGCCCAATCGGGCGCGAGGAGCGTTCTGCTGATCGACAAGTGTCCAGAGGACTGGGCCGGCGGCAACACATACTTCACAGCTGGCGCATACCGGATCGCACACGGCGGCCTTGCGGATCTGTTGCCCATTGTCAACAATGTCACGAGCGAGCAGGCGGCCAAGATCGAGCTCGCGCCGTATTCGGAGGCAGACTTTGCGAACGACATGACCAAGGTCTGCATGGGTCGTTCCGACCCAGAGCTCTCCAGGACGCTGATTTCCGACTCCAACTCGGCAATCAAGTGGCTCGCGAAGAACGGCATTCGGTTCCAGCTATCCTTCAACAGACAGGCTTACGAAGTAGACGGCAAGATCAAGTTTTGGGGAGGACTTCATATCAAGACGCAAGACGGTGGCAAGGGCCTCATTGCCGACTACCAGGCCGCGGCCAAGCGACACGGCATCCAAGTGTCCTGGTCCACTGCCCTTACCGGCCTCCAGCTTGACCCTACCTCCGGTAACATGGTCGCTGCCGTCAGGGTGGACGGGACAGAGACGAGTCTCAGAGCAGGCGCCATTGTCCTGGCGGCGGGCGGCTTCGAGGCCAATCCCCGCATGCGGAGCGAGTTCCTGGGCCCCGGCTGGGACATGGCCATGGTGCGCGGCACTCCTTACAACACGGGCGACTGCCTCGAGCTGGCCATCCGGGAGCTCGACGCCTCGCCCGTGGGCAACTGGTCGGGCTGCCACTCGGTCGCCTGGGACGCCAATGCCAGCGCCAACACGGGCGACCGCGAGGCGTCCAACGAGTACACCAAGTCTGGGTACCCGCTGGGCCTGATGCTCAACGTCGACGGGCAGCGCTTCGTCGACGAAGGCGTCGACATGCGCAACTACACGTACGCCATGTTTGGCCGCGCGATCCTGGCCCAGCCCGAGCACACGGCCTTTCAGGTGTGGGACGCAACGGCAACACCGTGGCTGCGGCCCGAGGAGTACCGCGCGGAACGCGTCGAGCACATCACGGCCGACTCGCTCGAGGAGCTGGCGCACAAGTGCGCCTCCCGGGGCGGCCTGCGCGACCCGGCGGCCTTTGTGCAGACCATCCACGAGTACAACGAGGCAGTGTACGCCCACCGCCGCGAGAACCCCAACCTCAAGTGGGACCCGGCGGTCAAGGACGGGCTGTCGACGCAGTCGCGTTCCCGTAAGCTGGCCCTGGCCAAGTCGAACTGGGCCCTGCCGCTGGACAAGGGCCCTTACCTGGCCGTCCGCGTCACCTGCGGCGTCACCTTCACCTTTGGCGGTCTCAGGGTCGACCCTCACAGCGCGCAGCTGCTGCGCGCCTCGACCGGCAGGCCTGTGCCCAACGTCTTCTGCGCGGGCGAGATGCTCGGCGGCCTCTTCTACAACAACTACCCAGGCGGCAGCGGCCTCACGGCTGGCGCCGTCTTCGGCCGCAGAGCAGGCAAGGCGGCCGCCGAGGCTGTCCGCAGCCGGCGGCCCGAGCTGTCGCCTTCGCTTGCGAGCAAGTTGTAGAGGGATAATTACTCAAAACAGAGGGCATGTACAAGTGTTGCGTAGCTCGTCCGCAGCATGCTTTGTTATGGATATGGACGCCCCAGCCCCAGCGGGTGCAACGGCAGACACCGGCGCCAAGGCCATTCATTGACACGGGATGATTCCAAACAGTAGATCAATATACACACCATATCAACTACACCGAGATCCTCCAAGCCCCTATCCTCGCGTATATAAATAACGGTTGTGTTTTCGTCATGGAGACATATTTGTCAACACGGCTCCATGGTCTTCGTACAAGAGCCCACAGCTCTATATTGGCGCTCATTCAAGGTCATCTTCTCCACTTATTCTTGCAGTGCCTGCAGGTCTTGTCAGTCTCGAATTGGGGCACACTTGAAAATCAAGCTGTACAGCGGTTGAGGGTAGGTGGACAACACTGCCGAGAAGAAATGTGTTTTTCTCAAGGGCAGGTATAGTGGAAAGCTGACCAGAACCAATCTGGAGCTACCCAGTGCCTGAAAAGTTTCGACCAGGACATGTTCAATGACAGGGTCAGCTTGATGGATAACCACTCTGCAGTAGCACGACCCGCAGTTTGCACTTCGGTAATGGCATTCCTCGAATATTGTCCAAACTAGAGTAATGCGACCTATTGTGATCGTTCGACTAGGCTTCTCCGGTTCCGACCCTTGTGAGCAGTATCTGGACAATATCCGCATGCCCGCCAGACGAAGCAGCCTCCAAAGCAAGTTTGTAGTCCTCTGGTTGGGCGTGCATACGCGTTGCGCGACCGAGCAACAGCCGGACAGTCCCCAAATGGCCACCGGAGGAGGCGTTTCCAAGCGCATCTCCAAATTCACCTTCCTCCACGTCCTCGTCGGCTCCGTGGCTGAGTAGCACCTCTACAATTTCCTCCCGGCCGAGAAATGAGGCGGCCGCCAAAGCAGTGCCAAATTGTCCACCGTAAGCGTGAATATCGGCACCATGTTCAAGTAGGCATCGCACTGTTGTCAGTTGACCTCGGTGTGAGGCGGTTTGGAGCGCCGGGCCATGCTCGTCGCCACCGGACGCATTGACGTCAGCTCCACGGGCGATGAGCATCTCGACAATGGCATCATGGCCGCGGAAAGATGCAGCTATCAAGGAATTGCCAAACTGCCCACCGAGGGCGTGGAGGTCGGCACCCTGATCGAGTAGATACTGTACTGTAGACGGCGAGCCCCCGTGCGAGGCTGCTTGGAGCGCTGACCCGTGATAGCCGCCGGGTGCGTTCACGTCGGCCCCGGAGGCGAGGAGTACCTCAATAATGTGGTTGTGTCCTCCATGAGCCGCAGCAGCTAGTGCAGTACCGTACCACCCGCCGTGGGCGCATACGTCTGCTCCCTGCTGCAGCAGGAAAATGACAATGTCCTTAGATCCACCAAATGCGGCAGCTTGGAGCGCGTAGCCGTAAAACCCGGCCTTCGCGTTTACATCTGCGCCCCGAGCCAATAGCTTGTTCAAAATCCTTCGATATACTTCCAAAAGATCAGACGGTAGATTGCTGCCAAAGTTCCAGAGCTTTGGATCCGGGCGTCTGCTTGGCAATATCAGCCCATCGACGTGGCCTCCAAGGCATGCGGCTATGAATGCGTTGCCATGTCTTCCACGGTCGGTGTTGATGTGCGCACCGTGTTCAAGCAGCATCTCAACGATGTCCTCGTGGCCCATGTAGGACGCGCCTTGCAGAGCATCACCGTACCTGCCATACTCTGAACATACGTCGGCACCTGCGGAAAGGAGCATGCGCACGACTGACGCATTTCCCTCAAATGATGCCCCGCCCAAAGCTTTGTTGTAGTATGCTTTGACTTGAGCATTGTCCAATCCGTCCTCGGCCAACAACATTTGCGCGAGCCCCTCGTGGCTGTTTTCACAAGCAGCCACAAGAGCGTCGCCGCGATAGCGGATGAGCAGGGCATGATTACCCCGAAAGTGGTCCAGCAGAAGACTGACAACATCCATGTGGCCTTGAGATGCCGCTGCTTTGAATGCGTTTCCCCATTGTGCACCCGGAGCCCGGATCGCTGCTCCTTGCTGCAGCAGCCTCTTGACTACCTCCTTGTGCCCACCGTACGAAGCCGCCTGCAGTGGATTGCGGTGCTCTCCTCCTTCGGCATCAAGGCAAGCTCCGTCCCGAAGAAGCTTGTCGACACATCCCAGCAGACCATAAAGAGAGGCATAATAGAGGCCTGTTCCTGTCTTCAGGATAGGGGGCGAAAACCCCGGCTCGTAAAGTGAGCAGCTTGTCTGCAACTTGGCGGGATTAGAGAAAAGCTCGCATGCTAGTTCAGTGAGTCGGTGACCACCAGAGCCAGCCAGCCCTGCATGAGATGGCCAATACCTGGCTGCATACTCTGACAAGGGAAAAAGCTTCACGACCTTGTTGATCGGGATGTCGTTATCTACTTCGAGTAGATATACTAGACAAACTTCGGCTATGAGGGGTCGAGCAGATGCCTCTGAGAATGCATGCGGGTATTCTTTTGGTGCCGCTTTCAGGAGGTATTCCTTGACCGAAAAGTGCGCTAGCTGGATCTCCTTGATTGTTGACGCGCCATTACTTTCTGAGTGGCTGTCCGCCGTATTGTCGTCCGTCGAACCATCTACCGCGGACTCTTCGTCCATGGCTTCGCAATGTTCTACTTCACCATCGTCTGATTCATCCTCCCAAAGACTCTCATTCGTCCTGGATACTAGTACAACAAGCCCTCCACAGTACCCGAGAATCTCGGTCGGAACAGGCATGCGGTCTTCGGGATGAAATCGTCGTTCCGCCCCGCAGATCAAGCCTGTCTTCACGGCAATGGCGTCAACAGCCTCACACAATCGCAAGGGTCTTTCAGAGAAAGTGAGGAATTGCAAGATGCGCATTGTATGGTCGGCGTACTCTTGAGGTATCTGCTCCAAGACTCTAGCGTATGTCTCGTGAAGTGTCGTCGGAAGTGAGGCGAGTGTTTTTCGTAGAGTGATCCGATCTCGACAACGTTTTAGTGCATCGATCTGGCACCAAACCCAGCGAAACCTGTATCAAGATCAGCACTTTTCACTGTGGAATTCTTCATCTTCGTCAAAACATGAATACAAAACGCACATTCCACCGGCTTTCTGCACGAGGCACTGTTCAATCTCCTCCTGGATGTCAGGCTGTGCTCGCCAAATTCCGAAAGCCTCGTGATGCCTGATCTGGCTTCGTACATAGCTTCTTATGTCATCATTCACGAGCGTGGCCTGAACAGCAAGCCTCTCGTTCTTTCCAGTCATAAGCTGCATCGCGGACTGGATATCTGGTTCTGGTCGACTGGTTAAGAGAACACGAACGTCGACTGCTCCTTGATTGAGTGCCTGCAACCAAGATAGAAGCTCTTCCCTCGGAACACACTCATCGAGTGCATCCAGCACGATACGGACTGGGGAACAGCCATACAACATCGAGTAGAAGATTGCTTGGAGCTCATCGAGGCGGGGCTGCTTTTTTCCATCATCGCAGGAAGAATACAAGGAGTCTAAGCAGGCTTGCGTTTGCGTTTCTTGGTGGTATAACTGAAAGATCAAGCAACGAATGGCGTTCTCGAAATTTTGCTTCTGTATGTGCGAAAAGTTGAAGTAAAAGTAAAGAAGTTGTGGCTCTGATTCACCATCTTGCTGAAGGTCTTCGATCACAGAAGATGCGAGGATCGTTTTGCCGCAGCCGGCAAGACCGTGGAGCCAGAGAAAGGACTTTGGGACTGTTCTCCATCTCTGATAAGCCCTTCCTCGTAACAAACCGCGGCCGGTGCCTGGATGGCGGAGTGATATGGCTCTGTTGAAGTTGCTCGAGACATCCGGTGGTTTGAGCCACTTGGCGATGTTGTCTCGGTGCTTCTGGACCAGGATCTTTTCGATGCTGCATTCGACATTGCGAACACTAGAAGAAAAGAAGTCCAATTTCTCGTCAACTAATCACTGCTCAGCACACAAGAGCCCGGTCCAAAGAGAGGCTACACTACATACCACTGGCTAGAGCTTCTGCTAGCCTTTCTTCGGCTACGACCTTGCTAGGGTTCAATTGCCCAAGAACATCTTTTGCGTAAGCTGCGGCTGTCATTGCGGCGTAACCTTGCCACTGGTCGTTCTTATGCGTGTCGGAGTAGTCACAAATCCCTCGGATGACGAGATAGGGGAAATGGTTGGCCAGTCCAGCGGACTCCATTTCGAAACATAGAACGTCCTCTTCCAACGAAAACTTCTCACGCAGGACAGCATCGTTCACAAGCTGGTTGGCAGACGCCACTAACCCATAGTGGATTGCCGGATTGTCTTCGCCATCAGCCCGAGCTTCTCGTTCCCTCATCGCCGAAGGCTCATTGCTGCAGACATCCGCACATGCTGCATGGTCTCCCAGCGGATGTAGGTGCTCGGGTTTGTACAGGCGGTCGGTGTCGGAGTGCGGCTGGGAAAATTCCTTCTTGAGCCTTGGCTTGGTCATGATGACTGATTCAATGGCTTCCCGGATCCGATGGCCATCAGATTTGTACCGTGCTTGAAGTCCGCTAATAGCAGTGAGCAGGACATCCGGTGGTGGTGCCAGAAAGCCTGTATGCTGAAAAGCTTGGCCCTGAACTGCCTTCCCGTAGTCGTACTGCCAGACGCCGGCGCGCCCTTTCTGAGGGAGGGACACAATCACATCACCCAGCCTGATGTCGTGTTTCGTACTAGGGGCCCCTCCAGCGACACCGACCATGAGGCCGACACGCACATTGGGAAAGCTGTGCAGCATATCGCGGGCCACAGTGCTAGCCGAGGTTGTGCCGTACCGACCCATCGGCAGCACGGCGATGACGACATTGTGTCTTCCCATCCTGCCAAGCGTGTAGTTGTTGTTATCATGCTTTGAGACATACTGAGGCGGCCCATGTTCGTCATCGAGGAACTGCCGCGCTGCAACATACTCGGTCGTGATCGCGCAGATCCAGCCAACGGTATAGTCTTCATTCTTGAGTTGTTGCTGATCCGCGTCCTCGACGGCTCGCCTTTTCCTCGTGGGGGCCACAACTAGGGCCATATCCGTGTAGCGTTGGGTGGGCGGCGCCGAGTTGCTGGTTCGCGCTGGCCGTGAGAAGGGTCACTGGAGTCTGGAGGCATTGCACAAGCAGCAAATGACTGCGAAGGGACGACTGCTGCCTTGCGAGAGGGGTAGCGAGGCTGGGCGGCGTCAGATCAATGCGGCGGTACCATGTCAACCAACAACGCAGCCTTTACCCCGCCGCTGTGTGCCTTACCAAAGCTTGCAGTCTTTGCAGGCTGTGCCATTTCCTGCGTGGCAGGGGTATTGGCTACTCGTCCGCCTGCAAGGTTATCTGTGTTGGTTGGGGGCAGCGGCTGTGTCTTGGGAAGGTCAGGGTTAGTGCAGCTGAGGGACCACCATGCCTCAGCAGCCAAAGAAGGGCTGCTTGCCATACCAGGCAGCCTTCGGGTTCTGCTGCCGGACAACGAATCCGCTGCTGCGCGACAGTCGCTGGCTCTCCGGCGGATCGCTTGGCAGCCAGCCGCTGCGCTTCCCGGCAAGGCCTCCAGGGTTTCGCGGGCGCTTCATATGTGTATACCACCGAGACCGGCTAAGTGGAAGCCATCTGATACTGAAAGGCTTCGGCCTTTGACCAAGATGGTTGTTCCAAGAGTCTGTATGAGCTGGGCAAGCACAACTGCCGTCTGACTTGATTCTGCGATTTCACAAAGCACATGGGCCATTCTTCATGCCGTCAGGCTCTGAATTTGAGCTGACCAACGTGCCAGGCCTGAAAATACATCAGCCGCCATTCTGGGCGCTCAGTATTAAACACCTTCCGCCAAGCAGCCGCGTGCTCCTCGTCAACCATAACCGGCGCGTATGGTTATTCGCATTGAATTCAGTCGAAAAAGAGCCCCTATGAGGCGATTAGAACCGTGCCGTAGCACGCGCGGCCTCTATAGTGCTTGAGCTGAGCGAGACCTGGCTTGAGGTCGTCGAGGCAGCGGTTCCGTCTCAATGCGCGTACGATGATGCAGTCTGGGAGAGTGAGCTTGTTGTTGCTGTAGTGCCGGCATCATCATTGCTGGTCTTGTAAGTAAGCTTGAAGTGTAGTTGGGGATCTCTGAGAAGCGGACTCTGAGCACGCCAATGGCTTGTTGAAGTTTCAGAGCAATTTGGATTCCTCCTCATCAGGCTTACATACGCAGACATATGTGTGAATGGTTTCCTTTGCAATTCTTTTTTTGACCCGTTTGGTGACCAAGCTCCACAGCACTTCTCGCTGGCAATACCGGGCGTGAGCTCCCTTTGGTCGCTGGGTGGCTGTTCTTCCCATGATCAGAGGTGCTCCGGTTTGTGGGCGAGGAGAGCATGTGGTTCGTGAAGGCCATAACACGCCCCACGACAAGAACATTGCTGGACGGTGCTAGTACCACACGGGAAGGACCCCTGGACCCTCCAGGCTTTGACCGGCTAATGGCCTGTTCGTCTCAATTCCCCAAAAGTCGACAATGACACGCTCTCGCCACAAGCGTTACTAGCTCACACCATCCTGCAACACGCCTTCAACCTTGGGGGGCCTTTAATACCACCGTGTCGCCCTCGCCTCACTACCGAGCCAGGCCAACTCACAAATTGCGCCAACGCGAAACCATGCCGGTAAAGAAGACGGTGCTCATCACGGGCTGCAGCGCCGGCGGCATCGGCGCCAGCCTGGCCCTCGAGTTCCACCGGCGCGGCTTGCACGTCTTCGCGACCGCGCGCAGCGTCGACAAAATGTCGGCCCTCGCCTCGGCGGGCATCACCTGCCTCGCACTCGACACCACGTCTGCCGAGTCCATCGCCGCCGCCGTGGCGCAGGTAGACAAGGCCATCTCCGGCTCCGGTGTCTCCGCTGGCGGGGGCCGCAGCAGCAGCACTGGTGGTGGGCTGGACTACCTGATCAACAACGCGGGGATAGTCCACGTCCGGCCCTTTCTCGACTCGACCATGGACGAGATCCGGCGCGTCATAGACACCAATCTGGTCGGCGTCATGGCCGTGACTCACGCCTTCCTGCCCATGCTCATCCGCGCGAGGGGCGTCATCGCGACGATCGGCAGCATCAACGAGGTCTTCCTGCCCCCGTTCCAGACGTCGTACAACGCGACCAAGGCCGCGGTGCACGTATGGAGCAATTCGCTGCGCATGGAGCTCAAGCCGCTGGGCGTGAGGGTGGTCACGGTCGTCACGGGCGCGGTGAGGAGCAAGTTGATGGAGAACGAGGCGGAGCGGAACGCTGGTGGTGGTGGTGGTGGGCACGATGGCAAAAGCGAGCCGTTTCCGGAGGGGAGCTACTACAAGCCGTGCGAGTCATGGATTCGGGATAGGGAGTTCCTCAAGACGGCTCAGTGGCAGGAGACTGATGCGTACGCGCGGGATGTGGTGGCTGCGCTGCTCAAGGAGGAGCCGAAGCACACCCTGTGGAAGGGAGGGATGGCAACGATCGCGTGGATGGTCAACTTGCTGGGGTGGGAGGGGATGATGGTGAGTATCAATCTTTCTTTATTGAGAACAGGTTGTGTGGCATACTTGTCGATGCGCTTCTACCTCCGTGGTTGGGAAATACAACCCTGCCTCATGCGATACGTGCCGTTCAAGCTAACATTTCACAGGACGGCGTCTTCAGCAACCAGAGCCGGCTCAATCAGATCAAGGTATGATAATGAGCGCCTGGCAGCACACTTTTTGAGCCTGTCAACGGAAACAATAATCATGGTAGAGATGCAAGGCTACATAATGAAACACTTGCTATGCCTTCGACGTGCATGCGCTCACGGCCGGCCATGATAGAGTAGAGCTAGGGAAGCGTATACCATTCGGACTACTCTAGCTTAGGAAACACGTATGAGCTCTCCATCATCACAGTCAGTTTCGATTACTATGGCCGAGCAACATATATGTAAAGTCCATCGACGACCTCGACGCGCCCGTCAACACATCTCTCTGCCCACTTCTGTCTAAACAGCTCCCTCGCCCGCTCCAAATCCACACCCTCCCACACGAACCCGGTGCTCGTTGACTTCATGACATAATCAAACTGCTTGTCGGCCTGCTCCTGGTCAGCACCATAAGAAGATACCGGATCGCCAGCGACCTTGTCCATAAACTCGATCTGGTCCACGGCATAACCCTCCGTTTCGAGAATGGTCCGGAACGAGTCCTTGTTCTTGATCCACAGTCTGTTCGAGTGGAAGGGGACGCCCATCTCCCGTGCCACGGCCTCGATCACGAGACCCTGCGCCTGGTTGCTCTCGTGGGTGATGTCGATGACCAATCTTCCCGCAGGTCTATCAGCAGCGCTACCACCATCACTCTTCCCGGTTTCCTCACCGGTATTCTTGGTCGGGGGCTGATAGAGCCACTTCTTCCAATGCCGCACCACCTTGTCCGGCTCGTCAAGCAGCACAAACGCACAACTGCACACGAGGACATCGAACTTGCCCTCCTGCCCTTTCAATGCCGCGCAAGTATCCAAATCCGTGATATCGTGCTCAACAAAATCCATCCTCGCCAGCGCTTGCGTATCCCCTGCCTCCTGCTGCCTTTCCCGCTCAAGTCGCCCCCTCGCCTCAGTAAGCATGGCGGGCGTGACGTCGACCCCGACGACCCTCCCACCGCCAGGGCCAACCTCACGCGCGGCGATGAAGGACTCCAGCCCGGTCCCGCAGGCCAGGACGAGGACGTTCTCGCCCGGCTGCGGACGGACGACGTCCCCCATCAGCCGCGCGGAGTAGGACGGGTGCCACGAGTTCTCGTACGCGCTGGCGCGGGTGGTGTACATCTTCTGCGCGAACTGGGGCTGCGTGAGCGGCGGCTGGAGTTGCGCCGCATCTTGTGGCTGCTGGGTGGCCACTACAGACATTGTGCGTTTTGATTTGTGCCAAGATCTTGTGTTAGGCAAAGGTGACGAGCGAGTGGATGCGGGTGGGATGGCGAAAGAAGTATATTTCTGGCTGCTTTGAAATACACAACACCGGACTAAAACTCTGCCTCTGTTTGTCGGCGTGCTTTTGTGACTGTGCGTCCCTGATAGGGACGAGCCGGCCGGTGCCGCGCGCGACGATCACTGGATGGTTATTGCGTGATGTGACGTGCGGGGCTTCGGGACATGCAGCCTGTTCTGGTTAAAGGTGCATAGTGGTCGGCGGATGAGTCATCGCGATAGTGGTAGTTGTGGTGAGCCATGACATAACTGATATGGCTCGGGATTGTCACGTTACTAATGCCACGGGACATGGCAATCTGGCATGAGAGATTGAACGTTGCTACGATATGTTACGGGATTTGCACGACCGCTTCCTTCCTTCAAGGTATACATGAGACTGTGCTGTAACTACTCACTTTGGGGGATACCCACCTTGAGGGGGGAGTTCGTGGGCATTCCGCGTGTAGAGAGCGAGTTGATGCATAGGTTTATACTCAGGCACGACTTTGCTATTTCTGGTTTCGGTAGCTGACCCAAGCACTTGCCTCGGCCTTCTTTCAGATGACAGAGCAGCTGATTAATTGGAATCACCAATTGTCTAATGTTCTCTCACGTCTGCGATTGTGGGAGGCCTTCCTTTGCAGTTTGCCTTCGCCCGGACATTACCAATGAGAATGATATCTTGACTCTCAAGTACTGCGTGTTTATGAACGAGGACTCTGACGACACCGAACAGACTATTGGACACAAATAAGAAAAGACTAAGCTATGCATCCCTTGTAACAGACTACCTAATAACGACATGGCGCTCGGGGCATTCGGCGATCCAAGCCTGGAATGCATGGAAGTCTCTAGGCTTCAGGATGCAAAGGCCGATTCTCTGGTATTCAATGCTCCCCGTCTCTTCTGTGTGGCGGCAGTGGAGCGGTTTCTCGCTAGTACGGGCTCCCAGTCTGCCTGCTTCCTTGATCGGCAATAACACCAGGCAATATATGTTGAGTGGCGGAGTCGATCTATCAATGTCCCCAATCTCACAGAGTGGGAGACACACAACACTGGACGGTGAGCCATTTACTCGGAGTTTGTCGCCAACTTCAAAGTCGAACCTCGGGTCAAAACCAAAATGCGAATCCAAAGATCTGCCCTCTGCCTCGGTGACGCTAAACTCCGCCGAGGTCGATGACTCCCGGATCAGAGAAATGTTGATCTTCCTAACGAAGCCACGCACGCGAATCCAGCCGTTGCTCACGCGTCCGAATTTGTCGTTCGGGTCGCACTCCAAGTTCACGTCCGTGAGACACCCGAGATACTTTCGGATGAGCTGCTCATGCTGCTCGATACGGAATGTGAACTGGTACGAAACTTCACCAAGGCGGCTTGCCCAAGACCATGATGGTGCCGTGTAGCTTTCTGGTCCCGGCCGCCCAGAGTCAGCCGACGACCAGCAAAGGTCGATGATGAATGTAGACTTCCACAAGCCTGCCCAGTAGGCCTCGTCGGGTACGTCGCCTCTTTGTACGTCCCGAAACTCCCTCGCTAATGCGGAAAGAGCCGGCAGCCTGTCGAGCGAGTTGGTAAGCGCGAGGGGCGTGTATTCTTCCACTATCCTGTGCCAAGGCCAGACATTGTGTTCCCCGAGCCCCACAAGCCCAGCCAGTCTCTCACGATCATCACCGACATATCTCATCATCGAGGGACTCTGCTCACACCCTTGAGCACCGCTGCACTCCCAGAACACTTGGTCGCGGGCGAAGTATGCGATGCGTCGTGCAAAGATGCGTTCTTGCAACACCCAACCCCTGTCCCTCAGATGGCCCAGTCTGCCGTTGGCCCTGTCCTGGTCCGAGTACAGGTCACATTCGAGGGCAAAGGTCGAGGGCAACTCTTCAATGTCGGAGCTGTCTGATTCATAGCGTCGAGGCACCTCACTGTCCGAACTGTCCGTTATAAAGAATCGAGACGTCAAGGGCGCCGAGGGTTTCAGGAACAAGGGCAGAAACCCTCCGCCCCTTGCCCTTTGAGTCCTGAAGCACCCAGAATCTTCTCCGGCGGCACAACTTGCCGAGATCACAAGTGCTGCATTCTTGTATACCGTCGCCATCTGCGAAGCCTCATGTGCCCAGTATTCCGGCTCCTGTTTGATGCAGAGCCGGTCAATCCAGAGATATTGGTATCCAAGACGTTCTGTGATCGTACAGACATCTTGGAGGGTGCGTGGCAAACAGGACTTGGAAACCCCTCCCCTCAAGGACTGTTCCCTAGCCGTCGTCAATTGCATTGGTCTGGTGTCTTGAGCTGCATTCCTCTGTGGTGGGCTACCTGTCCCCCAACGATAGCTTACCGCCAGATAAGGGGGAGGCTGACATTCGGCGGTTTCATCGTTGCAGGCAATGCCTGGTATTTGCTGTCCACTTAAAACATCCTTGCCATCTTTCAACCAGAGCTTGCCTGATCTGACATAAAGAAGGCGAGTCGGCAATACAAGATGCTGCGGCCGCTCAGCTCTGCAACTTTCGTGGTCGTTATTACACTCCATTATCCACTCTTTTATTAGCTGGAAAGTCTCTGGCGAGTCCGTGCTGCCAGACATAGAATCCATGATCAAAGCTCTGGTTTCCCCTGAGTCTGATTAGGTATCGTGTCAGCCTTCTGAACTGCAGGATTGCGGCGTGTGTGCGAAGAGGTCAGGGCAGTTGACCACGGGCTGCCTGTGACAGACTTACAAGGATTCATCGTCAGGATCACCTCTGACTTTTTCAAATATGGTTCAAAAGGTATGCTCAAATACACGGATATTGCCTCAACACAAACTCCAACGAGAACCTGCAGCACGTGCCGGCCATTCTGATCCTGCTCAACGTCGTGCCATGTGTATTCGAACGGGTAGCCCGAGCGCTGCCGGGAAAGGTCACCACAAATCCCGTGCCAGAACATCTCGCACAGGCGACAGCTGCCAGCAGAGCTGAAGCAAAGATCAATGAGCTGGAAAAGATTGGAATGGTGTGGTTGCCAGGACTCTGGACGTCGCGAGCCTCTGTTCGGGGCTTTGCCGCCTGGTGGTGGGTTCTCCAGAAAGTCCCTGCACAGAGCGCATAGATTCTGCGGCGGATCAAGTCCGACGCTGTCACCAACGTGTGCGTAGGACCGATCGGCATAGGTGACTTGTGGCAGGGCTGACTCCACAAGTTGTCGGGTCCGGATGTCATCAAGGAGCAGTGCAGCGCGTTGCGCGGCGGCGTCGCGCACAGGCGGCATACGTTGTTTCGACGAGGGATGTCTGGCGGGACCCATCGAGTTGGATCTCAGTCGAGGATGTGTTCGAGTTGAGGCCAAACTCGCCATTGTGGAACTGACGCTGATCACCCAGAGGCCGAAAGAGCGCACGATGCAAAATCAGACTGGAGCGTGTCCATGCACAAGATGGGATGGGTGGGAAGAGCAAAAGGCTCGATGTGCGTTGGAGGTGGGCTTGGTGAGGCTGGAGAGGTGTGGCACAATATCATGCTGGCCTCGTTGATGCCTGATGATCCGCCTGTAAAACTGGACAATGGAGTGCTTGACAACACGGCATGTTCCTGTGGCTTGACAATGGGGACCACGGCGGAAGCCAGTGTGTGCCGTCCACCATGCACTGACTGCATGGACAAGGTTTGTATGGGCTATCGCGTGCTTGCAGAGCAGGGTTGTTGCTCTACACAAAGACAGCACAACCAGCTCTCAAGGCTCGACCCTCAAGGCCTGGTCCTTGCGGCGCAGGCTGCATTGCAGACGATGCATGCTCAATATGCGTCACGAACAGGCTTCCAGTCCCAACGCAGTAGCGCCACAAGGGACCGACATAACAACTCTGTGCTCCAGTTCCTTCCAAAGCACGGCGCTCGTCGGAAGTCCTGAACCATGAAAGACACAGTTCGTAAGGTTCTGCTCAATCGTTCCGAGTTGTCCAGGCGATTGGCTAGTAACGGGTATAGCTCGTGGGCCGTTTGACGTAACGAGAATGCCGTGCCGCGACTTCTGACACCGTCCGCCGCCAGTATTGACTCCTCTAGGTCGCTTCCATGAGTACTAGAGACGTCCCTCTACCTCACACCACGACCTTAAATTGTGTACGAGGCATAGCCTTTCAAGGTCTTGCATCGATCGCCACACAAGCATGATACAGCTGGGCGCACAAGCCTTAGGCGAGCGCAAGGCATCCAGCCGCGGTGCTGTCGCAATTCGAGGCTCTACTATGCGTCTCCTGGTGTTACCGTTTGCTTTTTGTTCTTGTGTGCCTCCATCATGTCTCTTGGTCAACATCCGTGAAACTTGTTGTTTTTCTTGTGTGGTCGGTTTATACGTAGCGTTTTGCCACCAACGTTGAAATGCGAGGCTTTGGCATGTTTTCAGCCGTGCTCGAAACTCCCTGGTTGTGGAACTCGCCCCCCGTACTGGTGTGAAAGTAAAAAGCGCTGAAATCGTCAAAATTATGAATCTGCCCAGGCTCTCGTCATGTCTCTTAGGGTTCGCTGATGTGGATTTTGACTCTCGGGAAGGAGCGTTGTGGCGGGCGTGCGGATCGGGTATCGTGAGGTGTTGCTTCAAGCTCGTGTTCGAAGCTACGTGGCAACTCGGATATGATGTGGAGGCGACGTCTTCAGTAGATCGCTTATTGAAAAATCGTCGTCGTAGCGAACCTGCTGAGGTGGAGTGCTTGCCTGCCTACGCCACGGGTCGAGCTGACGGTGGCTCACGATGGCGGGTCCGCTGCTGCAATGGTGGCCTGGCACACAGCTTCCGGCGTCGCCTCACATCGTGTACCAGACATTGAGGTCGCTGGTGCTCGACTGTGCATACAACGCTTGCATTTTGTGCTTTGTGGTTCGCATCATTGTGGTGCTATCTCTGCCCAGTGGTTGAGGCCGTGGGACTGCGCAGATTTGAGAACCCGGATGGGCACCCACGAGAAGCAAACACCCGGATGGCGATGCTGCACGCTCCTTCCTGCTGTAAAAGACCGCACATTGCCATTCACCACGCCGACATGGCTGCCTCTTCATGTTTCTGCTCCCTTGATTATCTGTGCAGTACATGCTCATGGGCCTAGTAGGCATGTTCCCTCTAGCAATGTGCCCGGCAATCACAGCGCAGCGAGAACAATCTCATTGGACGGACGTCTCAGCAATTCAGTTCTCGACCTCCTTGACATCACGAGAGCCTAAGAGATGGCGCTGACTCGGTATCCACTCCATCGACATCCAGTACCAGACGATCGCGCATTCCAGCCAACTACTACCCCGATCAGCCTCTAGCCGAACGTTACCGACAGCCTCCCCATGCGTCGACCATCGAGCGAAGATCTTGCAATGCCTTCGAGTCCGAATACCACGCTTTATCGAGCGAGCGATCAGATCGGATAAGTTCCCGTCTACGCCTGGCATTCAGCTACAGTCACAAAGGATGGTCGTGCTGCTGCCAGGACAGTTATGCGTATTGCGAACTGCGGACTGGTGGCTCGACGAGTTACACCCAACATCGCTTCTCATACATGGGACAAGAAGCCTTGACATATCGAATCGACCTGGCACAACTCGGTTGCTGCAAGTGGGCAGCGACTTAGAACATCTGCGAACCTATACAACCGATCTAGCCGCGCCAAGTGGCGTTCTTGATCAGGCAAACCATCCCTCAAGACTATGCCACGTCGTCCGCCCCACCAGGGAACGATCTCGTTTGCGAAACTCTATTTCCAGTCAGCCGAGCGCTGTCCCACGCTAAGCAGCCTGTCGTCCTGTATCAGGATTCTGCGGTCTGGCCATGCTCGCCTAGATCATGATGTGGCCGGGACGGTCAACGGTCTCCAAGTTTGCTAGAAGCACCCTGCCTGCCTTGCCTTTCTTTCGTTCCGTCGTCTTCGTGTCGTGACTTATGGCCACGGTAATCGTGATTGCCGTCACAACTACACGTCCGCTGATTGAGTCAGATTTGAGCCATTATGAGAAGTTTCTCTGCCAATCTGGCTCATGATGGAGTTCCGCGGCCTCCGCACACGTGTCGTGCGTGTTCTTCCGGAACAAGTCGGCTTGGCCTGCGGCCGGATCGAGTAATCCGATCCCAGCCGTCTTTCACATACCACAATCAGCTGCCTGGCCCCCACGTCTCGGGCTGGCTGGGGCAAGCCTTGTTATTCGACACGCACTGGTCTCGTCGAGCGGCCGTGATCTGGCCTGCCGAGAACAGGTTCCAAGCTACTCTTTGTCGGTTGCGAAGATATCCACGACGGCTGCTTCAGATGCTGTCTTTGAGGCGGTCCATTTCACCCACCGTGAGCGATCAATAGCTAAACGACTTCGAGCCCAATACCACCAACAAAGAGCATCAGCATCCCCAGGCTTGCCGCTTGCAGCAACAATCCCTTGCCACTAGCACCCAAGAACCTCCGCACGTGGGATGTAGGAGTTAGTCAACGCGCGGACAAAACACCTTGCCAAGCGCCATCTGACTGGCCCGCCCACTTATGCAAGCCTGTTGGTGGCTGGCCCTTGCCTAGCCGAAGGAGCTGATCACGCTGTGTCCCATCAAGGCCGTCCCCCCGCACGACAGCCGCCTAGGGCGTGAGACTACGTACACATGTGATGCGAGAGGAGAAGGAAACATGCCCTCTGTGGAAGTAGCGCTTGGCAGTTTCGTCACTATTGGTGAATGGCGTCCACTGATCCCCGGGGGGGTCTGCGTTGTCACTGTCAGATGGAGCATCCCGCTGGCTCGACGCCACTCCCACCTGCATAATCGCAACCCACCCTCTCACACCGGCCCTGAATGTCACGAGCTCCGCTTGCCTCAACCTCGATGCCCGATAACCACGGATCAGCTCCAGGACAACGCATGATAAGTACCCGCGTCACGCGACTGGGTGGGTCGGTCGGTCCCCGCGCCGGCAGAGCGCGCGCGGGGCTGTCATGCAGATCGCCCGAGGAGGAGCAAACAACAACGACCTACGATTCGGCTGCGGCGCCAAGGCGCAGAGGAGAGGGTGTACGGGTGGCTGATACCATTCGGCAGTGTGGCCCTCGCACACCCGCAGGACCGAGTATCAGTATGGCCCCGTATCCGAACCTCAAACGTTGCTGTTCTTGTTGTCGGGCTTGGCCTTTGAGGGGTCGGAGTGGCCGCGTCCGCGCGGGTGAGAATCGAAAGGGCCGAGGACGGCTCCGAGACGGACGTCTATATAAAGCCGCGACCACATCACCCCTCAGGTCGAGATCTTGATTCCTTCCTCGTGACACAGCGACTCGAACTCCATCACTACAATACAGCAAAAGAAACAACACCTTCTCCCACCGTCCTTCAAACAAAACACCAAACCGCCAACATGGGTGACTGCTCGTGCTCCTCTTGCAACAACTGCAGCGACTGCAAGTCCTGCTCGTGCTGCGTACGTTTCGTCCCCTCTTTGCCTAGTTGTCGAGCAATCCAATACAAACACTTGACGATATGCGATGGACTTTTGCTGACAATGTCTCGATGGATATAGAGCCACTAAGTGCTCGCACGCACTCCCACCATGCCACCCCGATGGTCCATTTGTTCACGCAGCAGATGACATCCTTATTGGCACACGACTGTCCCGGCAACTACAACACAAAGCGTCCTCTTCTCGGCTAGTCAAAGTACCTGTATACGGGAGGGGATCCAACGTCAATGGGATGAGCCAGTATGCTTTGGTCATGTGATGGAGATACAATTTGCATCGTTTTCGTGCTTCATGATTTATTCTGATACATATACGCACACACGCACGCAATACTAAGACGAGTCAAACGCAATCTGTGCTTTTGAATGCCTCCGCGAGCCCGCGCAGCTCAAGCCATATGCTCTGTGTGAAATGCGTGCGTACCCGTGAGCCATGCTTTGACGACTGAAATCCGGCATCCGACGTCTTCTCAACATCTGGACCATTAGGTATGCCTCCTTGATTCTTTGCATATCCTACCGCGGTACCACCACCAACTGCTCGCACGTGCAGCTCCTCAAGGCCACGGCGGCAGGTCCATGCCATCCAGATACCGCGCCGCCGCATCAGCCAAGATGTCCCTGTGCAGCCTGCCCGCGTCCCCAAAGAACTCGACGCCCGCCTTGCCATCGACGACATGCGTCCCCAGGAAGTCCAGCACGCCCGCAACGTCCGGCCTCGCGACCTCCATGTAGAATAGCCGTTTCTCGGGGACCTCCTCCTCTCCACCGTCACCCCTCCCTCTTCCATCAGCACCAGTACCACCATTATCACCACTGCCACCGCAGGAGCCCCTGGTCCTCCCGGTCCTCCCGGTCCTCCCATTCTCCCGTAGCATGCGCTCAAAGTACTGGCCCGGCAGGAACCCCGCGCGCGGCATGTGTCCCGTGGTGACCACCACGCGCAGCTCGCGCCACCGCTCCGGGCCCAGTGCCGCGCGCCACGCGTGCACCCGCGCGTTGATGGAGTCGAGCTGGATCGCCGCGGCGTCCTGCACGTTGGCCATGACCAGAGGGGCCATGGCTCTCGCAAAGGTGGTCAAGTCGCTGCGAGGCATGCCGAGTGGTTGCTGCTGCTCCTGCTGCTGCTCCTGGCCCCGGCCTTGCCTCTGCCCAGGCGTTGTTAGTGCTGCGGCTGCTCCTGCTGCTGTTGAGCTTAGCAGCGCGGCGAGGGCGCTGGCCGAGGCGTTGGCGATGCGGTGCTGGCGGTGGAGCTGGCTTGGCGTCGTGAAGCCCAGGCTGTCGAGGCGGTTGCGTGCTTCGTCGAGGGCGGCGCGGTAGTCTTGCATGGCTTCTCGCGTGGAGGGGGGAAGATGGATGATCTCTTGTCCTTGAGCTTGAGAATGAGCTTGAGCTTGGTGGTGCTGGTAGTGGTGCTCATCATCATCATCGTCGTCGTCGTCGTCGTCGTGGGTCTCATCGCCATCGTGGTCATAGCTCTCAGTGGTCTGTGTCGCGACGGACACAGCGAGAGGCACGTGGGCCATGTACTTGAGGTTGTTGGCCAGGGCGTCGGTATATGTGCTTTCCTCATGCCGGCCGTCGGGCCAGACGAGCGTGAGATGCCCGCCGGCCACTATCACGGGGCCCAGGTTGCCTATGGCATGCTCCTTGGCGGCGGTGTACCGTGCGTGGAAGAGCGTGTTGAGCCGCGCCAGGGCTGCGTCGCCGGAGACCGGGGCTTGAGCATCTGGGCTGGGCTTCCATACTAGGAACGTTGTGAAGGCCAACTTTGTGTAATGTCCAAGTGATTGGAAGTTCATGGTCAGGTGATTGGAGGCACAGAGGTGGTGGTGGCTTCTTGGAAACTGGATATCACGAATTCCTTCACTGGAGCTGAGCTGCACCGCATTTGACCAGATTGATGGCGGTGGCGACGCACTGACCGGATCCAATCCGCCATATGATGAGCATAAATATTGTGCAACATCCCGCTAGAAGGGCGTGCTTGCATATATTCTACGAGAATTTTGTCTCAGAATAATGCCATGTGGCTTTGTAGCACCTAGCGAAACCGCGGCCCAAATTCGGGATCTGCATTCAGAGTAGCCTCTGAGCCTGATCCAAGACATGATGTATGGCCCAGCTGAACCGCAATGCGGCACAAGTCTGCATTTAGGTTCGGCCGTCTCCATTGCGAATGCTGCATCCGAGGGATGGCAGGAAAGGGCGCCTTCTGCTGAAGTCGACCGCTCATCCATGGCGACTTTGTCATCACCATCACAAGTAGCTTCACTGGTTTCCCTGCTCCGAAAATTTGAGTAGGTATGATACTCCGATATTAAACCCGATCAAGTACGCAATTCAGCGCTACTGGATGAGTTGTATACTATTGTAGCCCCAGCTTGATGTCTACTGATTGTCCTGAGACTAGATCTCTTCAGGTGAAATTATTTGTCTAATACCTAATACATGGTAACTTGTTCGATCCGGATGAGGGTATATCCGTCCTTTGAAAGAGCGGACGTATGTCACTCAGGAGTTGAAATCCGCCCATATCGCCCAGGCTGCCTATGCTCAGGCTGCCTACTCTCGGTGCTTTTGCAGCGGACGTCCGCACGGATCAGTACCGCGCCAGCAGTTCTCTATGCACCGTGAACCGAGCAGCGCCGGTGACGGCACCACCGGCCAGCAAGGTCGCTCCAGTCCAGGCAGACAGGGCAAGGTATCCCGCGCGAGACAGGATCTGCCCGCTGATCGGTGTTCCAATGAGAGAACTGCACACAGTCAAGACAGGGTTATACATGAATTAGCAGTCCGCCTTGCAAAAAGTGCCCGCTGGCAAAGAGTACAGCAACGGGAGAGGGGAGGGTGGGCGGATGATGACTTGCCTGATAGAAAGAAATCCCATCATGACGCCAACCGCAATGCCTTGGGCCTGTGGGGGAGCTAGCTTGCCTGCGCACGCACCCTGGAGGCTCATCACTGCCTGGTGGATTGAGATAGCACATGTCGTCAGCTTTGGTTCCGTGTGCGTGGTGGTGTAGACAAAAAAGAAAAACTCCACCATCACCGCGGGAGATATGTCAATCATGCGGACACAAAACTTACGCCCGAGGTGAAGCCATAGGCCATGCTCCACACAATCAGACCAGCCAGAGTTGTTGCCTTTGTCCAGACGAACCCGACCAGTCCGGAGCTCAGAGTCGAGATGATCAGGAGATTGAAGTGCCCGAGTGTGTCTGCCAGGTATCCCGGCACCAACCGCCCGAAGAGCGAGGCCGCGTTCACGGCAGCCAGGAGGTAGAAGGCCGTAGAGGTTGGCTGGCCTTCCGCGATGGCGTACTTGCTGATGTAGAACAGGGGCGTGAACAGCCCGAGGCACGTCAGGGAGAGCCCCGCGCAGAGCAACATGTAGGCCGGCTTTCGGAGAAACGCAGTCCTGCTCTCGACGTGCTTTTGTGAAGGAGACTCGTCGGTGCTGCTCCCCGCCTCCGCGGGCTCGTCTGTGGTCGCGGCCTGCCCGGCGGTCTTTTCAATTACGGCTATGGTGGTGGCCGGCGCGGCTGGAGGCTTGCGGGAAGGCTCGCGGACAAAGACGCAAGCGAAGGCCAGGAGAGGGATCATGGTGAATGCTATGGCGCGAATCGTCCAGCCGAAGCTGACCCCGTCCTTGTTGAGCAACTGCTGTAACATGATGGGCCATATGATGCCACCAATGGAGGAGCCTCCAACCGTCAGACCCATTGCTAGCCCGCGGCGATGGGGCATGTGGCGCATGACAACACCAAGAGGGGGGCAGAAGACGAGGGACGCGCTGATGCCGAGAAGAAGGGCTTGTGCGAGTATCAGCTGCCAGTATTGAGTGCACAGGGAGGTCATGAACAGCGAGAGCACAAGCCCGACGCTGCCCACGCACAGCGGAATCGTAGGGCCCATCTTGTCGACGAGGGTTCCTCCAAGAGGGGAGATGCTGTAGAGCAGGAATATCGACAGGGAGCCGATCCATGAGATGTCGGAGGGTGATCGTCCGGGCAGGTACGTCGAATAGTATTCTTGGAAGACACCGAAGGCGTTGAGGAAACCGACCGTGCAGAAGAGGGCGACTGCGCCTCCGGCCAGTGCCAGCCAGGCACGTACACTACATGAAATGTGTGATCAGTACTAGTCAGTCCATCGCATGGCTCTCAAAATATCTCTGCATACGTTGTCTTCGGAGCTTCCGACATGGTATTGAGTAGAATTGTGAGTTGGTTGTTGTAAAGTGGTAGTTATTGGGTATGACTTTCAGATCGAACAGTGAGATCCAGCTTATTTATCTGTCGGATGCTACCAAAGGTGGTAGCCATAAGCGACTGAAAAGCCGTGGCTACAGTCCTCGCGTCGGCGCGCTCAGGTCCAGCCCGCGGATGATCCATTTGGTTGCTCCCGGATCATCCACGGATCATCCGTGCTTTTTGCATGAGCCACCCAACGAGCACTTTGGAGCTTACTCACGTCAAGAAATTTGCGTGGCAGTGACTGCTGTCTAGTATTGGTTCTATCAGCACCCTTTAATCACTTGGTCGAAGCACAGGCGGCGTTGGCGCTTGACAGGAACGACCTCGATTATCTCGTCTTTATGCTTGGGCATCTCTAAGTAGAGCCTGTGTAGTTTTGAAGTCTCGTGCATTGTGGAGATAAATACTCGATTACCATTCGTCAAAACAGCAGTCGAGATGAAAAGGCCAAACAAAGGATTCATGGTCAGATTGCTGCCTACTCGTCTCATAAATTTGCAAGGCCTTTCTAATATGTGCTGCACCTTGTAGTCCTCGCATCCCCCCCCCCCCCGGTAGCGTTGCGTGCCTGCTCATTATCACCATGGTCCCCGTAGCTACCGAAACGCCATAACCTACCACGGTTAACTCTGCAAGATCATCAACCATGGAACATATCGAGCTCGGCAGTAATCAGAGCCCAATCAAGATCCGGGATATACGACGAGCTGAAGAAGCTGTCCATGAAGCTGTCAAGTCCGAACCCGTCGTTGGAATCCAACATCATCAGGTCCGACGCCGGAGCGTGGTTATCCATCAAGAAAGGAACATCAGGAAGCATGCCTGGCCACGAGCCTGCTGCTGCTGCTGCTGCTTCAGCTGGGTTTGGCAAAGCTGCGCTCGGTGTATCCACGGCTAGTTTGGTGGATGCCTCAGAATCTCGAGGGCCGGTGGTGGTGGTAGTGGAGGTGAGCAAATCGCCAGCAGTGCCATGGCGCTTGTAGTCCTCCTCCACCTCCTCTTCCTCGCCGCCTCCTCCTCCTCCGGACGCAGCCGCGTAGTCACGACTACCACCCACACCGCGGATGCGGAACCGACCAAGCACGTCCTTCATCCCGCGGACGAGCTCCGCGGCGACCGTCGACTCCTCGGCCGCGGCGGCAAGCAGCCGGCACACGTAGGCCAGCGCGTCTTGCACCTCGGCGTTATCGTCGGCGTCGTGGTCTGGCCCGTCGGCCATGGCCGTTGCCTGTAATCGCTCTGCTGCACCGTGCTCTCGCGGCGGCTGTGACGGCGGCGGCAGCGGCTGTGCTCGCACACCACCACCCGAGTCGAAGGCGAGAATCGCGCAGGCCCAGAATAAATGGTTGATGACGATGCCGAGGCGGTGGACAGGGGCCCCAGGGCAGTCCTCGTGCCCGGGATGCTGCAGGCGAGTCGCTGACGATGGCCGCGGCCGCCGGCGACTGTCCAGTGGTGGTGGTGGTGGTGGTCCACCCCCTCTACGCCGTAACAGAGAGTGTTCTAGCAGGTCCAGCGAAATGTCCAGCACGGTTCTCGCCGAGCTCACGCATACCTCTCGAGAGGTCTGGAAGGAGCCGCATTCCGAGCCACCATCATCATCGCCGCCACCGCCAAATGCCTCCTTCCCCAGCAGTAGGAACGGCCGGTGCAGGCGAGCCCGGCGCGAGTGGAAGCCCAGGTGGATGCCGGCCCGCTGCAGGCAGAGAAACCTGGGAGCGTCGCCGGATATGGGCGCCCCGAGCTTCAGCGGCGCGGGGAAGCCGTCCATGGCGTCCCTGAATAGCCTGTCGAGTGCGAGCACACGGTCGTTGTAGGCTCTGTCGAGGGTGTCGTTGTCCTCCACGTTCAGTGCGTCAATCACTTCGCGGCTGATCTCGGCCAGCCGGACGACCTGGAGCAGACAGCTGGCCTGGGTCGCGAAACCGGGCGGGTAGGTCAGCACGTCCGAGTCGATAGAGAGGTCTTTGTCGTTGAGATTGCGAGGGAGCGCCACTTTCATCTGGCGTGGTTGCACCGTGTAAGTCCCGTCCAGGCGCCCACAGTTGAAGCCCAACATCCAGTCCGTCGCAGTGACATGCCACCAAAGCCTCCGCTTGATCTCGCGCGTCGCCGCATCGTCTCGAGGCTGACTACCTCGGCCATTATCGACCTGGTGAACTCCGAGCTCGCGACAAGCCGTCACCGACGCCGTGTGGAGCCTGTAGAAACGGCTGGATGGGCCCTCGGTATTGTAGACGAGGTGTGCCACGAGAGCATAGGCCTGGGCGCCCTCGAGCGACACGCTGCCCAGCCGCTCAGCACCGTGCAAGACCTCGAGAGCCGACGCGATCCATACCCGAGACGCCTGGACGGCGATCTGCTCGCTCTCGAACCTGTGGCGGCAAGGCACCTTCCCGGTCCAGAAGAAGGCGCAGGCCGCACAGATAGCGAGGATGAGGGCTACATGGTCCGGACTGACAGCATTCCCGCCACCGGGCGATCCGAGCATGTCGTAGACCTTCTTGACGACGGTCAAAGTCGAGGCAATGTGGATGATGGGCAACGAGTGGTAGGCATTGTCGACAAAGTCATGCACCATGGCCACGGCTCCCTGCCGAGAGACGAGCGACACGGGTATTCGCGAAGGGCCGGGACGTGGGCCTCCAGCCTCGACGATCTCCCGGTGCCCGTGGACAACTTGAATGTCCAGGCAGAGACTCCTCCTCGCCCGGGAGGTCGTCGCCCGCAGGCTCCCGTCATACGCAGCATTGAAGAAATCGGCAGTCTGCTGGCCTCGCCGTTCCCGGCTTGACAACACAGGCGGTGTTAGTGGCTGAGGGATGGCCCGACTTTGCCGGCTCAAGTTTATAGGATCAGCCGGCGGATCCGTCGTCTTGCTGAGTAGTACGGTCTGCTCCAGCGCGGCCAGGCGAGCGAGGACTTCCGCTATGGAGCCACCATGGTCGACACTCAGGCCGGACGCGATGCTGCATTGCAGGCCACGCGCGCGGCAGCTTCCACATGGCTGTTCTCTGTCGCACTTGAGCTTCTTCTGGCGGCATGAGTCGCACGACGTCTGTGGCTGCCGGCGGGCCGGAGCCGAAGAGTTGTCGGCCCTACGCTTCATGGGCGCACGTGAGGGAAGCTGATTCAAAATGCTTCGGATAATCCGGTCGGTCGGTAGGAAAAGGGCTATGTGGATTGAATCTTCACAGTTTTCTTTGAAGTGCCTTTCAGATTATGGTGGTAAGTTCCAGAGTAAGAGCTGAATATACGTGTTGAGGACCGTGGATGATCCGCGGATGATCCGGCCAGGCTGGTCGGGGTCGAGTGGGGAAGCGGCGGCCCGCAACCGACGGTGTTGGTAACAAGAACAACGCCTGGTGGGAACCAGGACACGGGCTGCAGGGCTACATCGACATTAGCCTCTTGTGAGTCAGCGCGAGTCTCAGTCATCTGTAGGCCGCCTATATAGCCGGAGAGAAAGAATATTGGTAAATCTTTTGGCCCACAAGGCCAGCCCGAAAATCCGGAGTAACCCATACCACACTTGCCGAAATGTAACTTTTTAATCCATGGTGTGCTGGCTCCGACCACCCTCTCGCCGTCTGCTATCCAGCATACCAAATTTATCCGATAACGTCTAGTTATCGCTTCTAAAAGAATGGTGGGAAGGGGTAGGCAGAATTCCAACACTTATTTCACGCATACATGGCCTCGACCTCAGTGCACAAAAAGTAGTATCGTGGGTTCTGATTCTGAAATTGAGAGAGGAGTGGCTACGCTAAGTTCCTGGAACGCTGAGCAATATGATGACGGAAAAAGGCAAGTACTTGAGTAAGTGGAGTATGAAGTGCCCAGGACTAGACGAAAGGATTCCAGCGGTTGTGATTCGACTTGGCCATGACATTGACAATATCGTATGCAGGAATGGTGTCCTAGATGGACCGCCGACCACCGCGGCGAGACGAGCACCCTGTAAGTAAAGTCGTTAGTAGCTGTGCCCCGGTGGCTGTTCTGTACGGAGATGTGCAGCCAGTGCATGACTTGCTCAAGACTTACAATCGCACTAGACAGATTTACCAGCGTCAGCTTGGGGGCCTGTGTGTGCGGTGGCGGAGTACCAGATTGAACATGGACGTCGACTTACATGAGTCTCTGTGGAGCCGTCGTAGTGGACGAGGCAGTACCCGCCGCCGCAGCTTTTGCAGGTGCGCGAGGTGTGGGTGACACAGTCGTCGCACTGTTTGTTACAAGTGGTCAGCACCACCAGAAATAGCTCGGCCTTGATTGACTTCCACAGGTTGCTTGGAAGAGTATACGTACATTCGGGTCGCATTCCCAGCAGCTACGCTGGATCTTCCGGGTCTGCAGGGGCTTGTGGCATGTTAGCTCAGTGCCCGTTGTCGCCAAGGATCCGAGGTTAGGGAAGAACCGGGCTCGGGTGAGGGGCTCGTCGGGTGCGCCCGCTGTCCGCAGCCCGCCGCGAGCACATTTAGCACTCGACAAACTTCCACAGCCGCCAAACACAGCCCGTGCCCTCTACTTCTCGCATGGTTTTGGCGTTTCTCTCACTTGCAGAGTCCCTTCCAAAACCATGATTCATCTCACAACATCGCGGCAACACCAAGTCAGCTCGCCTCCACGCGCGAGGCACGCCCCAGAACCGCCCGGCGTGCCGCCTGTGCTGATCTCCGGGTGCAAGCGAAACAGTAGCCGTTCCATACCTTGAGCTTGGGTTGTTCAATCGTCGCCAACTCGTGTGCGAGGAAATCGCCCGGCTGGTCAACAGCATGCACGTGCTGTGTTTGCGTCTGCGTTTGCGGCAGCGGAGCCGTCACGACCTGATGCTGACCTGGCACCTGGTAGCACGACTCACACCACCACTGGTCGCAGCTGAAGCAGTACCGCTCTCGGATACACTCGAGGCATCGAGGCACAAAACGCGGTCGGCCGCTCGAGCCGCCGAGGCCGCCACTCCCGCTGCTGCTCGCACCGGCCGGCCGGCATGCCGCCTTGACGTTGGATGAGTGGACGAGGAGCGGCGCCAGGAGCGGCAGGTTCTCCTCGGGAGACTCGCCGTGGACGGTGAAGCCTTCGGGTGCTGTCCCGCACACTGCACAGCCGCCAACGGCAAATGTTGCGACTGCCCATGGTGTCGCACGGGCGGAGCTGCTGTAGCTCGAGACAGGCACCCTGCCAAAAGCAGGCGAGTTCTGATGGCGCGGCCCGGTGCAAAGGACAGCATCGAAGCGGATGCTGCTCTGGCAGTCGAGCAGTGTCTCGGCCCAGCCGTCCGTGATCTTCTTACTGATAATGCGTCCATGGTTGTGATACCACTCATCGCCATCCACGCCAACCATCATGGCATCGAGTTCCTCCTGGGATGTGTGGTTCCACGCGACACTGACATTGCTGCTAGAAGAAGAGCCCGCGCGAGCAGACCGGGCTGGCCCGGACGAAGACGAGACAGAGCTGGCTCTGCTGCTCTTATTAAGCCCGCCCGCCTCCCGCGAGCTGTCCTTCGAACCGAACACGTATAGTCCCTTGAGCCGCAGTGCGTTAGCCGCACGACCGCGCCGACACGCGAAGCGCAAAGTTTGCATCAATTTGGCCTCGTTGAGGTTCGCACAGTCGCGCACCGATAGGATACGGACTGAGAACGAAGGGTCGACAAGCATGTCGTTTACCAGCTCGGCGGTGACAGACAGGCCATCAAGCACGAGAGTCTGCACACTCGCGAGAATGTCTCTCCGTTGAACGGTGGCGAGGACACCTCTCAAGGGACCAGAATAGACATCGTCTTCTGTGACGTCCGCAACGAAGCGATCATACACCACCGGGCCCGCCTCGCGGTGGGAGGATGTGCTGGTGCTCCTGTCCAGACATGGCTGGGCACGCTTGACCGTAGTCAGGTCAAGATGGCGGAAGACCCCAGGTGAGTTGTGCAGAAGAGCCTTGAAGCTGCGAGATGCCGATGCGAGGCTCAGCAGCGATGAAATGGGGAGGTGCGGCACGGTCTGATGCAGGACCAGGCTGTTGGACAGCAGGCTGAATAAACCTGATTCGTGTATGGACTCGTCCTGGGCGCGTGTGTGCATGTGAACGTCCTCTGAGGCCATAACATGCAGTGACTGTAGCTGGTGTTAGGAGGGATGATGCCACGACGTCTCTGTTGTCGTGATATATGGGGTTGGCTGGCGGTGACCCGTTATCAGTGGGAGGTGGGTGGTGTAGACGACAGTCTTACAACACGGCACGGAGTCTCCGGAAGAAAGAAACACTGAGCTGTGTCTTGGGATGCGCGTATGATGATGTAAGATGCTCTTCCTGGATGAGAGAGCAGCAAGGAGACGAAGTTTGGCAGATATCGGGGGTAAGTAAGCTAGTGCCCGTGGTCTGAGGATGGTGAGGGTGGCCGATCCAGGCAAGCTGGGGGAGATGCAACCAAGTCCACACCCTGGGGCCACTGGCTTTGTGTTGCTGGCACAGAGGGGGGTGCTGCAGGATGTGGTGCAAGCCGTGTCCGAACTCGAAACACCAACGTGTAGATACTGTAGGTGCTTCTCTTTGCCGTCTTAGTAAAAATGGTGAGTCAAGGTTGTTTTGTCCTCCTTTGTTTGATGGGCGGTGGGCAGCTGGCGAGCTCAGCGCATGGCTGATCTCGCCTTGGAGGGCGGCTCGGCAGGGGATGAGGGGGACAACGCAGTGGTGCGGTGGCGTGGGGACGGCGCGGACGGTGAGTGGGCTGAATGAAACATGGAGCCCTAGTTAGAGGGCGATAGACTTGCAGACAGACAGGCAGGCAGGACCCGCCAGCCATTCCCAAAGGTTGTCAGCGTCCCTGTCGTGCCGTGGTCGCTCTTAGTCTCGCTGCCAACCTCGCTGCCCGGCTTGGCCTCATCTCGGACGTCATTGGGACCTGCGAGGTGCCGTCGTTGGGTACTGTGGAGCGGCGATGACAGACAGACGACGTTGTGATAGCTTGCGCCATGACCTTTGGTGCTCGTCGAGCACGGTCTCTCATGGCTGGAAGCACCCTAGGACTGCAAGCTCCGTGGCGGGCATCTGCGTCTGCATCTCCATCTGCATCTCCATCTCCAAAGAGCCCTGTCGGTGGCAGGCACGGCATGCAGCAGGTGCAGCCAGCAGCCCACCGACATCTGGCCATCTGGAACAATGGACGTCGCTTGCCGCGCTTGCCAAGGAGGACATGCACCCAGTAGCTCCCTTGTGTCCTGGGCCCAAGCAGTGTCCAGGTGGCCTGTGTCCCGTCGTCCTCTCGCCAGATAGAGCTGGTGATCGTCATTCAATAACGCTTGTCTCTATTGCTTGTCTATCGGTCTTGGCCTGCTGCTGCAATATCAGAGGGTGGCCCGCGCGGACCGGATTGGCAAGTCCCCCAATGCACCCAACAAAGGGGCCGGCTAAAGCGACAAGAAACACACGATGCTCATTTGGCCTGGACCCTAGCCCTTGGCACAACCGAGTCCCGAAGCTAATCCTCAGCAGTGCTCCAGGTCTTGCCAGCGCGCAATTGGTGCGCCTGTCGTTTGTCGTTGAGCCTCCCAGCAAGCAAGCAAGCTCGCCTGGGATACCTAAGCCCCGACGCCCGTTGTGCGAGGCGAGGGGCGCGGGGTCTGCACACGGCGAAACAAAGCTGCGTGTCTTTTGAGACGGGGCGGCCCAAGGGTCCAAATCCCACGCCGGCGATTTTGTCACGCGTTCGTCTCTACGCAGGCATGGATAACAAGATGTCCCCCCCCTCTTTCCATACCACCGTCGGCGCGGGGGTCCCCACTACCTGGCACGGCACTCTTGCGACATGTTTGGCGGCATCTGTTTTTAGCCATGGGCTCCGACAGTGGGAAACACTCTTGCCGGCCTCGACAGCACCGGGAACGGCGGATCGTCTCATGAGGGGGGTCCGGCAGCGAGAGAAACTCTACTTGCCATCCCCTCCTGCAGACGGCCGGCTGCATGGTCGTGCTCAGTGTACAGCTGCCCGATGTCGGATCCTCTGTTGAATCGCTGCTGGAGGCTGACGTGATTGTTAAACGTGGTCGCGAGGCGACTTGGTCGACCTTTTCTCATTCGAGTCTGGCGTCGCTGGGCCAGGCGGCCAAGGGCAAGTGCCCCAACACTGCCACATCTGGTGGATAGGGCATGGTGCCTAGTAGACGACTGTACGCACTGGAGACAGACCTCGAATCCTTTGTGAGCTTGATAAGACCGCCATCAGATGCTGGAGAGTGCCACGACATGGCAGCCAGCGGAAGCGGCTCCGCCGTCATCGTCGCTAGCGCCATGGCAGTTGTTGGTGCTGCGTCATGACAACCGCCCGCATGGAAGCTTGGAGAACATCGAGGGCGACTGCTGCTGACTGGCACAACGACAAGCACGCCTGCTCGCAATCATCACGTGGCCCGACAACATCAACAACGGCCTCGAGGCCTGCTCGCCACTCCGTGCATGGCATGACAGTCGCCTTCCCCTCCACAATGTCAATGTCCATGTCCACAACATTGCCGTGGCCCACAGCTCCATAGCATTGCGGATCTTCAACCACCGGCGATCCCGCCCGCCTCGCGCGCGTGCGCCATCACAGCCCGTCAACAACAAGACTGCAAGCTCACAACAGACCTCGACACAGCGGCGCCATGGACGAACAGCCAGAGCTCAAGTGGTCCGCCACCTTCCAAGTTGCCGCCAGCTCCTCGGACCGGACCCTCGCCCTCCAGGGCGACAAAATAATCCTCCCCCAGTCGGCCCTCGAGCAACTCCTCGCCGCGTCGACGGCGCTCTCGTCCTCCCTCACGAGCTCCGCGAACCCCTACGCCAACCCGCGATCGCGACCTCAGAATGCCTTTTACGCCGACTCACACCAGCAGCTGCCGAACCCGCTCATGTTCCGCCTTGTCAACCAGGTAAACGGCAATGTCGTTCACGCTGGCATCCGCGAGTTTTCGGCGCCAGACGATGTCGTGTACTTGAGCCCGTACTTGTTGGAGGCGCTAGGCATCGGCGATTCAGATCTCGGTCCGGCAACCACCAGCGGGACGACAGCGAGCAACCCGGTCGAGCTTGCAGACGATGACAACAAGTCGAGTCGGTTCGGTACACCCCCTCCTGGGCCTCGGATAACCATACACGCGAAACAGATTCCTCGAGGTACATATGTACGCTTACGACCGCTCGAGGCGGGCTACGATCCGGGGGACTGGAAGGCGCTGCTAGAGCGTCAGCTGCGCGAAAGCTTCACGACGCTGACGAAAGGAGCCTTCTTGTCCGTGCGCGGCGTGAAGGGCGAGACCTTCCGGTTCCTGATCGACAAATTCCAGCCCGAGGGTGATGGGATCTGCGTAGTGGACACAGATCTGGAAGTCGATATCGAGGCCCTCAACGAAGAGCAAGCCCGGGAGACGATGAGGCAGATTATGGCCAAGGCACAAAAGGCGCCAGGGACGGCCCAGGGAAGCTCGATCGGCGGTGAACTGAGCATATGGAAGGACGTCGAGGGCCGCGTTCTCCCTGGTGACTACGTCGACTACGAACTGGAGTCTTGGCCGAGGTCGCGACCCCTGGAAATCACGCTAAGCGAGCTCGAAGACGAATACTCGATCGATCTTCTCGTCAGCCCCAAGTCAACAAGGCAGCGAGCCCAGCCTCGCGATACGGAGCATGTCCTGGGCGTCTTCACATTCACAGAGCCCGGAGTCAAGAGGATAGTGATACCACCCACGTCGGCAGACATGGACGAGGCAGAGAGTCTGCTGGTGACGGTTCACGGCTACATCCCAGAGACAGGCTCAGAACCAACTCGCGGTGCAGCCACGTACAAACTGCGCGTCAAGAGTGTCAGGGCAGATGCGCTGAGCCCTACGACCAACGGAGACAGCGCCGAGGTTGAGACCAAGCAGCAGCATCACTCGGAAGACGACGAGCAGTGCCAGAACTGCCTGCAATGGATACCGAAACGGACCATGGTGCTGCACGAGAACTTTTGCAAGCGCAACAACGTTGTGTGCCCGCACTGCCGGACCGTGTTCCAAAAGTCGTCGGACGACTGGAAGCACCACTGGCACTGCCCCAAGGACGACGCGCACGGCAATGACGAGGCCGCACACGCAAAGCACGACGCCCTCTTCCACACGGAGCGCCAGTGCCCCTCCTGCATCTTCACCACCAACTCGATACCCGACCTCGCACGGCACCGCACCAGTGTCTGCCCCGGCAAGATCATCCTCTGCCAGTTCTGCCACCTCGAGGTCCCGCAAGAGGGCGATCCCTTCAACCCATCTGCCGAGGTGCTCCTGTCTGGGCTGACGGAGCACGAGCTCGCGGACGGCGCGCGCACGACGGACTGCCACCTGTGCTCCAAGATCATCCGGCTGCGCGACATGGCGACCCACCTGAAGCACCACGACCTGGAGAAGGCGCACCGCCCGCGGCCGGACATCTGCCGCAACATCAACTGCGGCCGCACGCAGCACGGCGTCGGGCGCAACGGCGCGGTCGGGTCCGGCACGCAGATGGGACAAGGCCCGGGCAACGACCTGGGCCTGTGCTCGCTGTGCTTCTCGCCGCTGTACGTCAGCCTGCACGACCCGGAGGGCAAGGCCCTGCGGCGCCGCATCGAGCGGCGCTACCTCACACAGATGACACAGGGCTGCAACAAGCGCTGGTGCCGCAACGAGTGGTGCAAGACGGGCCGCCACAACCTGGGCCTCGAGTCCAAGGGCACCAGCGTGGCCGCGGTGCTGCCCCTGATCAAGCCTATGGTCGACAACATCCGGCAGACCCACATCCCGATGTTCTTCTGCGTGGACGAGACGAACCAGCGCCGCCGGGCGCTCGCCGAGATGCTCGCGGCCGAGGGCGGGTGGGATCTCGAGTGGTGCGTGGCCGCGTGCGAGGCCGAGGCCGGGAGCAGCGGGATGGACATTGACCGCGCGAGGGAGTGGCTGGCCAACTGGGCGCCCATGAAGGGATGAGAGTTTGAGGTTTGTGTACTCCGGGGCGGTCACGGTGCGCGCGAAATCCAACCTATGCAGCACAGCACAGCTCTCTCCTTGCTTTGGGTTGTCTGTATGCCCGAACCCATCACTCCGGCATGCGCACACACTAAGTCCCCACGTGAGACTCACGACTACGGAACTTAGCATGAACGATAACGGATATAGGGAAGGAGGACTCATGTGTACTCGTGTAGAGGCACGTCAAAACAGCATAGATAGACAGATAGACGCATGGGCAAAAAGGGTGGGGGCCAAAGGAGCAAAGGTAATCTGCGTACGCCGGGGAGATTCAACGGACAAATGGTGCATAGCAAGGTCTCTCCAGTGGGTTTGGGCGAGTTAATAAAGGCGAGAAAGCATAGATCCCTCAGGAAACCGTATGGATGTGTGTATGTATGTATGTTTATATATATGTGTCTATGGTAAGGTTGTATCAAAAGTCTCGTGCGCATTCGAAGGGCGTGATAATATACAAGATGCGGCAGTATTGGGAGGATTGCTCTCCGTACATGTCACTGCGTATCCCGTGCAATGGACCTACTTGCCTTGATGTCTCTCTTCCTTTCCGTCGCAGGGAAGAGATGAGAAGAGGGGGGGGGGGATAGATTTGTCTTCCTCACGAATCCTCGTTCCATGCTTGAGTGGGCAAACCCTTCTTTGCCCAGCGTATACAGCACAACCAAGGAGCACAAGCGGGGGAGGCGAGGAGAACGACTTAAAATGGCATCGTGTGATATTCATGACTGTCGTTTCCATTTTCTTACAAGGTTACCCCCCCTCTCCCCACACAACAATTCCCCCTTGAAACCTTACAAAACCCCAAACGAGGCCCTGAAAGAAGAGCCTGATTTTTTTCACTCCAAGCCCATCTGCACGTCGTCCCCGACGCCCCAGGACCCGAGTTCCCTGTGGTGGCCCTGGATCTCGAGCTCCAGCGCCGGCGTCAGGCTGCCCACCCCGGGGTCATCGTCGCGTATGCTACTCGCCTCGCTGGTCCGGCGTGGTCTGCCGCTGGCCGGGTTGTTTGCTGTAGTAGATGATGATGAAGACGATTGCTGCTGCTGGTGTTGGGACATGCTCCCTCCTGTTGTCCGGCGGCGCAGACTCGGCGTGGGGAAACGGAAGCGCGACTTGCCCGACGAGGAAGCCGTGCTCGCGGCGTCGTCCTGCCCGGCAGCACCAGCCAGTCTGGCCCTGTCCATCTCTGGAGATGACGTGGTGGACGAGGAGGTCGCATTGTCCGGGAGTGACGACGAGAGGTGTGGTTGCGGCTCGGCGTCGCCTTGCGATGTGACTGAGCCGCGTGTCGCGGATCTGGCTCTGGGGGGCAGTGCTGGCGGTGGAGGGGACGAGGCCGTCTCGTGGGTATCATTGTTGTTGGCGGCCTCGGCCGTCGACTCCTCTTGCGCATAATCGTCCTCGGTCTTCTCGACGAGCTCGGCGTCACGGTACCACTTCCGCCTGCGCGTCCAGCGGCCCCAGCCGTCCAGTCCTCGGCGACCTTGTTGCCACTACGAGCAGAGGAAGGTCAGTGTCATCCCAGGGCACCATTGGAAGAAGTAGAATCTGTAAGAAGAGATACCTTATTATCATAATAAACCCACCCCATCTTCCCCGCCTCGCTGTCGTAATCCGTGACCTCGGGATCTGGCACGCCGTCTACCCGCCACCGGCTTCCTTCCACCCACCGCCACTTTGCGGGCGCGTCCTCGACCTCTGGCAGTTCAAACTCGTCCCTCGACGGCAGCGGATTGTTCTGCTCGTCCGTCCACGCCGCGCGCTCGTACGCAAACAAGCTGCTCGTCCACCCGAGCGCGACCCACCGCCGCTGGTTCTCGTACAGGATAAATGTGAAGCGCACGCCGGAGTCCTTGGACTGTGACCTCCCGCGCTTCAGCGCCGCCGTGAGGGCCGACGTCGCGTTGCTCGAGTGCTTCTTGTTGGACAGCAGCGAGAATCCGTTCTGCCCTGCCGCGGCGCCTGTTGTCGGCTTGTCAAACTCGAGACCGGTCACCCACTCGGCGAGCTGCCGCACGGTGGCGCTGCGCCAGAGCAGCGTCCTCGAGACCTTTGCCGGTCGCGAGTGCCAGGATAGCAACAACGTGCCAACTATCAGCGCCACCCGCTTCGTTGTGATGATGCGCCACGGCGGGAGGGTCAAGGCGACCCAGAATGGTGTGATGGCAAGCAGCCTGACAAACAAGGTGGTCAGGGCGGGCCTCGTGGTGGCGCTCGTCGCCGTGCGCGACGTCGAGAGGAAGTCAGTCATCTCGAGCAAGGGCTCCATCAAGATGTTGCATCGCGACGTGAAGAGCTTCAGCGTCTCCACGATCTCGTCGAGCGTCTTCTGGTGCCGGGTGCTCGTCGCCTCGCTGCCTGCGCGCTGGTGTCCGCCATTGTTCGGGTCGCTGCTGCCACCACCGCCGCCGCCGCTGCCTCCCCCCTTGCGCTTGGTGTTCGTGGTATGGCTGTTGAGGTTGCTCGGGTGCTCGGCCCATCCGCTGCTGGACAGCGGGCTGTACCGCCTGCTGTACATGCCCCCAATAAGAGCGAGCACGGTTACGATGGGGCCGGCGAGGCGGATCATGACGTCGCCATAGAGGACGGTGGCCCAGAAGGCGGCGAGCAGCAGAAAGCTCTCCCATGGGTCACTGGTGGTCCAGGTGAGGAGGCCGACGAGCTTGTTGAGCGGGAGGAGGAAAGGGTGGCTGTATGCGAGGGCGCGGGTGACCTGAGGAGGGGTGGCGAGGAGGAGGGGCGACTTCTGGTGGACGAGGATGGTGGAGCGGCGCTTTGCGGCCGAGGCGGCGGTGGCTAGGTTTGCGGGCGAGAAGGATGCGTAGGTGGGCGGCGCATAGTTTGGGAGGGCATCGTGATGTGGTGTGGTGGTGGTGCCGTCGACGTCGGTGTTGCGCGGGGTCGCCTTGGGCGTCGACATGTGGTCCATCCAGGGAGTCTCCTAATGGCCGGCACGACCAGAGGCGGCGGGTGTCAGTCAGTGAGGGACGAGACTTGGTGGCGCAGGCAAGTGTTTGGCAGCGAAGATGCCCGTGGGGCAGATGGAGTTGAGGCGGCCGTGCAAGTGCCCGTCATGGGCGGCAGCAGTGGAGATCTGGGGTTCCTGCCGCGGTGGTTGTAGGTGGTGGTGGTGGTGGTGGGCGCGCAATGACGTGGGTTTGGCCCACTGGCAGGCAGGCAGGCAGGCAGGACAGGCCTGCCACTACCACAACCACAGGCGACCCCAATCATCAATCCATCAATCCATCAATCCATCCATCCACCATCACCACCACGACCTCGGGCGGCGGCAACTCCAACGGGAAGAAAGGGGTAGCAGGGACATACAATGGCAGCCATCAAGGCACTCGACTACCGGGGGTCCTGTATGAGCATCTGCGCAGGCGCGCGCAGCCCGTCGTTGGCGCGTGGGCGTCGTGGGTGGATGCGACGCTGCTGTCGAAGGGGGGTCCGCTGGCTGGGTGTCGGTGCTGCTGTCGGCGGTCCTGTCCCGTGGGCTTTGGTCTTGTCTTGGGTCTCGCTCGAGTCGCAGAATCGCAAAGTGGAAGAGGAGAGGACAGAGGTGGTGGTGGTGGTGGCGCAGAGAGTGGTCGCAAACAGAATGCCAGTAGAAGCCCGCAACCGGGACAGGTGATTCTATGTAAGCGTGCGTAGCTTCCTGAGCCGAGCAGTCGGTGGTGCCTGCCTGTGCAGGCCGGAGGAGCCCACAATCACATGCTGCTGCTGACGTGCCCCAGCCGAGCCGCCCTCAAGCTCACCTGGGCAGGCCCTCTCTCCCCAGACAGGCGATGCATGCCGGGCAGATGTGCGTGCTGGAATGCGGGGCACCCTGCCTGGCCTGGCCCCTGTCCCTGGTATCGATGCCAATCACCTTGAGGCAAGTACGTAATCACCTCAGCCTTGCCCGCAGTGCAGATAGTGCATCATTCACGCTCAAATCTACCTATGCCGAGGACGAGGACGACCCTGGCCTGAGAGCACTATTGCTGTGGATCCGCTAGCGGATACACATGAGCAACTCGCATTAGCTAAGTAGACCGGATCGTAGAATTGTCGTAATCACTCCAAGCTCTGCAAGATTGACACCCAAGCAGCAGTCATGCTCAGTACCAAGCTGGCCCCCCTTGTCGTCTCGTCGAACGTGTGTGTGCATTATGGACTGCCGTGAGACCCAAGACTCGCAAGATGCATCTACCGCTACCGGTCCATGAAGGGGGGGGGGGGGGGGGATAAAACATCTTATTCGTTTTTCTTTACAATCTTGATCAATGGCCATAAACGAGTGAACGACCAAATAACGGAGAAACAATTCTTATAGCCAAGTCCGGGCCAAATATATAGGCCAGCTTTCCGCGCCGCGATCAGGGTCTTCAAGCAGATTGTCGGGCCAAATTGTCGCCTTCGAATGAATGATCGATCTGTGAGGTGCACACACGCACACACACACACACACACTCGGGAGCCTCCTAGCTGCAGCATATCGGTGGATTTTGGCATGAATGATCAAATCTTGCGAACGTTGAGAAACTCGACGATGGCATCAGTTGCGTTTTCGCCACCTGCGACGTTGATACTAGATTGGTTCCAAAGAGTTAGCACAGGAAGCCCCAAACGTGGAATTTTGATATCGGGATTAGGGGAAATTGTTAGCAGGAGACTGGCGGGTCGCCCTTTAATCTTCTGTACGAATCGGATATGAGTGAGTGTGGATTCCATGAAAAGGCTTACTGCGCCAGTGGATATTCAGTTAGCTATCCTGTCACATCTGAACTTTTATGCAGACCAACAGTGCAGCCAGCTCCTCGTTTGAATTTACATACCAGTTCATCGTAGGTCGCGACGTCCAGTCCCGTGAGGTCAAACTCGGTGCCGTCCTCGAGCACAAAGGCGTCGGGGACCTGGCAGTCTTCCTGGGAGGCGCCCTGCTCATCGGCACCACCGTCGGAGCGCTTCCTGCTGAGCCAGCCGAAGCCGCCGCCGGAGAAGGAGCCCGCTTGCAGACAGACTCGGGTGCGACCGTTGGAGCGCTCTGTCTGGACTCTGGTCGTGCAGAAGCCACCTTCGTAGCCCCGGAGTTCAGTTCCGTATCTGTTGATGTCGACAAACGCCAATGACCTGAAGATGTTGCCGCTCGAGCCCCGGCAGCAGGTATTCGAGGGCAGGTTACGGCAGATGGCATAGTCGCCGCCGCAACCACTGGGGATATGCATCTGGAGGTGCAGAGCGGAGGCTGAAGCCGTCAGGCCGAGTAGGATGTAAGTGAAGTGCATGTTTAGATGTGCAAGTATCGAAGAGAAATGAGGTGAGTGTGAGAGTCTCGAGCTCAGGTGTTGATGATTGACTTGTTTGGTGAGGATGGAGAAAGTAACAGGCTCTATCGACCAGCAAAAACGGCGGTCTTATAGAAAAAGAGTCTCTGCAGAAGGTAGTCCTGATGCTCCCATGAACAATACCTACTTTGAATCACCGCGTCATGATCAATGCAGTGAGCCTCGCGAGACCAGCCTTGGCGTACCTTGCCGTGTTGCAATATCTCGCGTGGTGGATAAGCGCCGGCTCGACATGTCCATGAAATCTGCATGTTGTTGCCTTGTGCCGTGCCATCTTGAGATGTCGGTGCTGTTGGTTGGTGACGCGGCGCTGATTGTTTGAGGCTGTGACTGGCCGTGGTAACAGCTTCCCCACAGGCGGCCGACTCTCATCCTGCAACGCAGCGCGCTTACACAACAAGACTTGGCAGTGGGAGTGACGGCAAATACATTGCCTGAGTTGTTACCCGCCAAGGAAAAGTTGCCGCTATCCGTCACACAGGACACATTACCTACCTAAGAAGGTATGGCCGAACAGCACGGCTCCCATCCATCCTCCCAAACCAATCTGCGCATGCCACCATGCCCGTTGACCGGTCAAGACATGCTGTAGGTAGTTCCGTCATGGAACAATGTGATTAAGAATGCACATGACCATGGCACCACGATCAGCACTTTCCCCATAGCGTTGGCACACCGGTACTGCATTCCACTTCTGAGCGTTGGAAATCGAGCCATGTCAGTCCAGGCCCATCTGGTTACCGTCATCGCCGTCATCGTCCTGTCTTTGTTACTATAAACACCCCTATCCTCTTGCATGGCTCCAGCAGCTAACCTACCTACGTAGGTACCTAGGTGCCAATCAGGCTAGCACACCGTGAAGTTCCCCCCATACTGTGGAAGGACTTCCAGATCCCGCCGCTCCAACACCAGGCTCTCCTGCCTCTTCACGCCGCTCGCAGGATCAGGCTCCTTGGTCGTGATGGTCACATGCAGCGCGCCGGCCTCGTCCCAGGACGCGCCGGTCCAGTCATACCAGTGCGACCGCGGTATCCGGCCCGTGCCGCCGTCCCTACCGCGCTCCCGGCCTCTCTCCTCGGCTTGGAGGCACGCCCACGTCCCCAGCACAAACGACTTGACGTGCCTGGTCGAGGGCCGCAGCACGAGCTGCTGCGCCAGGGCAAACGCCCGCCACCGCACCCCAGAGTCTCGGCAGTCCCTGGCGAGGTGGAGCAGGCCAATCAGCAGGCCATCGCTCATGATGGACCCTTGGCTGCCCCCGCTGCTGGTACTGGCTCGCGCAGCAGTCAGCTCAGCGACAAGGTCCTGCGCCAGGTCCAGCGCCGCGCCGCACTCGTCCAGGCACGCCTGCGTCGACCAGGCGGTCTCGGACTGGTCCAGCGCGCGGCAGTGGGCGAGGTGGCAGACTTTGAGGCCGAACATCATGTTGGTGAGGATCCGCCTGCTCGCCTCAACTTCGGCCTGGTAGGCGGCGCGATTCCCCCGCTTGGCCTTGGTGGTGGTGGCGGCGGCAGCGCGCTCGGTGGCGTCATCGAGCCTGGCCTGCGTGCTGGATATCCAGAGGTTGCTGCGGGATACGAGGAGTCGTTGTTCTTCTTGGAGCTGGGCGAGTGTGGCTGCTTCTGCTGCTGGATCCTCGAGGCCCGCGCGTCTCTTGCTGTTGGTGCTGTTGTTGTTGTCGTCGTGCTCATCATCGTCGTCGGCGTCGCCATCACCGCGTGCCCCCATGTCCTGGCGTCGTCCTCGCCGCCGCCGCCGCCGCTCCTCTACGCGATCCAGGAAGCTCTGCACGCGCAGATGCCACAACACCGCCCTCGTGACAAACTGCCACCACGTCCGCCAGAACCCCTTGACCGACACGCTCCTGCTGTCCGGTGGCGCGGGGCCGAGCAGCAGCAGCTCACCCTCCGAGGCTATCGACGCAAGGACTCGTCGAGTCTGCGGGTACATGGGGGAGTATATGGCGTTCCACGTGGCCGTACGGGTGAGGAAGCACTCTGCGTCGTCGTAGACGTCGGCGCCCTCGAGGACCCGTCGCCGCCGCCGCAGCATGTGCAGTGAGCGCAGGCCATTGGCGACGAGGTAATCAAAGGCGGTGGTGTTGCCGTGGAGGGTCTCAAAGATGGAGAACAGGATGGTATAGACGAGCAGCGTCCTGGGCGGCACGGTCTTGTCTGAGCCGGGCTGGTCGATGCGCTGCCGAAAGGTGGCTATGGCCTTGGTGTAGTACTGGATGGCAGGGGCGTAGTGCGTAGATGATGACACTGGCCCGATCTCGCCCCGTGGTCCAGAGGCATGATCAAGTACTTCGCGGCCGGCCCTGGACAGGGCGCCGATGCTGATGACCGCGTCGAGGGCAGGAGGATCGCGGACGCACTCGCAGAGGACGGTCGCAGACCAGAAGCCCGTCGGGTCGTCTGCCTGCGTGCCCAGCTGAGAGACCACGACGTACTTGAAGTAGTCAAAGTAGAGCGTGCTCGAGGGGTCCAGGAGGGCAGCTACCAGCATACTCGGGCGGATCGCCGGTGCCAGAGGCCGGACGACGGCCCTGCCAAGCCCGCCTGCCAAAGCATGCTTAGTCTGCGGGTAGCTACAGGCCAGCTTGAGCTGGACACATCGCTGGCAGACTGGCTTGCATTCGTCACATTTTCTATGGGCTCGGCGGCAGGGGACGCAGCCTGAGAGACACACACCAGTCCAAGTCTCGGTCAGCACAGTGCCATCATCATCATCATCATCATGGACGACGGTTTATTGCCCAGAGACCCAACACGCTTACCTGTCCGAGCTCGCCTTGTGGGAGCCTTTTTTCGGTCTGCCCTTGCCTCTGCCATCACGTCGATGAGGGCCCATCTGTTCTGTGAGATGCGTGGGCTCGGTTTGTCGACGTGAGGATTGAGGATGGGAATGTGAAACAGAGAGAGACAGGGCTGGTCGGGGATTACAAGGACGGGGTGGGGGCCGGCTGACGGGAGACTGGACTGATTACAGAACGAGCAAACGCACAAGGTCAACTGGTCTCCGCCAATCAGCGCGTATAATGGGACCTGCTTCTTCCCAGGGTTTGATTCCCTAGCAAAGGCAGGTGCTCATACTGACAAGGGCTACGTACCACTGTCACCACATGCTTGACACTCGCTCGTTCAGCCCTTCGGATAAAATGCTTAGGTAATTCACGTACTTGATTAAGGTGGCGTCGGTGGTCACGACGACTCCATGGGTATATCTTCATCTGTACAAACAACTGTGCTCCCTGGGGCCAACTCCTCCTCAACCCGGCTACCCAGAGAACCGTGACAGAGCACAATGCATTAAGGTGTCTCCATCATGCCAAAGTCAGTTGCGCCCGTCGACTCAGTCTTCGGCCGCCTCGATGCTGCCGTTCACGCTCTGCATCCACTGCACGAACCGCCGCGACTGCCTCTTGCCAGACTCCCCTCGGCAGCCCGGCCCCGGCCCAAACACTATGTACACAGCGTCCTCGCCCTTATCCGCTGGCACTAGCACCATCAGGTAGTTGTCCGCCCCGTACGACTGTCGCATAAACGTCCGCAGCCGGCTCGGATCAATGGCGATCGTCGCCGGGCTGCCCACTGTCGACCTCAGCACCCCTTTGTCTGCCACGACCCTGATGCTCGCCACCTCAGGCCTCGTCTTTTCCCACTGCACCGATCCATGGTTGTACATCTGTACCGTAAACTCGGCCCGTGTAATGGAGGACGGCGCCATGACCGGCGATGCCGTCGCTGACGATACAGACGCTGTGTCCCTAGCCACACTGTTCCGCGCCGCCTGTTTTGAGTATGACGAGGGCACAGGGGACGAGGGATTGGCGTGACTTGGTCTCGTCCCGGTACCGTTGGTCATTGTCGGCGTAGGCTGCTCAGACGAATGTGTTATTGGGGGATTGGGCACCATGGGGGCGGCGGGTGCCGCGCCATCCAGACAAGTCGTCAAATCAGGCCGGCTGGGCGTGGCGCTTCTGTCCTTCTCATTAGGTACGGCCTGTCCGACTCTTGGCACTGGCTTGTCACCAATCATGGCACTCTCTGGGGGCTGTGAAGCTTGGTGTGGCGCCGCTTCATGGCCAACTTCTAATGTCGCTGGCTTCTGTCCCGTTGATGTAGCTTGCGGTTTTGTTCCTGCTCGCTCGGGGGATTTGCCAGCGTGCGCCATGACATTTGACTTCTCTGTCTCGTCTAGACGGTGCTCGACTGCAGCTATGAGAGCTGGAGATGATACATCCTCCGCAGTGGCCTCCAGTGGGAGTCCATTTGGCTGCGGTGTTCGACGTGCAATCGATTCTGTCGTCGGTAAGGCAGGTGCGGCCGGTGGAATGCTGCATTCCTTCATGGGAGAACGTGACTGTTTGTCGGTTTGTGTGCCACGGACCGGCTGTTTAGCAACAAACTGAGCGGGAATAGTCTGAGAGGACACTCTCCAAGCTGCTGACGACAGTGGATGACCAGTAAGTAAAGCAAGGTTCTCCGTCCGATGGCCGTTCGATATGATGAGCTGCTCAGAGGAGCTTAGATCTTCCTGTCTGGCGGCAGACACCACAGCGGGCTCCTGTTCCCGAGCATCGTGGGTATTGTCAAGGGGAGGCTGTTCTGCCGCCGTCTTATTATGAGCAGGCTGCGGCATAGGGTCTTGTCTTTCCGTAGCGCTCCCTGTGGCCGCTGGAACGACAAGTTGACCGCTCGGATCTTGCCCAAATCTTAGGCCCTCATTGCGGGTCTCCAAATGCGCACTGACTTGAGGAGGCTCACGAGCGTCTCTCTGAATATCATCAACTCTGCTGCGACGAGCAGGCTCGTCGCTCGTCCTGGGACGGCCTTTATCAGGCCGGAGAGTCGCCCGAAATGCCTCGTGAGACAATGACTTGGCCTGAGACATGGCCTGGTCGATGCCTTCTGCTGAAACACTCTCAACAGGTTGGGTACCAATGACTGGATCAGGACCGACGCCAAGCTCTCCGGAGCGCGGAGCTGAAGTTGGCAGCGCTTTGTCTTTGTGCGTGCTTCGTGTCGAGATGAATGACTTTCGATACGTCTTGACAGGGGACTCCGACCCGGCCATTTGCACATCTTCATCGGCATTCTCTTGCGTTTCGATGTAGTCGTTATCTCCTGGAATCTCACCGCCGATCTCGGAAAACATTGCGAGCTCCGCTTCGAAGGCAGCTTCGCAGTCAAGACTCGAGTCGGAGTCGTCCAGATCCATGTCATCGCTTTCGTTGTCTGAGCCACCGATCTCGGTGTTGCTGGTGGGATCGACCCCGGCCCCATCGGCAATGGTGAGTAGTCGCGAAGGGCCGGATACTGGCGCGTCGTTCGTTGTATTTGTGGCCGAGCTGTACAGTCCCTGGCTGCCTTTGGCTGACTCCATGCCCGGCGTGGCTGCTTGACGCTCCTCCCATGTCGAAAATCCTTCCCTCTTCGCTATCCACGCGCGAACCTCCCGTTGCCTCTTCGCCTCTTTCAGGTCAGTGATCTTGTCGTCGAACAGGGGGTATTTTCGAAGATTGCTGCCAAAGATCCACGCGACTGATTTTTTGCTGTCAAAGAACAAGACGGGGAATTTCCTGGAGGCGACTCTGGGCCCACCATCTTCGTAGCCTGCTTGCCAGCCGATGACTTCCTCCCCACTTTCGCTATATCGGTAGCATCTCGGCGGTTCCGCCTCCTTGTCCAGGAGTCCTGTGTCGTTGAGTCTGCCAATCAAGCCGCTACCTTCTAGAGAGTCCCATCCCAGTATCATGACTGGATACAAGGTTGCGCCATTGCTTGTGCCCCACCGCGCTTGGTAGATGTGGAACGTCTTGGGGTAGACGACTCCTCTGATCTTCTGGGGTGAGGTGGTCGTTGCTGGAGGTTTGCGACCTTCGAGATCACTGCAGCTATCATGTCTCGGCGAGTTTTGCGCTTCTGCACTCACGCGAGGGACTGATGATGGCTGCGAGGTCGCTGCCTTTCTCGGCGTCACCAAAGTGCTCTTTGGTTTTTCAGACGACTGCCCAGACTCAAAATATGTCTTGGCCTTTTGGTTGTGGGCTTGCCTTTTGTCCTCGGTACAATCTGTGACTAGATAGCCAAGGGTCTTGACAGCCATATTCCAGTCCTTTGGCATGTTTCCATGACTCGGTGCGTGCAAGTGCTTTGCTGCGCCGCCGATGGGCATCTTGTACTTGAAGTGAAGGTTATGCTCTGCGCAATACAAAATGTAGTACAAGCCGCTCCTCGAGGGATATTCCACAATAGTGTCATGATTAGACAGGTCGTTGGCAATATCGTCGTATGATATGGTCCTGTCTGTAAGCGGCTCCTTGTCAGATGTAGAGAGGGTTTTCGCGGTCTTTTTCTTCTTCTTTTCGCTCTTCTGTTCTCCTCCGACGAGACTCTGGGGCTGGGCGGTTTCTGCCACCTCAGCTGGTGCTTGTGGCATCTCAACAGACTCTCGCGCCCTTTTGGCAGCGGGTTGTTGCGGTGGTGGTGCTTCTGCGGGTCGCTTCTGAGCCGTGGTCGTCTTGTCTTCAGGAACGTCCTTGGGTACTTCTGCCAAAGAAAGGCCCAGGTCGTCTGCGACCATTGGTGGCGTTGCCGGATGTGAAGGAGCCACCGAGGGCACAAGCTTTGGCGCGGGCGGTGACTGCTCACCGGGTATGGAAGGATTCTCGGTAGCCTGCGGCGTGGGTTCACGTAGCGATGGCGGAGACGCCACTTCGATGCTGTCGGCTACGCTATTGCATCGTGAGAGCTCGAGAGGGACGGCCGAGATGGGCGAGGGCATTCCAGTCGGTGCCGCTGCCATTTCCGGTGGCATGGTATGCTCTTCATTGGGGTGTTGTTTTTCTGAATGCGCACGAAGTTCTCCTTCGTGCTCTTGCCGCTTGTCTGCCAACTCGGCCTCGTGCTGGATCTCTGCGAGCCGCTGTTTCATCTGCAGGTTCTCCCTAAGACATAGCAGGAGAGGGCCATAGAAGCGAGGCTCGAGTTCCAATATCAGCTTGTGGTTCTCGTTGTACGTGAACTGGGCGTCCTCCTGCTCCATGGCGAGCCGGCGAGTAAGACGGGCGATTTCTGCGGCCTGCCGCGACTCGATGTTGTCTTTCTCAGCCTGCCAGGCATGTTGTGTGTTACGGGCCCTTGGCCCGTCCATGGTGGCGGCAACAGGCGTGCGTCCAGGCAGATGGTGGTAATAAAAGCAAGCTCAGCAGTGGTGATTTGCGAGTCGCTGGGAAGCAGATCTCTGGGCGCCTGCTTTGCTGCTGAGCAGATGTCGACGATGGAAACGACAAAAAAAAAGGTGGTTTGTGGGTGCAGACTCAGCCGGAGCATCAATGTTCCTCCTGTGCGGTTCTTGGTTGGTTGGGAAGGCGCGGCTGAGACCTGCTGGCTAGGGGTGGCTGCTTCCTGAGGCAGCTGCACCGGCCACTACTGTCCTGTCCTGGTCTTGGTGTGCGTGTTGTCTGTCTGGCTGTCGACTGCCGCTGTCACCTGCAGCTGTCGAATGAATGAGTGAATGCACGACAGGGTCGGCGGATGGAAGCCGAAGACGAAAGAAACCCTGCAGAGCTGCGACGCCCTCGACATGTCTTTTGCAGCTGAGGAGCTGGGCAAGTCGGGGGGGGTAGGGCAACCTCGCCAGGGCTGATCTTTTAGCAAACACAACCAACAACCAACCAACAAACAATGGAGACGCTCATTAGCCTGCCCGGCAACCGTGCTTGCCACCAATACACAATGACGCCCTGCCATGCTCAAACAATGCCCAGATCGATGCCCCTCGAGTGTGTTCGCTTATCACGCCTGGCAGCACACCGCGGACGAGCTGTGGTGCCTCAAGTCGAGCGTGATAGGGGCCGCGTCAAAGCATCTCATCGCGGTCATTGCTTTTCCTATATTGTCACCAGCCGGCCAGGGTAGGTGGCTCCACTGTGATGTGATAGCCTGGTCTTCCCCACCCCTGCCGCAGTAGCGCTCTTTGCTGGCCAATAATCAGAACTGACTCCATCTTCCCTGAGGCATGTGGATGCTGAGGGTGTGTGTGCCGGCCAGGTTAGGCACAGCACCGTACATGACATTGTGTGCCGGCTTGAAAAAAAAATATTTCCTACCAGGAGCTGCTTCGTACTGTGCTGCGTAAGCCCTGACAATGCACCTACTCCATTGTCCGTGTCCACCAACGGCGTCTTCTATTCCACTAGCCTTGGAGGTCTTATAGAGGACTGGATGTGGCCAGAGATGATGTTGTTTTATAACGCCCTCACTAGTGCCACCAGCCACGCCTGTCTAAATGTGGTAGCGGCCACTTTAACGTTAGCTCCCGTCTTCAACGGATACAACCGTTGGTTCGGCCAAGCTCTTTCTTGCTTTTTCGGAATGCTAGTCAATCATAATTTTGACCTCGCAATCTGGCAGCGTACTCCTTGTCTGCTAGATAAGCACTCCTAAAGCCCCGACAGAAGACTGTGGCCAGAACAGAATGGCACACATCCCTCACGTCCAATCTAACCCAGCTCGTCCATAACACCATCTACCACGAATACCCATACCCTACGTCTTCATCGTCCTCCCGTTCCTCCCTCTTGCCACCACCACAGCCGTCAGTCTTCGTTTCTCCCGCCACCGTCTCGCAACAACAACAACCACCATCATCAGCACCGCCGTCCTGCCTCGTTCTGCATCTGGGCCTCTTGCCGCCGCCGCCGCCCCAGCCAAGCCTGCGCACCGCAAAGTCCTTGACCTCCATCTGTGCCATCTGCGCCTCGCGTGCCTCCATACACGCCAGGCACTCCTCGCGCCGCGACTCGTCGTCGATCCGGCTTGGCCCGGCCCCGCAGCGGCCGAACCGGCCCTTTCCGCGGGCCTCGCGGCACCACTGCTGCACCGAGCTCTCCGACAGTTGCTCCCCGCAGGCCGGGCAGACATGCAGCATGTGGATGTCACGGCACATATCTCGCGGCGGGGGGGGGTTCTCCTCCCTAATGTTTTTGCTGACGCTGTGAAGAGCTTGTGAATCGCCACTGGGGCATGTGCTGGGATCTTGTTTCGGCTTCGACTTTCTGCCTGCTTTACGTAGGTTCGTCGTCGGGATCGGTAAACCAGAGGCGTGTGTGGGTCAAGCCACAAAAGAAACCTTCGAGGCCCCGCTTTGAGTATAATGAGTTATAACCTTCTGACAAGGGGATGTGCTAGTTCTCAACATGAGATGAGCCGGGAGCGGACGGCAGAGTCGCGTGCTGCTTGAGTGCCGACAGCAGCAGAGACTTTCATGGACACGGTAAGGGTCAGAGTGGTATTTATGCTCAGTCGGAAAGGAGCGGCGTACACTGCTTTTGTAGCCCCCGAAGCTGTGTGTAGTTTGTCTCAATGACCTCGCAATGATTTCGACATCTGGGGCCGGACTCTATTCACTCGGTACTGCTACAGCTGTTTCTGCGAAGCCCTTTCACCCCAACTTTTTTTGGTTGTGCAACTCTGGTCCTGGGCATATATCACTCTCTGTGCCACCCCCAAATCTAACCCAGCACATATTCGCCCGCGTTTTGTGTCTCAAGATTCGACCGGGCATCTGTGGGGCAGCTACGGTTTATTGTCATGCGGGTAGCCATATTGACGGCAGGTTTTGCAGCTAGCATTCCATATTATGCCCGGTGCCGAGCGGCAGCTAGCAGCAGAGAGCTCCAGGTAAAATCTGAGATCTGACAGGTAGGACGACGCAGTGCTCCTGTGCAAGTCGCCCCCCGCAATATTGGTGCGACAGGGTGCCCAGGATAGATATCGGTCAACCAGTGCAGCTTACATTGGAGCGTGTGTTTGGTCATTAGCAATAATGTTAGGTATAATATCAGCGAAAAAAAAAGCTGTGGTGATGGAGTACCGAGGTCAACAGCACCGGTATGGAAGTATTCAGATATCAAAAGAGAAACAATTGTGTTGCATGCTCTTATGAGCTGACAGGCCGGAGTGCGTAAAAATGCCAGCCTCGAGCGAGATATAAGGAAACAACACACCGAAACTTCCGACTGTGTAAAAGAATAAAGATCACACGGATGAGATGATATACACAACGTCCGCAGTAACACGATTGTCCCCCACATCTCCGGTGGAGATCCGTGCTCCTTGACCACTGCTCCCGGTGAAGACACTGCATCATCTACTGAGAGAAGGTTGGCTTCACTCCGAGGACTGGACAATGCTTAAGTAGAGCGGCGACCGGCGGTTGCTGTTGCTACTTATATGACTACAAATCAAGGTCACGAATCATAAAACCTGAGAACAATGGAAGCGGCTACACTGACGTGGTCCACCTAAAGCCGCTAGGCAGATATACGCCTTTAGCGATAGGATATCACAAAATTATCAGATTGTAGGTAATTACCGATCGGGCACATTGAGTCTAGTCCCTCCTAGTTCTATAGTTTTTCGGTTTACCTCCTCCGTATTCCTTACATGCTCTAACGTTGTGGTCCCCTCTACGAGCTAAAAAAGAAAAAGAATAAAGAAAAAGGAAAAAAGGAACTTCGCCCGAGCTTGTAAAAAAGCAGCTTTGCAATATCATGACGCTATTCGCAAGTTCTGGTACCACGTCACACTGTCCTGGCCTTGACAACGGCAGCGCAGTGCATGTGCTGCAAGCTTTGACGTGGACAGGTGCTTTGATGTCACTGAAGATGTAGCGAATCATGGGGTGTTGTTGTTCTCATGTGGTGATGAGCAGAAGAGAATTTACCCCCTTCACGCTGTCACAATCACTGTCGTGTTAACCACAAACAACTCATCAGTTGGATAAGAAACTTTCATGCTCAGGGAGCGTGTGGCTTAGCAACGATTCACAGGCACTTATTCATAGGCACGGCAACAGGTTCGTGGTAAACAAGTCTTCTTTCGCTAAAGCTGAACAACGCCAATCTACCCTGCGCGAACCCTGCTGTCAAAATACCAAGATACAAATGAGGCAAGTCCGTACCCGATCTGCGCAACTGCAGCAACTTGCCGTGATGGGGAAGCCCTTGCCTGTATTGTGCCACCCACATGCGAATACCGATCCATCTCCCAGATACAAATCTTACCAGAACGAACACCATCCAATGTAATGCTGACAGAGATTCTCCAGCTTGGTTGCCTCCATGATGAGCTTGTTGACCTGTGCGACGACTTCGAGCTCCACGAGCTCCTCTCCCTCACGGGCAAAGTCACGACCAGTGAGCTTCTGTTGCACACGCTCCAATACCTCCAGGGCCCGGGCGTTCTGGATTTCAGCGGCATCGTCAGTGCCGTTAACACCGTTGATCAAGCTCGAATTGGTGCGGGCGCGGCTGCGGCCCGGCGGGCCACCCGACTGTGGTCCTTCATTTGCTTGCGCGGCAAGGTATTCTGACGGAGGGTGCTCGGCGTCGAGAATGCTGGGACGACGAGCGCGTGCCGTCGGGGCTGCGCCAAGCGCGGTGTCCCGTTCGGAGCGGAAGTTAGGGCCAGCAGGAGAGGCGCCATTTGTGAGACGCCAAGTGAGCAGCGGATCGTGGATGAACTAGATGCATTTTGTCAGTCAGAGGTGCTTCATCAAAGAGGGGGTGCACAGTATGATCACTTACAGCTTCGAGCACAGCCATGACGGATTCTTTGTTCTCGCGCAAGACGCGCATGACGTGCTCGCAGGTAATGCGGAAGCTACCCTCGATATTGCTGACTTCCATGGCATACGTGAGCATACGCGTAAGCCGGAACGGCACCCGTTCGGGATACTTGTCTCGTTTCATCGCAACCTCGAAGCAGTCGCCAAAATCGATGTGGATGATCTTGCCAGTGATGCGGTCGAGCATCAAGTTGCTGGGGTGGCGATCTCCCAGTCCGAGAATGTAGCCGACCATGCTCATCACACCCAAGCTGCGTGTGTAGTTGGTGCGGCGCTCCAGCCAGGCCTCTGAACTTTTGCTCTTGAGCCAGAGAACACGATATAAATCCTGGCCCGTAGTGTTATCCAGCGCATAACCGAAGACCTCGACCTTCTGCATGAGTGTGAGGTGGTCGTAGTCTGGCGCCATTTGCAACATGATGCGGTGCTCAATGTTCAACAAGATCTTGCGGCTCTCGCGGTATTCGCGAATCAATACGTGCAAGGTGTCGCTGTTTGGCACCCAGCCAAGCAACCCGGAATTCTGACTAAGAGGGATGGCAGGATATCTCTGGATGCCGAGGTGTCGCTTATATGACTCTGAATCATTTGCGAGTAGTGTGTTGCATAGACCAAACAATTGCATGACACGTTCGTCTTGACGGATATCCTCGTGTCCCTTGAGAAGGAAGGCGTACGAGTTGCCGTCGCTGCCGTTGATGTTGAGCTTCCGGGGACGCTGCTTTGAGTTGATAACGCTGAAGGTGGGGTCGAATGACATGATTCGGATGACTGGTTTGCCACTCTTGTACGTCCCAGGAACCGCGAGGTCGAGATCGCGCATCTTGAGCAACTCAGGCGAACAGTACGCGAGCTCCAAGGAAGTCATCTGCGGCAGTTGCCGGCCGATGCGCCGGAAGACTTGGTAGTATAGATCCCAGGCTTGATTGAGGTCGCTGATGTCTTGACTGGTCATGTATTGCTTGCACCATTCGTATGCCTCGCCTAGGTCGCGCCCGAATGTCTGTTGGAAGCTGATCTCGCGGAGCGTCTTCTGACCAGGCTTCTCCAGAAGCTCATGCAGCGGGCCAAGCGTTTCGAACATGCCCCTGATGTCGTGGTCTCCGAAGTAGAGGCGTGAAGCCTCCTCGAGGGCCTCATGCCATTGTTCGTGCCAGAGCACAGCAACGCGAATCAGCTCGTGGCTGACAGTATCCGCCTGAGTGACCAGTTTGGCGCTGTGGCTCCGGAGGTGTGCCATGATCCTTGAGGCGGACTCTGATCGCAAACTATGTGAGTTCTTGGCAGATTTCATGGCAACAGTCAGAGGGTAGACTAGGGCCTGAGGGTGAGCTTGGCCGACTGTGCTGAGCAGAGAGTTGATGGTCTTGCGCACGGTGGGGTTTGGCTGGTTGATGCGTGCAATGAGCTGAGGAATGACCTCCAGCCATGTGTCGACGCTCACTTCTGCAAAACCATGTGTAACAGCGTCGTTAACCTGCGGACCGCCGCCGTGAGTGAACCACAATGTGAGCAGCCTCAGTGTGTCCTGAAGCGAGCTGCCAGAGGACAGGGCGATTGACTTGAAGAATCCAGTGACGGCAGGGACGACGTATCGCGTCACTGTTGTCGGATCGATCCGCGTCGAGTTCCGGCTCGCCGTGCTGGCCATAGCCTGAACGATCTCAAAATTGGCCAAAGCCCAGGCGTGCCAAGCTTTATACCAGCTTTCGTTCAGCACAGTTGCCTGCTTGTACGCATCCAGTATCTGCCGAACATTTGGCTGCGTCCAATCGTTCTTGTTGAGGGCTAGTTGCCACTCGCCTTGTTTGAGGTAGCACTTCGCCAGCAAGACTTGCTGGTCCTGGATCGCCTTTGCCGCGCGTGGGTTGGCCTCGGCCCCATTCTGGAAGCTCAAATCGCCCATCTGCTCAATCCCATTGGTCTTCAGCTGTGCAGACGCCAGCTGTAGTTGCTGTGCTTGGTCGTGGGTAAAGCGGCGCAGACAGTGTAGAGTCTGCTCCGGATGGCCGCTTTGACGCAGGTTGGCCGACTGCCCGTATTCCCACTGGAACTTTAGGATGGCATAGGTGGCTTGTGGTGGGATGCGGCGTGCGAGGGTAGCTTGTGACTGCGGCGAAGCCTCTGCCCAATATGGTATGACCGACTCCAGCGCGCCATCAGTGCCGATGAGGTTCTTGAGGGTCTTCTCAGCAAGACCCATCCTCCCAGACTTCCGGCAGAGATTAGCGAATTTGATCCACATGTGCATGTTCTCGCTGGGAGAGATGACAAGTGCGCGGAGTCTAAGCATCCTTGACCAGACCTCGACATTCCTTTGGCATCCCTTGAGACGAACTTCCCAGGTGCGGCGCATTGTCGCACGTTTCCGCTCATCACTCTGCTTGTAGGTGATGAGCTCCTCGAGTTCAGCAAGCATTTGCACGCGAACAACAACCTGATATGCTCGGTTGTAGGATTCGCTGATGAGCGCGCTCAGTTCCGTGTCGAGACCCTCGCGAGTCTGCTGGATACAGGCAGCAGCCTCTCTGAACTGGTTGCGATGAAGAGCAAGGATTGAAGCGAAGAAAGTGCGATCTGGCGAGTGCCTCTTCATCGATTGCAGGTACATGTCCATGGCGTCCCACTTGCCCAAACCCCATGCAGCAGCAGTGGCCAGTCCTGCGATCCGCCGCTGGATTTCTGGTGCAGAATTGGCCCAGGTGCTGCCCGCGAGAGATGCGAGCGCATCCCACTCGCCCAGAGCGTGGAGACATCTCATCTTGCCCATGACAATGTCCACCGGAACCACTTGATCCGGCGGAATGTCCTGCTCCCTCTGATTGTAGAATTGTAGCGCCTCCTCCCACCGCTCCAGCTTCTCGAACCAGGTCTCCCGCAGTTGGATGCCGTCCTTGTAGAGCTGCGCCTTGCGCAAGATACCAATGGCTGCGTCGTATTGCTGCAGCTGGTTGTTGATGACAATCAAGGCTTCGACTGCAGGGCCGCTTTGGTCCTGCAGGAACTCAAGCTCCTTGTAGTGGAGCGCCTTGGCGTATGCGTGGCATCGAGCGGCTTCGCGACCCAGGACCCTAATGTCGATCGGCAAAGCTTTGTCGTCATGCTCCATGAATTCTGCCAGGTTGAGCAGCAGGCCAAGCAAGTCTGGTGGGACATTCTCAGAACGGATTGCGTTCTCGATATTCTGGATCAGCTCGTCCTGGAACTGCTCATACAATTCGCTCCAGCACGAGACAAAGGCGGAATTGAAGAGCTCCCGGGCTAGGGGAAGGTAGACACTGGCGAGAATGGCGCAGGCTCGGAGGGCATGGTTCGGAGATTCGGTGAGCAGGGTCGTGCTGAATCGCCTCAGCCATTCCTGCCAATCCTCCTTGGTGGACTTGCCCCTAGTGTCCCATGCTGCCTTGAGGTGGATGGCGTTCATCTCTAGTTTCTTGGAGCCGAGGTCTCCGAAGGATGGCTCATCAACCTGGTCAACGAAGCGGCTCTCTGAGCTCAGGTCTTGTGGGAGCACTTCTCCCTTTTGGAGTTTGCTGACGAGCAGCTCATAGTTCGAGTGCTGGATCTGGTGCTTCTGCAGCACCTTGTTGATGGTGCCCATGAAGTGCAGGTAGTCCTTGCCCAGCTGCTGGATCAAGGCACATAAAGTGTCCAAGGCTGCAACGCGCAACGAAGACTCGCTGCTAGCAAGAATTCTGGCGATAGGGTGGATGATCTTGGCAGCATAATCATTGAGATTGACCTGCCTCGAGATCTTGCCAATGGACTCGATGGCCGATTTGCGGAGGAAGGTGGGCTGCCCTTGTTTCTCGAACGTCCGCACGATCACAGGAATGATGAGATGCATGTACTCTTCGCTGCTGGAACCAAAGACCAGGAATGCATGCAGGACCTTCTCGGAAGGGATTCTCTTCGTAGTCGAATCCTTCTCGAGAATGCCAAGCATCATTGGCAACAGACCCGCAAGGTAGATCTTGAACTCGCCCTCCAAAGAGCGCGAAATCGCCTCGACCAGTGACAGAATAGTGGATTGAAGGGAGGGCGAGTGATCCCAGTAAAGCTGTAGAGTCTCGACGATGGTCGGCAGGTAGTTTCTGATGTGTTGTCGGACGATGCTGACCAAGGTAGCTAATTGATTGAAATAAGATTCAAGTCGGTTGGGACTTGCGTTCTTGATGACAAGCATGAAGGCTGGGATGATGCGGTCGAGGAAAGGTACGCACTCAAGCCCAAGAGTGCGGAAGATGTTCATGATAGCCTCTATGACAGCTGCGTGATGTTGTACAAGTGATTGGTCCTTCAGAATTTGCAACAGCGCATTGATGACTACGGTCGGGTAGTATTCCTTGCTGGAGGGTGTAAGCCCGGTCATCATCAGAGAAATGTCGGTCATACGGTTGGTCTCGACTCTGCGCTTAATGTCTGGAGCCCGCTCTTCAACTTGCTGGTACCTGTATGGGTCGAGAGCACCCAAGATGCCCATAAGCTTGATTGTCTCTTGGCGAAGTGGACCACGTTGAGGTTCTGCACGGATGATGTTCTGCAAGAGTTCGAGCAGCTGCGGGTACTCCAGATAAGGGTCGATGACATAGCCGGAATTGCTGGCCAACTGGCCGAGGGTGTGGAGTGCCGCCTCTCTCTTGATAACCGAGCTCTGGTCTTGGAGTGCTGAGATGATCAGAGGCATGAGCTTGTCCTTATACGGAAGCATATCTTCGCCGCCGACGGTGGCGAGCTCGCCGATTGCCTTCAAGATGGTGGCGGCGACTGCTGAATTCGGATCGTCGGCCTTGGGCAAGAGAACTGAGATTATAGGTTCGACGTATGGACGAATCAGTCCCTGGGCGTTTTGAACCAGCAGGCTAAGCAATTTGGCGCTCTCCTCCTTGTTCCTGGCCACATCCGAGAATTCAAGCTCTGTAAGCATTTGAATCAAGGTTTTCCGTAAGGAGGGGACGACATAGGCTGGGTTGTACCGGGCTAGGCGGCCAATAATCGAAATCGCCACCTCGCGGATGGGGAAGACTTCGTCATTCAAGGCGAAGAAGAGGGTGCGTATGTTCTCCGCCTTTGCCAGGTGGGGGTCAAACCGTTCATCCAACGCTGCCAGGACAGTTCGGCGAATGTTAGGTTCTGGATCTGAGACACCCACGGTGAGCAGCTTCTCAATGACGTCTCCGACAACCTGGAGGGCATGATAGCTTGTCTGGTTCACAATGGGGTCGCGAACATAGAGCTGACAGCATGTCAAGGCAGCGGCTTCGCGAATGTCTGGATCTTCGTCTTCGACATACTTGATGGCGACGTCGCGGACAAACTCGTTAAGGATATGGCCTAGTGATATATGGTTAGTATAATGTCCAGCTTGCCGCCGCGACGAGCCATAATGATATACATACCGGTAAAGTCAAAGCTGCCCAGCGTGTTGAGTGCGAGCTTGATTTCGGCCTTGCGTGATTCGTAGGCTTGAGGATCTTTGGCATCCTTTGTGATGACGGGGACCGATGAGAGCGAATTCAAGATCGGAGCACCCAGGGGCTTGAAAGGCTCGCCGCACAGGACTTTACTGAGCATGTCAAGCAACCTTTCCTGAATTGTGGCTTTGACCGGCGGGATGTAAAACGCCATGTCAACGAGCGCCTGTGTCAGTTTCGGAGTGAGCTCGCAGGCAAAGATGGGGTCGAGAAGGGCTTCCATGTATTTGCTGAGCGTCTGACCAACAGCAACGGCAAGCCTGCTGATGCAGTCAAACACGGGATCAACAGAGCCGCGTTTCCTTGATTGGAGACTCAGGCCCTCACGGACATATATCAAGACACCGTCCAGATAAGGTGCGATGGCGCTCTTGACCGAGTTGGCGATGTTGCCGATGGCAAAGAAGGCGTCGTTGCGCTCCTTATCTTTCTTGAGCATGCCAGATAGGTAGAGCATGAACCGGTGCAGCCACGCGTGGGCAAAGTCTGCAGGCGAGTAGTTGGCGAGGTTAGGGATGAGGAGGACGACAGTTTTGCGAATGGTGACGTCCCGGTGATCCTTGTGTGAGTAGACAATCTCGCATGCCTCCTCGTAGTGCTCTTGCATGTACATGCCGCCCTGTTCGAGGAGCTCCTTAAGTACAAGGAGCGAGCCATGAACTGCCTCGACGGTGTGCTGCTTAAGCCCGGAGAGGAGTTCATGGTACATCTTGGACATCCAATTCTGTTTCAATTCTTGATCTCTCTCACGGATGATGCGGAAACAAGCGCTGACAGTCTCTGCCGAAGTCGCACGGATGAGCTGTCGGGGATCTCGGAGGCCAACCCAGATGAGCTCAAACACCATGCCAACAAATTGATACATCAAGGTTGGGGCGTTCCTGGCCAGCTCGCGGAGTACCAGCACAGCGCTGTATCGCTTCTCCTCGACTCTATCGCTCTGGAGCCACTCCAGGGCGGTCTTGACCTCGGACTCGACGAGCTCGGAGATGAGGGAGCCACCTGGGCGGCACAGCTTTCCAAGAGCGATGGCGGCGGGCTGCATAGGCACGATGTCCCTGCCCCGGAGGATGTGTTTGAGGTTGGCTGTGAAACGGGTGTATTTGGCGGTCACGTCGACGCCGTCAAAGTCGACTAGCGCATCCAGCGCGTAGATGCCACCGACGCGTTCGCCGGGGTCGTTGCCATGCAGCATGAGTGTCGTGATCTTGTTGTTGACCGAATTGTAGAAGACGTTGAACTGCTCGGTAGGGAAATCTGTGGACGGCGGGCGTTAGCTGGCGCCTTTAGGCAAGATTACATGCACACGCTGTCACGCTGGGAAAGGCTCGTACCTCTGTAACACACAGCTACCAGGTCTCTGAGAGACGCAGCGGCGCGCTTGCGCACCTCGTCCCCAGCTTTTCCATCCAGTCTGTTTCACGGCATCAGTCTCCATCTAGAACAGCGGCGAAGAACAAAGGGGCCGTCGGCCTGCCCATACCTGGTCTTCAGGTCTCTGGTGATGGAGTCGAGCGCCTCCAGCGCAAGCTGCTGTTGTTGCGTCATGCTGGGCAGAGGATGGTGGTGCCGCCGAGGATGCTTTTATTCGCCGCCGTCGACGACAGCTTCAACGAGGGCCTTGAGAGAGCGACATGGGCGCGCCGCGCCACATGGGAGTGCGCTCAGGGCGCTCGAGGCAGGAAGTCGGGGAAAGGCGAGCGTCGAGCAGTACGGCCAGCGCAGAGGCCAGGGCCGTTTGATGTCGGGAGAGTCGGGAGCGAGCCCGGCGTGGTCGAAAGCTGGCTGGAACGAGATGGGACTCTGTGGTTCGTGAGCGGAGGAATCCCAAGGAGGCGAATGGGAGCTGTCGTGAGCAGTACGGTGCTGCGTTCGCCGATGGTCGTGGGGAGAGTTGAAGCACCTGCCGCGATCCTGCCTGGCGACGCCGCTTGGATTGGAGCAGCAGCAGCTCGGAGCGCCTCGTCAGGTGCCGGTGTGGGGAATGCAGAGGTACAAGCGCGAATGGTGTTCGGCCCCGCGGCAGCTCAGGTACCTGCTAATGTCACCAGACCCACCGACACCAGAGCCTTGCCTGGCTGCGGATCTTCTGTTCGACATCATCATCGCATCTGTCAGAGCAGGTTGCTGCCATGCGACATCTCACACCACACTCCTTCGCCTGCACAGTTGTACTTGGGCTGGCCTTGCCATATGTACGCTATCTACCTTAAGGTACGTATGCAGCTCTGAAGGTTCTGATTGACATGACCATGCCGTCCCGGTGGCTGGTCAGTCGCGACCCGGGGAACCTCCAGGGCTGCCCGGACTGTTTGATGCCTGAGGACCTACCCTCCTTCCCCCATACCGTGTCCATGTAGTTCCGTTTGAGCCCAGCAACGCAGGCTCCTCTGGCAATCCTCTTCTCGCGACCCATCTCAAGCATCGACCCAGATTTCGCGTGGACCGCACATTGTCCGATACAATCAAGCCGGGCCTGCAGCATGCATGGCTACGTACGTACTTAGGCTCTGCCGCCCAGGTCACCTGCCAAGAGACAGTATCTACTCATTCCAGCTATCTTGGTCTCGTGCGCGATAGGCAAGGCTCAGCATAAACGCCTTCTCATCTGGCCGGATTTTCAACAAGGTCCCGTCTGCGTCTTCTTTGAGGATGTCTATCAGGGTTTGTCGGAAGCTCGAGCGCATCAGCCTCGTCCACCTGTGCTTCAACCAGCGCAGTGTATATATTGAATAGACAACGTCACCATATTCGGCACTTCGGAGCCCCTTGAGCATCGACTGAAGCAGTTCCAGAAACCGCCGCTGCACCCGCCTGTCCTGGCACAGATGCAGAATCTCGGAGATGTCTGGCTGCATCACGTCGACCCGGCTCCTTGTCGCCGCCCGGACCGCCAGCAGGCGCGCCGCGTCAGTCGTCTCGAAGAATGGCCGGTTTCTCTCGTGATTGAGCCTTGCAAGAATATGGTCGCCTTGATCCGTCACCATCTTGCCCGGGTCGTCTGCCAGGACTACGAGTGCATGCAGACGTCGCAGAAACGTGGCGAACATCTTGGTTATCCACTCCATCGGCCCTAGCTCGTCATGGTTCGACGTGGAGGTGTCCCTGCTGGCGCACCTGTCTACTCTCTGCTCCAAATGTTCGAGCCATCGGTCAAAGGTGTGCAACACCATGGCTTGTTCGTCGCTCCACCTCTGACGGGCCTCTGTCGTCAGGCCGCCAGCACGTGCGTGTCTAGCATTGACGGTCCATATGAAAGCTGCCGTCTCAAACTCGCCCCAAAGCCGCCTTGAACGCAGATGGCCCTAGTCGTCAGCAGAAAGTTCCCACTCGGCCTCGCGTTTGGCCATGCTTTGGAAGGAAGGGAGGAAGGACACGGAGGGAATGTCATGGCTTACATGCAGACCTCGGGCGGCGCCTCCAAGCTCGGTGGACCTATCTTGGGTACGATGAAAACGTGAACTCCCACATCCATCCAGCCAAAAAGTCGCTGTCTGGCTTCGGGAAACCGCCTTTCCAGCGTCTTGCGGTAGCTGGCGGCTACGCGTGTCAATGCGATCTCTGCCTCCCGGAAACCATCGTCATCCACTTCGCGAGAAAGTGATAGACAGCGGCGCGTGGCTGTGTCGTTCGGACATGCGTAAGTCGTGTGCGAGCTCTTGGCAGGCTTCAAGGATACTATGTGGTCCGTCAGCACCGAAAGAGCCCCCGTTGCGATCATGCCCATGTGATCTGACTCCAGTCCCAACATCAGCTCGAAGATCACAAGCAGAAGACTTGCGACGAGTACGGTGCGTGGGCCAGCTACGCCTCGCTCCGCCGGCCTCAATCGACGTCGCAAGTTCTCGATAGCCTTGGCCTGGTGTATCAGTGCTCGGGTGTAGTGTTTGTTCGCCTCAGGACCCCAGGTCGACGGGGATGCGAACAAGGAGAATGGAGCATCCGGCGGATGAGATGCTCGAGGAGGACGCGAGGCGAAGGAGACATCAAGAGCACATATCGCCAGCACAGCTTCTCTGATGGTGGGCTCCGTCCGAAGCTCGCGCATGACTGCTCGGTACCAAAAGTCATTACCAATGCAACTGGAGTAGAGATTGGCGCCGACGACGTGGGGTAATCGGTTGATGTAAGAGCGCTCTGCGGCGTCGAGGTCGCTGGTCAAGGCCATGATCTTGAGCAGTGGATCTCCTGTCGATACTATGTTCGCAGAAATCGCCTCGCTCTTTCTGACATAATTGTATTCGCACCTAAGGCCGAGCCGTATGCAGCGCCGACAGCAGGGCTGCTCTTCGTCGCACTTGACTCTTCGTGATTTACACGGCTTACATCTGGAGACAACATCAACTGGTCAGAACGGTTCTTTGGCCGTAACAATCTCCAGCACAATGCAAATCGAGCCGGTCCCAAAAAGTCCGGATGCTCCCTGGGCAGCGAACTCACCCGCTTCGAGTCTTTGGCTTCCACCGACGCACTCGTGGTTTTTGCGATGCGGTCATTGCTCGTAAAGTGTCATCAACTTTTGTTGGGGTGTGAATCTGAAACCAATACCGATTGGATGACTGGTTGAAAGAGGTCGATGGGAAAGACGAGAACAAGAGGATCGGTCAGCCAACACGACGGTCCAAACCAAGCGATATCAACTCCACGATTTTCGGTACCATTCATCCCGATCGGTACATGCCGATTATCAACGAGCCGACCCATGCCTTTGAGATGGCAGCCAAGGCCCAGTCCACCCTCACAGAAGTGATTAAGACCGTGGCAATCAGCAAGGATTAGGCCGGGGTCGCCCTTGACCAGGTGCCACTAATGGCCGATTCTCCACCAGGCGCGGCAGCGGTTCTTGAGGAATGATTCATAGTGAGTTGCCAGGTCTGCAATGGCATGAAGCGTGCGTCCCCTGGGCCACGCCATCGGACATCTGTGTCCGGTGGTGTGGTATGGGAGACAGGCCTTTGAGGATGTTACCGCACTGGTCCAAGCAGCAACTGCTTGAAGCTTACTCCGATTTGGCGCTTGCCGGGTATCGAAAACTTCTCGAAAGCCACGGATGCCGCGCATCTGCATTACCTAAGGCCATCCCTGCTTAAGCGCCGAGGACTAGGCCCAGCGGAACCTCCGGGAGCTAGACGCTTGGGGTTTGAGTGCTCGGTCCCGATCCAATCGCGCGGAGTATTACTTGGCTGATCGGGGAAGTCGTTTCCTTGGGGAACAGTCCCAGATTCGACCCCCCCCCCCCGGCCTTGGGAGGCCATGCCTGTTTCGGTACCGACATGGTGGACGCCATTACCAGCGACTGCCCGCCACATCCCTATCGCGACATGGCCCTGCGCCGCCACGCCTTTGGAGACCTGCTCCACGTGAGCTCATCGCCCTTGGAGCTGTGCCAGGCCAGGGCATGACCCGCAGCCGCGAGGAAGTGCCGCAGCGGCCCGAAGCAGCTCTTGACTGGCGCATGCTATCCAATAAGAAGAATGCACTAAGGACTTGGCCAAAGTCCGCGGTTTCGTCTGCGAAGAATCCAAGCTAGATTGCACCGCGCTTAGTGGTTGGTGAACGACCATACCCACTCTGGTCGCAAACCATCCACACAGAATGCGTCGCAGGGACACAGGTGCCGGCAGGGCGTACCGTGGCATCGCATGACAAGGGGCCCTGCAGCACCAGATCCTCTCTCGTCCCCGTAAGGCTAGCTAGACACGCCAAGTCGTCTCCCCGAGGCAGACGCAGCGTAAGGCCCAGGGTCACGTTACCCCGGTCCGGGAAGGGGCCCGCTGCCGATAAGTTGAAAGACAAGAGATGGGATTGGCTTATTACCGGCTGCGGGTTTTCTCCCCCTGGGATCTGGCGATGGATGGCAGCGGACGGGGGCGAGGGGACGTCTCCCCTGGGTGTGGGCGGGCGCAAATAAGCGGCTTGCATCAGACGATGCAGCACCAGGACGAGCAGCAGGTAGCCACAGGCCAGCGTGATTCCGTGGGGGCGGCGATCAACGTCAAAGCACCACTTCTCGGCAAACTCCTTGGCATAAAGGCATGGCCCTTGGCAACCTCCATTAGTCATGCTGCCGTGACCTGACTAAGAATAGCCACGCGACCACGTATCCTGTCGTATGGAAGGGAGCCCAGCCTAAGCCGGGATGCCAGACCATTCGGCCAGGAACGAATTGTGTTTCCTCCTATCCGCTGCAGCTCGGGCGGCGAGATGGGATCTCGACCGGGGGACAAGGTTGGCAGGGTAGACGTCATGCCGTGAAAGTGGCGCCATTATTACCTAGTGTACGCTTTGCCAAACAAAGCCTGGGTGGAAGGAAAGCGAGCTCTTCCGGAAGCCTTCCCATGTCGCCGACACAGTCTTCTCATATGCCATACGAAGCACGTCGTAAGTCGGGTAAAGTAGCCATAAAAACTTGCACCTCACGGCTATGAAGCTGGTGCGCGTGCCAGAGGAACCAACAACACTCACGTCCATTTGGTTCCTCCTGGTCAATTGCTATTAAAAGACTTTTGCCTCCAAAGTTCTCAGCGGCCTGCCCTGCTAACGTCTACCAGTATTTTTGGCACCCTGCGATTCATAATGCAGAAAGAGCAGTTTCAATATCTCTTCAACGCGACAAGAGAAAAAAAAAGATTAATGGCTGTGCGCTCTTCAGGGATAAGTGGCGCAGATTGGTAATCCAAATTACTGTATTTCAACATTGCATATACCTTAAGGTATGCTTGCATGCTTGCACGTGCCCATGGGGGTTGATCCTCTGCTGGCATCATACATACGCCGATTGTACGTAGCCCAAGGGCGTTAGTTCATGTGTCCACGTTACTGTCTGTCTGAATGCACCCCATCGCGATCAACAAAAGCACTCTCTGATTTCTGGAGGATATTTAACCCTGTTAATCTTTTATATACACAGCATTGCCACTCCTATCGCGCGTGTTGGATGGGGATGAGCACAGCGCAAGTAGAGGGCCTGGACGGCAAGAATTTAGCGGGCGCCATACGCCAGCTTTGGTCATCTGCCAGTCTTTGAAAAGCTGTCATTCATTGTTCTAACCTTCCTTTCTAACCCTCTTGCTTTCTTTTGTCTAACACTCATACTCGTCTCTGCCATCACTCGGCTGCAGGTAAATCATCGCAGAGCTAGAGTTCACCCCCAGTTTGCGCCTTTTACAGCTCATCCTTGCCGTGGCCCTGCTGACCCTCAGCAACTGCCTCCTCGCAGGCCGCTGGCGTGCCGACCTCCATACGGTAAACGCACTTCTCCATCTCGCTGACGCGCCAAAGCTCCTCGTTCTCGGCGCAACCCAGCCAGACATCGGTCCTGCGGTTCGGGCCGTTCCAGCAGCCTGCGCCATTCTCGTACTTCAGCACCATGCGGCGGCCGCGGCCCAGTCCCTTGCCATCGTGACGGTCCTCCTCGTCGGCGTTCTCGTACTCGATGCGGTCGAACCGGCCCATGTTGCTGTTGCCGCTGCCCTTCTTGCTCTTCTGCGTCGTCTGCCCGAGCCAGCACAGCTCGTACGTGTACTCGCCAGCGTCCGTGGAGACGCACTTACCCTTGAGGTGCCGGAAGATGTCGTCCTTGCCGTAGTCCTTGGAAAGGTCGTTCTCCTGGTCGGCGAGCTCCCTATTCTTGTTCTGCAGGTCCCGCTCAACAGCCTGATGTTGCTCTCGCGCGGCCTTGACCAGGCGGCCCTCGCTCTTTTCGGATGCGTTGTCGGCGAGCATACCATTCTCGATAAGCCAGGTGCGGAGGGAGTTGATTCTGCCGTGGAGGTAGTCGCGAAGTGGGCCCGGCAGGTAAGCCTCAAGGCTGTAGACTACAATCGTGGGTGTCAGTCTTCTGCAGTGCATGTTGGGTTCCCTGACCCCAAAACTTACGAATATCGGTATCGGTCATCTCTTCGTCCTCAAACTCGCTCCAGTTGATGCCAGACTCCTCGCTGTCGGCAGCGAGCGCAGAGTTGATGTCCTCCTCGGCGACGGGGTTGGCATACTCGCCAGCCTTCTTGGCGGCATAATCCTCCCAGGCCCGCACCGCCTTCTTGACACCCTCGTCGTTGAAGTTGGGGTTGTACTCCTCCTTGAAGGCGGCCAGGATACTCTCGAGCTCCTCGGCCTTGGTCTTGTAGTCGCTGCGCTCGGCATTGACCCGACCCAGCACGTCACGCAGCTCGCTGATCCGCGTCTTGGCCAGGGCAGTCAAGACCCCGAGCTTGCCGACGCCTTCGCCATGCACGACTCGGCCGCGCTCCTGCCTCTCTGCCTCTAGCAGCTTGTTCTTCAGGTCGTTCTCCTTGATCTCAAGGTCCTTGATCTCGTTGGTGAGGGACTCGATCTTGGCCTCGACGCGGCGCCGCAGCTCCTTGGCCTCCTTCACCATGGTCCGCCGGCGCTTGTTGGCTCGCTCGAGGTTGTCCCTGCGCTCTTGGTCGATGCGGCGCCATTCTTTGCCAATCTCGGCACACTTGTTGGGACACTTGACGCCCCCAGCGCCGCTGAACTCCTCGCTGCCATCGCAGCAGAGCTCGTAGTCGCACACGCCGTCGTTGACGTATATGAAGGGCACATAGGACCCGATGTGGCCCTTGTTCTCACACCAGAAGCCAGGCAGGGCATTGGACGTGTTGGTCGTGCCGGAGACGGAGCCCGGGAGAGGCTGAGGCGGGGAGAGCGGGTCGAGGTAGGCGCAGGCAGAGGTACCCGGCTCGTCGGAACCGTCAGGACAGTCGCAGGAGTTGTCGTTGACCTTGGAAGAGGAGATGATGATCGACGGGTGCGAAATGCAGGTAAAGGTGTCCTTGTTACCGTAGTACTTGACGACTGTGTTTGAATGATGGTAAGCAGATGCTCGAGCGAGACTGTCTTCTTTCCATCACCGTGACAATTTGCTGGTCTCTCCAGAAAGAAGACCCCAGGACTGTGTTTGTTCTCGACCACGATCAGGAAACGTACACTCTGGGCTGACGCCACGGGGCGCCGAGTTGGCAGCAGCAGCAGTGGCTGCGTGGGCGGCGGCTCCCAGGCAAGCAAGAGCTTGAAGCCTCTGCATGCTGGGCGTAACAGAGGCGATTGGCGCAGGGAAACAAGAAAGTAGTGATCCGGGGCTACCTTGAGCCACACGATTGGTGCTGCAGACAACTCGAAAGACCTGCAAATCGAGCAGCTGGTGGTGGTTGGTGTCTCTCTCGATGGGGCCACAGAGGAGCTGGGAGTCGAGGTCCCTGGAAGTGGTTGTTGACAACAGAGCAGCTTCCCGCTAGCGCCCAGGCCCCTCGTCATAACCTGGGGTTTCAAGCTCCTCCTCCACTTGCGCCAATCACGGCCACCCCAGCACATGTCTGCGTGTCTGCATGCCTGCCACAACCAGCGACTTGGAGAACTGCTACGGGCCAAAGATCGACTGCTCAACCCTCCCAAACACCTTCGAATCTGCGGGTGATGTCTGTAAGAATATGGTGCAATTCTTAACGCGAGTCGTTGTTGGATCGGCTGCACATGAGGGCATCGCATCGGGCATGCATATATGTATGGATTGCTGCCTTGGCCAGGCGGACGAAGCTGGGTATATTTCTGTAGGTTCTGCACTTCATCGTGTTCTACAAGTTGTCCATTACCGTACCGGTTCGCTCTTGTAGGTCTCCGCCATCTTCCGCCGCTTGTTTCGTTCCTCCTGCTCAGCAAGGACCTTCGCGGTCAGTGACGCCGTCATCGCATTGTTGATACGGCTGTCAATCCCGCCGTTCTTCTCTTTGCTTCCATTCGTTTTCGCCGCCTTTTCCCGCGAGCCGTTGGTCTCTTCACCCTCGGCCTTTCGCTTCTTCTTGCCGCCACTCTTGTCCTTCTTCAGACTATGCGTCAGGCCAAGTGTCTTGAGCTCATCCATCCGCTTCCCAAGCCTGTCCACCTCGGTCTCGTCGACTGGTAATATTGGGATGACGTCTCTTTCCAGGAACGGGCCACTGCACTCTGGACATTGCTTTTCCGCCGCCTCCTTGGTATCCTTGCTTGACCCGTTGCCCGCTGCAAGTCCCGTCGTCTCCCTCATCGCCACTTCTGAGAACACATGGCCGCACGGCACCACATAGACGGCCTTGACGGGCGACCCTTCCGAGCCAAGCTCTTTCATGCTAATCGGGCACGCGCGTACCTCCTTGCCGTTCTTGCTGCCCCCCTCTTTCCGCACGTGGAACCTGAGCCGCACGATGTCCTTGAGCCCCCTGATCCCCGTCCTCTCGAACTCGGCGACCTGCGACTCGGGCAGCGGCGCGTCGGCGTCGGACGGCGCCAGGCACTGCAGTATGGACTCGTAGTTGTACAGGCGGCCCCGGCTGTCGGACACGGTCGAGTCGAAGGCGAGGGGCTCCGAGGTCAGCGGGCAGAACGCCCACAGGTGCGCGAGGTTCTCGAGGAGCGTGGCTTTCAGCTCGGAGCTGTTGGGCGCGCGTGCGGCCTCGCGCACGAGCTCGCGCCGCTTGGGGATCGAGCCGCCGTCGTTGCCCATCGTGGCGGTTTTGCTGCTGCTGACGAGGATGTGGGTGGCTGGTTATGGAAGTTGTCTGGAGGCGTCGTTCTGTGCTTGAAGTGATGTGGACAAGGTATCGACTATGTGGCGAAGCAGGAGCGGTCGTGGAGTAGGTAGATAGAAGATGGTTGAGGAGGCAGAAAGCGCAGCTTTCACCTGGGCATGCTGGATGGCAATTGCGATGCGATTTCGCCTGCAGGTTGTGATTAGCTAAGCCCTTGAACGCTAAAGTGGATGGCGTGCAGCAGCGCCTTCAGAGCCTCGCCACGTGAAGTTGGAAAGGCTCCGAAATGGTCAAGATCAATTTGCACATACATGTGAAACCAACATTGGTAAGTTGTTCATGGCAGATAAGACATCTCAAGCGGAATGATTCGATTACCAATCATATCCGTGAGAGGATGGCGCGCTGCTACGCTCTGATTATCGTAGGGAAAGAAGCTGGTTGGCCATTTCGGCAATGACTTGTCAATATATTAGACAAAAACTCATTACTGGCAATCTGATTGGACTTCGTATCTCACATAGAAGCCACGCTCATCGATTCCATCAGAAAAATAGTACAAAAAATGGGCAGCATAATCCGTGGTGGTGGGCATGATTTCCTGCTCTCCCACGAATCCGCATGAGCCGCACTCCAACAAGCGAAAGCTCTAGAACCAGACTTCCAGGCTTCTGCTTCCAAGCATGACTTCAACCTCAGAGATTAACTCGCGCCTAGCGTCGATGATAACTCAAACAATCTACGATCGGTCGAGCATGGGACCGCCAACTACAAACGCGCTCGGGCTCCAAGAGCCAAGGTCCATGGAAGCAAAAGCAAGCACATGTCTTAGCGTCCACTGTCGTCATAGAACCCCCTCTCCTGGAGTTCATGATGTCCACGACACTTGATATGCAGCACAATATGCGCGCACCGGTGCATTGGCTTTTCCAAGGCCAAGTGGGTGTTCTTTAAATCCTCCTCTCCTCTCCCACACTACGGATCGTACATCCTTTCTATGTTCCATTGTGAGAAGGTATCCTTGACGATCTCATAGCCCAGTCCATGATCCTGCGCCGCACAACACTACTCGCACTAACAAGGCTCACTGGACCTTTCACGGTTCCCCCCACGCGCCACTTCCACGCCAGTCTCATAGCCATGCCTTCGTCAAAGGGAAAGCCCACGGACCCGGAATTGCGCGAGGAGCTGAAAGAGGGTGAGTCGCCCAGCGCATGCATCAGGCATCCCATTCCAACTCGTATCTGTGCCTGCGACGTCGCAGGTCCAGTTCAGTTCTCCCCAGGGCTGCAGCGGAGCCGCAGCAGTGACAATGCTGCGACACGACAAGACGGTTCCTCCCCGCAAAAGGCATGTCCGGCTAATATTTGATATCTTGTTCTGCCCCCCGGTAGAGATCAAGCAGGAACCCAACAAGTCTGGCGGCGGCGAGGGCCAGTGGTCCGCATGGAAGGCCAACAAGCTGGCCAAGGAGTACGAGAAGCAGGGAGGCGACTACGAGAACGAGGCCGGGTCCAAGAATGAGCCCAAGAAGGGCGTGCCCGAGGAGAAGAGCGAGAGCAAGAAGCGGTACGAGACTCGGTCGTCAGACAAGTAAGACTCTTGGGGCACTGGGGCTTGTTTTCTTCTTGGACAGCTCATACTTGACGAAGACAATGGAAACAAATGAGCAATAGAGTCAGGGAAAACAATCTGCACCTTCGTCTCGTGAGGTGCTACACTCTGCAGACAGAATGACGTTTCCAACAATGCACAGCAAGTTTTCGTGGCCCGTTTCATGGTGTGGATGAGACCTGGCAAGGGTCATACGTGAGCAAAGAAGAAGCTAGTAAATGCTCGGCGAGATATTAACGTACAAAAAAAACAACAGACTGCGACCAAAGTCACCAGCCTTGAGAAGGGCAAAAGTAATGATCGATGGCGGGCTCGATCCGCCGACCTTCAGTGTTCGCATCGTGTGATGTTAGACTGACGTGATAACCAACTACACCAATCGACCGTGATTGAAACTAACCGTTTCTGTGTTGAAGATGCAGGGTGTTATTGCAATCTATATCAGCGCAAACTCTAGAAAGGGTTGAAGTGGGGACAAGGGCACTTAGTCTACGACTGGCCGGTGGAGTTCCAAATGTGTGCTGTGGATGTCGCACAGGCCTCCTTTTTGCCTCAAAGTTTGGTCGGCATTGTTCCCGAGCAAATGCGATGGTCCCGGTAACTGTCTGTCAAATCCGGACGAATATAGAGATCTTCTGGGGCGCCGGAGTCGCATGGCTGCCTCTAGGCGCAGCCTGCTGGGTGCCTTGTGAGGCGAACAGAAGGGGGTCACGCCGCCGATGGGGCCCACCAGGGCTGCAACGCACCCCAATTTAACTAACGACTGCGGCTGACCTCACAGCCACTCTTAGTAACCTTGAAACCTCACGGTGTCCTCTGTTAGCTCATTCCTTTCCCAGACGTAATTAAGAGACTTGCCAAAGCCAATGACATGGCCGAGTGGCAGGAGGAAGTGAGGCTTGGCTCGGCTTGATTCTGCCTTTTTAGTGCCCGCCGTGGAGGGTGGCGCAGACAGCCCCAGAAGAGCAAAGTTGGGTACCACGCTGCCGGTAAGCAGTTGATCGGATGGCATGGTTCGCCTTCACATCAGCCTTGGCCTAGTGAGAACTAATAGCCATGTGACTTGGCCGCACGCTTGGACAGTCCGCAGACTCATATCCGGCAAGCGCAAATGTGAATGGTCCGGTTCCGGACCAGTGACGCTTCAGCCGTGGCAACTGGTCCGATCAGAGGTGAGGGAGGTCGCATGCCTGGCCGCATGAAACGGAACAAATATGAGACCAAACGTGCATCCTCCCTCCCAGGCACTCTTTGGCACCAAGCAGTTTGTAACATCTGTGACGCTGGTGAGATTGCCGCCAACCGCGCCAATCGACGCTTCCATTCGTCAGATCTCGCAGCATCCGCGGGGAGGGAGCACGCGCGCCCTGGTCACAAAGAGCAAACCGCTTGCTTCGACCAACCTGTTTGCTGGCATCTGTACATTTCGACAGTCATCGCCACAAACGGAGATAAAAACACAGTGGGTGAGTATTTCTTGCGTAGCCCTGCCTCTCCTTCTTTGTTTAACGTTGTCCTTTTCCGGCTCAGGCATCATCGTGTACCCAGGCACCGTCAGCAGTGATTCAGACTCGCACAAAGGAATCCTGCCTCAACCACAACTCACCTCCCGGGCAACACCACGACTCTTACACATCCACATAACTTGGGACAGTCCTCCCCGCTTTCGAAAGTCAGCGGGCGTCACTCTGTCCATAACTAGCCTTCCCCTGCGGCACGTAACCAGGAAAAGAAAACATAATCAGACAAAAATGGTAAGCGACCTCAACTACGAAGCCAGTCGAGCCTGTACAGAGTTGACCTTGATGTTTCCAAGTTGTCGAGGTGGTTCATGCGGTCACCGCAGCACCCACCGCAGCAGCAGCGTGCTGGCCGGCCAACCGATGGAAATGCCACAGGTGGCACGGATGAAAAGGCAGACGCCAGATCTGTCGAATCGATCGATACCATTGGCGAGGTATTTCAAAAGCCAAACATCAAGATCCACCTCCTCAAGTCTGGAGATGGGGCCATCGTCAGTGTGGTGCCGGCCGCCAACCCGAACCCGGAAGTGGTTGCCTCGGGACATGTGCCCGTCGACATTGTCTTGGTGATCGATGTCTCTGGAAGCATGAGCGATGCTGCGCCTGCCCCCGGAGGCGCTGGTGACCCCAGTGGCACTCGTGAAGACTTTGGCCTGTCGGTACTGGATCTGACGAAGCATGCCGCTCGCACCATTGTGGAGACACTCAACGACGACGACAGGCTTTCGATCGTGACGTTCAGTACCAGGGCCACTGTGAGTTTCAAAGTCAAATCACGATAGAATGCATGCAGATAATGCCGCTAATCATGGCTGGCCCATTCTCTAGGTCCTGCAACCACTTACACCCATGACCAAGTCGGCAAAGGCGTCGACCGAACAACAGATTGCCAGCATGACGCCCCAGGCGACAACAAACATGTGGCAAGGGATCATGCACGGACTGGATCAATTCGACGACAAGAATAAAGACAGCGGTCGCGTGCCCGCTCTCATGGTGTTGACGGACGGTATGCCTAACTTTGGAGATCCGCCCAAAGGGTACGTGGCCAAGCTTCGGGAGATGGCCCCTTTGCCAGCCACCATCCACACTTTTGGCTTTGGGTATCAGCTGGATGCGTGCCTGCTCAAGTCTGTTGCTGAGGTCGGAGGCGGCAATTTCTCCTTTATTCCTGATGCAGGCATGATCGTAAGTTCCGTCCCAACTCAAGAAACCACTCGACCTGCCGCGATGCTCATCATGTGCTGTTCCAGGGAACCGTCTTCATACACGCCGTGGCTCATCTGCAAAGCACACACGCGACGAAATGCACTCTTGAGATCAAGACACCGCTTTCCATCAAGATGAAGACGACCCACGGATCCATCATCAATGGAACCATCTCCGACGACGACAGTGTATCTGCAACCCGCACACACAATGTACTCAAGCTGAATCTCGGCAGTTTGCAATATGGACAGTCTCGGGACGTCTACCTCGAATGCCGAAGCAGGACCAACAGCAAATGGACCGTCGATCAGGCCGTGGCCGCGGGGAAGAAGGCGGACAGCAATTTCGACATCAAGAGCGCCGTCTTGAGTGCAACCTTGGCCTACTCGTTCATGCGCAGCGAAGTACTCGAAGTCGATGCAGAGCAGTCGCTGGCCACCGAGCGGGCAGCGAAGAAGACGAGCCAAGTAGACGACGAGGGACTTCTGAGAGCTCTCGAGGCATACCACAAGTCCCGTGCAATGATCTGCGAGTTTCTCGCGTCTTTCTTCCAGCCAAACCCGTTCGCAGGCTACACCCTCGCGGTCGACCCTCGCCAACTTGAGGCGCAGCAGGATCGGCTCAAACAACTTGTCAGTAATCTCCCCGCCCGGAAAATCCTCGACAACGACGCTGCATCCCAATCCATTGCAGCCCCGGATCAAGCTCTGCTCCAGTCTCTCCTCGACGACCTCGAGGGCCAAATCACCATCGCCGTCTCCAAGAAAGATTACTTTCAGACCTGGGCGATGCCATATTTTGCCAGCTTGTCCCACGCGCACTCGAGGCAGCTGTGCAACTCGTTCAAGGACCCCGGCCCGCTAAAGTACAACGACAACGACTTCTTCCGCCAGTGCCGGGACGCGCTCGACAAGGCGTTCGAGAAGATCGAGCCGCCCGCCCCGTCTCGCAACCCTCGCGCCTCCGTCCTCGCCCCTAGATCCCCCAACGGTGGTGGCAGCACCGCTCCAGGGCCACCGCCGGCATATTCCCCGGGCCACCATTCCTCGTCGTTATCGTCCCCGCCGAGTTACGGCTCCTCGATCATGAGCGGAAGCCGCAGACTGAACATGGCCCTGTACAACGACTGCAACTCCACGTGCTTTGCGGGCGACACGCTCGTCCAGCTCGCGCGCGGCTGCGGACGGAGAACACAGCCAGGCCACGACGAAGGCCGTGGAAAGATCGCTTCGGCGAGCCAGATCCCAATCTCGAGGCTCCGCTCGGGCGTGCGCGTGATGACACCGCTTGGACCGCGGCGAGTACGGTATGTCCTGCGCACGGCGGTCCAGGACGCGCCAATGTGTCGCATCCGTGTCGGCGGCGGCGGTGGCAACGGCAGTAGTGATGATGGTGGTGGTAGCAGCGCGGCGGGCTCGGCGGGTGTGTTAGTCACGCCGTGGCATCCGATCTGCATCTCGACCGCTCCTCCCACATCTTCTGGCTCACGCGCTGCTGATCTAGGAGAACTGAGCAGCAAAGGTGCCTCCACGGGCTGGGTGTTTCCCGCATATCTCACTCCCTCGCCCTCATCCACTCCCCAGGACCGCCATGGCGAGGGGGAAGAGGAGGAGGAGGAGGGGATGAACAATGACGTGGTCCGATACACGGGGTTCGTGTACACCGTCATGCTCCAGCCCGACAGCAATCCCGCCGCGCACGGGATCCTCGTCAGCAGCAGCAGCAGCGCTCCCCCGGCGAGGCGTCGAACGACTTGCTGCTCTGCACTGCGCAACCAGGACGATGACCACACCCCGGAGGATGTCGGCAATAATGATGATGGAGGAACACGACGAGCACCTCAGATCTGGGGCGTCACTCTCGGCCACGGGATCACGGGCAAGTCGGCGGTCCTTGGAGCAGGGCTTACTACTACCATGTCGACGACATCTAACAGCGAGGACGACGAGGATGATGCCTACGACGCCGACGAGCTTGAGAAGAGGGACGTCCGCGAACACGCATTCTTCGGCTCCTACTCTGCCGTCGAAAAAGCCCTCCTCGGTCTCCTCGTCCTTGAGCGTCGTTCATCATGTCCTGCCGGATCGGTGCCTGTCACAGGGCTCCGGTCGGAGTCGGATCGGTATGCGCGCAGGACGGCTCTGGCGAAGACACGAAGAGGCGTGGTGTCGTGCGCTGGTGTCATGAGGGATCCGCGGTCGGGATTGGTCCGTGGTTTCCAGCCGCTTTGAGCATGGGGAACTGATGTTCAGTTGAGTCAAAATGAGGTGAAATCATCATCATGACGTAGAAAGACTTCGTTCATTGATTGCGATCATTTTCATGTCCACGCTTGTAATTTTCTTCTTCCAACTGGATTCGAAGTGGATCCATGCCAATCTATCGTATTCAAACACATGCTTGGTCTACCAACCAAATATGCCGATGCGTGCCTGTCATGCATGTACGCCTCAAGATCCGCTCTTTCGTGTGCTTGGTCTTTTCTAGCCATTTGCGCGATCACAAATACATTCTCCTCCCTGAAGCCGTCAACACTCTTCACCCTCTTCCCCGGGGTTCCTCCTTTTACTTGCGCAGCATTTCCCGGAACTGGTCCGTGACAAAGGTGTACACGCAGAGCAGGACACCACCTCCGGGACCCAGGCGCATGACCTTGGGCACGAAGCCCTTGTACAGCGCGGCGAAGCCCTCCTCCTTCATGACGGTGCCGCAGGCGGGCCAGGCCCAGTTGTACTTGGGCGCGTAGCCGGGGACCCTGGGCGAGTTCTGGATGCGGGACTTGACCACGTCCATGGGGGTGTTGAGGATTGTGCCGCTGGCGAATCCGGGCGTACAGGCGTTAGCTCAAAGACAGCGGATGAGGAAAGAGGGAGGGGGCGGGCGGGCGCTGAATGGGTCGCAATAATGGGAGGGCCGCAAACTTACACAGTACCGCCGATCGAACCGGCGACAATGTTGTTGACCATGTCTTCCTTCTTGTTCTTGGCCTCAGGGAGGAGAGCCCGGACCTGGAAGATGCAGCCGAAGTAACTGGACCACTTGCGCGTTAGCCTTTGCTCTAGAGGACTTTTTGCGGACCTGCCGTCACTTCACACTTCGGCTTACCCGGCGTTCCACAGGATGTGCCTCCACATGGTGCTCTCGAGACCGTTGTACAGGGCCAGAGGACCCTCGTTGCGGATGATCTTGGCGACGACGTCCATGGCGCCGTTGTACTTGCCGGCCGAGGCCTTGTCCTGCAGCCTGATCTTGACGAGCTCAAAGGGCACGACGACAAAGGACTCGGTGGCACCGGCGGAGGCGCCGGTCAGGATGGAGAGGGACTGGTTCATCTTCTCGTAGCCGAGGGCCTTGCGGTAGAACTTGCCCCACTCGTCGTTGGCGGCGAACTTGGTGGCGCGCTTGGGGGCCTCCATGAGGATCGGGGCCGAGATGCCGCGGTAGAGTCTCGAGAAGCTGTGGTGGTCGTGATGTCAGCCAGCTTCATGAGGTGCGCTATGCCTCTTTCGTCAGAGGGACAGTTTTTCGTACCCTTCGTTCTTGATGATCTTCTTGAAGGCATCGCCCATGCCATTGTAGTGGTCGGCACCAGAAGTGGTGGTCTGAAGTTGTCTATATGCATCTGTGAGCAAAGTGCGTCGTGTTGCGCTGGGAGTCCAGGGAAAAAACTGGGTGCCTACACTCTTGTCTTGACAACATCCAGAGGGTACCTGGCGGGCGGCGAATTGCGCGAGTTAGCGGTTGCATATCGTCGATCGGGTGGCGGCACTGGGCGGCATGCGACGGGGAAGTTTGCGAGGCCGAGGGTCGAAAATGTGCTCACATCAGCAGAATCTGAAGCGCGCGGGCAAAGTTAGATTTCCGATATCCAGAAAAGTAGCTCGTCGCAGGCTGACGTACCTCTGAGACACCAGCAATGGCGCCTGGACACATTTCACAATAGCTGTCAGCTTGTCATGGGTGTCGACTCAAGGGCGGCCCAGGGTCAAGGAGGGACCGCGGCGGCTGCGGCCGGAGGGGCAGGAACGGACCTGCAGCGAACTGGTAGACGAAAGGGAGGGGCTGCTCGGAAGTCATGGCGACGATTGTGCGGGGCAGCGCAGAATGTGGCAGTCGTAGAGATTGTGTGGTGTGCTGAGAGGAGAGAGAGGCTGGAGGCACGCGACAGAGGTTGAAGACGACAAGCGACGAGGGCAAGCGACAATGGCCAGACAGCGATGGTGGTTGGTTTGTGTGGGGGAAGTTGGGGAAGCAACTAGAAAAGTGCGCTGCGCGGCACGGCGGAGGCGGATGGAACAGTGGCCGGTCCCCGCTGCGAGTCCCAGGGCTCAGGCTCAGGGCCAAGGGTGTCCCCCGGGAGGCTAGCCGCAGCGGGTTAGCCATCCCACAACAGGCACGCCGGCTGCGGCCTGTCTTGTCGCTTCCTTGCACTTTAGCCATTGTCAATTGAATCGATGCTGGCTAATTGTTGTCCCGCCCGCCCTTATCCGCCAGACGGAGCCCCCCACGCCACGTCCGCTGCCACGGCGAGCGAAAAATGCACGCGGGAACAGCTGTTGGAATTGTCGAGGCCGCTATCTATTTCAGGTTGAAAGATTACAGAAATTTGATGGGCTTCTTGCGAATTTGCGCTCTCAAGACGAGTCCTAACCCGCCATTCAGTACCACTGGTCAATATGGGATCACCGTGGCCGACCTGGCGATCTCGGCAAAGGCCCCGGCCCCGGACCCGCGATATCGGCTGAGACCCGGCAGCGCCCGCCGTGTCCTCGGATCTCAGCCGCCGTCGTTCCGTCCACCGCGATACAGGAGAGCACTGGAGGCATGCCCCTAAAATTTGAGGCCGTATATCAGATTATCCACTGAACGAGAATATGGATAGATCACGCATCATCGAGATGTCAAGGCTGCGTTCCAGTCAACGTCAACCAACTTACACGATCTCCTACAAACGCATGAGGACAAAGAACTCGTCAACTGCAATTTCGTTGTCATCCTTGCTCTCATAGTTCATCCTCCCCAGTGACACACTTGTGCCTCCCACCCGTGCTTCTCCCACCATTTCCTCGACACCCGGAACCCCGTCATCCTCATCTGCCTCCCAGAAGTACTGCTCCGGGATCTCGACAGTGACCTGCAGCCCATCCGGCAGCAGAGCCTGGCTGGTGGAGGGAACAGCGGTGGAAAGGCCGCTGCAGATGTTGATGCTGCAGAGAATGAGATTGATGTCCAGCAGGCATCTGTTGGTGACGAGCTGGAGGTGCTTTTGTAAATCATGAGCCGGAGCTCGAGGGGGAGGGCGAAGAAGGTCACTCCTGCCGCAAGCATGCTTTGGCCAACTGAAGAGCCTGGCTCTAGAGGGTAATTGGCCGTTGGCTGTCTGCCAATGCCACTACCTGCGACACGGCCACGAGTTCACACAAAACTCGCGTGGATACTTGATACCACAGAGATACCGGGCGTTGATATACTACTTCACTACACACAGCCTTGACTCATAAGAGGGAGTGAAATGGTGTTGGGATTGAAGCGGACGGCAAATGAGAGTCTTGAAAATCAGGTTGCCAAAATGTGGAGGGCGGCTTTGCGTGGCCGACTCCACGCAACCATTAAACAAGAACCTGGTTCTTGTAATGGCGCTGCGGGCAGTCTCATAAGCATGGAATTCCTGCCATCCCGGGAGGGGGGGGCAAGAGGCATCGTGGCTGGCCTCAGCTCGATCTGATACTGCTCCCTTGTAGACCACGACGCGACAGACGCTGATTGGCGGGGGTGCTTGCTGTAGTTGAGGCGCCTGCGCCTGCGTGGGCTTGGCTGCGATATCGGCAGAGACACAAGCTCGCCATGCCAAGATGGAGAATGCCCTGCTCGCTGAACAGAATTATGTTGAGCAGGCAGGTAGCCCAGTACCTTGAATTCCGCAGGGCGCCAATGGCAGAGCTTTGAGTGTAGGATCGCTGCAGTGTCTACCACGCGTGTCACTGTGCATCCCCCCATGTCATCCGGCCCAATGCCTCGGGAACTCCAGATGCGCCTTGGCTCCGTCATTGACCTCACGAAGGCTCGGTGCCTAAGGCAGGGAGTCTTGATGGTAGAGGCCTCGATCCGGGCCAACGGCTCCCCGCATGCAGCGAGATACATTCCCCAGTGGCGCCAGAGCTCACCAAGGGTAGAGCCTCGAGGGACTCTGGTGAAAATGCCAGATTCGTGCTGTCCTGCCATGTGCCCATGCCGTGGTGCGACACACGCTGATTGGCCAGCGGGCAGCGGGCAGCGGGAGCTCCCCTCCAAAGTGCCCCAAGGGGTCCCAAGGGTTGGCCCTGCGCGGCACCGCGCACACATGCAAGTGCGCGTCCACTGCCCTGCACAACGGCCGGCCTGTTCCCTGCCGCCGCGGGGTCGTCCGCCGCGCGCTGCTTCATGACACAGACACGTAGATCCGACCTCAGAGCTACGCTGGATGCTCTTGCACCACCTGTCTACCTGTCTCTCGGCTCTCGACGCACATTGCGACTGCTTCAAGACGCACGAACCCTGACGGACTCGCCTCGAACACCTCCGGCCCCTTGCGACAAGCCCCCATAGCTCCTGCAGCCATCATCCACTGCGTGCGCGCACGGTAGCCTCGACGCACTTTCGCCACTTCCATCCTCTCGTCGCTTATCACAGCTCTACGTAGCTCGTCCAATTTTGCACACCACACAGCTTCGTCCTCAGCGCACGCCTCTCCGCCCACGTCCTCGCCCAGCCGACAACTGTCCTCTCAGACTCCAGACATCCCATATACCACACTCGAACACGCGCGCACCGACTGGGACCCTCGCGACGCTTCCGCGCCCCCCCTTCCCCTCGTCGAAGCACTCTCAACGCTGCACCTTTAAATACGCCGTGATCCAAAGAGACTCACAGCGAGGTGCCCCTTGGCAGTGCTTGAGACAACCCCCATCCCGCGCCTCGCCTCCCCACACATGAGTCATCTTCTGTGGAAATTCTTCTGGGAAAATGATGTCGACAAGTTCCGTCGGCACCTGGCCGTCGCCGGCTCTTCCCAGAACTATGGCTCCAAGACTCAGATATCCATAGGCAGCCCTGGCGCATCTGCCAACTCGCCACGCCCCAGCAACAAGACGCGCAAGGTGTCCGGACCCAATGCCGTCTCCTCTCCCGCAGCAGCAGCAGCCAGCTCCAAGGCGGCTGGTCACCTGGGCAAGGCCGACATTAACTGCCGCGACCATGCCGGCCTGACCATCCTGCATCGAATCGCCTCATCGACGTCTCCCACCGCCATCGAGTTCGCCGAGGCGCTTCTGAACCACACAGCTGTCGACATTTATGCCCAGGATGCCGAGAATGGCTGGAACGCCCTTCATCGCGCACTTTATGCAGGCAACATTTCCATCGCGCGGCTGCTGCTGGACAAGGAACGCAGGGATTTGGTTGATTCGCTGGGTGCCACCACTACAAAGATTGGTCAACTGATCAAGACCAAGGACATGGAGGGCAATAGTCCTTTTGACGTGTACAATGCCAGCATTGCGCTGCGTACACTTAAGGTGTCGGAGGAGAATAACCATCAGGACTCAGATTCAGATGCCGAGATTACCACTGCGGAAGATTCTCGGTATGCCCCGCTTTATTGCCTGCCTTCTTGCTTGAAATGAGAAATGTCCTTATTGACTGATTCTAGTCACCACTCTTACTCGAGACCGGCCGGACTGGGAGAGGAAGTGTTCACATTTGGCACAAACCACAACCTGACACTCGGCCTTGGTGATGAAGACGACCGCCAGTTCCCCGAACGCATCCTTCTGAACCGCCCAGAACACCTGATCCGTCACTTCTACGATGTGTATTTGCAGCAGCGCAAGCCTTTCGCTGGTGCGGATGAGAGCTCGTCAGGACCCGACTCCGAAGTGCCCGCACTCATCGCAAACCGCCCACTTGTGATCCAGGATGTCATCATGTCGAAACTTCACACTGCAGTACTCACGAGCGATCCGATCTCTAATCTCTATATCTGCGGCGTAGGTCGTGGTGGTCGACTCGGCTTGGGCGACGAGAATACCCAGTTCTCCTTCAAACCCGTTCAGGGAGGTCTTGCTGACCGGAAGGTTGCTCAAGTCGCACTAGGCCAGAATCACAGCCTGGCAGTTACGACCACAGGCGAACTTTGGGCATGGGGCTCCAACACCCATTCCCAGCTCGGCTATGTTGTCCCAACGCCCGCGAAGCCTGACGAAGAACCTTGCAGTCTTGTCCCCAGACAAGTCTTTGGATCAATGAAGAAGGAGACTGTCCTCGGGGTCGCGGCATCCTCTATCCACTCTGTCGCTCACACCGGGACCTCGCTTTTCTGCTGGGGCAAAAACATAGGTCAACTGGCTTTGATGGATGCCGACTCTAGGTCTCTCGACGTGCAGGCTGCCCCCCGAAAAGTAGCTGCTACTCTTCTGGCCAACCACTCGTCTATTCTCATGGTATCAGCAATCGACAGAGCTACCACCTGCTTGTTCGAAGACTACACCGTGTGTGTCTTCACGAGCTATGGTTACAACATGATTCGGTTTTCATTCCAGGACGCCTTCGCCAACTCGCCGCTTCAACGCTCATACGGGGTGTCCAGACCGGATCCTGGCGCGCGTGAGATCCATTATATCACTTCTGGTGGTGACACCATCGCTGCGCTGACTGGCTCTGGCGACCTATACACAAGCACGGTGAAGAATACGACCGAGGGAGGATCTGCAACTTCGACCACGAACCCGTCCAAGATCAAGGACGCGATCACTAATCCCCAATGCGTGTGGAACTCGCGCAAGGACGAGGCAAAGTCTGTGACTGTGGGCGAAGATGGCGCCGTCATGATCTCCACCCAGTCTGGTGCCGTCTGGCGACGAGTCAAGCGAACGAAGGCGAAAGATACCAGACTCGCAAAGGGAATCGATGGCAAGCGACGAGATATCAAGTGGCAGCGTGTGCCTTATATCACCGATATTGTTGCGGTGCGAAGCTCTACCCACGGCGCCTACGCTGCGATTCGGAAAGACTGCGATGTCACCCGAGATCAGATCGAGGTTGATGAGCAGAACTTGTGGGACGATATTGAGCCTATGCTGCCATTGCGTGGGTTCAAGGCTCAAAACTCGAGGCATCGGGAAAACAAAGACACTTGGCGCTTTCAGGATCCAGAAGTGCTGCAAGGCCGAGTCGATTCGCTGGGCTACGAAGTGCTGACCTCGACTGATCTCGAGGAGGATCTCGTATCCCATTTCCAGACCTGGGCGTACAAAAACGAACCATATGGAGCTGTTCTGCGGAGCTCGGCACATCCTGGTGTGCAGATTCCGGTACATCCATGGATACTCACTGCCCGGAGTAGCATCCTTCGTACAGCACTTCAGCGTTGTCGTGAGATTGGGTTCTACGAAATCCCCGACCTTCTCTCTATCAGCCATGCCGATGGGCAAATCGTCATCGAGTTTTCCAACGGTATCGACTTGATCACTCTTATCAATCTCGTGGTTTACCTATATCGTGACCGCGTGGTCCCGGCATGGAACTTCACACGGCAGTCGCCGCCTTTGGCATATCGGTATCGACAAATCCGGAACGAGCTCATGAAGGTGGCCAAGGAACTCAACATCATGAAGCTGGAGGCGGCTGTACGGATCCAGAGCTCGCCACCTCGATCTATGGCCAGCGACTTCCAGACGGCGATCGAGGATCCAACCTTTTTCGAGGATGGAGACGCGATTCTGGAACTGGATGGTGACGAAATTCCCGTGCACAGCGCTTTCTTGTGCCAACGATGTCCCTGGTTCCAGGGATTGTTCAATGGCCGTTCCCGAGGCATGTGGCTCGACGGCCGACGTGCCGAATCCGAGCAGGTACGAATTGATCTGACGCATATGGACCCAGAGTCGTTCCACTATGTGCTCCAGTATCTCTACAGCGACGCGGGCGATAGCCTGTTTGATGAGGTTATTGCCGAGAGCATTGACGACTTCTCTGAGCTTGTCATGGATGTCATGAGTATTGCCAATGAACTGATGCTTGATCGCTTGTCACAAATATGCCAGAAGATCCTGGGTCGCTTTGGTAAGTCTATTATCGTATGGGACAGTCAATCTGATTCTGACGGTTCGCAGTAACGACGCGCAACATTTCCATCCTGCTGAACCTGATCAGCCCTTGCACAGTTACAGAGTTCAAAGACAAGGGTCTCGAATACATCTGCCTGCAGATGGAATCTATGCTCGAGAATCAGTAAGTGTCCTTTTCTCCATCATTTTCTCGCGCAGTTACGCTGACCCGCCTAAAGTCTCCTCGACGAGCTTGATCCAGACCTGCTGCGAGAGCTCGACGATGTCGTTCGCGACAATCAGCTGTCAAGATGCCCCTTTGTGCGAAGTGGACGGACTGAGATCCTCCTGCATGACAGATACCCGGACCTGGCTCAGGACATTGAAGAAGAAAGACAGATCAGGGTCAAGGAACTTGCCTATAAGTCTGTGCACAAAGAGGAAGAGAAGAAGCTGTCATCTTCTTTCAGGACCAGATTCGGGAGCCTCGACGACTTGAGCGGCATCTCGCCGACGCCCGATCGGCGGCAAAGAGCGTCACGAACACCCCGCAATGAGCCGTTCAGTCCGAGTCTACGCCCGAAGGATTCCCATGCAGATCTGATCTTCGACATGGAAGACGAGGAATCTCTCACGGTCACCAGCCCGCAATCCCCTGGTGGCCGTGCTTCGTCAAACAGGAATGTGCCTAGAGACGGGGCATTATTTTCCACTATCATAGCAAATAATAGTTTGCAACGCACTGGCGATGCTGGCCGAAACATGGCAATGAGCCCGGAGCAGAACGTCAGCAATCAAGACGGCAATCTGGATCCTCGGACGCCGCCCACCACCGTCGACAGGAGGTCATCATCCACGGGCAGCCCGTGGGCCTCGTCGACAATGCCTACTGCGCGACTCGATCTTCGCCAGGTACTAGCAGAGCCAAAGGCGCCCCAATCTGCTCTATCTGCCGGCCTGGCTGCGCAGCAGGCCGAGACCTCTGCCAAAGGTCCGCTCCCACAGAAGATCTCCCAGAAAGAGCGGAAGCGCCGACAACAGCAGCAGGCAGAGGAACTAGCTCGTCAGGAGGAGTCGGCCAAGGCTCAGCCTCACACGCCTTGGACGACTGTTGGAGACAAGAAAGACGCTCCTTGGAAAAAGGCCGCCCCAGCACCGCCAATTACATCATTGAAGAGCATGCTCGAATCTGACTTGGCACCTTCGGCTTCGGCACTGGTGAAGCCTCTCGTAGCCGCCGAGGCATCCTCGAGCTCGAGCACCCCACGCCGCACTGCTTCGCCAGATACACGCTTTCCTGGCCAGAAAACCAACAGCAGCAGCAATACCCCTCAACAGTCATCGTCTCAGCTGGCCAGGGCAGAGGCACCGCCTCTCGTGCCGCACTCAAAGTCTTATATCAAGAAGGCACCTAAGCCTGATCAGGAGCTCGGCCTGGGGCTGGCAGAGATCATTGGACAGCAGCAGCGGGAGCAGCAAAGTGTGCGTGAGGCTGTTGCCAAACGCAGCTTGCAGGAGATCCAACAGGAGCAGGAGTTTCAAGAGTGGTGGGATCAGGAAAGTCGGCGCATGCAGGAAGAAGAGCAGGCTCGTTTCGCAGCGGCCAAGAAGGCGAGCGAGGGCGGAGGCGGTGCACGGCGCGGGCGTGGAGGCAAGTCCAGAGGCGGCGGCCGACGCGGAGGTGCCGGCGAGTCCGTACAGACCACGGAAAGCAGCTCGGCACCCGCCAACACGAGGCCCGAGGGCGGCAACGACGAGAAAGCTGCCAAGAAGAACAGCGACGGCAAACCCAGCCGTGGCAGGGGTCGCGGTGGCAGAGGCAGAGGTGACAGTGGGGGCGGCAGCAAGTCGATGCCGATACGGCAGACTTCAAAGGTGTAGAGTAGGTGTATTTGTTTGGTGTTGAAACGTTCTTGGCACATATATTTGGGGTGCACATACATTGGCTGGCTCTCGTCAGGCCGGCGAGTACTCGCTTGTTCTTTCATAATGGTGTTGCATGCGGCCAGTACACGAATACCCTGTCTAGATTAGTTGTGCTTTTGTAGAATTTTACGATGTGGGGTGGCATGGCAGTTGCCTTGTGTAGTTTCAATTGTCTTGATGCACATAGTTTGCGCTCTAGGCCATGAGTTTCTCAAGACGACTCTCCTGGTTGTGTGAGGAGCGTTCCATCATCATCACGACGCAGTCCTGGAGTGGAGTCCCCACACCCCGTCCGTCCACCGCGGAATCCTTGCGCGCCCACGGCGCGGGAAGGAGGGCCCCACTAAAAAGATTCTTATCGTCGTCGCAGCGCGCGGGCGCACCCAAGCTAAAGCGCAAAAGACCTGCCCGACCCTTGGGGAACCTCGGAACACTTCGAGAACGCTTGCCTCACACGTTCCCGCCGCCACGCTCACGGTCCAAACTTTGGAAGCGAAAGCCATCACCACGAATTGATCTGAAATCATAGCGGACGACCCCACTGGCACACAGCTGCCCCCCCTTCGCGCTAAAGAAAACGACCTGCCTACACCAAGCTCGATCCATTCAGGCCACCCGACAGCAGGGTGATCACCAACCCGACACAAGCGACACAGACGCAAGCAGGAAACACGCGGAAGGGATACGGAGGACCCCCGAATTCCTAAACCGAAAAGACCCGTCACCGAGAACCTTACGACCAGGTGCGACCACCTCCCCTTGTGGGAAAGAGAAGAGAAGGGGGGAAAGACAGAGCGAGCAAGGGGAAAGAAAGAGGAGGGCAAGTCGCAGGCAGAACGCAAAGGAAATCAACCAAGGGAAGGAAAGAGAAGGCGGGGAAAACACAAAGAAATCAAAAGGAGATGCCTCCCCAGAAGCGCAAGCGCACCAACGAGCCGTCCCTGCGGGACAAGCTCGTGGGCTGGAACAAGGAGCTCGTGCGGGCGTTCAAGACGGCCAAGGGGTTCGAGAGGCAGCGCCTGAGCAAGCGGATCCGGGAGGGCGACGCGGCCAAGAACGAGAGGTTGGAGAGAGAGGTTGCTGTTCTCAAGGTACGTAAGGTTGCAGACTATTCCCCTCCCTGGCGTACTGTCCGGTGTCCTTGTCTCTCAATTCTTTAGGAGTGGGAGAAGAGGAAGAGGAAGAGAGGGAGGGACATGGTCATTTTTCTGCGCTCTATCTACTGGTCACATCCCTAACAACCTGCTGACCTGATCCCCTCATGGTGAAAACAAAACAGAGCATCGACCTGCACCAGCTCGCGCACCAGCACCTGTCCTCGTCGCTACTGCGCGTCAAGGGCGTCGCCGAGTCGCCCAACCTACCCCCCGAGATCAAGCCGATCCCCAAGCCAGAGAGCCTGTCCGAGGAGCAGCGCGTCGCGCTGCACAACGTCACGAGCGGGCTGTGCAACCGCAAGCAGGTCCGCGACGTCATCGAGGAGGCTGTCATGGGCACGTGTATCGCGCTGAGGGTCCCCATGCCGGACAAGAAGAAGAAGGGAGGTGGCAAGGGCGGTAGTGGGGAGAAGACGAAGACGGAGGACAACGACGGCGGCGGCAAAGACAAGGAGAAGAAGAAAGAGACGCGGAAGGAGACGGAGGGTGATGATGATGGTGCCACGGAGAAGAAGAAGCAAAAGACAAAGGCCTCGGAGGACAACCCGGCGGAGGGGCTTGTCCTGCTAAAGCGGAAACGGCCTGCCGACGAGGATGTGGAAGCGGAAGCGCAGTCAGATGACAACGAGGAAGATGACGGAGAGGAGCCGGTGTTCGAAGGCTTCTCCGACAGCGAGGCTGAGGAGCGAGCGTTTGCCAAGTACGATGCTCTCGTTGGCGGGTCGAGCGACGAGGACGAGGACGATGTAAATGACGATATACCCAGCGACGACGGCGCGGACGACGGGAGCGAAGCAGGCGGGGACGACTCTCTGGACGAGCGCATGATTGCGCGGTACGACAAGCTAGTTGCCGGTTCGAGCGACGAGGACTCCGATGGTGACGAAGAAGGAGATGATGACGACGATCTACTCGGCAGTCGGGTGCGCGCGATCCGGAGAGTAACTGCGGATGACATTTCGCTTTCTTCTGGCGACGAGGACGAAGCCGAAGGTGGCGACGACTTGAACCGGGACTTCTCTGGGTCGGAATCCGACGAGGCAGAGTACGACGTTGACGGCGCCAGCGACGACTCAGAAGAGGAAGATGACGAGGAAGACCAGTCGGACAACAAGGACGCCGCCTCAGAGTCGGACGCTTCCTCCGCCCCAGCCCCCAAGAAGACCAAGCTCTCCTCGAGCGCGGCAAAGACAAAAACCAACACGGGCTCGTCGGCCTTCCTCCCCACGCTGATGGGCGGCTACATCTCCAACTCCGAGTCGGAGGCGTCTGATCTCGATATTGCGCCCTCGGCCAAGAAGAACCGCCGCGGCCAGCGCGCGCGGCAGGCCATCTGGGAGAAGAAGTACGGCGACAAGGCGAAGCACTTCTCCAAGCCGCAGGCGTCGCAGAACGCGCGGGACCTGGGCTGGGACCCGCGGCGCGGAGCTGTCGGCGAGGACGGCGAGGGCGCGGCGGGACCCTGGAAGAAGGGCATTCGCAACCCCTTTGAGAAGAAGACCGCGGGCGCAGACGAGGGGATGCACCCGGAGAGGCAGAGGGCCATTGAGCGCGGTGGTAATAATCGTAATAACAACGCTGGGGCTGGGGCTGGGCGAGGAGATCGGGGACAGCAGCGGCAAGCACCTCGTGGGGCTGGTGGCTTTTCATCTTCACGAGATGGCAATGGCTTTGCTGGACGAGGGGGAGGAGGCGGCGAAGGCAGGGGTCACAGCAGCAGCCGCATGTCAAGTCGGGGAGGTGGTAGAGGTGGATTCAGTGCGCCGGCACCCAGCAGACCGCCGCCGCCGCCGACGAAGCGTGACGACACGGGGCCGCTGCATCCCAGCTGGGCGGCGGCGAAGAAGGCCAAGGAGGAGGCAGGCAAGATCGCGTTCCAGGGAAAGAAGGTTGTGTTTGACTGAGTTTCTGTAAAGTCGAGTCAGCAGAACATCAAGGCTTCGTGAAAGGCAAGAATGGAGAAATCTTCATATCCAACACAAACACAGATTTTTCTTAAACAGCACAAAATCGCCGAGAGCATGATGACAGGAAGCTTGCTTGTATTGTTGGTAAGCCAGATATGGAGGCTTCTTATGTATTGAAATCAAGGCTGAAGGAATTGAAACGCCATTCTGGTACCATGCGCCTTTTGGCCCCGTCCCTTTGACTGAAAGAAAAACGAGATTTGAAACTTTTGGGGAGCGTGCCTTCTGCTCCACTAGCAGGAACTCCTTACGAGGACTTGCTTTATTGACAGGCTCGCTGGGATACCTGGTGGTAAAGGAATTCGATATCACATCTATGGTGTGCATATGGAAAGCATTTTTCGCACTGGCCGTGGCTGTTTTGACAGGTGCCCTTTGCTTGAGCATTCATTTCCTGCGCTTTGAGTGTTGAGCCAATGATTGTACTGTACGCCTACTGTGAACGACGACGCTTGACCAAGATGACGTCGTCGTCGCCTTCATCATTGGAATCGTCGTCATCAAGCAGGCTGATCGCGTTGTCGCGAGTGTTGCCCGACTCATGGAGAGCCTTGCGCTTGCTTGACGACGATGAGTTTGAACGGACCGAGCCAGCGCGGCTGCCATTCGACATTGGATGCTGGAACCGGGTCGGGAACTGTATCGTGGAGGAACCAAAAGGGGGAGTGGTCATGGCAATCTCGGGGTAGTTGTTGTTGTCGTCGTCCCGGCTGACGAAGAGCCCCTCGCTCTCTTCTGAACTCTTGCTACTGCTGCTACTACTTTCCAATTTGATATTGGGATTTCGGTTTACGTCACTCTCATTAGCTGGTGTGATTTCTTGCTCGGAACGATCCGAGCGGACGAACAGACTTGTCGAGGTTTTCGACGACCTGCTGACATTGTCGTCATTGGCCGTGAGGTCGATCATACCAAGGTCCATTGGTTCGCACTCGTGAGCCGAGGTTTCACTCTTCATGTTTGCAGGAACGCCGCCAGTCCCGGGAGGAGGTTGCACGGGGTTGAAGGCATGCTCAAACCCGTGCTCAGGACCGTGCCCGGATTCAGAATCGCTCGAATCAGAGTCCGTATCGGAGAGATCATCACCGTGGCTGTGAACGTTGCCTTCACCGCTCTCGGAAGGAGCCTCAACATCGTCCTCGTCGGGGATAACCATATCTGCGTATAGAAACGAGCCAGCTGGGGAACCTGATGGCACAGGAGGAGCCGTTGGAGCGAGCGGGTCGTCCACGTCATCTTCAATATCGATGTCGCTACCGTTCTCTTCTTCCTCAGCAGCTTGTGCCTCCGCTAGCCTTTGAGCGTCTGCATAGGCCTGAGTTCCCGAAATGCTGAACAACTCGTCAACGACCTTCTTGTCCTGTTCAGAAGGTTCCCACTTCCCTAGACCTTCGATCTTAGGGAGGTTATGCAAGAGGGACTTAATGGCGTGCTTCTCTGCCTTGGGTTTCGTAATGACAGAGTTGATATCTTCGACGAATGTATAGTCGCGAACCGGCTGCCTATTTTTAACTCCGTTGAACTCATAGAATCGGACCCAGCGTAAACCGCGGAGTTGATAGATATAGTCCATCCCGTGACAGGTCCGTAGGCTACGGTATTTGCGATAATTCGCATGGTACTCCGTACGATGGCACATGGCGCCAAAGACGTCTTGCTGCATGATGTCCTCCTTGTGGTAGTCTGTTTCACGATCCTTGACATATTTCATCTCGTACTCGCGGCGCATGCGGTCCTCGTCAGCCTCTTGGATATGGACTGCGAGGGTCTCTAGGCGCAGCGCGATAAGCAGAGACTTCAGGGGCAGAGTTCGTTGATTGGTTTTCCAAACTCTATGCCGACGGCTGTGCGGATCGTCTTTGATCACCTGCGGCTTTGCGGCCATAAGAGACCCATGCCAGAACAGCTCCATATTGCGGATGCGAGCAAGCCGGGCGGGCCCGATGCCCCTACAGAACCTTCCCAGCTCGCCAAGCGAGGAGAACGCGAAGGTATTATTGCCGTAGAAGGCATGCACACCGAGATAGCACCAGCGCTTGCAGACAAGCAGGATCATTAGGACGTCATTCGGCTTACTGGCCGTGCTTACACAGCAGGGCTCACCACCTACGTGGAAACGATTCGGCAGCTCAGTGTGCCGTGGCCTGCGTTCGGCTGGAAAGTTGGGCGGCGCGTTCTTTCGGTCAAGGCGAGAAAGGCAGTGAATGAGATTTTCCTTCACCAGTGAAATTCGGAATATCTTGGCCTGGACCTCAGGTGGGAGCTTGGCGAACGCAAAGTGTTTCTTGGGTGCACATAGGAGTTGCAGCGGCTGAGTGCGCGTGAATCTCTGCGGGAAGGCGACAGTTGAGAGGTGGCGTGGGACGGCAGAGGGAGGTCTACGGCCAAACACCGCCCAGAGGGGCGATCTGCTTGAACCCGACGACGAGGACTGGCCTTCCGTGGCTGTCTCGTACTGAAAGCGCAATTCCCCATCGCTCAGCACCTTGTCGACCAGCTTCAGGTCTGGATGAGTCGCCCAGAGCTTCTTGCTCATGTTCTCCTGCCGGCAGCAGAGCGTGTAGATTTTTGGGTATTTTTCTCTCGAGCAATGCGGATTGGTGATATATTCGTGCAGTAACTCATACCATGGCTGGAATTATATAGATGTCAGTGCCGGCACCTTCATAAGGGCTTCGTGAGCCAGATGAAAACTCACGGTGGGAGGCTCTGGTTTCTTTTCCAACCGCTTGATCTTTTCCCTCAGTTCATCGTTCTCGGTCCTGAGATTTCCATTGGTTTGGTTCAGGTTAAGCTGTCGAACGCGGAGTCGCGCGAACAAGCCCACTAGGGACAGCTCTTCTGCTTTGATCGCATCATAAAGCTTTTGGCCAGCTGGGCAGGCTCCGTGAAAGTGCGCACCCCGCTGCGCATTATTGTCTTGATAAACTTGCAAGGCCTGTGCCGCGGCGTCAATGCGGTCTTCTGACTCCAGGCTGCCTTCCGAGCTACTGTCGTCCATGCCGTCCATGATGGTGGGAGTGACGTCCTCGTCGTCCTCGTCATCTGGAGCGAGCATAGAATGTTAGCTTGGACTCAGATTGCTACTCTGCAGTACGAATAGAGACTGACCGTCGGACGTATCAGTTTCGCTCTCCTCGTCGTGACGGGGCCGATCATGGTTCTCTTCTTCATCGCCTGACTCAGGCGAGCTTTCGCGCGAGGTGATCGGAATTGTGAACGACGGCATTTCGTCGAAATATGACGTCGAAAGTAAAGAGGTGATGATCTGTTATATCGTGCCGCCAAAGTGAGCGAGTGTGGACAAGGAAGGTGACAAGTTGTCGAACCTTCCTTTGTACTCGATTGTCGTCAATAGTGGGCTGTGTGTGAATGGCTTCGCAGCCTGTCAGTATGTTTGCTCTACGCAAAAGCCTCAATGTGGAAAGAACGGTGCGAAGAATGGCAAGGCCGAATTTGAGGACTAAGAGTCGAAGAGTTAGTGGAGCTGGCAATGAGAGCCTAGAGATGCGCTACTGAAGAGCAGCGAGGCCTGCGGGGAACAAGGCGTAGTTGCTGAAGTAGAGTAATGGTGGAGGAAGTGTATGGTTGCTAGGGAGGAACGTGGGAAGGAACATGGGAAGGAACCTGGAGACAAGAAAACCAAGCTCTTTCCTCCCTTGGTGCTATTTCCTTGACGACGCGTTTGAACCTCGCCGTTTGCCGACGAAAGTTGAGCACGAGATGAAGCAATTATGAACTAGCCGATACTTGTATTCGAGGTGACCTCGAGAATCATGAAAAGATTGAAACATCCGACGACGGATAGGTGAGGGTGTTGTGAGAGAGACCTGGTTGATAAGCAAAACACCAGACTAACGAACCTGCGTATGTTCAAGCACCGGTTGATGTTGGTGAAGCGCATGCCAGAGTGACTGCTCTTGCTGATTGTATTGTGAGGAGAAGGTTTGAAGTAATATAGAGTCTCACACCTGAGCAGAAGTATTGACAAGGTCGAGATACTGAACAAGGTATGGTCGTGAGTGCTGGGCATGCAGCAATGGAATGGAGTCCTCGTCCGAACGAGGATGGGGTATTGGAAAGAACGGGAGTGCTCTGTAAGCCACTCGCGTAGACGCTGTCGCTGGACGAGATCGCAAGTGCATGCAGCGATTCGACAAGCCTAAAAGGGATCGTTTGTCAGTTGTCGTCGTAGTCAAGTGGAGGTGTTACGCACCTTTGGAATGCCAAGGGATTCGCTGGCATCAAGTCTCTGCTTTCAGCCAAGCAGTTGTTCTTATGAAAGTGGCGTGGCAAACGGGGATGTGGCTGCGAGATTTGAAGGTTGCGAGGTGCCTTTGAGATAGACTCCCCAGCATCGAAGTTAGGAAACCTCCCAGGCAGGTACCTTACTGAAGAGCGTATATGTGTAGGCGGATAGTGGCTGGTACACTCGTGGAGACCTTTGAGCTGGAAGCGTTGCTTCTCGTACTATTTTTATGTCTGCTCACTGATTGATGAAAGCTGTTACTCGACAACCTTGAACACTGTCGAGGTTGTCACGTGAGAATCACCTGCCTGCCTTGCCAGTTATTCCTCATTAGCACAGTAGTGGCAAGTGCTGATCATAAAGAAGGCAGCAGAGATGCTTGAGCAGGTGGGCAAATCGAAAATCTACGGAAAGGAGCACAAGGCAGCTTGGGAGTGAATATGACTCTGCCAGACTACTTGTGGTGAGCCTGATCGACGTTCTGCCGCAGACTCCGCACGAAGATTGGTCAGTGTGTGAAGTGTAGGACTCTTAGCGCAGACTTCATAAATGTTGTCGAACAGCAAACATGATGAGTTGTTACCGTCGCGTATGAGTTTCAGCAACCCCCTGGCAGTTGGCTAGCAATGCACATATGTGGAGGACAGGAACTTGGTTATATGAAGAAAGTTTGCAAAGCCTGTAGCATGTTGCGTCTCTCATCTCTATGGTTATCACAGGCGGCATGGCGACAGCAGCAACCATCAGCTCCATCTCATTTGCCAGATTATCCCTCTCACACGCTTGTCACACTGCTCGAACTTCAAGCTTGCGCTTTCTCAGCCCCTTGGCCTACCACTATTCAAGGCGGCATCGACAAAATCGAGACCAATATCAAATTTGACTCCTTCTGGGTTTGAAATCTCTGCGACGTCATCTGCCCGCCAACATGGACTGATCAGCAACCTTCCTCAAGCCACTCTAGCACGATGGATAACAACAAAAGACCAAGGAAAGAGGACTTACACCAGCTCTGATCGGCCTCGGGATGCGGCCCAACCAGTCCAACCCAGCCCTTCCCGAATGGCAGCACCGCAGCAGCAACATCTCCATTCGCCGAGTACCGCCCCAACACCCTTCCGCCACCCACGACTTCCCCGTCACCATCACCACCCGTAAACTTCAGACCGTCGACAACAACGCCGTCCTGGAAGTACATCCACCTCGCCTTCTCCATTCTCCCATCCTCACACCTCCAATCAACCCTTACAACCGTATCCTCTTCACCGTCAGTTTCCGCGCCCGGCCTCTCAATCTCCCTCCCAACACTCACCTCGGGCGGAAGCAGCCCATATCCGCCACCTCTCTCCCCAGCACCACCCGCGAGATACGCACCAAGGCAGAAACCGAGATACGTCCCACCCCCAACGCCGACAAACTCCCTTATCGCGTCCTCATACTGCCTCGTCAGGTCGTACGCTTCGTCCAGGTCGGGACCCCCGCCGTGCGCGTAGAGCGCCGCGCCGCGCAGGGTCTCGGGGGTCACGTCGAGCGGCTCGTTGGGCCCGGCAAAGATGACGTCAAAGGTGGTGGTGGTGGTGGTGCTGGTGGAGCCGTTGCCGAGGAGGTTGGCGATGGCTTCCGGGCAGCCCTCTGAAGAGGCTGGGCCGCGGTATACGATTGCTTTCGGGCGGGCTGTGGGTGTGGCATCGGCTCGTGGGCAGGGTGCCGCTACTTCTGCTTCGGCTACTGCTGCTAGTGCTTCTGCAGCAGCAGCAATCTTGACCGCAGCAGCAGAAACGCCGGAGGGACCAAAGTTCGTGGAAAGAGTAGCGGTGGCTAGCATCGCTACTGCTGCTGCTGCTGTCAATGCCTGGAGGGCCAGGGGCCGCCGCCTGTTGCTGTGGTGTTTTCGACTGTTGTTCCTCTTGGCTGGGAGGCAGTGGTGCATGGTTTCTATTTAACCGATCCAACACTTACATGGGAGCAAGGGTCAACGCTGATTCCTGTACAGTTTTCTCCATGTGGATTCTTGCTTGGACAGCCAAGAGCGACGCCAATATCCAAGAGGATCATGTGGTGGGTATACACTCCCAGATTTCCGCACTTATCCAACACCCCTTATATACTTGAAGTATGCTTGGTTCATGTCCACGGTCAAAAGGCGACGCAACTGGCTCAATCTTGCCCTTCACAAGCACGGCGGCTTAGGCAGCTTGTCAACACAGCCAGCTGATCAACAGAGCTCACTGACATCATATCCCTCCATGCGCGATCTCACCCAAAGATACAGAAAGTCCCTAATTGGACGGCGCGTGTATATACCGACCGAGCAGATCACTTAATACAGCCACACGAGCACACGCACACGTGTACGCACCTAGGCACACTTCACAGAACCGTTCCGCACTTTTCACCCACGTGCGGCGAGGCGTTCTACGAATCAAAAACGCATATGTAATTACGAGCCGAGGAAACCCGTCCACAAACTGTATTTGCTAAAACACCTAATCATACCTATCCCACAGCGAGCACACCAAGTCTGCCTGGACACTGAAGCGCAAGCGCCAGTGGCGGATCGGCAGCCACCAGCACGGCTTGAAGCTAGCTTAAATCTCCCCAGTTACTACGTACATAATCCGTACTGGAAAACCCGTCGCCGGCTAGAGTCATATAAACAATAAGGTTCAAGGGGGGAAGGGAAGAAAATGCCGTGACCAATCATGTGTCCCAGCGCGTGTAGTAGCTTAGCGCACACGAAGTCTTGTGCGGATCCCCCCTGCCCCCTGCCCCCTGCGCCGCTAAACCAGAGCCGTTGGGTGGAGCGATTTTAGTGTACCTGTAACGAACTCGGGCAGGGGATGGAATCTCGAACGTTGGGAATCACTCCGTACGGCCAGGGATGCAAGCCGACGAGAATGATGTGAGTGATCCGTAACTCCCCAGGTCACCGCCTCATACCGTATGGGCACAAATCTGGACGTGACGCCGTTTGCTTTTCTTCATCGTGTGGTTCAATGTTCAACAAAGGTGGCAGGGTTATTTTACTACTTCTCTGCTGTAGTTGTGAGAACCATGGGGCATGGGGGCATGTTTCATGAGTATCATCATGCCTCTCGGTTAAGTTTTTGTTTTGTTGTACAAGCATCTTCATGTTTTCTTTTGAGTGGCATCGCCTTACGCCTCAAGAAACCTGTCGCTTCGGCCGGAAGACGACCAGCGCCTCGGCCGCCGGCGAGGGCCCAATGTCCGGCCACCTGTCGGATGCCTTTGGCTTCTCCACCGCTACACCAGCAACAGCACCACCGGCCAGCCTCTGAGAAGACGCCTTGGTCTTCTGCATGTGACGTTCTAGAAAGTCTGCCAGCGCGGAGCTGTCCCAGATGATCTCGCGCCTCCTGCGCGCGCGGAGCATGGTGATGATTCTCGTGCGCGTGGCCTCGTCTTGGCAGAACACATAGAGCTGGTAGAGGGCGGTGAGCAGGTCGGTCTTGAGCCCAAATACTGCCCTCGAAGGGCTGTACCACAGCTGGTCGAGCAGGTCGAGAAGCTCGTTGCATTCTTCGGGCGACATCTCTGGAGGCTCGCAGTCCTGGTCGTGGCTGCAGCTGTTCTGAGTGTCGCCACTGCTTATGGTGTTGTTGTTGCTGCTGCTGGGGCTGCTGCTCATGTGCACGCCGCTGTCTGGGGTGCTATATCCACTGCCTTGGCCTTGGCCATGGCTGACGTTGTTGTTGTTCGTGCCAGCTTCTGGGCTGTGCTGTCCAGACTCCATAAGCATCTCCCACATCTTGTACTGCACCCGCAGATTCACAATCCTCTCGAGGTTCGCCTTGTACTCGCCTTCTCGCGTCAGCCGCTGCACTAGCGCGTCATACTGCACCTTCCAGCGCTGCACGCTGATCCGCATGATCTCCCACTGCATGACGCAGTCCGACGTGGGGCTGTCCCAGTCCTGCGGCAGGTCCACCGTGACATATATCAACAGGTCGTCTAGGGTGTTCAGGACGTCCTCGGCCTCGTCGATGTCCCGCAGCTCCTCGGTGCGATTTGGGTACTTCTTCATCGGGCTTCGGAAGCGCGACAGGTCCGGGAAGATGCGCTCTTCGGTGAAGACCGCGACCTGGCCGCTGATGGCGTGGAAGATGGCTGCGAGCTCCTGCATGTCGCGGTTGGGAAGGTAGGAGGCTGGATGGTGGTCGGCGAGGATGGTCGTGCCGGCCTCGAGATGCCGCAGGGCCTCGGCGTAGTCGCCCCGCAGGCTCTCGAGGAGGATGAAGAGGAAGCAACATGTCACTGTAGTGGCGATGTCTGCTGGCGATGATGGTGATGAGGACTGTTGCTGCCCGGCCCGGACAAGAGCGGATATTGCCTCGTTGTAGTGCTTCAGGGCAAAGTGGTTGAGCGACGAGGGCGGCTCATGGCGGGAGAACTGCCAGTGCACTGCGCCTAGCGCGATAACGGCATGGCGAATGCACGTGGCATGCTGGCTCGAGGGCTGCAGCAACTGGTGCCAGAAGGTTGTGCTGAAGGCGTGCGACATGACGAGGTCGCCGATGGTGTCTGTGAAGAAGTAGACGTAGAACTGCGTCTCGCGGGCGTCGCCGGGGAGCAGCAGCTTCTGCGGCCGCAGAGGCGCGGGCTGGAGGATGGGAAGACATCGGGTGTTGTTGTTGTTGGTGTTGCTGTTTCGTTTTGATGCCAGCAGGGCCGGCGAGCAAGTGTGAGATGTGTAAGTCACAGAGTCTGGCGTCGTGGGGGTGTGCTTCTTCTTCTTGGGGCCAGCCCCGTCGGCCTCGTAGCCGTCACAGATGAAGCCGCCGACCTTGCAGCGGTTGCAAATGGGCCGCTGCTCGTCGCACTTCTTGCGGCGTGTCTTGCTGTGGGAAATCAGCATAAATATCTGGCCATCAAGGAGGGGCCGGCACTTACCAGGTCAGACAGCCCGCCCGGGTGCGGTGGCTAAACGCGCGGACTCTGGTCTTTGGTTCGGGCATGATGCGGTGCCGTGTTCTTAGACAATAGCTTGGCAAACTCACTGCCAAGGCATAAAACCCCCAGGAGCGTCGTGACTGCAGGAACGGGCGCGTATTGGTGAGAATCCTGGATAGACCGACCTGTCCAGACGGACGGGTTCCTGGTGCATAAGGGAGGGGATAAATGGGCCAGCCGGGGAAGGCGGAGCTCCACGGGCGTCGTCAGCCTCGTTGGCCGCAGCGTATGGAGATTCAGCCCAGGCAGGGTCAGCCCCTGCTCGCCAGACGATCCAGAGTCTGGTCGTGACGCTCTAGGCTTCTCAGATGGGTCTGGGACGTCTCGGCGACGGAGTCATATTTGCGTGGGCATGGAGGACAACCTTGGAAAGTGCCGGATCTCGACAGGGGCAAGCGGCGAGCAAGTAAGAACTACCGTAGCGTAGTGGCCTCAGGCACCCAAGCACACGCTAACACAAGGCCTCAGCTCCCGGGGAAGGATCGGGAGCTCCACATACACACAAACATCAAGCTTTTTTTCCACGACTTCGCCGCGACAGCACTTGGACCCCGTATGGTCACAATTGCGAATTGCGTGCCTGGGTGCGCGACATGCACCGTTTTATATTCTCAAAAATGTGCTGCAAAGATGGTTGTCACACCCACAAACAACCTAATCTGATCTGCCGTGTCGCCCGCTCTCAGGCTGTGTGTCTCGCCCCAGGTCTCACCACCTCTGCCCATCTTAGCCCCTTAGCACAGCTACGCATGGCAGACCATCCTTCATTGGCAACGTAAGACTGCTCCCGCTGATCCTCTCCTCGCCATGCACGTCAAATCCCGGCACAAACTCAAACTTCTCCACGAGGCTTGGTATGATTTGCGCTGCCATGAGCTCGGCCATCTTCTTGCCCAGGCACAACCTCTGCCCGCCGTTGAACACTGGGAACTCGGCTGCCGGTCTCGTCTTCAGGACGAGCCTCTTGTTTTCGGAATCATCTGCTTCCTCTTGGAAAAGCCACCGCTCCGGCCGGAACGTCTCGGCGTCTGGCCCCCAGATGGCACGAGATCGGTTCATGGACCACGGCGACCAGAAGATCACTGTTCCCTGCGGCAGGTGCGTGCCGTCGGGCAGAGTGACGGCCGCAGTGCACTGCTTGATCTCAAATGGCACCGGAGGGTACAGGCGCAGGCTCTCGTAGAAGACGGCCATCGTGTAGGGAACCTTGGCAGGAGTGAAGAGCTCGGCGGTGCTGTGGTATGTTCCCTCATCATCGTCGGGCTGTGTCAGCCGCTCGTGCTGAAACGTCGGTGCTGGCGGCCTCGTGTTGTCGGTGGCCACGCTAGCCCGGAGCTGCGTTATCTCTTCTAGTATCTGCGCGGTGGCCGATTCGTGCTTCATGAGCAGATACATGGTCCAGGTCAGAGCTTGTGCAACCGTGTCCCTGCCAGCAGACAAGTAGTTGAGGGCTGCATCGGCGACGAGCTTTTTGTCTTCCCCTAGAGTGTCGATCAGCGAGTAGATCAGACTGCCCGAGATGCCATCGAGTTCCGCATCGCCTGAATGTGCTGCACTGCCACTCTTATCCGCTTCGTCATCGGCAGTGTTGGTATCCCGCTTGGCTGTCTGTGCGCGCTTCTCCCGTGCACTTTCCACAATGTTTCCTCCCACGGATCGAATCGTCCGTAGGGACTGACGAAACTTTGAACCGAAAAACACCTCTGTGATGAACCAAAGCGGGTTCTGGAACCGTTCCGTGGTACATCCAGAAGCGTGCTCAAAGGCCGCCGTGAACTCGTCGCCCGTGTGCATCTCCATGTCGTATGCCAGTTTGCCCATGACTTGGCTCGTAATCTCATGGAAGACATGCTGCAGGTCCAACACGGTGGCGTTGCTGTCCCGTTCGGAACCAGGGGGCGCAGCGGTCCTAGCTATTTGTCGCATAGACTTGCCCAGGTACGCCGGCAGTGCTGCGTCATTGAGCACCTTCAGATTCTCGGCACTCAGAAAATGCAGCCCGGCTTTTCGCTGAGCTTTCCACAAAGCCCCATCAGCGTTGATGATGCCATTTCCGAACAAGTCCCAAGAAAGCTGGCGAAACAGGTCCCCCTTCTGGAAGAGGGCCTCATTCTTGAAGACGTAGTCAAGGTTCTCTGGGTTGTTGATGACCACGCCTGGCGGCAGCGTGGGCACGGATATCTCAAAAGTCTCAAGGCCGAAGTGCTGCTCGCATCGCGAGAACCAATCGAAGAGCTTGTGGCGGGGTCGAAGGAAGATGAGACCGTTTCCAAGTATGGGGACTGTTCCTGGTGGCTTGCTATTGCCAAAAAAAACAAAATGGCTATCAGTCAGTCCAGTGCACTCCCCTCTTGAAGGACCTGTGGAACAAGTCCTGGCCAGGAAAAGACATACCGAAGAGCCTGTCCGCTGCGTGTAATGCGTGGTCTTCGAGCAGACGCGAGATATAAGAATAGGCTTAATGCAAGTGTGACAAGAGCTGCTCCTGCTGGATGCAGCAGAATGCTCGACAGCGCCATCGTGAGACACAAGGGAATGAAGCTGTCGAAGAAGAAATGGGCCCAGGAGGCTTTGGGAGGAAAAGGTTACAAAGGAGCAAAAATATACATGTCTGTAGGTGTGTTTTCGAGTGATCGACTCCTGGACCCTGGATATCTTGGCTGGCACGAGCCAATTGCGGTGTTTGCCAGGTTGGGCGCGGCAATGACGCTGAGTTGACGACAGACTCCACCAGCTTGATTGGGCGTCAGGGCAGGTTCCATTCAATGCGAGACGGGTTTCCAGACTGAACGGCAGCACAGCATAATTCTGGTACAGTGAATAGAAGGTGCACTTGGTTGAGCTCGCGGGATCACAGGCCGGGTCGGACCTGTGAAACTTTTGAGTTTGGCAGCGCAACGACAGCGATGGCAGTCAATGACAGACTAGCTTTACCATCAGATGCTATAAGGTTTCAGAGCGAGGTTGACAGGGCTTTGGCGGACGAAAACGTCCGACGGCCAAGGCTGGACGTCTGCGAGGGTCTGGACTTGTTGGTGGAGATGGTGCGCTGGGGCTGATTCGAGGGATGTCGAGCACTGCATGATGGATGTTGTAATGCGTGGCCGTGTTGGACGTCAGCTGCCTGCAATCAATGGTGAGGTGGTGGAGGCCGTTGCAGAGGGCGTGCAGATCCGGAGGCAGGTCCGTCCTGCGCTCCAGCGGAGGTGAATGAAGTGAAGGCCTAAGGCAGGCCCTAGCGCAACGGCTGGCATGATCTCATCACTTGCTCATCGTTTCGCCAGGAGCTGGTCGCGCGCGTGTCTCATGTGTAACAGCTCTCCACGGCCTGGGACATTAGCTTTCGGAAAGACAATTGACACAATATTCGGACCAGTCTTCAAAAACATCCCGTCTCGTCTTTTAAAACGTCGAGGTTCCTTGTCAGCCTGCCACTGACCACTGCCTCTGTCTTGTCCTCCGTCACCCACCATGGCGAATCACACCCACCACCACCAGCAGCGACCCCTGCTGCCGCGCCTGCACCTCTTTGAGATCAACGACCAGCCCTGGTTTGTCTGCCCTCGCTCTCCCAATTGACTGCCGGGAAGGCACCACAAATGCATACAAAGGAGAAGCGACACAGTAGCTGATCACATGGCCGCCGCCACCATCATCACAGGTTCCCACCCTTCCTCCGCGCCCGCGTCCAGGCCGGCCTCACCCATGCCTGGACGGCCTACATCCCGGGTCTCCAGCCCGCCAGCCCAGCCTCGCTCGTCGCCGACATCCTGCTCTGCACCATAGGCCCGGACAGGGTCGCCCGCTACACCTTCATCGACTTCTGCTCCGGCGCCGGCGGACCCACTCCCTCCATCGAGCGCTCCCTCAACCGCCGCCTCATCCGCCGTGCCCTTGACGGCGGCGGCAGCGGCGGCGGCGCCGTCCCCGCCGACAAGAAACGTCGCGAGGCCAAGACCCGCCACCAACAGCAGCAACAACATGATGGCCCCTCATACGCAGATGTCGCCAAGCAGCTGTCAACCTCAGAGGTCTCGCCAAACAACAACAGCACACGCACTGATCCATATGCAACCACCAGCAGCACGGAGCAAGGCGCACCTTCGTACGCCGAGGCGGCCAAGCAGATCTCCACGGATGAGGTGTCTCCCAACAGCAACGGCAAGAGTCATGATGACGGCTCAGCAGCCAAGAGCAGCAAAGAGGCGAGCACAGATAGCACACGCGGTCACGACGCGCCTTCGTACGCCGAGGCGGCCAAGCAGATGTCGACCGATGAGGTCTCCCCCGCATCCGCCGCCGCCGCCGCCGCCGCCCAGGATAATGGCCACAAGAAGCCCACTAACAAGGACAACGCCAAGGCGGAGAAGAAGAAGAAGAACAATAATATCGCAGAGCCACCTAAATCTTTCAGCTCAGACTCGCAGGAAGACGACGACGACAACAACAAGGCCGTCCTGGCAGGCGTCGACTTTATCCTCACCGATCTCCACCCGCACCTCACCTCCTGGGAGGAGGCAGCCCGCAGCAGCGCCCGGCTGCACTACGTCGCCCGCCCCGTCAATGCCGCGGCCGCACCCCGCGATCTAGTCTCACAGGCGACTTCGAGCGTCACCACAACGACACACCCGGGAGACAGCGGTGTACCCGTCCCGGGCCGTGACACCTTCCGCCTGTTCAACCTCGCCTTCCACCACTTTGACGACCCGGCCGCGCGCTCCATCCTCCGGGACACCCTCGCCACGAGCTCCGGCTTCGGCATCTTCGAGCTGCAGGACCGCTCCCTCTCAAGCTTCGTCACGTGCGCCATCTTCGGCGTCGGCGTCTTCCTCTTCGGCTTACCCTTGTACTGGTGGTCCCCCCTCACCCTCTTCTTCATCTATGTCGTGCCCCTGGTTCCCTTGGTCCTCGTCTTTGACGGCCTCGTCAGCAGCCTGCGCACGCGCACCCCGGCCGAGGTCGAGGCCCTGCTGAAGTCGTGCGGCAACAAGGACTTTGACGCCGGCAGGTGGGAGGTCCGCAGCGGCCGGGAGAGGTTCCTCTGGCCGACGGGCCACTTGAACTGGGTCATTTGCACCAAAAAGGAGGAGGGGTCATGAGCAGAAGTGAAAGCAGGAGAGAAGCATAGGGGTGTGAGGAGTGCGATTGTCGCCCCAACAGTCGTGTTTTGTACTTGTAGTGCATTTTGGAGGCTTGCTGTAACCATAATTAGCGAGTCGCCCAGCGATGGGTAATAACGTTGCCAACGGCCCGTAAAATGAGTAGCCCCATCTGCGGCCCTGTCTCACCTGTTGAGGAAAAACACCCCACGTGCAGCTTCATACACGCTCCGATGCTAACATCAGACCATCCTTCGCCTTCGGCTTTATGCACCATCATTACAAGTGAGCTGCATTTTTTTGAGAAAGATAGTTTGTCATTGCGTCGTAAAAACTAATTATGAACCAAGAAAGCTACCTGGACAAGGTATATCGCGCCGGACGCCTTGAATGAACGGTGAATGAACGCCTGTGGTCGTTCTGGGCTCTTTCCTCCAGAACTTTTTAGGACCACCGAGAATCAAGAGAACGGAAGTATCCAAAATGGATATACTGCGGATTTTATATATGTGCAAGTTTCGATGTATGTCGAACTTCGTTACTCCAAGCCAAAGGGGCCGTTTAGCAGGCTAGGTCGGACTGTTTATTTGGTGAGGAAGCCGAGGTAGTCGGCGACGAGGAGTGTGATCATGCTGTGAAGGAGAGTTATCGTTAGCATGTGCGTGTGCGAACATGCGGACGGCAAGATGGAGGTAGTCTTGACTTACGCGTGAGGTGCAATGCGGACGTAGTACGTGGTGAAGCCGCGGTAGAAGCGTAGAGGACCCTCGTGCTTGGCAACCTTGGCAAAGCAGTCGATCATGCCCTTGTAGGGCAGCTTGCCATCCGGCCCGCGTTGCTGCTTTTGCAACCTGGTCTTGACAAAGTCGAACGGCAGACTGAGGAAAGAGGCGAAGAAACCGGCAACGGCGCTGGCAGTCAGGGTCTGAGCTTGCGGGTTCCAGGTCGTGTGCTGCTTCAGCTGTGCCTTGGCCTCGGAAAAGCACGCTAGCTGGCCCAGGTTGAGCGCCATGGCACGCACGACCGTGGGAGCGGCACCAGCCCACAGGGCAGTGACGCCCTCACCCTTGACGATGGACACAAGGGCATCGACAACGGACTTGTAGTTCTTGCGCTGCTCTAGGGGCTTGAGGCCGTCCGCCTGCATGCGGATCAAGGCCAGGTCGGCAGGGTTGCCGATGAAGGCGGCAATACCACCCGCAGCCAGGCCCGCAGTGGCTCTTTCGGAAAACCCCACTTCCGTGCCTTTCTGGTGAGCGCGGAACTTCAGGGAATTCATGAAGGTGTCAAAGAAGCCTAGTCTCGCCGTAGTGTAGACAGCCTGGCGAAGAAGACCCGCCGATAGGCCAGTGTAGAGATCGAGCACCTTGCCCTTGGCAATAATGTCCCTGGCAATGCCGAGCGGTGTCGGCTTGGGCCCGGATGACACGCCCTCACCAGCAAGCTGCAGGCGGACTTTGATCATGTCGACAGGCTGGATACAGGTGGTGGCGATCATGCCGGCGGCACCGCCATTGATGAATGGCAGGGCAGCCCTCATGAAAGGCGTGTGGAGGAAGTCATTCTTGACCGCAGCGACAGTCTCGGTGCCCTGCTTGGTGATGTTGGAAGACTTGCTCCGGGCAGCTTCGGCCGCTTGCTTGATGGTGTTGGAGCTCATGGTGTCGAGGTGGGGAGGGATGTTGCTGTCCGGGGATGATGTCGTGCCAAGTGAATTAGAGGGACGAAGCAAAGGGACTATCTCGAATCAGGAGGGGAGAAGCGGCTCCTATATGCAAATGAGACTCGAGGGTCAGCCACAACATGCTCAGTAACAGTCGAGCTCAGACTTTGAGCCGTTAGCCCGCCGTGCAGAGGTACCAGAGGTTGGGAGACGGATTGGGAATGCTCTCAAACACGCCATTGGCCAGTGCCCAGCTCATACACCTTGGGGGTCCAGGCGGCGAGCTCGCGACCCGGAGGCGGCTCCTCTGGGTGGCTCCTCTGGTCGGGTAATCCTGGGCCTGCCATTGGCGGCGAGCTCAACGCCATGACATTTGGACATGGAGTAGCTCCCAGATGGGGGGTCTAGCTCCTGACGTGTTGCAGCTGGAGCCCGGAGGAATGGATACGGGGCAGCTCGGACGGTGGGCTTGCCATCGGGAGAGATAGGAAAGGGTGTAAGATCATGGCGGCAGACGACGACGGCTTCGTGGCGGACCCTGTAGGAGATCCACCCAGCCGGGAATGGGGGCCCACTGCCGGGCCATGGACCAGGGAGCCATGCCGTTGCTGATGCGTTTTCAGACGTGCATGAGAAACGCCTTGGCGCGTTCGCAGGAGCACGCAGAAACAGACACCAACCGCAGGCGACGCATGCGGTGGGGAGGACTGTTGATAAGGGGCCTGTTGGGAGGCGGCCACGCAGAGGGTTGGGGGCGGTGGTTTGAGACTGTATGAGAACACGCAACACTTACAGCGACTGTTGTTGAGCAAGAGAGTCGTTGGCTGTGTATGTCTCGTGGGCCCGCTTTTTCTCAAGACGTCGGTCTGGTAGTCGCGCGTGTCGAGGCAACGAGCTTGAGCGATGACAATTGCGATGTCTGGCGTGCTTTTCACACTCGCAGGTATTGTCAGGCTTGGTTTTGGGTCGCAGGTGCTGTCAGCTCCGAAAAAACGAACCGTCAGGCTTGTCGAAAGACCCTGGCGAGAGTGTCGTCGGCGGGGCGAGTCCAAAGAGGCTCGTAATGGGTCACCAATGACAATTTGAAGACAAAGCAAAGGTCGTACAGCGAAGAACGATACACGAGGGAATAGATAGAACCGCAATCCAACGAGGCGGGCACGACTTTGGGCCGTGATGCAGAGGACTGAGGAGCAAGCCAAGGGAGACTTGTGAGGGCGAGGTTGTAGGTCGTAGGCGAGGCACAAGACGAAGCAATCCTTTGAAGCCGGTGTCGCAGCTTTCAGTGTCAAGATGATGAATCGAGGGTCAAGCTCCTCGAGTGAGGAGAGCAGACAGGACGCTCAGGTGCAGCACGAGCAAGGCCGAGAGCGGAGGAGATGGCAGGCACGGACAGGAGGAAGTGAGGAGAAAGGGCGATCAATGCTGGCTATGGAGAGGAGAGGGGAAGAGACGGCGTCGAGGCAATCGGTTGGCTCGAAACCTTGATGGGGATGAAGGCTTCGAGTCAAGGCGGTGCTGGGAGCGGCAGGCAAGCGGTCGCTAAGGTGAGGAGGACGATAGATGCGGGGAAAGTGTTCAGGCGGGATCAGCAGGAAGAGATTGTCCACGTGAGCGAGGTAGTCTGGAAGACGGGCGCGAGGGCGCGGGCACCCTTTAAACCAGAGCAGTCATCGCCGCTACGGATGGGAGGAAGAATGCCCGCATGGACGGCGTGCCGTCGATTGGATGAGGGCAAGCCGCGGAAGAGAGGACGAGACGAGATGAGGCAGCTGTTGGAGGTGGTCAGGCTTGGGATGCGGGGTTGGGATGATGTGGCACACCATCACGGACGCCGACGACTGACTTTGCGGATCTTCTCTTGCCGGCGGGCTGGATCTTTTTGAGGGCACGACGCGACTTGTGAGGGAGATGGGAGCTGACGGGATGCGACATCAACGTCAACATTGAGATGCAACACTGCGGCCACTCTGCGGCGGCAAGCTGGCGCATCTGGTGTGATCACATCCAGCCATTCCTGACGGGGCTACGCGAGACACTGAGGTTGGCCTCTCGTGCGGTGGCTGCGGGCTTCATGGTTGGGTCGCGTCTTGCTGCTCCTGGCGAAGGGCGTTGGGCAAGCTGTGTGCCGCCTAGAGCGTCTGAGGGAGCTGTGATGCGAGGTGCCTAGGAAGATGACGGCATCGACAGTGGTGTAGTGTAGTGCAAGACTCGACCCCAGCCAGCAGGCGCGTCCCCGCTGCAGGCAAGCGCGGCGGCAGCTGCAGCTGCAGCTGCAGCTGGGGCCCCACCTGTCCGGCCGAGCGGGGCAGGGGATTCCCCCTTGTCCCTACGCAGTACCTAGGTAGGTCCAGTGCTTGGGCCCATCAAGTCTTCCAAGGTTGCCTGGGCACCTTCTGGGCTGACCATGGGTGGGTCCTCCTTCTCGTCCTCATCTTCACCTCATTCAATTATGGACAGAAGCCCGACAGTAACGCACTAAGTGGGCAAGACTTGATGCAGTCTACGGGTCAATTGAAGTTAGCCAGATAATACGTCCCTTCCGGCACATCGACGGCAGGCACTCGCAGCACCTCGCAGCCAGATGCAGTACAGCACATTGGCTCGAGGACCCAAATCCAAGTATCTCTGGTTTTGCGTGGTGCCACAAGACAAGCCTCTCGATGCCCAGACGGGTTCGCACGCCGCCCGCAGCTGTGTCTGCCAGATGGTTTGCGGTAACGGTTGGGCCCCTGATGATCGCGCATTTGGGACTTGTCAGGGTTCCAGGGTCCAGTCACCGGTGCAATCTGCCAGACCCAATCGCGGCATCGACACGGGCAATCGAATGTAATCCTTCTGTGAGCGCTTCGGATGGCAAACTTACATACGCATTCAGGTCTCTTTGGCGCCAGCGTCAACCGGTCTCCGATCAGTGGGGCGTACTCGGCTCGGAGGCGCGTAGAAATCCGTGCCATCGGGAGCCCGGCTCCACGACGAACGACCACGACGACTCCCGTCTCATCAACGCATCCCGCGGCTTCTCCTACGATGGCAGCTCGGCTGGGCAACGCACAACTCGTCCACTCCTGGACGATCCCGGTCTCTGCCGATGTGCGCACACACTGCCCCTGGGGTAACGTCTGGGGCGGCCGTGCCTCATCTCGCATCTCACGGTCGTTCTCCGCATAGCGCCGAGCTCATCGCCGCTGCGCGACCCACTTGGCCCGATATCTCTTGGCTCCAGGACATTTCATCTGTGTTGTCACGGCATTCACTCCCAGGTGCTGGCCCGGAAGTTGCCCTTGTGTAAGTACGCTGACGTAGATATGTTTGCAGTCTATGTCTACAAGCTCTATATCGAGAAACAGGGTCTGCCATCTAGAACGTGGAAGGGAAAGTGCCAAGCCTCCCGCCATCGCTCAGGATCACGGTGCCGTTGCAGTACGCGCCAGCCCGCGACGCCAGGTACAAGATGGTGCCTGCCATGTCCTGCTCATCGCCCGGTCTCATGAGCGGGATCATATCGCGGCCAATGCCGCCCTTTGCAATGATTGGGGCCGACATCTGGCTGGGGTATACTGTGCTCGCGGGATGGGTCAGCATTGGTACCCCGTCAAAGTGGAAGGTCTAGGTGAAGCAAGGTCCACGGTCTGCCCCAAGTTCACTCTCCCATGTAATCATACCAAGATGGGCTCCATATCTAGCTTTGAGCCCACAGTGTGCCTGCCTAGAGAACCCGAACCCACGCGTAAAGACCGAAAAGGGGGGAAAGGGGGGGAACTCACGCCCGGGACAAATGGCATTAACCCTAACATCCCACCGGGGCAGCGCAATACTCAACTGCTTGACCAGATGCACCGCCGCCGCTTTGCTCTGCCCGTACGCATACCCGCCGCTGTTCTGCTTGTTAAAAGCCGCGATGCTCGCCACGACGATGACCTGGCTCCACGGCTGCGTGCCGCCGCTGCCCTCCCCGCCCCCTGCACTCACGCGGGCCTTGTTACCCGCGTCGAGCAGCTTCAGGAAGGACATGGTCGTGTACCACGCCGAGCTCGCGTTGACGTTGAACGTCTCGGTGAACTCGGCCGCGGGGACGGCCAGGTTGGCTGCCACAAAGTCGTCCAGCGTGGTGTTGGCGTCGGGCCGGATGCCGTAGGGCCCGATGATGCCCGAGTTGCACACGAGAAGGTCAATATGCGGGCTCACCTGGGCGACCTGCGCCGCGGCGGCGGCGAGCGAGGCCGGCTGCGTGACGTCGCACTGGACGGGGATCACGGTGCCCGCGGGCTGGACCGAGGCCGCGGTCTCCTCGAGGACGTGGAGGCGCCGGCCGAGGATGAAGATCTTGGCCGCGCCGTTGGCTGCCAGGGCGCGCGTGATCATGAGCCCGATACCTGGGAGACACGAGTGGCGAGTGCAGACGATGTTAGTAATTGATTACAGATGGTTGCATTCTGACCTCAACAATGTCTTCTCTATGCTCCCGGTGTGTAGTCTGGTCCTCAAGCTTCCCTTGATTCTTCTCCGGCCTCAGCCCGTTCTATATTGCCGTCGGCTGCTCAGGTGCCCTCCGAAAACCAGGCATGGGAGATCGTGGGAAGGCAGCGAGGCAAGAGTAGAGCGTGAGAAATAAGACGCAGGTGTCGCCGAACAGATAGGTAGGCCCCCCGGAGCAAGGGGAAGCAAACTGAGAAGCTACACAAATGATAGCCTGTTTAGGGTGATTCGCACATACCTGAGCCACCACCGGTCACGACGGCGACCATGCCGTTGACGTTGAACAGGTTCGCCGCGGAGAGCGGGTTTACTGAAGGGGCTGTCGATGCCATTTTTCGGATACAGACAACAGGGTCAGGTTTTGTAGGAGTGTAGTATATGCTTTATCCCTTTAAGCTTTAGACAAGGCGAGAGATGTATACTCTGCTAGTTGAGAATTGGGGCTTGACGTGGAGGAATCCTAGACGCCAAGAGATCCCTTATCCCTGGGCGCGGATCTGGTCAGCAGCTGAGACTCTTAAGGCGAGGCTTGCACTTGAGGACCCCAGGATATGGAAGATTTCATGTGCATGTTGCGAGCATAGGGCTTATCATTGTGGCTGCTGGTTGTGTTGTATCCTATACCCGGCTTCTCAGGACAGCCTTCAGCTTACTCACACAGATGGAGTCCGGTTGCCAGGGAAGTTGGGCCAGTCTGGCGTGGCAGTAAGAGTAGACGCGATGACACAGCGGCACAGGGGTAAGCTTCTGTTCTCTTTTCCGGAAATCGTGAGGAGACGTTGAATCGGTGTCGTTGCGTGAAAAGAAGGACCCTTACGCTTACGTGGTGAGTCGTTCCGCACCCTTATCAGAGGGGGGATGGCGGGGGAAATATTCCGCCTCGTGTGGAGCCGAGCGCTTGAACAGCAGTGACTCCAATGAGGGGCTGGGGTGGGGGATAGACCCCCGATATCGCCTGGCTTGGTAATAGCTGCGGGACTGGACACTACTATGTGTCTGGGTTTGGATGTTGACTTTGGATTGCTTTACTTGTAGTACCCTTGGTCTCTCCGGAGACAGGATCGGGTGGTTGGCGATGAGAAGTGGCTCTTTCTGCGCCGAGTTTCGGAAAAGCATGCACACTGCGTGTGATGCTTCTCATCCGTGGTGCCGAGGGTATGCTTAGCTACCGACATATTTCAATTTCGTAAATGTGCCTGATGAAATGCAGACTCTCCTTCCAGCCCCTCGTGTTCGCCCCTGCCGCTGCGCGTTGGGCATCGTTAACTGACCTGCTATATTACACCCACGGTGGCCCATCCAGAACGACCTTGCCGCGCAACCAGGCGATCGTGGATGATATCAACCAAGTCAGCTGCTGCTTATCCTTTTCGCATGGTTAAGTCCAATTCGTATTGCTGATATGTATCGGTTTTTAGCAAAGGGTCTTCGCCAACTTGCGAGTGCTCTGAGCCGGACAACTGCATCCTTGTTCTGTGAATGATACTGCTGGGGCACTAACCTGGTCTAGTACATGACATTTCACTTGATTTACTGAAATACCAAGAGTCCTAGATGGGGTAGGTCCCCAGACCTGATGATCAGCTGATCTTTGACAACGAAGATGATAGCTGAACGCACCCAGGCGAAGTGCTGACTTCTGCTGTGGCTCAGCTCGGTCGAGCAGCCACCTTCGAGTAGCTCGCATACGACTGCATCCCCGAATTTAAGTTCCGTGGACACACGTCAGCATGATGGTTGGTGCTTTGGTTGAAACTTACGCAGGTCATCCCACTACGAATTTCTGTTGCGTAAAACAGCTTCGCGGCGTGCAAGGTGCCAATCCTATTCTCAATCGCGCCCATTGTGCACGTAACTGTATCCCAGCTCTCCCGCATGAGTCCGATGGCTGCAAGCCTCAGGGTCTTCACGCCCTGAACCTCTGGCCATACTGCTCACTATACCCAGCAGATAGGCAATCTCAAGTTGTGAACTCTTCCGTCGAAATTAAACAGCACAATTACATGAAAGCTCAGAGAACAGTTTATGTTGTGCAATGCCGAAGTATCCGGGGGCTCGGGTCGTTTTTCTCACGCAGGAAACATTTCTCACGCAAGAGACTATTGGAAGCTAAACGTAACAATCATGGCCGCGAATCAGTGGCTGAGACTTGTACTCACCTGGCACAATGAACCCTCCCTTCACTGCCCCTGGAAAATCCAGTCAGGCAGTGAGCGGACAAGCCGTCTGACCAGCACAACTACCACCGCCTCAGCTTATCCTAAGCCTCTTATCACCACAAATAGCCCTTTAGGACTATCAGCTCGTGATTCACGGCACTACTGGTGGGCTGAGTAGCAGTCCTTTCCTCGGAGCACAAGTCCACAAGGCGGTGAAGTTACCACCATAGGTATGTGTAACCGTCATCGTCGTAGCGACTATATAGTCGAGGCTGTTCCTACGAAACAAAATGCCTTCTCGAGTACAAGCTTATCAACACGTACCATTTCCATACAGTCGCAGTTTCCTTTGCTATCCTCTCCAACAGTTCAAGCCCATAAAACACTCCTAATCACCTATTTCTTCCAACCTTATCACCATGAAGTCTTTCACCGTTGCCTCGGCTGCCCTCGCTCTCGCCAGCGGCACCATGGCTACGCAACAAGCACATTTCTGCTTCCAGAACGGACAAAACGGCTACAATCTCACTGTTCCCGCCGATGGCACCGTGGTCACTACAGGTCAGTCTCCCTTGGCTACCTACCAACCACGGAATCAAGTTAACCAGCTTTACTAACATCCCCAATCTTGAAACACAGAAATCGAAGTGGACATCAACATCATCATCATCGCCGACTTCAATGCCCACGACAACTGCCACTTCACCTGGGGCGGGTCCGCGGCCAACACCCCGCCGACCATGGAGTTCCAGGTGGGCCAGAACGGCGCGCAGCAGCTCGTCGTCGACCCGCCGAGCATCATCACCAGCCTGTCGTGCGGGGGCACTTGTATTCCGACCTCGGCAAAGTGCTACGACTCGCAGTCTGGCCAGAATCTGGGCACGTGCTGTGCGGGCTACTGCGAGAACGACGTCTGCAAATCGTGGTAGATTACTAGGTTGACTTTATTGCCGCGAGTTGTGGCGGAGTCATGGTTTGATCGTAGGGACTATGGATATAATCATGTTCTCGAGATCAAGTTCGTGGTAGGAGACCGATGTGCGGTATGGTTCTAGAGGTTTTGGGTAGCATCTAGAATAATTAGTTCGATCAATGTCAAGGGAAAGTCTTCGTTCCCTGTCTTTTCCTCGATTCAAGGTCAGCCCTCCTCGGCGATCGTTTTCTAATCATCGTCCAAATGAACCAAATGATAGGCACCACGCATGTAAGACGAAGGCAAAAATACTTCAATATCGCGAGTGGGTTCTCTCACAGTCAGCGAACGCCCATTCGACCACAGATATTGCTATTACAGAGCCGCTCCGAACTCCATTTGATCTCCTAACCATTATAGCCCCATCAAGTTAGGGAAAAGCCCATTGCCGAAACCCAGTGTGGCTATCCGAGCCCAAATTAACATTTTGGGATTGTGGTGGCTAAACCTTGCAGAGGCAACAAATTCTACGTGATACTATTGACTGGATCGAGCGCGAAGACCTGTCGACATCTCACCGCGAATCTTACCCCTCCTAGTAGTAGAACGGGTTCTCCGGGTCCGTCAGGTCGAACACGACGGCAGAGTGGGGCCTGCCGCCGCCGCGGTTCGAGAACTCGGTCAAGAAGTCAATGCTCCTGTTGAAACTCAGCGAGCCGTCATTGTTGACGTCGATGTACAGAGCTCTGTAATCTGCTGGTGTGTTGACAATGCCGATGTCACCAGTCTGGACAAAGTAGTCGGTCACCACGAGATGTTGCTGGTCAGGCGTCAGTTTGACGTAGTGCGGCCCCACAGTAGGCTGCTGCTCGTCTGGGTCGTCGAGACGCTTGACGTTGTTCAGATCGGAGATGTCGAGCGCGGCGATGTGGTTGGAGGTGGTCAGCGTGAAGTAGGCGAAGCGACCGTCTTGCGAGATGTCGGAGCTTTTGGGCACACCCTGGTTAGTATGCGGAATGGCGGCAATCGTATTGAACGCTTTTGCGACAAGGGGGAAAATTGGCAACTCACTAGATCGCAATGACATCACGAGCTCTGGGCCCGAGGTCGTACAGCAGCTCAGCAACGCCCTGCTTGCCATTCGCACCCTTGCGGAAGGGATAGATGATCCAGACCTGTCCCAGGTGCACGGCAGTTGCGAGTGCCGCGGACTCGGGGTTGCCGGGGATGAACTTGACATCCTGGATGCCGCCACCATCAGGGATCTCAATGGTGCTAATGATCTTGCGGGACGACAGCTCCCACAGGCGAAGCGTGTTGGCACGTGCGATGCCAACAGTCGGCTTGAGGATGGTGACGGGGACGACAAAGTCCGAGGTCAGGATGATGTCCTTCTCGAAGTCAATGCTCAGACCATGGGGCGAGAATTGCTCTCCCAGAATGTTGAGAGTTCCTTCGACATCCTCAGGCCATTCATGAATGACGTTGAAGTTGGCGTCGGTCTCGACGAGACGGCCAGGGGAGGTGCCAGCAGCAGCTGCGGGCGGTCTGTTAGTGTGAAATCCCTTGGGGTGCAGTGGAGTCGGATTTCTTGGAGCCCAAAGGGAACTTACAGCCCATGTAGGTGATGAAAAAGCCGCCATCTGGCTTGGCGCGGATCTCGTCTGTGATGGACGACAAGAGAGCACGGTTGCTCTTCAGGAATTGGGGACGATAGGGGTTGGAGGTGTCAAAGTAGAAGGCAGTGTCCTGAAGCTTGAGCAGGGACAGCAGCCCTCCTCCTACCAAGGTCTTGCCATCGAGGGATGGGCCCAAATGGTGGGGATCGTTGCCGCTGCTGGGGACATCCGTAACATAGATGAGCTGGCCGAAGGTATCCTAGACATTTTGTGTTAACAGCTATAACAATGTTCGAGCTCGCGTGTCATGGTCCGTCTTACGTCGTCCAAGCTGTACGTAGCAAGGAAATCTTTGTGTCTCTTGTCGCCAGCGCCAGTCCAGAAGTAGCCGATCTTCTTGGGCTTGAGGTCGCTGGCAGTGAAGGGAGGGCTGTCGAGGGGTGGCAGAGGGACTTGGATGATGGGCAATGGGGGGACGATGTCATAGAGAGGTTCGGTGACACCAGGGATGCTTGGGATTAGGGGTGGCAGCGAGATTCCCAAAGCCTGGACAAAAGGTGCAAGCGCCGCAGTCCACAGAAGAGCTGCGTTTGGAGCCATGGTGTTGAAAGTGATGGTGAGTGGCAGTGAGAAAGCGAAACAAGTTATTGAGTACGGTGTGGCTGTGTACTCAAGAATCAACTGATCTGGTCGAGACTCAGGGACTATATAGTCGTCGGAGGCTCTAAAGCATTACCATGAGCAAGGCAAACCACATTAGATATCGATCGATACCTCACTTCTACTCAAGCAAGAAAACTCTTCCTGCCAACGGCTAGCCTCGATTCCGGCACTAGTGGATGTTGTGCGATAGCATCGTCCTATGTCCTCATCGACCTGTCTTACGAGTGGGGGAAGCCGCTTGATGACTGTCAGCCGCTTCCATGACGGACTCCAAGTCTCGTGGGAAGCTGGACCCCACGCTCAATATTCAGTCGAAGAAGCCACACTCATCTCGAAACGTAATGATCGACGATGTTACAGCGGCGGAAGCCAATCATGCTGCAGCCACATAGACATATTGTTTTGTGCTTCTGCTGACGGCGTCCTTACAACAGCTCCTGTCCCGGATCCAGGCTTGGTATCACATTGCATTAACGTCGAGCACTTCAACGACATGGCTTGATGCTTGAGAATACCTTTTAAGACTGGACACCGCAGAGCAAGCTGTCCAATGAGAGAGGCAGTTATTGTGTCGATCTCTGCCTTGTTCAGGCCATGTTCGGTAAACTTGTTAGACCAAGTTCGTGTGCCTGAGTGGAATGCGACATGCTGGAGCCCAGCTAGCGCGATTTCGCCATCAACTCGGCCTCGGATTGGCAGACCGGACGGCTGGAACACCACAGGATACAGACTATGCTCAGGTTGACCTTGCTCAGTCTGGCGTGCCCCTTGCCCTTGACCTGGCTTGAAAAACTAAGACATGCTGATGTGACGGGCTCAATAAAGCACGCATTATGACACTCTAGGAGCAGATCGACATTTCTTGTCCTGTCTCCGAATCCTTGTTGGGGTTTTCCTCCTCAATTGAGTAGCTCCAATGCACATTTCAAGTGTCGGGTGACCCAAGAGGGCGGTAACCCGGTCTTTGATCACCGATCGCTGCCTTGATCTCCTAGCTTGGGCTAGCCTTAGCTTAATTTGTGCGACTGCAATCATGATTAGCTCAGTCCGGCCGGCAACTGCCGTCCTGGAAGGCAGGGGCGATCCCTGTCGAACTTGCACGCGGGTCGTCCACCCGAAAGAGAAGCCTTGCTATCTCGGAGATGGTTTGCTCTGGGCCAGTGTATCTCATTTTCCTGTTGTATTTAGCCTGCGGGAAGCAACACTGGCGCAGCTCTGAGAGATCGGCGGAAACCAATCAGGGGTCATCTCTCATTGCACAACACGATAAAGTAGGATCACTTCCATGTATTGGTTGGCGAAACCTTGCACGGCTTAGCAAGCTACATAACTGGCGTACAATCAAGACGAAGTGTGAGCTATACCAGCTGATGTGCCATTTTCAACTTTGCAGGAATTTGAGGCTACTTGACTCAGCCTGGCATCGACATCCGTGGGGGTTCAGCGGTGGGTGTAATGCCAAGACATTGCGTTATTCTGCCTCCAAATGATGTCCGCACCACAACACAAGTAAACAACAGGCAACTTTTTCACAACAGGGCTTGTTCAAAGCTCGACTAAACAAGCAATGGCGTGGGGCTGACTGGACCATTATGAAGATCGACGACGTACAGAAAGCTGCATGAAGCTATCTAATCACGCCATTCCACGAAGACATCAAGAATCCCTTGGCAGAGTCTACCAGCACACTACACAGACAAAGATGGCGGGCACCACACAGCCAAATGAATGGCGACCCGCGAGTTGCACCCTGCTGTCGCCAACACACGACGATGGTCATTGAGTGCACCATCTCGCTACTGCATATAAAGATGATGCCATCGGCTTGACATGACCGAGATTTTGTGTGGCACAACTCACAAGCCTGGATTCATTGCTCCCGATCTCCTCGGCCCAGTTGCACGATGCATCCTGTTAGCACCGCCGTCGCCGTCCTTGCCTTCTCATGCGTTGTGACCGCTGCAGCTGTTGAACGCAATTCGGGCTTTGGTGATGGTCAGCCCATCAGTGAGGATGGCAAAGGCGCTCCCATCCTAGGTAAGGCAAGACCGCCCTCCACACAAGGGACAACCTTTCAGCAAAATGAACGAAAGGAACCAATCAACTGACTCAGCATGGCATAGGTGGCACCGATAATCACATTGACATTCAGAACCCGGACAATCTAGGCCAGCAAAGCACCGACAGCGGCACCGTCCCCAACCTCAAGTGGCGCTTTTCTGACTCCAAGAACCGTATATTCAAGGGTGGTTGGAGTCGCCAGTCGGTTGTAACAGACTTGCCCAGTAGCCGAGATATTGCTGGTGCTCAGCAGCATCTGACCAAGGGTTCCATCCGCGAACTTCACTGGCACCGCGTGGTAAGGCGTATTTCAACTCCGAGGTCCTTTATTTTGCTTTTTCCAACCTAATAATTATTGCCCGCTCCTTACACAGGCTGAATGGGGCTACGTATATGCTGGCTCTGTCCTTGTGTCTGCCGTTGACCACAACGGGCAGTACCAAGTCGCCAAGCTCGAAGTTGGTGATGTGTGGTACTTTCCACCAGGCGAAGGCCACACCGTGCAGGGCTTAGATGATGAGAATGAGTTCCTGTTGGCATTTGACGACGGCGATTTCGATGCCAGAGGGTGAGTGTTTTCTGCGTCGTCCCCCAATACTTGGCATTATACTAGAGACCTAATGGTCGGGTGGTCTTCTTTTTCCAGAACCACATTCAACGTCGACGACTGGATAGCTCGCACACCGAGACACATTCTTGCCAAGAACTTTGGCCTACCTGCAGAGGTCTTCTCCAATGTTCCTGCCACCAACCCTACCATCCAGAACGGCAACATCTCCACATCGACCGTCACTGGTGGCGCTGGTGAGCTGTCCGGTAACGCGTCGTTCGTGTACTACGCCAAGGACCATGACCTCCAGGACATCCCTGGTGGTGGCGGCACGCTGCGCATCATTGACACCACCACGTTCCCAGCTTCCAAGACGATCGCCGCCACCGTGGTGACGCTGACACCGGGGAGCCTGCGCGAGCTGCACTGGCATCCAAACGTAAGATGACGCCGCCACTTGTTCTTACTTCACAGTCCAAAAGGGACTTCCCGTGCAGCCATTGCTGACGAGCTCGTGGTTTTTTACATAACGACAGGCTGAGGAGTGGTTATACTTTCACAAGGGCAAGGCCCGAGCCACGGTATTCCTTGGAACAGGCTTGGCCCGGACATTCGATTTCTCTGCTGGTGACACGGGAGTATTCCCTTCGAACAGTGGTAAGTTTCAAAATCTTGAACCGGTGTGTGGCAAAGCACTCCCTGCATGCTAACCGCTCTGCCATCCAGGCCACTACATTGAGAACATCTCGGAAGACGAAGACCTTGTGTGGATCGAAATCTACAAGAGCGACAGAGTTCTTGATAACCCCCTGACGCAGTGGCTTGCGCTCACTCCAGCAGATCTGGTCGCCCAGGTCCTGAGGATCCCCCTTGATATTGCGCAGAATTTGAAGAAAGAGAAGCAGGTTCTGGTCAAAGGATCGTCTTAAAAAGAAATACCCTGCGAAAGCTGCATATTTATTCTTACAATGTTGTTCTTTTTGTGATCGATTATTCGCATGAGAACAAGAACAAGGGAGGTAAGTGATTTCGCTGGGTGCACTGAATTCGGTCTGAGCAATGTATTTAATAACTCCTCAGGGCCGAGTGCCACACATGCTACAGAGCTGGCTCGTGTTACCCAATTGCTTGGATGCTATCGGTGTAAATATGCCTTTCGGGTACCGGACCCTAGTTGCAACTAATAGTGTCATTTTCAAGGGCTCATACTAGGATATTGAACCCCTCAAGTAGGAGAAAGGGATCCGGGCGGCTGAAAGGGGAGTCATCGATCTCTCTGAGGGCTGCGCCTCCTTCCAATGCTGACCAGGATGGAGTCCTTGGCCGAAAGTGAAGCAGAGAGGAATACGGGCGATCCAGAAATAGTAGACTGAGCTCGCAGGGTCGGACCGAGGGAAGGTGGATGCGGGACTAGCAAGCGCGTGCTACGGCCAGGACTTCCAAGTAGGCTGGAGACTAGACATGGCGCCTGGCCATGAATATGACACCTTCACCCCGCCGAGCATATTCAAGGACGCTTGAAGTAGAGAATAATGGATAGACTCGTGAAGTCGACGCAACAAAAAAGAGCAAAACGTACAACACCGGGGATTCGCTGGTCGTCACCGAACCAACTACTGATCCGGCGGTATCGAGCTTGTGTACCGGGGAGCCGACGGGACCCTCAATTTTCTCGATCCTATGGTCGTACGTGGAGGAGTTGATGGTTTTTTGCGCATTATCAGACGCCCCCTCTGTGTGTGCTGTCGTGCTATGAAGCTCCCAAGATGCCTCCAAGGCTCAATGCCGACAAACCACAAAACACCCCAGTCAGCGGGCTGCCTCGAGCTCAACTTCACACGAGCACTGTTCCAGGCTGGACCTCGTCGTCGCCCTCTGCTGGAGGTCGGCGCAGTGCGTCTTGCGCGCAGTCGACTGATCGGACATCCGGAGACCAGCCATCGTACAGGTAGAGAGTTGCCAAAACCTCTTGATACGACATCTTGCTGGGTCCATATCATTGCGGAGCTAGCTGCGGCCGGGGGCAAAGTATGGCGGAAAAGCCAAAGTTAAAGTAGTTGAGCTGGAGCAGAAGCTGCGATGGGACGATGATGGACTGTATATCGTGTGAGGGGTTGATAACAACAGCAAGTATACTGCCAAGCAGCAATGGCATACGTTACTCAAAACACAAACGTGGATGTCTGCGGCCACGAGTGGCTCGATGAGCTGGTGTGCTTGTTGCGCAAAGGCCCGGTGCTTCTCGGGTAGTGGACATGTCCAGGGAAGGACCGGAAGCAAGGACCGGAAGTTGGGTCGGAGGATATCCACCCCAGATTACCTGAGCCAGCCAGGTTTGACTCAGACTGAGCAATTCATCTCACGGGATCTGAATGTTCCCTTTCCAAGCGCAAGTTTTGCCATTGCATGTTAATAAGCGCTTCACCTTTTCTGTAAATATGTAGACCAGCCTCACCGGACGTGTAAGAGGCGCCGGGTGCTGAGCGAGTTCACCTGCGTCTCTGGGATAGCGAAGTGAGGTACGCCGATGTCGATACCATACTTGTGATACTCGAATGCCGCCAGACTCTCTATGCACTCCCCCCAGCCATCGTTGTACTCCCCAACGGAACCATTGTCGCCATCAGCCAAGACATGCTCGGCCAAAGAATTCGTGCGGCCAGCAATAACATCTCCCTCCCTCCCCGCGTACTCGCTCAAGACGTCGGGATGAGGTACCCATACCACTCTCATCCCCGCACGCCTCGCGGCTTCGACGCCTATGACGCTGTCCTCAAACACCAGACATTCGCCGGGCAGTATCGGGTCTTCGCCATCAGCCACTGCACAGGAGTTCAGGTCCCGCAGAGCAAGTCTGTAAATGTCAGGCGCGGGCTTGTCCCGACCTGGCTGGAGTCGAGGATCGTCTCCGAGCACTCGAGCGTGCTCGTGAATGGTTTCCAGGAGCGTCCTGGTCTCTGGGCTCGACATCTTCAGCTTGTACGCCTCGGTCTTTGTGCCAGATGCGAGGGCGAGCCTGATCGGACGCCCCGAGGTCGCCACATGGGCCGCGCGACTGAGGTTGAAAAGCAGATCCTCTGCACCAGGGAGAGGTCTACAGTCCGGGAACCGCCGCCGCATCTCTGCACGTACCTCGCGCGTGTGCTGCTCTCGCGGCACCGGCAGCTGGGCCCAGTTATTGTACACGTCGCCGCTGGTCGAATTGGGGACGCCCATGATCTGAGCGCGGAGGTTCGGCGGAATGGGAGGTCTGCCGTGCTTGGCGAGGGCGTGATTGATGCAAGCCGTGATTATATCCTCGGTGTTGATCAGTAGTCCGTCCATATCAAAGATGCATGCCCGGATTGGCCTGGCAAGCGTTGCACTAGACGCGCCCATGGTAGCTGTGTAGAGTGGTATCGGAGATGCAGGCAGTGGTGAGAGAGTGTAGTGGTCAGCAAGCTTTGCTGTTCTTGTGTCGGTTGCTTGATTTTGCTCGTTGCTCGTCGAGGGCTGTGCTACTCTATGCCTATTGCAATCTCGGCCGAGCGCATTAAAGTAAGTCCGCGGTGGCGAGTATCGCCCCTGGCATAGGGGCTACAAACTTCACGCTTACACGGAAATGATGAAACGCACAGGCGCCTTTCACAGTGCCCTTGTACGATACCGGGATTTGAAAACTTAAATCTCGCTATTCTCACAAGGTCTGACCGGAACAGTACATCCAAGGAAGATCCTCATGATACACAACCAACATGGAGCACTATGAGATCAGCGCTCTCTTTATGCCGGCTGAAAAGGCGGTCGATGATGTTTACTCCGGGGAAGCTATCACATTCTGTATATCACCGAGTACAGAATTCCCGAAAATTATACCGAAATTTGGCGACCCTGCCAAACATGGATGATCCCTTCTAGCACCCTGGCTTCCAGATGCTGGATTTACGCCACAATAGCACGTGGACATGTCCAACCGCTCAGTGCTCCCACGCAATTCTCGCCCACGGCCTGCCAGAATGGGTACAAGGCATCATCCGACTTCAACACGTGCCGAGACCCCGGGGCTCCTCCGGTGAAGAGGGGAGGGACCCTGCGCGGCAGCCTGTGTTGACCCTGGCCAGGCGTAGGCCTTGTCTGCCTGGTCCTGTAGCGTGTTCGTGTGATGGATCAGTGCAGCTAGAGTCCAAATGAGGACCAGCATATCCGCGACAATGCCATGCTGTTGTACATCGTCGCGTTCTATACGGGTAGCGTTCCCTTACAAATCTCCCACACGCGAGCCACGGGACCGATGACCCTTGCCGAACCCTATTGCATACTGATTAAGGTCTACATAGAGGCCGTCAGCAAGTCCAGTCTTCTCATCAACCACAATCAACATCGCCTGTCAAACACGAAACCAGCCTTGCATTCGACAGTCATCGCAACGACTCACAGGCCCTGCTCCCAACCAGCTGCGCGAAACAGAAAGCCCCAGCGGAACGAGACCAGTTTTACACTCAGAGCAAGCTGTTTGGATACGAGTGGAATTAAATTACCACGTGTCCAGTCCTATTCCTCTTGTCATTCCTGTCGGCTGGGGGTTGCTGAGCCGAGATAGTCGTTGAGCCCGCCCCACATGGCCCCACATGACTTGCTGAAAGTGTGCGAGCCGGGACAATGCGGTCTCCGTCGTGTGGCGGCTGGCCAATGGCGTGTCATTCCGGGGACTTGTTTGTCTCCTTGAGTCGGCTCCCAGCACAAGCGACTGATGCACACAGGCTGTAGTGTGCCAGAAGACTGATGAGCAGACCTAATGAATTACAAAGCAGTTGGCAGTCCGCCAAGAAAAGTCGCCGAACATTAGGCTGCTTACTGTCCATGCCAAATAGGTTATCTCAAGATCATCAGAGAGGAGGCGAGGCCTGGGCAGTCAAATCAAAGTATAAATCCCTCGCTCGTGTTTGCGGCAAAAACAAAAAGCCTGGGCATATCCCACGTCCAAGCTCGCCTCCATCGCCCGCAACAAGATGCTCGACCAAATTTGCTTGCGCATCTCCCCGGTGCCTCTGCCTCCAGCGGACACCTTCCTCAACCAGATCGCCATCGTGACTGGCGGCACCGGTGGTCTCGGCCTCGCTGCCGCCGCGCACTTTGTCAATCTCGGTGCAAAGCAAGTCATCATCACCAGCAGGAGTGCCCCGAGGGCGAAGCACGCGCTGGAAGAGCTGGAGCGCCTGACCAGCGGCAAGAGTGCGGAACCGGGCAGGGTGCGTGTGATGGAGCTGGACATGGCTTCCTTCAAGTCCGTGGTTGCATTCGTGGAAGAGGCTGGCAAGATCAATGTCGGTAGGGGAGGTGTAGATTGTGTGGTGCTGAATGCCGGGGTTGTTAGTGTCGAGTATGACGCCACCGATGACGGATTGTAAGCGTCTCTCTCTCTCTCTCTTGAACTCCACAAGCCGCGACAGGAGGCCACGACATGTCGACTGTCAATGATGTTTTCATCAACTCTAATGCTCGCAATGCCGTCTGTCACAGCGAACAAGCTCTCCAAGTCAACGCCATCAGCACGGCTCTGCTCGCACGCCTGCTCCTGGAATCCATGCTGCGCGAGCATCCCCACCGCAAAACACCAGCACACATGGCACTCACGGGATCCACGCGGCATACGGACGGCGATGTCGACGTGCTCGGCCGGTGGGCAAAGACCGACGGCATCGTTGGCCATCTCAACAAGCCTGAGAACTATCCCGGATCGAGTCTGACATACCAGAACACAAAATTGCTGGCGCACTATGCGATGGAGAACGTCGCGGAGCTGGCGAGAGACAGAGATTCTGGACGGTAAGTGGCCCCCCACCCCTTCCTTTGCAAAGACATAATTCCCAGCCACGGACACATTACCCGATGGGCGTGAGCATTGCTGGCATAGAACGCCTTTCCTGATTATCGGGCACTCATATAGCCCACGCGTCATCGTAAACACCTGCTGCCCGGGTGTAGTAAAGACGGATCTCGCCCGGCCGTTCGTGTCGCAGAACGCCGCTTACGCCGTGGGCGTTGCTGTTTTCCAGGGCGTGCTGGGCAAGACTGCAGAGGCTGGGGCCCGGACACTCCTGCGGGCAGTCATGACGGACGAGGAACAACATGTGAGCAATCTTCGACCTTGCAGCGAGGGGAAAAGTGTGCTGACTGTGGCTGTTTTCCGCTCGGTATAGGGCGAGTTTATCAGGTTCTATGGCTCGAAGGAGAAATACGCAGTGTAAGTCACGACGTCGAACTCGTTGCATAAAGAAGATTCGAAGCTCAGTTCCATGACATAAACTCCAACAGACAAGCCGAGAAACTGTTCCGCAGTGAGACTGGAAAGCGAGTCCGCGCCTCGTTGTGGCGGGAATTTGGGGCAATCGTCCGGGACAAAGTCCCCGAGGTGGCAGATCGGTTTCTTCAAGAGTGAGGTTTTGGGGCTAGGAGATAGACATATGGTATTCAAGCGAGGCATCGCGATTCACGGTAGTGCCCATAGACCTGTGCGGCAGCTCTCTATTCGAGGCTCACTTCCAGAGGGCGGTGAAGTTTGATCAACATCAACGAAGAGTCTTCGTTTAACAAGTTTTTCCTTGCATTCTTGCTTGTATAAACTATTTAAAATCCGACACCTGAGCAAAAGGTTGGAGAATGTCAATTGGGGAACCGACAATTAGGGATCTGACAGAAGAGCCTGCCGTAGACAATGAGCTTTCAGCATCTTGTTTGCATATGGCCGACTATGCTTGCAGTTTTGCAGGAAATATGGCCGTCGCCAAGCGAGTCGCCAGTCACTGCGAGGCGACGTGTGAAACACTCAAGCCTAGTTCGGACCAGGAGTCCATCCTGCCCTCCAGGCTTCAGCCGATCGCTGACTGTCTGTGCGCCCATGCAGGAGGCGCAAATAACGAGCCCAGGCACGAGGGGTGACTCACCGAGCCTTACGACGCGTTGATTTGCGCCCTAGTCCACCCTCAGCCAATGAAGAAGCACGCTTGTTCGTGGGCTTCGGGGCTATCGACTCGCAAGCCCGGCAAGCCCCGTGGAGTGGGCCATGCGCGAGGATCTGATAAGCCCTTGGTGGATGCCTCTTGCTTGGGTCCCCCCAGCTTATCAGATCCTGATCCCTGCACTTCTCCATTCCTGCCTAAATGCGTACCCAGTCAGGTTTGCGGCACAGCGAGAAGCTTTCTAGGTCTGTCTCGGCGCTCGGTCGGGCGCACCCCAGCTTATGCCGACGAACCAGCACCGCGAGCAGTATAAGTACTCCACGGGGCGCGGTTCTGCTTCTGTGGCAGTTGGTCCCAGCCTCCCAGCTTCAGCCTCCCCCAGCTTCGTCGTATCACGTCGGCCTCCACACAGACCACAGGATTGACGCTCCCAGCTTGCGAGAGCTCGGAACCAATTATCATGGGCAAGACGCACGAGGTTCCGGCCCTCGAGATGGTCGCTACGGCGGCTGACGGCTCCATCATGCCTGTTCAGCCCACAAACTCGACTGCACAAACACACACGATACGCTCCGAGAAGTCGCAAGACAATGATTCTTTCCTCGTGTCCTTCGCCGACGCGCAAGATCCTTCTAACCCACTCAACTGGTCGTCTGGACGCAAGTGGGCCGTCACCGATGTGCTCTCGGCAACCGGCTTCAACCGGATCATGGTATCGACCATCATGGCCCCTGCCCTGCCCCTCATTGCCCAGGAGCTGCACATGTCATCCACGGAAGCCGTCATGTCCATGTCAATCTACCTCCTCGCCACGGCCTTTGGCCCGCTCTTCATCGGCCCGCTGTCTGAGATGTACGGACGAGCGCCCGTCCTGCACGCCTCCAACGTTTGGTTCCTGGTGTGGAACATTGCTTGCGGCTTTGCCACGACCAAGGAGCTCCTGATTGGCGCCAGATTCCTTGCAGGGTTTGGCGCGAGCTCGATCTATGCCCTAGCGGGGGGAGTGCTGGGTGATGTCTGGCGGCCGGAACAGCGAGGACAGTCGTTGGCACTGTACTTGCTGATTCCGCTGCTGGCGGTCGCTGTTGGTACGTTCCCTGAGCCATTCAACACACGGAGCCCATGCCAGTCACTTCTGCTAACGCGCAGCATCAAACAGGGCCCATCATCGGCGGGTTCATGGCCTATCGCACAACGTGGCGCTGGATGTTCTGGGCAACGTCCGTCTTCCAAGCCGTCATGGTCGCCATGTCCTTCATCTGCTTCCGCGAGACCTATGCGCCAGCGATCCTCCAGCGCCGTGCCGAGCGGCTGCGTAAGACCACCGGTGACAGCCGCTACCAGACCGTCTTCGAGCGGCTCGAGACCAACAAGTCCCTCTCCACACGCCTCAGTCGCGCGCTGAGCCGGCCGCTGAGGCTACTCGCCTTCCACCCGATTATTCAAGTCACCTCCATCATGAGCGCCTTCAACTACGGCCTGCTCTACATACTGCTGTCCAGTCTTTCCGAGATCTGGACGGCACAGTACGGGCAGTCTGTCGAGATGAGCGGGTTGCACTACGTTGCCGTCGCCGCCGGCGAGATTATCGGGTCCTTGATAGGCGGCAAGCTGCTCGACATGCTGTACCCCATCATGAAGGCACGCTTCAGCCCAAGACGACCTGCAGCAGCAGATGCAGAAATGCAACACCACCACAACGACACCGCAGGCGCGAACGACGACGAAGACGAGCACACCCCAGAGCTCCGCATCCCCCTGATGCTCCCGGGCCTCGCCCTCGCGCCGCTCGGCTTCTTCCTCTACGGCTGGACGGCGCAGTACCATACGCACTGGTCGGCCGTGGACGCGGGCGTCCTGCTCGCGAGCTTCGGCATGCAGCTCTCGGGCATCCCGCGCCAGGCATACGTCATGGACGCGTACCCGGAGCACACGTCCAGCGCCCTCGCGGCGTCGCAGTTCCTCCAGAGCCTGACGGCGTTCCTGTTCCCGCTGTTCGTGCCGCAGATGTACGCCAGCCTCGGGTACGGTTGGGGCAACAGCCTGCTCGGGTTCCTGGGCCTGTTTGTGGGGTGCCCGATGGTCTGGGCCCTGTGGATGTTTGGGGCGAGGCTGAGGAGTAAGGCCACCATGAGCTACTGATTTGGCGAGGGTTCCTTCCGCGAGGTCTCGATCGCGTAGGATGGAATGATGGATCTCGAAGGGCCACTTCGCCTGGTGACCACCGGGGTCTCAAATCAGAGGACTACGTCGCGGGCCATCGATTTGCTTTCCCCGCCTTTTCAGGGGACCTTATTTAGTCTGTTGCTTGACACGAATCAAGCTTTCACTAGCCTTGTCAATCACGATAATAGATCCTCGCGCGATTTTGGTGGTGTGCAGACGTCAGACAACAGAGCCACCCTAAATGTGACCAATCGGAGACGCTCCAGCCGGGCCGAGCCCCCTTGGTTCGCATTACCTAAATGTTTGCCCAAACAACGTCCACCTTTATGCATTTCCGAGGCAAGAGCACCAGGGTAGAGGCGGCTGGCTGGCTGGCCCGCTGGGAGTGAAATTAAGCATATCTCGGGGGGGCTGCAGATGAGTTGGCAATGGGCCGCGCTGTATGAGCCATTTATCGACCCTGCTGTGTGTCTGGTTTGCAGAGTCGCCGTGGACCCTAAATATCCGGGCTGCAGCATATTTCCTAGGCAGAAAGGAGGTTGGGCATTCGATCACGGGGATGATTCACCAGCCTGCTCAGGTTTGTGCAGGCAATTCAATATCCGATCGCCCGTTAACTTGCCTATCCGACATGTGCGAGCGTAATGCGGTCAACTGTCTCGAACTTGCGGCCCTGGACTAGGCAGGCGATGATGTGACCGCATGTCGGTCTGGTGATAATTGCCGCATATCGAATCTCAAGCATGTGCAGAGACATGTGAGCAAGACCACCAGGCCTTATTCACTCTTCGGTTTCTCTTCTTTCTTTGTTCCCAGCCACTCTCTGCACTCGTGAGCGGGATTTTTTCAGATTCTGCCTGCAGCGGCAACTTCTCATCCCTAGCTGATCTCAACAACAAGAACAGCTCGTAAGAGTAAATTCATCTCTCCCCGACAGCTCTTCAAAAATCCCTCACAACACCTGGCGCAAACGCATTCAGCAGCAGCAAGCAGCCATGGCGGGCGCAGCTTCCCCACCAACCGATACCCCATCAACGGACTCTCCGTCCGCCTCCGGGCCCTTGATATCCCCAGACGCGACGAAAATGGCGCTGGCCCTGAGCGTCATCTTCATCTTGTGCATATTCGGCACCGCGTTCGGTGCGAGGCGGTACATTCGGCGCGGCGGATTCAACCTGGACCACCAGCATCAGCAGTCGCAGCTGCAACATCGGTACTATTACTACAGACACGGCTCAGCATCACCACCATCAGGCGGGCGTTTTGATCATAGAAGCAGGAGATGGAGGGGAAGAGCGAGGGGGCAATTGCAGATGGTCGAGCTCCCGCTCGCGAGTCATTACCGGCTGGGTCTGCTGCGCAACCGTGATGTCAGTACGTCAAGGAGGTTGGCAGCGCGCAAGGGCTTGGCAGCGGACAAGATCGGGCGGTTTCCTGTCGTTGAGTTTCGACATGAGGACTTTGTTCTCGTTGGAAAAGGCGAGCGGCTCGATCCTGGTTTCATAGCGGCCGTGGCGGAGCCCGACGAGACACGAGATTCACCTCAGCAACATCCGCAACAGGAGCATCAGTCACAGCCACCATCATCCAGGACGGGAGGAATGCTTTCTCTCGAGACGTTCCCGACACTCTCGAAAGCCGTTGCTTCCTTGCGGTCACGGCATCATCATATAGCAGGCGGCCCGGAACGAAACGAACAGCTCCAAGCAGCCGAGCCCTCGTCTCCACTGACACGAATCAGCTGCTCCATATGCACCGACGACTTCGTCGAGGGCGTGCGCGTGCGGCGGTTGCCCTGCGGTCACGTGTTCCACCCGGGCTGTTTGGATCCGTGGCTGCGTGATCGGGCGAGGACCTGTCCGTTGTGGTAAGTGGTGTGTGTTGGTTGACTGATGCCTTTTTCTGCGATGGCTGTTTGTGCTTTCTGATGTATGAGTTCGTGTCAGAGCTGATCATTTTGGGTACAGTCGGCTTGATCTCGAGGCACATCTTGCGCTTGTGGACTCCCTTGGTGTAGACAGTGGGATGCTACAGAAGCCAGAAGCTGCCAAACTGCCACTTAGACCCACGTCATGAGCGTAGAAGATGATGGCATTGTCAGTTCATCGCTCTTTCGAAGAGGATGCATGAGCACTACCGAGATGAATCCGGGCCGTGGGCATACACGATGGTCAAAATTTGACCTTTCATCCCATGACTGGTGTCCTTCATCTCAAGACTAGACTACTTCTGTGCTGTAAGCCCGAACGCGCTGTTGTGGGCTATGCATAATCCAGTGTTGCTCAGTACATATAAGCCACCTCTCATCCCATCCAGTCTGTACATTCGACTTCGTCCATTACCTCTCTTGTTCCATTGTTGTTCGTCACGAGACATTTTCTGGTTCAGCTTTCCTGCATACTCCGTTGCGCCAACCCGCAAGTTTAATGAGTCCCTGCCTTCCGGAGGAGAAAGAAAATTGCCGTTCGGAGCCTATCATGTCATTGCCTACATCTATCCATCAGCAACACCAATCAGCTCGCAGCATCAACACAAGCACAAGGCATATGTGATAACGTGCCATACCCTGCATTTATCCTCTTTCCACTTGAAACCCCTGTCTCTCGGGGGGACTCCCTCCACAGAGGCTGAGCCGAGCCTGCAGAATGTTGCGCTCTCGGCTCGGTGACTCGAGCTGACATGCGAAGAACTCTTTAGCACCAGCCAACCAAATTCACGGACGGTAGTCAACAAGTTTTTGGATGATAGTGCGAGCAGCCTGAGCGACGGGCCACAGCTTGTGCCTGCGGTGGAGCACGGGTACACCTTCCACGGGATAAATGAAGTATACATGGTGGTTGCTAGTCAGCATAGTCAGGAAGACTCTTAGATTGACCCAGCGGTCGAGGGGAAAAGCCCGTCTTCGGCGCTGCTGTCATGAAAGGGTCAATCCACCTCCGTATCGCTGTTTAGCGCGTCGTAACAGGGCCCGTCCTCCTCCATATCGCTGTCCGTAGCACCATGAAGGAGTAAGAAATGTACAAAGCCAGCGTTATTAAACTTTGCAGCTCGCAGTGCGGAACCATATTGCCCGCCACGGATGGAGACATCCGCTCCATGAGCGACCAGCAGCTCCAGAGACTGGACCCCGTCACTATCCCAGTGGTACTCTTCGCTGGAGCAGAGCGCCTGCAGTGCGGTACCGTACTTTCCACCCTGGGCATTGGCGTTCGCCCCGTGCTGGAGGAGTAGCCGGACGGCGTCGAGGTGCATTTTGTCGCAGGCTGCATGTAGGGGGAGGTTTCCATCGCGGCAGGATACGTTTGGATCTGCTCCGTGACTTAGCCGCAGCTGCACGATGTCGGCGTCGGCTTTGTGGTGCCTAAGCGCCCTGTTCGACACGTACAAAGGAGTCACAATGCACGCTGCATATAGAGGAGTGAACCCAGCTAGATTCGGAGTGTTGGCGTTGGCCCCGTGCTCCAGCAACGTCGACACAAGTTCCGCACAGGAATTCATGCAGGCGGCGACGAAACACTCGGGGTCACCCAGATCGAGACAGACCGCTTCGTTATGGTCGAGAAGCAGCCTCACGAGTTCTAGCCAGCCGTCGCTGCAGGCGAGAACCAGGTCCTCCTAGGTGGGCGTGGCGCCTGCTCTCAGCAACAATGGCACAAGTGCATCCATGCTTCCGCGCTTACGCAAGGCATGGCGCAGCGCGCTCGGGTCCTTATGCGTGGCACCGGCATCGACCGTTGCCTCAATGATCTCCAAGGAGCCCATCTGAGTGGCTTCGCATATCTCACACGCAGTGCTATCACTACCATGTTGCTGGACTGTGGCGCCCCTTTCTATCAATACCAGAGCCGCAGCAATGTCCCGGCTGCGAATCGCCTGCATGAACAGCGTGCATGTTCGCGCTGCAGCACCAGCATATGGTATATAGTCAACGGGGAGACCGCAATCCAGAAGTTGGACAAGGGCGGCGCATTCTTGCTGCGGGTCGTTATCCCAACCCTGCCCGAACACCTTGGAGTAGTGGACTGCTGGCAGCGAATGCTGTTTAATGTACAGTGCGAGGGCCATTCTGTAAAGGCGTTTTCGAAGTGCAAAGTCAAAGGGCATGCAACCGTTATTGTCCGCGACGTCAGGTTGTGCCCCATGGGCAAGCAGCTGACAGACTAGCTCCAGGTGCCCAGACATGATGGCATGGAGGAGCATCGATCGCGACTTGCCTGGGCTAATCGGCTGGTTCGGATCCGCACCGCTGCGAAGTAGGACGACGACGGAGCTCTTGTAGTAGCGCGACACGGCGAACTGTAGAACCGAGCAATCCTTGATGCCCCTCGGTCTCGGCTGTCCCGGTACAAAAATTGACTGGGCCGGACCGCCGTCGTGCTTGACCAGCTGCTCAAGGAGCGTAGGGCATGACCTGAAGGCCAGGTCGTGCTGCTTGGAGCACCCTTCGAATAGCGGTCCCGACGTGACCCAATATCCATACAGATGGTCCAGTACTTGATCGAGCTGCCAAAAGTCAAGGTCCAGTATCCACTGGACCTGGCAATACTGAGAAGCCGCAAGCTCGGCGTGGCGTAGCAGGGACGAAACTGCATGGCGGAACAGAGGAGCAGCGTCCCTGTCCCACTCTAGAGGCTGACCTGTGCTCCGTGAAGTGAGAAGTTGCTCCTTCGCGAAGTCATATAGGCCTTGGCCGAAATCTTTTAGACGCTGGTGGCAAGCAGCGCTGTCGTGCGCGTTCTCGCCGAATAGCTCAAGCATGCCGTTGTCCTTAATTAGATAGTCTCTGACTGACTCGTGGATAAACTGGACCGTGGGATAGAAAGATGTTGTTATCTCTGCAAGACCCCTCGATGTGGTCACGACGAAGTTGCTGAGAATGTCGGGTGTAAGATGACTGTCCTTTGACGGTTGGAGAAAGCCCACAACTCCGGGTTGGTGGCCAATTCTCATCATCCAGTAGTACTCAAACGGGTCAAGAGCATAATCAGCGTACAGGAGCCACTGGACACAAAGCTTTAGATCTTCGTTACTGTCGGAACCGCCCTGGATGATCTCTCTGAAGAGATCGCTCAGCTGTGGCGGTAGCCGTTCCAAGCGCTCTTGAATCCGAGTGGCATCGGTACGGCCGTGTCTCCAGTCCTGGGAGAGCAAGTTGACCACTAAGACTGCCCAGAGAAATACACTATTCGCCTTCGAAATGATGTTTTGGATAAGATCATCGCGTACTGTCCCCGGCCAGCTCGACAGCTCGGCTCGGACATATCGGCTAAGGTCTTGCGCGTGGCCGAATTGTTCTTCGAGCACGATCTGAATGCCTTTACGCATATCGACTACCGGGTACGGTCGACTAGAGAAGCAGATTCGAAATGTGACGGCGCTTGCGAAGGCATCTCTAGCCTGCATCTGAAATCTCTTAACCATCGCTAAACCTTCCTCCTCTCCGCACTCATCGAGGGCATCGATGAATAGCGTCAAGCGCCGCGGCCCGAGCTTTGCCACCGCCTTTGACAACAGCCTATGCAATCTATTGGCCGTCCAATCGCAGCCGCTATGGCTGTCAAGAATAGCTTGGAGATCCGGCACCGCTTTTAGCAGTTGTAGTAAGAGTGAACGATACATGCCTGTCGTGGACTTCTCGAGATCATTGCCTCGGGCATGAAAGAAGAAGGCGAGGACGAGATCGTTGGTTTCAGCATTGCTCTGAGTTGTCTCGAACAGGTATTTCATGATGGTCGATTTGCCGACCCCAGCCTTGCCCCTGATCCAGAGAAACCCATGGTGGGCGAAGTGCCGGGTGGCATCCAGCCAATCGCGGTATGCCAGACTCTCGATGATCCATGCGCACGTCTCGTCGTGGGGCTCGCTGATGTCTTCGTAGCGGGCATCAATCTGTTCGAAGGACAGGCTCTCCAACAATTCCTGCCGGAGCGCCAACTCCGACTTAGGTGGTTGTGGCACTAATGTGTATTAGTGACATGCTCATGAAAGCTTGGGACACCGTGACACATACCTTTCTCGACTGCTCCCAGAGCTCTGGTGAACGGCTGGCTCGGGACTGCCGGGGCGCTATGCAGCAGGAACTTCTTTGCGAATGCAGCTGCCGTTGCTGCCGCGTAGTCCTGCCACTCCTTTCTCTTGTGAGAATCTGCGTAGTCGCATATCCCCCGCACAACAAGACTTGGGAAGTCGTGCTTAAGGCCGGCAGCCTCCATCTCGATGCAGAGCGCATCATGCGACTGCCCAATATGATTGCGCAGCTTCGCGTCCTTGACGACCTGATCGCCAGAGGCGATGGTCCCGTAATGCACTATGGGCTCGTCTTGGTCCTGACGGTCTCTTCTGTGGACGAGGTTGGAGCGATCGCACGAGTCGCAGCTCAGCCTGCCGTCGGGGTGCTCGTACGAGTCCTGATAGAGGAGGTCGGCGAGCATGTTCCGGTCGAGAAGTCGCCGTAGCGAAGGGCGAGCAGTCTGCATGTTCTCGAGGATCGGTCCGATGAATGGCGGCTCGAGAGTGGCCCTCAGGAGCGACAATGTCGATCCAACGGCGCTGTGCAGACTGTATACCGTGCCCGTGTGTAAGAAGTCTCCGCCGGCAAGCTCTTTGCCGAGGTCATGCTGTACAACGCGCTCCCCGACGACAACGTCGCCTAGTCTCACATCCGCCGGGAAAGGAACGCCACCGGCGATGCCGACGAGGAGAAGCATCTGGATGTTGGGGAAGCTGCGGCGCATATGCACAGCGACGTTGGCAGCACTGTTGTTACCGTAGTCGCCAGACGGGAGGCATGCCAGGACGACATTGTGCTGGTGGATACGCCCAAAGGCATAGGTATTGTGGTCGTCCCTGTCCCGGGGGAGCGTGCCATGCTGTTCGTCGAGGCAGGCGAGAGCAGCCCGCAGTTCCAGCGGGAGAGCACTCACCCAGCCCACGCTGTACTCTCCTTTATGCAGAAGGCGTGGCGGCTGCGAGGAGATGGCGGCCGCCATCGAAGTGAGGGCCACTGCGCGCTGGCCACCGCGAGGCCTTTCAGCGCGCTGAATCACACGTCGTACTGTAATGTTCTTCAAAGCCGGGGCGAGGATCTTGCGCTGTCAGCATGGGGGGTTGAGGCTGGCAACTCTCCCAGCACGACCCCTCATCGCCAGCCTGGGAGCATGGGTACAGTATCCGTGGCCATCGCCACCCTCAGGAACCGGCGAGGAGAGCAAGGGGTGGCTGGAGATAGCCAACGGCGATGAATGGTAGCACGCGAGCTCAAGGTAATGTCATATACCAATGTGAACTACTGTCCCCAAATCCAACTTGATGGCTCACAATTTCCCGTGCAGTATAGTTTAGGGCCATTCATACTAGAAAGTATGAGCTTATTGGGGGGAGGCATATTTAGTAGCAAGCTGAACACTGCGAATTGTGCAAGATCTGCAACGCTCACTGAACCAGTTTCAGTAGAGATCAGCCCTGGCCGAGCCAATATCTGCCTTTGATTCATTCAAGTGGTGTGGAAGAGACCGACTCGGCCTGGCAGTCGGCGATGCAGCTTCATCTACAGAGTTGTTAAGACGTGTGGCTGAAGCGGCTCCACGCTGCCTCGCCCTGGCTGCAGTGCTGCACGTAGAACGCCACCTCTTCCAACACGCATTGGAGGACTTGTATGGACGTAATGCACCGTCCGCAGAGATAAGAGAACTGGCTGGCTGGAACGGCGCGGTTCTGCTGGCTCAGCTAACGCAGGCACCTCAACTGAATCTCGGTGGTGCGCGTGTATTACGCCACTGGCGACCCAAGTCGGCCGTATCACAGACTTCACACAGTTGCCCTCAGCTCTCAGCTGCGAAGGGGACGCCGACGCTGTTCGTATATTAGAGCTTCTGCAAGTCTATCTACTGTAGTCGTGGCAAGCAGTATGATATTCACTTGGATGTGGACCACGCCGCGTCGAAGCGCCTCAGGCCACTGGCAAAACACTGAGTCTGCGCCTGACCTTGATGCCTAGGCCCCTCTCCAATGTGCCTGGTAGCTGCCTGGTTCCTCACTCCATGCCTCGTCTATGGAAACCACGGCAACGGGCAGCAGAACCAGGCCCTATCAGCCCAAATAAGCATCCTGTCCCAACAACAGACACAGCGCAAAGCCATGTTGCCCGTCTGGCCTAGTGGCATGAATTAAGTGTCTACCTTTGATCAGACGAATGCATCCAAAGACGGGACCTAGTCGGAGGACCGATTCCGGCAGGCAGCCCCGAGGAGGTCAAGGTAGAGGCAATACCCTCACTATGGTTCCTCGCTTTTTTTTTTTGGTCTCCAAGATCAGATAGAGAGGGCTAGGCAAGTTTTGGGTTCAAGACCTGCCTTGGCTCGTAGTAGAGTCCTTTTTATCGTTTGTTTAAAGACTTCCAAGGTTCACACGCAGAGGAAGACATCTTGCTGGCTAAGGCACGTGTGCAACCCAGGTTCCCTGGGAGTTGCGCCACAGATCAGATGCACGTTTGGCATTATTGATTACACTCAAAGCTATATGTCAGTGTCAAGCATCGCGAGTGTGGACGTTGAGCATCGCATGAGTTGTATTCACGAAGCACTCACATCGAACTAGTTGATGTCTTCACGTGATGTTCATAACTGGATGATCGGTCCTAGCTCTATGCCGTTTCCTTTTGTTACTAGCCTGCCAGGAGCTAGGATTCGTGCTGTAAATAGGTCATTGGGTGAACACCAGGCCTGTGCCTGGCAAAAGGTCCAGAAGCCCAGGTCCTTTCTAGTATATGAGAAATGCCCAATTGTCATGTCCGCTTGGTAAGCAGCTGATTGAATAATCAAACACCCACGATCTTAGTAGTGCGTAGCCCCGTTAATCCTTCTTTGTATGCCAAGAAAAATCGTTCACTCCAGTATGCTCTAATTGCCAAGATTGCTGGCGGTCACGCAATTGTGTGTAGGTCAAGATGCAATGCCCGTTGCGGCTGATATGCTTACAAAGCTCTGGATTGTAAATCGCCCTTGGCCTGGAACGTCTGGGGTGCATCCCAGCCGCAGCGGCGCGGGCCCACTGCTGCTGTGCTGTGGTGCGTCGGCACAGAGTTCCGTCCCAATTAGCCCGTCATGAATAAATGACGACAGGCAAGCGCAGCAGCACCGAGTATTGGCCCATTGGACCTCTGCCCAGGCGCACAGCCAGGCTATCGAGGCCCAATGCCAAGATCCAACTTCGTGAAGATGTATACAATTTGCACGTTTGCCTCCAGATCCCCGGCCCTTAGAGCAAGGACATGCAGGCGCAGCTACAGACCTGGGCGGCTGCTGTCACGTTGCAAGTGCCCGATCTCGGGAAGCGCCGATGCGTCAGTTAGCCTCCCCGGGGCTGAGCTAGGCGCGGATGAAACCAGGGCGCTGGCTTGGCTGAATTAATCAGCAAAAGCTTGAGCCATGGGGCCACAATGCTTAGGTGGGTTTAGAGCATGACTTTCCGGTGTGTCCAGAGGTCTTGGATCATTCATTCACACTGTGATGTCTGGTCTGCTTCGTGCAGAGAAGTGCTGTTTCGAGAGGAAAGTGAGCTCCCCGGAATTAAAGATGAAAGCGAGCTCTCGTGTTGAAGTGGCAGTTCTGCCAAGAGGGCAATGCCAATGACCTCCTGGCCTCCTGACCTGGGGCGTGGCTGAGAAGTGTCAAAAGCCCCGGCGGTGTCTGGGAAGGAAAACTCTGGGCAGGGCGCTGGGCAGGTCACTACGGGCGGCGACTGAGTCACTTCATGGTGGTGCCAAAGTGGTCAGAGGACGGCGCCCTACCAGGGTGCTGGCGCCGGGGAGCCTGATGTGGCCTAGGCCGGGCCGCCATGCCCTGGGGCCCATGCGACTACCCCACACGGCTGCAGCAACGGGTGAATCGAACCTCAACGTCGGGTGGGAACTATGAGTGGCTGCGTGGCACACTTCCGCCCGTGGTAGCCCCGAGTATAAAGATCGCAGACATTGCCCCCCTCAGGCAATCGTCGGCGGCGGTCTGAACGAGTCCCTGCATCGCCAACTACACCCTGCCTGCACTAGACACAAGCCAGATGCGAGCTCGACCGCAACCTCCCTGAGCACCTTGAGACTTATACTAATAGGTTCCCCCTTCTTGACATCATCACACCCTTAGCCGCGGCAGGCTTACGACGACTATTCGACAGCAGCTCCTGCGTCATTTGGCTTCTCCAGCCAAAGCCTAGCCATCCTCTTGGACCCTCAATTCGGTTTTGCCAAGAACACCGCCAAGACCTGCCAGCGGCAGCAATAACGACTATACATACAAAGAATAACACCACTCGCGAGGGACTCAGACCCCCTCTACACACCCAAGATGACCCGTCGCGATATCCTCGAAGAGCCTCCGGCGTATGACACGCTCTTCGACACACGCGAACAGCTCCCAAACTATGCGAGCATCGCACCACGGCGGCAGGAGAGCCCGTGCTACTACCAGCCCACGGGAGCTCCCACTGCCACTACCGCCGCCGCCGCCACCACTTCATCCTCCTCATGCGCCTCCTCTTCTTTCTCGCAGCACGAGCCACGCCGGGGCAGCGACACGAGCACGTGCTCCTCGTCCTCCTCCTCCTCCTCTTGCTCTTCCGCAGCGGACAAGCCAGAGAAGCGCAAGAAGAACAAGGACAGCAGCAGCAAGAAGGAGAACAGCTTCCTCTCCAAGTGGCGCGCCGATCTCGAGGAGGACCGCGCCCGCCGGGCCCGGCGCGTCGTGCACATCTCAGCCACCGAGGCGGATCGGATCATGGGGCTGAACCAGAAACCCAGCCCAGGGAGCCGCGAGGTGCGCTGGCGGGTGTACTACGAGTGCCAACCCTCATCCGAGAAGAGGCGGCAGCAATGAGCAAGGAGCGACATCAAGACAAGAAGAGCGAATCCGGCAAGGCAGCGCGAAACCGATAATGAAGAGGGAGGAGGCGGATTACTGAGTCGGAGAGGAAGAGGAGGATATCGCGGGGGATGAGATTGTCGAGCGAATTGCTTGTTTTTGTGTTTCCTTTGTACATATACCCTGGCCTTGGAGCCACATATCCTTACGTAGCATCATCGCTTGTTATTTTCTAGTTCATGATACCCGAAATTGATTTACTTGTTTCTGTCAGATCAATCTAAAAGGCTGCGGTCACTGTGTGAGTTCATATCTACATGCTGTGACATGGTGTTGCGAAGGTACTCCCGGATGCATAAGTTTCCGAATCTCGCAGTAACAGGGCAAAGTTGTGTATGATAGACTATTGCAGAGACCCAGAGTTCCAAACATGTAATGGCCATATTGCAACTTGAACTTTGTCCTGGCATTATCACATACTGGACGAGAAAGGTTATGTGCACTTCAGATCACTTGCGAAGCCGAATATATGGTTGAGAAAACCCAACCAGCTCTTCTGTAATGACAAGCCATTACTTCAAACATAAACATAAATTTAAAGGGACTGAAGCGCCCCTGGATATCCAAGTTCTTACTCTGTCTGAGCTTGTGCAGCGTTGCCCGGGCACCAAGGAACCTCCTTGCGCCAGTCTCATATGCCGCTCACCTTTCGAAAAGTTACAGGTCGCAGATATTGTACAGATATCGCATTTTTCGGAGCGAAGCCATCGCGCAAGACGCCGTATATCGGGCGTTCCGGTGACTAGGATCCAATATGCAGGCACTAGAGGTCTTCCAAGTTTGTGAGATCGGGATCGGATCGTAAGTGGCCATGAGGGGGACGGGTTCTGCGTCTAGCTCAACAATCTCATCGCGATCAAATTCACTCCAGTAAATGCTGCAAGAGCTTGCACCGAGCAACGCCCTCAGGCCTCAATCACAATCTCTCGCTTGCCTGTGCCTGTTATGAAAGATTCCAACCACCTTCCTGTCCCTGAAGGCACCGCGTCCTTCAACTTTCAGTAGATATTGCATTCAGCATACGATATTTGGACACAATGTAGTGGCACCCCACACGTCTCGCGATGCCGGCAGCCAGAAGACCGCTTAGGCCCTGTAACCATCAAGTTTCTCGATATCAAAATGCATGATCACATGATGCATGACTCCCTATCATACCGAAATGCGGAAGGCGAGCCATCAACCTCGCCAAGGAGCCGCTCTTGCTCTGTTTTTCAGGCATCTACCTCAAAAACTTTGTTATTATCGACTGTGGCCAAATCACCACCGTGGGCTTTCAAGATGCCAGTTACTTCCCATTGGGATTTCAGAGGTTGGGGCTGCTTGGAACCACGGGAGAGCTGGGGTACGATATCATGGACGTGATCGCTCTACCCAGCACTTCGAGCTCTGATAATATCGCCGCACTGCTTGACGCAATTGCGTAAATGGTGACCAAGTTTTTGGCTTTCGTCCTTCGGCACTGCTGGTCGGAGGGCAGCATGGAGAATGACCAGGAGTTCTATTGCTAATGGTGCTTTGCCAACACATCCAGCTTGGCTTGGCCGGTTAATATCTCTACTAAATCATACCCGTTCTTCTGGCTGCATGCCTCGGTTAAAAGAGTGCCATACAGGAGATACATGGGATTGGTGCTCACTCAGAAGTTCACTGCACCTTGGGCCACCCATGGCATGTCTGACACTCTGGGGGCGCTGGTAGTAGGAGAGGATACGTGATAAAAGACGCTGGTAGGGCCGCGGAAAGACCTAGTGCTTATAAACATAATCTAATGTGTCACATCGCTTCATTTGACAGGCATCCAGGAAGCATCTGAGAGTGAATCGCAATGGATGTCGTCGACTCACGGTGACAGTCGAGGTGGAGCTCAGGCACCCCGCATGGGCTGGAGGGTGGGGCGGACTTGGTGCCTTATCGCAGTGCTGGCAGCGTCATCCACAGCGCACCTGGTCTTGTGACTCCAGTGGGACAAGCCGCTGGAGCACGGACATGAGACGAGAGACTTTGCACGCCTCCGCGTGTACAGCGACCGCAGTGAGCACGTCACGCCTTGACGAGGTACCAAACTCTCCACCTCAATGTCCCTCCACAGTACAACCACGGTCACTCTGGGCCGGGCCAACCCGCAAGGTCCCCTGGCGCCAACTCCACTTCCCATCATGACATTGCCGGACCACACTCCCATCCCGCCTTCTCCTCTCCTTCCCGACTACAACCTTCACGACACCACGCCGTCCGCCTGCGAACATCGACCTCGTCCCTGACCTCCTCCTGGTTGCCCTCGAAACGCTCACACAGTAGCATACCGCCCACTTGCCACCCGCCCGCGAGCTCCGACGTCACCGCCCTGGTCGATTCCCCCGCACCATCGAAACGGGCAGATCCAGAACGAGCAATCTACCCAGTCGATCATAGCTGCCTCGACAACGCTTGTCGAGGGCAGTACCGACTCATATCTATTCCTGTGCTTGCAAAGACGGAGAACGACTCAGAACCGCCACAATGAGTAGCCCACGCAGGAGAATCGAGACAGATGTGAGTCTGCCGGAATCTCCTTCGTGTTGCAGGGGTACAGAGGCTAACTCGCGATCGTGGGCAAACAGGTCATGAAGTACGCTGAAAAATCCTCTGGCTGGCTCGTCCGTCCTTATGGTGCTCTACTAACATGACTTTAGGATGTACGTCGTGCACGACACCGCTACCCGCGAGGCTGTTCCACTGACAAACGCAGGCTCATGAGCGACTACGAAGTCACACTGGTGAACGACAATAGTAAGTCAAGCATCCAGACGAATGTTTATGGTTCAGGCCCGAAACGCTCCGTGGTTCAACTTTTGCTAATCATTTCTGCCTTGTAGTGTAAGCTCCAAATGTCAGACGTTGCCCGTTATGAGGCTGCCACTGACACCGCACAGGCAAGAATTCTACGTTCGCTTCAAGGGCCCCACAGAAACGCCATTCGAGAACGGCCTGTGGAAGATCCACGTCGAGCTGCCCGACCAGTACCCGTACAAGTCGCCCAGCATCGGCTTTGTTAACCGCATCTTCCACCCGAATATCGATGAGCTGTACGTGCGCGCCCGCCCACCGGAGACTGCAAAAGGACGACGAGTCCCACGCAAACAAAAAGGCACATGGGCAACCGGGAGGGGGGAAAGAATGAGCTGACTTTGCAATGTTGAACAGTTCCGGATCCGTCTGCCTCGATGTCATCAACCAGACGTGGTCGCCAATGTTTGACATGATCAACATCTTTGAGGTTTTCTTGCCCCAGCTGCTGCGCTACCCCAACCCCTCCGATCCCCTGAACGGCGAGGCGGCCGCGCTGCTGATGCGGGAGCCCAAGAGCTATGAGGCCAAAGTCAAAGGTAGGTGTCTCAAGACTGCGAGCACCATCTCCCCACTTGCCTGTCCGTCGGCCGACCTAGTGCGTGGCTGACACCTTCTGTCTGTGTTTTTTTCTAGAATATGTCCAGAAATATGCCAGCAAGGACGCCGCCGACGAGGCCGGCGCCGAGAGCCAAGAGGACGACGATCTGTCCTCAGTGGCCAGCTTTGGTGACGACGACGACGACGACGAGCCCGCGGGCCAGATGGATGATGTATAAGGGATTTCACACACAGAATGAGCCCAACCCCCCTGGGCCGGACTTTTCCAGCGTCCGTGCCCCCTTAGGCGTTTCCATTTGTTCTGGATTAGGAGTATGATGGCTTTGCATTTGGTGCCTTTTGTTCTTTTTGTTCGGAGGATTGATATGGGCATTGCCTCAATGGGCTAACATGGACTGCGTCATTGTTTTCTTGTCTTTTTCCCGCTCTCGGAGACGTCAGTAGTGCTACCTGGGGAATGGACAGGCAATTGCACAATGCTGTCCACAACGCCGCTCGGGTACGGTGCTGCGCTTCACAAGATTACATCAATAGTCAAACAGGAATTACTCTACTCTCCCATCACATTGACGTGCGAGCTGGGCCCAAACTCCCAACAAGCCTGTGTTGTGCGTTGCTGTGGTACCATTCAATGTTCTATATGTCCTAATCATGCTGAGCTTGAAGCCGGGGGTATCATATGTAGTGTATCTAGTCGTGAACTCATTCCTGCACGTTGCTGATCCAGCGGCAACTCTATCTCGTTGGTACTGGCACACCGACTCAATCAGAGTCATACTCCACCAGCGCAGAAGGCAACGTCACAGTCGGCTTGCCAGAGCCACCTGCGTCTGCTCTGCTCTCTTCTCCATCCTTCTCCTCGGCAGATGTATCGTCTCGTAGCCGCGCAATTTTCAAGGCACTTCCCGTGGGAGTTGTCGAGCCGTCGGAGCCTGAAGTCCCCGCATCAGTAGCAACGCTCGACTGCTTCCGCTTGATGCCGGCGAGTACGCGAGCAGCTGTCTGAGACCGTGCTTGCTCGCCAGGAGACGAGGAGAAAGCGGTGAGGAAAGGGTCGCTGGCAGCGCGGGTGTTGCCGACAATCTCTGACACGAGATGGTCGCGGTGCTGGGCGGCCGCGATCTCTGACTTTTTGAGGCGCTTTGAGTGCTTGTGGGCGCTGGGTGTTGTTTTAGGTGTAGTGCCACTGTTCAAGGCTCTGCGATCTGGTGTTCTTGACGCACCCCTGGATGCGGGATCGATCTTGCTCGGAAACAGCGGTTTGACCAGTGCCCAACTACCATCCGCGCCCTCGCTGTCCGCGGGGCGGAAGTCGACGAGGGCGGCACGCCTCGCGTCCACGTCGTTCTCCGGCAACAGGTCGATCCCGAGACTCATGCGGTCCTTGAGGTCCTCGGCCGCCCGCCCGGCCTTCTCGCGCTCGTGCCTGCCCACGCGGAACTCCTTGCGCAGCCGCGCGTTCGCGGCGTACGGGTCGTCCCAGCCTCGTGCCTGGACGGCCTCGATCTCGTCGATCCGCAGGCGCGCCTGGGCCGCGTGCTCGCGGTCCTCGATTGTGCGCTCGAGCTTCTTGAACGCGCTCGCGCGCATCTCCTCGCGCTCCTTGTCCGTCAGGATCCTCAACCCGCCGGCCTCGCCGTCCCCGGCGCTGACGACCAGCCCGCTCGCATCCCGGACCCCGTCGTCGCCCGTGTCGCGCCTCCTGCCGCCCGAGGCGACCACGTACGCCGTGTTCTGCGGGTCGGTCCGGATCTCAATCTCCCCGCCGCACGCGGCGTGGCGCATGCGGAAGCTCCAGATGGGCGTGCTGTGGTACTGGCCCGCGCGGCTCTTTGTCGCGTTGAAGCGCACCCCCTGCCCGATGATGGTCGGCTTGGCGCAGGTTCCGCACCACACGGCAAAGGGCATCTCGAAGCGCACCGTCTGCTGGAGGGTGCCGTCGCTCGCGCGGACGCGCTGGCCGGGCGGTCTCTTGCGGTGGAGGGCGTTCCCCGTCGTCGTTGTGCCCTCGAGGTCCGGCGGGACGTAGCGGCCCATGTTGAAGCCCTGCATCTTGGGCGGGTGGTGTGCAGCAACCGCTGCTGCTGCTGCTGTCGTTAGTCGTGAATATGGTCGTGTCGGTGTGTTTTGTGCTGGCTCAGTCAGGCTGTCTTGCTCTTATGATGGTCGCGGGGGTCGAAGTGCTCAGGTCGTCTCGAGAGGAGAGCCACATGTTGCGGTCCAGGCGGCAGGCAGATTCTTGTTGGTGGTGACGACGGAGAAAAAACGCTGGGCCTGAAGGCCGGGAGGTCGAGGTTCAAGATTGGAAGCCGCCGCATGCACGCCACGCACTTCTCCACACCAAAGCGTATTTGTGGTTATCTCCATCGGCTTACGTAAACCACGCGCACTTACAAGATATGCCACAAGTTGATACCACAGACCTCTGTCTGCAACGCGCATCATGTGTTCTAGGCTACGAATATTTCTTTCTGATGTTCCATGTTAATGATTTCGTGCCAAGACTTTGCAGCCTTAAAGTCTTTCACTGCCCGCCGCTGAGCTACTGAGAAAAGTGCATGACACCGACCATGCGGACAGTCTTGTCAGCCTTGATAACATCTAACCTGAGCAACTTCAAAGCGGCCTCCGAACGGACCAAGATAATAGCATAGGACTGAGCAGGAGGGAGACTTGACTGATAGACTTCCGATGTAAGTCTGAAGCGTGCCAATGCTTGCGTTACTTACATGAGTCGAGGAAAGAGTGACGTGCAACATCTGATATTTGACATTCATGCATGCAGGCGCTTGTTTGATTCAGATTGGCTGATTGATTCTATTCATCTACTTTCAACTTTGAAAAACTATCCGAGATCTGAGCCAGCGTCAGAAGCCAGGCCGCAAGGTGTCGATACACGAGGCAAGCTCAAAACATTGAACCAGACAGTGTGCTATTGCGCCTGCAGTCAAATCCCAGCCTCCTCCTCCGACAGAGGTCGGCTCGTTTTACAGCAGTCCCAGATGCCTTGTAAAACGGTGTGCGGTCCGGCCTTCTTTGTGGCTGCGGACAACAACAACAACAACACCACCGCTTACAGAGTGTATTGGTATAAGGGGCTCTTCTCGCCCATGGCATCCAGCTGCTCCTGAGTGTACTGCGCCCTGATCTCGCTCTCCGACTTGAGCGCCTTGGCCTTGTTGAGCTTCCACAGGCTGAACTCGAGCACGCACGCCGCACACAGAGCCAGGCAGATGACACCCAGCGAGACGCCGTAGCCGGTAGGGTACGTGGGGCCCTCGCGGTCGAGGAAGATGTTGGTGCCGATCAAGCTGCCAAAGTTGCCTGCGGCCAGGAGCCAGGCGAGGCCGATGGAGCGCTTCCACGACGGGGCGAGGTTGTTGCCGACCCAGGCGCTGATGCCGGGGAGCAAGGGGTAGATGCCGATCTGGGCGAGCATGACGCCCGTGTACATGGCCGGGACGTTGGAGCCGACCTTGGGGGACTGGGAGAAGAGGACGGCGAGCGCGACCGCGAGCAGCGCCATCGGGGCCATGATGAAGGGCGCGCGCCACGAGAAGCGGTCCGAGTAGCGGCCCACGAGCCAGGCCGAGACACCACCGACGACGTACGGCGGGATGGTGAGCAGCTGCGAGTTGGCCGTCGAGAAGCCGAGCTGGTTGATGATCTGGGGCAGGGTGAACTTGAAGGCGGCGTTGGGGACAGAGTTGGCCCACGCGAGCACCACGCCCAGCAGGATCTTCCAGTCGCCCATGGTCTTGAGGAGCAGGCGCCACGAGAACTTGTCGCCCTCGTTGGTGGCCGAGCGCACGCCCGACAGGCGCAGGCGGAGGTCGATGAAACGCCTCTCGTCGTCGGTAAGCCACTTGGCACGCTCGGGGCTGTCGACAATGAGCAGAGGCATGACGAGACCGGCGGCGACAGTGACGGCTCCCTCGATCAGGAAAATCCACCGCCAGCCAGAGATGCCACGCATGCCGTCCATCCGGGCAATGCCGTAGGCGAGCAAGCCGCTCAGGGCGCCAGAAAAGGCGGATGCCGTGTAGAAAAGGGCTAGACGCTGCTGGAGCTCGTGGCGAGGGTACCAGGTCGAGATGATGAAGACTGCGCCAGGGAAGAAGCCAGCCTCGAAGATGCCGAGGATGACACGGCACGCAATCAGGTCGCCAAAGTTGCGGACGACGCCCATGCAGGTCATGGTCACACCCCAGGCGAGAACGAGGAAGGACAGCCAGATCGAGGGGCGGACCTTCTTGAGGATGACGTTGGAGGGGATTTCTGCACCACGGTCATGAATGTTAGCATTTGCAACAAGATGGGCCCAAGCACGTTCAAAAGGTTCCACGCACCAAAGATGATGTACGGCACGAAGAAGATTGTGCTGGCAATGTTGTACTCGTTGCCCTTGAGCTTGAGCTCCTTGTCCATGCCCTCAATCTTGGCGTTGCCAATGTTTCCGCGGTCGATGTGGGACAGCAGATAGAGGATGGCCATGATGGGAATCAGGCGCATGTCGATCTGTACAGGATTGCTAGGCATTAGCATCGTCGCCGAACTCCATGAAACCTCGCTCGTGTGCCACGACTGACCTTTCTGACAATCTTCTTGCCCTCCTTGCCCTCGTAGCGCCTGAGAAACTCTGCATCGTCCGCAGCCAAAGCACTGTACGGCACATTTTCGACATTCTCCGGCTTGAGCTCCTTCTCCTCGGCCGACAGGCGCGCGGCCGGGCTGTTGTCGGTGTTGCTGGTGTGGGCCATGTTGTTCTGTGTGGACGGTAACAAGAAGGCGTACCTCGACATGCAAAGGAAACCAACCCAAGACTGGGCCAAGCACCTAGATTATATATCCTGAGTCTTCCGTCGGCCTCCCCCCTGAGGGCCTCTCGCACCCCGGACCCCAGATTCGGGGCATGTTGCAGGCATCCCCACACGCCTTCTCGGTTCGGCGCCGCTCCGGGCCCAGACCCCACGGGGTCATCCACAAGCTAGGACTCATTCCGTGGCCATAAAGCTGCCAGCCTGAGTCAGGGTCCCCGCGCGGGCATGAGCACTGGTCAACACTTGAATCAGACCGCTGTGGAGCTAGATGGGCGGTCGGGGGCTGGATTTGGCCTCCGCACGTCTTCTCCTGGCTGGGCTCTCGGCCGCCCTGCCAAGCGTATTTCGAGCGGCTGCAGGCAATGCTTGTTATGCCCTCTGTCGGTAACTAGCCCACAGCCCGACCCGGATTTAGAGGCTCGGAAAATAGGTCGCAACCACGCGTGGCTTGAGGCTGGCCTTAGGTGGCGCCTGTCTGGTTGGTAAAATGGCATGTTACGGACTATCACCGAACTCCATGGTCCTTGCATTGTCGACCCACCGCCGGGCTGTCAGAGCTGTCGCTACTAACACGGATGGCGGGCTTCTTGCATTGTCTCTCAGCGATACGTTGTGAAATTTGGAGTCTCCGAAGATCTTGCTGTTCACATTTCAACACGACACGACACGATGTCAATACCAGAAGCAGGTTTGCGTCGGTAGTACTGATACACCATCCACCATCCACAAGGGCATTTATCTACAGAAATGCGAGCGCGTTTGGCGGGCTTGCTACGCCTCCGGGGACCTATTACGCTTCATTGTTAGTTGCCTCGGGCAGATTCAGATGTCGCGTCGGGCTTGTGAGCAATCGCCAATCGACGCCACCTAGGTAAACATTTTCAAGGAACAACAAAGGCTTTAACTCACATTCATCGGCGAACTCGCCATGAAGAAAGTGTATCGCTTCTCCTTGGCACAGATCCTCGCGAGCTCCTCAAGGTCGAAAAGCTCCCCGATCGGCATCCCCCAACCGGCGAGGAGGATCTCGTGCATGTGCCACTCGAGCTCTTTGCACGGCCAGACCTCGAGCGACCTCGTGTCGCCGCAGATGGCGGCGAGCTGCGAGTCCCACAGGAACTCGAGCAGCTCGCGGCTCGGCTCGAGACCAATGTTCTCCGGCTTCTCCGCCTTGTAGCGCTCGTCGAGGACGCTGCGCTTCGCGTCGGGCATCGTCTCGTACTGGTGTAGGTAGCCGAAGCGGATCACCATGATGTCGCCCTTGCGGAAGGAAGAGAGGGACAGGCCCTGGTATTCGAGGGCCTGCTTGATCTCGGAGAAGGGGATGGCGTGGTTGCTCATCGCGTCGACGGCGGTGTCGGGACGTGTGGCCTGGTGCCACGCATACCAGTCCACGAGAATGGCGCGGCCGGCGATGCCCTTGGCCGAGACGTCTGTTCGTTGTGGCGGCGTGCGGACTGTCAGTTTTGAATCGCTTCTGCGCTTTTTGAAGTGGTGGTTCTCTGCGTACGTTGAATACCGTTGGGGATTGGTGAGGCGGCGAAGTCCTCAGCTTTGCGGCCCATGTAATAAACCTGAAGGTGCACACAGCGCGTCAGCAAACCCCAATCGGTCAATCCCCTGGTGAAGATGTGTGGAAATTCCACTAAGAATGAATGAAAAACAATACCTCTTCTTCCTGGTAGGCATAATGCCGGAAGCCATCCCATTGTGAGCTGCATTGGGAGTTGAAGTGCCACTGTCCACAAGTCAGCTCAATGACCCCAGAACAGGAAAGACGGCGTAATGTCCGTTTGTTCCGGCATTTACCTCGTCGTCATGGGCGTGCTTTAGAGGTGCCTTGTTGATCATATTCTGCTCGAGCAGTTTCCGCACAAATCTGGGATTCGAAGCTCCCGTCATTGACCAACTGCAGTTGTTGTCATTGGCTTTCCAGTTCAGATGACCATCGGTTGAACATGACTGGACGGGAAAGTGGTCCGCTCACTTCAGAGATACTCTGACGCCCGACTTGATATTCTCGGCCGCAGCTTTCGCAATCACATCTTCTGTCAAGAGGTTGAGGGTGCCCAGCTGATCGTCAGGGCCCCAAAGACCCCACGCATTCAATCGAGGGCCATTCTTGTCGAGAGGCAGCTGGGAAAAGCTGGGGTAGTCGTGTGTAGGCATCATTGCTGCTTTCAAGGGGCCGACGCCGTTGTGCATGCTACGCGAAGAAGCTACAAAACACCAACGGAAGCTGGTCTGGCGACCTTCGCCAAATGATCTCGTTACCCCAAATTACGTACGTCACTTGAGCTCCCCGAGGACGGGGCCGAGGGAGGCTCGAGCGGGGGAGCCGACCACATCGGAGAATGTCCGATGAGCACCGCTCCGGGTCCGGCCCTCGGTGGGGCCTCAGACCCAGCTCTCCGGGTTTGCGACAGGGACTCCACGGGGTCATTCCTTTGCGCATTGTGGGTGCATGGGTGAGCCGGCCGCCACAGGCCTTGCTTACGGCCTCGGACGACCTGAAGCGTTTCCCCAGCAACTTTGCCCGCCAACATCTTGTCTGTACTTAGCTCGAGGGGTTCCCGAGGCCTCGGAGGCCTAGCTCGTCAGTGGAAAAGGCTTCGGAAACGCTGTCTGATACCACTTTGGTTGAGTGTGTGCCACCCATGGAATCATGACTCGGTCTCCAGTCTACCATAAATCACGTCAAAACACTGCAAGGTCGGTACACAGCAGACTTATAATCAAGACCAGATCTCCTTTACATCACAGACGCAGAGGACGGAGAGCAACTCGCATTGATACAAAGATCAGAGAATGGCCTCGGTTTCTATCAAGGCGCCAACGCTTGACAGCAAACAACACGTCCAACTAGTCAGGTCTCAAGCTCACCTTGTAACATCGTTAACAGGGGCCTTCGGATGGTTCACGTGTAGACATTCATAAATTTGGGATGTTGAGGACTGCACAACTCGATCATGCCCTGTGCTCGTGGTCTACCAACCAGTCGCGGGCATTTGCTAGTTGACACAACAAAAGCATTTTGAGTTTGCACGGCACCTTCATAGATTGATCATGGCTTCCTTAATGCCATATTCGTTCTTCCCCGTGAGCCAGGAGATGGATCATGGATGTCGTTCGAGTAAGAGAGGACTTGTCACGTCAGGCTAGATCTAGTCCACCTAGGAACAAGTCCCTGGCTTCCTGAACGAGAAGAAATGAGGCGCTCGATTTTAAGTTCCGTCAATGAGTGTACTCATTATGTTGAGGGCAACAATGATTTTTGGCCCGGGTTTGAGAAGTCCTCGGCGGTGAGATACGAACCGCACGTAGCAAAGGTCGTCACATTGCTTCATGAACAGCCCATGTCCACTCTTCGCAGACACAAGTACCTCGGTCGTCCACCCAACTCAAGCACTTCGATTGCAAACATGAGGACGAAGATCTCACCGGTCCCAGCGCCCTCCGAGATGCTATTCGTCCTTCTTGCCTTGCTTCTTACCATGAGCACCACAGCACCCTAGCGGCGGACTCCAGGCATAATTGATGGAACCCTGCGCCACGACTACCGGAGTATCGCCACCGCCAGGATCAAATCGTCCCCCACCAGCAGCACCAGCTCCCCCAGCACCACCAGCTGCTCCACCAGTGGGAACGGAGAAGTGTACTGAAAACGGAAAGTACCGATGCAACCTATGTGATCCGGCCGAGAATCGCCCTTGGTGCCACATGGCCCGGAAGATTTTCCCTCGGCGTTTGACACACCTGCATCGACCGGTCTTGCTAACTCGACCGGTCTTGCTAACCGACACGCGCCGCCCCTGCACGCCGGCAACCCGCACAGTATCCAAATCTGCTGCTTGGAGAACTTGCAGCTCATCACCCCTGCGGACCGGAGCAAATATGTGCCGGTACCGTGGGCACGCCGGGCGCGATGTACTGCGCTGGCGAGCAGACCCACCCATAGTGGCCTTTCAGTGCAAGAAATGCACTGGAAAACAGCACTCGCTACGAGAGGCAGATGGTCTCCTTGCTCGCCGACATCAAAAATCTGGCGCCGAGAAGCAGCACATCATCTGTTCATGATGGAAACCTCTGTTCAAGCTTTCTTCTGCGGACTAGCGGCAGATGAACTGTGCTCTGTTTAGCACGTTTGGCGCTCCTACCCTCAAAGAGACACTTGAAATGAAAGATGGCGCAGATCTGTGATTTGTTGAATTGTAAACCTTGGTGATTGACAGCGGTTTAGAACAGACTTTACCAGAAGTCATCATGGATGAGAGCCCGTCCAAAGGTTAGCTCGCGATGATAACTAATAATTTGGTAGAAGTAGCCGTGTAGGTCGGCACAGAGGCCACGGCTGGCAGGACCCACCGCGGTCGTCACGCCCCACAACAGTGACGGGCTGGTTCTTGCCGCCCACCAAGATGTGCATGCACAGGGTCCAACCTTCCCAACGACATCACCATCCCTCGACATCACCACCGCCTCTGCGCCCCGAGTTCAGTCACAATTCCGCCCAGCACGCAAATCTGGAGCTCCAACGGCGCTGATACGACACGCCAAGTATCCTTTGCGACGACAAGATGAGCGACATCGCCAGCCTCGAGGCGGACGTTCGGCAGTACCAAGAACAGGTGCGACTCCAATCTCGCTTCTCCCCAGCTGCATCTTGGCTCCCATACTAATGACTCTGTTCTGTATAGGTCGATGTTGTCAACGGCGGACTTCGAGATGACCCCGGCAACGAGGAGCTCCTGGCTCTCAAGGCCGAGCTCGACGAGGCCATCAACCTCCTCCGCGAAACCATCAACGAGATGCGCCCGGCCAAGCCGGCGCCCAGAGCCCGAGAACCATCCCCGCCGCCCGTAAAGGAGAAGTGGTCGCGCGAGAACCACCCGGCGTTCAAGAAGGCCGCGCCACCGCCACCACCAGAGGAGAAGGAGTCTGCTGTGGACTCTGCGCCCGTGTCGTACCAGGTCAACGACACCGTCATGGCCAAGTGGGTGTCTGGTGACAAGGCCTTCTACCCTGCGCGTATCACGTCCATCACTGGCTCCTCCACAGACCCGATCTACATCGTCAAGTTTAAGAGCTACGACGAATCTGACCAGGTGCGCGGCAAAGACATCCGACCTATTGCAACCAAGCGCAAAGCAGACGCCACACCCGATAATGCCGCCTCGCCGTTCACCGCGCCCACAGCCAGCTCCCATACCCCAGTACCGGCGGTCTCAACATCCTCCGGAGTGGCTTCTTCGTCGGGCAACTTGGGTGTCATCTCGGCAGCGCCCAGCATCGATCTCGATCTCGCAAAGAAGAGCCGTGAGGCAGCAGACCAGAACGCCGCGGACGCGAAGCCCAAGGCCAAGAAGATTCGCGCAACCAAGGAACTCGAGACAGGCAAGAAGTCGTGGCAAGAGTTCAACACCAAGTCTAAGTTTGCCAAAGCCACTAAGAACAAGAAGGACAGCATGTTCCGGACTCCAGAAGGCGCGCACGGCAGAGGTAAGGCTTTCCGTCCTAACAGTCCCAGTTTCGTGGCGTTGCATGCTAAATTTCAATCCTTTAGTTGGATTTATTGGGTCTGGTCAGACCATGCGCAAAGATCCCACGAGAAGCCGTCACATTTACCAGAACAACGACGACATGGACTAATGTTGCCGGCAGATGGCTTTCTGATTCAAACACCTCGAACCCCGGCCCTACCCGGTGCGAGACGCTTTATAAAGTTGCTGCTTGCGGGCGAAGCGGTTTCAGAAGCCGGCAATTGCTATTCTAGCACCACGGCGTATCGGCTCGGCAAAGCCCTGGACGACACGAGTGCACGGCATTCACATGTTGGCGCAAAGGATGGAGTTTTAGGATCATCATTTCGTTTGGCTGGTGGCGTTTCCCGACTTGAATGCCTTTTGTTTTTTTCTTGCGCGATATGCACCCGTCCTTTCCCTTTTGCGCTCCTCGTAGCAATGGATGCTAACAGTCTGAGCAAGGAAGAAGACATTCATCTTGGCCATCGCGTACTGGCTTTAATGGCCGGTCGGAGTGGCGAGCACACAAGACACAGTCTCCGGTACGCTGGGCACGTGGATCGCCCAGCTACAGCCAGAGCACATGCACTACAGTATCGCGCACGTCAGGTAGCAATACAGTACAATAAGCGTGCCCATGTATCCCGCCTCGACTTCAGTGCTTTCTATATTCACAGAATCTCGTCCCTTCTCGTAACTGTACACGTGATTTACAAATGCTGACCCTCTCTGCCATCGCCCTCCCATTACATACCCCCATCCCCATCCCCCGATCACGCCAAACCAATCTTGTCCCCAACCTTTCTCGCAATGTCCATGAACGCCGCGGCGCGCTCGCTCTCGGGCTCCGCCACGACGGTCGGCTTGCCCCTCATCCCGTCGTCACCGACGCTCTGGTGCAGGGGGATGTCGCCGAGCAGCTCGATCTCGTGGTCGAGGCAGAGCTGCTGGACGCGGTCGCCCGTGTGGCCAAACACGTGCGTCTGCCCTTGGCAGTGCGGGCAGGTGAAGAGGGACATGTTGCTGACGAGGCCCAACAGGGGGACCGAGGTCTTTTTGAACATGTTGATGCCCTTAATGGCGTCCTTTACGGCGAGGGTGTGTGGGGTTGTGATGATGACCGAGCCTTTTTTTGTTTTCCTCGGGTTAGCGGATCAACCAAATTTTGTGCTTGCTAGGCTTTTTGTGAAATTTCGACCCCTGTAGTGAGGTCGTTCCTTTGTTTTACGGGAAGAGCAAGGGGAAGAGACAGTGGACTGGACTGGACTGGTGTGAAACTCACCGTCGAGCTTGACACCCTGGGTGATGCTGAGCTGCGTGTCGCCCGTGCCGGGGGGAAGGTCGAGCACGAGCACGTCGAGCCCGCCCCATTCGACCTCGTGCAGGAGCTGCTGGAGGGCCTTCATGACCATCATGCCGCGCCAGACGACGGGGGCGTCCTCGCCGACGAGGTAGCCCATGGACATGGTCTTTACGCCGTAGTTTGTGAGGGGCAGGAGCTGATTGTCTTTTTTTGGTTGCAGCGTGGCAAGAGACAAGAGTCAGTGGTTTGATCATGTACATTTGGCGTTTGCGGTACAAATCAAGTCGACGTGGCGTTGGAGGAGGCCGTGTATGTGTGTGTGCCTGGAGGCACTCCAGCAATAAGGATGCCAGGCTCAGATGAGAGACACTGGTCGGGGGATGACTGACTGGCTGATAACCTCGGCTCGCCCGAGAGGTTGAACAATGTCGGTATGGACGGGCCAAAGATGTCCGTGTCGAGAATGCCCGAGCGGTGGCCCATCCGGGCAAAAGCAAGGGCGAGGTTGGCTGTGTGTGTGTTTGTTTGCACTTCATCAGCTCGACTGTTGCACTCTAATACTTGACAGGGGGACAATTCAGCAGCGGTGGTTGGTGGCAGCGGCATACCGGCGATGGTGCTCTTGCCGACGCCGCCCTTGGCCGACGAGACGGCAATGACCTTTGCTACATCCTTGATGTTGCGCTGCACCGGCAGGCCGCGCTGCATGCGCGGGATGGAGCCGGACTTGGGGAGGCCCTGGGGGATATATCGGTTAGCAGGTGAGCGGATTTTGTTGTTGGGCACGGGGGGGCGTTTGGTCTTCGTACTAATGGGTTCTCATGCTGCAAGCATCGTCCTGCTGCACGGAACAGGCGACTGGGTGTCGGCCTCATCGTGAGATGTGTGATGCAAGGGAGAAGTTGAGCTCAGGCACAGTGACGAAAGGTTGCGAAACACAACGTTGCTTAAAGATTTATTACACTCAGTTGACATCAATTTTCAGCACGAGCATTTCCTACGAAATCATATTCGTTATTCAAGTATAGCTCACCAATGTTCAATACATTAACCCCTATCTCAGGCTTTCGTTGTCTATTTTTCACCACTCAACAATGCTGGCGTTGCACGATGTCTGGGCCCGGGCTCTACAATGGCGGCTGATGTCGCTGCCCAGGCACACAAATGGCCATGAGCTCACTGAACGCAGGCACACGGGCAGCTCCACCCATCGACCGACCCGACTGAATGCTCACTTAGCCGGGCCGGGGCGCCCCACTTGCCTCCAAACTGCCGTCCCGCACCGCCAAAATTTTCAAGATTTCTCAGAGCAGGAACAGGGACGGGGTTTCGCTGGCGCAACTCCAGCCAGCCAGCCAGACAGACAGGCCGAGTGAGTGGGTGGGACCCTGCGATTCTCTGCAGCTCTGCAAATTCTAGGTCTCGCGATCCTCTCCTCTTTCAGGCCCTTTTGCTGCACGCTCACCACCAACTCGAGCATATTCTTGCACGTGAGCGACTGAAGACAGTTCCGTCTGTCGCCGAACCATGGCTCCGACAACAAAGTCTCGCCAGCGGCAGTTCGCTGACCTCCAGGATCGGCCGGTCAAAGGTTCGTTCCTCCCAATCCAAATAGATTCCCAGACCTTTCAAAAGAATTCAAACCTCGAGAGCGCACACGCACGCACGCGGGCAACTTGCAGATCTCACTTCCCAGCACTCCTCTCGCACTATGGTTTGGCTAACCGGATTTTCTCTCGTGAAACAGACATCGACCCCGAGAACGAGGCTCTGCCCCCGAGCGACAGCGACTCTGGCGACAGCGACGCCGAAAAGGCCGAGACCAAGGCGGCGACCGACCACTATGTCTCGGTCGGCAAGAGCAAGCTCCGCGCGGGCAAGGACAGCACCGCCGCCCTGGGCCCGCAGTACCGCGGCGCGCGGGTGAGCCGTGCCGATCTCGAGGCCGCCAGCGAAGAGGACGAAGAGGAGGAGGAGGAGGAGGAGGACAACTTTGAGGACGCGCGCGAGGAGCTCGGCTCTGGCGGATCCTCCTCTGGGAGCGGATCCGGGGACGAAGTCTTTGACGACCCGGAGACTGCGGATCTCGAGGCCGATCAGGACGACCGGGATGTCGAGATTGACAGCGACGATGCCTTTGGGGAGAGCGACGAGGAGCGCTTCAAGGACTTCACGTTCCGGGGGTCATCGAAGGTCCTTCCGGGAGGCAAGGGGAAGAGGGTGCCCCGAGCTACGGCCGCGGACTTTCTGGGGTCTGATGAAGAGGGTGAGGAAGAATCTGAGGATGGGGAGGGCGACTCGCTGAATGACTCGGACGGCGAATCTCTGGATGGGGAGGAAGGGGACTCGGACGATGAGATGGTTGATGAGGAAAGGAGGAATCTCATTGATGACGAAGCGGAAGAGTCCGATGAGGAAGAGGAGGAGGATGGCGATCTTGATGGATTCATCGTTGACAGTGACGAAGACGACGAGGATGAAGATGAAGATGGGGAGTCTGGCGAGGACGAGGACGACGATGACGATGAGGACATGGACGAGGAAGAGGAGGAGGAGCGCAAGCCCAGCAGAAACGCGGTCGCCGACCGCAGCGACATTGCCGCCCTGGTCGCGGCCGGCAACAAATCCGTCACCGTGTCTCTCTCTGAAGGCCAGCAGAAAGACATTGCAAAGGGCAACGCAATCCGGCAGCAGCGCAAGGCCTTTGATGCCCTGCTCAACGTGCGCATCCGTCTGCAGAAGTCCCTCGTCGCCATCAACACCCTCAACATTGCGGCAGAGGGCGCGGACGCGGAGGACACGAACGAGCCTCCCTACGAGGCTGCCGAGGCTGCTGCACTCAAGCTCTGGAATGCCATTGACAGCTTCCGCTCCAATCTGCCAGGAGCGGCGTCATCATCTTCGACAGCGTCCAAGAAGCGCAAGCGCAGCGCGGCCGCCACCCCGGAGACCCCCAGCCAGCAGATCTGGGAGAGCATCGAGGCTGCCGAGCAGCGGGCGGCTCCTCGCCGCCGCGCGGTGCTACAGAACTGGTCGCAGAAGGCCAACAACATCCGCACCGTGGACCGGTCGTCGGCGCGCAAGTTCAGCACCGCGGCCGAGAAGACGCTGGTGGCACGGCTCGACGAGGAGATGGAGGCGCCCGAGCGCCTCATCAAGCGCACACGCACGCCGCGATCGTGTGCTCCCGCCCAGGTGGCGCGCAAGGTCAACGAGGATGTGCACATTTACGACGATGCCGACTTCTACCAGCTCCTGCTCAAGGAGCTCGTGGACCAGCGCACCGCTGACACTTCAGCCGGTGGTGCCGCGGGCTCCGCGGCGGCGACGATACGTTTCGCCGCGGTCAGGGAGGCCAAGGCCAAGAAGCATGTCGACACAAAGGCCAGCAAGGGCCGCAAGATGCGGTTCAATGTTCACGACAAGCTGCAGAACTTTATGGCCCCGGAGGACCGGCGCAGCTGGGAGCAGAGCGCGATCGACCGTCTCTTTGGCACGCTGTTTGGACAGAAGATGGCGCTCAATGAGGACGATATCTCTGAAGACGATGAGATGGACGGTGGCGTGGATGCCGAGGAGGCAGGCCTGCGGCTGTTCAGGAGCTGATATCTTTGTCCATACTCGCATAGCATAAGCCACTAAGGGTTGATGGAGAGAATACACCAATAGATTGATACCACGAACAAAAGTTTACAATGCCGTATGTGGAGAATGCGTCTTGTGCACATCTTCAACGCACGACTCGTGCTGCAGCCTCTTTCTTTGAGTGTGCTTGATGATGGCTCATTCGCTTGGGGCTTCAAAAGAATCAAAGTACAAACTCGCATATCAGCTGAGGGGGGTTGGCCAGTCCCTGTTGCCTGCCAAGCTGACAACAAGCGGCTTGTCACCGTTGGCGTGGAACTTCAGGTAACGCTTCAAGAGAACTGAGAACGCCACGTTACCTGAGTGTCACGCCCTTGGTCACAGACCGCCGCCAGGCAGGCACCAAGACGGCCTGATTCTCGGGTGCTTTTTGGTGCGAAAATTGAGCTTGTGGTTGCCTCAGGCCGACACGCCCAAGGACGGTGAAGCTCAGGAGTGGCCGACCAGCCGATCCGGACAGGCACCGTAAAGGCCGATGGAAATGGGCGCAGAAGACTGGATACTCAGACCCCCAGCCTGCCCAATATCGATGGGATGGTTGAATAAGCGAGTGGGCATTCGAGAGGGGAGTACCTAAGTCAAGTGACAATGCTACGGTAAGGGCTCTTGCAGATGCCCAGCTGTCGTGGTTACCCTCGTTTGGAACAAGTTGGCTGGGCGTTGTCGCGGCCGACAGGGGTAAAAACAACAGCCGCCCGTTATCTCAATGGAGTGGTGGCCTGATATTGAATGGGATGCAATGATGCCGGCTCGGGCAAGGCGGACATGCACGTCTCTTGCTTCACCGCCGAGCTGGGCTAGAATTCGCGCGATTATGGATGAGGCAGTCTTCATCCGGAAGCCTCAGACGTTGCATGCTGCTGACGCGTGCCTGAACGGGGATTGTAAAGGGCCCGGAGCAGCCGCAAGGCGCAGGGGCAGCTGAGTCCATCGAGGCTGGCGCCATCGTTGCATGCGCGCAGGGGCCTGTTTACAGAGGTCCAACCGGAGCGGCACCATGCTCAGTCAGCACCAAACGTCTTCGCGCTGCTGTCTTCGAGATCATGACTGGCCACTGCGTCTGCCAAGGTTGGCACGCAGCAAACTGCACGAGTGCCAAAGCGAGCGGCCTGGCGGTTGTCGATGCTGTACTATTGAGGTAGATGGGCGTGACTTGACTGCACTTGCTAAATGGGTCTCGCATTGTAGCTGCGCGTATCGAGGCTCGCTCCTTCCCCAGCCTCACCCCCCACATCAGCTGCCTTAGGCGTACCTAACTCTTCCGCGCCCCAGGCACGCTCAAGCTCGAGACGGATTTAGCAGCCATCACTTCATGCTCCCAGAGTGACTGTCTTGTACCCGGCACTCTCGCGCAACATGCACCTGCAATCACTCCTCCGCATTCGGTTGACAGGCAAGGGGGCCAGCGACATGCAAAACCCGCAAGCGATTAGGGCCTTGGCTTTCACACTGGATCCCATCCAGGCAAACACAGCCGTCCCAGTGTCCACTCAATGTGGGCAGCACATGACGGCACGACGTCTTCCTGTGTCCGAAGAGGCAGCTCTGAGTATACCGGACGGAGTTTCCCATGGCGATGCCGCAAATCCGGGGCGAATTGTTCCCGATGGTACGGAACCGACCGAGCGATGACGCGCGGTCATCTTCCGCTCAAGCAGAGCCGCCCAGGCGAAGGATCACAGCCCTGGCCGAATCTCCACGGCGCTGCGACCTCCACGTGCAACGAACCAGCGTCGACTGCCTTTCACGGATAGCCTCCCGGCAGCTGCCGGATTTGCAGCAAAGAGCGGGGCCCAGAGCCAACGGCCTCCAGGGGGCCATGTTTGATTCACACGGGGATGGTTCTTTGCTGATTCCGTCCACTGGAAGGCCACCGACGCGCCTCGAAGCGAGCTGCTACCGTGATGCCTGCCCCCAAAGCAATGTGCTTCCACACCTCGAGACCCATGAATAGCGCGGTTCCCACAGGGGGCATCTGCAGCGGGCGCCACCCGCGCAGGTACAGGTAGTGGGCCCTGTCACCAGATGTTTTCTCTCCAACTCGCAATCTCACACGACGTCTCGCCGTAACCCTACGGCCAGGCGCCGGCATGGACATGTGGTGCGTCGGCAGTCAGACGCCCAACTTCAGAAAATGCGCCAAGGCTGATGATGCCAGCGCTGGCTCCCAACCCATTATAGACCCTCGAGCCTGCAAGTCAAGAAGGCGGTCTGCTGGCCAACTGGCACGGTACTACCACGCCCAAACGGTCGCGTCCGTGGCTGGATTCATTGTCACGGAAGCTCAAGACACGCGAAGTCTCAGGCTGCTGCTCCTGGAGAGACTTCTCCGTAGCCCAGATGCTGGGGATTCCAGAAATATGGAGAACGATCTTGCTGTCGACGGAACCAGAGACCCTGATCTACATCTGCCACCACTGTGGTGAATGTCAAAGAGCTGTCACGTAGGAAAAGCTACGCTGTCCAGCAACACTTCATGCCATGTAAGGGTGCCCACAGCCGCTGACTCGCTCACATGGCTTCCAAGCCAGACACGGCCCGAATGCTGATGGTCCTGATGTTGCATCGAGTTTGCAGGGTGGGTACTGCATCGAGAATGCATTAAGGCATAGTCAGTGCGGGAGATTACCCCGGCAGCAGAAGAAAAAGTGCTAATCCCCCGTCCGTCCAATCGACAGGCGCCCCGGACCTGTATACAGCAACCGACCCACGAGCCACCATATGCCGAGAGGGCCTGGGCTTGGGTCTCGACGCCGGCAGGGCAGAGATGTAACCATTCACAACCCAGCACATGGGTCTCATTGGTGGCACTTGCGACGGCGGTTGGTCTTGTGCCAGGAACTATCGCAAGCCTGTTTGCTCGGATACTCCCTAGCTTCCGGCCTCGTCGCTGGCCACGCGAAGCTAGCGGGTGACCTTGATCCCGTTCATCTTGCCTTCGTCCAACGACAGGTTGCAAACACTGGCAGACCAGGGTGTCCTTTCACGTGGTGAATGCAACCACCGAGATGAGGTTCTTTTCTGTTTCCAGATACACAGGTCACCTTGCTGGTTCTTGGCTGCCCACCAGTGGCGACCGTGGGAGGCTCCAGCGGCAGTTACCCTGGCTCATCTGCCCTGAGCTCGTGCCAGTGTCTGTTGATGATGGCGCCCCTTTGCTTAACCGCATGGAACATTAAGGACTCGTGGGCCGGGCATATAAAGATGGTCGATCATGCCCTCCCAGAGCAGATGAAGAGCTCTTGGAGCATCAAGCAACAAGGCAAAGGCCTCAGTCATTCCTTCGGAACAACAACAACACTCCTTTCTACACTCCTTGAGCTTTTTTGAGCTCCCGTCTAACACACAACAATCATTCCTTGCTCTACACTGTTTACTTCGGCACAACTTACAACATGTCTGCCGCGTGGATGAAGACTCTTTCGCTCGTGGCGCTTGTGGCCGGCGTTTCTGCCAGCCCTCTGGCCAAGCCCGAACACGAGTTTATTGTGGTCGCGCGCAACACCAGCTCGATGATGGGCGACGAGTTTGTGCACGTCCAGGAGTGGGCGCCCGGCTACTCTGGATACCAGAAGGTCTGGGAGGAGGCCTTCTGGGGCAACCCCGGCCAGTTGGTCGATGAGAACAACTGGAACATTGTCACTGACATCCACGTCAACAACGAGTGGCAACAGTACACCCGCTCCAACCAGAACATCCAGATCAGCGGCGGCGGCACTGTCCAGCTCGTTCCCCGTATCAACAACGGCCAGTGGACGTCGGGCCGCCTCGAGTCCAAGTACGTCTTCACTCCTCAAGCCGGCCGCCGCACCCTGGCCGAAGCCCGCATCCGGTTCGGCAACGCGCCCCAGGCCAACAAGAGGGGCATGTGGCCCGCCTTCTGGCTTCTTGGAGACAGCATCCGCCATGGCGTCAACTGGCCTGCCTGCGGTGAGATCGATGTCATGGAGCGCGTCAATGGCGAGTGGTCTGCCTTTGGTACTGTCCACTGCGACCGCGAGGGTGGCGGTTCCTGCAACGAGCCCTATGGTATCTCTGCCAGGACCGGTCTGGCCAACGACGACTGGCACAACTGGCGCGTGGTCTGGGACCGCACCTCCAACAACTGGAGAGACCAGTCCATCACCTGGTACCTCGATGGCAACCAGTTCCACCGTGTCTCTGGTAACAGCCTCAACAACGAGGCCGCCTGGAGAGCTCTTGGCCAGAGCCCTGTCTTCTTCATTCTCAACCTCGCTATTGGTGGCAACTTGGTAAGTTTGCGCTGCCCTCAATCATCGCTCGGGGGATGCATCACTGACACGACTCTTGCAGCCTGGCAACCCTGACGGCAACACCTGGGACTCCTTCGGCAACATGATGGAAGTCTCCTACGTGGCCCACCACGTCTCCGTCTAAGTCTCTTCGTCGCTTAGCCACTCGATGACGACCCAAACAGCCCTGAGATCTTTTACTCAACGGCTGTCTTCTCCCTGATCACAAAAGGACTTCGCTCGCTGCACATACTTCACATTCCCTCTTGATGATCCCTTTGCATCAATCAGCTTTCTTTCTTGCTCGGCTGCTCACGACCCGCTCGCTATGATGACCTTCGATTCTACTGTACATACTTTTATCCTTGAGTCGACATGAGACTTTACAACATTCGCTGTATATAGTTGGGTATTTCAAGAGACGGCCCGGTTAAGGCCCTCTTCTTGTCAATAAACAAAATTTGGACATATATACCGGAAAAGTCTCGGAAGAGTCCCGAATTGTTTGATATTCGATTTTCCTTGTGTTAGCCAGTGGGGTTTACGTGCCTGACAAATGTGCTGTAGCCGGGAACGATCTGACCAAGATTCCCCAATGAATGGATCCAGGCCCTACTCCCTCGGCCCCCTGGCCAGTATCTAGCTCAATTGGGACGTATGCCACGAGCATGTACCCGCTGAAACTTCACTGGCCTCCCTGTGGAGAATTCCCGATTGCGGGAGATCATGCGAAAATGGCCAAAGCTGAAGATTTGGCAGCTGCCCTCTGACAAATGCGATCGCCTTGACTTCAACTCGTCCGCCGCGACCGAGAGATTGAGGGCAATATGGGTAGTTCCGGACGGTTTGGGGTGTCTGTCCCACAATTTTCAAGGGGGAAGCCCATCAGATTTGCGATCTAAGCACCCGGTTTCAAAGATTGTATCCTTAGACTGTATCCTTTGGACTTTGCCGCGACAGGTTTGCTGAATAGAGGCCGGTCGGGCCATCCGGCCGAACGTCCTTGCTTGATTACGTCAAGCACCTGGCGAACGGTAGATTAATCAGCATTGCAGTGCCGAAGCGACCTGCCTCCCTGCTTCTGGATTCCCCGCATTTTCTCCAACACGGCCGGCGCCAGCAAGGCCTCGTGTGCATCTGAGTGCCCAGGCCATTTTGTGCGCAGAATTGAGGCTTGAATGGGCATTGGCCATGTCAGATGGAGTCTGGATTCACGTCGCAATTCTTTGTTGTGTCTCATATCGTTCGACGAGGTTCGATGGTCTGATGATTCAGACAGCGGAGTCTGACTGTCGGTTGTCTCCAACGACAGGAGACCAGGGCACTTGTTTTCCTTTTGGGGACGTGCGGGGAAGCATGTTGGAACCGGCACATGAGAATCGAAATGGCACGAGAGTCAAAGGGGCGTATAAGAACGGTAGGTAGCCTTCTTGTAGGAATCGACAGCATATCTTGGACACCACACAACAATCTCGCACTACTACATCTGCTATCAAGACGTCGACCACCTGCCGGCACAGCATAGAACCAAAAAAGAATCGAACAGAGCAAGCCTAGCAACGCCCATCCCACCCAGAAAATGAGAGTCGCCATTCTCGGAGCCACCGGCAAGACCGGCCAGGCTATTGTCGACGGGCTGCTTGAGAGCACGACAACCAAGTTTGTGCGTTGTTTCTATCCCATCGTCCTCCTTCGGCGCTTCTTTGCTCTTCCTCTCGGGCAGTCTGACTGACAAGGGCAACCTCCAGGAACTCACGGCCCTGACCCGGCCCTCGTCCGTCGACAAGCCCGAGACCCAGGCGCTCAAGGCCCGCGGCGTCAAGATCGTCCCCGTGGACCTGACCCCGAGTGCCTCCCTGTCGGCTCGCCATAACAAGGCGAGCACCGAGCCCGCCCACGTCGACCGGGAGCTCGTCAAGATCCTGACGGGCATCGATGTCGTCATCTCGGCGACCTTCTTCCTGAACCTGGCCGAGCAGATCCCGCTCATCGACGCAGCCAAGGTTGCAGGCGTGGGCAGGTTTGTGCCTTGCAACTTCCAGACTGTGGCGCCGAGGGGCGTCATGGCACTTGCCGATGCGGTAAGTGGTCATCCTGTTCCGACTTCCCAAATATGTCCCCAATGCAATGAAGCAGTACCTCGTGTGTGCGGGTAAATTGTGAAGGGGGATTCGCAAAAACTGGCATTTTGTCCCGCTTGGCCGCAACGCTAATCACAACAACAAACATTATCAACAAACAGAAGTACGAAGTCCTCGACCACATCCAGCGCATCCGCCAGCCCTACACCATCATCGAGGTCGGGTGGTGGTACCAGATCGCCCTGCCGCGCCTCCCCTCGGGCAGGTTCGACAACAACAAGCACATTGTGTACACGGCCGCCGAGCTTGTCGTTGCCGACGCCGGCGAGGGCGAGGGCGGCAAGGCGTCCTCCTCCTCCAACTACCTTCCCTCGGCGCTGACGGACCTGCGCGACGTCGGGCGGTTCGTGGCGCGCATCGTGGCCGACGGCGAGCGCACGCTCAACAAGTGCGTCTTTGCGTACGGCGAGGTCCTCACGCACAAGCAGCTCTGGGATACCGTCGAGCGGCTCTCCGGGGAAAAGCTGGAGCGCAACGAGGTCACGCCGCAGATGCTGGAGGAGCGCATCGCCCAGGTCCCCGCGGACCAGCAGGGCAAGGTCGGCCTACCCTTGGCCGTGCACGAGTACCAGCGGTCCTGGGGCGTGCGCGGCGACAACACGCCCGAGAACGCCAGGTTCCTCGGGTTCCTGACCACTCGGGAGCTGTATCCGGACTTTCAGGTCACGACGCACGAGGAGTTTGTCAAGGATGCGCTCGCGGCGGCGGAGTAAGCGGCGGGTAAGGGATCGGCTTGAGGAAGGTAGCGTATGCAGGTCGGCTTCTTGTTCACAACGGACTGATAAAGACAGAGGCAGCAGGGCGCATACGTGGGCACGCGTGGGGCATTCGAGATTCCTGATAGGCGTCCGCTGCTGATGCTGGCTTGAGTCTGGGGAGTAGGGGAGTTTGAGGAATCTGTCCCTGGGGACTTCTGAATAAGAAGTGGCCACCCTTTGGGCTGCCATGTCTAGCCTTACAACCAAAATTATGACCAGAATGCTACAGACCGCTGCGGATGCGGGCGCAAGTAGATACAAATACAAATCTATGCTGGTGTATGTAACGATTCGGGCCACTTTCGTGAACCATGGACTCACAAAGGGAAAAAAGCAGAAGAAAAAGAGAAAAGCCAAGGAAAGGAAGAGAAAGTTCTACCTTTTACCCCAAGTCTCAAACATAACTGCAACTGCGCGGGGACAGACAGATGGACTCAGACTCTGCTCGCACCGCCATCGCTGCTACTGTCCAGGAGACGGTGCGCCTTGGCGTCACCAGCAGCCGCATCGGTGGTGTCGTTGTCCTCGCCGGCACCTCCACCACGAAGCACACCTCCATTGGCCCCAGTACCAGAGCCAGGAGCCTCGACAGCGGTCTGGAATCCGTGGCCCGGCTGCGCGACGTTGAGGCAGTACGTGGCGATGACCATCATTCTTTACCATCGGGGACGAAATCACGTCAGCTATTATGTCTGTGTGTCTACGACGATGGGGAGAGAACACTTACACGCTTTCAAGCACAATGAACAGCGTCTCCTCCCTGAAGAACTCGGAAAAGTAGCCCTCGCTGAGCTCCTTGACGCGGTACGCGCACCGGATAAAGATAAACAGCGTCGCGAGGAAGAGGAACACGAGGAACAAGCGTAGGGGCCTGGGGAAGGATCTCTCCGCCGCCGCCGCCTTCTCGCCCGCCGCAGCGCGCTTCGCCTTGCCGCCAAAGAGGGCGCCCAGGAAGCCGCAGCTCCACAGGTAGTCGATGAACAGCGCGCTGAAGGCGACGAGGGTGACGACCTGGAAGACGAGGCCCGCGAGGGAGATGTCTACGCCGCGGTTGACGGCCGCCTCGGTCGTCGAGACGCTCGACATGGCGCCGCCCGCGGCCTGGAGGACCAGCGAGATGATGTCGCAGGGGATGAAGACCCAGTAGAACCAGCGGGGGTCGAAGCGGGATTTGGACGGGTCGATGAAGTAGATGCTTGAAATGGACAGGTGTCAGTGAGCGATGGGACAAGCGATGGCTTGTTCAGGAGAGCCGTTTGTTGATGAAGGTTGTCTGTCTTAAAGCATCGAGCTCTGGTGTGGCAGCAAAGAAAAGAGACTTACGTCTGGGAAAGCGTGACGTAAATCGCGGCACAGAAGAAGACTGGTGCCGTGGTCACGCAGACTATTGAGCAAGGACAGTCAGCAACTCTCACTCCCTCATCAATATCCTCACAACCAGCAAGACGTCCCACTGCGACCGGGAGATAAAGACAGCCACGTACTGATCTGCATCAAGAATGCGCCAAAGCTAAACGGGTTGTCATGCAGGAGCAGGCGTCCGATATAACCGACAATCTCATCGAGGCAGCCAGTCACGATGACTGTGGTGAAGCCCCAGGTTGGCCTGCCCTTGCGCCAGTAGAAGATCCCCTGGGCGAGGTGGATGAGCGCGGAGGCGGCGAAGGCAGCGAGGAAGAAGGCGTTGGCGGGAACATTGGGTTGGTAGCCCACGACACTCCACTCGGCTTTGCAGAGCTCAAGCGTGCAGTTGGCGTTGGGGCCGTACGTGATGAGCCCGTTTGGGAGCGGCATGGTGGGCGGTGGGTGTTTTGGTTGCCAGATGGCGCCTGTGGGCGGACGAGGTCACCACGGGACTGGGTGCTGTATAGTTGCGTCCTTGGAGATAAAGCTGTGGCGGTTGTGGTCGTAGAAGTTGAAAATCCTGAAGCTGTGGATGGCAGTTAGGCGAGGACGTCTATTTGAAGCGGACTCGGGTTCCCGAAGAAGGATATTGTAGTGACAGGGTTGGCCACGCTAGCAAAGCATGAGACAAGCTTCTGGGCCGATCATTTGGCAGGCTTCGAGGGAGTCTGCAAGTTTCGTATATCCTCTTGGCGGACCCTGGGCATGAGGCTGAGTCCTTACGACGCTCGTCAAGGCAACCATCATGCAGCAAGGCAGACCACAACAAGCAACAAGGCCACCAAGGGCCTTGATAGTAGCAGTGACGACCTGAACCCGCGGGGACCGGTTACCATTGGGGCCAGGAGCACAGAGGGCGGCCGCCATGCATGCTGGAATCGGCCCAGACGGAACAGGGGTCCGTTCTGCTGACAGCCACTTGTGGTTGTGGTTGGCGAATGGCATGCCCAGCACAGGGCGCATCCGATCCCGATTCCGAGCCTGCGGGCACTAGTGAATGCAAGATCCGTATGTAAATTAACCCCTGTCGTCACTCTCGCTTCCAGGCTGGAATGCCGCGTCTTTAGGCGGCTGGAGTGCCGAGACATCACACCAGCATAGAACACGACAAAGTCCACGCTCGTCATGCGCAGAGCCTCCTCGAATCCAACTACGCAATAGTGGCATGATGCTTGACGACGACGAGTCTGTGAAAACCTTCTCACGAACAAGATCGGCCGCCTGCATGGGCCCCTCGGATCCCGGTGACTACGCAGGTGGATCACAGGGCCTGGAACCAAGACCTGGAGACACGCAAGCCACGTGTAGCCGGCGCACCTCCTCAACTCGGCCACCCGCGGGTCCGCGGCCCGGCCATGGCCATTTCAAGGCAAAGCCTTGCATCGCCATTGGCATCTTGATCCATCCATCATATCTTGAAATCTCCCTGTCCTTGTCGCCATTTCCCCGCGACGCCCCAGAGACATGGTAACGAACCATGGGGAAGCCAGATTCGGAAATCATGTCATCAACTGGCTTGCCTGCAGAATGGTTGGTGCCTTTTCGGCAAGGCAATCCTCCAGTCTTGCTGCAATCCAACCAGGAACCTCACAACTGTTTCTCCTCTCGCACCAGGCAAGACGCACTGGCCGGCCAAAAGTCCCTACGAGGCTTGAAGACCACAACAGCGGTTTGGGGCGTGCGGTTGCCAAAATGAGAAAATCACCGTTGTTAGTTGGACGGCGCCACCAACTGCAAACTTGCTGCTTGTGGTGCTCAGTATTGATTGCGTACTTCCCCAGACCACGACGACATAACCAGCACAATACAAGTCCAACCGGACCCAACCAATCCCTTTCAAAATGACATTTGCGCAATACCATATCTTGGAATCCCGTGGTTGGTGGACTCTTATTCCTTTCGTGCGTAGCAAGGATTGGTGATGTTGGGTCCAACGCTTCCCCGGCAGATGGTGCACCACGCGGGCGCAGTATTGGCGGCTGTCATGGCATTATATAAATCCTTGGCCTGCATGCAACCCCCAGGGAAATTCACCGGGGCAATGCGCGCGCGCGGGGGCCTGACGGCAATCACCACTCAGATGCGCGCGTGCGTCCCCTACACAGTAGGCTAATAATGGGCATGCCTTATAAAATCCGGGGTGCAACGGCTTTCCCCATGGAGGAGGAAGCATGAGCAGGTCCAGGTGGGCATGACACACCTGTCTTTCGTGAGTTTGCAGGGGGGAAGTTCGGGAGCTTTGGGGCTCCTGTTTCCCTCACTGTTATATACGGCCCGATTCCCTTGCCTTGCTTCATTCCATGCCTGCCTCCCTTACGAAGTTTTCCTGTTGGCGTACGGCATTATGTGGCGTCCAGCTCGTAAGGACATTTTTCCGTCGGGTAGGTCGTCCCCTGCGGCTTGCTCGACTCTGCTTTTATCAAATCAACCGCATGGTTTGACGCTCACGCGACAGCTCCCATACCACGGCGTGCGTGATTCACGAGCGTCTCCCGGGTCCAGGGTCAAGGCTTGTGGTTCGCTTCTGCCCGTGGCTTCCAGTATCAGCAGACGGGAGAGCGGTTGCCAGATCCGACTGAAGGGCTCCGTCGCTTGTTTCGATCCGCTCGACCGGACCATTATACGCCCTGCATCCTTATATTCAGAGAGGCGGGATGTCGTGGAGTTCAGCTGCGAAATGGTGCCCGACTTTCCGAGTGGCTGACGAGGCGCGGATAATCACTTGAAGGAAGCATTGGGCTGGGCCCTTTTTTCCTATTGCTGAGGAGAAAAGTCGAATCGCCATGCTGCGACACCCCTTGATCGATGCGAGGCAATGACTGAGGACTTGAGGCTCGTTTATGACCACGGGGACCACCAACGAGCAGCGGCCGTGTTGGACAACATCGCCGATGCTTGGCAGGCTGGTCATCCGAGAAGCGAGGAAGGCTTCTCTATGGTGATACCCGTATGCGCGTGAGCATGATCCAAAAGTCTCGGGTAATGCGCGAAAACACTCGCTCTGGACTTTGAAGATGTCTGCGGGCACGACGAGGCCCGATGCACCGTTGTGCGTTTAAGCACACTGCGCTTGTCCGAAGTCGATCCTGATCCAACGGCCCCCAAAACTACTGGATCCCGCTGATCTGAACTTGAGAATACCATCTCGGAATGCTAGCTCCTCGATTCGTTCGATGCAGCAAGCACGTTCTGCTGTGTCAGCACGCTGCATGGCCGCACAGGTAGAGAGAGCTGGCGTCATCCGCACAATACACTTGCACCACACCGTTCTAGACACACACAACCAACAGCAATGCATGTAAGGAGGCTCTTCAATGCCACCACCACAAGCAGCCCCCAAATAGCCACAAATAGAGCACACAGACACACATACTCACCCACTCCTGTGCATGAAAAATCCCCCCTTCCGTGCCTTATTCTCAGCAGCAGCAGCAAACAAAAGAGAACGCCGCCGCCGCATCCCTGCCGCAGTGTTTCCAGATTTAGCTCACCGGTAGTCACTTTTTGGGGTCTAGAATTTTCAGAGTTGAAGCCTTGCAGCGCCAAGACCAGCTGGGGGTGAAAGTTAAGATTTTGCTTGAATTTTTATTCTCTTAAAACTTCCCAAAAACGTAATTGCCCTCGAACCCTATGGCTTCGCGGGGCTGTCGCCGCCCGCTCCGTATTCCCAAAAGTATGTCCTCGATTCCAATGTCCCAATGAAAATCAATTGGTTCCCCTACGCTAGTGCCCCCTAAAAAATTGCCAATGCCCGTGTGTGGTCCAGATCCTGATCCAGACTCCCCTGTTGACGCCGTGTAAACGCCGTGCCTGTATGCATTTAACCTGCCTGCTTGCTTGCTGCGCGTTGTGTGCGTGTGTATGGAAACAAAAAAACTCAAAAGATGATGTGGCCGGTGTGATGATGATGATGATGGTCGTTGTAATCAACTCGGCGGCGGGAGCCTTATATGGTGTTGTTGTTGTTGTTGTTGTTGTGGTGGTGGTGGTACATGAAGTACAATTCGTGCGTGTGTATGTGTACGTTATGCGCAACGTGACGGGGATATTAAGTGTAAGTGTATGTTGCGCGCAGAAGTAGCTCCCATCGCGCAGAGGGTGTGCCGGCGAACAGCAGCAAGACATTTCACATTGATGTCGACTGCCGATGCTCCTGATGCGGGTTCGTCACCGAAAACGACGAGCAAGACGGATACGAGTGCCGGGCCGTCGGGTCTTCGCCTGGCCCCGAGGCAACCGACTCCGGATCCAGGTCCGGTGCCGCGATGAGCTTCCCGGATGAATGCTGCCGCGAGTGCCGCCGCCGGTCGAGCGGATCGATATCGAGGTCCAGCGAGCCCGGCCGGTGGTGGTTGTGGTTGTGGTGGTGGTGGTGTTGTTGCTGTGGGTAACGACGCTCGAATTGCTGGTCGTGGTATGCTGCTGGGGCCGCCATCATCGCGTTCATCGCGAGCTCGACGTCGTCCATCTTGAGCCACGAGTCGGTGCCAGCCGACGACGACCCGATCAGCCCGGGCGAAGAAGACCGGCCCTCGGGGACCGCGCACGACGGCTGCCTCTGGCGCCGCGGGATCTCTGTGGCCGAGTTGGTCCCGGGCCCTCCTCCGCGTTCCCCCGAGGACTTGCGCCGCCGCGCGATGCGCAGGCTGCCGTAGACGTTGGGCGCGTTGGCGACAAAGGTGGATACGACGATCTGGATTGACGCCCACAGCGAGCGGGTCTCCTGGGACGAGCCGTTATTAAAGATGAGCACGACGCGCAGGATGGTGACGACGATGCAGAAGGTGCCTAGCACGAATAGGCCGTACAGCCGCAGGTGCTCGCCGAGCGTGCGCTTCTGCAGGCTGAGGATCGGGAAGGAGATGATGAGCAGCATCACGTCAACGACGCTGTTGCTAATACCCTGGAGGAGGAGCTGGGCGTATGCGCGCACGCACTGGCCTGGGTTCGGGCTGATCTGCCAGTAGAGCTCGATGGGGCGGCACTCGAGCAGTGTCGCAAATATGGTGCCGACAAAGGTGGCGCCGAGCACGATCCAGGTCGCGCAGATAAGGTAGGCCACGACGGTAATGCCCGAGAGTAGGTGCTGATAGAAGAGGAGGAGAATGCACATCTGCAGCCACAGGATGACGGCGAGGATAATGCGGGCGACCAGGACGAGGATGCTGCCTGCGTGGACGAGATCCGGGTCGTAGTCTGTCAGCTTTCCACTTAGGACATCGCTAGCGGTGCCGAAGCTGAGGTAGTAGTGGTTAACGACGATGCGGGCGATGATGAAGACAATGGAGAGAATAACCAGGGCGAAGCTGGTATCGCGCTTCTTGCGCTGCCATAGTGTCGTAGCCGCGCGAAGCAGGACGATGAAGAGCGAGATGGCCGCACAGGCGTAGTTGGCAGCCTGGGCGGCAGACATGCTGGGCGACGTTGCTGCCCTGCGAGGGAAACTCATTTGAGGGTGTTACTTGTTGAGGGTCGCGGCCGGTGAATCTGACGAGGAGAGCGTGGCCATGCTTGAGATGAGGGCGTTGTTCCTGGTGCTCCTCTGGCGGTCGATGCCGATTCGGTTCAGGCCGGTAGATGTCGTTTACGTCGATGTCGTTTACGTCAATGTCGCATATCGAGAGTTCCGAGACATGCTGCAGGAAAACGGCTGGGCGTGTTGAAGAATGGTAGCGGGTGGGGAAAAGTCTGGGGAGGGCACGCCGAGGGAGATATACCGGGCGGCGCAGGAGCAGAGCCGGTGGTCTGGGGGGCATTCATTCATGGGCCTAGCCGACGGACTGGGTCCGCCAAGGGCACCTTTTCGTCCCAAAATTGCCACTAAGCACGAGGACCAGGGACTAGGCCGCGGGGGACGCGCCGGCGACGGGGCCGTCGATGGGCCATTCCCACATTGGCTGACGGTACGCTGGTCCAGGTGTGTGTGATCTGGGTTGCCTTGTCCTCCGTACACACACACCAGGTCAGGCTCACGTCGCACTCGAGGGGTGACATTCACGTCCTGTGCTTACAAAGGTGCCCTGCGTGATGCAGTCATTGCAGCAGGAGAAGCAGACTGTCTATTTTTTGCTCTGACACGCAGCCTCCTTGTGGGATGTTTGGTCATCTCATCATTGTTGTCGTTGTTGTCACCGGGACTCTCGAGAGCAATGCGAGCAGGGGTCAGGGCCTGATTGCCGGTGGGGGAAGTCCTGGCATTGGAAGCCTGTCTGTCATGCCATCAAGAAATCAAAGCAAGCCATTTCGCGACCCATGAGGCTCGGTACCCAGGCCAGGGCTTGGTTATGCAAGGATCTGCGTGTCGCAGACAGAATTTAACGACCGCTTACGATCCTTGAGCCTGGTGGGCTAATTACAATTGCCAAAGCTGGCTGAAATGGAACCTGTTTGCCTTCTCAATTAACAGACCCTTTGAAGTCGTGCTCGCGGATGACTTATTGCCGTTCCGTAGCCTGAGCCGAGCACTGTGACGGCCTGAAAGATGTCGCTGGCGGGTCAGCCGGTCTCTACCGACAGTGTGCCCATGGCTGTTGTGGCTTGCCTCTTGGCAGCCAGTGCTGTCTGCCTGCCGCCCGTGTGCGACATGATTGCCAGTCGCGGAGGACCAGCACCACGGGCACTGGCTGGCGCGGCTGCTCGAGTTTGTGGCGTTCTTCTCGCCCGTCGTGGTCGTCGGATCCGAATTATCTGGAGTGAGCATGGACGGACGACTCCCACCACCATGCCCCTGAACGGCCATGAACAACGCCAGCGGGGATGGCGAAGCCGGAGCGAGACCACACAAGGCGAGTCGACCCGCCACCGATCTCGACAGGCGAAGACAGGGTGGAGGTACTAATTACGCGTTACGGGGTAGCTTGATGCCCAAACTCCACAATCGCTCATGCTAGGTACTTACTCCAGCAGGCCATGCATGCCTTCTCAACCGTCGCCCAGGTTGGGAAAACTCAAAATCACTGGCACGCACACAACCAACAGGAATCTGTTACCTGGCTGGCTGCCGCGCTACCCACATGTTGGACATGAAACGGTGCCCACGCCTCGTCGCCTGTATCCCACCAGAATGAGCCACACGCATTATCCAGGTCGTCCCACATGTTGTTTCGCGCTCGTCATGAGCATCCGATACCCAGCGCAAGACGCGCCCCGGCGATTGCTCACGGGCCAGGTAGCATGGACAGAGGAATTCAAGCGACAGGGACCCCTAGCCGGCGCATGGCCTTCTGGCACGCAGCGTTGCGCTGAGCCAATTTAGAGTTTGTACGGGGTGTTGCATTCTGCAGAGGAGGTCCACCTCCACCATCCTCGCTCGCTCGCCTTTTGCTGGGGTTTTCCCTGCTCTCATCTGGTCGCTAAAGAACGCCCGCCAAGAGTCCGCCGCAGGGCTAGCGGAGATGGTCGGTATTCCGATACAGACTGCTAGTGTATTCCCCCGTCCTTTCAAGCAGCCAGTCAGATCGAGCTCGGTCGGAGAACTTTGGTGGCTGCCTCGAGGTGGTTAGCAGCTCGTCTGGACCCGGGTCCACATACTTCGGCCACGGCTCCCCATGGCTGGGCGGTGCTTGGCTTGAAGCAGCTGGACTGTTATTATGCGCTCGTGGCGGAAGATGCCGCGGGAGGGTTTGACCAGTCGGCCAGCTGGGACAGCATAGCCTCAGACGAGCTGGGCTTCTCCAGACGCCTCAGCCTGCCGAGCCAAATAGTTACAGAGCTGAGCCGGTATGCCTGCGTGATGAGAGGTGCCAAGGCATCACGGCGCATGGGGTAAATCAGGGGAACTGCGGACTGCTCTCTGTGTGGCGTGGCCGGAGCCCACAGTCGAGGACCATGCAGTGCACCGGAAGCGCCGGTGTGCCTCACGGCATTGCCAACATTGTTGTCGGTAGTTATGCAAGTTCTTTGATCGTCGCCAACACAGCGGCTTCCAAGGAAGCTGTTCCCTGGTGGCCAGGCAGGGGCTGGCAGCCAGGGAAAAGATCCAATGCTCTGGATACGGGGTCGGGATTTCAGGGGAGGGAGGGTCCCCCATGTCGGGCAAAAACACCCTGCAGGCTTGACCCAGTGTGTGCGACGTTGAGCAACGACAGCTGAGAGAGAGAGAGACCGCGACTCACTCACGCCGAGACAGAACACACTCACTTAGGAGCCGTGGCGCACGCTGCGTAGGGCCCCTGAGTGTCAGGCGCAGGTCAGCCTTGCGAGGCCGATGCCCACACACAGAACTGCTGGCCTCGAGCACCAATGCACGCGGGACGTGCACGTTCCTGCGTCAGAAGCACCGGCGTCGGCTCCGAAAAGCGTCATGCTAATTACGACGCATCCGAGATCTCATCTCTAGAGACACGTGGCCGGCACCGCCGCAGTCAGTCTACTTCAAGCATGGGCAAATGTAATAGCGTGGTTATTACTCGCGTACGTGCAGGTGGGATAGTCTTTGCACCGTATATCACTGCCTCCCACGGCTTGCTTGCCAGCCGGGAGCCGTGACCCACCCGTGCACGCGCGCGACTCAGTGGTGATGGTTGTGTCTGTCTCGAGTGCAGCTGGTGTGTCCGTGCCAGACTCCGGGCATGCCGAGTTGGGGGACACATTGCTCCCACTTTTGCACGTGCACAACAGCAGAACCTGAGAAGCATCTCTCTGCACTAGTCATGTACTTGCATTGTGCATGTCCCGTCCCTGTGACCAGTTTGTGTGACACGAGCATTGGATACAAGCCGCCCAGGCACAACGCAGCTCTGCTCTCCACAGGGTCCCCCCTCGGAGCTGGCCACGACTGGCAGTTGCTGCTTGGCATGCTGGCCGTGTGCTTGATCACAGTATATGGCGCTCGGAAATGCAAGCTTGAACCTTTCCTTGGAGGAATATCCTCGGTGTTCCGAAACCCCGACATGGCCGACATGGCGTGTCGACGACCAGCTTGCACACGGGCTTGGGCGCGAGATTTTTCCTTCTATTCCTGCAGCCACGATTGTGCCGAGATGACAGACGTATCCCCAGAGCAAGTGAAAACGGACGGCATGGCGTGGACCTCGTGGTGAAACTTCTGGGCAGGGTTCGCAACAACAGAATGGGTACAACTACAGAGCAACGGTTCTCTGCCGACTCGTGACCTCCCAAACATCAACTAAAGCGACGCATGCAGCATTAGCCACCATGTCGGCAAATGGATTCCAGTCCCATGACTTCCTTTTATCTGCGTGACATGTTCTGTCGACATGTCACCCGCAGCCTTTTCCGGCCTGTCCCCCGTGCATACAGGGTCGCGAAAACTCCGTTAGTGTAAGAGGCTTAAATCTACGCAACCCCAAGCTTTCCCTGTTGAAGGTCTGCCCTGAATATATCACTTGGCACAGGGGCTAATCAAGCGCAACAGCACAAGTCGGGCACTTTGTGCAAGCTGGTATAAATGACAGCACGTGTCGTAAGCCTGGTTTATTTCTCAAGTGGATATTCCTAGGCTTCTAAAGTGCTGTGATGCTTTCTCTCTCGCTCACGGAAATATAAACCCACCAAGGGTACAACAGCAAGAACTTAAATAATAGAGAGAACAGGAGGAATTGGCAACAAATTACTCCCTCCATTGTTTGAGCCTTTGCCGCAAAGGGCAACTCTGACAAGCCATCTCATTAGTGAAACAGCGCCGGTCTTCGCTCCACGCTCCACTCTTTCGGGCGTCATCTCGCCTCGCAGCCATCTTTCCGAGGTGAACGGAGAATCACGACCGGAACCATCTGGAATACTCGCTGCTCCCAACCAAAACCTCATGCTTTTGCAAGTCTACCTCTACGAAAGCCAAATATTTGTAAAAATGAATGTTTGGGATTTTACTTGGGCGCCTAATTACTTTCAGTTCTTGTCTTAAGCTACAGAGAACAGCAACTTAAAATGTGTGTTGGATCGCTCTGTGTGCCGTCCTCTAGTTACAAGCGGCACAAGCGACTGACTGACGAACCACATCCACGGCAGAGAATGGCGGCATGGCTTCTGTCGGACCGGCAAGTTTCTTGATCATCCTTTCGTGAAAGTCGTGCTCTGATAGCGCAGTCACCACCACCACCACCACCCGACGTCATGATGATCAATAGCGGCAATTGTGCATGCCCGTTGGGTTGGGAAGTAACCCTGTCCTCCAAAGAAAACCGGGACCCTTGAGCTCGCTCGCTCGCATACTAGAATTGTGACTAATATTGTGTGACAAACCCATTCTCTCTGCACACACACACCAGTAGAGTGGCGGCTTTGTTCACGATCACCAACATTACAGACGGAGGGGCCCTTGAATAAAGTATGTTTGTATGTATTAGTTATTTTGTACCTATCCAGGACACCACCGCCACGGGGTGATCCCTTGCGGATGTCCAAGATTGTGATCTCTGCTCTTTTTTGTTTATTCTCTTTGAAAATAAAGAAGCCGTTATGAAAATGTTGGGAATATGCAAAAAAAGTAGATCACTGTCTGGTTCATTCTTTCTTCAATGTTGACGCGCACCACCATGCAAAATACATCTCTGATACTTGGGCTGCTTTCTAGCACAAAGCCCGAAAACCCCCCCTTTCTTTACAAGAGAAGGATGCCAGCGCCCGAAACCACCGCGAGCACCAGGTAGCCCGCGAACAGGGCCTTGCCGACATCAAAGAACCCAAGACCACCACCGGCACCACCAGCAGGACCCATGCCGCCACCGATCCGCGCGGCCACGCCGGACGAGGAGCTGCTCGCGACGCCCGTGGCGCCGCCAGCGCCGCCGCCCTGCACGGCGGTGCCCTGCTGGCCGGTGGGAGCGGGGACGGCGCCCGTGCCGGCGGTTCCCGCGCTGGCGATGAGGGCGGAGCAGCCGGCGGCGGTGCTGGGGCTCTGGACCGAGGCGACGCCGTTGAAGGCGCAGGCGGACGGGTTCGAGTTCTGGGCGAGGTAGTACTGGTTGGCGACCCAGGCGAGCTGCTGCTTGGCGCTGCAGCCGCTGAGGGCGCCGTAGTCGCCGGTGGTGGCGTTGCGGGCGATGCCCTCGCACAGGCTCTCGTTGGACCCGCAGATGTAGTTGAAGACGGCGCCGTAGTCGGAGCCGTCGTCGGAGGCGATGCCGCACTGCAGCGCGGCGGCCTCGCAGGCGCAGAACTGCGGGTTGACGGTGGGCGGGAGCGGCGTGGCGACGGCGGCCCAGGTCGAGTCGGTCGGGCAGGCGGGCGCCGTGTTGGAGGGCTTGTAGGCCGAGGACTGGGTGATGGTCGGCGAGACCTTGGCGAGCTGGTTGCGCAGCGAGGTGAAGTCTGGGTACGGGGAGACGCTGTTGCCGTTGACCTTGACGAGGCCGAACTGGTTCTCCGAGTCAAAGTACTGGTACACGATGCCACCGGAGAAGACGTCCGTCATGTTGCCGTAGAGGACGGGCACCTCGGTAAAGGGTCGCGAGTAGGGCCCGCCGGGCAGGCCCTCGTTGCAGCCGTACTCGGCAAAGAAGACGGGCACGGGGTAGTCGCGGAAGAACTCGACGCGCTCGCCGTACGAGGACGCGGCGTAGTTGCTCTGGCCGCACCACGAGTAGACGTTGTAGCCCCAGAAGTCAATCGAGGTCAGGCTGCCGTCGGAGCCCGGCGTGCAGGCGAAATAGGCCGCCAGGTCGTCGCGGGTGGGCACATCGGCCGTGGCGTAGCCGACGCCCAGCGAGGAGCGGTACTTCATCGACTTGATGTACGCCTTGGTGTCGCGGACGGCGGCCTTGACAAACGCGGCAGAGGCAGTCTGGTTGGCGGCCTGCACAACCTCGTTGCCGGCAAAGAAGCCAATGACGTTGTTGTACTTGGCCAGGGCGTCGACGACGGCCGTGTATCTGGCGTAGAGCGGCACGTTCCACTGCGGGTTGTTGCTCTGGATCGAGGTCGACGGCTCGCTCAGGTCGGCAAAGACATAGATGCCCTTGTTGGCGAGCTGCTCCATGCAGTCATCGTGGTTGACGGTTGGGTCGATGGCGTACACGCGGATGACGTTGGTGAAGAGCTGCTCCATGAACGGAATGTCACGGGCGCAGATGCTTCCATCCGCGAGGGGATCCGTGTACTGCGTGTTGGCAGAAACCTGGCCATTGGGCTGGTAGTTCTGCTGGTACGCAACACCTTTGAGGTAGCTGTGGCCGAGTTGTACTGGTCAGTCTCGTGCTTGTGGACAATGAGGGTTTGAGTTGTGTCTTGCTTCCATGCAGCAACTTCTCTGCCCTTGTGCACCACACTGTGTAGAATTGGCACTCACTATTGCGATCCGTTGTTCGAGTAGAAAAAGTGCTGGCCGACGGCCTGGATCGTCGGGATCGTCTTCCAGCTCTGTGCGTTGGCGGAGCCGGCCAGGGAAGCCAAGGCGCCAAGCACCAGGGAAACAGCGGAGCTGGACCGCATGGTAATGGCGGGGTTTTTATTTCAATTCAGTGTGTGGTCTTCGGAACCGTGCACGGGAGCAGTGGTACAATGAATTGTTGCCGGTGTGGTCCGGAAGCAAAGTCGGCGGCGAGGACAGGCAGCCTGAAGAGAGCGTGTGAAGGTTGAGGAAAGGTTGGAATGTATTATTTAGGCAGCCGCAAAAGGTGCTGACGGCGACTGGGAAAAGCACACGAAGCGAGTGGGACGGCTGGCAGGAATGGAACCCAAGCACGTCTGACAGGGAGAGATGGAGAAACAAGGAAGACGAGCCAAGAAAAACAAGAAGAGGAAGGGGACGCCAGAAGCCTCGGGGCCCCGGGTCCGGCGCATGTTTATTCAGGCGCCTCTGTCCGCCCACTCGCTGCTTACCCTCTTTCCGAGGCTTGCGTTGCGCACGCCAGCCCGACCTGACCATGCGCCGGCCACCCTTGTGCTCGCGCCGCCAGCCATTCCGCCTAGCGCAGTTTTAAGCTCCGGAAGCTGGCCTGGGAGAAACCCTTTGAGCGGGTCTGCCCCCATTGTCGTTCGGTCGTGTTCGCAGGGGCATGCGGTTGTCTCGGAGGGCTGGCTGGCTGGATGGCTGAATAGCCCCCGCCAGAGATTGGCCGTGTGGCATTGCCCTTTGGCCACCTGGCCAAGATCTGATCCCTCGTCTTCGTTCTCCAAGACGCAGCCCCGGCGAGCATGTTGCAAAACATCAAGCACCAGCACAAGCAAAGACTCTGCAACACGCAAGACTGGGCGAGCGGTGCGGTACGTCAGCTCCTCGCTGGGGAGGGCAACTGCCGGTGAATATCAAGATGATCAGCAAGTCGCAGCCTGCTTCTCGAAACGCAGGGTTGCATGTGCGCGATCTGGAATGGGTCCACCGTCGTCATCTCCGTGTCACAGAGGAACGGGGCCCGGCCATCCCCACGCTCGCCGCGACGGCTGGGAGTGCGAGGAGGACGTGCATTCAAGAAGCCGATCGACAACAAGACAATTGGCTGGGCAGCCATCATCGCCAACCAAGGAGCCTCATCCGTCTGTTGCGGGTTCACGAGATGTGCTGACGATGCTTTGGAGACTACAGTCGGACGGCAAAGTCCATGACTGAACTCGAGAATACGATCCCCACAGTCCCTCAGCCCGTCAGCCCAGATACGGGACGCACACTCTGCGCAATTTGCACCATGCCGTTGACACGAGGCGGGCGCAGACGACGGGCTGCAAATAGCTTTGGTGTCTGCGGGCGGGGGCCCTTGCGCACTCACCTGCCTCGCCCTGCCCTGTCCCGTCGCCCGCCCATTCTCAGGCCTTGACACGCGTTGCGTTTGGTCCCTTGGTGTCTTGGTACAAAGGCTTGTTTTGTCTTGTCCTGCCCACTGGTGGAGCAGCACCCCGTCCGTGTCATCCCAGCAGCAGGCCGGGCTGCTGCTGCAGCGTCGTCCACGATTCCCAACCCCATGCTCATAGAACCGTTCTCGCGTGGTGATGACGGGTAATCGGCAAAGCTTGGCATCAGATCCCTGAAAAGAACGAAATGGCCCAGCTGGCTGGCCGTTTGCGGCGTGCCCAGATTGAGCCGTCGCAACGTTGTATGTAATTAGTTAATGTAGCGTACGTAGTCTTCATGGTATGTTGCCGCTTGGGGGTTCGAGCTGGAGCACCTCGACGAACGGCCTGTCGCTCGGCCCCTTTCGCACGTACGCGTCACATCCCTAGGGTCCACCACTAGCTGGCCCAGTAGTCAGTCACCCCAAGCACCTCCTCTGAAGGGCAGGCAAATGTTAGCCCTCTCGTTGACGTGTACACACGTCCTCGGCACACCCACACTGCGCCCCTAGCTGACGACGCCTCGCCTTCCTTGCTTAGGCCCCCCTTCTCTCTGCCGTCGAGAAGCCGTACAGGAGGCAGGGAGTGAGTTGCTCGTGCCCGTTGCCGAAGCTAGTATGTGCGTGTGAACATCATTTCCGCTGTTGCTCCCTGCGACGCGCATGCTTATTAGACCGGTGTCTGTAATGGGGCTTCATTGCGGTGGATGAATACGGGCGGGAAGGCTAGTTAACGATGCAGGACAAAATTGTGATGGGCGAGGCGCCATTCTTTGCAACTTTCGCAGATGATGCTGGATCTCGAGACCCAGCCGGTGTACCTGAAAGCATTCCTGGCCCCAATTAGTGGGAACATCCCTCCATGGTCCCCTAGACTTGCATGATGCTTGTCGACTGCGGCGCTTGCCAGCGACCACTTGACACCGGACCGCCGCGCCACCCATGTTTCAGATCAAACAAAGAGCACTGTCGCGGATATCGCAAGTAAATTCGAGAACCGATCGGTCGACAAAACGAATCAGCCAATCGCGCAGGCACACAATACCAAAAAAAAAAAAAAAAAGGGAGAAAAAAAAAAGATTGGAATGCATGTATCCCAGGTTTCCCTCGGACCGGAATCGAACCGGTGACATTCAGATAACAATTTGTGGACAATTACAGTCTGACGCGATAACCAACTACACCACCAAGGGAGTTGGCAAATGAGGAACAGTTGGACTGTCCGTCAAGGGTTTGCTGTTGTGGACTCGGCCGCTTATGATAGTATGTATTCACAGCGCATATCTCTCTCCCGCGGGAGCAACCCTAACCACGAGCGGCTGGTCCCTTCTCTGTACGGCTTCAGGGTGGTGGCGCCATGGTCATAGCATCAATACTTGCAACGGGACCTGAGATTCATCATGTCTATTAACTCATTCGCCCGCCGTCAAACCTCTTCCGTTTATGCGGCGTCCGTCCTCTTCCGCAGGCCCCGCCGACTTCCGATACTACGGTCCTGTGTGATAGCCTCCAGAGACAGCCCCTTCGTCTCTTCTAGATACACAAAGGACACAACCGCGATGATCAGGTCAAACACACCCCAGAGGAGGAAAGTGCCCCAGCCCAAGTTGCGGATCATGTATGGCGTGGCGACAGAGAAGATGAAGTTGAATAGCCACTGCGAGGCGACGCCCGCCGCAACACCAGGCTCGCGGATGCGAGTCGGGAAGATCCTGGTCGCGCCGAGGCTCTTTATCAGTACCACTGGGGCATTTTTGACGTATCGCGTAAGCGTAGGTGAATGGCATTCATGAAAGCAGCAGGACCTACTCGGAAACATATGGCCACGGTAGCGGGCCCCAGCTAAAGTTGTACACCACGACGAACAGGTAGATCAGTGCGACGGTGCCGATCCCGGAGCCCGAAACGCCGCTGCTGCTCGTATCCGGGGACGGCGTGGCTGCAACGATGCCGGCCGTCGTGATCTGGCACAAGCCCATGACTACGGCACCACCTACGAGTACCTGGCGGCGGGAAAGGCGCTCCGAGAACCAGATGACAAAGACGCCGCACGACACAACCTTGACAGCGCCGAATATGCCAGTCAGTAAGAGGCTCAGGTCGGCATCGCCGCCGACGAGAAGCTCGAAGTACTGCGGGCCGAAATAGGCAAAGGCCGTAGCGCCCGTGGCCTGCTGTGCTGTGAACACGGCAAAGGCAGTGAACACACGGCGGAAATTGTCGCGCTCGAGAAGCTCTACGGGGGAAAACATGTTAAAAAGTCAGTCATGCATCAAGCTTCCTCTTGCAGCGACTCTTCACCTACCCTTGATGTGGAAGCCCTCGGTCGCGCGGGCTTCGTCGAGGACTCCCGCGCGAATCTCGTCCATTTCGGCTGCCGTGGCGTCGGAGGTGTCGGCTCGTATCCATTGCAGGCTGAGCCAGGCTTCCTCGTGACGGCCCTTCTTGGTGAGCCACCTCGTGCTTTCGGGCAGGGTGAGCATACCCAGGCCGAGCAGTCCGGCAGGGACAAGTTGGAGGCCGATCGGGATCTGCCATTGCGACGGGCTGTTGTCGGGGATCCCTCTGGCAACGCCGTAGTCGATCCAGTAGCTAGCAAAGATGCCCTTGTTCTAATGTGAGCTGAGATGTCCCGATGGAAGGGAAAGACTGATAGACCGCGCCTGGACTCTGGCAAAGACTTACGAAAGTAAAGAACCACTGGAAGAAGGAGCCGACCTGGCCGCGCAGCTCTTTCGGCATCATCTCGCTGTTGTACATGGGCACGACCACAGTCGCTGAGCCCAGACCGAGACCTGCCACCACGCGGGCAAAGTAGAATGCCGTCAAGGAGTGCGTGTTAATGGTCTGTATCACGGCACCGATGCAGAAGACGAACGACGACAGCATAAGTGTCTTGTTGCGGCCTAGGCGATCCGTGACGGGCCACGCAAGGAAGCAGGCGATGAAGGCACCCAGCTGCTGCAGGCCGACTGCAAGCGACTCTGTTCTTGTTTTGGTTGATGCGTCGTAGCGGTAGTCGTTCTCAAAAGACGAGAAAGTCAAGACGCCGCCTGCAAAATTGTCAGTCTGGCGTGCGTCAGGTTTGCGGGTTTCGTGCTGTCACGCACCGACACTATACACACAAAGTCAGCCACTGAATGGTCCGCCAGCTCTATTCGAACGTAGAAACCCACATCCCGCTATCATAACCAAACAGGAAGCCCGCCATGCAGACGACAGAGCCTAGCCAGTACGCTCTGAATCGTCCTAGTGGTATGCCGAGCATGTTTGTGCCTGTCCCGTTGCTCACTGGCTGCCGTATGGATACAAGTGGTTCAATCCAAGTGCCTTCGAATGATTGTCGAAGGAGCGCATCACCCTCGTCTTCGTCATCTGCTAGGTCTGCCATGTTAATATTGTCCAGTTTCTCGATTACGTTCAAGGCCAGCGCGATACAAGTGACTTTCCCCTGTTGATGAGAAGGAGTCTCCTAGATCGGCGTCCGTGCCAGCAACACGAGGGTCAAGCATGACGACAAGCACGCGTCCAAGGGGAGCAGTTGCGTGATGAGGGACCAATCATGCTGGCGAATTCGGGGCTAGGGGGGGCCTTGTCTTGATACCCCGACAGCGCCAGGGGCCAACCAACTTCAGGGCCCAATCGCCGCCTAACAAGGGCGACAACCGAAGCCCGTAGTGGGGGAGGACGGCTAATTCTGGGGAAATTCCCAACTTGTTCCCCGCACGGCGCGGGAAATGTGAGGAGTACGATAGGTAGCTCTCGGCCTCAGGGCTGGTTAGACTTTCCCCACCGTGAGCAGTCAAGACTCATGCTTACTGGAACGATGTGGACGCGGATGCAGAGATGCGGTATCGCAGGCGGGGGGACCCTTTGGTTCTTAACTGTCGACCGTGCTGAGCAGTGAGGGGCGGGTGGTCTCGACTCGACTCTCGTGCCATTTTCCTCTCCGTCCTTGCTGTCAAACTAACTCTTCTTCCCCTTCCTGCTTCTCTTCTCCTGGTCACCTTATTTCCCGTGTAAGTCCACGAACGGCCCTCGTTCACGCTATTCAAGATGCCAGGCAAGCGCCCCAACTTCCTCATCTGCCTCGCCGACGACCTTGGCTTCTCGGACGTCGGCTGCTTCGGCGGCGAGATCAGCACGCCCAACATTGACAAGCTCGCGCGGGAGGGCATCCGGTTCACCGACTTCCACGCGGCGGCGGCGTGCTCGCCGTCGCGGGCCATGATCATGACGGGCACCGACCACCACATTGCCGGGCTGGGCAACCTGATCGAGTGGACAAACATCTCGGCCCAGAACGACCCCAACGGGACCATGTCGACGGCCCCGCAGCGCGGCATGCCGGGCTACGAGGGCTACCTCAACGAGCGGGTGGCCGCGCTGCCCGAGATCCTGCGCGACGCCGGCTACCACACGGTCATGGCGGGCAAGTGGCACCTCGGCCTCACGCCCGAGCGCAGCGCCAAAGCCCGCGGGTTCGAGCGCAGCTTCGCCCACCTCCCGGCCTGCAGCAACCACTACGCGTACGAGCCCCGGATGGAGGGCGAGGACCAGATCCCCGAGTTCATGACCATGAGCTACATTGCGCTGCACCAGGAGGACGGCGAGTACGTCCGCAAGCTGCCAGACGGGTGGTACTCGTCGGACGGCTACGGCGACAAGATGCTCCAGTACCTCAAGGAGTGGAAGCAAGATAAGGACGAGAGGAGCAGCAGCAGTGCAGGCGAGCAGGAGGACAGGCCATTCTTCGCGTACCTGCCCTTCACCGCACCCCACTGGCCTCTCCAGGCACCACAGGAGTACATCAGGAAGTACCGGGGCGTCTACGACGACGGGCCCGAGGCGCTGCGCCAAAGGCGCCTCCAGAACCTCAAGGACCTGGGCATGATTCCGCAGGACGTGGAGCCGCACCCCGTCGTGGCCGACGAGGTACCCGCCTGGGAGTCGCTCACGGCCGAGGAGCGCGCCAACTCGTGCCGCGCGATGGAGTGCTTCGCGGGCATGGTCGAGGCCATCGACGTCAACGTCGGCAAGGTCACGGCGTACCTCGAGGCCGTGGGCGAGCTGGACAACACCTTTGTGTGCTTCCTCAGCGACAACGGGGCCGAGGGCGCCGCGTACGAGGCCTACCCGCTCGTCAAGAGCAGCATGCTGGGCCACCTGCAAAAGTACTACAACAACCACATTGACAACCTGGGCAACGGCGACTCGTTCATCTGGTACGGCCCCCGCTGGGCGCAGGCCGCCACCGCGCCCAGCAGGCTGTACAAGGCGTATACGACCGAGGGAGGCGTGCGTGTGCCGTACGTCATGAAGCCGCCCGTCTCGTACAACCACAATAACGACAACGACGATAATAAGCAGAGGGACACGGCGACGAGCTCGAAAGACCTGGCGGGAAGCATAACCCACCAGTTCGCCACGGTCATGGACCTCGCGCCCACAATCCTCGAAATGGCCGGCGTGGCCCACCCGGCACCGACATACCAGGGCCGCGAGGTCGTCCCGATGCGCGGCAAGTCCATGGTGCCTTACCTCACCGCCGGCGAGGCCACCACGATCCACGAAAAGGACTTCATCAACGGGTGGGAGACGTGCGGCCGCGCCGCGTGCCGCAAGGGGGATTGGAAGATCGTCTTTATCCCCAAACCCAAAGGTCCGGAGAAGTGGCAGCTGTACAACCTCGCGCGGGACCCGGGAGAGGTGCACGACCTCGCGGAGCAGGAGCCCGAGCGGATGAAGGAGCTGATCAGGCTGTGGGATCAGTATGTCCTCGAGACCGGGGTTATCCCGCTCAGCCCGGAGCTGGGACAGTGGATGGCGGCGATGGAGGAGCAGATGCCCGAGAACGCCTGGATCGAGTATGAATACTGGAAGGACGGGGCGAGGGACGACCCGGAGAGGTTTACCAAGAAGATCCCCCGGTTCCAGAGGAGGGTTGCTGCTATCTGAGCGTGGATGTTGTGTTGTGTCAAGGTGGCTCGTGGTTGCCGGGGGAAAGATTCGCGAAAGAAATGCAAGTTTAGACATCAAGATGTGGAATCTGCAAGTTCTCTATGATGGCCTATGTGTTCGTTTTTGCCTATTGAAATACCCTTCTCTAACTGATCTATGTACCTGTGAACGCCGCGCTGGGACCCTTTAACTCGCTGGTTGACTGTGGCAAACCTAAACAAAGAAATTTTGAAATGACGACGAGGGAACGAAACAAAAATCGTCCTTGCCGCAATTTGAAGTTGACGGAGGGAACTAGAGGTTCTCATGACAATGAGAGAGGACCGGAAGGACAAAAGAAGGACAAAGGAAACGCTCGCTTATTAGTCAACGCAAAAGCACGCTTGCTGAAACGCCGTGTCAAAGCAGTGGAGCCACTAGTCTTGATGCTTTCAATGCCCAAATAATCCCATAATCCCCTCGCCAACACCGCCGGACAGATTACTCCTGATCTCGGCGTCATCGTCCTCGAGTTCCTCGAGCTGCTTGGCTGGCAGCTTGACCGCGCGGTCCAGCGCGACAGGCAAGCCTCTGTGCCTACCACGCAGCATCACCAAGATCATGATGATCTTGCTCCCCGTGTACATACCTCCGGTCATGCTGTACGCTTGGTCTGGTAGGCCGATGGAGATGCCAATATTGGTGTAGCCCGACACGATCTCGAAAAGGATATTGAACACGCTGAACGTAACTGGATCCTCGAGCGTATGCGCTGTCTCTATCAGCGTAACCAGGAACAACGCGAGCGCGACCCACCAAACGTCATGGCTGAGTTGGCCACGGACTTGCTGGCTGACCAGGCTTGGCGGTGCCGTAGTTGGGGCGTGGCGGTCTAGAGAGTGTACTGACGCCGGGCGAATGGAGGGCACGTTATTGAAGTCAATCGTCGCTGCGCGGCGCAGGCCTGCTGGGCGACCCTGGGAGATGGATGTCTTGGGGCCGGTGGTGTTTGTATTGGTCGTGTAGAGTAACGCTGGTGGCGATGTGGCTGCGGTGAAGGTCCGAGGGACTGAGGCGACACCAACACCCTGGAAGCCCGTCATGCGACGCTGCAGTTGGCGCCCGACAAAGGCTGTGCCACGACGTCCGACGGCGTATAATTTCTTCACGGATCGTGTCGACGGCGTGCGAGACGCCGTATCCCAATTGTTGTTTGCGGTGGTGGGAAGACCCAGCTGGTCGTCGTCATTCGGGATGACACCGTCGACGTCAAACAAGCTGCTCGATGCGGAGTGCAGTTGCTCCACCTCTGCGTGGTCACCTTCGTAGATACCCAGGGAGCGCTCCTCGTAGACATTGGTCTTGCGCATGGTGATGATGTGGGGATATGCTGCCGTGTAGAAAATGATGAGCCAGAGAACCAGCACGTCCGAGTACATGCTCGCGGGCGGGAATATGGCGTAACCTCCAGAAGGGATTGAGAAGCCTTCGAACAGGGCGTCGAAGACGCGTTGACCCAAAGGGATAGCCTCCATCATGGGATTGCCGATACTGAGGATCAGGATGAGGAACCAATCAGCCATGACAAAACCGCCAAATGTCGCAACGAACAGCCACGTGTCCCGAGATGGGAACAAGCTCGTGTACACTCGACGAGGGAATCGGAGGATGAAATCGAAGCCCTCTTTCCAGATGCCGTACTCCTCCGTCCTGTTCCACGCAAACGTCTCCATCAGCTTGGACATGATCCAGATGAGCAGGCGCATGAAGACGGGGAACGCAGCTGGACCTGCCAAGGACAAGACAGCGACGATTGTAAGCAGGAAATACGAAGACTGAAATGGCAGGAACCCGGCATCCAACAGTGTGAAGCCCGCGTTGTTGTAGGCAGAGATGGCGAGGAAGATGCCCGCCCACCACGGGTTCTGGGCATTGACGGCCGACGTGTCGACGGCGTAAACAGACATCCAGGCGCCGAGCGCGATCGCGCCAAAGACCTGCCACAGGATGAAGTAGGCCAGCACAAAGTACGACAAGAACTTGAGCGCACGATATTCTACGCCGCCGAGATACTCGCGCTTCTCCTCGGTGAGGTTGAAGAACTGGCCGTTGCGTCCGATGCTGCTCTTCTCCTCGCGGAGGAACGTCTGCACATTGAACTCTTCGACTCCTCCAGAAACCGGGAGCTTGGTCTCTCCGGAATGCGGGCGACGCCTCATTGACGAGGCGTCCTGGGGATGGGAGTGCACGTTGTAGATCGAGTGGCCTGTCGCTGCCGATAGTGGTCTCTGCCCGTTCGCGTCTAATGGGATTCTTTCGCGAATCGGCTCTAGAAACCCGACCCGGTGGCCATGCTGCAATGGACTGGTGTTGTGATTGCTCTCATCACCGCCGACAGGCACGCTCTCACTGCTCCGTATTCTGGATGGCATTTCCAGGCTCTCGAGTTGTGCGGTCGGGCTTCCGGGCGACTGCTGCGGAGCTCCAGGCGACGAGACCGGCCTCCTCGAGACTGGTCGCGTCGTGGCGTGTGGTTCCTGCTGGCCCTGCTTCTTTTGCTGTTGTTGCTGCTGCAGAACTGTGGCGTCCTTCTCCGCAGCCTCGCGGCCCTTTGCGCCACCAAACGACGACATGACCTGCAGCCCAAACATGGCGCCCGCCAGGCCGACTGCCGCGCCCGTCTTGTGCGTGCGCGTCCTGTTCTTGCGCCTGGCCCTCTCGGCGTCGACGATGGCCTCGAAGCGCTTCTCAAAGACGTGCTTGCGGTACGCAATGGTGACGTACGAGACGAGGACCTGGCTCCCGATGATCATGAGCAGGCACAGCTCGGCCTGCTGGAAGGTGGTGAGCTGGCTGACGTTGATGGTGTTGAGGCCGGACGCGGTGAGGGCGGACATGACCATGAACATGCTGTCCCACCAGCCGATGCTGTAGGGCGGGGACGACGCGCCGTAGAAGATGCCGCTGCCCACGAGGGCGGTGACGATGAAGTAGGTGTAGTGCAGCGTGATGAAGTTGACTGGCGGCAGGTACGGCCGGACGACGGCCCACCGCGCGGCGGCATTCTCGCAGAGGTCTGGGTGCGCCTCGCACCAGTCCTCCCACCACTGCGGGCGCATACTCGATGACGGTGTCGCTCCAGAGTTGTTGGGATGTGGTGGTTCCTTGTGTTGGTGGTGGTGTTGGGCGTCGTCGTCGTCTTCGTCGTCGATGTTGCTGGGTCGACACGCTCAATCGCCAATGCCGGGGATGCAGGTAGCCGTGGGTGATGATGTGTACGTGCCACAGGCAAAAAAAAAGGTCAAGAAAGGCAGACCACGGCCAGTCAGCATCAATTGCTCGCCAGCACCATCTTGACAATTGTTCCAGGAGCGAGGCCGGACCATTTGCTGGCTGAGGCACCTCAGTCTCGAGCCTGCGGAGGTCCGGACGGCACACGGGCCAGACGAATTGGCTGGCTGGCTGCCTCCTGGGCCCCTTATCGTCGTCATCCTCACAGCGCCCCTTGCAGGGCTAAGCAACGGCCGCGACATGGGACTGGTCAGGATCGCGACGGCACCATGCAACGTGCTGCTATCTGCGATAAATTTAACATTAGAGTGTCCCGGGGACCCAGGGCGGGCTTATCCGCCGCCAATTATCGCGGGCCGGGCGGGTGACTCAGGTCCACTACAGCACAACGCCAGACGATGCGCCAGCGCCCGTTGTCCACGTTGCGGTGCATGGTCAGAGTGCTAGACATGGTCAAGATCGCGGGCATCCCATGCGCGGACATGCTTGTGATTGGTGCTTGCATTCGAGTTATCGCGAAGCAATTCTTGAGCAGACGGTATGGGAAACAGCCCCAGGCTACCTCATTGAAGCTGCAGGGTAGATCCGTCAAGAGCTTGTGTGTTGTCGTCTGTTTGTTTCTTCCCCTAGCCCAATCGTACAGCCTTGCCAATCAGAGCCCAGGATCGTAAGTCAAATTTGGTGGGTGTAGGGTAGCCCAGCTGATGGCGGGACGCTCGTCAACCGCCTAAACAACAACACGACGAAGATATCACGGCAAATCTTGATGCATCTCATTTCTGATTATAAATCAAAAAAAAAAAAAAAACCCAGATAAAAATGCGCTCACTCCTGGACAAGCATCTATCTATACGGCTTGTGTTGTTTTGCACATGCAATGTTACTCCAACTTTTTATCGAATTAAAAGTAGAACTATTGAAAAACTAAGCGGTTCAACGACTGAGAACTCACGTACCACTTAAAGCATAGAATTGACTTCTGACAATCTATTCTAATTTCGACTCGGCGGAGTCAATCAACTTTCGACTTGTCCAGATTTCAGTAGGACTGATGCGAAATTTGTCATTGTCAATGTTCCACCTTCGCTATGCAGTGCCCCCCCCCAAAAAGATTACCTGACGAGTGGTCGCACGCCACCCAACACAACCAAGACTTTTGTTGGCGCACATGTCTCTTCGCGCTGGCGCGAAGAGACAAGCGTTTACGGCAACAAGACGGCTTCCCTTGTTGTGCGCACATGTTCAACGACTTTTACACCCGGTACAGAGGCGCTCCACACAGAATCCACGTCAAACGAAGCTTCAGCAAGCAACGAGAAAAAGTATCTCGTTCGCATGCAAGCTCATACACGTCACTTGCGGAGCAGAAAAGGCATGGATGCAAGAGCATCGGCAGGTTGCATACATATGATTGGGCAGGATTCGTTCTTGACTCAGGCAGCTACGTGGGCACTCATGTCATAAAGAGCAACGCCAAGGAAATGTCCCTGTGTGCCTTCTCTGGACACGGAAACACGGTTTCGACATGGGAAGCCGATTTCCAGGCATGAAGAACTCTGGCAAAGGGGGTTTGGCAGGAATTTCGTGTCGTCCAACTTTTCCTCAGCCGCCATGGAGCTCACAATTGGACACGCGTTGGCTCGCATTATTTCCTGATGAAACACTGAAGATTGGATCACCGCTCATGCACCAGCAGCAGCGACTCGCTGAATCTGCATATCTAAATGTAGTATCAAGGCACGGCATGTCGGTGGCTACTTGCCAGTTGCATAGCAGGAGGCGTGGCAGATAGGGAGGTGCATCATGCCTCAAACGAGACACGCTGAAATTCAGGAAGGGCAGTCCTGGCTTCGATTGGAGCACTATGGCCTGTTGTTCAAGCGATGGAAGCGGCACGACAATATGTGCGCATGAGAACGACCGTGGCTGTGCTTGATCGACACCAGGACAAACAGGAGGGAAGCAAGGCCCTGTCCCGTTCTAGGCGCAGGTTGTGTGATGCCCCCGGGGCTGGCAGCCGACGCTGAGGATGTCTGCTCGCTATGACATCGGAAAATATCGATGGGACATCCTTGCACTCGGGAAGCTTTCCATGAGTAGATGGCTGTCTGGGCTTGGTGATTGGCTGCTGCGCAAGGGGTATGAAACGACCAGATTCTCCGGGGCGGCAGCTTCATCTGTGCTCTGTGGGTGGCTAGAACTTACTTTTCAAGAAGCTTATTCCACAAGGATCTGACCCTGACGGACCTTTTGCGCCCCGTGGAGAGGATTTGCTGTCTGCACGGCTGTCATGTCCGCCGGATCTGCAGCCCCTGGGGACCATGTGGCGGAGTCTCTGAGCGCACAAAGAGTTTCTTGAGGACGAGCAGCGTACCCTTGAGTTGGTTTGACGGACAGGGATTGCCTGCCCACGAAGGGAAGAGTGCTGCCACGATGGAGCAATACGAGGTGCGGTAGCCCTGCCTCAGGTTGACCAGCCGGCGATTAGTGGCTGCAGATGCAGAAAGAGTTGCTTCTTGCCCCTGGCTGCGCATTGACGGCCAGGTCTAAATATGTGACATGGAAACAAATGAGCCCAGTGCGTCGAATCGATGGTGATGCAGCTAGTCGTGGAGGCGAGGCCGGGTTGGGCCTAGCTGGCGGCCCTGCACCGGATAGCGCAGCCGAGGATATTAAAAGAAACCCCACACTGCGGCCGTCAAGGTGGCGGGGCCTGCTCAGGTAGCGATCACGAGCCTGAATCTGTCTGTCTGAGCGCGCCATGTCGGATGTTGGAAGCGGAAAAGGTTGAGGCGGCGGGCTGGTCTCTGTGCCTGGATGCCGTCTTGGGAGTGTTTTCTCCGGCCTAGGGCTGAAGATCCTGGCGATTGGCAGGTGCCGGAAGTTGAGCCCCTGCCGCCGCCCTTGGATGTTGGCGCAAGAAACAGCCGTGGGATGATCTGGCAGCCGTGAGGACTTTGTGACGTGTCGAAAGACAGGCGAGATTGGAGTGCCGAGCTCGAGCGGTGGGCTTTGCTGCAGGTCTGTAATTACGTTATGGCAAGCGCATCCGCTGCTGCCAGTTGCACGGTTTCAGGTTGCGGAGGCCCAATCTGCAGAAGGTGTGCATGGCCCCACTGTTGGTGCCTGCAGGGACCCCGGCCTGCCAGCCGCATCGCGCCATCCGGATCTGCAACAACGACAGCAGCAACAACAACCACCAACCACACCCACCCATCGTCAACTCGTCAATCACCCCAAGCCCAGATCAAGACAGCACGCAAGTCACTTTGGCCGCTCTCAAGGTCTGCTCCGCGTGTTTCGTGCAAGAAATTGCAAGTCCCCGAATCATCCACAGAAACCATGCCTTGATCGAGTGACGGGCTCGGCTGCGGCGGCCTTGTCGTCTCGCTGTGGCCTTGAAGACCTTCCAGAAGCTGTCAACACCCCCGGGGCCACTGCGAGTACGGATACGGCAATAGACATCTGCACTAGGCTGCATCGAGGCACTTATCCTTGCTCTTCAACAACACTAGGTGGGCGAGCCTCCTCCCTTCGGCCAGAGCCGCCCCACGCGTCAAAGCGGCGCCTAGGTAGAGCCAACAGCGCCAGTGCGTCCTGCCTGATCGTCCTGAGGGCCAGATCCACCAGAGCTTGATGGTGCCCTCGCCATCTCGGCCGCTCTGCCGGTGGTTGTTTCGAAACACTGCGTTGCTGCTCACAGCCCCCTTTCACGCCTTTCACGCCTGGCCCTGCGGTTGCTTTTCCGTGCTAGGGCCTCTTCTCGATGTTTAGCTCCGGACCTGGCGGCAGCATGGAGCGAGCTCGTGCGCCAGTGACTGCAAATCCTCACGGCCGGGGCCCATCCGCCCTCCTGCCAACGCTGGCCGTCGTGTAGATATATAACGCGGCCCTCGAAGTTCTCATCCGACGATTCCAGTCTTTGTTTCACCAGCACATCTCTCTCTCTCTCTCATCTCTCATCTCGTCTTTCTACTTTCCTCGACTGCAGGTCGTTCGTTTCGCCAGCAAAGCCTCTCGCTATCGCTACCAAACCCTTAATCACATTCTCACTGTCGTTACGTTGATCGTCACACAATCGTTCTCATCCGAAAACATATCACTCTTACGAAACCTTTACGGTCCTACCTCTATTACAAATCTCTCAATAACTCAACAACAACAACAACAACAACAACATTCAAAATGAAGGCCCAGACTGCTGCTCTCATCCTTGCCTACGTCGCGGCCGTTGACGCTGCCGCGGTCGTTCAGAACAAGCGCACTTTCGGCCTCATCAACGGCGGCCTCGGTGGTGGTGCCTCTGGCGGTGTCGAGGCCGGGGCTGGAGTTGGCCTGGGCGTGGGATTGGGCGGGGGAGCTGCTGGAGGTGTCGGGCTCGGGGCTGGTGCTGGAGTCGGTGGAGGAGTGTCTGGTGGCATCTCGGGCGGCATCGGCGGGGGAGCTTCTGGTGGCGTCTCGGGCGGCATCGGCGGGGGAGCTTCTGGTGGCATCTCGGGCGGCATCGGCGGGGGAGCTTCTGGCGGCATCTCGGGTGGCGTCCACGGAGGAGCAGGGCTCGGGGCCGGAGTTGGGCTGGGGGCCGGAGGAGGTGTCGGCGGAGGAGTCTCAGTCAACCTCGGTGGCTTGGTGGATGCCATTGGCCACATTGGCGCACAGCTTGGGGTATGTGCAGGTCTGATCCTCGATCTTCACGCGGGAGTCGATGTTTCACTTGCCCTTAACGCGCTGGTGGAGCTTATCGGTTCCATCCATGGCGCCATCGGGGTCATTGGAGGCGTTCACCTCGACCTGGCAGCCCTCATCAGCCTCAACGCAGTCATCCTCCCACTTCAGGGACTTACGGCGGGCCTTATTGCCAACATTAAGGGCAAGCTGGAGATCATTGCCGGCCTTGGAGCCTGTGGGCTGTACGCTCAAGTCGGGGCGGACCTCGAGGCCGCGGCAGGGCTGCTCCTGAAGGCCCTCGTCGGGGCCACGGCTGGCCTGGATGTGGATGTATCGGTTCCGCTTCTGGGAAGTATAAGCCTCAGTGGCGACGTGGCCGTGGATGGGATCCTTAAGGTACTCGCGGGTTTGGGGACCAATTTCCAGCTCGGAGTTGGCCTTTTCCACGACCAGTGCCACAACGCAGGCGGCGTCACACCGACATACACCCTCCCCTCCATTCCTCAGGAAACTTCAATTAATTCGCCCATCGGTTCAAACCCCCCGCCTTCCGGTGGCGAGGGCGGTTCCGCGCCGCCGAATGTTACTGCTCCTCCGAGCGGCAGCCCCACAGATGCACCTGGTGGCAGCCCTCCTGCTGGTGGCAACAACGGTGGCGGCAACGGCTATCCTGGAGACCAGACCTCTCCTGTCTCGCCTGCGCCCGTCGAGACCAGTATCAATTCGCCGGTTGGTGGCAACCCTCCTCCCGGTGGCGAGGGCTCTGGCTCAGGCGAGGGATCTGGTGAGGGTGAAGGATCCGGCGAGGGTGAATATCCCACCGGCGGGCATGGCGATGCCACTGATTCTCCAGTTCCCATTCAGACTTCAATCAATTCCCCAGTCGGTGGCAACTCTCCCCCGGCTGGCGAGGGCGAGGGGTCTGGATATCCCACTGGGGGTGCGGTTGGTGGCGGCGGACAGACGGCCACTGCCACTGCCACAGCGACTGCCACAATTATCAATGGCTCCGCCACGCTGCCTGTTGAAGGAGTCCCTTCAGCCACGGCCACGTCCGTCCCCGTGGAGGGCGGATCTGAGGGATATCCAACCCTCCCAGCCGGCGGGGCTGTTCCGACACTGCCAGTCGAGGGCGTTTCCTCGACTCTTCCCGTCCAAGGTGGCAGTGAGGGCAGCTATCCCACAATGCCTGCTGCTGGTGGCTCGTTCGTCACGGTCCCTGTTGGCGGCGAAGCCTCTGTCCCTGTCATCGGCGCGTCATCCACTCTGGCCGTGATTGGCTCATCGACCCTCTACACGACAATCACTCCTCCTGCTGGCGGCGCTGGCTCGTACCCGACTGTCTGCGTCGGTGCTTCCTGCAGCAGCGCCTCCCACACCAGCAAGGCTGTCATTACTCCCTCGGCCATCCCGATCGCCGGTGCTCGCTCCCTCAACGCCTTCTCGGCCGCCGTCGCCGCGGCTGCTGGTATGGCCGCTGCCGCTTTCATGCTCATCTAAAGTAGAGTCAGCACGGCTCACTTTCGGCCAAGCATGACTGTTTGCGAAGCCGGGGCGCAACAAAAAAGGTTACAGGGAGCTTGCAAGGCGTTCTTTCATCACGATTCATCGCGTTTTTTTCCTATTACTGGCAGTCCTTTCCCCGGCGATCGAAATCTATGGCTGTATCGCGGGAAGGCCGTTCCTAATAATCACACACACTCCTTATTTCCCGAGCGAGCGAAGAAGGTCTTTGCGACTTCTCTCCGCGGCGCGGCGCTGGGCCGCCGCCTTGGTTGGTCGGGATTTGATAACCCCTTCCTGCCACGCTCATGTGTCACTCACGCGCAGTCACGAAATGTATTTCTACTTGTTATGTGCTGTAACAAAGTAGAATGGCAACCTATCTGTATTCCTTTTGGTATATATCTTTGAGAGAGAGAAATCAGAAGAGATAAGATGAAGAAACTTGGAAGAATGAAAAGTGACATGTGTTTGCTGACTCTTGTGTGTTTTGTGAAGCTGGAGGAGTCTACACATGGAGTTGGATGATTGATGAGTGGATGTGCTTGGGTTGTGGCTGTGTTGCCCACTGGATCCTGTGACACATTGGCGCTCGCTGCAGGGAGAAGAATTGCCACTATACACCTCTAAGCCTCTGAACCCCTGAACCTCTGAATCTCTGAATCTCTGAATCTCTGAATCTCTGAATCTCTTTGGGCCGCCGACAGCAGCGGTGCCAGGCATACTGCCTGCAATTCCAGGCAACAAGCTGACTGGCTTCCGTGAAACGAGCGGCTTCCGTGAAACGAGCGGCTTCCGTGAAACGAGCGGCTTCCGTGAAACGAGCGGCTTCCGTGAAACGAGCGGCTTCCGTGAAACGAGCGGCTTCCGTGAAACGAGCGGCTTCCGTGAACGATGATCTCCGGAGTCCAGCCAAAGAGCTTTGACAGACTTGCGGCAGCCACGGGGGTTCCATGGAGAGCGATGCATTGGTCAGGACAGCCTTGACTGTTCCCTCGTTGGGGATGGTGCTCCTCCCCAGGACAAATAGCCAGTTCCGCCAGATGTGCTTATACTTCCTCGAGCTCAACCTCCCAACTGCGCTATCTACCAAGATAACGACACGACTCTCTCGCTCGTACATGAGGAGGCAGTAGTGTGGCTCAGCCAAACGCCAGGCGGTCCGCGACAGCCTTTAGGGCAGGGAACATGGCCCGGATGTCATGAAACCATTTAAACCCCTCAAACGCAAGCAAGCAGGAGTCTATCATGGGCAACGTACGTGAAGCCCCCCGGGAGCGCCCCCACCAGCGAAAGCCGGTATGGCAGCTCTGCTAGACGATACAGACCCTGAATGCGCCGAGACGGTCTGAGACGGTCTGAGACGGATCACATAATGATCCATGGGTACCCTATGAACCTTAGCGGCGTGAGGGACGGACGCGAAGAGGTAAGCTTATAGGAGGAGCCGAGGCCGACGGAGACATAGGTTTCTGGGATGTATGAAGGGTCCGTGAGCTATGGGAGTTGAGATCTGGGGGGAGGTAGGGTGGACTTACAAAGTCGTTATTGAGGAGCCTGCCAAAACGATTCCAGACCTCGAGTGCATCCTCATATTCCCGACGAGAGTGCTCGTAGGCGCGAGCCCTGAGTTTCATGAGGTGCGAATCTAGGAGGCTGAGCTGCCCTTCGGCAGATCGTATCTTTTCCTCTCTATCCTTGACGCCTTCATAGTGCTTGGCAATACGAAGGGTAGCATATTCTGCAATAGACGGCTTGCTCACTTGCCGCTCGAGACTCTTCTTTGATCCTTATTGTTCGCCTAAGTAGAACTTATGGTGCTCTACCTCCTTCTCCGCTTCTGCACGCTTCCACTCAAAGAGGGACGGGACGCGCAATATATCTGTGCGCGGAGGGGCGGGGGCGGAAGGGGGCTGTAGAGCTGACCCCGTAGGAGCGAGAGGTGTGTGCGCCTTGTCTTCTACCGATCCAGTTGCAGGCTATGGGATGCGGGATTTGTGTTAGCACCCGGATCATGTATCTATGGATGTGCATAGAAATCCAAGAATTCTTCAGACTTCGGCGTCTTGTTCTTGTTATCGAAGACAGGGCTCCGCGGGTTGAATGCTTGGACCGCGTTGAGCTCGATTTTGGCAGTGGTGTCGCTTGGTGCACAGTTGCAAGCCGAGGGGTACACGTAGATTCTCACAATCGGCGAGGAAGAGACTGACCAAGTCGGGCATGCTCGCATGAGACGGGCTCCATCACAACACCAGGCTCATAACAGTACCAGGCTCATAACCGGTTTTTGACTGCGATAGAGCGCCTCGGGTTCGTGCCAGATGTCTAAGCACGTGGAACCATGTCAAGCGAAGGAGGGAACAGGGTGTGATGAGACTGAGTCGTGGACTCGAGGATTAGTTGGCTGTCACTCTTGTGGCGTCTTTCTCTGGACCAACTTACCGATGACGGTTGGGCTTGGATGGACCTTGTCGAGTAGTGACGAGCGACAGGCGCGTGGCCTGGTCTGAAAGTTGTCGTTGATGAAGACGGATGGGAACTGGGACTGGGACTGGGGGTTTGGGAGGACTGGCGAGCCTCTGGTAAGATGATGTGGAGGGGTGGAGAGTTGAAGGGGATTTGGGAGTAAGAGCGTTTCTGTGTTTGGGTGCTTGGTTGTTGTGTCCATCAGGAAAGACGACACGGTTCGACGGGGGCAAACCCAGGTATTTATGCCGGTCGTGGCCCTTGCCGTAGAGCTTTTCGATCTTGCTGACTCAATGGTGGCGCGCATCGTTGACTGTCCTTGTGCTTGACATTGAGCATGTGTTTCGTCACAAGGTCGTGCCGATCTCATTGTTGTCCCTTGCACTAACATTCACCCGTTCGTTGCTTGGATGTTTGTGTTTTCAAACACCATGACAGGTGCTGACTACCGGAGGAACATTTGAACGCTCGGCATAGTGCTGGAAGGTTGCAGATCTGCAGATCTCGCTCGAGCGTGAATGCGCACCAGGTGGGCATTGACTCAGGCAGAGCATGACCTGTTTGTCCCAATCTGAAGCGCAGCGCCAGCATTCATGAGTGCATGTGACTTGCGTCAGCCTATAACCATAGAAAGAGTTCATGCACATCCCGCATTCTCGGTTGGTGTTTCAAAGTGTGGACATTGAGCTTGTGGGCGGACTGGCAAGGCGCAAACTGAAGAGAACCGTAAGACTGCGTCATTGGAACTTCGGCAGTTTCGTTGTTCCGAGTCTGCGTTTGGCGGTTATAAGACTTCAGCAAACACCAGACACCACAGTGCGAGGCATCCCCCAACCGGCATGGACGTCCCTTTGTCCAGCATGGATGGAAAAATGACACGTTCTCTCTGACCTGTTTCTCTCGTCATTGCATTCTCGCTTCGATCCTTGTTCTCTCAGACTCGTGCCCTGCCGAAGTGTTGTCTCTTCTTCCCTCCGCACTGGTTGTTCCCAACAATTGTTGTCACGCACCACGTTGTCGCGCTCTGCTGCCTGCTATCCTTGACACGCCACTATTACCTTCCTTCTTGTTAACTTCCTTGATAACCTCTCTGTGGCAATGTCATCGCTGTGCAGTCCCTGTGATCTTGTAGACTTTGCACGAATATCATTGTCTCTCACCTCCAGCACGTTTCCTCGATTTCTGGTGTCTCTAGTCAACCATCCCATTCCATCCGACCAAGTACCATGGCTGGCATTCGCAAGGGCCGCAAGGCTTAGTCTGAGCATAGGGCCAAGTAGCGTTAGGAACCCGACCACCCTCGCAGGAATCCCGAGCTCGCCTCTGCCAATGATTAGGGCGACCTCCACCGAAACCCCATTTCACGAGCCCATCAACAGGAGCTCTGCCGCCGAGACGTGCTCCCAGAGTGACCTCAAACCAACAGGTATATATCACGAGTTCTCCGTTCAGGCTTGTTGTACTGATTGGATTTGTGCAGACAGCCATGACGTCTTGTAAGCGGATGATTCCGGGTCCAGTAGCGACAGCTTGATTTCGGTCCAGGCAGGTAAGTGTTTCTCAGTTTTCATGTCCAGGTAACTTGGCTTGAGCCTGCCCGCTGACTCTGCCTCATCTTCAGCTCTAGGTCTCGGCGCTCAAGAGACACTTGTCCAAAATCCCGACCATGAGAAGCGCAATGACTTCGGTCGCATCGCAGACGATACCTGTGGCATTGTCGTCCCTGTATACACCCACAGTTGACACCCCTCCTGGAGATGACCCCCGCTCGGATCTATCAAACATTCCAATTGACGCTATTGTCAGCGTTGAGGGGACCTCGGTCTTGGACTACAGCGATGAATACCGCCAATCTGTCGGAAGGGACGACTATGCGCAAGGTCCTCGTACTAGCATCCAGCTCACATTCGGAAGGTTTACGCCGGGGCGCATCTTGATCCAAGCATACCTGAAGGAAAATGAGTGCAGTCTCGTGAAGCTCGAGAACGGGGTTGTTCGTCGGAGTGAGGAGATCCTGGCCACCATAGCCATCCCGCTTTCTGCACTTGAGACCCGCCCCGTCATCGAATGGTACAACGACGTTGGGCCGATCAACGAGGCCAGCCCTGCAGCATATCACCGCATCGTAGGTCGTGTCAATTCAGGTGCTTTCACCGTCAAAATTTATGACAGAAGTTCTCGCAATGCCGACACTGTCGTCCAGCAGAATCCCCTCGCGTCCGAGCGCTCTGAGCTGTACGAGATCGATTTCTTCATCTCTAATGAGCAATTCTTACTCAAGTAGTTCCTCACCGACCTGTGTACTCGGTTTTCCCGGGGCGTTGGCGACTCCATTCTCGACCCCCTATTCGTCAGAAACCCCAATGCTCTTTCCGTCTCGCTCGAGAGCTTCATCGAAATTGACGATCTCGACATCAAGCGCTCAGAACCTGTTGTACGCACTTTCAACTCCAACAAGCACGCAGTCGCCTGCCGGGCATACCCAACAGCACACACTTCAACAGCAAACGACAGGCAAACGCGGCAACGACGGCCCTGCGACCCTAGCGACAAGGCAAAGAGGCGTCGCTTTGCGCCCGGCGCATCACGCAGTCTTGTTGACGCTCCCACGTCATGACAGACTGAGCTTGGGGACGTCATCTCTTCGGCGACATCGGACAGCCTCACAAAGTGCCTTCACTTGCACGGTTCCTCTCCACTCTCCTCTGCCTGCCACAAATCAACGCACAGCCGGCGACCGAGGTCGCTCAGGGTACTTCAATCCGCACCACCACTGAGGATCTCTTCCTTGCTGGTTGCCTCTCCATGGACATCCACGAGTACAGCTGCACTATCCACACTGCAGAAGAGTCCGCAATCAGCCCTCCTGCATCCACGCTTTGGCACTGACACGCCCCTCCAACACTGCTTGCTCTAGTCCTCTGTTTTGGCTGGTCCATCCTTCTGGCCTGAAGGACGCGGGTGGCAGTCACGTAATCGTGATAAGCCAGATCTCGAACAGCTATCGATCGACACATGCCCAAACAGCCGCGATCAAGAGAAGTCAGGCTAGTCCGCTTTGCAAGAACTGAAACAAGTCCCCATCAAGTCCGCATTGGTTGCAGGTGAACCACACACAAGAGCAGCGCACCGTTGCCGAGGCTTCCAGCAAGCAGCAATCCCACTCAAGGTCATGAAGCCTATGCTTCGCAATTTGCTCCTTATTCACGAGGTTTAGCTCATCCGACAAGCCCAAGGTCAAGAAGCACTTTACTGAGTGCTCGTATAGATCCGGGATACCGAAGTCAGCGCTCCATACGAACCACGGCACGCTCAATACTTTCGGCGACGCCAACGGTTCCGCCAGCGGGACGGACAGCTCCAGGCGCACAACGGACATTGGCGGGTAGCACCCAATGGTTCACGTGACCATGAACGATCCTGCTGGGAGCAAGTCATTCCCAAAGTACGAGGATGTCATCGAGGCCTTTAACGTGATTATGAGTCACAGTCCCCCAGGCAACTCCGAAATCGCATCGATTGGTTGGAGTTGCTTCTTCCCTATCGATGAGCCAATGCTCCAGATCGAAAGAGGAGAACTGAGCTGGAATGAAGCCATCAGAGGTCATCTCCAGTCTCCTCGACCAGCAACTGGCCATTTGCTGCTCAATGCGAATGTCAGTTACGAAGTGCTCCGCCCCAACGGCCCGGCGTTCAACCTGTTCACTCAAGCGGCTTTATACAACATGCACACCTTACACAAGAACATGCCCAAGCTTTGGACTCGCCGTTGTCAGCGAAATTGTCCTTGGTAGCCGCCGTGCTGTTGAGTAGAGGATATTTGTTGTAAAGCGGGATTAGCAGAGCGTATCTTCTCCGAGGGGAAGGTTCGGTAGATGTCGAGCAGAAATTTGAGAAGGTGTAAGGGAGAAAAAGAGCAGGGCATCGCCATCAAGTTGCAAAGGAAGTCTGACGACATGGGGTAAAGTTCACATCCAAAGTATGGTCTTGCTATGCAGCCATCCACTGCCAATATTGATCATTGCAGTCGAAGCAGTTGCAAGCTCGGCCAGATTAGAGCTGTGGAGCGGGTTTGTGCTAGAGAATCGCGAGGGAGTGAGTGTGGCTGAGGACTGCTCCAGAGGTCGAAGCTAAACGGCGAGGGCGCTTGTCGGTGTTCGGACCGCCTATGGAGAGATACTGGTCCATCAGCCTTCTCCTGGCGAAGATAGCTCTGGAGATAGTCTGCACCGTCCGAGTGGCCAACATCATCACCCCACACGAGGCCATGCTTCAACCAAATCGTACCAAAGTAGCACTGGCCGGAATGCTGCGACATCTGGTCTTAATCTGAGTGTTTCAGGAACTTTAATTGATTTGAAAGTCATGCCCAAACATCTAACGGTGTCGCTTCGCTCTTGCATAAGACACGTCAACTGACTATGCCGCTTGGATGCTCTCCAGCTATCACTGCTGGCGCCATACTTGCAACACTGAAGCTGAAATGCGAGAGCAATTCGGTTAAGGAATCCCTATCGGAAGCTGCGGAAAGACGGCTAGGCAAATTATACAGTCTTCCGGGCTTGCAGTGTCAACACCATTGCGAAACGATGCTACGATCATATCCCGACAGTTGGCACAACCATCCAGTGCAAAAGAGGAATCAGCAGGGCATCTCGTTGCACAAATAAAAGAATACAGTTCGCGATGAGAATTGTTTGCCGTAGCGTTCTCACAGTTGTACTGCACCCATGATGAAGAGGCAGAGCCAGCAGAGTCTTGATTGGCGGGATGACAGGAGGTGGACATAGATTTGGAAAACTCCATGTTCGGTAGAGCAGAGTGGTTAGCGAGGGATCATTGTCCATATAGATCCGCGGCGTCTCCCATTCTGCACTACTGCACATGCCGAAGGAGACACATAGTCCCCAAGAACGCACACTTAACAGGTCAGGTGTAACGGCATCGAACGAGACACCGAGCGCAAGAAGGGGTTTTCTGTGACAAGTGTGTAAACGAGTTGAATTACCATGGAATCATGTCGTACAGTCTTTTACCAAGGCAAACTCCAAGCAAGCCGAACATACGGCACAGCAGTCATGAAAATCTCGGCTGCTACGCCTGTTCAGTTGCTGCCGTTGACACACGACACTTATGGTTGAGTGCATGTGGAATATTAGGGGCTCAAAGGCGCTTAAGTCGGTCACGCTACGGCTGGCATTGTGTCAGACTCGACCCAACTAAGTACGAGACTGATTTTGTCATTTGCTATCAGACTTCATTATACTTTCCCCATGACTTGTATTCGATTGTATGTACTTGGCATGGGCCAAATGACTGATTTTGGCTACTTGCTCCCCCATGGTGAACAACGCTGACAAGACGAGACTTCGCTATGATCCCACTCTCAATAATAGGCGTAGCCGTTCTCCTTGACTTCACAGCCATCCTCTCCATCGAGTTTCTGCCAACCTAAGTCGACTTCGAGCTGAATCCAGGTCTCTCCGCCATAGGATAACTCCTCATGCGCGGCCAGAGCCACCTCTGTCGCCCAGTATGGAGCCAAGTGGCGCGAAGTGAAATTTCCAGTGACATCTACGTCTCCGGAGCGGTTGTGCGGCTCGGCTCTGATCTTTTCAGCCACGATACCAATAGGCCGCTTCATTGCCCGGTCCAGGAGGAATCGTCTCCAGTCATTGCAGATATCTCTTCTGGCTTCTGACGACGCAGCCCATGGTCTCGCTGAAGCAGGAAGATAATACTTCCCAAACCTCTCCACAATGACAGATAGACTAAAGAAGGTCTTGTGGATGTTGCGAAGATAGGCAATGAGGATGTCGGGCATCGACGAAAACGTCGCATCCTTCAAGCGCGACCTCAAGACAGCTTGGGTCTCGGAGGGCAGCTTCTTCAAAGCATCCCATCCAAAAACCTGAGCGAAGAAGTGGGAGAGATCTTCATCTACAGGTCTGGGAGCAACGCTTGCGCTTCCACGCTGTGAGAGCTGCAGCATGTACTCGACCCAGCGGTTGACTCCCCCGTAGAGAGTGCATAGGTCTTTGAGAAATGCCTCGGCTCTGAGAAACAGCTCTACAGGGGAGGCGGGGGATGCGCTCAGCTCTGAACTCGGCTGAGATGCATCGCGAAGCAGCGGCCGGGTGAAAAGCGTTGACAACGGTTCCATTGCCGGGGTGCTTTTGAGGATACCATCAATTGCTCTCGCGAAAGAATCCTCTGCCTGGATTCGGCTGACGAAGTTGCGATGGTTCCTAGCAGCGAATTGCAGGGTTCGTGTACGGATGTTGGCGAGCGTCAATGTATAGATCGTCGTACTCCTGTACGAGTCAGCCGTCGGGACCTGGGCCCAACCCAATGCTTTCAGCTGTGATGCGCCTTCGGGCGTACGCGGATTTACCCAACCAGCATCTCGCGCGTATTGCTCGTGCTCCTTTGCGTCTGTCAGGTCAAACAGCTCGCGATGGAGACGGATGACATCATAGACTCTTTCAACGGGGAGAATAATGTCCCCAAAGTCAATCGGGCGCTTCATGACTATATCTGAGACCGGGTCGGCGCCTGGCTGTCTCGCTGGTGGTGGCTGGACTTGCTGACCAACAAATGGTGCCGTGAGAGGCACTCCTTCAGCATCGACAAGGTACCTGATGTTGTCAGGATTAAGGAGGCCCTTGTTGACCAACTCAAGGATTGTGTACTGGCCCATATTCAGCGCTAGAATCCACTGGTACTCGGTGAATTGACGGCGGAGGACCGAGAGTGGTAGGCGTTCCTGCGCGCTTTGATCCTCAGGCAGCTTAAATAGATGGCCCGGCACTCTCACAAATCTTGGGATCATGTCTATACCAAAACGAGGCAGGGCTCGAGATTGTGAGTTATTGCGCACGTAATCTTTGGCGAGATTGTAGTCGTCAATGCGAGGCAGGTCTAGTTTCTGACGTTTGCTCTCGGCTTCGAGTTCAACATCAGCCTTGCGCTTTTCCTGCGCCAAGAATATTAGGTATGGCTGGAAGTCGCCCAGCAGCAGCTGCTCGATGGAAATGTGGAGTACGGTGTTGTCGAACTTGGTCAACTTGAGCCCGGTAATGACAGACTGTTCCGTATGTCCAGCTGCTGGACTGAGCAAGTCTTCAAAGTCGAGGTCTCGGAAGATATTCGGGACATCGGGGATGGCGAGGCCTTGCACCAATGGTCGGATAGAGAAAAGCTTGGTGTTCAGGAGTCGTGGCAGGGTGAAGGTGGCAGCCTCGTCGACTGCCGCCAACGGTGGTGTCGTTGCCTCGCGGAGCATGGTCCTCAGCCGCAGAGTCTTCGACAAGAAGCCAGTGTAGAGCTTCAACCAGGCAACGTAATCTGCTGTCGCCTTCTTGAGTTGGCTTGCACTTTGGTTTCCCAATTCGCCACAATTCTCCTTGGCCCACTTGATGTCCATGTACGCACCACTTGGGTCTAGGTCAGCGATGACAGAGAGGGTCTTGGCCCACTCTGCGTGCTCTGGCGACTTCGAAAATGGTAGTATGTGCTGGTGCATGAGCCGGCGTTGGTCTGCAGCCATCTGATCTTGCTCAGATGGGGCTGAAGGACGGTTCTTCTCCAAATCGGCGCGCCGGCGCTCAAGTCTCTCGGGAACGGGAATTGGACGACCTGTGTCCAAGACAAGGGAGCGCGCCTTGTTCAGCGTCGGACCGCGAGCATCAGCCGCGGGACTGTTCCACCGAGCATTGAGTCCAAAGTCGTGCTGTAGGCCAAAGTTCTCAATATAGATCTTCTCCTCTGCAAAAGTCTTTGGGTTTGCATCCTTGAGAGCCTCATCAACCTCATTCCAGGTTGAGGGGTATGTAGGACGTTGCACAGGCTCGGGCCGTTTGACGTGGGATTGCTGTTCGTCGTCGAAAAGGTCGAATTCTTCAAAATCATCCTCTGTCAGCGGGTTGCGAGCCTCCATCTTGACGGAGACTGGGTGAGGGATGTGACATTGAGTCGCTTCGTGAGTTGGTGTAAGAAGATGGAGCAGCGTGGCTGTGTAGCTGGACTAACTTTAGAAAGTGATCAGATTCACATCAGTAGTAAGTCAGAGCAGGGGGTTAAAGAGCGCGGGGGATGACAGAGACTGACGCTCGTTCACAATGGTGCATAGAACAAGCCTCGACTCGTTGGCCAAAAGGCGCCCAGAATGGTTGAAAATACCACGTGCTCGAGAGTGCTTCTGTAATGAGGCGTGTGGTCCACGCGAGAGTGGTTGCAATTCAGTGTGGTGTTGGTTGAAATGAAAGCGCGTAGTCCACAAGGTGGTGGGGCCCACTCGCTGTATTGGCATGGATGCGCAGGTTGCTCTCCCGTCGACCAAGATGCATGCAACCCGCGCAAGGGGAATTAAACCCACCACCACCAGTAAACGCTGTGGTCCCCACGCCGCGCCTTCGCGTGGTTTTCAGCTCGAGTGACCACTAGTGATTGCTACCAGTTACACCAATTCCCTCAGAGCCCGATCTTGACTGTCCAGTGCCAGTTCCACAAAATGGCAGAATGCACTCGCCCGAAACCAACCATTACACGGAACCTCCCAATGCGGAGGTCCAGGCTTGCCAACCTCAACCGTAGCACCACTTTGCCGTGTCGCCAATCTCAACCTGTTCATGACTAGGTCGCGCATTTCGCCATTGAGTACTCCTCGCTCTCCGCCCCTGAACATCCAATCTCGATGTTGTCAAACTTCCTCGACGCCTCGGGCTGCGTCTTGTCCTGGCACCACCAGCCCACCCAGCTTTTGCCGATGCAGAACGTCGTGCAGCATGCCGTCCCATTGCGCTGCCAGATGTAGCTCGAGCTGTTGAAGGGCAAGCCCAGGGCGCCCTCGACCTTGATGACGGAAGTGGAGGCGCCTGTGAAGTTGGCTTGTTCGAAAGCTTGAAAGGCGAAGTATCTGTTGGGACTCGGGGTCACTGGTGTTGTGGAAGGGTCTGCGGAGGACGTTGAGGGCGATGAGGATGATGCTGAACTGGACAGAGTTGTTGGAGACGAAGTCGGGGTCCTGTACTCGTGTGCAGAGAATGTGAGCGGTGGACTCTGTCATGTTCTTGATGGCGACCCGGAAAGAATGTGTGCAGCTTTTTCAGCAAAGACGATATATCACTTACATCTCGCCACCAACAGCAGTGTCAGAATCGCCAGACTTGCCCTTGCCAGCCGCGATCCCTCCACCGACGCCTCCGCCCACAGCCGCAGCCACCACCAGCACGGCGACCACGATGACGAGCCAGAACATCTTCGCTGGGAATCCGCAAATAAGCTTCGGCTTCCTTGTCGTATCGCCCCCGCCCGCAAGCTCAGTGTCATCATCGCCGCGTCCTGATCCTTTGTCCTTGTGAGATGAACCGAGTTCTGCCGTGGCGCTGCTCTCGGTCGCGTTGTGAACTGCCGTCGTGGCTGGCGAGCCGTTATCGGCCGGCCAGTGCACGACTTCTTTGTCAGCAGTGTCGAAGGCGGGAATCTTCTCTGCTGGCCCGCCCGGTGCGTGGAAGTTGTGAGAATAGGCGAGGTTACTGCTGTAGCCATGATCCGAGGTGGCTCCTGGCGCTGATGACGGATTGAAGACTTCGGGTAGCTCATCATATGTTGGAGCGAACTTGTCCTGCGGGAGATCCATGGTGTCGTTATTGCCTCAGGCGTGCCCAGGTGCGCATTTGATTGTTTCTTTTCGTGGGTGGTGCAAAATGCTGGTCGTTTGGTTTGAAATCTTCTGAAGCGTGCGATCCGTAAGAGTACTATGCTTGACTTGACGATTGAAAGATCGTTCGAGCGTATTGTGGATGAGATCTCCTTCCTTCACTAGATCTTGATTGCCAAGACCTTTTTTTCCTCTGGTTTCGAACGCGTCGGTAGAATGGAAAGAAGGCGACGCTAAGGCACAGGTTTTCGTGTTTGAGACGCTGGGATGAGTACAAACCTTTGGGGTATGCTCAGGGGAGAGTGTGGCGCGTGTAGTGATTTGAGACTGGATCTAACCATGTGACGGAGTAATGGCAAGCCGTGATAGACAAGGGTATTTGGTGCACCGACAGGCTCGCAACCTCTTTAGGCGAAGATCTTCTTGCACGCGTGCTGCGGCACACGAGCTGGCAAGGCTTTGGGTCGTAGTACGCGAGACCTCCAAGACAACATCGCATATTCGCAGTGGAGTCGGACGAATCTTGCGCCGTGCTACACGGGTAAGACAAATGCATGTGTGTCATCATCCTTGCGCGCATCGACGTCCCAATTTACCGTCTTCGTGACCGAGGCCTGCCCGTGCATATGCCGGCAGATCTTGACTAGTCATCCTGGATTTGATTTGTGTTATGGGTCGGGGCCCTGCCAGTGCGTTTCAAATTGCTGACCGCGTGGCTGCCCTGGCACAGGTACCCATGGGGCTGTACATCGTGGTGCGTGTCACTGTGTACCATAAGATCGGCATGATGATGCCCCGCCCCGCTGGGCAGCATGGTCGGTCTTGGGCCACAAGAACCATTCAGCAAGAAGATGGAATCGCCGAATTCGACGATATTGTGCATCTGATACTATGGTTGCTTGACTCCTGCTAAGCATTCATCGTCAAAATCATGGCTTCTGGCGAGCATGACTATCTCCCAAGGTATTCAGCTTGAATGACTGAAGTTATGTCCACAAGGACCAGACATATCAACACCATCGCCCAAATCAATTTTGCGACCAAGGCAATCATGATGCAGGGCTACAAGTATTTCCTCTGTCAGTCTGGGCCGAGCGTGCCTGAGCCGAGATTTTTACCGTACGTCACTTTTCAGACCTTCCGAGGTTTCAGGGGTAAAGCGCTCGATTGAGTCTGCTGGCAGAGGCGATCCACAACCTGACCAAGACGGGTTTATGAAGCTTCCATGGAAGCTAATTACCATTGTTTCAGATTATTTGTTCACCAACAAGCCAGGAAGTCACCCAAAGAAGAGATCCGTTAAAACGCCTGCTGTACGAGACTCTCAGCATGGGCTTCACATCTCCTCGCGGTTGACCTTATATGAGGTTAGAGTATTGAAGGCAAATTTTGTGACCATCCCATCGCTGCTTGACTGACAGGAAGCTTATGTGTTACTGAGGACTAACGCGCATCCAGGCGGCCCCCTCCGAATCCCAGCGACGACTATACTCCGTCGGTTCCCGCGCTCAACTCCAGCAATCATATATCGCAGCCGCTCAAGCCCCAAAAAAAATAGTTCGTAATACACCTTGAGTCTCAGCATGAGCATCATTTGAACTGCACTCTGTCGCCGCAGGGACGGTGAAGACTCCCAGAATCATGGCATACATACCGTACTGTAGACATGATGAGTCAGCAGACCATCCCTGGAGATTCTTGACATCTTAGGGCGTGCTTACCCTATCACCCAGCTGGTCGTGCGATCTCGGCGCAGGATCCCAGAACGTGCATGGGTAATTGGCTTGACTCACTTCGCGGAGGACATGTCAAAAATTGGCAGGGCCTCGCGGTCAAGGCGATAAGCACGGTCGAGCCCATTGAATACTCTGTGAGGCAGGCAGCACTGCCACATTCGAACAATCAAGTCGGAGGGCTCTACTCATCTCCACATCAGCCTTCAGGATCTGCCTGTCCGGGGGATCTCATATTGGCTGAGAGTGGTCATACGGTCACTTCATAGATCGGAAACCAGGTAATTTAGGCCCAAGCCATCGTGTTCTTCTTGCATCTACGCAACTGACGTCTTCGGGACTCCAGATATCCTCGAGTCGCACACAATTGTCCCAAGGCCCATATCCTCAGTGGTCTGTCCGCACGGCTCGGGAACAAAGACAGCAACATCGCGCGAGGACAAGCAGCCTGCAGGCTGTCCAGCAACCAGTGATGGCCATCCACGATGCCTCACCAGGCATTGGCATGTCGACGGCAGCCGTCGAAGCGGCAGCAACGCTGCCCACCACAGCTAGCACGCCCGCGCCCCAAGCCGGCAACGAGAAGCCCCCTGCCGTTCTGCCGCCCGTGACCAGGGGCTCCTCCGACGAGTACCTCCAGAGGGCCGCGCTCGCAACAGCACGGGCGAGCCTGAGCTACGACTTCACGATCCTGATGGAGAAGGAGAAGATCAGCCATGCAACCTCGGTGCCGATCCACAGCGTAGAGCTCGACGATGAGGCCGTCATCGAGAGCACGCGCGCCGCGGCGCTGGGACGGCTGCGCAACAAAGTCACCTGGGGCTCGTTCGTCGTCGAGGCGGGAGACTTTGCGGCCATCTCGTGCTGGGAGCCGCGGGACATCAACAGCGAGGACTACACTGGGATTCACGAGGTGGCGGAGGCCATGAGGCCCACGAGACCGCTGTTTGCGGGGTTTCAGGACGATATTGGGAAGCTGCAGGAGAAGCTCCTCGAGCCGGTGGTGCGTAAGATGAGGCCCCACGACGGCAAGTTCTGGCAAATGTCGCTCGTCGCCAGGGATCCTACACGGGAATATCTCCCTGGTGCTGTCAGGGCCGTCATTGCTCCCCTCATGGACGAAGTCTGCTCGGCACAGACGCCAGGAGGGGCCGCGCCGATCTGGCTTGTGGCTGGCGGGCAAAAGGCGCGAGACATGTATGAGCACTTTGGCTTCCAGGAGGTCGGCCGCATAGACGTGGCCGAGCTCCCGCTGTGGGGGATGATGTACACTGCAGGCTTGGATAAAGATTAAGGCGTCTGATGAGATGAAGGTGAAAGTATTCGAGCAAGCACGCGCGACGCTGTCTGTTTGGCATATAGACGACAAAGCACGGGAACAGCTTCACTAGATATTCACAATACTTAATGGGGAGGCGTTTTACACTTTTTGCTGTTGCTCAACTATGGTACAAAGTGTTGTACAATACAGGATTGACCTCAAATAAACTCCAACCTTATCATCACAGCCCAGAAGCCTGTTTCATCCAACGATTTCAAAGTATTGGTGGATAGTGTGGCGGTAGTGCTCAAGAATGCTGTCCAGAGACGGTGATCCAAGCACACTGCCCAAGCCTTCCGTGTTGTGACCTTTCTCACGATGTTTGCTGTCCTCTAGGCGTCAAAGAGGCCGATCTGGCCACGCGAGCACAAGAAAGTGATCTCATGCTTGCTGCGAGGTCGTCTGCTCGTTCAAGCCTTGGGCTGGCGACGGAACATCATCTTCATCGTCTGACCAGCTCTCTGAGTCATAGTCAGTATCTTCCTCGTCGGACTGCTTGGCCGGGCGGGGGTTGACACAATGTCAGTGTTTCGAGACATGAAGTTGTGGTGTACATGGTGGAGAGCCAATTGGCGAGAGAGAAAAGTGATGGTCTTACCTTGAGAGCATCCTTGGTGGTGGTGCGGCCGCAGCCGCTGATCTTGTCGTCGTCGTCGCTGTCGGCGACAACGAGGACGGTCATGATGGTGCCGGTGCGGAAGATGGGCTGGTTGTCTTCCTTGCGGCTGGCGGTGACGTGGAACTTGTAGGCACCGGCGCGGAAACCGCCGATATTAAAGAAGACCCATCTGTGAGGGGGCTTGGCTCCGAGAGAACCGTTGGTGACCTCTCTGGCAGGAGTCATGAACGGCACTCCAGCGTAGGTCTCGTACCCATCCTTGTTGCCAGCACCAACGGCCATCCAGTGACCGGTACAGTAGTACTGGTCGATGCCCGGGGATAGACCATCAGGAAGGAAGAGGTCCACGGTGGTGGTACGGATTGAGGTACCCTGAGCGACCTCTGTGGCAGGCTCTTCATGAATGTGATGAACGACGGTCGGGATCGACATGGTGATCTTGAGATGAGCTGTTCGCCGGCAGAGGAGAGTGGAGAGAGATTGTGCAAAGGAAGGCACGCGCGATGGGAGAAGGTCTCGCGAAGTTGAGGGAATGGTCACTTGCGTGGTGTGTAGTGTTGTGTTGTGTTGGGATGTGTGAAGTGAGGACTCTGCAAAGACGCGTTTGCTCGACTCTGAAATATTGGCGAGGTGGAAGTGGTGCTGCTACTGCCTGGCCTGCTCTCAGCGGACCATTGTCCTTCTTTCTCTCAATGGCAAGGCAAGCTGGCCGCCGGCTGCTGGCACTGACTGCTTTCCATTGTTCAGAGGTCCATTTTGAAAAGGGGGCGCTGCCATTGGTGCGTGGGCGCGAGAAAGGCCTCCTCCCGTTCCCAGGAGATGGACTCTCGACAGCTTCGGCAGCTTGCGCGGCCTTGTCTTTGAGGGGGCAGACGGGTTGTGGCGCTCTGCCGATGCCAGACGAGAAAAGAGACGCACAGAAACCAGGAGGACCATGGCCAACGTGGCTGATCTGCTTTCAGAGAGCCCATCGCCTTCAGGCAACTTCTTATGTGGATGTGTTGCCAGACAATCCAAGGGCATGTTCAGAGAGATATTCTCAGGAAATGACCTGCGGTCAAACATATGGCAATGACATTGCGTTCTTGTAGTCCTCAAACACTTTCGTGCAGTGTCCATTTGCAACCAAGCCAGTGATTGGTGCCGAATGGTCCGATATCTCAGAGGCTTCTGCTGCAATCAATCCCCTTTCACCTCCATCTTCAGTCTTGTAGGGAGCAACAAACCCAGTCCCACCGGCGTTACCACCACGAGCTCATGGGCTCCCAGCGGAGGGCAAGGCAGTCATCTGACGCAATGCAAGCATGTTTCCGCATCCTTTTGTGCACAGGAACTCGGTTCAGGCAAAGCTCTGTCGGGAATGCGTTCGAGAATTCATCATTATCCCGGAAGATCTCTTATCTTGTGTGATTTGCAGCGCCGGATGGCGCCACACACTGGTTGTCTATGTTTGCAGCAGCCCCTCAGGAACGCTGACATCAAAGAGGCAGCAGTTTCCTGACCAATCGAAACAACTGTGACTTGTCATCAAAGCCTCAAACCTTGTCCCCGCCAGGCGGCGGTTACTTTGTTCGATCTGCTGGCAGTGCCCTGGGAAGCAAACATTGAAGTTGTGCGCAGGGCGTTCAGTGAGCTCCTCGCATCTATTCTTCCTTCACAAAGCAGAGAACAGGCTTCTTGTGGGCGCGTACAGTGTCAATGACGGCCTCCAGGTTTTGCCCGCGCCGCCCTCGCCTTGAGCATCTTTGTGCCGCGCTGCCTCGCGCCGCCCATCCGCTTACGATGACTGCACAGACATGGAGCTATTCAGAAGGGCACAGCAAGCCATTGTCGCTGCATTAGCGGAGCTAGGCCGTCTCAGAGTGCTTGTTGCGCTGTTTGGTGGGACTGAGTGGCCAAGCTCAGCCCGCGTCGCGAGACTTTTTCGTGCGATGCCCAGCAAGCCAGCCAGCACGACAAACCACACCAACACGATTCCTGAGGCTCAAAACATCACGAAAGCTTATCAAAGGATGAGATTCATGCCGCCGGGACCGCCGTCAGATTTTCCTCATCTTGCCTCACCTCGTCAACCAAGACGACCGCATACTCGCGAAGTTTCACTCGTTCCAAGCACATCCTCCCTTTGCCGCGAAGCACAACATCCCTGAGGATGAAGAACACAAGATTGCGACAAAGGCGCCGTCTCCGTTCTTCCAGCCCCTGCTCCGTGGACTCTGGCGCGCGTGCCACGCGTGGCAAGGATGGCTTCCAGGTTACATTGGCACTGTCGCAAGTGTCTTCTTCTTCGACAGCCTCTTGCGCAAGAACAACGAAGTCTGGCCTCAAGATGTCCCCCCACTGTTCACAAAGAACTGGGCTGAGCTAGAGCCTGGAGCACAAAGACTTAGCTGCAGGCGACTCGCCGGCTCGGACCTCCTCACTATCGCCAAGCCTCAAAGACACCGCGCGGCCATTGATCTTCACCTCAATCAGCAGACAATTCAGAACGAGTTGTTTAATGCCAGAGTAGTGTTGTTGATAATCCATTAACAACATCCAACATTCCGAGACATGAGCAACCGAAATTGCTAATCATCGTGACTTAACAGCCATCACCCATACTCCATAATCGCGAACAGCTTTCACAGCGATGTCGCGCGTCCCGACCAAGATACCCAGAGCTTCCAATCATGAGCGCCAAGAATACCGTGCTTCCACAAAATCAAGATTACTTTCTTGTCTCGACGAGAAACCAACAGCGGTAGAGCAGAGCATTCTCGTACACGACGTCCAGAGCATTAGTCTCATTCGTCCAACACAATTCACATGGCGAGCCATTCAACCCTGCGAACGTGACCAAGCCGGCACCAGGCTACAAAGCGCAAAAGCGACAAGGTATGCCTGGTGGAATGACTTCCAGCGCGACAACAGTCTCGAGTCATACCTGTCCGTGATACTGTTTGTTCATCGCCGTCCAGTCATCCCCGTTAGTGGACTATAAATATCCAACCATTGCCAGGTTTCATATGCAGCTTGGGGCCGAAGCGACAAGCCGCAGCCCTGGTTGATTTTGTTTTAGACTCCGCCGAGCAAGATTGCTGACTTTCTTGTTTCTCTGGCAGCATATCATTGTCAACCAAACAACCCTCGCCGTAACAAGCAAAGCCCCTAGATGCGAGCGCCAAGTTTGCAAGCCAAATACACAGCATCAGCTTGCTGCAGTGATTGAAACAAAAGTGCGAAGCTGCTGGAATTTGCAGAAATGATTGCAAGAAAGAGACACCATTGTCCTGCCATCATCACAAGAAAGCCATACTGCCTCACGATATTGCTTGCCTAGCAGCAGCTCAGTTTGCGGGCTTCTCGCCACTTGCAGTTGCATGGGCTGCAGCCAAAAAGGAATAACGCCGCGCGCACACGGATATGAGCAAGTCCCCGCCTATGGCTGGCTGAACACCACGTCCGATTGCCTTGGCGAAGGACTATAAGTGGAAGGTCTACTCCGCAAGGACAAGAACAGCACCTCTGAGCGCCATACCCATCGCGCCGAGCTGACAGAGCACAAGGCAGCCGACGGGGTCTTTCACAGACTATACACACTCTCAAAGCCCCGACCGCTCGAAGAATTGGTACAATATCTGCGGACATGCCGTTGTGAAATGGGGCAGCAGATCTTGGACGAGCGTCGCTTACCCAGTCGCATGAGTTTCCGAGCTCGCTTGTGCCGTGGGGCAGAAACACGATCTGCGGAGGCCCCAGTTGGAAATTGGACGACCGAGAGAGCTCGCGTAGGCTGCCAGAGGGCCTCTCAGAGCCGAGACCGTCCTTGTGGCGCCTCTGGGCCCGGGCCTGTCGCAGGGTGATGCGTTGGGTGCAAACATTGGTCGGCTCGGACTGCTGGGGCTCTTTGCCAAGCAGAGCTTGTGCTGGCCAAGGGAAGCTTAGCGGCTGTCTGGCAAGGATACTGACAACAGGTCATGTGTTTTACGGACAGGGCGGCCAAGGGCGAAGTAAAGGCTTCCGCTTGGTCTTTTGTGCAACTGAACTAGGATGGTCTTTGACATATAGCCAAGTGCTCCGTAGCTTGGCTCCATCCAAACTCTAAGCGCAATAAAGCTAGTAGCAGCCCAGGGACCGGCGGATGTTTATTTGTGTTCGCCTGTTCCGTGATGGGATGGTTTGTGGGTGCATGCAAGGGGCGTCCTTCTGAATGTCTTGCTTCAGCCTTCACGTGGCAACAAAGTTCTCTTCCCCTTCGCGCCATTGCCACGCCTGGGGTACTTTGTCTCGCACTTCCCCAAGCGGAGGCACACTCACGAGTGTCTCAGGCTCTTTACGATCACTAAGCCTTGGTCAGCAGGGCCGCCAAGGGCCGGCGATGGAGTGCAGCAAGACGCAAAACAATTTTTAGTGCCAAGAGGACGGGCAAAAGCTTCGGTCGGCTGCAATATATGTAGCAATTAATAGTGACGTGCAGAATCATGTACGTGCCTGTTGTGTGAGCATAGCGTCTCCAGGATGTCATCAGGCACATCCATGTCAGAAATCCCAAAAGCCATGGTCCACGTGCTCCTCAATTAGGCTTTCTCACCTTAACCTTGTCGAATTGCAACACGGCCCGTCGGGGGCGCGGCTCGCTGGGCAGCATCACTAGATTGGCGATGCAAGGGATGCGGCTGGCCCGATCAGGACAATGACTTCCGCACCAGGAGAGACAGTGACAGATGGGCCAGAACGTTCCGCGGACCCTACACGAGGGAATATCTGGTTGAAAACGCCAAAGGACAGTGCCTGACATTGGCCCACGTTCCTATGAGCCTGGGCAAATATAAAGTCCACCAAGGATTCAGGTCTCATTTGCTACCACCAGGCGCTTGATCTGTCACGCAACCACTCGTCCAACACAGCGCAATCACAATGCTGGGCAAGGCAGCGCTCACCTTCGTTCTCCTTGCTGCGCAGAGCCTCGCCAAGGACGGCAGCTCTGGCGGCGGCAACAAGGACACTGCCAACTCGTACACCCTGTTGCTCAACGGCAAGTCGTACAACGGTGACTTTGACCTCAAGAACCTCGCCTGCACCGGAACCGTCAACGTGCGCGGGCTCAACAATGGCTTCGACATCGACTGTGCCACAATGAGCGTCTACAACTACACGCTCACCGGCAGGGCGGACCCTAATACTCAACGTAAGGCAGTCCCTCCCATGTTCTCTCGTGCACCACCACCCCCACACGAGTCTCTCCCCATGGCCTCACGACCAGACTCTGGAATGGTGCTTGCTTGCTTGCTTGCTAAACAATTGCTTCGCAACCCAGGAATGGTCACGTCGCCCACGCGCATCTTCGCCTCGCGCGAGCTCTCCCTGACGGCCGCCCAGCTCGGCAAGCCCAGCGTCAGCAGGCTGCGCATAAAGAACGGCGACCTCGTCATGGAATTTGGCGTCGCCGCCGGCAAGGTCAAGTTCCAGGCCAAGGACAAACCGGCCGGAGGCATCATGCAGACCGAGACCGAGATCGGCGTCGCCAACGTCACGCACACGATCAAGCTCGCGCCGGGGATCTTCTACTTCCTTGACCCCAACCTGGGTAACGCTGTGCGGCTGGGCAATGGCCTTGTGAGTAACGCCTTCCTCTCCCTCTCTAGAAAGCCGAGTCTACCCAGGAACAACATCCTTGTGCCTGGAAAAGGCAAATGCAAAACAACCTCGGCTGACCACATTTCCGCTCCACACAAACAGCCTGCCGACTCGACACACAAGGTCCTCGTGGCCAAGGACTCCCCGCAAGGCGCAAACAGGATCTACCAGGATGGTTCTGTTTCTCAATACAACGTGTGGAGCGGCGGCCGCATGGGCGCCGTCTTTGGCGAGGACGCTCTCGAGCAGGCTCCTGGGGCGGGCAGCTGCACGTCCTCGTGCCAGGCACAGAACCAGATCAAGGGCTCGCTGCCCGTGACCGAGCTGCCGGATACTGTTGTGCCTATCGGCGCTGGCGGTGATGACTAGCGGGGAGATGTCTGTTGTCAAGGACAAGGACAAGAAAAGGGGCCGATGTGGGAGGACAGGGCATGAACATAAGAGATATGATATATACGAAGACAGCGACAATACAATCGCGATCTTGTTCCATCTTGGCTGCAGACGGAGCCTCAGTCCCCTGAAATAATGATAAGACAATATTTGAGCATTGTCGGCATTGCATGAGTTCCACGTCAGTGGTTCTAGCTCAAGGTCTATCTGGGGTATACGCACGCTCCACGCCGTGGTCTGCTTCTGTTCTTGATTTGATTTCCAACCTGCCACTCAGGATGCGCACTGGAGGAGATCATGTTACAAAATCATTCGAAAAAGTAATTCATCATGATTGCCAAACCGCAGCCGGCATTCTTTTAGCCCATAACCTCTGAGGATTACTATGTCAATAGATCCGCTATTTGTCTCGCAATAACCTCATGCACACCGGTAGTAGAATGTATTTGGTCGATGAAGAAAAACTCGTTGACCGCAAGAGGGCAATCAGGCGACTTCGTATCAACATCCGGCGTTCCCCTAAGGAGCACAAAGCACGATCAAACAGTCAGTAAAGCATCCTGATCATTGTCATCATAACGAAAGAACCAAGGACAGGAAGCAAACTCACCAGCGGTAGGCAGCACAATAGTCTGCAGTGTCCCTCACGGATGCCAGCTCGGGGAACGACCCTGGCTCGCCAAGCGCATGGTCAAACATGCCGTGCGCGTCGTATGTGTAAACCGTCGACCCGGCAAACTCGTTCTGTACTTTTCCGGCGAGCTCCGCAATGCGCTGGTTGAAGCTGGTCACGAGTGCCGTCGTGCGCGAATTATACGGACCTTTGGGTGCTTTCTGCGCGATCGGCGTGCGCTCGAGAGGAGGCACGTTGATGAACAGGAAGTTCCTCGCTCCAGCTTCCGTGCGCAACCTCCGCAGCAGGGAAAAGTATCTGTCAAAGATCTGCGTGTAGAGGCCGCTTGCGAGTACATCCGCATCTGACGCGGTGCCGTTGCTGTCAAATAACTTGCCCACGTCGTTGATGCCGAACCAGAAGGCGTAGAGTGTAGTGTTGGGCGTCTTGGTCACGGCGCTGGGACTATAGACGTTGAGAAAGCGGTTGAGTTGTTTGACGAATGAGCCATTGGTTCGTGACGGTACAATCGCTTGGTCCACGGTCGAACCGCCAAACGCCATGTTATAGACGAGGATGGTTGACTCGTTGTACTTGGTTGCGAGGTATTGCGGCCATTTCGGACCGTTCGTTCTAAGCTCACCGATGTTGCCGAAAGGATTGGCGGGTGAGGGCTGCGTGCTGCGTGGTCTGAAGTAGGTGCTCGAGTAGGAATCGCCGCTGCCTGTCGGGTCAACGTGGTGTTTTTGGCAGCGAGAAAAGCCATGTCGGGCAATGTGATGGGCTTACAAAATCACCAGCTGGTCAAACTGAGCGAATCTCGTGGTTGTCGCAATTACGCACGCGATGACAGTCGAGCACGTGACCAGCGTGGCAGCACGCATTCTGGCGCCACACACCTGCGAGGAAACCCTTGTGGAGGGAGATCGAAGCGTGCGAAGGCTTCAAGCCTGGCTATATGCAAGCCTGCAATCGTTGATACGTAAATTCTGGGGCGCCGGCCTTCACAGTGCTTTGGGTTTGTTTCCATTTATAGTCGTGGGCAACACAACTCAAGGTGGGTTTGGTGCTATGCAATGCATAAATAAAATACCATCAGGGGAAAGAAATTAGAAAGAGACCTTCCACCCATGATAAACAATAAGAGGGAGGAAGCCTGGCCCCTGAGAACAGGCTCCGTGACACAAACGATCATGTCCCATTGCGCCGCGTCACTCAGGCAAGCTCTTCGCATTGACTAACACAATGGCTAGCGCCACTATTTTTTATTTTGAGTTTGCAGGCTGAACTTGTCTCACAGGAGCGGATCGACTACGAAGCCAAGAACAGCAAAGTGGTGGGAGCCACTTGAGATGAAAGCATCTGAAGGCTTGACTGTGACTTTTTCATTGTCCACTGCAATCGTTTAAGCTTTTCTTGATACGTGATGTACATGTCTGTATTGGCGTCTACCAGGCGCCCAGAACAGCCTTTCGGAAAGCTCAACAAATTTCCAGGCCCTTGCCGTGCTTTGAAGGCATTTGGGCCGAAGGGGGATTCAGGCAGCGAACGATCATTCGCCATGGAAGTCTGGCTACGAAGCTCTTTGCATCTCGATCAGAGTAGAACTAAGCAGAGAACGGAGAGGGCACAGCCAGAGAGATGAGCATTTGCAGCCACGAGCCGATCCTGAGACAGCCGTGTTTAGGCATTAGCAAGCTCTCACCAATAGACATGTCTCAGGCACCGCATCCACATCTGTGTGTCCAGATGTCAGGAACAGGCGGCCGTAGAAGCAGGACAGCTGAAGGCAGGAATTCTGCAGCATGGTGCTGTTGCATGTCCAAGACACGTGGGCTTACGCAGCGCTAAACCAGTGCATGGTGCTGCCACGTGCGCCAGACGCGTTGCGTTTCCAGTTAGAAATTCTTGGAATGATCTAACAAGAATGACCATGTGCAAAGCTGGTGAGCCAGTATGTGCAACACAACAAATATCTGAACGTCAGGCTCCCCGACCTAGCCGATCAAGTGTAGTCGCCTTGGACATCTTTCACATGCCTGGCTGTCAAGCCGGAATGCTGCGGTCGTGGTACCATGCGCTGCGTTTCCTAGAATGCAGCAGTAGTCGCCAAACGTGTCATGGCTGCCGCACTGCAAGGCACTCGATGCCATCATGCTCCAAGCTGCTCCTTGGTGACTACTCAGGTGTGACAGTCGTGTTGAGGCAGTCAAGTATACGTCCCAGGACGGCTGTCAAGAGGTGTGCAGAGAGGCTTGTCCGTGCCTACACATGTGGCCGCCTTCTCCTAGGTCTCAGTTCAAAACGCTGTTCTCCTCCAAGCCCGCTATAACGCAAAAAATTCTCCATAAACACGCCGTGGCCGGCCTCATTTTGTTGCCAAGGTATTTCGGGAATAGGTTGACCAGCAGGGATATCTTGCCAGAAACGGTCTGCCTCGCGCATGCCATGCAATCAGGATCCCAATCGTCTCTCCCGAGCCCAAGGGTCCCAAGACGCTGGATGTTGAACGAATGGAGTATAGGCGGCGCAAAATGAGCCTTCTTGGGTTAGATCGAGCTTCACACACAGGGATTACGAGATCGAGGTGGAGCATGCTTGGCTGGGCAGTGTCGCCTCTTATTGGACTGTAAGCAAGCAAGGTTAGAGTGGATATTGAACCAACCTACTCCATGGCTTCCTGGCTGCTTCCACAACATCGGCACAGATGGAGGAACCCGTGTGGCGCTAGCCACGGGCCGACCCTTCTTAAGAGGCTCCGAGTCACTGAGGTGAACATGCTCCCTATCGACTAAGATGCAGTCTCGCTCCTGACCCCCAAAGCGGCTGAATCTGCGCCATTGTGCGACACACCTTGTGAGGAACCTGGAGGTATACGCGCCCTGTTGCAGGATAGTCGACGCGCAGCCAGCCCCGAAAGTCAGATAAGGGATACGGAGCACCTTTCATCAACGCCGTAGAAAATGGTCGGTGTGCCCGGACGGTCGCGGGCATGCCGTCCGTGTCGCCAACGCAAGAAAGGGGTCAGTGACCAGGCATCATCACCATGACGAGTCGATCCCCATCCCCCATTCCGCAACCGCGATCCCTTGAGCCTTACCACTCTTTACTTACCACAAAGCTCAATTCACCACAGTGTGACCTGACTCGGCCGAACTGCGAGCGCTGCCGGAAAGCCGGCATCCAGTGTCGATATGACGAGCACCGGAATTTTGTCAAGGCGTCGCCATCGAGCTCTGACGGTGCTGAAACCGTGCTTTTCAATGTGCAGACATTGTCTCTCGAAGACCATCCTCGCATTCCAGATCTCACACTACTGCCAAATTACCTTCACAACTCTACGTGTCACGAACAGCATTACCAGCTGGCCTTGGATGTGTTACTGCCTGGTGGAAAGCCATCACCACAATGTCAAGCCAGATTTCCACTCAATAGCTGGATCTTCATTGCTCACAAGTTTTACGGGGAGCATGCTGCGCTTCGCAAGAGCATTGCGGCAATCACCCTAAGTGGACTGGGGCGGAGAGATGGGAAACCAGAGCTCATGAAGCTGGGGCTGAAGCTTTACGTCGAAGCCCTGGGCGAGGTCAGGCAGAATCTTCTGGCTATCTACGGCCACGACTCGGGGGCTTTGGTTGTGGCCGCTCGTTGTTTGGCTTCCTACGAGGTGAGAGTTGCGCGCCCCATCACTCATACTTGATCCACAAATCTCCGGTGAACATGGCGAGGCTGGCCTGGAACACCCGCACTAACATGATTAAGGTTCTGTACGGCGCCGAGACCGAGAAACAAAAAGGGCTTTCACAGGTCAAGAGCTGGCACGGACACAACCTTGGCGAGGTTGCCCTCCTGACATCAAGACCAGCAACCGTGTTTGCCATTGGTCGTGACCATCAAATCTTTGTTGATGGACGCATGCAACTGGTATGTGCTTTTCAACTTTGTGGCACGCGCCAATGGCTATCTGACACGCTTGCCACAGACAATCACCGCCTGCACGACAAGGAAACGCACCTTCCTCAACGATCAGCAATGGCGCACAGTCCCATGGTCCGTGAAGCCCAAGACCTCGCGAGACCTGCTCATCGACATCCTCATCCAGATCCCGCCCATACTCGAAGACTACGATGCCCTGAAGAAGTCGCCTCCCTCAGCACCGCCAGCTGAGGGCGCAGCAAGCCACACAGCTGGGGCGATAGCATGGTGCAAAGCATCATGCTCCAGCCTGCTCGAGGAATGCAGCCGCGTGGAAGCGGAGCTCGCTACATGGTGGGACAATCACGCACCACACGCGAGCTACGAAGGTCTCCGAGCGCGCGGGTTCGTGCGGCCGACGACAGACGAGCTCGTCTTCACGCACTTTCTTACAGTGTACTGGACGGCCTGCGTGTTCTTGTATAACACGATGCGCATGCTGCGGCTCATGTTGCAACAAGATGATCTCGGTGCGACTGGCACGGCCGGGAACGGAAGCGTTGAGACACGATTCAACGCAGAAGAGATGGACAACATCACTCCCGCACGCATACAGCAAGCACAGGAGCTGGCATACCAGCAGAAAGTACCAAACAGCGCTGCATTGCACAACATACATGAAAAAGCAGCGGCACCGGCCGATGCCAACAAAGACGACGACAATTTCAGCAAGGGCCCGAGCTTTTCTCAGCTACTAGATCCCCGCCATCCATACACCTACTGTAACCACATTGCCGAGGCAATGGAGGCATTCTTTCAGCCGGAGGCCGGCACATTCGGGGCCTTCAACGCACCCTTTCCCATGGGCGCATCGTTTGGCTATCTCATCTCCTGTGGAGATGACAAGGGTATGGGCTCGCCAGTATGGAACAAGACGGTAGGCTATTTCGGGCGAGGAGAGGTCGGGAAGGCCCTGGAACTGTTCTTGCTGGGGCATTTGACGCAGTGGCAGGAGGTCGCGCGTTGAAGTCATTATCTGAATGGTTACATCTTGAGAGGGCCATAAATTCGGAGCCGCATCCTGTATATTCTCCGTGGTTTTCTCCTGTGCCCTTCTCTGTGCCCAGAGCAATAGAAGACATGGAAATGCGGAGGCTCGAGGGCGGGGTGTGCAAGACATGTCTGAGGTCCTAGACTGAGTCTCCACGGTATAGAGAGCCAATCCTGGTTCCCCAGACCGCAAGCGAAACCGGTGTCCGCCATTGCCGACAATGCGCATCTTGCGAGTCCTTGGGCTGTGCTTGTTGGAGGCTCTGGAGCGTGTTAAGATTTCAGCCGTGATCGGTGTTATCCCAAAGGCGGACAGCTTGGCTTGGTGGCTTGTCTTGGCAGGACAGTTGTTGTTGAGCTAGCACCGAATCACCTTTGACCGACCTTTTAGCTTTCGCTTATTTTCTGTCCACTTGAGCTTGCCATTGGTTGGCCCAAGTGTCGGACCCAGCCAGCTGGCTCAGCGGGTGGCTTGTCCTCCTGCTTCTGCCACCGCCACTGGGCCGTGGGAACCTTGCTGCCAACAAGCTCTCCAGTGCTACCCCAAGATAGTTCAATGCCCAGACTAATCGCTCTTTTCTTCCTGTGCTTCAAGGTTACTGCCGTGTCGTTCTAGACCTGGGCTGTACCATCAGGCGGGGCATCTGAGAAAGCACAGCCGCGCCGCCAAGGTGCTATTCTAGCTTTGCTCTGCCTTGGACTGAGCCCAGGCCGTATGCTCTCGACCTATTTTTGAGGCAGCCTGGTGGTCTGCAGGTGACTAGCGTAGGGCTTAGCTGCAGGTTTGGCAGGCGGATATGCCTCGGGTCACGAAGCTCAGTGGCCAGCGATGCCACCACCGTCTGGACAACACTGCCCGGAATCGACCTATTGCACATAGGCGTGCAAGCCATGACACATAGGTGCCGCATAAGTGTGCAGGTCTCACTTTGGTACGAGCATACCGATGAAGCCACCAAAGTGTGATTCAGGCAGAGCTCTCGTCTGTTTATAAAGTCGTCTCCGATCTTGCCATGTCTCGGCTAGTCGCCGTTGGATGCCATCTTGACAACTCGACCTACTCGTCTCTAGGGACGTGCTCTCCCCTGTCGAAAGCACATTCTGGAAGAGGCTCACCATGCGCTATATCACGATCCTGCTGCTCACGGCGCGCTTCTGGGCGGCGCACGCGCAAGACGGCACGCCTGCCGCAACTGATGGCGGTACAGTAGCGGCACCGACCGACACTGGTGGTGGTGGTGGTGGTGCGTCAGTCCCGCCAGTCGTAGTTGATGACCCTTCCACAAACCCGCCTGCATGTATGTGCCGCCAGGCACGCGAAAGCCATGGCCTATACACAGACACCGAGGCTAACAATATGAACCACAGCTGACCCAGGAACCGGGGCGACACCTGGGGGGCAGTCGCCAGTCGACACGCCCACTGCGCAGCCGGCGCCCTCGGATACGCCTACGATCGGTGAGATATTGACGACGCCCCCCGACGTGGTCCCGACGCCCTCTGGTGTGGTTGAGACGCCCTCTGGTGTGGTTGAGACGCCCTCTGGTGTGGTTGAGACGCCCTCTGGTGTGGTCGAGACGCCTTCTGGAGTGGTTGAGACGCCTTCTGGTGTGGTTGAGACGCCTTCTGGTGTGGTTGCGACGCCCTCCAACGTAGTTGAGACGCCCTCGCCAACTAATGCCGGCACGACTCTAGTCCCTGACGTGACCGTCGCCCCGAGCTCAGAAGGTAGGGCTCCAGCTTCTTCGCCTTTGCCTGAAGTCCACAACCGGACGCACTCATCGCTGACAATGCAGAACCCCCATCTGCCTCGGCCGCGCCCACGGGACCGACTTCGTTCTTTGGCATACTTCCGCCGGAGCCCTCTTCAGTTGCTGACGTGCCCACCACAACAGCAGCAGTGACGACCGATGACCAAGTCGTCCCGAGCAACACTCCGACAGTCGCGGTTACCGAAGCCCCTCCAACGCCGTCAGATTCGGCAGCAGTCGACTTCACTCCGACCATCCAGACCACGAAAGGCGACGACACCACATCCGCACAGCCCACTGCCGACACGCCTAGCGCCACCCCTGACACAGAAGCCACAGAGACGGCAACGGCGACGACGACGAAGCCCGCAACATCCGCCGCCAGCTTATTAGTAACGACAATCATCCTGCCCACACGGACCCTGACAGGCACCCTCGACACCAACACGGCCTCGTTCACCGCAGACGTCGCGGGCCTGACGCAGGCCTCCAAGCCCGGCGCCCCGCAGGCCACCAACACAGTGGGCGCCAACTTTGTCGAGACAAAGGACGTCAAGGAGGCCGAGGTGCCCGTGGTGGAGCTGTCCAAGGACGAGATTGGCGACGCCGGCGCGTACGAGGTCGACATCTACGCCCAGTGGGTCGCCGCGGGCAACATGCTGGCCGCCGAGGATCCCAACATCGCGAGGCCGCCGACCGTGAGTACCAGTTTTGATTCTCTCTTTTGTGCTTGCCGATCTAGTTTGTGTGTTTCAAGGCGACTTGGGAAGGGGGTAGACCGCTGTTGTGGGGGGAACTGTAGTTACTGTTGACGCTGGTGGCCGAAGTTTTGTATGCGACTTCTGCAGTGCTGGGAGAATCATGAGACTGACAATTTGTGCGATTTTTCCCAGCTCCCCATCTGCCCCAGCACGGTCACAAAGGGCACCAACGGTAAAGTCAAGCGGCAAGCCGCCTCCGCCGCATTCGGGTGCTCGCCCGCAACGATCCAGATCTCCGTGCACTTTGTCCACGTCACGCCAGGCACTTACACGTCCGACAAGCCGCTGAACGACGCCCGGCAGAGAGCAATCCGCAATGTACGTCTATCCCGTTCCTCCCTCTACTTCTTCCTCCTCCTTCCGGGGGCCTGCCTCTCTGCTCGCCCTGGCGAAACTGACCAAAGCGCGGGAAAAACCCCCTTTTGTGAGAATTAGCTCCTCTTCCTCCGCTCCGTGGTCTCAAAGCTCGGCATAGACATCAACCTCGCGAGCTACGACGTGCGCGTGGACCCGGACATGTCCAACCACCAGTTCGTCGGGGGCGACCTGTACGCGCAGAAGAGCGCCGTGACGCAGCGCAATGCCAAGTTTATGCGCGACACGCGCAAGGGTGGCGCGGACGAGCTGACGGTCTGGATCGTCGACGAGTGCACCGATCTCGGCGGCGGGGAGACTTTTGGTGGTGTAAGTATGGACTTTTTCTGAGAGAGAGTGAGAGAGGGAGAGAGAGATGCACCTTCGGCTGCGCTGCTTGCCTGCCAGCCCAAGCCCCCTTGGAGGTGGCGATCTCTCTCGGGGGACACGATACAGCGCAGCTGATCTAAGAAGGGTTGGTGGCTAACCCGCATGTGTGTGAAAATCCAGTACGGCATGTTCCCCAACTCGGGCAAAAACGGACCGCTGGACTGGGACGGCATCGTGATCAAGCAGGCCCAGCTGTCCCCCGCAACCGACGACAGCCTGTTCCAGAAGGACGACGACGCGGCCACGTGCCCGCTGAAGCCCGGCACGTACAACTCCCTCAGCGGCAGCACGCTCGTGCACGAGTTTGGCCACTGGATGGGGCTGAAGCACGTCTTTGAGGGCGGGTGCTCCGGCACCGACGGCGTGGCGGACACGACCCAGCTTTCCGGCGGAGACGGCGACGGCCAGCGGTGCTGCTACCAGAAGAAGTGCAACTCGGATGTCGTGATGCAGGCCAAGAACTGGATGAGTGTAAGTACCTACTATCTGTTTGTCCCTGGTCGAGTCCAAGCTGTGCCTCATGGGGGTTCCCTACTCCTACGCCCGGCCTGGCAAAGACTGGTGATAGGGGGGAACGCTCCCCAGCGAACAAAGCACACAAGACTGACACGTGGTGGAATCTCAAAAGTACTCGCGGTGCCGCGGCGTCGACATGACAGGCAAAGGTGCCTTTGACACGGTCGCCTTCACCGACGGCCAGCGGGCCCGGATGTTCACGCACTTTCTCAAGTTCCGCCAGAAGCGGGCGTGTGACGCGCCGCTGCGCCTCGCACGCCGCTCGGGGATACCGTCCCATCCCCCCTCCTCCGCCGCGGCGTCCGAGGAGATCCGGCGCCGGCAGGACCAGCAGCAAGGCAAAGCCGCCGGCGTGCTCGCGGACCTGCTCCTCCACAACTGCTCCGTCGCGATCCAGGACGTGTTCCACCAGGACTCGATCCCCATCCCGGCCGCGCAGCTCGCGCAGTACAGCTCCCTCGCGCTGCAGCTCCAGCTCCACCCCACGCCCACGCCGGCCAACGGCTTCGACCGGCCCGCGACCATCACGTACGGGACGAACCAGCCCACGGACGCGCTGGCCGAGGCCGTCTTTACGAACCCGGGGGCCGGGGCGAGCTCCACGGGCGGGGCTGCTCCTGCTGCTTACCGGGATGGCAACGGGGTGGTGGGCGAGAAGGGTCTGGTGGCGATGGCGGTTGCGTGGGTTGTTTGGGGGGTCTTTGGGGTTTATATTTGATCTTGGCGAAGCATGGTTCGTTTGTATAGGTTGTCATAGGAGTCATTGTGGTGTTGCGTGGAGTAATTGGTTGTTTGTAAATATCATTTCCCATGAAGACAAGTACATGATACGTTTCACGGCTTGCTGTTATTGTATGTCAAAGATGTGCCAGGCCTGCGTCGATTAGGGACAAAAGTGAATCGAAAGAAATGCGAGCTGAGCAGTGGTGCTCCCACGTGTAAGAGCGCGACCACACGAAGTTAGCATTTCACAAGAGTGGGAGCACATGCAGGCAGCACGCCGTAGATCAGTCTGGTTCACAGGGCAGATGAGACGATTTTTCCATTGAAGTGACACGGCATTATTGAATACTACAAGAACGTCGACAACGGCGCAAGCAGAACCGTACAGTATCCATTACAAGACTCCCTCCCCACCCGTCGTGATGAGCCGTGATAACCCTTATCCAACTTCCACCGCCCGCACATGACCATACGAGCCCTGG